TTGGAGAAATTGCGCAATATTTTCCTAAAGTACCATTCTTATAAAAATTACTTCTTTACGGTATTTAGGTATACCGTTTACTCTAAATACTCCTAACGTTAGCATTGATCATTTTTCTCATTTTTCATCAAACCAGCTTAGGAAAAGTATATGCTTTAATACAAAACCAAATTAAACCTTAATAATCAAGTAAGAATTATATTGCTGTTTGCAATTTTTTTTGTTATTTTTCATACATTTTGGTAAAGATATTGTGTTATATACTATATAGACGATAAATCAATAGTATCCGATTTCAGTTTAGATGGCCGTCAGCTTAGATGATAAACTTTTAGGTGAGAAAGCTCACTATTATTGTAGTAGTAGTGAGGATGAAGGTGAATCAGAAAATTTGGCGGGAGGACCTGATAAAGGGCTCCAGGAACCACCGATGAATGAACTCAAAGAATATGCAACTAACGTAATATTTTGAAATAAATAAAATCATTAAAATATATATATTTATAATAAAATCTTATAAACAGACTGGGCCTAAAGGTGTCATTAATGACTTTCGAAGGTATAAACAATTAGAAAATGAAAAAAGAGAAGAACAAGAATTAGAAAGGTTGGATGTCTTGAAAAAAATTCAACTAACCTGTAGATCTGAGGTAAAATAATACTAATTGATAGCTCTTTGCTGTCTTCTAAGGCAGAATTTCTTTTAACAGCTCGATGATAAAAAAGAAAAGGAGAAAGATGAACAGTTTGAATTAAATCTTGAGGACTTGCTGGAAGATGAATTTCTCAAAGAATATAGACAAAAGAGGATAGAAGAAATGCGTAAAAGATTAGAAAATGTGTAAGTTTTATAAACTATACTTTAATAAGTTGAAAAATTTCTATTTATATTTATGTTAGACCGAGATTTGGTAAGGTTATTGCCCTCACAAAGGAAAATTTTCTCGATAATATTGACAAAGAGGATCCTTCAGTTAAAATTGTTATTCATCTATATGAAGATGTATGTATTTCACAACGATTTTTTCTTTTTTTCTACTTATATCTACTCTGTCCACTTTCTAGGATATCCCTGGATGTGAAGCCATGAACGGTTGTCTTCAATGCTTGGCTAAAGAATACCAAAGCGTGAAATTCTGTCTAATAAAGGCTTCTAGCGCAAAATTAAGCACTTATTTCGTAAGTGCTTATAAAATTAACGATACAAAAAATTAAACTCATCTCTTTATTGTTGATTTCTTTGTTTGCAGTCTTCATTCGGCGTTCCCGCTATTTTGGTTTATAAAAATAGGGAGTTAATTGGTAACTTTATTCGACTAACTGACGAATTCGGTGACGATTTCTATGCTACTGACGTGGAAGATTTCCTAATATCGTAAATATTTAAAGTTAAATAAGGTACTCTTTATAAGAAAAGTAAACAATCTATTTTAACTTCCAGTCATGGAGTTTTACCCGATAAAGAGGTTGACAAAGCTATAATCAGGTGTGGAGGTGGCCACGTAAATGACACTGATTCTGATCTTGATCTTGACTGAATTAGAAGCTAGTCGACAGATACGTCTTGTCATTGATGTTTTCATTTTGAATTTTTTACGCATCTTTTCTCAAATAAATAGATAATTTATGAAATTAAAAAGAAATCCTTTTTCCTTTCCTTTACCTTTACTTGTTATTAAGTCTTTTTTTCAATGTACTTAAATTGCACTTACATGAAAACAGTAAAACAAGTTATAGCTGAAAGGTTGAATAATCAGAGTTGAAAGAGGTTAGATGCTTTTTTCTCTTTATCAATAGTATGGAACTATATTATTTAGAAGATTGAAATAAGAAAGCTTTAAGCCTAATGACGCCGGAAAATTATTATCTTAAAATTAAAACATTTGATATCTTTTAATTATAATATTTTAAAATATATTGTTTCTCAAAGTAAAATAATTACATCTTTAAATATACTGTGTTAATCCAGCAATCTAGTATAAAATGTATTAAAAATCCATCTTCGACTTTTCGATATTCAAATTTATTATCGAAGATATCAAAAATATTCTTATAAAATTGCATAAACGCGTTGTCATTGGTAACCAAGGCTATGCAAGTACCGTACGGTCTTTTAACCTTGAGATAGGAACCCTTGTTTAATATTAACTTTAACAAATCCAGCTGCGTTGATTTTAAGTTTTCGTGGGAATTTTCTAATAATATTTTGGAAGGAGACCAAGAGTTTTTCATTAATCCCGTCTGCAAGTTAATTAGACAGAAGCATTCAGCTTTGCAGTACAAAAATAAAGTATCATCATTTCTTCTTATATCTAAAATACGACCAAAATACTTAGGTAATGTCAGTTTCCATTCCCTTTTAAAGGGATATTTCAATTTATGGATGATAGATGCTCCTAACGAAGATTCTTCGCATGCAACAATACCTTCCGACCAACTAATCATATTATAATAACTCGATTCTTCTTTGGCCTTACAAAATATTCGAAAGGAAATTCTACGTTCAACTCTTCCATTATTATTTAAGCTTGAATATTGAATAGCATTATCGTTTATAGGCAGCAAGTAACAGACATTATTGCAAATGGCTAATTTGTATTGTTCGTTAACGCATGTATACCATCTGAATAGATTTTCTAAGTTTTCATTTTCTGAATCATATCTATACAGTTTATATTCAAATGAATTATTCACCGACTTTTTGCATATGACGTATAAGAAATATTCATCAACTGTTGTATTTGTAATACTATTGCATTCAGGTATTAGCTTAACAGCATTCTCCTCCTCATACATATTGTTAATGATATTATATCCAATTTTCATTATATTATTATTATCTGGTAAGAACTCTATTTGTCTGTTTAAACAAGATATGCCATCGTTTGTTAATTGAATTTTGTATCTTGATAATTCTCTTAATTTAATATTATTCCAAAGTTTCCTATTTTCTCTCATCTCAACTTCTAAGTCTAGGGTCAGATTATGGAAATCACTTAAAATATTATCGAGCTCTTTTAACTTTTCCCTAAAAAAAACATGTATTTCGTCATTCAATTGATTTTTTCTCTCTTTAATCATCTTAATTGCACCATCTGTTGCATTTTCTACAGCTTTTATTACCTTTTCTTCTTCTTCTTTTGACATGTATTCTATGCACGTCATTATATTTTCTTCTAAATTCTTGTCGGCAGTGTTGAGGAAAGAATCAATATTAGTATTTTTAGACTTTTTCAAGCCACGAAACTTATCGAAAAAGCCTAATTGTGCAAGAGAATATATACCTTTCACCGATAGATTATACTTTTTATTACAATTTGGGCATTTGTAATACCGTCCATGCTCAAGTGAAAAATGTATTTCTAAGCATTCTAAACAAAATATATGAAGAATGGGACCACATGGGAAGCACCTAGGATCCCGCTCAATCCAAGAATTATTGCAGAGAAGACAAATTGTGTCCTCGTATACAATGAAATCGTTAAAATCTATATTTCCATTGAACGAATCCATTGATTTCTAATTAATTAAATGAAAGTATTTGTTAACTATTTAAATACTGGAGAGTATACTCAATGTACTTTCTTTTCAATGTTGATGTAGATTTAGTACTAAACATCGTAAATCAATACGCATTACAGACTACAATGATAGCATAGACGCATGAAAGTAAATAAAGCATAAAACTTATGATTCTTTAAACGATTGAAGATAAATCCATTTTGCAATCACACGAGTTAGTCGAAAGAGTTCTCCCTTTCAATTATTAAGCTACTTTTTCCCTCAATACCCTTGATATAGTAAAACAAATTATTGATTTGTTGACAGTAAAAAGCGGTTGTGTAATATTAGATGTCGTATATTTAACAATGTCGTTAGGATAGTCATAATTACAGTGATTTGCAAGAATTTACAATCTAAAAACTAGGTTGAGGTCATACAACCATCCTTTAAGGAAATGTTACTTCTATGTTTCTCTAGCTTTATCTTATTACTTAAACGCTAACAAATCTTCCATTCGCCTATTAATGAACTTTTAGTATGCTATTAAGGAATGTAGCTTCTATTTAAAGTAGACGTTTTCACAAACCAATATAAAAGATTATATGAGTCAACTTCCAAGAAAAGTGAGTAGATTTAATGATCAGTCGTAATATGTACTTATTAATCAATTCGTAGACTTTTCTGATGGGAAATTGACGCCTATTTCTATATAAATAATTAGAAATTCAAGTTCATTGCATAAATGTCTAGGCTTACGTATGCAATATGCATATTTTGTATATTTAACTTTTCTTAGTAAACTTCATAACTGAGAGCATTAATGCAAAGATATATGACTACTATTACTTGAAGTATATAAACAAGATTTAAGTTATTCAGTTGCAGCTGGTGGTTCGGATGGAATAGTAGCTGAAGATCCGGGAACAGGTGGAGCAGCCGTTGCCGATTGTCCCATTCTGTTCGGATCTTGTGATGGATAATGAACTGTTAGTGGTCTTGGTGCGGGCATAAAATTGGAAAACAATGGTTGTTGACCACTCATCGGTGGTATCATTGTCATTGCTAAACCAGGCTGAGGTGGCTGAGGTAGTCTGGGGCCAGGAGCTTGATTTCCAAGATTAAAGAAATTACTAGTTAAATCCTCTGGTATTGGTAGTACGTTAGGAAGACCAGGAACAGGGTCTAATTTGCGTCCTTCACGAACCTTATCTTCAATTGCTGTCTGAGCCTGAGCCTGAGATCTACCCCATTTGATGTTGACTCGTTGTCCATGGATGATAACTTTATTGAATGATTTTTCAGCGGCTTTTTCAGCAGCTATTCGTGAAGTAAATTGTACAAAAGCACATTGTTGCTTTGCAACTATTGTAATAGATCGGATCTCTCCAAATTGATAAAAGTGATCTCTCAAATTATCTTCAGTTGTTCCTTCGGGTAGTCCACCAATATATAGTGTTGTAATCGTCTTGTCTTCAGGAGGGTCCAATTTTGGCATCCCTTCATAGCGTTTTAATAGCTTATCTGCAACAGGGTCATTTACACCGTAAAATCGGTCCCTGATATTCTGATCGCTTAATGGATCTTCTGGATCAGTAGGTTTCTCGTGTCTATTAAAAAAAAGTTTTTAGAAGGGTTTCACGTTTTAACACAATTGAGAACACCAACCTATAAGGACATTCCTCGCCTCTCTTGCATTCACCCTTAACCCAGAATGAGCATACGTGCGGTCTGTTTCTTTTATAGTACGGAGTAGTTCGAGCTAATTTTAACAGCATATCAGATGGTGCTTGAGCTTTTCCAAGTTCCCCAGGTGGAACAGTTCCATCTCCACTTTCTGACATAGCTCTTTCCATGTTTTGGGCATAAAATTCGCGATTCACATCTGACTTTGGCATTTCATTTGACACCTTAAGTGCCTGGTCTCTTACTTGAACAGGTAAGCCAAACTCCAAATCTAAAAGGCATGTTTGGCATATATTTTTAATTTTACTGCAAGTTTGACAAATTTCTGTTTTCTTAAAGCGCATTCGAGCTCCTGGACACCATCGAAATACAGTAAAAGGTCGTTGACAAATTTTACATTCCTTGCCATATCTTTCTTTCATCTAAAAGTGAGGCGTTTAATTAACAATAAGAAGTTTATAACAGTCTTTCACTTACCATTCTAATGTATGGATTATCACCTAAGCATGTTTGGCAGAGAATCGGAAATTCCTGTCAACGGGAACAAACAATTAAAGATTCAATCTAAAGCTATTTAAATAATGAAACTCACAGATTCTTCCCAATTTTGCCGGTTATAATTATTAGCGCTCTTTGACATCGCCATTTTGAAGCGTTTGGTGTGAATAAAACACTACGCAAAACCTCTACCAGTTTCTCTCTCATATCAAGTTTAATAGAGGGCACTATCGTCGAAAAGTTCTGCCAAATTTGGTTGAAACCAAGTGTACTTATTTTTTTTACCCACGTTTGTTCTGTAAATAGGAGATAAATTTCGATGAACTATTTTATACGATAAAAAATCGAATATATTAAATTCTGGTTTAATAAAAAAGACTAAAATTTCAGGAAAAACCAGAAAAATAACGTTTGAGCGATATCAGAATCAGTGACCACCAAAAAAATGGCATCATCTGAAGCAGCAGATGCAAATTGTATATGCCCATATAAAACAATCTCTGCCGATTATTAACTTCCTTCTTCATTTCAGCGACAAAAGAACAACAGTTAAAAAATCTTTCCTCTCAAAAACTACTTTTAGAGGCTCTTTGCAAAGCTAATGAAGGTATATGTTGACGATAATTATTACGATTGATCACAGTCACTGACACTTTTGCTATGAAATTTTATTTTATAATTAATATCACTTTGAGTATCAAAAGCAAAAGAAGTTCTTCATATTTCATATGAAAAATTAATTCAATGCTATGCATTTGGTCGACTTGTTAGAAGATTTCATTGATTAATTGATATATTACTATATATATAATACATACTATAAATTAAATATTTTCTTGATAAAGTATCTGTTCCTCTTTTAGAGCATATTGAGGAAAAGAGTCCGGAAGAACTTAAGAGAGAGTAAGAAAATTATTTGTTGAAATATAGTGTCATTAGATTGATTACCATTAATATAGAATTGAAGAAATGAAGAATAAACTAAAATCTTTTCAAGAAAAACAAAATGCAAAGAGTGGTATGGTCCAAAACGCTGCCGATACAAACGAATCAACTGGAATTCTGTTTCCTGACGAACACCCTCAGGAACAGGAAAAGAAAGACCTACAACTGTAAGCTATTGAAAACAAAACTTGAAAATAAATGATCTTTTGCATAATTTCAATCAGATCTCTAAAGAAAGCCATGGATAAAACTGCTAATGTTTCCCTGGAAATAGTGGATAAATTGAGAGTAAGGGTTTCCTCAATTTAGTTTATGCCATTAATCATTGCCCCTTTTCGTTAAGAACTTACAAAGAATTCGTGATGAAATTAGAGAGTTTAGAGTGAAAAATCAAAGTACGTCTCAATAATTAAATGATAGGTTTAAGATGTAGGGTAATTAATTTAATTTATTTATATTAGAAATTCGTACTACTCATCGTCACATGGTTAAGCAACTCGAGGAAGCACGAAAAAGCCAACAGGAACGATCTCATAATGTTGAGCAACAAGCTGAGGTAAAAAGAGCGGAGGATGAGGTTGAGGTTCAGGCAAGGAAAAATGATGTTCTACGCCACGTTCTTCGTAATCTAGTAATTGAATCCGGAGAGGAGTGGGTGAATAATGCTGGCCTGGTAGACTTGGTGCTAACCCTGGATGACACTGCTGCCGAAAAGTTGGAAAATTTTCAATCTAACGAAGAAGAAGTCACAAGTATGTCTACAAGATCTGAAATATAGTTATTTATTAGCAGGACTATCCCTTGCCTCTCTTTCCCCCCTTTTTTATGTGTTCTTATTTTTGCAAACCTGACCCCACAGCCAATTCTTTACATGTTTTTGTTGTTTTTTCGCTTTTTTATATATATATAAATACATACCCTAGACAAATTATGGATAACATACAGCTTAGAAAGTTCAATATATCAATATTTTTAAATTGTTTCAACGATTACCAAAATAGAAATGCTATCTAATCATAAAACAAAAATAAATCTTTCGTCTTATATCAATATTTTTACTGACTTTCTTTCTTGTATATTTTTATTACTATAAGTTGAAAGTTTGGTAAAACATGCAAGGAGAGTTACCCAACGAAAGAGAGGAATCGTGACTTCTTGATGAACATAAATTACAGTTGTATCATCATTTATCTTCTTTTCTATATCGCCTAGTTCCTACCGGACCTGTAACTACGAACGCTGCTTTTCTAGTAGTAATCTTTGATTTGTAAATCTTCGCATTGTATATAAAAAATTTACTGATTATTGTTAGATTACGAGATTCAATACAACAGTGAATTGCTGCTTTATCGACATAAAAGCATAGAATATTAAACAGTTTCTTAAACATAAAATAATTAAATTTTTTATATATGTGAATCCTAAAGCTTACATTGTCATTAAACGGCACATAAAAACTTGTCCGTCGCTAAAGAAAAAGCGTTTATAAACGCTTTACAAATAAACTTAGTGCAATATATTTAAAACTTTATATATTCTAATATTATTATTAAGTTTAGCTATGTTTTAATACTTGCTAAATTCTCTAAAATCTGCATGTACATCTATCATGAATTTTGACGATTAGACTCTTGTTCGACTTATTCGAAGTACTATGTATTATTTCTAGCGTTACTTGGCATATAACACACAATTCTATAGATATAATCTTACTGTAGAAATGCAAATAATAATTTATATATAGTGAATTGTTCAGAAGTTCAAATTACAGAGTTATCTGTTGGCTTTAAGTAGAAAATAGTTTTTTCTAGATAATTGTTAACGAAAAATTTCTGCTCGTCTGTTAAAGTTTTCGCTCGTGTATTTCCGTTTCCGGGAAATTAGCAGAAGATCTTACGAATGTCCTTAGTCGTGTTATAAAAAACATGCGTTTAATTCAAGTGCCACTAGATAAATCCCGGCTTCTGACTTCGTTGTCATATATTCTTCGACAAACTATACGACATCGATCAGGGCTGAAAAGTCGTAAAGCTGTCTTATGGGATCAGGCATGGCCAATTCATGAAGAAAAGCCGGAGGTAGATGAAGAAACTGCCAGGAGGAACATCTCAGGCTTAAGGAAAAAGTTTCGTGATAGATTACCTCATGTGATGGAGCCTAGTTCGCCTGAATTTGAATTACATTTTACGAAACAGCACAAAATGAGAATGTTTGGTAAATACGGATCTAAATCCGGTATACATCCAGGCATACATTGGCCTTCTAAGGAAGAACTTAAAGAGTTAATAGAAGAGGAACAGATATGGGAGCCCTCTTTAGCTGAGCGAATGAATACTGTATTAGCTGAAGAAAATGAGATTCGTTCAACCAAACTGAAAAAGTAATTTTGAATTCGTAAAGTTGCTTTATTTATTCATATATAATAATTCATTTTCTTAGGGAGGAAGAAATAGCCAAAAACTTAAAGAATATGCCAAAATATATCGCACAATTCGAAAAGAAATTAGAAAAAGTAGAAGAGGAAGAGGATTTGAGGCGAGACAAACAAAAACAACTAGTTGAGGAAGCTTACGATTACTTTGGCTATAAGGTAAGGAAATAAGAGTTAATTGCAAACTCTTTTTTTTGTTTGCTTTTCTCTTTCCTTCTTATTTTAACCGATAATATTATTATTTTACAGGTTGATTCGAGAGATCCTAGATTTATAAAGATGATAGAAGAGAAAGAAGAGGAAGAAAAACGTATAAGCAAAATAAAAAAGAAAGAACAACGTCAAGAAAAATTGTTAGCGTCAATGAAGGCAATGATGGAAAAAAATACCAAATCTTCTCCGGAAGATAAAGTGACAACGAAATAGACAATTTTTTTTAAAAGAAACAAATTTATATTCAAATTTCTTTGTTCAAAAAATAAAAATGTTAAAATGTAATTTATCAAATCTGGTTTCACTCTAATCTATTTAATACTGTAACTATTTACTTGGGGAGATATAAGTATTCCAAGAAGTTTTCTTATAAATACCGTTAATTATAACCAAAATTTGCCACTATTACTATTGCTTTATATTTAACTAATAATATGTTTAAATGGAATTATTTTGATTAAATTTAGTATCATTTTACGCAGATAATTTAAAGCTCACTATTGGCGGGAACAGGAAGTAGTTTTTTTCAATATAGTAACTGGCCACGACAGCGACATCTGCATTTCTGATTTGTGTAATTTGTAGACAAATCTTGTGTATTTATTTGAAAATAGGTAATAAGTAGCGAAAAATGTCTGACCCAAAGAAGATCTTATTTAAAATGTCTGATTTGGAGTTGAATGGACTATCAGGTATGGTTGATCTTACATAATAAACACCATCAATGCTAATTTCCATGTGTTTATTACAGGTTTAACAGTGCCTCCGGCACCCCGATTTATTAATCCCTATCCCGACTCGGAGGAAAGTCGTGATAGTAAGTATACAATTCATAGTAAGGCATAAATGATTTAGTAACCATTATTTTTAAAATTAAAAACAGAAAAAGAAGTAGAACATAGAGAACACGAGAATCGTATGCATATACTCCGTCAGCGAGCCAAAGAATTAGAAAGTACCGAATGGCAATATAGAAACATTGGAAAGGGTTAAAAGAGGCTTCTTATAAATAGCCTGGTGAGAGACATTACTTAGTAATATTAACGGACTTGAACCATCGGGAATTAACATATAAATTTATAAATGGTACATATAAAAGAACGTTAGGATATAAAAACAAAAGAAAGGTAAAAATAACAGCTTTATATTTTGTAAATACTTGAGATGATTATAAAAAAATACCAACTGAAGGCTTTCACGTTAAATGTCTGATCTCTTTTAACATTTTAAGAAAATTTAGTCAAATTTACATTTTTAGTGAATTTTTGATATGCAAAAAGATATATCTTTATTTTTGTCACTTTTTCCTTTTACTCAATCAATTTATATAGAGGAATATATACATATACAATATATATATACATTTAAATATAATATATGTTATATCTCTACATCTATTTGTTGCATAAAATAAGTTGCATGTATATATATTTATAAAATTCTTTGTTTTTGTTATTGTTATTTCAAATTATATACATATTTAATGAATAAAGCCTATACATAGGATGCAGCATATGTATTTAAACTATATACGTTAAAAAAAATTTTAAAAGTTTATACTTTAGATATTACGAATTAGCACACAATAGATTTAATGCCATCAACATCTGTCAGTTTTAAAAAAGAGTTTATATCACAATAGGTAGATTATTATTTATATTAAAGCACAGTCTCTTTTTCGACATCTTCTATTGGAATGTAGCAAAGTCCTCTATGACGTTTTTTTAATGCAGATTTACTATAATTTTCATTTTCGTGAGAACTTTCTGTAGGATCACACCATTTACCAGCTTCTAGAGAGGGATATCTTACCAGGGGAGGAGATGTGTGAACTTTACGACAAGGCTCCGGCGTCGACGGTTCAGACTTTGACGCGTAGAATGCTTTCTTACCATTTAGCATTTGATAAGATTCTGGAGAGCAGGTGTTTCTGTGTAATGTAACAGAAAGATGATATACGTTACTGTTGAGAGCATTAGTCACGAATATGCCTTATTTTATCTATTTAAATCATAACACGAACAAAAAAATGTCGATTTAAGGGTTTCATCTTCGACACTCAAAAATCGATATATTTTAGTCACTCTAGTGTAACGAATGATCTATGTAAGGGACCGAAGTCAAAGGGGTCTACTTACCGTAATTGTTCTTCCATTCGATTGATTCGATATATCGCTAGGTCCAACTCACGACGTAATTTAGAACGAGTGGCATCGCACATGGCATTGTTGCACTTGTGTAATTTTTGAAAAGTTAATGCTTCTCTAACTGATTCTTCGAAAGTCAAGGATTTTCCCATTGACAAACTAATTAAACCACAGCAACCACACTTATCCCATCTTCGAAGTTTTGCTCGAAAAAATTTAAAATAAACGTGTTCAAGTAATAAAAGTAAAACACCAAGAAACATTCCTCCAGCAAGCAAAATAAACGCCGAAGTAAAGTTTAAGATCCCTAATGGCATTGAACTTTCTCCCTCATCTTTATTGAGGGAGCATGCTCCAGCTAGCCAGAACTTTTGAAGACGCTCTAATTCTCGACCCTCGTGCTGAAATTGAAGTAGGTACTTGTTAACAATTTCTTTCCACTTTGAGCCCTTAGGAAACCCAATTCCATAACCAGTCATTGCATACCATGCACCAACTGTTCGCAGTTTGCATCCGTCATCTTGCCCAGCCAAATATTCTAAAACGGTAGCATCATATATGAAAGCATTTATATCGCCATCCTTTACCGCTTTGACTCCATCCTCTACCCTAGATCTGTTGAACTGTTTCATATAATCGTACATAGCTGGATAATTGTTTCTCAAATTTGTTTCCGTACTTCCATCAGGTACAGTAGCAAATTTAAAAGGGGGCTTATGCGCTTTGGGATTCATTAATCTCCAGTCTTGAATACCGCTTAAACGATCATAATCTTCTTTCGTAATCATGAAAGCTGCTAGATTAGCAGTATAACTTGCCGTGAAAACAACAGCGAATAAAGCCCAGATATTTCCCAAAAATCGGCTGGACACGCCTCTGGGGTTGTCAATTTGTACAGCAGCTCCAAAAAGCATTGCCCAAATAAGCCAAAAACCTCGAAACAACGAGAACCGATGTTCTATGAGGGAAAAATTGGAAAAAGCATTGCTTATACATTACAAAAACACGCCAACGTCATGCATACAAACGAGCAAATTATCGGTCGCGCTTTTTTTTATAACTATATCGGGCTTACCTCCTATCGGTTTTCTACCCTTGTCTAATCCGCTGGGTGATAACCACTCAAAAATGAATATGGCTGCCCCGGAAGCGTGCACACTAAATATTAGGATTAAGCACCAGGATGGATAATCATAAGGTTCTGTCAATATCAAATGACGGCTTTAGAATAATCGAATATATATATCATAAGCATTACAAATATTACAGTTTATACATAAATATTGACATATTTATATAGAAAAAGACAGGAAAGAAAAAAAAAGAAAGACGGACAGATATAGCAAGAGAAGAGGAAGGAAGAGTAAGATATATGAACCAATTTATAAAGAAAGACAGAGATTATTATGATATTGTTTTTAAACAAAATTAGCGAAAAATTATATCACTTAACGTTACCAACCGAGAAAGGCCGTAGGTGATATAACACCGTCTCGCACAGCTACAATTATCGTTATTCCAGTTTCGAGAAATGGCACGCTAAAATCTATTGCACGTGACCGTTCAGGATTGATCTTTAAAGAAGTGACAACCATATCAGCTTTGCCGTCTAATATATCCTTGATTAGGCCGTTCCATTCATTGTTAATTTTGTCATATGCTCCCCATTTTGCGTCAGAAACTTGGAAGAGTTCGAAATTGAAGTGCATTTTTTCCGATAACATCTTGAGAAGATCAATGCATAGCCCAGAGCAGCATTGATATAATTTCGGATTTGCTGTTGCATTAGCGACGCCTTTCGTTTCATTTTCCGGAGCAATTCTGCATAAAACCGCCATTGGTGGGCAGGTACCAAAGTTAGGATCTGGATCACTATAGACTACATACGGCTTCTCATCTAGAGTAACAATTTTCAGTTCATACTTTTCAGGTCGGCCAATGGGTGGCGCCGCAGCCTCACCGGGCCATGTAATATCTTTCATTTTCAATTTATTTTCAGTAGAATTCCACTCGCCAACAGTGGTCCATTGCCTTTCATTTCGCTCATTATTCGGTCCTAAATTTAAAATATCCAACTTGGTTTCTCTCAAAGATCCATCGTCGGACATAGAAAAAGGTTTCATAATGAGACTAGTGTCGTTTGGCCATATATCGTTATCTAGCATAGAATCGAATATGAAATGGCCGTACTTCCATACGTTTCCTTCATTATAGCTACAGTTATATGGAGGGCGAAGCTTCAATCCTTTTAGACGAGCATTCCGATGCAAGTGTAAAACTGCTTTCACCCATAGTGATAGACCTTTCCTGATATATTTCTTTTGGTGCTCTCTACTATCGGCAAAGTGAATAGCTATAACAGAAGGGAAAAAATTGGACTTTTTTGAGCCAAGTTTAATCATAAAGGTTAAAGAGGAAAAGAAGAAAGTTGCAAGACTAGGCTTTATAAGCAGCTTGTGTATCTAAAAAAAACTTACCAAACATTCCAGGTGGGAATTTTACGTGGTCAAATTCGAGCATGACTGGATTATTTTCGTTTAGTTGTCTAGTTCTGGATATAACGCATTTGGCTGCTATCCATACATAATTTTTACCAGTGATTCCCATTTCGCTGGCGACGTCGAATATTTGCGTCGCTTCCTCTCTTTAAAGATAAAAATAGAAGCATAAGGGAGACTAAGTAATTTTTTATCTATTTAACTAAATAAATGTTCTAGGGTATTTGATTATACCTAGATGAATAAATGAGCATTACTCTTGCTTTTACAGTAGCTATCCTCCCCAGCTCCTCTTTAACGTGCAATAGGCTTTTAAATGATAATATATGAATCTTAGTTAACATTTCCATGGTCTCGCTGAAAGATTATAACAATTTTTTTAGTTCGATAAATAGACGTTGGTGTTGGTTATTATAGTTTGTCCTAAGGGTTTCTCAAAATATACCTACAATTCGTCATCGACCCGAATTAGATCCATTAAAGCTGTAGAAAATCTATCATAACCGTATAGACGACCCGTAACGATGGCGAAAGAACGCCAGTTATATCGTTTGAGGAGATGGAGCATTGCTTGTGCCTGCTGAGCGAGGGACGGCGTCAACTGTAGCATTAGACGGTCTTTGTTGGCCTAAAAGTGTGATTGAGTAAAAGCTCTCTTGTCGAAATGTATAAGTCTTCCTCTATTTAAATTTTAAACTTACCTGAAGAGTTCCGGTTAAATCCCAAGTTAAAATTGGTATTTGATAAAAATTAGCAATATTCAATAACTGCTGAGAATATGGTTGTTGGCCAGTCGATTTTTTAGAGAGTAAATTTTCTATATACAAAATCGCATTTATCTTATTTTTAAGTAAACCATTTTTCCCGCACATTGTCCTGTACAATTCTGGTGTATTCAAATTTCCTTGAATGTCTTTAAAAACGAACTGCAAAGTAGTCGATTTGAGCAACTTATCATATTTCCTGTTAAAAAGTTCAATAGCCGATCTAATATCAGTTTTTTCTTGCGGTACTCTCGACGTTGAAACAGAATTGGGAATTATAACACCAATTGTAAATGCCTTATCCGGATTAAAATTCACTTCTTCAGGTTTTGCTTTAGGTTTATAATTCTTTCTCCTACTTGATCTCATGGAGACAATGGTAAATAGACCTAACAATATAATAGTTATCCTCATGACAGATGCGTTGACGATACCTAAACACAAAATGAAGAAGGATAAAGTAAAAAAAAAAGTAATTCCCCCTTTTTTTTTCGATATTAGTAGCAATTTTCTACTTTTTACATTTAAATACATATTTACAATTGGTGCAGTATTTTACAAACTGTATACGTTTTTACTGCAAACACTTGTATGTTAACGGATATTTGTTACGGTATAAAAATTATAGTGTGTTAGTTTAACGTTAACAAAATGAGCATTGAATGAATTAAGAGAAAGCTAAAGGGAAAAAAATTAGAAAAAGTCGGTTTTCTATTGAGAGTAACAGCTTGTTTCCTCGTATAAATAATCGGAAAGAAACGAAATGCGAGAGAGAAACTGAAAGCCTCTTAAGCATATCTTGTTATCATACCTGCTTATGTAATTTAAAGTCAAATTCCATCCATGACAAGCTTCGTTAAATGATTTTCATTATGTTTAAAAACAAAAAAACAAACAGAAGAAAAAATAATAGTATCTCTAAATAAACTACGGTGTACGACCGATAGTCCCAGGAACGGATCTGATTCTTACACGTATCAGGCGTCGCCTAGCGGTTAGCGTAAAAATAAAATTCTTAATAGAACTAATAATGAATATTAAATATAAACAGACCTACACTTTCTTGCCTGATCTACATATTTGGCTCCTATTCTTTAGCAAACATTTTATCTAAACGTCCGTTAGAATTCGATTAGCTTGGGTCGGCGTCTTCAAATCCGGTAGAGGAAATTTCGTTAATTGACGTCGAATAACGAATTGGGTCAGTTCGAAAGAGAGCGTTCGATGTAATTAAAAAGGCGAACATGTGTAGTGTGGGCATTTATGCATAAAATCACTTTTAAAAAGTCGACAGCAGCTGTATAAAATACCAATGGATACATCAATTATACTTATATAAGTGTTAAACGTTACTAAATTTGTACTATGGCTGGACTGAATAAATAGTCTCGTTAGCTTCTGATTGATAGCGTGATGCTTAAATTTGACGGATTTACTTCTCCATCTTTTCTTGTCTATAAGAAAATTATCATACATATTTTTTTTCACTTCTTACCTCTTTATCTCACTGTCTACAGTCAAACTCCTTGGTTTTATATATATATATATATACGGTAGTATAATATATTGTATAACTGAAATTTAATATCATTTCTTTCTCTTTTCTCATTTCCTTCCCACCATCCCTTTCATCCTTTAGCCTTCTCTCCAATTCAAATCAGGGTCCTATTATAATGTAGTTAGAATCCAATACGCTTAATATAAACTTATACGGAATTCTTCAAATTCTTTAGTCTTTTACGGAGTTCGACTGCAAATATTTTCGCTGCTAAATGAACCATTAGAGTCTGCTGCTATACGAAACGTTATCCATCAAATGTACAAATAGGCCTAGGGCTAAATATGAAACTCACGCAGTTCTTTTTATTCTTTTATAGCGCTATTAAAAAGTTAGAATTTATGTTTTTTTATGTATATATTTTTTAAAACAAAAATATTCTATTTTTCAAATATTTGTTTTTCTAAATGAGTTGAAAAAAATCTATAAAAATGACAGCGAACATAGAGGGAGAGGGGGAGAGAGAGGGAGCAGCTAATGTAAAATAGCCAAATTTGAGAGGTTATTACAACATTTATTACTTTAAATAAAAGTCCAGAATGGTGCGTTTGGGACGTTGCTTTTGTGTATGTGTTGAAGAAACGTCAGTTAAGATTTCTATCACGTCGTCGTCTTCGTCCTTCGTATTGGCTTTCTTCTCTTTGTTATTAAAAAACGATTTAATACTTTTTTCGCTTTTTTTTTTGTTGGTTTCCTTGTCAGTAAAATCATCCGATTTGCGTTTTAAGGAGTTTGTAGAAGTAATCGTCTCTTTCGTTAAATAAGATAGCAAACAACCATTCTTTTCATTTGATTTTGTAAAATTAGCAAAAGTTAAACTAATTAAGGTCAAGTGAAAGGGCTTATTGATGACAACTAGCTTTTGAAAAAGTTCGAAACCTATTTCATTCAGTTTGGTTTTTCGCTTCTCTTCGCTCCCATATCTATTAGAGAATAAATCTAATTTATCCAAATTGTACTGTTTGCTAATACGTTTTGACCAAGATCCCTCTTCGTAGTGTCTAACTGATAAACGTACTGTTTTTGGACGTCTACCATCTTCGAGTATCCGTAAAATTAATTTATCGAGCAGTTTACTCATACAATCTTTCGCTTCTTTTACAGTCGAACATTTTTTGAACGAATCTTCGTCACTAATACTCTTTAAAATAAAAAGAATAAGAAGTTTCTATAATATATGAATGATAAGACAAATCTTACAAGCACTGGTCCCGATGGAGTAACAGGAGAATAATCGATACCTAAGCAACAGTGTTTCAACCAAATTGCCCGCTTTTCTCCAAGCGCTTCCCTTAATTTATCGGCTGCGCCAGTTAAAGCGTTCTCAACCGTTTGAATATTAATCATTTTTAACTTTTCGAACATAGTATGGCCTACTCCAGGTATTCTACGAAGAGAAGGAAGGGTGTACATAAAGGATTTAGCCGACTCAGGATAGATTAACGTTTGTTGATTAGGCTTGTGGTTTCCTGATATGAGTTTTGAGAGAAGTTTATTGTGTGCAATACCAGCACAACTAGTTATTTTTAATTCATCAAAGAGTTTCTGACGCATTTCCGCTGCTATACAAGATGCAATTCTTAATCTTCTATGGCAATCGCAAATACATGGATTTTTCATTTCTGATACCGATAATAAAAATTAAATTATAATAAATATTCAACATTGCTAGATTATTGCCTATAAACCTTGATAAACGTGGCCAGTGGCTTTCTCATCCACCAATCCAATTCTGCTATCGACTATATCGGTTACGTCTATAAAGTTTTCGTCGAATCCTAATCTCTGTATTCGCTTTGAGAAATTCTTAAGTAATTCAGTAATTGCATGAGACATTTTTCTATATTTTGATAAATCTTCCCCATTTACTAAAACTAATTCTGGGCAAATTTTCTTTGCATCGAATAGTGAGGTGCACTTTCCAATACCTCTTTCCCGGGCAACATAGTTACAAGTTACTAAAATATTTTTTTGTTGTATTCCTATCAAGTGGTAAAAGGTAAATAGAGGTTAATTAGTTTAATTATCAGTTACACAACTCCTACCCAAAGGTTTATCATATAGGCTCGGATTCTCAATCATCTCAACTTGAGCATAAAAGCAATCTATGTCAATATGGACAATGCATCTGTCATGTTTAATGTCGCAATCGGTTGTTGCAATGTCGTCATTATCGACCTGATCGTCTGAGAAAAGTTCTTCTTCGGTTTCCATGGCTTGAGAATAACTGCTTTAAAATATGATTCTAATCAACAACAGTTGAAAGATTGGTTACTAAGAATTTCCTCACCTTTTTCTGGTTCAATTTATAGGTTAATTGAAACCAGCGCGCTCCTATACAATTTCAACCAGTTTTTATAGACGCTCACATGATCGAGTAAATGAATATTTCGCAACATTCCAAACGTAGATTTGGTTGTTGGGTAAACTTAAATAAATTCATTCAAAAATAAATAACGGATTTTCTATAAATTAAAGAAAATGTCATTTAAGGATCTGAGAAGTCAGTATAAATATCTATAAATCTTGCTATAATATCAATCGGACATGTTTGTATTTGCTTACTGGTTATATTACTGTTTGTAGATTTTACCGAAATGATGAGGGGACTTAGCTATCCTCGTCTAATTTCAATGGAGAACTTTAGATCCCCAAATTTCGAGCTAGTCGCTGAAGTTCTTGATTGGCTAGTCAAAAGGTAAAATTTCTCTCTATCGTTTTAATATTATGAAAAAATTCCAACCCTATTTCAGATATGACCCGAAGGCTAACCTACCCAATGATATTGATACCGAACAGGATAGGGTTATATTTATTAAATCTGTTGCCCAGTTTATGGTAATTGTGGATTCCATAAATATCAATCTGATTTTATAAATAGTTTTTATTGCCATTTCAGGCAACAAAAGCTCATATAAAGATGAACACGAAAAAATTATACCAAGCAGACGGTTATGCAGTGAAAGAATTATTAAAAGTGACTTCAGTTCTATATAATGCTATGCGTATGAAAGTTGACACAGAAATTGATACATCAGATGGAGAGCTTGGTTTACAATTCGATGTTACAGCCAGGGTAGGCTTTATTGATAAGACACATAACAATAATTATTCATTAATTTTTGTACTACCATAAAAGATAAACGACTTAAAAGAAGCTAGGAGATTGGCTACCGAAATAACAACGAAAGGCGCGACGCTGTATGATTTACTAGGAAAGGAAGTGGACCTAAGAGTAAGTAATCACGCAAATGGTAGATTATGTTTTTACACATTTCCTCTCGTACAATAGGAACAAAGATCGACTGTGTTAGGACAGTCTCTTGAAATAAATGAGGTTGAAAAAAGCTTAAAACAATCAGTTAAGGCTGTTGAGGTTAGTATACTTCTATTTCTTATGCTTCAAAGAAGATATCCCTGATGATTTCGAATTCCTCTGTTACTGTATAGTTAACAAAAATACACCAAAAAAAAAGGGCAGAGGGATTTAATCATTGAATACATTTTTAGGCGGAAATTAAGAAAATTAATCAGAATATCGAAAATGTTGCGTCTGATGAGGCAAACTTAGAGGCAAGAATTGAGAAGAAGCAAAATGAATTGGAGAGAAATCAAAAGAGATTAGCTACATTGCAATCGGTTCGACCGGCTTATATGGATGAATACGAGGAGTTAGAAAAAGAATTGGAACAGCTATACTGCGACTATACATTAAAATTCCGCAATCAAGCTTATTTGGAACAGCTATTAGAAGAGTATAATAAAACGGAACGTGATCGTTTTGAAGAAACAGAAAGTCGTATTCGAGAAATGGCCGAAAAGCAACAGGCTAAAACTCAAACCGCCGACATGCTTGCAAGCGGTTCTGGTTAGTTTACAATATATAAATTACTTAGTAAATAGTGTCCGTAAATGTTTATAGAAGATGAAGAAAGTTTAAATAGCGGCGATGAAGAGGATCGTCCATCTAACAAACCGCCAAAGGCGGGCCAGGAAAGACCTAAGCCAGGGCATGGTCAAAGACGTCCAGGTTTGTAACCTTATGATTGTTTTCTCTATCTCCACGAGTCGGAATATCTTTTATTTTTGTTTCAAATTCGTTCTTTCCAAATGTCATACATTTTGTGCACGATGCATGCGATTTCGTAATTTAGACATAACTACGCCTTTGGAAGCACCGTCGCTAACACGCGTCGGACCAAAGTTGAATATTGCTAAAAAATCTAAAAATGTTCCTGCTGGAGAGGAATCCTTTATGGCTTTGGCAGCAAAAGCTAAACAACAAAACCCTGCAATTTTGCGAGCGAAAACTAGTAAAGGGGCTAAGAAGCCGGTAGTGGCTTCCGCAGTGGAAACAAAAGATAAGGAGGAGAAAAAGAAAGTACAAGCTCCAGCCCCAAAATCGGATTCAAGGATTATAGAGAAAGATGAAAAGGTAGAGAATCAAAATAAAAAAGTTAGTGCACCACCGAATTCGATTGAAGAAAACAAGTTACCTAAAGTAGACGAGGGAAATAACGATGAAGATGATAGTAAGAGATACAATGCTAAATCAGTCAATTTAATGCGACAAAGCTTTCTCGTCACCAATACCTTTATTATTTTCTTCTCTTTCACATCGCCTCAAGCTGATGAAATGAAAATAGATTTGTAGAACATTCTGACTTATTTGGTTTTCAGGTGAAGGTAGCCGAGCTATCGGATCCATGGGAATGGATATTGAAGATGACGACGACGATGATGAGGTAAAAGTTTACTATTCCCCTTTCAACGACTGATTTCCTAAAGTAACCGTTTAATTTCGCAGGAATTCTCCGATTCTGAGTTAAATGTCGATGATGATGACGATATTGATGACGACGATGACGACGATGATAATATTCCTCCAGGTGGGCCAGGTGGTCAAAATAAGGATTCAGATGACGACAACTTTTAATAATATTATATTTTCTTATATAAATTATTATAATTTATATAAACTATATAAAGTTTTTAGAATATTGTTCAAACCGTCCAATAATATCCGTCCTTGACATATTGTGATAAATGTGGAATAAATGTGCTGCGCATGCTTTTACTCGTGCATGGCCTGCAAAAACAAAAAGCAAAAAAAAAAACCAAACAAACGCATGAAACAGTGTACCGATGTGAATATTTTGTTTAAGAATGACTACTTTTTTAGAGTTCATTATTATTATTGCAGCGGCGAAGGTTGTTGAAAAAACACAGAACAAAGTTGAAAAATCTTTATTAACTATTTCAAAGTATAACTGGAAGGAAAGGTACAAGATGAACATTGATGAAGATTGGAAGTAAAACAAGCAGATGAAGAAGAAGAAGAAGAAGAAAAGGAGGAGGAGTTGACCAGCATTTCTTGTTTTAAAACAGCCAAAAATCTATTTACACAGCATTAAAACACTCGTCTAGTTGAAACAGTATTTTTTTAAATTTCATTTCGGTACGATTTAATTGTTTGAAGAATAAATTCCATATAATACAATGAAAAGCGAAAGTGTTGAACACATGCACGTTCCCACAATTACAGTGTTTGAATCGTTTAAGTTTCCTGTTGGAATTTGGAATGATTCAGATTTTACTGTTCTATTCCAAGATCGCCCTTTCGAACATTCTACATGAACATTCGATTGCGACAGAAAAATTTCGACTCTCTTTCCTCCATTCGTTGAAATGTGATAGCGTAAGTGGACGGGTATATTCAACAGTAGGTTTCCATAATCCGAAGTTTTCTGGTAGATCTCCATTGTATGGAAATCAGCGGAAAACTCCGGAGCTTCAATATCAACTAACCCTTTAACGCTTGCCTAAATATATATTATAAATAATTAGAAATTAACTTCTAAACTTTCAATTAGCTTACATTAATTCCTAAACGTTTTAATTCATGATTATCAATGTATGCACCAGATGGGAGCACTTGTTCGATAAAAACGGAGCAATTTCTTCCATTTACTTGAATTACATATGACAAAGTCCTTTTAAAATAAATGACAGAATTATCGGTAATTTTTTAAATGCTCTAATCAAGTAAATTTGATAATAACCTGTGGAATCCAGTTCCTTCGCTCCATCTCCTTATATCAATCTCCGAACAGACGGTTTTTGAAATAAGAATTAACATCGAATTTAATATTCCTAATAAAAGTCCGAAACGTATCATTTTTTAAAAAAATATTGTTGTAATTTCCTAAATTTACGCATAACATTCAATCTATCAATGACTACGAATTTTTTCGTAACGCCATCTATATCTTTCATATGGTATTGAATCATGTGACTAAACCAGGTGACTGTCATGTGACAGTCATTCTACAACAAAATATGCATCGGTGCTTGACGGTGTTGTTAATTGTAGCTTTTTTTGAGTCTCATCTGTCAGTGGAGGCTGTAAATGCACCTCCAGGACAAACATTGGGACAACCATGGCCGATGCCTCAAAGCTATCAATCTTATCCAGATTTACTTCTTCTTAATTCTGCAACTTTCAACCTTAGTCCTGTTGGCCATAGCTGTGATATACTTCAAGATGCTATCAGACGATATAGACTAATAATTTTTGGACCTTCGAATGCTTTAAAATTTAGACCTAAATCAAATGTAAATGTCCTAGCTAATTTGGACGTCAACTTGATGAATGAATGCGAAAAATACCCATCTCTGGAAATGAAAGAGAATTGTTAGGCAGATACGCCCTTAGCTGATAAGACTAAAAATAATTCTTTTTATCTTTTTATACTAGATACCTTGACCGTTACATCCTCGACAGCCAATCTTGCATCTCCAACTATATGGGGAATTCTTCGAGGTTTGGAAACTTTCAGCCAGCTGGTTTATCGAGGCAACTATGGCGAAGTAAAACAAGAGATCAATACATTAATGCTATTAATTTTTCACTTGCTAAGCCGGATTTTTTTTTAATTTTAACAGTTTCTCTTGAACGCTACGAAGATTGTCGACTTTCCCCGATTCTCCCACAGAGGTGTGCTATTAGATACATCTCGTCACTATTTATCGAAAGAGGTTATCAAGGAGAACATTGTAGGTTCTTGCAATAAAAAACATCACCTGGATTTCATAAAAATGCAATAATTTTAAACAGGAGGCAATGGCTTATAATAAAATGAACGTTTTTCATTGGCATATCGTAGATGATCAATCATTTCCCTATCAAAGTCGTAAATATCCTAAGCTTAGTGACGAAGGTGCTTACAATCGTTTCACTCACATCTATACTCAAAATGACGTTGCTGAAATTATTGAATTTGCTCGTGTAAGAGGTATTAGAGTCATACCCGAATATGATACTCCAGGCCATTCTCAATCTTGGGGAAAGGGACAAAAAGGTCTCTTAACAGAATGTTATAGTCAGGGAAAGCCAAACGGAAATTTTGGACCTATTAATCCAATTGTAAACACTACATATACATTCCTGGAAGGTTTTTTTTCAGAAGTTCAACAAGTATTCCCAGATAAATATACACATATGGGAGGTGACGAAGTGTCTTTTGATTGTTGGTAAGTAAATCCCTTTTGTTCGATTTTCAAACATTATTTTCAAACTTTAATACACATTCTCATAGGAAAAGTAATCCGGATATTACAAAATTTATGCAACAGCATGGTTTCCCTGGAAACTATTCAAGATTGGAACAATACTACGAACAAAGGTAGATACATATTTATCCCTATCGCTTTAAATAAATAATTAAGCTATCTTAGTGAAAATAAGATAATATATAATATTAATTTATTCTTTTCTTTCAAAAGATTACTCAATATTATGGCAAAACTAAATGCAGGATATATCATTTGGCAAGAAGTTGTAGATAACGGTGTAAAAGTAGGTTATATCTGATTTTCTTAGCTTTAAGAGTCATTATTAGTGTCTGAAAGGTAAGACCAGACACGGTCGTTGAAATTTGGAAAGGTGGATATCAAGATGAGTTAGCTAAAGTCACCAAGAAAGGCTTAAGAACTATACTTTCATCTTGCTGGTACCTAAATTATATTAGCTACGGAGGCGATTGGACTAAGTATTATTCATGTGATCCATGGGATTTCGAAGGTGAGAAACTTCTTCGAGCTAGAAAAGTATTAACATCATTAATTAATGTTAAGGTACTGCTGAACAGAAGAATTTAGTTATTGGAGGCGAGTCTTGCATGTGGGGAGAGTATGTAGATTCTACTAACGTCATCTCAAGACTATGGTAAATAGCTTATAAAATCTGATACAGTATTCATCCAAATAGCTTTTTTCAACATCTTTTATAGGCCTAGGAATTCAGCTGTTGCCGAAAGACTATGGAGCGCACAATCCGTAAAGAATCCTGATAAGGCAAAACCTAGAATTGAAGAAAATCGCTGTCGTATGATAAGGTAAATTAAAATGGTTTATTTTAAAATCAACGCCTGTCTCTGTTAAAGCAAAATAAGGTGTTCTTAAAATCTTACTACAGACGAGGCATTAGAGCAGAACCATTAAGTGGACCAGGATTTTGTAGCCAAGAATTCAATTCTATCCCCTAAATATGTTTGATAATACTCAGTGATATGTATTTGCAATGATACTATAGAGAATAAATGATAATGAACTTTTAATCTTTCTTTCACGACACTAATTTTGACTTGAAAATTTGCTTTTATGAAACATATGAATAACATTAATATTATAATAGCTCACTTGTAAATTTAGGTTCGCCCAGATACTGTTGTGCATGTATGGAAAGGGGGATGGCAACAAGATATTGCCAAGGTAACAGCTTTAGGTCATAGAGCATTATTATCCACTTGTTGGTACCTTGATTATATATCATATGGAACTGATTGGACATCTTATTACAATTGCGAACCGCTTAATTGGCAAGGTAGGAATCTTAATAAGACATGAAAACGAGAAAACACCATTTACTTATAGGCAGTGCCGCACAAAAAAAGTTAGTAATGGGTGGTGAAGCAGCTCTATGGGGAGAATTTGTTGATACCTCAAATGTTGTTTCTAGACTTTGGTAATTTAAAATAGAATTATATTTAACACACGTCAATTAAAACAAATTGTTAGGCCTAGAGCAAGTGCTGTTGCTGAAAAATTGTGGAGTTCCTCAGCAATGTCCGATGCAACAAGTGCAACGCCAAGATTTAAGGAACACAGATGCAGAATGGTCGGGTAAGCAATAACTGTTAATTAATCACGTATAAAAGAGACTAATTATATTTGTTTAACCCAGACGGGGAATTAGAGCCGAACCTCAAAATGGTCCTGGCTATTGCGTAAAGGAATTTAACTAGTTACTTACTAGGAAGAAAAGAATAGAATACGACAATTTGATTTAGTTTCTAACTTTGTTATGATTTTAACTTTTAGCTCTAAGAAATAAATGGTGTTACACACCTGTATACAGTATATACAGTATATTGATATTTATATAAATATATTATATAACTATATGATTAGACCTTTTATTATCACATTTATTATATCATACAATTTCAAGACCATTCAAGCTATCAAACCTTTAAAATAGTAATATAAAAGGTGTAATATTAAAATTCTAAATTTTTAATATTTTATACTTTCATCAAAAATTTTTCATGCTATTTTTAAAGAATGAAACACTCTTTCGTATTGAAAATAAGACACGATCTTTATTTTTAAATCCATTCAGGTAAATTTTCCTTCTAAGCAGTTTTTCGTTTGCTTTTTAGTTACCAAACCAATAAACTGTATTAGTCTTTAGCTTATCTAGAGTGGCTTCGGATATTATTCATATAGTGCGGACTGAATTAGTCATGTGGATTAGATATATATGTATGTACTAATATTTATATAATAGTGATGGTCAACTCACTAGTAGCTAGCGAGTAATAAATTCATTAAACTAGTTGTGGTGTTTTAAAATGCTTTATATACATTAAACAAAGGCTTCAATTGAGAGAGCAATTGACATATTCTGGTTCAAAGAACTACACATTCAAGTTTTATTGCTTATTTTTAAGTATCTTTGAGTAAAATTTTATTCCAGGTTAGTCTAGAATATTAAAGATTAAAACATCCTCCAGATTTGAATCCATAAAAGGTAAGCAGTCACATGACCATGTGTATTTACAAAGTCGTCAAGATATTTTCGTATAAAATAACAATTACCAACAAGAATTATTTTTATGTAATCTATATATTATAAATGTAGTAAATAAATTTAAATATTATTTTCGTAAATAAAAACAGATCTCATTTGTCTATAGGATCAGTTTCTTGAGAGTTATTGATGAGTAAACATCGAGTTTTGAGGGCAAGGCAATCGTAAAAAAGAATAATGCAAAATATAGGTATTCCAAGAGTTATTTCCCAAAGAGGGAAAAATTCATTGGAAATAGAAAAGGAAAATTTCGAAAAGCATCAGGTTTTTATATTTTTTGTAATTTTTGTTTTACTTTATCAGCATTAATATTAGAGTTTTTTATTAAAAATAAGGCAACATGTATATAATAAAAGGAGAAGATAATTATCTATTTTATTTTGCAGCTGCAAAGTATGACCAAAGCTGTCAATACAATTGAGTGTCCAGTTAAAGAAAAACATATACGTTGTATCCTTTTTTCACAGTATAAAAATATTTTCGAATAATCAATTCACCGTAAAATGAAATTTTGCACTGGAAAATGCACTTTTTATGATGATACGACGGCTGATTATGAAGTTAATTTGTTAATTTATTTGAAATTTAATCATATATCTTTTGTATCCCCATCAAACTCTATCGTTTTAAAGGGCTTTTAATAATGTAGATTGATATAGAATGGACTAGTTTTTATTTAATGGAATATCGTAACCTATATTTTCAGCATTAAACTAAGTAGTACAAGGGATAACTAATAAAGATTATTGTTATTTTAATTTATCAATATGCAAAGACTAATCTAGTATAATTAAAGTTTATTTGTTCTCCTTAACTTTCTCTTGCCTAAAGCTCTTATTGTTGGAACATTCCATGAAAAAAATGCCATCCGCTTTTGGAATATAGCAAGGCGTATGGATTTACAAGGGAATCAAATCACTTGTTGGAAATTTTGTCATGTCCTACATAAAGTTTTAAGAGAGGGATTCTCTCCTAGAACAGTTAGAGATTCTATACACTATATCGACTGGATATCAAATATAGGTCGTTTATGGAGTCATTTAGAAGATGGTTACGGAAAATTAATCTATCATTACGTTCATTTATTGACAGTCAAGTTAAAATTTCATGCAAAGGTAGGTAATAGTTTATTATTAAATAAATTATATACCTTAAAATTACATTTTTTATTCTAATATAACATTGAATCTATAAAAAAAAATATTTTGCGATAAGATAAAAGAAAGTTTCTATTATTAATAGAGAGAAAAAAAAATCGATATTTTTTTAATAAACAGTTTATTCTTCTTTAACTCGATTATTAATAAGTAAATTTACATTTTTCTTTTGGTTTTTAACAGTATGAAAAATTTCCTGGCAATATGGAAATTAAGGATGATGAAATGCATAAAATGTGTAAAAAAGATATCAATAATTAGTATGTATTAGTTTCTTTGCTTGTTGAGCGCGTTATTAGTTGTCAACCCATATTTGATTTTGATTATTCGTACAAACAGCTTCGAATTATGCGTCGACATGTTAGATTATATGGATGGTATACTCTTGGTACAAAAACAAGTCTTCTCTTCCATTGATATGTCCAGGGCTGCTTCTATGACCGCACATGGTCAATGCAGACTGGCCCCACTTATCATCTGTATTCAAGATTCCTGCCCACTATACGATTATATAGTAAAATTACTGTTTGATCTTCACGCAAGTAAGTTTCGTTTATTTTTGTTATTTTTTTTCATATTTCTACCAAAAACAAAAATTATAAATCTGTTAACTTTTCAATTTTCGAGTGTTGAATGAAATATTTTTGTTAAAAAACAAAAAAAAAATAGTTAAAAACTTTTGTAAACATAGGACTTCTATTACAAATTCAAAGCGAATATAATGCGGATAACGAGTCTAGTGGTAAGTAGTTGTACGAGTTAAGAAAAACGGGATTGTTATACATTTTAATTATTAGTTATTATATGATGTTGAAGGAAGTAAAATGAAAAAAAAAAACAATTAATTATTGTAAAGTTATTTATTCGATCTTGTCGTTCACGTCTCTTATCAACATAAGTTGTTATCAATGTTATTAACTTTCTAAAGGAAGCAGTTTAATTCCTTAAAATTTATTAATTAAATAATCTATGTATTATTATAATATTAACATATAAAATTGAATAATTAAGATTATATATAATTTTAAAATATGCAGTGATCAAGGATGGTAAGTAAATAAAAAAAAAAAGAATTAGAAATCATTCTTTTTTATTGAAAATATTAAAAGAGGGGAGAGTATAGATTACTTTGATTTTCTTCCGTAATTTGATTTTAACCCATTAAAGGTGGAGAATATTTAATAGAAAAAAAAAACTCTTTGCTTTGCCATCTAATACGATATTACTATATAATTTGTTAAATAGTGAAATTGGTTATCGGTCAATAGCCTTTCCATCCTCTCGCCTTCCCTTTTACCTTTCATTTTTTTTCAATATTATATAATTCCCTATCAAGTGATTTTATTTGTTTTTATTTTTCTATTACTGTTTTATTGACAGAAAAATTTAAGATCATTAAGAATAAGAAGAGAAAAATAAAAACATTTTTAACCCTTCGCTTATACTGTACTTAATATAATTTACATATATAGATATAAATTTATACAGTATACTAATATATATATATACAGTATATGAAATTTCTTATAGATGAGTCATTGCCAAAGATATGCCTTAAATGAGTAAAAAAGCCCGTACTAGTATTTTATTATTTTTGTTGAGACAAGGAAAGTGTGATTTTACCAGATAAAATAATTTAGTCCTACAAAAATAGTAATAACAGGGCTAAGTGGAAATCGAGAATAGGGATAGTGATAAAATTGAAATATTACGACAGTCTGTTTTTGCACGGAATGCTATTTTTGTGTATAAATGACTTGCAAGAGATAATGTTGTTTAATACAGCAATTATATATATATTGGTTTATATATCTATATATAAATATCTTCATTTCTTGAAGGTATATATAGTACACTAGCTTCATTTGTTTGAGTTGTAGCAAAAACTAAATGTTATCAAGAAACACAAGTACAATCAGTTTTTACTTGTTCTTTAACTACGAATTATTCAGGCTTTCCTCTTGAACACCATCTATAATATATTTTAATTTTTATATAGGTTTACCATCCGATACACTTTCCGGACATCGAAGGAGATTTCAACATCAGTATGAGAAGTAGGTTTATCATTTTTCAAGTAAATCAGAATTGTTATATATTTTTATTATATATTTTTTATTATTTATAGATTAAAGGAGTTTTATAAAAAATCATCAAATTTAATTTATTTCAAAAATCTTATCAAGTTACCTCAATTGCCAGACGTAAGTAATTAATATAATATTTCTTTATTACTATTGAGTTCTTTTGTGATGAAATTTCAAAGAGAGCACCAAATTTTCTAATTGCTTCCGAAATAACTGATCATCAAAAACCTGTGGCTATTGTGGAATCGCAACCTCCAGAACCAGAACAAATGGAAGGCATCCTTATCGATACAACTGAGGCACTTGCTAATGAACCTCCACCTCCATCACCGGCACCTGTTCAAAAAGCCCCTGTACCTGACGAAAGAGATGTAATTTTAGAGTCATTACGCAGGAAAGTAAAAGAGTCAAATGCGGAAATTGATTTTACACGACGAGAATCGGAAATGATACAAGAATCTCAAAATAGTAGAATTAGAGATTTAGAACAGGAAGTTGAAGAATTAAAAATGATAGCTAGACAAACTTGCGAAGAAAATGAAGGGTTAAAGAATGTTGTTAAATCTCAAGCAACGAATGAACAGTCAAAACAAGAGCTTTTGGAGAGGCTACAGTCGGCAGAAAAGTCAAGCCGTCTACAAGTCGAAAAATTCAATAAACTACGAGAAATGTATAATTCTCTTACAGATAAACACGCCGATCTATTAAGACAAGAGAAGAGTTTAAGAATTTCATTGCACGAAGCCAATATGGCGAAAGATACACTTGTTCAATCAACGTCCGTTAGAGCCGAAGAGTTAGCATCGAAATTAGATTATGTTAATCAAATTGAAAGCGATTTAGAAAAGTTAAAGATCGAAAACGACGTTCTTACCAGAGAAAAGGAAGATGATAAACTTAATGCCGAAAGATTAAAATCCGAAATAGAACAGAGGCGTAGCGAGGCAGATATGCTAAGGATGGAAATAAACGATGAAAGAAATAAAATTGAAAGAATAAAATCCGATCTAAACAGGGTCCAAAATCAAGGGGAACAACAGCAGAGTTTCTTTGAAAAAGAAAAGGAAGAACTAAACTTAACAAGAGATAAACTATTAAATGAAATTAAAATAAATCGCCATAATTTATTTCTAGTAGTCTCAAATAAGTCTAAACTAGAGATTGAAGAGTCAAAAACTATTGCAGAACATCAGGCAATGACCTCGTGTACGAGTAATGCTGAATTTCTTATACATATAATCGAACCAACTGTTAGAGTTGTTCAAGAAATTAAAAATATTGTCAGAGGCTTAAAACATGACGAAGACTCAATTACGCCAAAAATAATGGAACAGTTTATTTCTCTTGCCAATCAAATCAGTGAAATTATTATTTTTAGCAAATGTACTTCTAATACAACGCCAATTGAACAAGGAGAGCAGCTTGTTTTCATTTCTAAGAAGTGTTCAGACAGTGCTGTATGTCTACTAAATAACTTATTAACGGATAGTGTTGATAAATGGAACGATTCAATAGATTTGTTAAAGGAAGATCTTGACAAATTATTATCATTAGCTAATAATTTAGTTCCGAAAGTTGAAGATATTCAAAAGGAAGAAGTTGTTGATTTACTCAATATGGAAATGTCGGAAATGTCCGCTCAAATTGAAGCGGCGTCGAATAAAATACAAGATATAATGGATGCTGCGAGAGCGAAGAATAAGGGTGTTGAACTAGAAGTAAACGAATCTGTTCTTGGTTCGTGCACCGATTTGATGCTTGCCATTAAAATATTGGTGGAACGCTCAAAGGATCTTCAAGATGAGATAGTCGAGCAAGGTCGAGGATCTACTAGTGCTAAAGAGTTTTATAAGAAACATCATAGATGGACAGAAGGCTTATTATCGGGTGCTAAGGCAGTAGGCTGGGCTGCAAATGCATTAGTAGATTCAGCTGACAAAGTCGTTCAGGGACAAGCTAAGTTAGAGAAACTTATTGTTTGCTCTCAAGAAATAGCAGCATCAACAACACAACTTGTCGTCGCCTCAAAGGTTAAGGCTTCCAGTGGTAGCAAAGCCATGAGCCGATTATCAGAGGCCAGCAAGGGTGTTACAAAGGCTACTGGAACAGTGGTAGCGTGTGCAAAGTCCGGCTCTAAGAGAATAGTTGAAGAGAGTCTTATGGATTATTCAAAAATTACCTTACATCAAGCGAAAAGGTAAAAGAGGGGCATATCAGCCTTCTTTCATTAGCATTTATTCCAATATAATTGAAAATTCATTGAGTTTTTTGTATATATCATTTCAGATTGGAAATGGATAGTCAAGTTAAAGTTTTAGAACTTGAAAGCGCCTTGGAAAAGGAGAGGATACACTTTGCAGAATTGAGAAAACGCCATTATCAGTTAGCTGGTGAAAGTGAAGGATGGGATGCTGAAGATATTGTAAGTGTTTCGTCTATTTCCTTATTTTTATAATCATACCGTAATCGATTTAAACTAATATCTTTTCTTTACTCTCCTCTCCTATCAATCTATCGATTCTTCTTTGCCACAATTAATAAAAAATACAAACAAATAAACAAACAAAACTAACAGATGAAGTGCGGTTAAGGAATGTAAGATTAATCAAAACTTTTATAATATGTATTTTCCTTTTACCTTTGTTTTTTTTACAAATATATTCAATTTGTATTTTCATTTTTGCTTGCTAAATGTTAGATTTTCTGTTCATATATAGTTTATATATCTATTTATTTATTTATTTTTTCAAGTATATACTGTAAAAAGGTATAATAGTAGCTTCTTTTTTTTATTTTAGACTATGCTCATTTCTTTTAATAAGATAATCTATTATTCATTATATAAAGCTATTAATTTTATCTATTTAATCCTTAGAATGAATCAAACGGCTCTATTCAATCGAACTGAATTTGCAATGGGAAAAGGATAAACGAAAATGTGTTTCAAAAAAATTTAATATGTACAATATAACGGCAGGAGAAATTTTCCATACCAGATATTATTTTAAAGGATAACCGGCATAGTTTTGTTTGAAAAAAATTGATTATTATAAAAGAGGATTTTATCTAGTTCGATATACGTTGTTCACAAAATATCTGCTATATTTGTGGAAAATTACATGTCAAAATAGATAATATTCGTTTAAAAATAATCTTGGTATGAACAATTTCCTCTGCAATTGTATATACATAAACTACATGATACAAAAGCGAACAGGGAAAAAAAAAGAGCTAAATGGAAAATTGCTTCTATGATTCTGTTTATAGAGCAAAGTGCAATTAGTTTATAATTCTTAAATAATTTATATATATATATATATATATATATATATATTGTATGTCGTATGAATATAGTTGCATCTAACATTCATACACTTTCACTTAAAAGTTCTTTAAAAAAATCAAACAATATTCAATTTGTGAAATAAAGTTTGTTTGCTATTCTTATTTTCTTTTTGACAAAGTTTCTCTCAGCTTTGTAAAGATTGAAACTTTTTTTTTTTATTCTAACATTTAACTAGATAGTATTTTATCTGGATTTGATGTTATCTCTTTTTCCACTTTTGGATGAACTTACTATTTTTCTTATGATATTTATTTTGTGTTTTTCATTCTAAGGTGGTTAAATACACAACGGGTGTTGATATATTTTTGAGCAAAATTTATCTTTTCATGTAATGACTGTTTCCATTTTATCTTCTTCCTAATTCTTTTCATTTGTAACAAAATGTCCCTGTAATCGACTAATACTCTTGAAAAAAGATGTCGAGGTTAGGCAAGTACAAGGTCTGCATCAAAAGTGAGTACACTAATTTCGTTGAATTAATCAATTCAAAACTCTGTTAACCTTGGATTGTGACACATTTTTACCTAACTTGAAAAGCCTAAATTATCAGTCAAGTACAAACATCAATCAATCAAATTAAATGACTTTTTGCAGGAATGCAAATTTGCGCAATGACCTCAATACAATCTGGCCTTGAAAGTAATATACACTAAAAAGTGTCTCAACCCCAATTCACACCATAAGAATAAGTTCATTCTCTTAACGATATATTTAGAATAGCCCTGAAGGTAATTAAGTTTCTTACTGATGGAAATTCCCCATCAAGTCAGTTAATGAGAGCAAGGTCTCTACTAAGTAAAAAAAGTGTGTTAACATGTCAAAAAAATGACTGTATAATAATAACGAATTTATTTATTTTTTTGCATATATCACTTTAATCATCCCACTCATCGTCTTCAGCTCCATTTGCCTCACGTTTGTCTGCAACAGCCTTTCGCCTTAAATTTAATAGTGAATGTAAACTTGACATAAGATCTTGAGGCTCTGGATCATTCTTCTTTTGTTCTTTTTTGCGAATTTCCCTTTGCTTTGACGGCTTTAAGGTTTTTGAGCCACCTGCCTCTCTTATAGCTGACATTAAACTTGCTCTACTGTTATCTGGTTGGTTGTCAGCTACAGACTCCTTATTATCTTGACTTGTCTCTGTAGATATAGTAGGCAAATTTGATGGTTGTGGAGCAACAGGAACTGTTTCGGATGCTAAAAATTAAAAGATTTTGTATTAAACAAAATTTTCCATTACTCAGTTACTAAGAAGTTTAATAACTAATATTTCTGCTTTAAACAAACAAAATTAATATAAATTCTTTATTTGCATGACCTCTTGTAATCATAAAATAATCCCAGCTACCTAATATATAATTAACAATTCAGCTCTAATTAATTAGTATACTTTAGGAATGATTTAGTTGTTATATTAATTGCTATTGGACCTTGTTTCAATTGGAGGAATGAAACGTTCTTAACCAATATCAAAGAAATTAACTTACCAGTTGGGGCTTCTGCTGGTGGAGGCGGTGGCGGAGGTGGCGGTGGGGGTGGAGGCGGAGCAGACGTTGGAGGAGGAGGAGGAGGTTGTGATAGGACTTCCTCTTTCTGATCAAGACTTGGACTTTCCGGTAAAGGAGTAGAATTATCAATTGCAGGCAAATCTGGCAGAGCTGACGGTACAATCGCTTCAGACAAGTCAACTGTATCGTTATAAGTAAGATTATCAGCTATATTAAGTAAGTCTGGAAGATTATCTGGAACGGTTATATCTGGGACTTGTTCATAAACTGGACGATATTTTTCAATTTCTTGACTGTTTCTTTCTAGTTCCTCTTTATTGCTTATGGTTTGGGGTGCTTCATCCATTTGATCTTTATCATCGTCATTTTGCTCCTTTCGTATTTTTTTAACAACTCCAAGAGGATCTAGTGTTATGTATTGTTTGTATGGATTTTCTGAAGTATTGAACAAAAGCAAGGAAGAAACAGATTGAATATTCTGGGGAAGTCTTCCAAGACCTCCTTCGGAGTTTTCTTTATCTTTCTTTAGGCGTACCTTAACATTAAAAAACTGTTTCATAGCGACTAGAGAAGCATCTTCAAATTTTTCAAGATCGCTCTCAGTTTTATACTTATAGCTACACAAAGTTTGGTTTAATTCGTTATTCATACATTTATAAAAGTCTACTTCTCCATCTTTTGGATACTTGGAAGTAGCAAATATTGTTGTAGCATTCCTTGAGCCCCTGATCTTTTCAATTTTAGCCTGAGCGACATCAACTCGTCTATTAATTGCTTGTAATTTTTCACGACTCTCTGTTATTTTACTTGTAATCGACGCAAAGATACTTTCAGATACTTTATCCACGTAGTCTAGAACACTTGCCACTTGTTGCATCATTTCTTCACGCCGTAGTTCGGAGTGAACAATGGGCACAGAGAAAGTTTTACCATTCATTTCGAAAAAATATTTTGGTGGGTGTTCCTAAAAACTCTGCAATATCGCTCTGTTGAATTATTATTTTACATTAAAATTTAAATAATTCAAAGTTGATATTTACAATTCTCTCATCTATTCCGAAGATAGTTTAATAATAAAAAGAACCTATTAAGAGATAATTTCTCGGAAATATTATTCTGAAAGAATATGATTTCTTCTTAGTGGCAAAATTCAATAACCAGTTTATAATGGTAACTCTTGATCACGTGAGTTTTATCCTAAAGATGGCGGAAGAAAACAATGTTTCGGGTTATAATTGTTCTTTTTTAACGTTTACCTTTCAGAACAACATGGGTATCTCAAAAATTTAATGAAAATCGCATATATATTTTTATGTTAACAATTGGTGATTATGATCACATCCTCAGCTAAGTCTGAATCTACATTCGATAGTGACAAGGCAAAGACTATATATCGGTAATTTTTTTCAGTGGTTATTTTTAATCTTTAATAAACATATATTTCAGGAATGCCGTTGAACTGTCGAAAAAACTAGATAAAATAAATAAAACAAAAAGAAACTATAGAGATGTTTTCTTAACGGAAAGCGTATTTCTAAGGAGAAAGTAAGAGATTATCTATTATTCATTATTGGTCCACTGCCTTTATTACGTTTAAACACATTCCTCAATATAGGCTACAAGACTATTGTGAAAAATTGTTCTTTGTTTATAATCCGTATGAATATGGCCGCAAAGCAGAGGAGTTACTGTGGAGAAAAGTTTTTTACGATGTCATTCAAATAGTAAAGCAAAATCGAAAGGTATGCTAAAATCTTTCTGTTTTCACGTATTTATTTAATATTTTATTTAACTTGCAGCATATGAAACCATATACCGATCTTGAGGCTGCTTATAGAACCCATCTAGATTCCGCAATAGGCTATTATACTTACCTGTTGTTTGAATTGCAAAACAAATACGACATTAAGGTCTACAATTCTATTGACTTACCAGCCATAGAAGAGCCAAAGTGTCATAGGAAACCTCACCAATTAAAAAATAATGAGATTGATAATAAGGTTATATCTTGGGCCAGATTGGCTGCCCATAGATGCCTAGTGTATTTGGGCGATATAGCTCGCTATCAAGTTGATTTCGAAGGTGATCAAGCGGCCTTGTTGTCCCATCGATTTTATTTACAAGCGTTTAATGCTTTTCCTGAAAATGGGCATCCTCATAACCAGATTGGAACCTTATTAGATGGGTCCAGATACAACATTGATTCTGTTTATCATTATTTGAGATGGTATAACAAAACTATTAATTCTTTTGCATACTAGTAATGAAGATTTATCCTAACCCCATAGCTTAAGTAGCATTGCTCCTCTGACGTCAGCAGCGGAAGGAAACCTAGAGAGAGTATTTGATAAAAATTTTAAACGATTCAAAGAACTCGATGTGCTAAACGGACGTGATCTAGGGACTAGTGCTCAGCGTTGCAGAGATGCTCGTCGATTTATAATAAATTTCATACAAGTAATGCAACTTTTACATGGTAAAGTAAATGGAATCTCTCGAAACAAGGGCGAAAAGGATTTAAAAGAATTAAATGCCACCTGTCAGAGTGTTTTAACTGATTTTAAGGCTTGTATGTATCACGGATCTTCACATCAGAGTAGAGAAGGCGTCCTCGATGGTTTGAACAATGATTTGTTATTTAAAGTATCTGTTATGTGTTTAGCGTCTGTTTATTTATTGAAGAAACAAAGTAAGTCAAAAAATTTTCTTCTATATTCTATAATGGAATTGTAATTTTTATGTTTTTCACAGACAATTCAGAGCTTGTTCCCGCCGCTGTTGCCTTCAGTTTAGCTTTTTTTTCAATTCTAATACAACAAGTCATTATACGTTTGCAAGAAGCTTTACAAGATTTAGAGGAACCTTCAATTTTTACTCTTTCCGGGAGTACTACTCGTAAGTAGATTAGTTATATATTTAATTGTCTTACTTAAGTGAAGCACAATAAACAGCTGCTGAGAGTGTGTTAAATTTGGAGTCGTTTGAACGTCGAGAAGATAGCGAAAAATCTACGCCAGTTCAACGCAAAAGACAACGTAGAAGACGAAGAAAACGATCATCTAGTTCTGAGTCAAGCAACACTGTTTCCGGTGCTAGCGATGGATCTGACTTAAGCGAGGGTGGCCAAGGAGAGAATGAATTACAAATAAGTAGCAGTCAATCGGATACCGAGGGCTCGTTTTTGAGAAATTCTCCGTCTGAGGGGGAAAGCGACGAAGAGGCTGATAAGTTAATGATATCTCAAGATCGGAGCTGGTTAAACCCAGGACTGTCTGGCAGCTTTAGCAGGTTTCCCAATTATACTAATATTATTTATTCAACGTCTTCATACTCATTCTCAATATAAATTAAAATTTCAGTTCGATTAATGCAGCCGTTTCATCTGACTTAACTACTGTAAAAGAAGAAAACGTATCCGAACGGTATATGACCCAGCTACCGCACTTTATACGGCAAATGTCAGAAAATTCTGTCTTATATCCGGGTATTGTTGATGGTAAAAAATTCGTTAAGCCACCACCCGGTTCGTTTTTTAATCATTTGCTTCTTAACGCATTTCCCCTATTATCAATAAGTGCCCGATTAGCCATACTAATTTCCTAAAAATATTATTTGATATAAATAATTAAATTAATTGAATTTAATGGATCATTTTTCAAAAAGTGAAGAGGGCACATTTCCTAAAATAAATGTATAAATGATGTTTTAGGATTTGAGAAAACGGCAGAAAGCCAGCATGTAGACGAAATAACGAATAAAATAGCTACATTCCAATTCGACACTGATACTGAAGCAAGTGCAATACAAACTGATACAGGTGAGAATTAACATTTATTAGCCATATTTTAATTAATTAAATTTGAAATATGCTTTTTTATCTAACTTTATATAAAAGAAACTTCTGATGCTCGATCGGATGATGGTGACGATGAAGAGGAATCTGCGTAAGAATCACTTTAATAACCGTTTCTCATTAAAATTACAATTATTTTTCTACTTTTGCTATCTTAATATATAGATTGGAAAAATCAAAACTACGATTAGAGAGAGTTTTACAAATTATTAAGGATGAAGGACTTCTTATGTCAATTCAAATATATTGTATTTGGCTTAAAGAGAACAAAGAGGTGCTTGTTCATACATGCTCGGATTCATCGCAATCTCTTTGGCAAAGAATATGTATGCTTCTTAACTTCATTCCTAATCATTTAGAATTACATAATGAAGGTAAATCGATTAATTGTCCATAACATTATTATAATCATAATATTGCTATAAATCTATTGTAATTATTAATTATTATTTATTTAAATAGCTATTGGCCATGGAGATCGTGTGGCTAAAGAATTCGATAGAATTACAAATGGATCACAGAATATTCCTTTAACGGAGAATATACTTATAAGGGGATTTGCTCCTTTTCAAAAGTTAGAAGCTAACTTAAATTTTGAATGTAGACGAATAAATGACGAAGAAGAAACTATCCTTCGTTTATCGGCATTGCATAATTTTGCTCAATCAGTTGCTAATCTTAAACCAACTGCACCAATTAAATATGACGGCGAATCGTATCGCTGTTCAACTGCTGCCAATGATTTACGGAAAGCGGCTGAAGAGGCTAGACGAGAACGGCTTATGAAAGATATGGCTCAACTCCGTCTCAAAGCAATTGATGCAGACTCTAAATCTGATATTTCTGCGAATTCAGCCAACAAACCTTTGTATGCTGTTATTGACGGTCGAACATTGTTAGAACGTCAGGCTGATGTCGAAAAAGTATGGAAACAACCAGCCGTAATGATTATTGTTCCCTTGGCTGCTTTGGATCTCCTTGATGAAATGAAAATGACTGACAAATCAGCTCAGGCTTGTATCAGGTGGCTTGAGGATACAGTGAAGAGAAAATCTAAAAAGTTACGAATTCAGCGTTCTGATGAGCGTACAGACGTTGGAGCTCAGAAAAATTTGAAAAAGAGAGATAGAATTTCCTGGAGACTCACACAAATTATTGATTGCGCGAGATATCTATCGAAACAGTTAGCTAATTCTGTACACTTAATCCTTGCCGAGAAACCAGAGGCTGAGAGTTTAAGACCAATTGCAAAAACCATGCTTGAATGCATGGAAGGCGAGAGTAAGACTAAGATAAAATTTTAATGTACTAATATTGGTAATATTTGTTCATTCCTCTTTTACAGATTTACCGGTGCAAACGATGTCAGAATTTTTACAGTCATTGGATATTGCTGATAGAGAAGACTGGAATGGTAATGTCGATAATTGATGTTTTCTTTATTATTTTTTTTTCAAGAGGCTGTATTAATGAAACTTGCTCCGTCCTTCAAAAAAACATAAAAAACTGTTATATGAAGCAAACTTTCTTCCATTCGATACCAACGTGTGGCTCTAATACGACAAAAGTTATTTCTTTACAAATTTTCCTTGTTAAGACAAAGCAAATTCGCTTTTCCTTGTAAATGTCGGAAAGAGTGTTAAAATTATTAATACAAACTTTACGTTATTTGAGTGGAAAAAATTTGAATTTTTTTGATCATATAAAAGATTATTTAAATATTAAACAAAATATAACTAGGGGTGGGGAGGGTAAAAACAATTTCTACAATCTTCAATTACAAAGAAATGGCAAGAAACAATCCAATTTTTTATTAATAAATAAGATATATAATTAAATTTATGATGGGAAAACAATTCCAAAATGTTAAAGTCAATTCTACACTACCTAATAAATTATTAAGAATAGACCTTTTAAACCAACCTTTTCGCGAGGCTGTACAAGCAAATAATTCCTTAATGATTGACAATGTCACGCAAACTTTTAGTGATGGTAAAAACGATCAAGATTGCTTAAAGCTGGAAAAATATAGTGATAGCTATTCCGAGAAGACAAGCGTAGAAAGTAAACTAATAGTACTCCCTTTAAAATTACATAATAATGAAGATATGGGCGAGGTTGAGAAAACAAAGAACATTACACATGTTATCTCCTTTACTCAATCAGAGTTAAATGATATTGAGCATTGCGATAAATCTGTTCAAACATTTGATAACGATATTCTAACTAACGACTCCACGGCTGTTAATATGAAAAAGATGAACGCTCATTCAAACGACAATGAAAATTACTTTAGAATGAAAATATCAATATTAGAAGAGAAGCTTAATGAAACTCTATTAACAAATAATGATGCCAAATCTCCTCGTTTTGTTGGGGAACAACTTGATAAATCATGTAATTTATACAATTATCAATATAATAGAACAAATACATTAAAAAGTGCGAAAAATGATGAAAAATATGAAAAAAATCAGAAGATATTACAAGGAAATATCTCCTCTAAATGTTCTCATTTGGGTGTAGGTACGAAAGGAAAATATTCTATTAAAACTACCCTTATATCTTTTGTTTATCAAATCAAAGCAGATAGAATACAGTCGAATGAAGGAAAATCTTTACAAAGACATTTTAGTAAAAATTACACTGTTATTGTTGCGACGGAAAGAGAAAATTACTTTGTTACGTGTCTAGACTCTAAAAGCAATGACGAGAATATTTCCCAGAAACCTGCAATAATTGAGCCTAGAATTAAAAGGCCTATTATCGAAGCGCTTTTACAGCCATTCGATTTCTTTAAAATTGATGATGAATTACCTTTGAATAAGGATTCGAGTTTTATAAAATCTTTTCAAAGCGAATCGGATAGGGAAGATAACGATTTATTGAATTTGTTAATGTCTCCTCTGAGCACCCCCAATAAACTATTTACTTCAAAATTGGATCAACCTATGTATAATTTGAACACGAATAAGTGGAAAGTTAAAGAAGAGATTAAAGCGGAGAACATATATCTTGATTTAAAAATTACCCACGAATACTTACATCGTAAATTAAATATTCTCCTTAGTCCGCTGGAAACTGCATTACTTATAAACTTGAACGACTATCTACCAATTTTAACAACAGTTACTTTAACAGAACAGTCAATAATTGAAATTTTACTATCGCCGTTAGAGACATCTTTTCCACTTGGTTTCTTTAACTTTAAAACAAAGATATCGACAATTCCCATTACAGTAGATTGGGATGAGTTAAATAGTAAAGATACAAACTTCACAACTTTCTTAAAGAGCGATAAAATAAATGAAAATTTACCTAATTATTCTGATGAACAATCCGAATCAGACTGCAGTTTATCCCACGAAGAAATTATTCATTGTACACATATGGTTTATTGTTGCTGCTGTTGTTGTTGCCCCTGCTACCATAACAATACACTTAGGTCTAGGAAAATCATTTCAAATGACTCAGACACACATCTCCAAACCGATCAAAGAGAGCCTTAATCAAACACGTTGAGATAGAATTAGATAAGACATGCAAGCAATTAATGTATTAATGTCATATGTATAGACAGTATCAGCAGACCATAAAAATATTAAAAAGATTGAGATTGAAAATCTGTGGTCCTGCTTGAAGTAAGGAAGGAAGGATATGTAAACATCTATATAATAACCTAGATGATCTATAGAGAAGAAGAATTGGAAGATAATTGCAACACCATGCGTTGTAAAACTGTTAGATAAAATGAAAAAGAGACTAAGGCTATACCTTTTCAATCATACGAAATATTAAAAAGTTTAAAAGAAATCACATACAATGTTATCATTATCCATATTCTGTATATATAAATTGTAAAAGAGGGATGCAAAATAGATTTATAACAAAATATTCAACAAAATAGAAAGTGGCTATATTTGAACGAACTCCCACTTTTCGAAAATACTGAATTTTATCAAAGAAACGCAATTTCTTGATAAGTTTTTCTAAGGGAGATGTTAATTTCATCATATTAATTCAAAGTAATTATTCATAAACAACTAAATAATTGAAAATAACATCAGTCTTTTTAATATTTTGAAGATGGCTACAAATAAAATTTATACCGATATCGATAAGACACTCAATCCGCCCATTATTCTTATGTAAATAACGACATATAAAGAGTTCAATAGTTATCTTTAATTGTTACTTCTACTTTTTTGAATAGCATTCTGAAGCCGTTCCTTATCCGTACAGGACGCTTGAATAGGAGTAACTCCCATAAGAAGTATTAACCTATGAAAATAGAAGCTAGCTTACCTGTCTACGAAACGTATTAAACAAGGACTAATGCTAACAAATACTATTAGTATTCTTATAATATGTTTCGTTTGTTGTTTGACAAAACCCTACGAAGAAGATGGTCCATATCAATTGAAAAATAATAATGAAAATTTTAGGGAATTCGCCAATAATCTATTGGATGTTAGAAGATTTTATAACAAGTTTTATGAATATAAACGTGATGAAATTAATCAGACAGATTTCTATGACAAACTAAGACGTTTTAACAGAATGAAAAGTAGGTGGTTGGTTGCTTTTTTTTCTCTATTCTTTCTATATTCCATTATACTTTCGTAGAAATATCGATAGATGATCTTCATCTTTTGATATTCTCCTTTATCGATCAAGAAATATTTTATGAGTGCTATGAAACTTTGAGAGACATTATTAGCAACTTTATAGGTAAGGCACAAGAATCAATTACGACTTTGTTTTCGATTCTTATGTTAAATTTGTGTATAAAGGCGATATAAAGTCTTTAGGTAAGATAGTGAAAATTCGAAAGAAATTGGTGTCGGAGCTAAGAAGAGTGAATTATCCAAATTTTCCATTAATTGTTGAGAAACAGTATATAATAGATAAATTAAAGGAGATGAGATTGATGGATAAAAATTGGCTGATGTACGCCCTTATACCTGACTACCTTATGCAACCTTGGCTAGCAAATTTATGGGGAAAATCTGTAGATACATTATCTGACTATGTGTTGAGTATGAATTAAAAGCGATTTATAATTATTCTGTTATAAAAAATTCTATTTTCATTTCAGAAATTCAAACTAAACAAGAACTTTATCAAAATATTGCCTCATTTGGAAAAGGATACTGGAATATAGGAGCATCGGCTGCCTTCTCTTCAATATATGAAAAACGTGTTCAAGATCCTCTTTGGGATCGTATCGTAACAGATTATGAAGATAAGCTGATACAAATAATACTTTACATAAATGATGTTGGTTTATTAAACTTTTAAATGATTTCTTTGTATGTTATAATTCTCCAAAAAAAAAAAAATAAAGTATTAGTTTTAGGCATAAAATCCACAAATGTACTAATTTTAAATGTTAAGTGAATTGGATAAAAACTGAGGAGATCTTTTTAGAACAAAAAGTATTAACAGAAAAATGAATGAATTCATAAGTTTCTATAGACAATCTGACACACTTCTTAATTTTGAAATTAAATTATCTACCATCGATTTAGCCTCTTTGATGTTTACGCCATTAAGATTCTTTTTAGCTAAAATTCCATCAACCTCTGCCTCAACTTTACGTAGTTTTCCAATAACTGGAGTTTGGGCATTTTCTTTGTTTTCATTGGCTATAAAACAGATATATACAGTTAGCAAATCCTCTTCTCTCATTTTTCGAACAATTTTTGTTAAATAACATAGGAAAATTACATACGACCTGGCGTTAGAGGATCTGGAACTCTCCTGCGAGTTCTTCGACCTCTAAGAGTGGAAGTTATTGAAGGAACATCATTTTTTGCTTCCTTTTGCTCGATATCATCATCGCAAAGAGCTACGAAATCGTCATATTTCATACTTCGATACTTTTCAGGTAATTTGTATAGTTGTTGATCGACAATTTGTGTCATTTTTCCCTCGATCATTTTCACTTTAGCATCTAAGTCTGCTAGATACGAACTAACTTCGATTTCGAAATCTTTCAGGATGGTTTGTATGGCTTTTTCGATACTTTGAGATTCGGGCGAATCGGCCATTTTGCACCTGAAATTAAAAGAATTATTATTTAGACTTAAGTATTTAAACAGAGAGAGTAGTATTCAAATAACATTTGACAACTTAATGTCGCCTATGCTTGTAAACCTATAAAATCAAATTTAAAATGCTTACATTCCATTTTAAAACTCAGAACACGACAAATATAATTAAATATTTAATATTAACATTAATTACGAATGATTACCAGGAGAATTTGCTGTAATTTACGAGTATAGAAATTAGATACTCCGTTAACTTTCAAATCTAGAGGTAGGAACCGGAAATGGTCACAAACGGGGTACCCGTCCCACGGAAAAAGAACCACACTTGCAAAATATTTGCAAAAATTTTAAGTTGAACCGCTTTCAACTTACGTTTTGAAACAGCAGAAAAAAGCAGCGATCAAGATGTCTTTAGGAGGCATAAAAGAAGGAGAAGTAACTTCTACTATATATGGAATGGTAAGTTGCCATTCACATTAAATTTCTTTTACAGATGCTTTATTTTGTTTTTAATAAAAATCAAAACATTCGTTTTTTCAGATAAAGGATCAGCGATACTTTGAATGCGTACAAACATTAAATAACATTACTCAAACCTATAGCAAGGTAGTTTCTTTTCTAAAATGTTAATTTTTAAAGGAAATTATTGTTTATTTAAAAAGTCGAGAGCAGCTCTTTCACTCCTTGGTTACTGCTACTATCAAATGCAGGACTTTGTCAACGCTTCAGATTGTTATGAACAATTGTCAATATTACATCCCGAAGTAAATATATGATAAGGAAAAAATAGACCATTCTAAAATACTGTCATTCATTCCCTATAGGTTGAAGAATATAAAATGTACTATGCCCAATCACTTTATAAAGCTTGCTTGTATGATGAAGCTATGAGAGTATCTTGTCAAATTGATAATCCTGACTATCAAGGACGTGTTTTGAAATTACAAGTAAGAATTTATCAAAGTTTCATTAATTCTGTCTTTTACTTTAATTAAACTATTATCAGTCCGCCATCAAATATGAAGAAGATGATATTCCAAGTGCTCAGAGCTTAGTTGAACAAGCTCCATCCGATGATCCAGATACAGAAGTGAACCTCGCTTGTTTATTATATAAAGAAGGTTGGTGTCTAACGAAAAATAGCACCAAATTGATTCTATATTTATCATCGTATTCACTAACGTTTTAGGTCGTTACGAAGAAGCCTGCAAAAAGTTTCAAGATGGTTTGAATGCAGCTGGCTACAGGCCCGATTTAAGTTATAATATTGCCCTTTGTAATTATGAAATGAAGCGTTTTGCTCCAGCCTTAAAACATATAGCAGATATAATTGAACGTGGTATCAGAGATCATCCAGGTAACTACTTAAAAATTTCAATTTAAAAGTTCAAACTTCTTACAAATATTTAAATTAATAATAGAATTGAGCGTTGGTATGACAACTGAAGGTATCGACGTTCGAAGTGTCGGCAATACTTTAACTTTACACGAAACGCAATTAGTTGAAGCTTTCAATTTAAAGGCGGCGATTGAATATTTATTAAAGAACTACGATGCCGCAAGAGAAGCCCTAACGGATATGCCTCCAAGATCTGAGGAAGAAATCGATGTCGTGACATTGCATAATCACGCTTTAATGAATATGGACACAAAACCAAGCGAAGGATTTGAAAAACTTCAATTTCTTTTGCAACAGAATCCATTCCCAAAAGAAACATTTGGAAATTTATTACTATTATACGTTAAATACGAGGTTAAAACTTTAAAACTTATAATTCATTCCTGTAATAATCTTATTCGCATTTAATAACTTTATAGTATTACGACATGGCAGCAGATGTTTTGGCTGAAAATATTCATCTGAGCGAAAAATATCTAACACCGGTAAATTAAACTTAGCTTTATTTTCGCTCAATTTACTATTTTCCAAATTGATTTATTACTTGTTTCAGTATCTCTATGATTTTCTTGAAGCTGTTATCACAAGACAAACCTCACCCGAAGAGGCTTATAAGAAGTTGGACGATATGGCATCAAAACAAACTGAACAGTTAAGAAAATTGACAAAAGATGTTCAAGAAGCACGTCAGAGTCACGATGACGAAGCTGTAAAGAGAAAAGTGAATGAATATGACGAATGCTTAGATCGTTATATTCCAGTTCTAATGCAGCAGGCAAAAATTTACTGGGATTTAGAGAACTATACTCAAGTTGAAAAAATATTTAGAAAGAGCGTCGAATTTTGTAATGAACATGATACATGGAAGTTAAATGTTGCTCACGTTCTTTTCATGCAAGACGGTAAATTTAAAGAGGCAGCTGGATTCTACGAACCTATTGTTAAAAAACATTTCGATAATGTAAATATCAATTTACAATTAAAAAACATAAATAAGAAAATCAATTGTTCTCTTTATTTCTCATAACAGATACTCGACGTAAGTGCTATTGTCCTAGCAAATCTATGCGTTTCCTATATAATGACTTCTCAAAATGAAGAAGCTGAGGAGTTGATGAGGAAGATTGAAAAGGAAGAGGAACAGGCTGCTTATGACGATCCCGATAAAAAACAATTTCATTTGAGTATAGTCAATCTTGTAATTGGGACTTTGTACTGCGCTAAAGGAAACTACGAATTTGGAATTTCCCGTGTAATCAAATCTCTTGAGCCGTTTCAAAAGAAACTAGGAACGGACACATGGTTCTATGCTAAACGTTGCTTCTTAAGTTTAATAGAAAACCTCTCGAAACATATGGTGATGCTGCGTGATCAAGTTCTTCTCGAGTGTGTACAATTCCTGGAACAGTGTGAACGTAAGTCAACAAATCGTTCTGTAATATTTCATATAAAATTTATTTATATTTATTGCGTCATTCTAGTTTATGGAAAAGATGTTAAAGCTGTAATTGAACAACCTTTGGAACAAGATCCTATACCTCCGGGAAAGAATACTGTAACCTATGAAGCTAGGCATTTGAAAGCATTGTTAATGCAGTTGATGTATTAGTATAAATATTGTTTACAAAACTTATCCGTCCAACTGCACATTTATATTAATAAATAACTATTTATTTTTTTTAACTTAAATTACATCCGCCACTTTTATTATTCTTTGCTTCTGTCCAGCTATTTCTGCCGACTTGCGTAAGCAAGAAATCTTCACCTTTCTTCTCCGCTACGAAGTCCAGCATCCTAAAATTAATTACTTTCTCAAATTATACTATGAAAAAAAATGTAATTTACAGTTTTAGAGCTTCGGACATTGGCATCCTATTCATAGGCACTTGCCTACGTAGATCTTCAACGCAAGTCTGCCAGGCCTGCTCTTCAGTAACTTTTGGTGCTTCACTCATATTTGTCGATTTCTTGTTTCAAACTGTCACTTTTGAGAGGTGTGGCTCTGATTTAATTCAGCAAAGGATTACCTTCAGCAGATTATTAGCAAAATCCTCTAAATCGTATTAAAAACAGACAATGACTTACGAAATTATTTCGAAAAAGTAACCCAGTTACATTTTGCAATTAAAAAGGCCATCAACAAGTATAGTTTCGAGTTACTTAAGACTTTGTTGAAAATTACCGCTTTCCTGTGACTAGGCGATATCCCAAGTTTCTTTAATAATGATCAATATGAGCGTTGAGGACTTGACCACTTTAAAAGAAACTGGTAGAAACCCGTTGCACCGGAGAGTTTTTTACTAAATATTTCTGTTGAGTATTCAAGATGTTTAATGTCGCTCTCGCAAGTTCTGGAGCTCAAGTAAGTCTCGCTTCATCAAGCGACGAGAAACATCAGCCAGATTGTATTATAGATGGGTAAAGCATAAATTCTATGCACATAATAATAGATTGAAGCATTAAATAATAATTATTAATAATAATCAAAATAGATCTCCAAACTCATTTTGGGCATCAACTGGTCTCTTTCCACAAGAACTCGTTGTGAGTTTCCAAGGATTGATGAGTGTTAGCTCAATTAAAATTGATTGCAGTAGCGGTTAGTCTATAAAATAACTATGACTTTTACAAATTATTAATTAAAACAAAAATCTTTTAGTTAAACACTTTCGAATCGAGAGAAGTGTTAGTAACGACCCGATAGATTTTGAACCACTACATGAAAGAGGTAAAATATGTGAAGCCTTTGTTGTAAATGTCTTTTTTTGTCTTGCGCATTTGATAAACACAATCAAATTTTGTCATTATCTAAATAAAATAATAACAAAAGCTTTAAAAATAACTACAATTAACTATAATCAACAGAATTGGACAACGCTAATGACCTAATTCAGACAGAAGATCTGCCAGTGTCGAGTGGTTCAGCAAAACATATAAAGTTTATCTTCGATTCTGGCTATGATCACTTTATAAGTGTGCATAATATTCAAGTCATCGGTTCAGCCGTCCACAGCTAATCAAAGACATCTGTAAAACTCAAACAAAACGTCCGTATTTTCAATTTTTATTTAATCTATAAAAATATTACTATAAAAATAAAACAACATATGTTATTAAATTAATTTTGCTCTCTTTTTTTAATAAAAAGACTAAAAACACAATTTTTACATTATGTAGAACGCAATTAAATCTTTTATGTAATATGAGATATACTAACTAAAAGAACATAAAAATAGCTCTTGAGCGCTGCTTTGATATTAAAAGAAAATATTGCTCTATTATTAAATTTCTTAAGTTCAACGACTTTGCACTATACTTGCCGCCAAGATAAACTGGTAACTCTAAGGATGGTTACTAAAACAAAATTTGAGGAATATACAGATAATATACATTTAAATAGTGAGACTAAATGGAAATCCCTTTCACTTACTCATGTTGAATATCCAGAAGGTAAGGTTATATTGCATACTATAAGTATAACGATGATAAAAACTAAATAAAACTTGTAATGAGTGATAATTAGGTGTTTTATCATATAACAGGCGACTCTTTTGGAAAGTTGTTGGCTATTAGTAGTTTAAGTCCTGTAATAATACTATGTGGCTTTGCAGCGTTAATGTTATTTAGAAGAGAGTTGCATACAGTAAGTAAACAACAATTAAACTAATTTTCCTTAATTATGTCTAACATTAAGAGCTCAAAGCATCTCAATCGACAATTAATTGTCAATAACATTTATTGGCTTATATCTACATTATAATTAGTAATAAAAAAAACTAGAGTAATAATAAAAATTTCTAAAAATAAGTCATTTTAATTATTTCTTCAACTTTATAGATTAAATAAAGTTGAAACACCTGTTTATTTATTTTTCCATTTTTCTATTTAGATTTCCTTTTTCCTGGGTTTATTAGTTAATGAAGGTATAAATTATATACTAAAGAATACCATTAAGGAGCCAAGGCCATCATACAGTAAGCTTAACAAAATTAAATTTGACTGCAAGATTTCTTTTATAAATAGAACAATTCTTTTATAGAAGGTAGAGTTTTATTTTCTGAGTTCGGAATGCCTTCAAGCCATGCACAGTTTATGGTATTCTTTTCCATATATCTGAGCCTTTTCCTCCATATTAGGTAAGACAAGAACAGAATTTAAATGGAAGATCGAAACACGTCTATTTAATAAAACTACTATCTATCTTAGAGTGCATCGTAACGTTAATATCGTCGAGAATATCTGGAAATACATACTCACAGTTGGTATTCTTATCCATTCAGTGATAGTATGCTACAGCAGGTTATTACACAACATATCAAATTAGTGATTTATTATTGTAAACACCTATCAAACTAACAGAACGTATCTGCTGTACCATTCAAGCCATCAAGTTGTCTGCGGAGCGTCTATTGGTGCACTTTTCGGACTTGTATGGTTTATTTTTGTCCATTGTATACTGACACAATATTTTCCTATAATTGCCTCATGGTAAGATATTTACAACAAGTTTTTTTAACACTTTTTCTTTTAACATACTCTTAATTCAAAAACTTTAGGAAAATATCGGAAATATTTATGATAAGGGATTCAACACTGATACCAAATATTCTTCGGTACGAATACATAAGTTGTAGAGGAGAAGCAAGAAGCCGATTGAGGAAACTAGCTGTTAGAAAATCACCATAATCTTTCTAATTTATTTCTTTGTTTTTATTCAACTATTTGAATAATGGAAGTAGAAATGAATATAATTTATACAATTGCAAAATTACTACTCTTTTATAGATAAGGAAATAGATAATATATTAAAGTCTTGTACTTTTTTAGCCATAGCAAATTGTGTACTCTTCGCTTTGAAGGAAAAGTCTATACTCGGGTACTAAAATAAATGATTTTCATGTAAGTGCATGATAAGAGGTTGACACTTAAAAGAGTGTCTAGAATCAAACATTTGAGTATTGTCATTTGTGTAAAAGTGATTTTTTTATAGAATTTTAATGAAAGAATATTTCAAGCCAATTTCAGTTTTTCTTTTAATCAGAAATAAAAAATAATAGTTCGTTATGCCTCTATGCTTGGACGTATTACCTCAGGCTCATCGTCGTCCTCTCGTATTAATTGATAGCAACCCCTTGAATCACGCTTTTGTTCGACGATGAAAAAACTAATAGTTCCACATGTTCCAGTAACAACCAAAATCAGTAATTGCCAATGCAATTCAAGGACGTTGCTGTAGAAGAATGCTGCTGCAGCAGTAGCAGATTGAAAAAACTTAAAGAGAGCAAATGCGGGAGCACTTTGTTCGCTGTATAGAGATCCCAAAATGGAGTAAATCTGAGTATTGAAACTACTATCTCCCAATCCTAAGAGAAATGCGCAAGCAACAGCTAAAATTTTGCTGTTAAAATATTTACGATTAAAGAACATAATTGAATTATCAAATTGAGAAATACTTTGGTTTTATGTAGGTTGGATCGCTCGTATCAGTTATGGGAGAATTGAACGGTTGATTAAGAAATATTAGAAAGAATGTCACCATATGGCAAATATATCCAAAAAGAATTATGGGATCTCTTCCATACTTTCTCGTTGTTGATCCAAGAATTCCAAATATTCCTCCACCTAAGAAAAGTTAATTATGATATATAAAGAATTTTGACTTAATTTTAAGTTGCATTAAATTACCAAAAATTTCTCCAACGCCGATAAATATACCGCAAAGTCCTATTAAGGACTTTCCATCACTTCCAAAATGTTGATTATGGCCAACAGCTGTTCCGTAGACACCGCTAAAGAAAGTTAATTCGAATCCTGAAAATTTTCAAAATATCTTGGTGTTACTATTGATTTTTTTTTATAAATCAATTATATACCAGTATATGCAAATGAGACGCATAAGAGTAGCATTTGTTTAGTTTTTAGCAATTTTATTGAGTTAACTGAAATGATTTTTTGTAATTGTTTACTAACTTCCACATGGTTTAAATATTGTATTTACTCACGAAAAGCCTGAATTGGAGTAGCAGGTGTTTCAGATTCTCTGTAAATAGTAGATTTTTTTGTGTTTATTAATTTAGTATGTAAGAACGTAAACAAATTAGTATTAAAATTACTTACGAATCTTCAAAACTCTCTGCCCTTCTTCTTTTCAAAATAACATTGAGAACAATTATTACAACCATAAGGCCCAGGCCAACGAGAGCAGTTGCAGTTAAAACTCCATAGAGTTTCACACGATCTGAACCTGATATTGTTGTTTTCCCTCTAAATTGAAAATATACATATAAATTGCCAAATAAAAGACTGCATTGCATCAATGCCCAAAATATTCCTCCATTCCTTCCAACTGTCGAATCGTCTGAATTTATAGTTTGAAAATTCCCCTGACCTGTCCAAATTATGGCAGCTCCAATACCAACAAGGACTGATCCAGTATAGAAGGCCCATGTCATTGGTTTTAAAAAAGTTGCAATAAATAATCTAAAAATAATAGAAAAATTTATTTTCAAGTTTCATTTAATAACTTAAATCTTACGCATAGGTTATCCCACCCGATAACATTGATACAGTTGGCCCAAGTAGAGCAACAATTGATGGGGCTGCCCAGTTGAAAGTTGCAAAGACGGCATAGATTACAGCTAAACTTGTATAACCTTTTCCTTTGAATGTACCATTACTCTGTCTAACGGCTCCTTCAATGACGCTTTCCTATAAATGAATGCAATAATTGTATTAAAATATTATTTTGACAACCAGTTGTAAAGAAGATATTATTGAAGAAAATTCACACACCTGCACCATAGAACTTGTTTGAAATGCTGTGAAAAGCAGCATGAAAGCGAATCCAACAAGGATGATATTTAATAGTTTCCAATTCATTTCTATCACTATATTATTAGCCTTCAAGTGAATAGAAACCTCCCCTCACATGATAATTAATCCTAAGCAATCACAGATTACGCTTACGAATGTTTCGTAATTTTATCAAAATAAATCAGATTTCAGTGATAATGTTTCAGAACAACCAAATAACAAGATTCTTCAGTTTTAACTGCTCTTCAAGTTTTAAGCTATTGTCACTTAAAATAGTCAAGGTAATCAAGAGTGTTTAAAATTTATTAAGTATAAGATTTAGTTTTGTTATCATGGGTTACCTGTCATGTTCCAGATATGAATTGGGTTGCTTGTGAACAGCCAATAAGTTTATTTGAAACAACTACGAATTTGTGTTTTTTAAGATAATGCTTTTAGAAATTTCCTTTAAAAATATATTTACACATTTAACTTAGATTTGATTAACATGTATGTACAATATACGAACATTTTAAAGTAGAATTCATACTTCAATCCTGTGCAACCCTGCGCAGCCCCACAAGAGCAGAAATCTCTGATATACGAAGGAAATCTTTTAGAAGACACTTCATCATGTGATCGAATATCTTGTTGATATTCCAGTTTCGTAAATAAGCATGTAAAGCAAATATTTATTTTACAATAAACTTGTAAAAAATTTTCTATGTAAACATATAATACTGTATTAAATTTTGACCAGTTTACGAATCAAATTTGTATTGTCTCTTGAAAACGGCGAGGTGACTCGCACATGGTTGTTTATTGATGCTCTTCTTGCTAAAAAAGCATATTTTTTATTTTGCTTAACATCTTGGTATGAAAATATTCTTAAAAGTTACTCAGGTTTTATTGAAACCAATTAACTCCTTTGACACTTCTACTGTGTTCAAAACATTTTCGAACGTCGCGCTAAGCAGCTCTAACATCCATTTAAGGTCAAGGTCGATTTACCGACATTCCTGTGTTTTTCGCAAGTCATTCATTGTACCTACCCGAAACATGTCCCAAAAGAAGCCTTTCGAACGCCTCCCAAAAGATGTTGTTCCCGAAAACTATGTTCTCGAATTAACACCTCATTTGAGTAACTTTACGTTTGACGGAAAACAGGAAATAGCCATAGAGGTAAGTAAAACCCTGTATAAAAGCAGAAGTAAAATTGTATAATTGAACAGGTAAAAAATGAGACGTCATCAATTACTATGAACAGTTGCGATATTGAGATTAAGGATGTTTGGTTTGAATGCAATGGTTTGTTTTATAAAATATATTGTAGTAAGTATTTCTAACTAATTTTAATCATAGGATTGAGTATCAAAAGCGGTATTCGCACAACTTTGAATAATGAGGAAGAAACTGTTAAGTTTGAATTCGATTCAAAACTCCCAAAAGGAAGAGGAAAACTTGGAATGACTTTTATTGGTCAGTTGAATGATAAACTGAAAGGATTCTATCGCAACAAATATTTTACATCTTCTGGTGAAGAGAGATACGGAGCCGTTACCCAATTTGAGTCCACTGATGCTAGGAGAGCATTTCCTTGCTGGGATGAACCAGCTGTAAAAGCTACTTTTGAAGTTCAAATGACTGTACCGAAAGATTTGGTAGCTTTGTCCAACATGCCAGAAAAACACTGCGAAGTTGGAGAGAAGACCAAGACAATTCAATACGAAAAAACTCCTGTAATGAGTACTTATTTACTTGCTTTTATTGTGGGTGAATATGACAAAATTGAAGCAAAAGATGAAGATGGAGTATTGGTTAGAGTATTTACACCAGTCGGTAAATCAGAACAAGGAAAATATGCTCTTAATGTTGCTGTGAAAACTTTACCATTCTACAAGAAATACTTTAATATCTCTTATCCATTACCTAAAATCGACCTAATTGCTATTGACGACTTTGCGGCAGGAGCTATGGAGAACTGGGGTCTTGTCACTTACAGAGAAACTGCTCTGCTAATTGATCCAGTCAATTCTTCATCGGCATCAAAACAATGGGTTGCACTAGTTGTTGGCCACGAATTGGCTCACCAATGGTTCGGAAATCTTGTTACAATGGAATGGTGGACCGACTTATGGTTGAATGAAGGATTTGCCTCCTGGATTGAGTACTTGTGTGTCGACCATTGCTTCCCTGACTTCGATATTTGGACTCAATTTGCAAGCAATGATTTTTCCAAAGCTCTCGATTTGGATGCATTGAAAAGTAGTCATCCTATTCAAGTTGAAGTTGGACATCCAGCTGAAGTTGATGAAATCTTCGATGCAATCTCCTATTGCAAAGGCGCTTCTGTTATAAGGATGCTCAATGATTACATCGGAGATGAACATTTCCGTACTGGCTTATATAATTATCTAACTAAGCACAAGTATGAAAACACTGTGACGGCTGATTTGTGGAAGGCTCTTGGAGACGCAAGTGGCAAGCCTGTCGATCAAATTATGAGCACCTATACTAAACAAATGGGATTCCCTATTATTTCGGTTGATGAAAAACGTGAAGGTAGCAAGCGTATACTACATTTAAAACAAAGTAAATTTACTGCTGATGGGTCAACTGACGATAGCAAATGGCTAGTACCCATAAATATCGGCTCTAGTTCGTCGTCCAAGCCAATTCATCAATTTGTGTTAGAGGAGAAGGAAACTGTAATTACACTCGATAATGTTTCACCAGACGACTGGATCAAATTAAACATGGGTCACGTTGGATTTTATAGAGTCCAGTATTCTGAATCTATGTTAAACGCTTTACTGCCAAGTATTAAAAGCATGACTCTTTCTGCCAGAGACCGTCTTGGTTTACAAAATGATGCTTTTGCATTAGCGAGAGCAGGTGCAATTTCTACTGTTGACGCTTTAAAAATTGCATCCGCCTACCAGAATGAAACTAACTATACGGTGTGGAACGATCTTTCAACCAATTTATCTTCTGTTTCCCTTCTGTTACAATATACTGATTATCATGATCTGATGAAAGCATTTACCAGAAAGCTCTACAATCCAATTTGCGATAGCCTTGGTTGGGATTCAGTAGAAGGAGAAGGTCATTTGACATCAATGTTAAGAAGCCTGGTGATTGGAAAGTTAGGCAGAGCAGGCGAGCCTAAGGTTATCGCTGAGGCAAAGAGGAGATTCAAGCTACATTGTTCATCCGATACTAAGATGGCAGCTGATTTAAGAAAAGCTGTTTACACCACTGTGTTAACTGATGGCACTTCTGAAGTGATGGATGCTATGATGAAACTCTTCAACGATGCTGATATGCACGAAGAGAAAGAACGAATAATGCGCTCTCTTGGCGCTGTTAGTAGTCCGGAATTGATTGACCGAGTTTTGAACTTTTCTATTTCCAAAGATGTACGCTCGCAAGATACCGTATTTGTAATTAGAGGAACTGGGGGCTCTGTGGTTGGTAGAGAAGGAGCTTGGAATTTCATCAAAAACAATTGGAAGAAACTATACGAAATGTACGAAGGTGGATTTTTGTTGAATCATTTGGCTAGAGTACCTGAAAGCTTCGCTGACGAGGACAAAGTTGCTGATGTTAAGGTAATATTCAGACCTTCTTTATATCGAAAAAATGTTTTATACTTTATTTTTTCTTTAGAAATTCTTTGAGGTCAACGGTGCTCCGTCAATCAAAAGAAGCGTTGACCAAAGCATTGAAAACATTCTACTAAATAAGGCACAATTGGCAAGAGATAATGATGCTTTGAAGAAATATTTAGAATCAGAATTATAAAGGATTTGAATGGAAACTTATAGTAGCCACTATACATATTAAAAAAGCAATTTTCACCGAATAATTCAATGCCTTATTTTTACAGCGTGTATTTTTAAAATACAATTGAAGGGCATTTTTAAAATTAGTATTCACCGTTGCACTGTACAACCAGAACGAACAACATGATATTCAGTAAAAGCAAAACAGCATAAAGAGAATTATATAACATGATTCATTAGTTATTATCATTTTAATTCCTTACAAAATATAAAGCACCTTTAAAGATTAATTGCAAATAAAGCACGAAAAGATCACAAATACACTTGAATTAGGATGAATTAAGAGTTATTAGTCCACATTAAGACAACAGCTTGTCAAAATTCTTTTCTAAATCAGTTAAGAGAAGTAGTCTATGGGATTGTAGGTGATCCTCAGGCTCCTTTAGCAATTCTTCTTCTTGCTTGCTTGAATTTCTCAGTACAAAACCAGCCGACTTAACTGCCTTGGAGAACTTATTATAATTACGTCCACTATCACTGTCTTTGAAAAGCTTATCATATAGGTGCTGTTTTGAAATAAATTTTGAAGCACCGCGCTTTACATAATAAAAAGTTCGGTCGCGAAAAGTAAGGGTTTGTGGCTTTGGCCCTTCATCGGCTTCTTTAGTTTGTTGTAACTTTGAAGTTGCAGGTGGGGGAGACGGTGCACTCGTGGTTGTACAACTAGCATTGTTCTTGGGTAGAATAGGTCGCGTAAGAGCTGTAGACACTTTGGGAGCCGATGCCTGAGCCTTGTATGATTGTAAAGCTGAATTTCTCTGATATCTAGCTTTTTCGATACAGTTCTGCAAAAATTGTGTGAATACTTCAGAAGTGATGCTCTCTAGTGCTATCAGATTACCATTAACCAGGCGAGAAGGCACATAGGTGGGTTTGTGTTCAGATTCAAGATAACATTGAAGCATTTTATTAACAATTGGATGTGGTTTAACTAATTCACTTTGACCCACACGAGTAAGAGATTTCTCTAAATTTTCATAATCAACATGGAGTGTAGCGGCTATTAAACTTAACCAACAATACCACTTATTCTTGAAACGAATTGCAAAAACTCTACGCAAATATGGGTTTTGTAATGGAAAATGGACACACTCAAGTAAACTTTTATGTTCCCTACTAGAGTACATTTTTGAGTTTACCACTTTTAATTGCCTTGTTAAGGGTGGATCCTCACGAAAGTCAGCAGGGCCTTGAAAGAGCTCATGTAATCGATTACCCACAATTGGCTGGTCTCTTAACAATCTGTTATCAATGACTAAATGAAAGAGGCTTTCCATTCCTTTGTCTGAAGGGGCATTCGATATTCTGTTATCGGGTACACAAACAGCGGGTTTCGTCATTTGTTTTGGTATAGGAGGCTCAGTTGCTCTTACACCAAAGTGATAATTATATTCTGTCCCAGTCGCTTGACGTTTACTTGATAAGTCAATTACGTCAGATCGGTTACTAACAGTCAAATCTAATGGTTGTCCCGAAAGTTTTCTCTTACGGCCTTTTGAGTCGTCAATTTTACCTTGACAACCCGGATTGGCGGCAGCTGGATGTAGATAATTATCTCTCGTAGTGGTTTGCAACAAAGACGAAATACTCGGTTGAGTAGGGCATGCTGCCATAGTATTCAGAAACCACTGCTTTTGTTCGTTAGGTTGCTCGCCTTCATATTTTGTATAAAGATATGGAGTTTCGTACGTTTCATTTGATGTTCCCCTTGCTTGTAGGCTTTGAATATAGTGGGAATTATTTAAGCCCTGGTGCGACATGTTCTACTATCTATTATTTTCTGCAGAAATCCTCATTTTAAACCTGTTGTATAAATTTTCTTTCATCATCAAAAAAAAATGGAGCGATATTTTGTTGTTTACTGATACAGTTATTGCCCGTAAAAATTCATAAATTTTTCAACTTAAATTAAACATATATAACTTATTCTTCCGGAAATGCCAAAACTATTAACTTAATACGTTATATTTCTTGAAAAAATACGATTAGATAACAAACCTTACTTTTGATGTCGTCGACATTCATTTTCTAGATAGATTCTGACTATAGTACACGAGTTGCAGTGTCCATCTAATTACCGCCAGGGGGTAGTAGGATTGCATTTCAATGTGCAAAAAACTTGGGTAATACTGTGAAACCACATAACCCTGATATAAATTTCTGCCTAGGAGCGTGAATATTCCTTTCACAATTAGAATATTTCTTGACATTTACATAGATAACGAAATAAATCAATATTTTTAGTATTGTCATTTAAAATTTAAAAAAAAAACCTTCTTTTATCAATTAAAACTGAGTTAGCTTTATAAAAACTAAATGTACCAGTGAGTTATAAGTAATAACAATAATAATAGTAAAATAAACTGATAGACGAATGGGTATTACAATATATCTGTATTGAATTTTTCGGTTTAATTAATTTGTCTTATGATTTCTTCTTGTCTCTTTTTTAGACGCTTTTCTGACTTAAAACCGAAATATTTATGCACATAATAAATAAATGCAAAAAAACAAAAAGGTAGTAGCACCATAAAGAAAAAAAACTATTCGTGTTGACTATAAGTCTACAACTCTGCCTATGGGAATGGCTTTAAGTTCGGAACGCATGCACATAAACTCTCCTGTAACAGTCATTATAATAACATTAATCACAGTCACAAACCACCAACTAATCGTGTTTGGGAAGTATGAGTTGTAGAACCAACATATGATTAAGTGAATAATATGAACTGTGGTTGTAAAATCCCAACATTGTTTAGTTCTTTTCACAATAAACCATAGACCAAGAGCTCCTGTTAAAGCATTCACTAAGAAGGCAGCCATAATAAGTCTACCAGAAATACCCCTGAATGAAAGTTCCTGTTGATAATATTATATTAGATTCTGAAAAAATTTACTAAAAACATAGAATAAAATTGCTAGAGTACTGTTATTTTAAGAAGGTTATTTAAAAAAAATACCCTTCGAGAACATAGAACAATATTTATAATTTCATGCTTTTATAAATGAAATATGGGCCAAAAATTATATATTTGTATAAGGAACATGGATTTTACGATGTCGCAATATCATCTTCCTCTATTCTTATTATTATTTACGCAGTAAAGTCGATTCCTTTCAGATTGTTAAACCAAATTTTTATTAACAAGTAAACCTGATATAAATAAATGATAATTATATACTAAATAATTACCTCATAGCTAAACAAGTGAGCGAGCGAACGATTTGTTCCAAGAATGAAATCAACTAAAAAAACCCAAAAGCACAGTCCAAAATAGTAGATCGCTTGCATGCATGTAATCTGTGATATTATGAGTGTAGGGTCCCAGACTGTCGATCTAAACGAACCGGCCATTCTCTGGTAATTAAAGAAAGTTGGGGTGAGTTGAAAATGAGTCACCCTGACACGCTGTCAGTGACGCAAATTTTTTTCATCATTCTCAATGCGATTGAGTGAAGAAAAACTACGCTTCTTAGAATATAAATTTATTCACCACTTGAAAATACTTGTCCTGATTAAAGTGTTGTCAAGGCGTGTAATGTAGAGGGATTTGTTGTGTTTTCACTCGTTAGACCACCATCTTGAAATCGTATCGAATAATGTATCGTAATCGAATTTAATGTCGATAATGCGTAAAAAACACTTCAACTATTCACTAATAAACTTTCATTTGAGTCCATATATATACAGATAAGTGATTATCGAATGGATAATCGTCAAAATTGTGAAAATATTAGCTAATTACGTAACGAATCGTCATAGCAAGATGTAAAATTTTCAACTGTACAAGTGATCCATCAGTTGGCAGATTCTTTCAATTACTTTTGAAAGTTTAAAAATCATTTCAATAGAGAAATATTTAAATATAATTATGTATTGGAATTATTCCCTTATTAATCAATTTCTCAAAAAGTCACCTTTTTTTTAAAGAATACAATTTTGTCAGAGAATATTCAAATTATAAATATGCCACTAAAAAGTTAAGATAATTAACACTAAATATGGTTAGAAGTAAGATAATTGGTGGATACGCAAACTTTATTGCAAGGTATCCATTCATTAATGTAATTATTATTGTTATGATTATATTAGGTTGTTCTATTCGGGTTTGTTTACGTTACGATTTTCCCAACTTTGATGATCCAACAATTGGATTTGAGACAAGAGGAACAAAGATAAAATCTCAAATGATAGCCGCCGATCATTTAATAAATAAAACAAAGTCTCAAAAAGTACTTTATAGGAAGCCTTTAACGAATGAGAAATTCCATGATGATAATGATTTTAGTATGGAATCGATTCCACCGTCTTTCAACTTAGCAACAAATATTTCAACAAGCGAAGATTCAACTTGTCTTCTTAATTTGCAGAAATTTTATTGTAATATCTCTTATTGTTGTTCATTTAACATTAATCTTTAAAAGTAATAACAAACTAAGTAACTTTTTAGATAATCCTTATAAGAAATATCCTAAATTTATATTTGCACCCGAAGCTGTGTTTAATCGACATAATATTGATATGTTTACATCTGATCATATAAAGGATATATGCCTATTTGAAGATGAGTATTATAGAAATACAAAATACTATGTTACACCGTTATGCTATAATGTAACAACTAGACTTTCCTATCCCTGTAAATGTCGGGGACATTCAATTGCAGCCTATATGGCTGCTATTAAAAAAAAAGAATGCCTGCAATTAACTCAAGAAGATGTTAGTGAAGTAAAAGAATTATTTAAATATTGTGCTGATTATTACAGTAGCGGGCAATTAGTTGGTGATTGTTCGAATATATCGAATAGAACGACTTGTATAAATGTTCCTGTCGTTTGTCAAGAGGGAAAAACTGCTCTTGCTCTTTTTCAAATATATCATTATCTCGTTGATTCAGATTATTTAAAAAATAACTCGGACAAATTACAATATATTCAATATATTGGCTATTCGTATAAACCTAACTTTACCGATATGAGAAACTATTATAAAGATAATTTAGAGGTACCAATCGATCTCTTAGATTTTATCGGGTTCCGAAAGATAAGGCTTGTTGGTTTGAATTTAGGAATAAAACATGCATTCTTTCAAGAAATTGTAGTTAGAGATGTACTGTGGACTGGAGTTGGATTTTTTCTAGTATTGATTCTAATAGCAGTATATCTTAAATCATCGATAATGATGGTAGCTACCTTTCTTGATATTATTTTTAGTTTTGTAATTGGATATTATATCTATCACGATATACTTGGTTTTAAATTCTTTCCATTTATGAATCTTCTCTCCTTATCAACTTTGGTTGCGATTGGCGCCGATGACGTATTCGTATTCTGCGATACTTGGCGGCAAGAGGAAATGTTATTAAGAAATAGGAATATATCTAAATTACCTATATGGAAATATCACGCCAAAATAATAGAAAATACCGTCGTTCATGCTACAGTAGCTATATTAGTAACAAGCTTTACAACGGCGGCTGCTTTTTTCACTAATTACATATCAGAGATATTGGCTATAAGATGTTTCGGAATTTTTTCGGGGATAGTAGTTCTCTCAAATTTTGTATTAATGATCACCTTTATACCGCCAATTATGGTTCTATCCAAAAAGTATGGAAATAGTTGTTTCTGTAGGTGTTGCGATTCAAATAGTTCAGTTAATAATAGTCCCCTGACGAGTCTTCGCGAAAATTACTCATTGAATGAGTCTAACGCAAAAGACGATAGTGCTAATACAAAGAAAGAGTGCTGTCAACACTTTCCAGGTAATTATTAAAAATTCTCCATTTTAAATCTACTGAATTATATTACAAATTGTCATAAATTAGGTGAAAATGGTAGATGCTCAACCAATCACAATTCGATTAAAGAAGTAAGAAGTCAACCGAAATATCGTTTTAGCATTTCTAGTTGGATAAGCCCTAATCCTAATCTATCACTCTCGTCAGCTAAAATTCAAGCTCTAAAGTGCAAAAAACTTTTCAACAATTTCTTTGACAATACATTATTTAACTTTATTTCTAAATATCCAAAAATCTTTGTAATAGTCTTTCAAATTCTTGGTTATTTGGGTATATTTGTTGTATTTGTCTATCCAAAATTAGATTTACCCGAGACAGCTTATGTACAGCTCTTTCGAAAATCCTTTCCAATGGAGGCATATGAAAAAGACATTCAATTCAAATTTAACTATGTCCGAGAACTATTCGAAGGATCTAAGAAGGGCTTCTCAATTCACGTGATATTGGGAATTGTTCCAACAGATAATGGCGATCATTTTAATCCTAAAGATAGAGGATTCTTAAAATTAGACGCCTCTTTTAATTTTAATGATAAAACAGTAAGACAGTCTTTAAATGAATTTTGCAAAGAACTAAAAGCAGTTGAATTTGCAACGAAAGATTTAAAATATAAAAAATGCTTTATTAATAAAGTCGAAGAAATTCTCAACTTGGACTGTAATTGCAGTCATTATTTGAATTGCAGCAATTTAAATAGAACTGATTGTTGTCATAGATACGAATATTTTAAAGAATTGGATATTAACTATTGTTATGCTAAAGCTATGAAAGTAAGAATCAGGCAAAATATTTTCTACTTAGAATTAGAAGTTTTGCCTAATCCTTATTGATTTAAAAAGGAATTGTATGATAAGAACAAAATCAACGAAATATTTGGGTTTCCCTATTTTGATGATTTATCAAAGATTAGGGCAATTGAATTTAGATTTCAAGCCAATCAGACGTTTTCTCTAAACTATAGAGATATGAAAAAGATTATTAAACCTATTCAAGATTCAGTAAAAACCCTTTGTATTAAACATTTGAAATTCTTAGGAGAATCCTGTTTTGTAACCGCTCGCCTAGATTTCTATGATATTCAAAAATCCCTACAGTCGGGAACCTTTCTAGCTGTTGCTGTATCACTAGCGATCTCAACAGGAGTTATGTTATTAACTTCGCTGAATGTCCTTATTACACTCTATGCAATGTTTACGGTAGGTTTATCCATTTTTGCAACTATGGCAATATTAGGTTTGTTATTCTATTGGAAAAAACGATTTTATGTCAGTATCATTCCTCGTAACTACAGTCCTATTCGGGTGGAAACTAAATGTATTAGAGTCAACAACAGTAGCTGTAGCTGTGGGCTTGTCAATAGACTTTTCCTTGCACTACGGGGTAGCGTATCGACTCTCTAATAATACAAATAGAGTTGATAGGGTTCACGACTCATTTAAAAGAGTAGGTACAGCTGTATTTATGGCTGGTGTTACAACTTTTACAACTGGCTTATGGATGATGCCAAGTAAAATTTTAGCATACAACCAAATGGGAGAATTTCTCATGACTGTAATGGTAATTTCTTGGCTATTTTCCACTTTTTTTATGCAAAGTGTATGTTACTTATTTGGACCGGAAGGCAATTTTTTACAATTACCATCATGGTTTGCAATGTTAGACATGTGCTCAAAGAAATTTAAAAGCTGTATTAACTATACAAATTCTTACTTTATAATACTGAAAAAAGAGGACAGCAAGGAATTTGTAGAACATATTCCTAATAGTAAAAAATCAAGTACAAAAATAATTTTTGAAGATGATCCTGATTGTACTGAAAAAATATTGGCTATTGAAGATATTAATTGACAAATTCTATGTTTTTAGCATTCAAAAGTATTAATACTTGATAAACTATCTTTTTTATAAACTTTATTAGCTTGTAGACTATTAATTCATAAACTGAAATATATTTAAAATATTCATGAGAAAATTATTTCTTTTTTTCAGTTCAGTACTTTATCATTTTTAAAATCCGTGTTAAGTTATCTATCATTCAAAATGATACCTTTAAATTTTTTCTGCTGAACATTGATCTTTCTAGGCCGGCAGCTCATGCACATGCGCAAGATGGCTGACAATATAGTTTTTTCGTCGGGGTCTCTGGGTTGGGATTCAAATAAACTCGAATGGTTAAACCCATCTAAGAAATTTGAATTATCAAATACATTGTGTATCTGGCCGGATGCAGGTCCAGATCTCTGGAGGAGAACTTTTTATACACCTAATGGTTTTTACTTTTTTTCCTCTTTACACATTGATTTACTGTTTAAAATACCTTCAGGCCCAGGAACTGAGTTAGTTAAAGATAACGCTGCAGGGTTATGCTTTACTAGCAAAGACGATATGTTGATTGTTGAGACCAAATTTAAAGTTGATGCTGTCAACCAATTCGATCAAGGAGGAATATATATTCGTTTTGATCATGAACATTGGTTAAAAACAGGGCTAGAATATGTTGATGGGCAGCATAGGGTAAGCTGTGTTGTCACCAATGAATTTAGCGATTGGTCAACACAACCATGGACCTCAGGGGAATTAAAAATTAGAGTTTTCAGACAAAAGAATAGCTATGTTGTTGAATATCACAACGGATCAGAATGGGCATTTTTCAGAATAGCTCATATTAAAAGTGGCTCACTTGAAGCAAAGGCAAGCTTTAACTTATATGAAAGAATTGTTTTAGTTTACTTTTAAAATTTCCAGTTAGGTGTATATGCGGCATCACCAACCGATATTGGCGGGAAAGTCACTTTTGACTATCTTAATATCACTAAACATAATGGCCATTCACATACAACATAGAAATGTTCATATATGAAAGAATTTTTATTAATACAAGAAACGAAAATTTACCTAACATTCAAAAGTAATGTCCTCATAAGAATCATCAAACTGGTGCACTCTAACGTAACCGTCTTCTCCTCCACTGCTATATCCTGAACCATCAGGGTGAAAAGCTACAGAATTTATAGGTCCGAAATGTCCTTTCACTCTACCGAATTCTTCTTCAAAAACTAGGTGATAAAATTTAGCATCGAATTTTCCAACACGTGTAGAAGTCGTTGTTACGTCTCTAGCTTCCTGACCACCACCCAACACAACCTATCGCAAAATTCAGTTAGTAGATTCTTAATTTTAGGTAATTCATAAAAACATACATGTGGTTTACATGGAGATATCGATGCGGAATTAACAGGTCTATCGGTTTTGTAAGTCTTCAACAAATCCAAAGAGGATAAGTCATACAACTGTGAGGAAGTTTAAAAGTATATAGATCGAAATGTACTTAAAGCTTTGAGTAAAGCCTCACCTTAGCTGTAAGATCTTTTGAAGCAGAAATTAACAAACTCGAGTCCTTTGACGATTGCAAATCGTTTATTGGTTTAGTGTGGGCTTTTTCCGTATTTATAATTGCACCGTCCTGGAAAGAGTTATTATGAGAATTTGAATTAGTAAATATTGTTGATGATACTAACAGCTATATTCCACTGAGAGATAGTACCATCATCATGTCCTGTTACAATGAATTCGTCGTAAGGTCCCCAAATGGCTGATGTTATTTTACTCTCTGGCATAGGTATTCTTAGAAAAGGCTTATTAAACTCTGTCAGAAATAGAATGTTTGGATGAAATAAATTTGAATAAACGTTATAACGAAATTTACGTATTTGATTAGAATCCCTCAAATCATAAATAGACAATTCACAGGTTTGATTCATAGCTTGATCATTAGAATAAAACACTAAATTTCCACTAAACGAGAATCCGCATGTTCGTACGGCTGATTTTGTTTCCAATATTTCCAATTGTTTACCTGAAACGAAAGTGATATAAATAACAGACATATTTAATCGGTCATATGTTACCAGTTTGACAGTCCCACAATCTCCATGAATTGTCTGCTGCACCGGACATGAACTTGCTAGTCTCCCAATCAACGTCTATACACCAGACAGCTCCAGTATGTCCATTGAAACTACCTAAACGTTCACCGTTTAAAGAAAACCAAACATTGGGTTGCTGATCTTTGGCAGATGAAAATAATAAATCTCCTTCTCTATTATATTTTATTTGTGTAATAGATCTTTCGTGACCGTGAAGTAGTAACGGTTTCTAAAATTAAAATACAGTATCTCAATCATACTATTCAAGGAATCATGTTTATAAAGCTTTTTAATGAAAAAATAGCGGTACCTACCATTTTTCACGTGGTCTATTCCAATTTCAAGGAAAATCTATATAATCGAAATAGTCTTAATCGCCAAAAAATAGAAGGAAATAGCTGCAGTCGATATGAAAATCGATCTCGATATTTCTTTTCGATATATATCATGGCAGCTTGTAAAGGAAGTGACGAATTATAAATGCAGCAGCAAAAATATAAATTGCTTTTTTCATTAACTAGTAACACTTACACACTTAATTTTTAATATTATAAAAATCTTTATCGTTAAATAGAATAAATTGGGTAAAAACAAGTAATTAGAGTGGAAAAGCGAAAATGGCTGGAATAGGTGACCCATAGTTTTTGGCGGGGCTTGACAACTTGAATTTATGTTTATTTCAATAAGAAAATCACATTGTATTGAATTAAACCACTACATATCTTTTCTTTAAAAAAACATTTTAGAAATAAGCTCGAATTTACTTGAAAAAAAGCTACGGTTTCAGCTCATAAAATCTTAAGATTCTAATAAACATCTTCATCTTGATCATCATCGACAACGGAGTCAGCAGCAACTTCTTCATAATCCTTTTCTAAAGCAGCTAGATCTTCACGAGCTTCAGAGAATTCGCCTTCTTCCATACCTTCGCCGACGTACCAGTGAACAAAAGCCCGCTTGGAGAACATCAAATCAAACTTATGATCAAGTCTTGCCCAAGCTTCAGCAATGGCTGTTGTGTTTGACAGCATACAAACTGCTCTTGGAACTGATGCCTGTTATATATAGATATATAAAAGGAATTAAAATTAATAGACGTTATATTTTTGAAATATTACCAAGTCATCTCCGGGAACAACAGTCATAGCTTGGTGGTTTATGCCAACTTTGAATCCTGTAGGACACCAATCGACAAATTGTATAGTTCTTTTAGTTTTAATTTTCGATATCGCAACATTTACATCCTTAGGAACTATATCTCCTCTGTACAAGAGGCAGCAAGCCATATACTTTCCGCTCCTTGGGTCACATTTAACCATCTGACTGGAGGGTTCGAAACAAGAGTTGGTTATCTCATAAACTGAATGAGTTTCATGATGGGCTTTACTTTCAGAAATAAGAGGAGCATACGTAGCAAGGGGAAAATGGATACGTGGGTAGGGAACCAAATTAGTTTGAAACTCGTTCAAGTCAACATTCAAAGATCCTTCAAATCTTAAGGAAGCGGTGATGGAGGAGACTACTTGACTTATTAAGCGATTTAAATTGTCATAAGATGGTCGTTGAATATTTAAGTTATTACGGCAGATATCGTAAATAGCCTCGTTGTCAACCATAAAAGAGCAATCGGAATGTTCTAACGTAGTGTGCGTAGTCAGTATACTGTCGGTCAGTTGGCGTTTCATTACACAGAATTTTAAACAAGAGAGACGCCAATAGATCGACAAGGCTGTCATTTACAAGATAATTAATTAATTTGTCTTGTAAACTTGCCTATTATAAGGTTCTACAACAGCTGTTGATACCTGCATAGAGTTAAAATTCAAATCAACGAGTATAAGATGCTTACTCTACTGACCTGAGGAGCAGGATAAATACTAAACTCTAGCTTGGACTTTTTACTATATTCGCAAGTCAACTTCTCCATTAGTAGAGAAGTGAAACCTGAACCAGTACCTCCTCCAAAACTATGGAAGATAAGAAAACCTTGTAGTCCTTCACATTGTTCAGCTAATTTAGTAATGCGTTCTAGAACACTATCGACAATTTCCTTTCCGACAGTATAGTGGCCACGTGCATAATTATTAGCCGCATCCTCTTTTCCATTCAACATTTGCTCAGGATGGAACAGATTTTTGTACTTACCAGTTCGAATTTGATCTTTTACAATTGAAAATAATAGTAAATGTATTTTAATAGATACTGTATTGATGGTATGTCTTACCTATTACGGAAGGCTCAAGATCAACGAAAACAGCCCGAGGAACATGTTGACCAGATTTCGTTTCATGGAAAAAAGTATTAAAAGAGTCTTGCTCGGATCCTGGCGAGGTATCATTTGGCATTTTACCATCGGGTTGAATTCCATGTTCCAAACAGTACAATTCCCAACATGAATTTCCCATCTGAACACCAGCCTGACCAATATGAATGGAGACGCATTCTCTCTAATAAAAAATATTTATTGCAGATTTTCATTTATTAAAAAGCTAGATATCATTACCATTTTTATAGATTTTGGTTAGAAAGTCGCAATGGAGATAAAAAGAAGAGTAAATATACCGGCAGTCGGCAAACGAATAAGTATTTTTTTGCTATCGAAAAGTGACTAACTATGATAAAAGGGCTATTTAACGATATTAACTTAATTACGCCTAATTTTAACACGTCATAATTACTGATGAATATTTAATTAAGTTACTAACAATTGGTATTTTTTCTAAATATCGATTTCGGGCATTTATTTCTCGTATTTTTTATCTAATAGTAATACCTAATTGTTTTGTAGCTTGATCTACAATATTTTTATGAATGTCATTTATAAAAGTTCTTGTTAAAGTTTTCTCCATACTTCGATACGTAATTCTATAACAATGACTTGTTCTTCCGTCTTTCGCTGTATATTCGTCCACTAACGATACCCTTTCAATTACATCTCCTCCGACTGATCTTACAATGTCATAGAAATCATTGGGATGATGAGATTTTTCTTGACTTAACCACATAGACATGTCCTTATCAGATGCTGGATAGACACTAACAGGCTGAAGGATATATATGTATATACTATATAATATTATTTGTGGATCGTGGTAAGAAATTTTTCATTACTTTATATTTAACGTCTTGATGATAATCAATTTCGAACTGAGTTAAAAATCCAGGATCTTTACTCCAAAATAGTCTAATGTCTGGAATGTCGTACAATTTCATGGCTAATCTCTCCAAGCCTACTCCAAATGCCCAGCAAATATTTTCGTCTGCTCCGGCTGCAAAATACCATCACTCAATTATAAATTTAAAGTAATTTTCGCTTGTTTGAAAAAACCTTTTTGCACGATTTCGTGCTGCAATATCCCGCACCCAAGTAATTCTAACCACGAATCATTATAAAGTACTTCAAGTTCCCAGGAAGGATGTGTGAATGGAAAATATACATCTTCTTGCACCCAACGAAATTGGACGTCTGTAAATTACAATTAAGCAAGAGATGATATTCATGGTTTTCTTTCAACAAAAACAAACTTACCCTTTCCAAAGAGAGCTTTAGAAACTCCTTCTAAAACGCTCTTCATATCCTTTTCTACAAATTTGGCAGCTTCAAGCGTGTGAACATTTTGTTTCAATTCGGTTTTTTCACCATTTTCAAAAATTGGCATTTGTAACTATAAATAGAATAAATAAAAAGTTGTTAAAATTGCTTTATTTTTTTTAAAAAGTGTTTCTTACATTATTCGATGAGAAGGACCTCACACAATCTAACTGATGGAAAACTGGATAGTGTGTTGAGTCGATTTCATCTCTTCTATAGACATCTCCTATGTTTATAAAATTTCTTTCACCAGCTTTTAATAAAGATGCATCATGAGCTGTTGTATGAGCTCGAAGCATAATATTTTCGTTTATGTAATAAGAATCTGATTTCTTTCTGCTAACATGATCTTTTGGGACAAGAAGAGAATCAAAATTCTGTTCTATGGTTACATCTGGCGTTAAGTTATCAAAGACTGAAAAGTTTGTTATTTTTTTAAGTTGTTCTTCTATTCGTCGACGGATTAAGTTTAATGGATGGTGTTTACGATTATGCAAGTTTTCGCCAACTCTAGAGAGAATTTTAGGTGTAACATTTGTAAATTCATCCAGCTTATATACTTTGTCAAAAATATGTAATGAACCATCATTTGAGATGTTTGCAAATGTACTTTTCGGTGAACGATAATGGAAGAAAAGCTTTGTCGTTGGCTAAATGTGAGTTTACAGATCGAAAGCATAATGACATTTTCATAGGATAATATATTAGAATTTATACCTGCCTAATACATAGACATGCTGATCTACATTGTGTCAAGACTTGCAATTTTAGCATCTTTTATTCAGATATGAACTTCAAAAGTTGTCTGCAATTGAAAATTCTACAATACGATAATTTTCCGAACCTTCAGCTGAGATAAAGAAATAATCAGGTTGCAGTTCCTGGATAATATTTCAGGAAACTTAAGTGAATCACACCTAAAACCAGTGACCTACGAGCATTTTGCTTTGTGACATGCTGCAATCTTTGAAAGATCTTGTGGGTTCAGTCCAAAATTCAGTGAAGTCATCATCAGACTCTATATCTTTTTCGAAAATAATACCGAAACAATTTTTTTCAAGTAATTCGTCAGTTACCACCGAGGATAATCAAGTTATGCAACTCCGCGAAAGAGAAATTCTTGCAAAGATTATATCCTTGGTTTTAGGACTTGGTGTATCATTCTCAATTACGTATTTTGGCGTAAAATATCTTACCAAAGCTTTAGATCCTACGAGAAAAGATAAAGAAAAATCGAAAAGCAAAGTAAATATAAACGTTTACAAATGACTTTTCTTGAATAGTACCATTTTGCTTGCAGGCTGAAAGGTTGATGAGAAGCCTTGGATTAAAGAATGTAGAGGTAATAGTGTCAAAATTTAAAATCTATTAAAATTTTTGAATTAAATTCAAACATTACCCCTATAGTTGAATGAGTATGAACTCTGTATTGCTTCCAACTTAGTTGATCCTAGCTCCATTCCCATCAGCTGGGACGATATTGGTGGTTTAGATGATATTATCGAAGACCTTAAAGATACAGTCATCTTACCATTTCGATTGGATCTAGGACGTGAAAGTTCTTTGGCTCAACCGCCCAAAGGTGTTCTCTTGTACGGTCCACCTGGTTGTGGTAAAACAATGATTGCCAAAGCAATGGCCAAGGCTGCTGAAGCGAGATTTATTAATCTTGAAATGTCTTCACTTTTTGATAAGTGGTATGGTGAATCACAAAAAAGGGCCGAGGCTGTTTTCTCTGTTGCCAGAAAACTCCAGCCTGCTATTATATTTATAGATGAAATTGGTATGCATACTGATCAAGTATTCTAATAAAACAAATAATTGAATTGTCTGAAATTTAAATACAGACGCTTTCTTAAGAAATCGAACTTCATCTGATCACGAAGCAACAGCAATGATAAAAACTCAGTTTATGAGCTCTTGGGACGGATTAATGACTGATGAAGATTGCAGAATAATGATTGTAGGAGCAACAAATAGACCTCATGATGTAGATGCTGCAATAATGAGGCGTATGCCAAGCACTTTTGAGATCGGATTACCGGTAAGCTAAAATTGTCATATTCCAGCTTATGTTGTATAATTGTTATAATACTTTTTCAGAGCATAAGAAATAGAAGAAGGATATTGGATTTAGTACTCAGAAGTGAAAATTTATCTGACAATATAGACTTATACCGCATAGCAGAAATGACTAAAACTTTTTCTGGCAGCGACTTACGTGAATTGTGTAGACAGGCATCAGTATTTAGAGTTAGAGATTTAGTGAAAAGCTACAAGAATGGTTCTTCTGATGTATACCAATCAGATGTTGAGAGGTTTGTATACTATTTTATTTTCTTAATATTATTGTAATTTCTATTTATTACAGTGGCCATAAACTAAGACCTTTAGCGATGGAAGACTTTACAAAGTCTATGGACAAGATAAAAGCATCGAAAATGGCCCATTTGGGTGTACAAGCGGAACCACTTGATTAAATCTTGAACATTTAAAATACAAATTTCTATTTATTTAATGTTTGTATGAAGTACAAATGATCATCTCTGCAGCCTACTAGCAATGTATTTCGGAAAGAAACTATTGATGAGAATATTTCTCCCTGTACTGTTAGCTCGAGACTTTCTGAGTGTTTACCATTTTTATCAATAAGGTATATATGACCAACTGTTGAAGCAAAGGCAATGAAATCTCCGACTAGGCAAGGACTGGAAAAAATTTGAGAGTTGGCTGTAAATTTCCAATGTATATCTCCTGTTATCCAATTGAGTTTGTAAATATTTGAGTCATTGCAACCAATAAAAATAAAATTGCCAATTTTAAGTGGGGAAGAATATATTTGACCAGGAAGTTGACAATTCCACATTTGATTTTTTTCCCAATTTAATTTAAGAATCTCACCGCAAACATTTGCAATAATAATTCCATCATTAGATGGAACAGGTGTTGTGAAGAACGGTTGTTGGCACTGGAATTTCCAAAAGATCTTTAGAGTATTCCTACTAATACAATAAAAAGCTCCCCTCAAAGTTGATACTAATAAATTGTTTTTGAACACAGTAATTTGAGCATAAATTGGACCACTATTTAACGACTTTTTCTCAATAACTAACTTTCCCCTTGTAATTTTAACTCCGTAAATCGCTCCACCATAACATCCAAAATAGAATTTATTTGCATTAATAGTTGGACAGCATTTTACTAAACCATCTGTTGAAATCTTCTTAAATATTAAGCCATTTGATAAATGACATATGTATAAGCTAGAATCGTAGCATCCAAACAATACATAGTTTGAGCATGGACTTAAGCATGCAGATCCTTCAATTCTATCACCAACTTCTATCTCCCAAAATATTTTAGATGTCCCAATATCTACAGCCAATGCTTTATGCGAATGAGATCCGATAACAACAAGCTCAAGTTGGTCTTTAATTACTACAAGAGGTGAAGCATCTATGCATTTTCCTGCATTAATTTTCCATTTTACCTCCATACTGTGAATAGGAGTCTTACATTGAAAAGGAATATCGGAGTATGAAACAGATGTGGCATTGCAATTGCCACAATTGTCACAATAGGAATGCTCGTAACACATATTTGTTTTGGTCAGAGAGTACGATTTAGTCAAAGAAGAACATGTGCAAATATCTTTACTATCACTTAATTTTATTGCTTTTTGCGATGGTTCATCAAGAGTATCTTCATTTGACGGTTCTTTTAAATATTCCTCAATCTGGAACAAATTTTTTGTCAGTAGCAATTCTGTTAACTTTGGTAGTTTCAAACCTAATTCGCCTTGAAGTGTTTCTGAAATTGCTACAGCTTGAGTAGAGTCCATACCATAGCTTGAGAGATTACTGTTTTTGACAATGTTTTCAGGGAATGTCCCAAATGTATTTAACACTCTATAAAAAATCTTCACTAGTGTTTCATGTTTAACACAAACTTCTTTTTGATTTAAACACTCCTCTATATCGATTTTTCCATTAATGGTTAATGGGATATCATTAAGAAGGATAACTTTTGTTGGAGTATAATGTGGAGGAAGTTTCTTTATAGATTGCCTTATTTGCTTTTCATCTATTTCTACTTGATTCAGTTTAACAATTATAATTAAATCACCTTTCCAAACAGTTGCAGAACATAATAAAACTGGGTTATTTAGAATAACGCAACGTTCTAGTTCAATTAGATCTAACCTCTTTCCTTGACGTTTTAAACGGGAATCTCTTCTTCCTGAATAGTAAAGCTTTTCATCTCGTTTTTCAACAATATCACCAGTAGACCGACAAAATACTGGAGACGATTCGTCATCAATAAAACAATAGCGAGTTTCACTTTTCAAATGCAAAACATTATCTTCAATTTCATAGGCAGTTTCTGAAAGGGGTTGTCCAAGATCGCATTCTTCTTGAGTTAAGTCTAGTTCATTAAAAAATGCCCATGAGGAAAGCTCAGTGATTCCATACAAATTTAGAAATCTCGTAGCTCTGTCTTTATTCCAGGATCTAATAAAGTTCATGGTTGGAAATCTCTCACCTCCTAAAGCTATCAAATCTAACTCCAAGTAAGGATTCAGGTAAGGAGATATTCTTAAAAAAAAAGAAGGAGTGCATTGAAAGCCTTTAATTTTAAGATCATTGAGAATTTTGGCAATTTTTTCGGGAAGACTCTTAAGTTCATCGCTTACTAAGAGAATTGTAGCTTTTGAGTACAAACAGGAAAAAATATCAACAATAGCCGGATCAAAGGTTAAAGGAGATGCTGTAAAAAATATATCTTTCGGTTTTAAACGGTATATTTTGGCAAAGTCTAAAATATTAGGTAAAATACAGGTGTTTGGAACAAAAACCAGTTTTGGTATTCCTGTTGTTCCTGACGTTGTAATTGCGTATGCAATATCTTTATGACAATTTTTCTCATTGATCTTTATTTTAGTTCTATGAAGAACAAAATACTGTCCAAAATGTTCAAATTCATAGGAATCATTAATTATTTCTTTCCATCTATTTCTTAGTATAGTAGATTGAGTTTTTAAAGTTATTAAAAACTTGGAACAAGTTTTTTCCAATAAGGTTTTCACGAAGAGAACGTCATACGTAACATCAAGATTTAAGAATGCACACTTGGCTTTTAAAATTCCATACAATAGGGGAGGAGCATAGCAGCTGTTTGTAACAGTATGGGCGATAATAGGAGTTCCTTCAAATTCAACAGTTTTGAAAGTCTGTATAAATTGACAAACCTCAGAAGAAAGTTTAAAAAAGTCTGAATAAGATATCTGAGATGGCTTTTCAGATCCATTATCGTATATTACAAATATATCATCACTACCACTTTCTTCAAAAAGGCTGATAAGAGAAGAGGTCTTCGAATCATTCATACCGCCGAGTAAATAACTCAGACGAATGTAGGCAAAAATCGAAAATAGTCCATTACTATTTGACAACGTCTTCATATGGCGCTCGTCATCATTTAGTTAAAAAAGAGCGTCATCTATATTTTGAAATAAATTTCAACATCTTATTTGAAATTTTCAAAGAATAAACACTAAAAGTCCCCGACATCCCAGAAGACTAACAAACGCTCCAATAAACTAGCTATGAGGTTAGTAATTAATTGGAACATTCTTTAAATTAGTGTACTAAATATAATTTTATTAATTTTTTTAGTAATAAACAAAATATTAATGAAATGATTTATTATGCATTGAGAAAATACGCCATTAATTCGGATCATTTGAATTTAAACAATAATTCTCTTGACTTGATATCCGACGGAAATCAATTTTGGATTACTCCTGAAATGATGAGCGATGCTATACTAGATTTTTACCCTATAAATATTCGAAAACTAGCTAATAAGTTGAATAAGAAACTTGAAGAACTAGTTCAGGACGGAACACTAAATCGTCATCCTCATCAACAAAGTTACTGTTTTGCTGATCCAGATTTGAATTGTGGAATAACTTGGAGAAATTTGGAAAACGAGCTCGAAATAATTTAAAAAAACTCATTTTTTATGTATTTTCTTATGCAAATCGATCTATTAGTGCTTTATATTTCTTTTTAGACCGCATAGTTTCGCGCTTAACATCACGTGATGGGGGAGTCTTCTTATAATTGGTTTGTAACTTTAAAAATATTACAACTAGTCATCTGAGTTTGATGATGCTTGTAAAATTATAACATGTGTTATTGTATCAGAACGTAACAATATTATAAAATATCGTGAAATAAGCCAATAAAATTGATAAAATTGTAGTGAAGTCGTTGAATTCGTTAAGAACTTTATATTCGCTATAGGGTCTCTCGCAAAAGACAGTACTGGAGAGAGAAGCGGCAGTTAGTTTTTGAGGAAACTGCTTCTCACCCGCTTAAAGGGATTACTGTTATCAATGTGAGTAATTGCAATTCGTCTGAGACAGTTGTTAAGTAATTGAGTTTTATAGTCGGGCAAAGAACAGAAAAAAACCGACATACCCGATTTCATTGACCCGTTGACTGCTCTTATGGACGGAAGGGATCCCCTTTCCGTTCTATCTTTAGAGAAAAAAGTTTCTGTTGGTGTAAAAGAAAAAGAAGTAATAGAGAAAGACGAACCATTTGAATCGTGGAATACGAAAAAGTCGGCTATTCTAGCTAAGTATACTACATCAGAGACTTTGTCAATATCAGTTCTATGTTCAGACGGGGATAAAAGTGAGTATTAAATTTTTAAAAAAGTCACATTTATTCTTTTTACTGTAAATTTTTCCAGTGTCTGTAAAGTCTGTTGTTAGCGAAACTGTTCGAAATAGATTGGAACAATTAGATGATTTTGAAGAAGGAAGTGTACAGGAAACATTAAATCTAAGTCAACAAGATTATACTAAAAGAATAGATGACTTAAATTCGGAATTAAAAATTTCTTGGCAGTCTGATCAAAGAGTTAGATCTTTAAAAATTGTCATTCAAGTAAGCATAAGATATCATCATAAAGTCTTTTTATGCGCATGTATAAATATATAAATTAAATGTATATATATTGAGTATAATTTATTAACTTTGATAATTACAGTTTTTTATGCAATTAACCCTTACAGTGTGCGAAACTTTTGTCAGATATTAGTGTTATTCAATTCTACCCAAGTAAATTCGTGCTTGTAACCGAAATTCTAGACACTTTTGGAAGATTAGTTTTTGAAAGAATTCGAGATAAATCTAAAATTGGTTCTGATATAGCAGGTAGATATTTTTCAAACGTTCTTTTTTTTTCGCGTGATACGTGTTCAGGAATCACCTGATACTACTCAACAACTCTATGAAATGACACAGCTATTTTCTTTAGACAACTGACAACATTTTTTTGGCTATTAAAAAAAGAACTAACTGTTGATGTTATTTTTTTTTTTAAATCTTTAAATATTTTATTTAAAAATAATGAAAACAGTTAACGTTTATAACTGTCATCCAATATCTAGGTCCTTTTGATAGCGATGAAAATAAAGCAAATGTTATAATTTGTACATTACAGTAACTTTCATTAAATATGCTGCATAGAAAAGATTTAGGGTTTTTTGGAAACTTTTTTTATTTCAATCAATTTCGAGTAGGTTATGGAGGATCATTCACATCATTAATATACAGTATATATATATATATATATATATATCTAACATTTTGTATTCATGTTCTAGATAAGTTTACAAGTGATCAAGTTCCTGAATCTGCTAAGGAAACCTGTAGAAATTGGTTTTACAAAATTGCTTCAATACGTGAATTATTGCCAAGATTCTACGTCGAGTGTGCTATTCTAAAATGCTATAGATTCTTAAAACTTGAGTTAGAATATTCTTATAAAAATTAGAGAATAAGAATTAATATTTTCAAATTCTATTATATTTTTCCAGGCCATATAAACCCGCTCTGTTGAGATTATCAAGCATGATTCGTGGAGTAGGTGATCCTTTGGTGGCCATATATGCAAGATGCTATCTCTGCCGTGTTGCATCTGTATTAGATAAAAATTTACGGGTTCATTTAATGCCAACTTATTCTGACTTTTTGATTACATTTTCCCAAATACGCTCTGAACGTATTCAACCGTTATTAGTTAAAAATCGGATTGAAATGGGTGTCTACATGAACTTATATAGTCCAGCTTTAGATTGGATTTTACAGTGTGTTGCCTACAAGGCTTCGAGCAGCGAGCTTAAAACCATTCTGCAAACTGGAAGAGAGAGATCTAACAGTGGCATTCTCTTGCATTCAATTCTATCTGCTTTTCAGCCTGACTACATTGTTGGCAGATCGCTAGAATTTGCTGAAATGATAAAGGAGTGCAAAGATGTTGGAATTTCAAGGGTATTCTTGCATTTCGTGAAGGTTATAAACAACTAACGGCTTAGTATTTTTCTAGAGCGCTCTCTATCGGAGATTGGGAATGTGTGCTGTATTCGCAGAAGTTCCCGTTGAGCATCGCCTTAATCTGCTCAATGAAGTTTGGAATGCTGTAATGAAACTTGCAGATCCAGGGGTAAACTTTTGAGAGAACAGCAAAAAATAGATGACTTTTTTTATTAAAACATCCGTGATTTTTTTGTAGGAGTACATCAGCTGTGCTGAAGTATGGATTGAATTTGTAGCAAAGTATTTTGGAGTGAGTTTCAATTGCTTCAATTTATTTTAAGTGCATTTAAAGTAAAAATATTTTCATAATATAGAAAAGAGAGCTGAATACACTCTTGGCAGATGTTGTAAAGCATATGACTTGCGATAGAGCATTTGAAGATCATTATCCCGAGCTTCAGTCAATTCTTGGAAAAATACTCTCTACAATGACAGATTTCAAGACTTTATTCTCATTGGTATGAAAGCCTTAATATTTAAAAACAAATATTTTAATAAAGCTTCTATTGTAAATTTTCTATTAGGATAAATTTTTGCCATTTGTCGATTTATTCCAAAAGGAATCTGTTAGAATTGAAATTGGTAAAATGATAATGGATTCTTACAACAAGTAATTTTTTTATATACTTTAATAGATTAAGATAAAGCCGGTTTGTTTTTGTAGGAACTCGAAAGAAGAGGCCACCGAAGATGAAGTGCTAATAAACTCATTGATGTATATAAGCAGGATGATGCATGATTGCGTTAAGTATGTAGAAATAAAATTTTGCTTAAAAATCTAATAAGCTATTTTTAACAATTTTATTCTGCATAAACAGTGCACTTACCCTGGAAGATGAAGTTCGATCAATAACAGGTCATATAATTTCTTATATTCGATCAGTTGATTTTGGGAGAGACTTTGAGCGTCAATTGTCTTTCTATGTCGAATGTCGCGCCACATTTAGCGGCTTGGACGGAGTTACAGCATTCCTTGTGCACTGTGTTAATGGTTTAGCGATGGAAACTCGACGAATCGTTAATTCTGTTCATACTGCTAAAACTGCCCCTTTTGTTAGAGCTTGTGTGGCTTATACCTTCATTACGATTCCATCTTTGAACAGTATGCTGGAACAATTTCGATTATACATCCTATCTGGTCAGGTTGCGCTGTGTAATCAATGCTTCAGTCAAGGTAACTTCGCAAACACATTTGTAATATAATTCTAATGTACTTTTAAAAACAGCTGATGCTTTCTTCAAAGCTGCGGTCACTCTGCTCAAAAGTATTCCGCCGGCAATAGCTATTGATGGCAAAAGTCGATCAACAGAACCGTTTCTTGTCGAGTATATTCAACAATTTCTTTCTACATTGCTTTATGTTCCTGATAACCCAGACGCTGGAGTCTTATATTTATTGAATGGTCTTTTAAATGCTGTTGAGGCGCATGATTGGGATTCCAGTCATGATTCTAAATTTCATATTTTCGCAAACGTTTTGTGCCTCTTAAGTTCTTTCTCGCAAGAGCAGTATATTTATAGAATAGAGAGAGGTAATAAATGTTTACCAAAGACTTATCTTAATATTTCTCATACAATTGTTTGAATATTTTCAGTTGATTCGAACGATGCTCTATATGGTTCGGACAATAAGTTCATAAACGAATTGAATTCTCTTGCTTGTAACGTGCTTGAACAATGTATTATTAGAATTAAAGAATTGGTAAATTTTTTATTCTTAAATAAAAAATAAAATATGTAATATAACGATATGCAACTGTTTCAGACTCCAAAAAGATCAGCCGTTCTATGTTCCAGCTTACTAAATATTGTTATTGCTCATGCGGACTTAAATTGTTCGAACATCGAAATCTTACTTAAAACTCTTCTGACTGTACTTTCCGAAACTGATTTGAAGCTCTTCTCAAAAATACGAAAACGAGTTGAGGAGGGTTTAAAAACCAAGGATAATCAAGATAAGGCTTTTGAAAAGCTCCTCAATTGCATGAATAATCTTAAAACTTAAAAAGAAAATGTTCTTTGCTTTCGTTAGAAGATCATCTAAAACCGTCAATTATTTTTGATATATTTTTGTTAAACTGTCGTAAATAACTTCTCGTGATAATTATGATTTGTGAAATTCTCTTCAAACTTAATTTTATTATTTTTCAGGATAACAATTTTATTACGTAATAATAAAAATTGTTTCAACTTCTTCAAAAATACTTTTTATTAGGATTATTAAACAATCTAGTCAAGAAAAGTAACTAATTTTACGAACATAAATATTTAACGTCAGATGTACAGTTAATTATTTCCTCAAACATATTTTCTTATCTTTTATTTGAGAAAAAAAGTAATATCACTTATTATAGCTGAGAATTTCATTTAAACACTTTCTGAATTGCTGCTTATCACTATTTTCTTTACCGTCTTTGATTACAAGAGTAACCGGATTGATTTGCAATTTTGATTCAAAAAATTCCGGATTTTTCAAAGTCGACCTATCAAGTTTTTGATACTTGTTGGAGCTGAACGACTTTGAAGTGGCTATTGTCTCGTATATGACAATGCCCTCTTGAAATTTATTTTCTTTAGAACTTTTTGAGGACAACGCTTTCAAGAATTCAATTATAGCTCTCTCAACTTCATGAATTTTTCGCCTTATGCTGAATTTAAGATCTTCTTTGGATAATTCATTTTTTGGCAGCAAGTAAGAATTATCAAGGATTACACTGTCAAAGTTTATGTGCAACTTTCTCTTCTTGGCCAAATTATCTAATTCCTTTAATATTTCATGTAAAAGAGAGTTGAATTTTTGCCTGTACTCACGCTGACCATTTTTATCATCAGTATAAATATTTGTGTCCGGATGCTCTTGCCTTCCAATTAATATTAATTTTCCTTCTATTGACAATTTTTCAAATTTTTCAACAATTTTTTTAACTGATTCTCTTTCGAAAGAAGGAAAGTCTTCGCTACACATTGGTTTTTCCTCTTCACAATGCTCAAAATATTTAACTCTATCTTTCACAGTTTTGATTTCTGCTGGCTTCGGAGGATAGACTGGCTCTATTGGTAAACTTAATCTCTCCCTTATTTTCCATGGAGGTGACTCATTCGGTTGCCTTCTAAGCCTACTTCTAGATTTACCAACATCTGGTAGATATTGTAAAGATGACTTAGAACTTTCAGTTTCAGATGTGTCGTCCACCTGAAGAAGATATTTATTATCAAAAATACCGTTGTGACTTTTGGCGGAACTAAAATCTTTAAGAGTTTTAAGTACATCATTCCCACCAATGGATTGGCCAGATGCTGATCTATAACTAGAACTCTGACTCGCTGCAGATTTATCAAGAGATTCAGGGCTTGAAAAGAGATTCCTAATACAGGATTCCATTTTGTCCGATTTTGGACTATTAATTACACTTTCTTTCTCCTTTATTCTTGGACTACTACTTAGTTCGTCTGGGCAGGACAAATAGCGGAGTTTGCGATTAATTCTCCTACCGATACTTGAATTCTTATGATCACTTTCTTTCTCGGAATCGGCCTCTCGTGGACATTCACACATACGAGCTAACAACTTCTTAGAATCTTCACAACGTGAACAGTGTATTTCATTTTGGTCATTTTGAACAACGAAACATTCGAAGCCATGTTTCCAAGGAGACACAGGAGAACTTAAGCGACACTTTGTACGATCATGTATAACTTCCATTGGACTATGAGTGACCGATTTGCAAACTCTTTCACTTTGAAAAAATTGACCATCTACTATTAAATCAGCCGAACATTCATCGCCCTTGCACCTAACTGTTATTTTACCTTCTTCCATTTTTGAAACTTTGTTAATTCTTAAAGAATGTTTCCAACCATCGGATATCAAGCAGTACTTTTCTGATTCAGTGACTTTGTTTGATTCAATATACCAAGAAATAGATGAACGAAGCTGACAATGATGTGTATAGCATACAAATTCAGCCATTGAATTTTCTCTGACAGTTAAATTTGTTAATGGCTTAGAGAATTCAGAAGTGAAAGCTTGAACCCTCAAATTCGCTTCACAGCTAACATTTCGGCAGAATACTTTTATTACACCAGAATCTTCAATACTACAATCTTTTATAATCAGAGTTTTGGTCATTCCTTCATTCAATATCTTATACTTTTTATCATCATCTGGTACAATTCGACCTTTGTGATACCAGGCCACTGTTAAATCTTCATTTAATTTGCATATAAAATAAGCATCTGCATGTTCCAAGATTTTCTTGTTGAAAAACTTGGCGATAAAGTACGGTTTCATTGTTGATACAAAAAGATGAGCCGATGTAGTTTGGTTACTTGCCCGACATTTTACTTCTCCTTCATCGTCCAATTTTAAATTATTGATAACTAGTTTATGAGTGGTTTTAGTTGAAAAAATTTGATACTTTTGACTGGGTACTACTTGAATATCATCAATAAACCATGTGATGGGTAAATCAGATTGGTTAGCTTCGCATTCAAACTCTGCAGATTCCGCTTCCTTTATTCGCAAATCCTGAAGTTCTCGAATAAATGCAGGCTGAAATAGTATAAGAAATAAGTCTCTAATTGGTGATGAATTTTATATGTACTAATATTAGATATATACTAATGTATTAGGCTATAAAGTCATTGAAACCAAACCTTTGTGATATTATTAGTTGTTGGCACTTCTTGTTTGATTTTAGAAGTTTCCAAATTTCTAGGTCGGCGACGTTGCGTCACCACTTCACTCTGTGTTGATGAATGATTGCTCAAATTACTGTCGTTTTTGCTACAGTCTATTGATTTCTTCTCAGTTTGGCGACTTGTTGAGTGATTGGTATTAATATGTTCAACTTCGCTTCTTGCTTTACGACGTCTACGTCTCTGGACTTCAGGTTTTTTTTGGGGAGATTCAGCAACGGCCTCTTGAGAGTCAATTTGCTTAGAATAGTCTGTTTTATTGTTGTTAGCTGACAAGATATTGTTATTCATTTCTGAATCTTTTAATCTTCTAAGTGTTTTTCTCCACTTATCATATTCTTCGCTATTTTCAGTTACAACCAATATGGCTGAAGTTTTTTCACGACCGAAATTATTCTCAAGGTTCACTGTATAAATACCAGCATGTTTCTTTCCAATATTATCTATTTCTAGAACATGTTCGTTAGTACGTTCGTCAAAGTAAGCTTTATAGTTTGCTGAGTCCTCAATTTCTATATCTTTTCCTCTGAACCATTTAACCTCGGGAACTGGATCGCCATCAACCTTACAGCAAAATATAGCCATACTACCTTGTAAGGCTGTACATTTTAGAGGTTTTTCCAAAAATGAAGCAGCTCTGCCTGTGACAATCAAGTTCACTTCCGCTGTGGCTTCTCCTTCTTTGTTTACAGCTAAAACTTTAACTTTTCCGCTCATTCCCTTAAGATTATCAGATATTGTCAGATTGTAAATATTCGATTTCGGTTCAAAATCCATATGAATGTTTCCTGTTTCCTCTAGTAAAGTTCCTTCGATAAACCTAAAAGCAGTGATACAAAAATTGGATTCTAATAGGATAAAAATTTGCCCTGGAACTTACCAAGAAACCTTTGGTAACGGAAATCCAACAATTTTAGCAGTAAACTTTGCAGGTCCTTGCTCCGGAACAGTAACATTTTTTGGCGGTTTAAATATCTTTGGTGGATTCGATACTGTATGTCGATAATAAGAATACATTTCAATTTTAGCTAATTATTCTAGGATAACTGTCAAGAAATTGTTCTTATTTATATTTTGATTGGGTTACACATGTTGTTTTTAATAAAGAAATAAAACTGTTAAAAATTAGGCAAAATAAATTCGCATTAAGCATAAATCATAACTTTTTATTTGAAGTTGATGAATCCATATAAAAAACGTTAGAATGTTTCTTGAAATTACGTAATGTACACTTACGTTGGGATTGTGCAGTTGTATTTGAAGTTTGACTTCCGCTGGTTTTCACAGAATGAGCAGCTGGCCTTTCTCTTTTCCGCTTTTGCATTTTTACTAATGGATGATAACTTTAAACCTTATTTTTGTAGAAACTTACACTCCCATGTGCCAAGTTCAACGCGTCTAACGAAAATCTGAGCGATAATATACCCATGAAAGTTTAAATTGCTTTTAATATGCATAAAAGTATCGATGAACTTGTAAATTAAAACTTAAAAAAATTAAAAGTTTATAATCCTAAATTACAAGTCAAAAAAATATTTCTAATCAAAATTTGTAACTTTTTGTCAAAATATTAATTGGTTTACCGAAATTGCCGCGTGTTATCTGAGAAGAATTTTGGAGTAACTCAAAAAGTGGGAAATTTAAATATTCACACTCTATCTATGCCTAAAAAAGATCTAGCTATCAGCTTAACCTATAAAAAGTTTGTTATATTTTTAAACGTTATTTTTTTTAAAAGATTAACTCAAGTTTATATTGATATCGTACTATTAAAATCAATTTAATGAATGTATGAGCTATACGGTTATCTGATTAAGAAAGAAAAAAAAAACGAAATGAGGAACAGAGTAGATAGAAAGAATGCGCAGTTAATAAAGACTAATTGTTATAACTTGCATAAGAAGTACATATTATAATGATGGAATTGAAATTACCCTTACATTCTTACATATTTATGTTAATATACTTTGATTTAGAAATAAGTCAATTGGCCATCCCGCTTTATGCTAAGAGTGATGATGAGTCATATAAAAAAATAACGCGTAGAACATTCAGATATTAAGTAATGCTCGTAGACTTATACGTAACAGTACTTGTTCTATTTGGATAAATATTTAAAAGTTTGACCTTCATCAGTTGACATGTTCCAGGTTTGACCTGCTTATTTACTGAACAAAAAAGTATTGATTTCTTTTTTCAATAAAACACTAGAAAAGACAAATAAATAGGTATCAACTAGAAATGTTATCTGCATATAACATATATAACAGAGCACTTATGGGAGCAATATGCAGAAAGAAATATTTGAATATTTAAACAAATCAAGTGTTTCACGAAACAAAGAGATCCGTAATTAAAATAATAAACCTAATAAAAAGACAGCTAATTCAGAGATTCATAATTATATAACAATTATCAAATTTTTAAATAAGTATGTTTTACAGTTATTTAAAACATCGTAGAAAATATGTCTCGCATAAGTCAGCCATAAATTGAAAGCGACCTTGATGATAATTACAACTTTCTAATCTGATAAAAGTTTACAGTTGAGGTCGTCAATTCATACAATTTACATTTTTTTCTTTTTTAAATTAGAAAGTTTATGTCCTACTGTACAGCCTATCAGTTAGAAAGCGTACAGCATTTCATGCGTCATTGATATTGTTGTATCGTTAGTCTGACATTCACCATTACAAGAGAAAAAAATTTTAAATCTAATTAGCTATAGTTATGTGACAAAAAGTAGAACATTTCCAATTGCTGACCCGGTTTTCCCTAAAGGTGATAAATTATGCTGTCGCGTATACACGCTGAATCGACAATTTTTATCCCCTTTGAAACCATAAGAGCATGAACAAAAAAGATCCTGTAGGAAGTACCTATTATTATATATATATAGAAAATAGGCTACTGATATGAATGAGACTCATTAAATGAAATAACAATACAATTATACTAAAGAAAAAATAATCAGCAGTGAAACTAGAATAAAGGTCACTCGTAGTCGAATGGAATTTTAGTCATTCCTGAGATCAGTTTAATAAGATATAGTAAGCCTATAGTTATCAAAAAAAATCTGCTTTGATTGATTGTTTGACAACAAATGAAGCCATAGTTACTATTCTACAATGTTGCATGTTGCTATTTCACATTTACAATAAGGAAACAGCTTTTTTATATCTGTTTACTGAGGCTTCATATTCCCTCTTTTGAATCTTGTTGGGATGAATCAATAGGTGATAAACATCAGGTAGATTATGTTCCTTAGCGTTCTCAATCATTTTTTCTTGTCTTCTTTGAAAAGCAAAATTTGACAAGTAGCTGACTTCGTTCCGATAACAGTAGTTTTGACCATTCTCAGATGCAACAGCTTCAACTTCGTCAGAAATTTTGAAACCCACTGACCAAGAAATACTAGTTTTTAGCTGCTTTGGATAACGCACAAATGTGTAAATCAAGTCATCTTCTCCAATTCGTGGATGATGAACAGGAATTTTAGAACGACAGCATGCCACGTAGGCCATAAGCTGTGGCGACGTTTGAGCAGTTATGCTATCCAAAAACACAGGTTTTATTGTGCCGCTTAATTTTGATCCTAACAGACCAACGTGGTTCCATTTGAAAAGCTTATTAGCAGAATGATCAAGCTTTTCATTTTCATAAATATTATGAGTGAATCGTATATTTTTTGAGAATAAATCATTATCTGTAGGATGATCATAAGAGTCAAATTTTAAGTCTTCACTTTTTTCGCTGTGTAGCATCTCCTCGTATTGTTGATAGTTTTCTATTTCGGGAGGTTGAAATAGAACAAGATGAAATCTATACTTTTCTTCAACTTGAAAAATTGGTTGCTCATTTTCCACTAATTCTAATACACTGTCGCTGGTATTATGGCAATACCACCTTATTTCATTTTGAAAATAGCGAATGAGACCTCTTCTAGCCAAGGAGAGTGCCTTGCAATCACGAATACAAGCTCCTTCACAAAATGTGGACATTTTATTAACTGAACCACATCCAACTGAGACAACCTCTAAATCGTATAAATTGTTATTCCGGCGACTCCTGACAAAGACAGCGCAGTCCTGTCGAAGTATTTCTGCTGCAAATGCGGCATTCTTGTTAGCGAGATCCTCTAGCTTTTCCAAGGATACTTTCACTAAATCTGTATGGGATACTGTTTGTTCTTTTGGTTCGTTGCTGTCTTCATTGACCAGTCCATATTGTTTACCAAGGAGATGATCTAATACAACTCGACCGGCTCGTTCTTTAGCTTCCTTTTGACTATTGCCACTGGCTGGTAAAAATTTCACCCCCGAAATAATGCACTGAAAAAAATTGTTTTGGAAGAAATTGTAAATATAAATTGTTATCTTTACCTGATACCAGCACTTGTAAAGAGATGAGCCACTTCCGGGATGGCATTCAACAAATTCGACTTCGTCGCGTAAACGATTCTTAGCATAGAGCTCATAAACCGTAGCGACGGGATGCTTACGGTTTTCTTCATAATCATCAACTACTGATTGTACAAGCTTGATTTTGGGTAAATTATTTTTTGAAATAGTTGGTGCATTCAAATCAACAGAGGTGGTTATAGTGGGTGCTTTCTCAAAGGGAACCTTGTCATAGGCAATTGTGGCGGTTGATACAACATCAGAGTAGCCACGACCCCTGCATCTGCTCATTGGTGTAGACATATTCTATGAAATAATTAATAAGGAGAAAATATAAAATATATAATATACTAAAATTTGATTAGTAAATAATAGAGATTTTTTCAAGTTTTAGACTTGTTTTTTATTTTAACCTTTTTACCTTATTAATTTTCCAAGTCTTCAAAGCACTTGTATATACACTTATCGCACTGATAGGACTGTTTTGTTTCGAAAAAAACTAGAAAGATCTGTCCGAAACTAGAACTTGTTTACGTTTATTTAAAGAAAATACTGCACGGTCAACTTTCAGATAGACTCATTGTGATTGCCGCGTACAGAGTGAAGTGACTTAGGTAAGTCAGCTCAATGAAGGTAAAGAAGTAAAAATAAAAAAATATAGTCTTTAAACCAATCTGACATGGCGAAAGTCTGCTGAGTACTTTTCATGGACTGCTTTAAGAATATTCCAGAGTTCTTTTTTTATTGAAAAAATAACCATTACATTTTATATCTTAAACATTTAAACTTTCAGAAAGTATAGTTTTTCATTTATCTGGTTGTAAGAGAATTGAAATTTTGTAATGAACTCTGCTTTATTACGCAAATGGGAAAAACATGCGGCTTTCCGAATGAAAGCACAAAAGTCGATAAATTTTGCCTTATTAAATGTAAAATATACTTTCTAATATAGACAGGATAAAGAAAATCCTTTACCTAAGATTACTTTAAGTCGAATTTCGCGCCAAAAATCATTAAATTAGTGATTTAAATTAAATCTAATCTCAGCTTACGATTCAAACTTCAAAGTCACGTGGCAGGAAGAGTTTACCGATAGAAGTGATAGTGGACGAGTTCATTACCAGCCAATCAGCTATCTAACTTAGAGATCACGTGTTTCTCAAACTATATAAGCCAGCGCTAACAAGAATTGGCCTCTTTTCCACGTTATTCAGTGACGAATAAGAAAACTTATACAGTTAAAATGCAATCCAGTAACATGCAAGTTGGAGGTGACAATCAAATTGATACTTTCTTGTTCACGTCAGAATCTGTAGGAGAAGGACATCCAGGTGAGCTATCAATTATAAACCTGTTTAAAATTGAATTGTCATGCTGATATTGTGATTTTCAGACAAAATATGCGATCAGGTCAGCGATGCCGTCTTGGATGCCCACTTACGTCAAGATCCATATGCAAAAGTTGCCTGCGAAACTGCTGCAAAGACTGGAATGATAATGGTTTTGGGAGAAATCACATCGAAGGCCCATGTTGATTATCAAAAAGTTGTCAGAGACACCATCAAACACATTGGTTACGACGATTCTTCCAAAGGTTTTGATTACAAAACTTGCAACGTATTGTCAGCATTGGAAGAGCAGAGTGCAGATATTGCTCAAGGTGTTCACGTTGGCCGTGACGATGACAATATTGGAGCTGGTGATCAGGGAATTATGTTTGGTTATGCAACTGATGAAACTGATGAATGCATGCCCTTGACTGTTGTTTTATCACACAAGCTAAATGCTAAGATATCTGAATTGAGACGCAACGGTGGTTTATCATGGGCACGTCCTGACAGCAAAACCCAAGTCACCGTTGAATATAGAATGCAAAAGGGAGCTTGCGTACCCCTTAGAGTTCATACTGTTGTTATTTCAACACAACATGACGATATAGTCACTCAAGAACAATTAAAAGTCGATTTAATGGAAAAGGTCATTAAACCAGTCATTCCTGTTAAGTATTTAGATGACAATACTGTCTATCATTTGAATCCATCTGGAAGATTCGTTATCGGTGGCCCACAATCTGACGCCGGTTTGACAGGCAGAAAGATCATCGTCGACACCTACGGTGGCTGGGGAGCTCACGGTGGTGGAGCCTTCTCTGGTAAAGATTTTTCTAAAGTAGACAGATCAGCAGCTTACGCAGCTCGTTGGGTAGCCAAGTCTCTTGTTAAAGCTGGTCTCTGCAGACGTGTTTTGGTGCAATTGTCATATGCTATTGGAGTTGCCCAACCTCTTTCAATCTTCTTGAGCAGCTATGGAACTGGCATTAAAACAGATGAAGAATTATTAGAAATTGTTAAAAAGAATTTCGATTTAAGACCAGGCCGTATTGTTAAGTAAGTATTGAATTGCACGCTTTTACTAATACATACAGCATACTTACTTGTTTTGTTTTTTAGGGATTTGGCTTTGAGAAAACCAATATACCAGAAAACAGCTGCATATGGTCACTTCGGCCGACCCGAGTTTTCTTGGGAACAACCGAAGAAGCTAGAATATTAATTTTTTTGAAATTGTTTTTATAGTAGACCACAGAAGTTAGATCTTCTGCAAATAAATGATTTGTCCTGTGTCTATCAATTGACTGGAAAAGAGCAATCGATATACACATGGGTCTACTACATATTTTGTAAATTGTTATTTCTCTGGTAATTGGCCGTATTCTATATTATTAAACAGGAAAACATCGGCTTTCTTTAATACAATTTGAAATTATTCAAAATATCATTTTATTTATTTTTTTATTAACAATCTATATAATAAAAAAACTAAGTTAAGTTGCACTTGAATAGTTCTTGACTGGTGAAGAAGTTTATCTCTTTAAGTCTGATCATAGTTCATTCACCTATTATCTTCTACTGGGTATTCACTGACAAAATTTCCACCTTCATCGTATAACATAATCGTATTGTTCCGCCTCATGGCTACCCAATTGACATATATCATTTTATGCTCCATATGCAAAACTGTTCCAATGATAATAGCTTCAACTATAATGAGGAGCACCAAGAATTTAACGCTGTTAGCTCGCTTAATTCTTAAGAAGCGAGGAATGCGCAATTGTATCATCCGACGGTAATAATGATTCGATTGAAAATGAACCTTCGCTTGTCGATAGTGACACCTGTTGGAAAAATTTTTTAACTTTTTATTTGACAGATAATTGCTTGTAGCATTGCGTTCTACATATATGAAATGAAATAAGTTAAGAGGTTTTGAAACAGCAATAAATAAATCAATGACAATTCTTTTGTTGGGAATAAATTCAAGATGAGCAGCTGACTTTAAGGCCTTTAGCCCATTTTGGAGGCCTATTTGCATATTTCAAGTCTTCTGCCGGTTTTTGTAGTTTATACGGATTTTTCAAAATATCTAATATTAGCCTCACTCTTGAAAAATCCCCTCTATCAGCCATCTCAATAGCTTCTTGAGATATCCAATTCCTTAGAATATAACGGGGGTTAACTCTGTTCATTATTTGTTTAGCCTCGTTTAAATTTAGCCCACTTTCCTCTAATCTTTTCATCCAATTTCTAGTCCAGGCATCAAACTGATTATGACTCGAAAGATGTTTTAGCGCCCACGCCGTTTTCGGAATATCTATTTGCTCATGAATGTTCAGACGAATCTCTGATAATTGTCTAAATGTCATTGTAAAATCAGCTGATTTTCCCTCCATCATTTTCAATAGTTGATTTATGATATGTTCGTCTTCTTTTTCGCATTTAATTAGCGCTAATTTCTGGCAATATAATTTATTGAAATATCTTGTGTATAATGGGTAAAAACCATTCAAAATATTTCTAACTGAGGGTAGTTTTTCATGAGGAATTAAAGGCAAGAGGGCTTCTCTTAATTTCAACAGATTGAAAGAGCCAACAAAAGCCTGCTTATTAAAAGCATAACGATATTCATCATCTGATGTATTTGGTGTCCAACCAGGATTGTAGGCATCCAAAAATCCGAAAGGCCCGTAATCTATTGTGAGACCCAAAAGGCTGAAATTGTCAGTATTACATACACCATGAGCAAAGCCTATACTTGTCCACTTTGCTATAGTATAGGCTGTATTATTAACAACTTCATTAAAGAATATAATGTATTTGTTTTCATCTTTGAGATCAATCGATTTAAAATGGTTCTCTATAATGAAATCTATTAGTTGTCGAAGGTTATCTATTTCCTTTCCTTTCGCCAGTATTTCTAAAGAACCAATTCGAAACCAAGATTCAGCTAATCGCAACACAATAGCGACTTTCTCGCGTTGAGGATGACCATCATAAAATTGATCTCTCATTACAGTGTCTTCACTAACAATAATTGCAGCAGCTCGGCTTGTTGGAACGTCCAAGTAATGCATCGCTTCACTGCATAGAAATTCACGAATTGATGATCTCAAAACTGCTCTGCCATCGCCATCCCTTGAATATGGTGTCCGACCAGATCCTTTTAATTGATATTCCCATCTTTTACCGTCAAACGAAATCCTTTCACCAAGGAGATTTGCCCTACCATCGCCCAACTGATCAGCCCAAGAACCAAACTGATGTCCGCCGTACCTATGTGCATAAGTAAGAGAATTCTCTGGACGGAAGACTCCGTTAATAAAGTCAACAAAATTTGAGTCTTGAGTAACTTTTGGACGAACATTTAGTACATTTCTCAAAGCATCATCCGACACAGCTAAAAGTGTTGGTGATCTTATTGGTGTAACTGGCACTTGAGAAAAAATTGCATTATGAACATTACGTCTAACATAATTTCTTTTTTCGGGATCTAAGGGAAGCTCCTTAAGGCGGCTATTATCAAATTTCCACCTCGAAAATGTTTCTATTAAAGGAATTGCGGAACAAACATCCAGATTTAAATTGAAAAGGTGTTTAAAATCATTTTTCTGACAAACGCGAATTGCAAATAAATGCTCAATATGAAGAAAAAATATAAAGAAAAGATAATTCATTTGAGACAATATTTAACTATATAGAATACGCAATAATGTTGCTGTGTTTAAATCTTGTCATTTTCTTACAATCACCTTCATGAAAACTGGTAGATATACAGTATATAAGTATGTTTTGTTTTGATCTTTATAAACAAACGTGTTAAAATTACTGCTATCTAATTACTATATATATTAGATATATATATATATATACACAAACTTGTACTTAATACTTTTGTTGACCAAAAATATTTTGAGATTTTTTCAAAATCAATGCATGTACTTTATAATAAAAATAAAATTGTTATTCGACCTGAATCATACTTTACGAGTTAATCCTATTGTATTTAAACAATATGTCATTGCAAATCAATTATAATAGTGGACATTGTTAGTTTCATATATATAGTCATTGCAGATTTTAAACTTATTTTTTTCAATCTTTTTCGATTATTGCTAGTTTGTTTCAGTTTGCCTAGGAAACAAACTAACTCTATATTGCTACTTTGTTGTTGAATAATATTTACATCGTGCTCAATGTTTGTATTCATTATGCTAAATAGTTAAATATACCAAAACAGAATAATCTCCACTATTTTCTAGCTTTCTATATATAAAAATTTTGCTTTTAAATGCATTCAAAAGTATTCATACTTCTAACGTAGGTGTATTGAATTCAATAGCATACCTTTTATATTGTCATTGATCATAATACTATACTTCCAAATTGAATTATTTATGATATAAGCAGAATAAGCAAATCTATCATGATCAGCTTAGCTAAATACTATACAATCATATAATTTTCAATTTATTAAAAGTGCCTTCAAATATTTTATAAATATATCTGTAACAGTGAAAATATATTTAAATATGTTTTTTTATTAATCAGTTTATAAAGAGTAGTGTTTTCGGCTACTTAAATGAATTTTAGGTTTTTTCTCCTTCAACTTTTTCATAGGCATTTGGAATTGGATCCTTTCTGATCCTAGCAATTCTATGATAGATTGGTTCGTTTAATGTTTCGATAGCTCTTTTTACTTTCGGATGAGTAAAACCAAATAGTTCAATACCTAGATCATACCATTTTCTGAACATATCGTAAGCTTTTTCATAGCTTCTAATATCTTCGTAATAAATTCCATAATTTAAATACAAACGATGGATCTGTAAATTCATATCTCCTCCATTTTGAGTAAGCATTTCTAGAGCTAGATCATAAAATTTTGCTTGTTCAGGATCACCTCTCACACAAGCTAGAGATCTTGTAGTTAAACAATCTCCTTCCATAAGTCTATCACCCAGCTCCCTAAAAATAGCAATAGCTTCCTTATTACATTCAATACTCTTTTCTCTGAATTGTTGGCCGTCAAGGGATTCTTGTAGACCTAGACATTAGAAAAAGATATATCAATTTTAAATAATAAACGATAACGAAAATCATACCTGTGTAGTGAAATGCAGACCTATCTAGTGTTCGTGCCAATTTGTGCCTGATTTCTTTATCTTTATTCAATCTCCAAATTTCAATTGCTTTTTCAAAGTTTTCAAGAATATTTTTTATAATTGCTGTATGACTCCGCTCGATGTAATTATCTAATTTTAACTTTTCATCTAGAATATAACCCGTTAAATAATAGAGGTTCGCCATTCGAATATCTTCCGCTTTGCCCTCTTGAGCTTCGGATATAGCTTTAGAACATAACTCGACAGAGAATTTATACTCTCCTCCTTGCGTGAGCAAACTTGATAATTTTTCAAGATATATACTTGCTTCCAAGTGATCATTTTTCGTTTTTTTTCCCTTGTTCAGAATATTCTCGGCCATATTTGTATATGTTTCAATCATATCAGTCAAGGAGCATCCTTGTCGCCAATAGTCTACAAGTTTTTTGCTAAAAATTGTATCGTAAAGTTTATTGATAACATCCCAGTCTGAGAGAAAGCCGCAAAGATCTTGTTTTCGTTTCAAAGCCACCAAATGAATTGGTAATTCTTCAAGTTTTCTATCGAAGTTTTTTGAAGAGAGGAAAAAATTAGCCAGAAGTGAATGCCAAAACTTTTTAATGCCAGTATTTTCAGTTCCTGTGACGAGAATATATAAGTTAATACTTAGTGAAATGTTATTATAATAACTAGAAAATAAAATAACCATCGGCTTTTTCGAGATATCTTTTTCTTACTGCTTTACTGAAAGATCTATGATAAAAATCCAATCTGCCTTCGCCACTATCACCAAAGGGTCTAATAAAAGGTTTTAAGGCTCTAAAAACTTCGGCCCATTTAAAGGCAGGTAATTTTTTATTATGATTTATTGGTTTTTCACTGCATTCCATTTCTTCTTTTTCGTTGGATAAATTTAAAATTTCTTCATGACCTAAAAGTGTTAGCAATTCAGTTTCGAGTAGTCCCATACCGGAAACTTCAATTAAGCAGAGAGTGGCAATCATTAAATTCCCGCCATTTTCCTCTTCGAACCTACTTAAAACTTGTACCTCTAATTCTAATAGTCCATCCTCCAAAATGTCAATTTTGTTTGAAATTTCCCGAAATTTACCAAACACTCTCAATTCTTCACACGCAATGGATAGCCAAAGAGGATTATGGGATGATTTCTTGGACAGTAGTACTTCCATTTGATCTTCATCCAAACGTTTGTTGTATTTTCCAAGTAGTGTTGTTACTATTTCTGTTCGAGTTTCACTATTTAACTCTGAAACAATTAATGTTCTGGGCTTAGGTTCTCTCCCCTCTAAAACTTCTGCTTGCTGCGTTCCGTTAATCATAGATAGGATAATTCTTATTCCCGACGACAGTTTTTTAGGCAACCAAGTAACGTATTTTGCTCCATCATCATCATTATCAAACTGATTTAAAGCATCAATAATTATGATGGTGGGGTTAATATTGTCATTTGCCAATAGTGAAGATACAACTTGAACTGCGTTTGATCGTTCATTTTCTTTTATTTCCTTACCAGTTATCTCTTTATAAAGGCGAAGAATCATATCTAAAAATACAATTAAATGTTATAAAAAAAGCAACTTGTTATCTTAGTTATTTCTACCGTCAACAGCAGTAGAGCCTGGAACTGCTCCAACAAAATGGCAAAACATCCTCCATTCTCTATTTTTGAATGGTTTTATATCACCTGCAGTAATTCTCTCCAATGCATTATGTGCAAGTTTTGCAAGAATTGATGATTTTCCACTTCCAGCATTACCCAAAACAAGATAGGGGACGTTTGCGGAAGAATCGTACAAGTAGGCTTCCATTTCTTTTATGATATCATCTCTTCCAAGGACATCTTCACTTCTACTTTTCATAAAAGATTCGTGTTGTTCTTTTCTCCTTGTATAAATATTCATATCGCCTCGTTTTTCAAGAGGATATTGAAATTCTATCCTATTTTTAAAGAAACTAAATACTTTTGATGCAAAATCGTCCAATCCAGAAAATTCTACTTGATTAGTTTCTTCATCATATGTAACTTCTCCTACTTGGTACGTTTTCACTCTGTCCTTCTGTTTTGATATTTCAATATTAAATTCATTTTAGAGAAAGCAATAAAATCAATTAAAAGTAATCTTTAAATACACTACGTTCTAAATCGATTTTAATCTATGGAGAAATCAATAGATACGAAATTCATTTTACAATTCGAACATCGTATACAGAAAAGATCTGATATGCAATGTTTAGTTATGATTGCGTAAAGACAATTTGTAATATGTCATTTCATTAAAAAGAATATACATATAGACATAAAAATATCCTGAACAATATGAGTTTTGTAAACTTCCCTGAGAAATATAATAGGGTCAAAATAGTACCCTTTGTTCGTTATTGTCGTTAATTCCTTGTTTTTTTTTGTATGTTTATAGCAACATTATATGTGTTTACTTTTAATTCCTCCATTATTGATTTAATAAATATATTGAAAATTAATGATTTCTATTAAAATAAAAAACTACCGTATTACAGGTAAATTTTATCTCTTAACAAGTGGGAAAATAACATTAACGTAGTTGTTGTCTGCTATATTGACATTTTTGTCACTACACAGACACAATTTATACGACTGCATTAAACCAAATTGTCTTTTAGGAGGCGCCATCTGCTTGTGAGGTGACAAAGTTCTAAATATATATACTGTATATATATTAGTATATGGAACCTTCTTTAGTTAAAAGTGTACTTACAAATTTTTTCGTTATGTTGTCTTTCAGTACTTTAAGTTTATAGTGACTTTCTACTTCTGTTTCTAATTCGGTAAATTCAGATTTCACATCCTTAGGAAGGAGTTGTAAAAATTTCGCATCTCGGAACATAAATAAAGCTACAAGGAGTAGTATAATTTTATTAAATTGTGCTCTAAGTTTTTATGATATATATTGATATTAAATTATATTGGCATATCTACCATTTGGATTATCTATACGATAAGCCGCATGCATAATCTCCATTTCTGTGACACTTAATCCATCTATCCATTGGTAATGATTTTTCACATATTCGGGAATAATGTCTTCGTCTGGTACCCAACCAGTTCTCTCCGATGTCATGTTAATGAAAAAAGGCCATACATTTTCTTGGTAACACCTGTCAATCTCTTCTAAACAGATCCTGAGAGTTTGCTCCGTTGTAGAATCCTTTGGAACTCCCCACCTAGTTACAATATTATAATAAATGCTGTGTATAGGGCATAAGAGATCGCTAGATATGATTATTTATGATAGAAAAGATTACTTAATGTAACAAATATTATGAGTACTGTGTCTGTGGATTTCGACGAGGACACTCTTATCCTTACCTTAGGTCACATTCTATGAGGTGTAATGTTCTGTTTTCACACCATGTCCTCAAATCAGGAAAGACTTGTTTAACTAAAATTTCTCTTTCTGCATGAAAATCTCTAAATGTTGATGACACAAAGATTCTAACAGTTTTCCATCCACTCCTGTTAACAACCAATTTCTTCTTCGTATTTTTCTTGCAGCTCTTTTGAGCTTGTTCCCAAGCAGTGTTTATCCTGAACGTATAGGGTAAGGAATCTAAAGATTTAATTTGCGCGCCATTTGATGCTCCACAACCCATACTTTCTTGTTAATCCTGGCCAAATATTTGAATTAGTCTCGATCAACACTATTTGTTCAACCGCAAAAGTGCTGAAATATCTAATTCTGTATCCCTTAAAAAACAATCTCAAAGACTAGTGAGGATTTTCTGTATTATATTTAGCTGTGTTGTAGCAACCATCGATTCTTTTGCATTAGACATAACACTTGAAAATTAAACTATTATGATATTTTCCCATTGATGTTTGATTAATGAATTATAATAAAAGCCCATTAAGAAACTATTTCTTATTAACTATTTATTTTACTCCAAATATTTTTATAGTAAACGAAAAAAATAGGCAGTTTCACTATTGAAGGATAGGAAACAACATCAATGCATTTTATGAATAAATTATAATATTCAATAAGATAATGAATATTTTTAAATTAAATCTAAGCTTTTAATTAACATGTATTATTTTAAACGGGATAATTGGAGAAATTTTTTAGATTTTTAGTATGAATAAAACCGTAAGATAAACGCGAAGTGTGCTGTATAATTTACCGCCAATGGCATATTTTATCGCTCTTTTATAAAGTATAAAACTCTCAAAAATAACTCTCAATAAAATAAGAGTTGCATTCGATCCTCAGGCATCATGCACGAAAGTTTCGTAGGTGAAAATAAAAATCGGAGAAAATGGATTATTATTGGTATTGTCGGCGGTATCGTTGCTTTAGCTATAATAATTGGATTGTCTGTCGGATTAACAAGGAAATCTAGTGGTCCCTCCGACGCTTTTGAAAGAGCAAAGTGGATTTTAGAGAATAATATTCTAATCGATGGTCACAACGATCTTGCTTGGAGAATTCTTGCTAAAGCTAAAAGTAAACTTAACAATGTAAATCTAAATGATGATTTGAAAAAAGTATGGGGAAATATATCTCATACGGATATAAGTCGATTGAAAGAAGGTTTACTTGGAGGTCAATTTTGGGCCTTATACGTTGGATGCAAGCAGCAATATCGTGATGCTGTTAGGGCTGCTCTCGAACAAGCGGATATTATTCGGAGATTCATCGCCAAGTATCCCAACGTATTTGAATACGCAACAACTGCTGATCAAGTTGAAGAAGCCTTTACAAAAGGTAAAATTGCCTCGCTTATTGGTATGGAAGGTGGTCATATGATTGATAGTAGCTTGGCAGCTTTGAGAATGTTTTACGAATTAGGTGTAAGGTATTTAACTTTGACTCACAACTGTGCAACACCTTGGGCTACCGAAAATGGAAATGAAAACTCTTTTGGTTTGACCGACTTTGGTAAAAGATTAATAAAAGAAATGAATCGAATGGGTATGATACTCGATTTAAGTCATGTATCTGTAAACACAATGAAAGATGCTCTTGATACTACTAAGGCACCAGTTATGTACAGTCATTCATCGGCAAGAGCAAAGTGCGATTCATTTCGAAATGTTCCAGACGATATTCTGAGGAGGGTGAAAGATAATGGAGGCGTTGTTATGGTCAACTTCTACAACAGATTTATTAGTTGTAATTCAAAGGCAAACCTTACCCAAGTAGCCGATCATATAGATCATATTAAACAGACGGCTGGAATCGATACTGTTGGAATAGGCGGCGACTACGACGGAGTTGATCTTACGCCTATTGGTTTGGAAGATGTTTCAACTTATCCTAAATTATTCGCTGAACTTATTCGTCGAAACTGGAGTGATGAAGACCTTATTAAATTGGCTGGTAAAAATATTTTAAGAGTAATGAGAGGCGTTGAAAAGATTAAGGAAAGTATGGCAAACGATCCAGTTATTGAAGATCAAGTAGAAGAGAAAGACTTAAACATGACTTGTCGTACAGGTTTTGAGGAAGCTATCAGTTAATTGTAAAAAATTAAATGCTTGTAGCCTTAAAATAGTGAAGTATTTTGTAATGGACCAACTGATTTTATTACTTCTTGTACTTTGCCCTTAAATATACACTTAAGAGAATTTATTCTTTCAAGGACAGCTTCTATTTCTATTTGATACAAAAGAGGTTAAATGACAAAAAAAAAAAGAAAACAGACGAAAGATACAAAAGCATGAATTAATTAAAACGTTTTGACGAAGCTCACAAAAACGAGAAAAAACATAAATTTATAGAAATAATTTTTCATTGAAATTGTAAAAATTGTATATAAAATACAAAACATAAAAAATTACCACAAATTGAGAGAAAGAATAACTTTGAGGATTTTGTAGGATATATTTCCAGAGAGAACGACTAGATGTTGACAAAATTTAGCGCCAATGTTTTTTATAGCTCAACCTTTCTACCTTTATCACCTTTTGCGTATTTAGGATTCTTTTTTTCAGATTGCGAATCAGTTTTTGATTTTTCTAAAATTGAAATTAGAAATTAGTTTTACTAGAAAAATAAAGGAAAAAATAGAAGTGGTACTTGGCTTCAATTTCTTCTGTTTCGCTTTTGAATCTGTATCATCGTCGTCATCACTTTCTCCCTTCGAAAAGAATATTTCGTCCAAACATTCTAAAAAGCAAGAAATATATAGCTAAAAGAAATTATTAGTGTGTTATCTTTCAGTCTTACTTTTGTCTTTCCCTTTAAGGTATCTATCAGCACATACATACTTCATTAAGCTAACTGTGTCTTGGTGATTATAGTACCATTCCTGAATATCTTCCTCATAATCATTTGCAAGTGCAAAACACTGAAAGGAATTTTTACTGAGTCAAATAGAGAAAATAAAAATACTTCAACGAATATTAACGAAAAAAACTGCAGTTATATCTTATTGCTTATCGAACAAAGAGTCTATATTTAGTAACTTTTTATATTCTCCTTAAAAAGCAAACTAAACAACAGTAACACATGTTGATAAAAATCATTTTGTATAAATACTTACTGCTCTATGCATTTTGACAATTTCGGACGAAGTTTCATTCCATAATTCGTATGGTATATCGTAAACTACTTTAACACCTTTATGACTGTATTAAAAGAAATCGAAGAGATAAGCGGTTGGCTATTCTCTGTTTAATTTCAAATATAGCTATTTAACAATGTTATTCGTTTTTCTAACTTTTTGTCTGAATGGCTTAAAGAGGGTTAAGAGTTTCTCTCTCTCTCTTCCCAGTTTACACCTTATTTGCCATTTAATGGGAAAATGATTTAGATACTTACACGAGATTATGTAGAGTTTGCATAGTTTCACTTTGACCTTTTGCATATCTTAAGCTTCCTTTTCTCTCAGCATGAACATTATACTTAAGAATCTTATCGCATATATGAGGATCTTCTAGCGCTTCTATAAGTCTTGTTTCTCTGGAAATATAGTTTATTAAATAAGCAAGTTTTAATATTTTGGTCATCTCTGAATAAGATAGGGAATATATATTACAAAGTAAAGAACATTCGATGAGAATATAGAATATCGACATAAGAGGAAGAGAGAGAATACAACACTCACGAATATTTATAAGGTTTCTTTTTTTTTTCTTTATTTATATCGTAGCCAGTTTCTAAGACTTGCTTGGAGTGTTTTGTTTGATCTAGTTTGTCCTGAAGTTCGAGGGCGAAGATTTTACAGACTAGAATAGAATTCGAGTGAGAGAGAACAATTATAAATAACAATGGCAAGATATCAAAAAAAAGAGAGACTTTTAAATATCTTTTCTAAAGCAAATGTAAAGAAAAAGAAACAAAAATCAAGCTACAAATAATTTAATATTGATAACGAATAAGCGCACGATGTTCTGTAATCAAATTCCTTCTTAGAATCTAAATCAAAATCATAACCGGTCCTTATTTTTTCGCGATTCTTTCCAGTCTCATCCAAACGTTCTTTTAATTCCGTTACAAAATATTTGCAAACTTATTTTTATCAAAATATGAAAGAAAATCAATCTAAAAGGTAATTTCTTTAATGTATAATCTTTCATTGAATATACCTTCACAAGGGGACGGTTCGCGTTTTTTAGGATCTGTAGTAGTATAAACGTTCTCATCTTCTTTATCAGCGGCCAAAGAACAACGACCAATTATTAAAATTACAAATACTAGCTTACTTAGCCACATTTACGGAAATTTTTGTACAAATTTATACTATTTTAACAAGGTAGTGAGAAATGACCTTGACATTGAAACTTGGTTGATGTTTATTGGTTGAGAATTTTGCTTTTTAATTTTCGCGGGAAGTACGAATGAAATAACAAAAAAACTTTAAAATAAATAGTTAATTTTCTATTGAATTCAAATATCCAGGCGATGTTGAGCAGTACATAGGACTTAATGAAGCCTTAAAGCTTTCCCAAGATTCCTCGATAGCTTCAGTGGATTCTCTTTCCTTAATAACAACTGGTTGACCTTCGTATTCCCTATAAATACCATTTATCCTAAGTTTTGATCGGTTTAATACGTATGGATCAAATGGGAAGAAAGCGTCCAGTGGATTTGACTTTGTAAAAAGCCAGCCATCGCTGAATTTCGATGAGACAACAGGTAAACTACTTCGAGCATTTCTCTCTATTATTGAATCGCAAAGTACTATTTGTTGTTGGTGAGCAACGCTCGAAAAAGTATTGACGACAGTTGGCAAACAAGCTTTCAAAGGATTAAGTCTGGATGTGACCAAAGCTTGAAGTCGTAAAGAATGAATCCAGCTCCTTGCGGAAGGAGATTTACAGAGCTCAATATGTCGAAATGTAAATGTGTAGAAGAGAGCTTGAGCAACGGAATAATATGTTGCGTGTTTGTGCAAATCGAACTCGGGCTCATTTGATTCTAACTGATAATTATGTAACCATTCAGCCAACAACGAGAGCATATTACAACAAGTTTTTGTTGAAACGTATTTAGCACGAGCCAGAAATGAAGCAATGTAGGAAGCCGATGCCTGACGGAACACAGTTTCAATTTGGGGAGAACAAACTTTCTTCCAGAGATAATCCAAAAAATCTTCAGCGAGTAAATCCTTAAAACTACATAAATAAAATATGACAAATGGAACATGACATATTTTCCACATTTTTAGAATAAGTCGATCAAAAACAAACAATAGGTCCTTATAAATAACTTTTGCTACCTGTAAGATTAGAATAATATTAAATAATTTATAATTTATTAATCATATTAGAATAGACTTACAGCAAAGTCGAGATCGCCTTCAGGATGGCAAATATCATGTAGGTAAGTAAAAAAAATGTCCATCATACAATCTAATCGAGCTCCTTCTTTATGAGCTAATTCATTCTTTTCAGTCTCCATTGTAAACGTGCACGATTCTTCCATATTCTCCTCAGCCTCTAGTATGGCTTCTCTAGAGGCTCTAGCCTATTTTATTTTGATATAGAATTACAAGTCACATTAATATTTATATAAAAATTGCGAGAACTCACATCTAATTTCAACATTCTATCAATAATAACTTCCAATAAATATTCCCTTACAGATGCCAAATACGTACTACATTTCAAAACGTGCTTAGTAAAGTTTTCATGTTGTTCCACGCTTTTAGTCATATGAGGAAAATATCTGGTTATTGCTTGAGTGATCTTCTCTTCGGTACTAAAAAGCAAATCAATTTTGCGATGAGCGTAAAAAGAAAAAAGGCCTGTATACAAACTTTGACAATCCATTTTTCGATGATAAATTTAATAATAAATCGTGAATTCGATTTTGAGCTACTTCTTCTGAAGCACCTGAAATAATTCTATTCATTGTTGATTGTTATAAAATTAAAATTCTTTTATATCATACCAGTGATTAGAAAAGATTTTATATTAGCTTCAATAATATCAGTTTCGAATTCTGGATGAGAAGAGGCTAGCAAATTAGCGAATTGAATGTAGGCATTAGCTATATTTTGGTCTAGATTTGTCCATTTCAGGCGTAATATTCTGTAGATTAAGTCTTTGCAGTTCTCTACATTTCTTGAAGTTAATTTAGTAGCATTTTGTGAGACCTCTAGAAGTAATTGTTCTACTTTTGTTGCCTAAGGACCATATCACATAAATTTAGTGAACCTAATATATTTAATCAATATTCTACCAACCTCCAAGTCTGGGTCACTAATCTGTGATATGAATTCCTCATATATAGTCCTGTCCTGCTGCATAATGAGTGCTAAGTAAAACTGCTAATACGGATGAATTTTTACTTACGCTGTTAAGAGACTCCAGAGCGGTGGTCAAATTCATTGTACCCAATTCTCTGATCTACTTCACACAATTTTGATTACATAAAATCAAATATTTATGGGGGAGAAAAGGTGATCACGCCGCAGTGCTGTACCGGAAGTTTTGAAGTGACTTTTATTTTCGTAAAAATTCAACCTTCACCTTAGAATTTCGCAACTTTCTGCAAAGTTTTAGCGTTTGCTATTTATATGTGTAACATATTAAGAAGGTTCCATTACTATTCATTTACGTAGCTTATCTACCATGAGAAGATCAGTGTTATAAAATTCCTATGAATCATGAAAAGTATCTAAGTTTCATAGATTTATTTTATGAAATAAAACCAAAGTTTAAATAGCATAGTTTTTTAATAAAATCTTTTTATTAAATGAACTTTAACAGAGATAGAACATTTTAAGGAATTATAGTAAAATAAATGGCTATATTCTAAATTTTTTTCCCCATTAATAAGCCATTCAAATAATCTGCCCAAGTCTCGTAGGAAAGAGTTCCACTCGAAGATATGCCGAGATCAACGTTATTAATAAAATACCATGGGGTGCCAGAAACGCCACCTAAACAAAGAATAACAAATGATTAGCTATTCAATAATCTATTATGCGTTTTATTGTATACAGACGTCTTGTAGCATATTTCCAAGTAGTTCTTACTGGACCGCTGAAAGCCAATATGTCTGTTGTGTTAAATCCTTGTTCGTAGCCAACTGAAACAGCAATTTCTGACAAACGTCTACAATTATAAAAAAATGATAATTCGTCTTAGTCGATCATTTCTTAATAGTAATAAGGATATTACTTAGTCATTTCTATTGGGGTTTTAGTCCAGCTACGCAGTCCAAACTCCCTTATATTTTCGAAGATGGCATCAGCGTACGGTACAGTTAATGAGGCATTGTTATTGTTTATAAAATAGTAGGCAAGAGTTGATAGATAGCCATATTGATGGTATGGTAGAGCAAATTGATTAACTGTTAATCTAACCCCCTTCGGGGCAAAATCTTGAGCAACTCTCTTCAATACAGGCCATGTGACTTTACTATCAGGACAATTCAACTCCAAAAACACTTCAAAATCAACTAATACCTTTTTAGCCAGAGTATTTTCCGAAAGAATTACTCCAGGTCTTCTCCTCGGAACTGGAATTACTGGGTTTATTACTTCATTTCCTAGTGTTGCAGTTGCAATTGTTGCAGCCAAGACCAATACGTAGAACGTAACCATGACGTGGCTAATTATAATCGTAAAGAGTTATGCGCGACCTATTTTTTCAATTATTTAGGCCTAACTAAGAAAAAATATTTTTCTTAAAAAGTCTCCTATTTCAAATATATAGTATATAAAACTTGTTAAATTTTAATATATATGCATAAATTAACAATACGACTACTTTAATAATAAATTAAAAAGTTTATTTTATAACATAAGTTAATTTATTAAGGCATTCATTCTGCTCTAATTAACCAACCTTATTTTTTATGTTAAAAACGATTTAAAAGATAATGAACGATTCAAGCTCAATGGCTAAACTAGTGAGAATAACTGAAATCACACACACATATAAATATAAATATTCTTATCTATTCAATAGATAAGATGAAAAAAGAAATATATACATACACAAACATATATATATATATATATATGTGTAAAGAGATTGGTAGGGATAGTAGTAGGTAGAAAATGAGAAGGATTTGAAGTAATAAATTAACATATTATAATATGAAAAATAGAATTAAAAATCTTTTTCTATAATTGAGAATCGATTTTCTTCACATTTCATAACATTCATTGTTAACAATTGATTAAGACGTGCAGATAACAAGCCAAATGATGAAAAATGACTTGTATATGATTTATCGCATAATGTTAAAATAAGGAAATCGGTGTAGATTTTATTATAAAGTGTGCAAGGTGTACCTGTTAGTTTATCCGTTGAAAATTCCATTAATTTTTCCTCAGCAACGTGAATATTATCACCAAAGGTCAATTTAATAAGAGATCCCATTAAATTGCTATCTGTACTCAAGAAGACTTTACTATCTGTAAAATTTCTTATATTTTCGTTAATAGTTTGTATCAAATTTTGATAACAGTTTTCAGTCCATTTACCAACACCCGCCTCATCCCATCCAGATTTAACTTCAAAGCATATTAACTTTTTAGGATCATCTTCGGCATCAACATCTCTCATTTGATTCAAGTTGTTGTCAACAATCTGTTGTAAATTTATTTTCGGCTTAAAAAGCTTTTTAAATACATTTCTGAATGTTGAACGTAAACTCTTCGATGTTAAATTCTTCTCTTTTAGTAGTTGTACAACAGGCTCATCAAAATTTTGATACATAAACGATGTACTTGATTTTATTAGGATACAAGATTCATTTCTTTTTCTTAATTCCATTATTGATTGGCTATTAATAATTTTATGATAATTAAATGGTACTTTTAATACATATGAATTATATTTGTTGCAAAATCTATCCCTTTGAAGGTGTAAATGGGATGGTTCAAAGTGATTGGACATTGGGCATCTTGTTGGCCAATTATCAATGACTACTAGTTGCCTGTCGAGAATTTCGGCGAGCATATAACAAGAAGATATTGATCTTATTTTATTACCTAATCCCCCTGGTCCTTCACATTGCAATAGTTTTGTTGTTATTCGATTTATTGGCTCGTATACAATTTCATCTCCGCCAACTATCATCTCATCTACTTCTTCGTCAACATCCATTAGAGGACCAGTTTTAACATTGTACGAAACCTCTGAATCTAATTCAAAGTCATCCGAATTGGCTATTTTATTATCTGACGATACTCGAAATACTACAGAAGACGCATCAGGCTTCTCAGTAAAATCTAACAGTACAGTTATAGTACAAACAATAACCAGCAGAATTATGAGTATATCCTGAATTATCAATCTCATCCTTTCACTTGTCCAGCAACATACCCCAATATTCAACTACTTTACATTAGATTTTTTGAGTACTACTCAACAAAACTCTTCTTTATTTTGTATTATTGAAAGATGTTTCATTCCTCCCACCCACTCATCCACCCCTTGATAGTTTTTTTTTAACAACTTATCCAAAAAAGATATACATTAAGAAATGTAAATATTGATCATAATAGTGATTAAGCAAAAAAAGAATAGAAAAAAACAATAATTTTAATAAGGACGTACCATGTTATAGTAGATTATTTGATTTATTAATAGAAATTAGTTAGGACATTCGTTTGCCTATCTACAAAACTAACCTTTTTGTGAATAAATACACAACATTGTCTTAACAAGTAAAATTATTTATTAAACGTTTGCAAAGCTGATCGGAGTGCAATACTTAAACCATATATATCTTCTGATGTATCAAATTCATTTTGTATATGTTGGGCGTTTTCCAAGCCAAGAATACCAACTTGATAAATTTTCTAAACGTTCATATTAATTTATTATATAAAGGGGAATAATATTTGAATTTATTACTTTATGACCTACCTTATTCTTTCTTATCGCTGTATTACTCATTTTAAAATTCCCGTGCACTAAGCCTATGTTATGTAGACCATTAATTATCTTAAACAGTTTAATTGCTATTATTAATAGACCCGCAACTTTTGTTTGACGTAAGCTGGCAACTTGTTTCAAAGTTAATTGTTTGCCGTCACCTCCGTAGAAGACAATCATCGATGTTTTGTGTTTTTCATTGTCGTAAGTAGTAATTCTCTAATGTAATGTAGATATTATTGAAATTAAAACATTTTGAGTATAATAATAATAGTTTTACTGTTACAGAATTTGGTCCAGTTGAGTTTTTGGTTTTTCGCATCTTCTTCTTTGGCGCCCTAATCGAGCTTATTGTATATAATAAAGGATTAAGGGCGCTGTTTATAGGTAGAACGAATACGATCACAAAAGCGTAAACATCACCCGATATCTCCGTTCCAGTTACGGCAACGAAACCAATTATGATTATAGGTAACCAACAAACAAAATCAGTAAGAATGATTAACATGATCTTTCTTGCTACAGCAATTTGATTCCTTCTTTGAGAACTTCCTAAACTGGAGCTGGATGAATTAATTATTCTATACATATAGAAGTATCCAGCTGCAATGATCACAAAACAAACAAAATTGAAACCGAGAAATATTGCTGCAGAATATTGCCATCCAGCTGGTCTGTCTGCTGTCAATGGTAGTGAAACACATACACCGGATCTGCCATAGAAATTAGACCCGAAATAGTCAATCGGAAAGAGTGGTAGGATACTAATAATAAAAACAAATAGCCAAACACCAAATAGTGTTACAATTGTACTTTTAGTTGTTAATTTTTTTGTACTTAGAGGGTTTACTATATTGATAACTCTATCGAGCGTCATAAGAGCCAGAGTACAAACGGAACCCTCACTAGAGAGTGTTGCTAAGAATCCAGAAGTTTTACATAACCAATGATTCCTCCATATACTATCGTATTCAATATACTTTCCTTTAAGATAGATATCAACAGATGCTATTATCAGCATGTATATTCCCATTAAAAAGTCGAAAATAGCTAAATTTGTAATTATCATTGAATTTGGTGTTTTCATCATATCTTTAAATCGCCAGATAAATACAAAGGCGTTACCTAGACAAGCCGATAAGCCGAAAATCCATAAAAATGCTCTTAGATAATTTTCTCTCATCAAATCATTACAACTGGATATAGCATCTGCGGCTGGTTTACAATTGGATTTATCAACTTGAGGGGATAAACAACAAAAGCGGAATTCATCGCTCGTTAACTTTATCAATTGACTTAATGGAGCGAAAGTTTTACTATTAGCAGCTCCGATATCATTATCACTTAAATCCAATTCTTGTAAATTTGACAAACCAAAGAAGGAATTATCAAAAATTGATTCCAACCGATTATTTGCCAAATCAAGAACTTTTAACGAGTTCAGTCCTTGAAAGGAATTATCTGGCAATTTTTCAATATTTAAACCAGATAAATATAAATTAGGCAAACTATTTAGACCGTTGAAAGAGTAGGGGTCTATAATTCTCAAGTTACGATTACCAGTTAGGACTAATTCTTGTAGTCTTCCCAAACCACGGAAAGTATTGGAACTTAAGCGTTCAATACTATTCCAACTTAGGTCCAATGAGAATAAATTTGGAGTTTTTGTGAAAGAATATTCTTCCAGAAAATGAATATTTGAATGAGATAAATTTAACTTAGTAAGAAATGGAAAAGTATAGAAATCTTTCTGTGTAGTATTCATATCAACAAATGGTAATTCTAATTGTCTAATGAACTCTCTTGCTTCTTTAATTCCATTTAAATCAACTGGAATGTTACAAAACCAAGATAATCCAATACATTTACAATGAGCAGGACATTTTGTCTGACAAAATTCTTCATCATCTTTTTCTGGGCATTCAAATTTACCATTACATAATTGATAAGGAGGAATGCAATTACGGCTAGATTTACATCTATAAAATCCAGGACAAGAGTAGTTATCTAACAGAAATAAATTAATAAAAAGGAAAATTGAAAGGTACGTTTATGAAATCAATATTTCAATTTTTACCGCAATTTTGCTCATCTTCACCGTTTGAACAATGCCAAACACCGTCGCAAACATATCTTAGAGGAATACAATAGAAGTTGGGACATCGTACATAGTCTTTTGGACAAGTCATAGGCGTAATTGACTTATCTTCCTCTATAGGATGTTTAAACACGTGAATTAATACATATGTACTATATTTAAAGCTATATGAATTTTACTGCAAACGGGAACATCGCAAAATTCTCTTCTATGATCAGGGCTAAGGGAATGGCACCAGGGAGACTTTAACCTCCAAACGTTTCTACAAAAGTTATGAGCGTCCGAGACAGTTGCCTCTCTAACCATCGATGGTTCGTTAACGTCTTGAGCGTGAGGATAATCAATATCCCATCTCTGACAGTATTTACCTGTATTAGTCCTATTTAACGTTCCCCGATATTCTTCAGCAACAACATCTTTACCGCATTCGGTATTTTGCGGTTTAACATTGTCTAAATAGTATTTTTTAAAAAGAAAAACAATAGAATTTACAGATCTATTTAATTACACCTTTACCGCAATCAATTAAATGAGACATATCTCTACAGCCAATTTGAATGTTATACTCATCATATTCGAATAAACAACGTTGTCTTTTATCAACTTTCTGTAAATTATTACAAATGAATTTCTCAGATTCTTCATGTCCCAGATCTGGTTGGTATTATAAGAATTTTTCTATGATGAACAGCAATAATTCATTACAATTTACTTACCGACTAAGCACATTAATTTTCCTATTTCAAGGGAATTATACCTCACGTTTGTTGTCTTTAGATATATATATAAAATTGGTATAAATAGCCTATTAGACACTTGAAATGTTTCTTCGCAATTACCATTTCTAGTTGTTTTTTGCTATAGTAATTAAGTAGAAATTGAAATGAAATTATATATACTGTACCCGTCAAAATGCTTGTTGATGAAAGACTCTAGATATATTTTTATGTTGTTTACGCTATAGTAATAACTCGAAGACCATACCACACTACCGCAAGGTTTTATTGTTACTGTTTGAGTACAGGATTTAGATTTTTGCATTGCGGCAACTAATAGTTCGTTATTTGGGAAAGCTGGATAGTAGACGTCCACGTGAATTGAATTTGTATCATTATCATCCTGGCTTATTTTAATTGCTTTATCTATATCTATACGGCCAACATCTATTGTTTGATTTATATAGCAGGTAACACTCGGATAACCTTCTCCAACGGCATTTCCTAAATCTACGTATACATTAATATGAATTTATTTATAGCATATATTTACTTAACAAAGATGTTTACTTGAACAAAGGGAAATTGCTGTTCCATAGCAGCCAATTTCATCTTCGTAAGAACATCCGGCACAATCGTGTGTCTTGTCACAACGAGTTTTCCAAGGAAGACAAGCGCCATCAAAACATTGAAACATGTCTGGTTGCATACAAAAATCGCATTCACTTTCATCTGAACCGTCCATACAATGTTCAATTCTATCGCATCTGTCCGTGTTCTTAATACATTGTCCATTAACACACATAAATTCGTCCTGATCACACGTCTTGAGAACTATTTGATAGATTTCATAATGAAATTATATAATAGAAAAAGAATCGCTTGCAAATAATACGTACCGCAATTGCTTTCATCTTTACCATTTGAACAATCCTCTTTCTGGTCGCATTGATAAGAGAATGGAATGCATTCACCATTTCCGCAACTATAAAATGATGAGGGACATTCTAAAGTACAACCTATTTCGTCGGATCCATCAACACAATCATTTTTACCGTTACAGACGGCCCAAATATGAATAAACTCTGAATTATTACATTTAAACAACGAAGAATCATTGACTAGAGAGGAGTTTAAATTTAAATCCAATTTTTCTCTCCTTAATGAATAATCATCCAATTTGCAGATGAATTGTTTAACGTTGCTCACTGAACAGGGTACATCGTGCCATTGATTAGTCGAATAAAGGTTTCTTAATTCTATAACAGCACAATTTTCCAAAGATCCACCATCTGGTTGAGATCTGTCCGTTATTGATGTATTTGCCCTATAAATTATTAAAGAAACCAATTGAGATGTTATGTATTGGTGAGAAAATGTTCATACCATGCAGTAAATACCATTGGTCGACCATCAGACCACCAGAACTGACCTTCATTCTTCCTATCGTTCAAGCCTGAAATAAAAGTTCAAACACTAGTTAATTGTCCTATTATTTTTCCTGAATTTTGGATAGAATACCTATAAAGGTTCTAGTATTGTTACTTCTCCATTCAGTAGTAAGTAGATGATGTATGATGCTCATTTCTCCTTCGTTCATAATACTTAATAAATGGGATTTTTTAGTTTGACAAGTGCTCTCTGCATCAATCCAGGTCATAGTCGTCTCTTGAGAATGATAACGATAGCAAGATTTTTCATAATGAATCCAATTTCCAGGACAAAGAGTTGCTATAAATAAAATTGACTATTTACAATAAAATAATTAGTATTTAATGTAATTCTATTGAGTTACAGTTTCTTTCAATCTTTTGAAGACTATCAACCGAAAGACTGCTTTCGAAGGTGATATATTTGGCAAAGAATCCTCTCTTTGCTGAATATGCTTGGTCACTTTTCATTCGAATTATCATTCTATTCCAACTTGAATATAAATAAGTTGGAGGTTGTTTTACATTGCAGTAGCGTCCAATGAGCTGAACACAGTTATTGATAAATGGTATAATTTGTCAAAAAAGAAAACAAGAGACAAACTTTTTCCACTCCTTCCCAACTAACATCGTAAACTTCAACATAATCTTGAAGACATTCAGGTCGTTCAGATTCCATATTAACGTGATAAAACTGAAGTTGAATATACTTGTAGAGTTCCACTTGAATATTCCATTCAGCGTTTGTGTCCGATGGATAATTATGAGGATAGAAGGTTGAAGCTAAAAAACCACATTCCGATTGGCAGTAATTTATTTTGGACATTAGGCCTATGGCACATCCTGTGCAATCTAAGATAAATAATTTATTTATATTAATATAATGAAAAAATCTGGAATGTGAATATGCTATTAATATTACTTGTATATGATACAGTTGCTTTAAAACCCGAGTTAGAAACGATTTTAAAAGGTTCGCAAGAAGAGAAGATGATTCTTATATAGGCTATGTCAGTCATAATCAATGGAAAAGCATTTCCATTTGCAGATTGCACAACATCCGTACTATTGTTTATTACACTGTATAAAGTTACAGAATCTTGGCAAAATCCCATTTTAAACTTTTCCTAAATTGATAATTGATAATGATATTAGTATTAAATAACATGATCTTGTGATCTGTCACCTCTTCATCTTTATAGAAAAGATTAAATGCTTCAAAATCAATTTTTAGACTTTTATCACTTGGTTTTATAATATTCCAAATACAATTTCTACGACCTCCGTAATAATTAGGATAATCGGGTGATGTAAATGTCATAGGCTTAGTAATCTCTACTTGAGAGCATTCATTCGTAACTTCTCCAGAATTGTTATCATGGTTAATAGTAAAACGATAATTAAACGTTTGAACACCGCTTAATATGGTAAAGTTTGTCTTTGACGAGTTGAAAACATCTAGAGACAAGCTAGGATTATCTTCTATTAGAAGGTATTCTTTTATTTCTGTTGAATCAATATAAGTATTTTTTTGAGAAAATATAATTGGACAAATTGCATTTGGCGACGAAATTCCGAGAAATTCGTTAGCATTTAAGGTAATATTAACAACTCGGTATCCTTGGTTACCAGTTACTTTTACTACTGAAATTCTTTGTGCTGTAATATTGAATTCTTGCCATCTCCAAACTTCTAAATAAAATGAGTCGATAAATGGATAATAGTATATTTCCTTTATTGTTATTGGCGATAAATTTGAGAAGGCGTCTAGTCTATGATAACAATGACGTTCGCTTGGAGGTGATGCTATAAGCGGTACAGCTGGATATCCATGAACATTATTTTCCCTTACTATTAGATAAATGTAATATTCAGAATTCAGATAAATTAAAAAAGCTTAAGGAAAAATACTTGATTCTACTATTTTCCTACAGCCGTATAGCTCAAATTCAAGGCATGGTCTATCAGCTGTGGAATTTAACATTAACCTGACAAAGCTTGCTGTTATTTCCAATGGGAATATGAAATATTGTAGGTGATGGCTGGATTTCACGAGGTAAGTCTGCAAGTGTACGAATATATACTCTAGTTTCCTTCAGAAAATGATGTATTAGCATACTTTATTGATGGAAAGTAATTCCTCGACAGAAAATCCATATTTAATAGTTATCAAATGTCTTACATAAAAGGCGGAAGACTCCAAGCCTTTCGTAGTAAATCCTTGTAAATTATACTTGCTAATTAAATTAACCTATTTTATGTTAGTAAAAAGAGAAATAAACAAAATTCTCTATTAAAAGTATGGTAATTTTACTTGTATATATGGCTGTTTGTCCGTATAATGAGGACACCAACCGCCACCTCTATACAACCTGGCGAAAAAAGGAAGAGTTGTTGAATCTTCTTCAGAAGAAGCTGATATTTGAACAGCTTTTATTTGACCACTTGCAAGACCCAGAGGCAAACCACAACCTGTACCTTTACCATAAACTCTTACTTCGCATAGCTGAAGATATTTTAATTGTTCGGAAATTGACTCTAAAATAACGAATCGACCGAACATATCTTCTGGACAATGTTGTAATGTCACCATAGAGTCGATTGTAATATTATTCTTACAAACTCTCTTTTCAAGACTATCATACGAAGCAAGAATGTCGGTGTTTTTCAAAAGACGTTCGCCAGTGATTAATTCAACTGCATATATTCTATAAATTTCAGTTAAATCTACTCTAAACCATGGATTTTTTTCTTTTGTTGTAAGAGCACAGGTATCTAAAAGAGTGAAAAGGAAAAACAACTAATAAAATATTGGCCAAAAATTTAATTAATCTCTTAAGTAAATGAAGAATTATATATCTCACTCGGTACGCCATCGACTGCAAGATAAGAACCATGAATAGAGGAACTTTGACTAGTTATTTGGTGCAGTCCAATATTGTTTGTAGTCGGTAAAGCCAAAACTAATTAAAATAACTTATTTATATAAACAACGTGTGATAAAAAACAATAACTACCTTTACAAACATATCCTATTGGATAATCGCATGGAGTATCATTCCAAACTCCCATTTCATTCCATAAATTAACGCAATCTTCAATATCATAGGAATCATTAGGTTCACCCGTATTCCAGTCTCTGTTACAAGTATTATATATTACAGAAGCTAAAATATGGTTTGATTAATTAAGTAAATCTAGGAGGATAGGCTTCAAAAAGAATATAATTATTATATCTTACTCTAGAGTTCTATCAAACGGCATTCCATCTTCCCATTCGAAAACACCTTCGTGTCTTCGATCTGATAAGCCTATATAGTACCAAAGTTGGCTAGAGTTGGCCTTTAATTTTAAATACATCTGAAAAAGAATTAATAAATATTATATTTCTATTATATCAATGAACAAATAAGAGGAAGAGAGGAGAATAACTTGTTCATTTTTATTCGTTTGAGAAGCCAAGTGAGCACCATTAAATTGGCATTTCGTTTCCGCTTGCCAATAAGTCATCTTCTCTTCATCGAAATAATAACAATAACCTCCAAAATATTCCCATCCGTTCTTACAATATTGTTTAAATTGATTTTCGGATACTAAAACAACAAATAAGGTTTTCATTAATATTCATAAATATGACTGAATTTATATGTCATATTTAATAATAATTAATTATGATTTTAGATGACAAAAGTACCGGATGCTCCAGTAAACAGCAAAGGCAATATAATCGGTAAATTTTAGAGAATTCTTTTCTAAGATGAAATCCAAAATAATTAACTTGATAAGAGAAGTAATAAAAAACGGAAAACTCTTAACACGGCTATAAAGTTCTTCAATATCAAGAAAAGTATACTTATTACCGTTTTTTTCTGTTGTCCAACCAGCCGAACATTACATTATTTACATAAAGATGTTTTTTTACAATTAACACATTTACTTTCTCCTTAATTAATTTAATTACTATTCATAATATTCAACGTATTTTATGAATGAAATCTTATAAGTTTAATAAGTTTTATTGAAATTTGAAAGTGTCTTACCTGAATTCGATAGAGTTTTACATATTTTCGATGTAAACCAAATAATTAAAAAGACAATAGATGAATAATTTGAAGATTTCATTTTTTTAACAGTCGAATAAAATGATGCTTAAACGGCAAATGCTACAAAATATTTTTAATATATAACGACACAGTTATCTAAGAATGATTTCTATTGGTTAATAATTTATTAGCATTTATAGATTCTTAAACTTATGCATCATATTTATAGCGATTAATATTCTATTTATTATTTAATATGTACGTAAATGAACACAAGATATTGTTTACTTAAATCTAATCTTAATTATGTATAAAAAAAAGTTTACTACGTTAACTAATAATAATTTTTTGAATAATAAACGAAAATATGAAATTAATAATTATCAATTAAGATTCTATTTTCTTTTTTTTCATCATTAAAGAGTCCTTTGTATCAAATGTACTCTTATATTCTTTTGAAGTTTTCTAGTAAAAAAAAAAGCGTTCAATTGATATTTTATCATAGTCCAACACCCAATACCTCTTTTATTATTGAATATCACAAAAAAACTAAAATATATCCCTCTGTTTTATCGCTTCCAACAAAAAATTTCCAATTGAAAAATGAGAGGTGTACTGTGTCTTTGTCATGTTTCATAGGTCAGTTTAGTTTGTCCAAAAATACTGCTCCTCTCTCTCTCTCTCTCTCTCTCTCTCTCTCTCTCTCTCTCTCTCTCTTTTTTATAGATAGATATAAATCTCTCTGTCCTCTCCTTCTTGTCTTGTTGGAATCAGGTAGACGACGATATTTGTTTTTATCTAAAAATGTATTCTATAATATATTAGACAATAGATGGCGTCAGTTGATACATTTAAAAATGTTTAATTGTATGAGAGAAATAAGCTTATTAAAAGAGCAATATTTTACAATAAGCCTGACAAAGCATGGACTTACTATATTAGGTTTAAGTATATGTTGTTTAGCAACAATATCACCTGCTGTTTTACTGTTAGTTCAGGGTAAAAGAAACGCTGCTGTAGTAATTTTGACCTTTGGAATAATAATCTTTTTCTGTTTTATATATACTTTTACCTCTTTTCTAAAGCGTTTAGAGCTTTATTCCGAAGTTAGAATATTATTTTTCATTTAATCCCATTTTATTTATTAAAAAACATATCAATTAATTAAGTTACAGACTGAAGAAATAGTTGACTATAGAAGGCGTAAAAGAGTTTGTTTTTCCAACTTTTACATTTGTACATACATACATACATAAATGCTGTAAGCGTCTCCTTTTAATTCTTTAGCAAAGGTTAAGAAATTTCAAAAAATCAAAGGTACCTATCCGGAACCGGAATAAAATTAAAAAAATGTTCTATACTTTAGAATAAATCATGTTCTTTTTTTTGGCCTATAGAGAAAGAATAGGAAGAAGAAATTTTCCAGTTTTCGTCCAGATCCCATATTTGAAAAGGTTTACATTCTTTATTAATATTAAGTAATGTAATAATATTAAAATTTTACTTTACATTGTTAGAGAGCATTGTACGACGCTTCTCGTGCTAATAAAAACAAATACAACTCTAAAGATCATTCAATGACTGCTGTTGAATTTTCTAGTCCAAATTTTCGAACACCATTCTATTCGTTTTCTTTTCATAGAGATAGAAAGAGTGAAGTGAACGGAAACCATCAATAGAACATATAAATTAATGGCTTTTTTGAATGACGTCATAGTAAACTTTTTGATAAATATAAAACAATTTGAAAATACTAGTCCTAAAGGTTTCTGTTCAAAATATAATTATGCAAGAAGTAGAAATACCGTCATCAGGAGTTATTACCCTAATTGGTACATTTTCAATACTAACTATACTAAGTACAATATCCTGTTTAATTATTGGTCAATTTATCACCGAAGATATGAACGCAGCAAATTCAATTATCCTCTTCTTCGCCAGTGGTTTTTTATCAATATTTATAACTATACTAATATTTTTCTTTATAACATTTTGTATCCAAATAAAGGTATTTATTCAAAAGAACTTTTTAATTTTAAACACGTTTTAATAACATATTAATAAATTACTTTTAGACTGATAAAAAGACAATGGACATTAAATAGATTGTGTTAATTTTTATATTTATGTAATTGTTTATAAAGTTATTAAGTCTTATTTACAAATAGATCATAATTAATCGTTTATTAAGCATAAATAATATTAAATATACTTATAAAGTATACTATTAAGAAATATTAAAAGTCTTGCTCTTATTTCGTTATTTCTAAATTAGAATTCTTTATCCAATTAGAATTGTTTTTTATTTGCTGTTTTACATTTTAAAAAGAGTAGGATTGATGAATCTAGGGCTAATTCAAAAAATTCAAATATTGTTATAACGGAAAATCCTAACCAAAGACCAACTTGACCGCCAAGATCGGAAAGGAGGCTTGTTGTCTATAATGAAAATATTTATTATTAGAGTTGTTAACAACACTATTAAAATTTAATTATATACTTGATAAGTAGCTTCTCTACTTATTTTTAAAAATGTTAATGATGAATAATAGACATGAACTTTCAGTACATTTTGACTGACAAAGGTTTCTCTTTTCTCGTTTGTAAAATCCTTCAATCTATTATATATCACCTCATTTTTCATTTGCAAAAGATCAATAATATCTCCCTTTTTTATGTAAATAAAGAAAAATTAAATAAGACGACAGTACTTTTTTATTGAAAAATGATATCCTTACCGTTTTAGGAAGTGATGGCCATTGGGCATGACTTTCCCTTATTTCAAATATATTTTTACTATTTGAAAATATTGAATATTAATGAATATTCATAAAAAATAGCAATGTTTGTTAAAATTTTCTTATTTAACTTACACGCATTCGGCTGGACATTCAGTTTGGCATAATTGTGAATTTCTTGAAAATTCTAATTCTACTTTATCCTTACAATGAGCTATTAAATTTAAATAGATATTTAAATAACAAGAATAATAAATAATTAATAACAAACTTTGTGTTGTATTACTCCTTTTACATGGTTCAACTGAACTTTTAAAGGTTGAACTATGAAAATTGTATCTTGGATCGGCGCAGTCACATCTTGAAATTACTCTCTTCTGATAACAAGTTCTCATACAAGCCTTTTATAAATGAATAAAAGATAATTTCGATGTAGATACTAATTGAAAGGATAATAAAATTTTACCTCTTCAGTATAGGAAATATTTGATAATTCATTCCAAAATGCATTAACGTTTTGATTTTCCAGTTTAGAAAAATTATTGCAGATTCCGTATGGTGGCGACAGGTTATTTGACACTTTCAATTGGAAGCCAATAAATGACAATTTTCCGGGAGATATAGCCACTCCTTTATCTTCTGGAAAAGGCATATCAGTGGGATCGTGAACAACTAATTGAATTCCAGCAGATTCTGCAATCTCTTTTATATATTGGGATTGATCGATAAATAAAGTTAACGTTAAACCTAAAGATGTTTGAAAAGATGAAATAATGAAAAAGTATTAAAATAAAAAAAAGAAAACCGTTAAGTGGACCAGGTTTATTAGAGCTTTTCCTATCAGAAACGTTGTCAGGTATATATGAATTAAATGTAAAACAATTACCATAAAAGTAATTATTAAATAATTTAAAATCTCTGAAAGGAAATGGTAAAGTGTTAAAAAATAGAAGGATAAACAATAATTAGCTTTTCTTACTTTGGACCGCATTTTTTCCCTTCGATTGAACAAGCTAACAATGTATTAGTTATATTATATCCCAGGTCTATTCTACTTTTCTTTGGTAAAGTTGAGTAATATTCTAAAAATTGTGAGTTTACACTATAAACATTATCTTCTTCAGAACTATCCGTATCATTCCAGTCAAAGAATGAAGTTGGTTTTTTAGTAATAGTTCCATTTCTATTTGATTCTTTTCCCTTATTATAAAAGGATATTATATTATTAATAGTAGAAAAATGATATTATCAGGGAAATAGAAAGAAATTAACTTTTAACAAGCCTTTTAAAGATGGTCCAGCATTTTCAATCAATTCACTTCGAATTGGATTTAAATTACAGAATGAAACTGCTGGAAATGGTAAGGAAGGACTACTATGAAGTTGAAATTTTGTTGTTGTTGGATATGAATAATAAAACATAATTGCCTTTGTAACTTGCCAAATCAGGAATACTAATGTTTGATTTAATAATATTTGTATTTCTTATGGAAAATAGCTAAAATTACAGTCTTACCAAACGCGAATAAAGTTGTTATCAACCAAAACATTTTTTTAAGAAGACCACTTGATCTATATACATTTGGTAAACCGTGCATACCCGTCCTTTCAATCATATTTCGAAGAAGACTACGAAAGTTATCTTCTTCGTTTATTTTCTCTATATTCTTTTCATCCATGTCAAAACTTGAAATTACTATGAAAAGAAAAAGTTATACCTTTTCGACATATAAAGATTATTTATGAGAATCCAGGGTAAAGAACGTATTTTATAAAATCTCTCTCCAATTAATATATAGGAGTTTAATAATTCCTGCTAATCGGATTAATAAGGATTATGAAGAAGAAAAATTATCACCTGCACAATTTTCACTCATTCGACCGGTTAGATGCTTGACTTTATTACTGCTGAGCATTGTGGTGACAATACAGCGTGTATTTAAAGACAAATATATTATAAAATTACCAATCACCCTAATTATAAATAGATAACTACTTTACATGCAAAATGAAAGTTATTTTCTTTCAACTAATTGACAAAATATAAATTATTGAGCCGAATTCTATTAATATATTCAATAAATATAATAACGCTAAGAAATTATAAATGAATAGTTTTAAGTTGAGTTTATATTAAAATATTATGTCTTTTAGATACAATATACTGTATAGTAGATCAACCTAGGGCAGTTTTACCGAAGGATGATTCAGTATTTACATTTATGTGTCAATATGACGTTATTTCTAACTACTCTAAATAGGAAAGATTCAACTTATAATACAGCATGTATATGTATGAATGCATATTTCATAATTTAATTAATTTTTATTTCAATTTGCTAAGCACAGCAGAGATGATTCAAAAGTAATAGGAAAAATTCAACTAAAATTTCAGTCTTTTTCAAATTAGTTCAATAAGCAAATTTTTTTTGATCATGCATTTTTTGTCTGTAATGTTAAAATTGACTATTTAGGCCTCAATTTGTTTTTTTATAGCTTTTACTAGTAGGATACCCTGCTTGAATAGAGCTACAATCTGATCGGTATCTCCAAGAGAAGCTCTGTAGGAAGCCTGGAGTTTCCAAAAAATGGCAGTTTCTTCGACAATTGTAAAAAATTCTGTTAGAGCTCTGCACAGAGGTGAGGCTGGTTTCGTTTCATCCTTTGTTTTTATCTTGCAGTATGCGCGCCAAATAGGCGCTAAAATAAGTATATCAACTTTCTTCTCAATAACTTTGGCAGAATTAAGTAAAGCTAACAAAAGTTGAATAATCTTCCTTCTCTCTCTACCTGTTTGTTTACAGGTTTCCCGCACAAGAATTACCCACAATTCATTCAAGGGTAAATACTGAGCATGAGCATTTAGTAATTGGGTTAATAATTTGAAACCTGTATCGAAATTAGTTGGTTTCTCCGCTGTTATATTCATTTTATAGCCCCATTTTGTTGCTATCGTGTTGCTTGAAACACTTGTACATTCTAACCTATAGTAGAATGTGTCATTTGTGAATTGTATCCTTGAACTCCAATCGGTCGTTATTTCTTTTCTATTTTCTGTAAGATCTCTGGAAGTTGACAAAATAAGAGTATCTCCGCTCTCAAGACAGGATTCCTTGTCGAATGATATATTTAGAGCATGAACGCCCACTATTTTAACTTCTTGAACATCTTCAGTAACTCTATTATAGTTATGGCGACTTTCTCTCACTTTAAAAATACTTGATCGGACCAGATTGCAGGCCGCTCTTGATAATGTCCCTAATACACTTGAATCAACGTGAGATAGGACACTTTCAACCACCTGTTGAAAGGTTCTCTCATTTGTGTTTAAGACGTCGAGTACAGATGGTACCCTCTCAGGCTTTCCACAACCCAAAATGGAAGCAGGTATCGACGCCCCTTGCCAATCTGTTAATAAGGTACAAAGTAGACGCCGAGCGTGAAGTACACACATAGCCCGACATATTTCGCCAACATCCGTCTGATTCTTTTTCAATTGATTTAGCTTCTTTTGCATAGCTTTATAAGATTTTCGGTACTTAGTAGCATCACTTTCGCTATTTTTATCGGCAGGAGTTACAAGAACTTCGTCTCTGTCATCATCAGCAGTATCATCCTTTGCTATGACCGATTGTGAATCGTCTACAACAGTTTCACCTTTTGGCGTATTATTTGATGCCAAAATTCCATCGCTGGATATGATAAAAGCTTTTCTTTCATATGCTACATCTTCATCGTCATAATCATTATCGTCGTCGTCATCGTCGTCGTCATCGTCATCATCATCGTCGTCGTCATCGTCGTCGTCGTCGTCGTCATCATCGTCGGCGTCGTTATTTTCGATTTTACATGATGTGACCATAAGATCGCAAAAACTGTCATCTGACGAATCAGATGAATAAGAGCGATAGCGAGATGAACTGGAGGAAGATTCAGACGAACATGGAGACCTGGCATGATCTTTTTGAGCTTCAACCGTCTCCCGAAGCATATCGAGAAACAACTGAGGATCAGTCAAAGCACTGCGCACTTCCCTTAGCCAGTCAACGTCAAGTGTTGGTCTAATCTTTTTTATCAATTTCTTTGCCTCTTCGGGTAAACCCTCTATAAAACTAGTGACTGCTTGTTTTTCAGGAACAGCCTCTTTACTTGTTGTCTTTGAAGATTTAGGTTCGTCAACAACCTGCAGGCAGCCTTTCTTTTTTAAAGCATAAACGTTAAGGGCAACAATGTCAAGATGCTGCGGAAGCCAATTGCTGCATAATTTAGTTCTAGTTGAGGCTAGGAAAACCAGTGTCTTCAATAAGTTTTCACTACTCATCTGTAAATCTGAGTTTATAGCAGCATTGTTTAAAGTTCTAAGGGCTAAAGCGGCTTTAAAGATTGTGTCGTGACTCGGCTTGTCGTAATTCTTTACTTTCAATACCAGGTCGCAACAAAATTTTAAATGCCCAACATCAGCATACGGCTGAGTATCGGCTATTTTTAATTTGTCGTCTTCAACTTTCACTCTTCGTCTACTTAGCAGATCGACCACAAGAGATATCTTTTTCTCTGGAAAATATTTTAGAACAATACCCCTTCTCCCATCACCGAAATTTGTTGCAACACCGATTGACGGTAAAAGTGGAAAACCTCCCAGAACTAAAAGGGCAAACACTATTTTATCAACATTAGCCTCAGAATCTACACTAGTCATTAAATGATGAGCAGCATCACCAACAACATCCCTCCAAAATGTCATTTTAGCAATTCTTTGTAATGCTATCACAACTGCCTGAGTCCATTCTAAATCAGCAGATTTTAATCTTTCAACACCAAAATCAAAAAAAACTTGAATAGTAGCTATTCCTGGATAAACATTTTCGCGAACGCTCGTATTCGTTGCAGCAATTGTCGCTTCATCAGCTAATATTGGAGGCGTTTGCCTAAGAAGACGAACAAGTAATGCAAGAGCTAGATAATTCGGACTACCATCAACCACAAGAACGTCAACAATATGAACAAGTTTGATAAGTAGAGTGAGAACATTCTTTGTTATTAATTCGTTCGGCTGAGCAGACGCTGGCTGAAGCATGGCACATAACAAGCCCATCAAACGTTCATTTGCGTGTGCTCCTAATGCATATTCTTGTCTGACTTCTAGAGGAACATCGGCTTCTTCATCTAAATCTCTACCTGGCTCCAATGCTGACAAAGTTTTTTGAGTTAAAGCTATACATTGTGCATAGATCGTTGAAGCAGATTCATTATTCATTGACGAGTAATGGGAGGCAGTTAAAGAAAGACTTGACAAACTTAACCAAGCATGCTGATGAATATAACTTGCCAATGACCAAATAGGAGAATCTGGTTGACGAAGTATAACCAAAGGATGCTTTGTTACATCATGTGCTGCGTCATGTCCGGCTGGATATAGGTTATTTGCAAAGCAACCGTCACATAAATCGAAATCGTCGCATTCATTACAATGAACTCGTATGCCAACAATAAATGCCCGACACTCGTCGCATTTATAGGATAGCGGTACCATTCGATGCTCCCCAGGTTTATGATTAGTATCAGAGCTTGGTTGCACTCCGCCAGAAAAGCATGTAGCGCATAAATCCATATCTGCACAATCTAAACAACGATAGCGCTTTCCGGGTATAGTCATATTACAACCATCACAAGAGATATCCACTTCGAGAATATCGCAAAAACGAGCAACGAACATTTGCAATTCTCTTGTCTTTTTTAATTCGTGTTCCTCATACCATTCGTGAAATTTATTTGTCAATTCAACTTCTTTATACCATTTTATATGTTTCTCGTAGTCAACTATTTTCGATTTTTCACCATCATAGTCAGTTTCTAATTTCATTAAAGAGACACTTCTCTTCGCCAAGTTGGCATAGAAATTAGGTAGATCCATTTCTACCAAGACTTGCATATCGTTAGATCTCCATTGTACATCTAATAAATGAAGAGTAATTGCAGTAAAATGATCTAATTTCTGTAAGCCGATGTCGTCTCCTTCCATCCTACTTCTATCTCTAGAAGCTACATATTTAACAGCTCTTTTTATCAAATTATAATAGGCGCGTTTAACGTTGGATTCACTTTCAAGACCGCAACCATCTAAACCGCTAGCATAGTGATCATTCCAATCAGATTGCGTTTGGGAGAATGTTGTAAGAAACGCTAAAGATGGTAGCTCCGAGAATTTCATAATCATTATCGACTCACTTACAAAGTCGTAAACAAACGCTAATTCGCGTGAAAGTCTTTCTCTATCCTTAATTAATTTCTTGACTATCTGAATACTCCAATTTGGATTTCTTACAAATTCCAAGACTGCTTTACATGCTGGATATTTGTCAAGAGCCGAGGCGTCAACTCTCATGTGACGGCGAGTGGCTAAACTACCTGTTGAATTTAATCGATGAACCCTATGTATATTTGGACGTTTTAATTGACCACCAGTGGAAGGAGTAGTCTTTTTTAAAGCAGCTATTTCCAACAAAAATTTGGCCTTTTCCAAGCATTGGGTAGCATACTCTTCCTCATCTTTTTCAACGTCCGAATTGGAAGTTTTCTTTGATTCTTCTGGCTCGACATTACTTCGTCTTCTTTGTCTTTCTTCAATCAAGTGTATACGTAGGCCATTGGCAGCAGCATAAATACTTAACAAAGGCTCATTTACCCTACCAGTTTCAAGAAACTTTCTTATATCCCCTCTTAACTCATACGAATGATATAATATAGCATAAAATGTCCATCTAACAGCCATCTCAATTTCTTCCGTTCCAATATTCTGCGTTTTGTTCGATTCTTTACACTTTTCAACTAATTCATTGGGCCGATCTGATTCGATGAAACTTTTAAAGAGTAGTATATCAGCGTCATCGACACATACGGAATGGTTATAAGAAGATCGCGAAGTGGAAGTTAAAGTCTCGTCGCTATCTTTATTGATAAATCCAGCTCTAAGGAGTCCACTCCATAAATCACTCTTTAGCATATCTCCGACAATAGCATCTTCACATCCAATATAATTATAAGTAGTCACATCTGATATAAGCTGACTACATAAAGTTCCACATAATTTGGCATAAGCTAAACAACTATCAATTGGCCATGACGGCTCGGGCTCTGGTATACCTCGAGCAGTTACCTTAAATTTGTAACCCCATAGCTCTTGAGATCCATCCGAATTGAACGTAAAGTAGAGTCTTTCAGAGTTGTAAAATGTAATGAAATTATGCCAGTTTTCTGAACCAACTTTACCATGGCATTTAATTTTATGACCACCATGTAATGAATTTTCGTATGTGAAAAATTCTAAAAAGTCATATCTCGCTTCCGTTTCACATTGCGGATCAAATTCAACAGTAAATAGCATAGTATTTGGGCAGAAGAATGTTTTACGAATACGTTCGTTTGCTCTATATTCGTGCTCTGACTCAACACGCCACGTTTTTAAGATAGTTTCCTTCTCTTCACGTTTAATTTTACTAGTAAGATGTGGGCCAAACTTTTCGTATATATTAAATAATAGAAATAAATTTGGTTGGAGCGTTTCCAAAAGCCACCTGCGTTCGGCATTGTTAATAAACTTAGTTGTAGCTTCCAAGAGGCAATAAATCTAGTTTAATGGTGGTTACATTAAAATCTGTATGTATTTTTCTACACGATAAAAAAGGAGCTTATACTTACAAATTGCCTAAAGGTAACTGATATTATTAAACCATCTAGGCGCTGAATAAGGTCTTCAAACGTTTCTAAATCGAATTCTTGAAGCCTCTTTAACGTTTTTCCAACCAATTCGGATATAAGGAGCACGTATTTTTTATATTGTTTATGCTTACTAAAAATAATGTAAGCCAATAATGTCGACAAAAGTGATATAACTCCATCGGAATGAGGCGATGCTTGCTTTCCATTGAGCACATTTTCAACATCTCTTCCCGCTACTTGAAAAAGAGTATATAGAACAGAATTGTCCGATTCGTCCTCGTCCTATAACAAAGAAAAAAGTAAGAACTTCATATTTGTTTCCTTTAAAAAAAGTAACCTGTAAAAGTATCCATGGCTCATTTCTTATAAAATAGGAGCACAGCGAACGAAAGCTCAAACCAACAGAATTTTTTACTTGACTAGTTTCGTGTTGCTCTATAGCAGCGTTAAGCATATCAACTAATTGTTTTGTACGCGTGCTCGTATCTGGGAAAAAGACGTTAGCTCCTTCAACTAAAATCATTTCGGAAAGAGAAAGGAATTTAGGATTTTTAGATCGGTCCTCATCTTCATTATTGACAATTGAAAATAAGTGTTGACAAAGTTTCTTTGCTCCTTCATCGTCTTTGGAACCTTCTAATTCGGATAGGAAAAGATAGAATATCTCAAGAAGCAATAATTGTTGATCAATTGGGATAAGGCTGTAGAAATCATAGACGTTTGTCACTGTTAAATCCCTGGCTGACAGTTTTCTACATTTCCGTTTTTGAACAAGGCAGAAAACGAAAATTAGAAGAGATTCTGTTATTTGGGCTATATTAGAACAATTATTTGAATATTTATCTAATATGGGTGATAATCTCGGTTTCTTCATAAGTAAACCAAACAAGTGCATAGATATTATACCAATACTCTCTTTTTCTGGATCTTTTAATCCAAAAAGTTTAATAACTACTGAATCGCCTTGGGGGCAATCAGTTAAGACGTATTCAACTTCATCCCATTCATTCAAGACTTTTAAATACAAATCAGGCTTAGGAGCTAGTTGCTGATTTTCAATAAGTTGATCAATTTCCTCTATACTCATAGAATCGAGATTTGAAAGACTGGCTGAATCATCGCCGTTTTTTAAGTATATCAATACTCGCTTAGATGCTCTACCACCTTTGGCGAACCGAATACGAAATTTTGTCAGCAGAATATTTTCATCAGTTTTAGCAGTTGCCTTCAAAACAAATGTTACACAGTTGTTACTGGGTTGACTTGTATAAGATATCGTTTGAGAAGTCCAATTAGACGAGAAGAGATAATCAGAGCTGGATGTCTCTACCCCATCCGTCTCTATTAATTGAACATCAAGCCAATCTGATTGTTGTCTTAATTCGTCTCTAAGAACTGCTCTCATTGACTTCACGAGATGAGGTAGTTGACTGTCATTATTATCTCCAGATGAACTCAGATTTGAGAGATAAATTAAGGATTGAAATATTCCTGCCAAATGACCTCTTGCTAAATTGTATGAAAAGAGTAGGAGGGCCACTTGTCGATTTTTCTTTGCTATTTCAGATACTTGCTGATGAATTTTATCGAAAACATGGGAACTAGATGAGTATGATCCTGATAAAGATAATGGAGGCATGTTGGACAATGCTGCTGTACAATGACCAACATAAGTTTCTAAAGCATTTGGTACAAGATCAGACATAAGTTTAGCAGTTGTAAAGAGGAACTCTGCAAGAAGAATTTGAGAAGCCTCGAATGCTGTTGGGGTTGAAGAGTCCTTTTTGTACTGAATTCCTTCGACTCTAATTCCTCGAACTCTAGTGTTATTACCATCAGACTGAGTTCGCCTAATATTGATTTGTACAATTGGAAAATATCCTTCAGAATAGTCTAAGAGTAGAAAGTCACCTTTAAAGTTTGATGGTATATTAGATCGTGATATTTCTTTTAAAGATTCAGGTCCTGGCCCGGCACTAACAACAACCAAATTGGGCATGTAAGTACTATCGTAAGTAGAGACGTTCAAAAATAACTTGGACAAATTCACTTGCGGCAACATTATCAATCGAATAAAATGAGTTCCTGTTACCCCTTCTGATTGCCAATATGTACCATTATTATTGTCCAGCAGAAAATGAGCGTCCTTCTCGTTTGACGATACTATAATACGTTGAAATGGTTTATCAGTAAACATTGAGAATTCTGAAGATGAAAGTTTAGGCTTTGTCAAATCTTTACTATAAGCTTTAATAACAGCTTTCCTCATGGAATGTGTTGATGAAAAAGCTCTTAGTGGCAAAAGTGGAAAACTAGATGAACAAGCTCGATGTTTTAACAAGTAAGTAACTAATTTTTGGCTATGAACGAGGGCATTCCTTCTATCTTCCTCTCCAGTATAAATATCAACGAAGCCCGGTACATGTATGCAGGATTGGAGAGTTCGTACACTGTTGGCCAACGCTGTATCTTGTGCAGTAGAATCAAGATTTTTAACAATATCCTTAGCAGTTTCGACATCTGCTATCCCATCTCCTTCGGTGTCCAAACAAGACAAAACTGCGTATGCTTCGGCCTGATTTGAACAGTCTCTTTGAACGATATCAACCAAATTGCTGATTGGAATGGTCATTTCACTGTGAGCAGCTACTTCAGAGAGGCGTCGATTCAACGAATTTTGATGAGCCATTAAAACATTTTTCCGGTCCATCGTCAGATCCTCATCTAAACTTGCGGCTGCTTCCCGAAGCTCCGATGACGAGAGTATACAGGCCAAAGTCTTATAACTATCTTTTTCTTTTTCTTCTGCATCTCTCACCTAAAAAAAATTACAATTTATCTTGGAAAATACGCACTCTGCTAACAAAATGAAGCTGTTTTCTGTTTCTCTTTCGAAAAAATAGCCTATTGTCGCTCAGTTGTTCAATAATCGCCCTTATTTTTAGCGCAGCTCAACTGTTATCACTCACCTCTTTGGAAGTAAGATCATAAGTCAACTTTTCGTCTCTAGTCGACGGAGCATTGCCCATTATTTAAGTATATTCAAATATATCTATAATTGTGAAAAATTACCAAACCCTTTATAACCTTATACGCAACAGTACTGTCATCTGTTCACTGTTGCTAAGAATGTTAAATGCGCCATCTATATTCTGTTTAAACCATCTTAAACTTCGTATTGTAATATCCAAAGAAGCAGAAGATTACCTGTAAGATGTAGCTAGACATTCATATAAAAATATGAAATCACTTTTCAGCAAAGTTATAAAAACTGCATTAAATAAAGAAATACATAGAAAGTTGCCCATTGTTAAAATTTCCAAATATTCCAATTAAAACCTCTATAAAAGTAAATTATGTCATAAAATAATCTTATTTCTTAATATATATAATTAGCTTTAGTATTCTGAGAGATGTTTTCACTACACTTTGAAGAAGTTTAATTAAAGGCAGTGATTTTTTTTTGGTTATTGCTCTTTTTTCAACCAATCCCTTTCTGGTCTTGGCGGTTAAATAAAAAACTATTTGATATTATGTTAAAGTTTTTTGAATATACTTTTAAAAGTATCGTTAAAACAACCACGAAAGTTTAGGAAATCCCCCCATTTATTATTTTAATAAAATAGATGTCACTATTATAAAACTGAAAACGAATTGAGAAGGTAAAAAGATTTATTGAACATGAAATGCTTGAATGATCATGCAAATCAATAATTCACCCTCATGTTTACTTAATCATGCTTAGCAACGACGTTTTTCGACAAAGTTTATGTACAAAACGCTCGAGAGCCACTTGTCCCGACAAAAATTTCACACGGATAGCGTTTATCTAAGGATATCTGTTTGTTGAAAAAATATGACATCGACTGCCCTGACTACGACGCCTCTGTCGTTTTATGCATTTGAACGGCAGGCGTCGTGTGTGCATCCAGAAAGTTCAGAATTCAATCTTGGATTGGCTATGGAATTAGAATGTTCAAAAAACTCTGCATGTGGTGAATGTGACGCCTGCAAAACTAAAGAAGCTCTAAAAAATATTTTGCCGTGGTTTAGAAGAGCCGGGACGGAGACTAGAAAGAACTTTATTCTTAATTTAATAAGATGCTGTCATTCAGCTGATCTATTAAGACAAATCTGTCGGCTACTGGATCCACTTCGTTCCAAAGACTTTACTTATTCAAGATCCCGTACAGCTCCCAGTTTATCTTCCGACAAAGCTACAACTAGCTCGAATAGAGCCTTAAATAGGAGAGATTTAGAGATAAACTTTGCAAAATTATGTAAATTCTTTGAACATTCGTCATATTTCATCAAAATTAACTTTCTCCTAAGAATATTTAACGAATGCGAAGCGCACCTACTATTCGTTGTTTTATCATATGCCACAACTCTTCTCGTTTCCGAAAGGAACGGAAGTGGTAAGTTCATATTGAAAGAAATTTTAAAACAAAAAACTTGTATATTCCATTAAATGATTTGTTATTTTCTTTATTCTTTGTTTAAAGCAACTCCGGAAGTTGATAGCGTGCGTTCATCAACTTATACTTTTGAATCTGGTGAACAGCACGAACTATTAAGAGCTAGTCCTTCATATAGCGTTTTAACTCGTTCGCCAATTAGCGGTAAGACTTTACCAATTTCAACGCCTTATTTCGACGATACTGACGATGAAGGGTTTGATGACGAGTCACTAGAATCAATCGATCCAGCTTGTGTCGTTGTTCCAGCGTCAACTAAAGCTCATTCAGGAGTATGTAAATACAAAGATTTCGTAAGATTCCTACCAGTTCACTTGGCTAAAAATATTTTGGGCTTTCTGGATCAGTCGTCCCTTCATAATTGTATATGCGTTAGTAAAAATTGGAGATCTCTAGCTGAAGAAGTTCATAAAGAATTCTTCGTAAATCAACATTTAAGAGAGGATGTAATGCTTATGCAGGTATGAAAAATGACTTGTTAATTATTGATTACATACGTTCCTAAGCGTTTAAACAAAAGAATGAGACGATTTTGTCAGATTAGATTGAAACCAGAGTACCGATGATAGTGGATATCGAAGCAAAACCCGGTACCATCTACAAAGTATATTTTTTTACGATATTTAGCATGCTTTCATTGCATGTTTACACGCAGCACAATTGACAACGTTATACGATCGAACATTTCCTATTGTTCTATAACAAATAAAAAGGAAATTTATTCATATAACAGGGTTCTGCTTCGCAAGCCTGTAATCCAGTCTACGCCAAGGACGTCGATGTTATTGTTCCAAATCTAGTGCCAGGTACATGGGATGTTATAAGAACGGGAGATGAGAAACGTCTAAAATTTAAGAGTGAAGTAACTTTCGAATCAGCCTACCAAGGCTATTCAACTCGGAAAGTAATAGTAGAAGAAAGGAACGTCTTCTGTGGAGCTTATAATGTAATGGTTCTAAGTAGCGAGTAAGTGCCAAAGTGTAAATTTAAAGGCCTAAAGTATTTATTTAGTTTTGGTTTTTCTTTACTTTTATAGTAACGATAAAACAAGAGTAATCCACACTGACGGCCAGAAATGGATAGCATACGGTGGCGGTGACCGAAAGGTTAAGTTTCTTGATGCTACAAATGGTCATCAAACTGGTCCCGTTATACATGGACATGCCGGATCTATTAAATGTATTGCCCTTTGTGAAAAGGAACGCTTCGTGCTTAGTGGTAGCTATGATACAAGCATACGGTTAGTTGATCAATTGACTATAAAGTCGATTAAGTACTCGACTGATATTGATTACTTACCCGTACATACGTAATCCGAATGAATAGTGTAAGCCTATTTAATTCAATTTACACTAAAAAAGGATATACAGTTATAGATTAATTATATTTGTATCTAATATATACAGTACAGTAATGTAGGATATATTTAATTATCATAGAATATCCGTCCCTTTTCAATTATCATATATATTACAGAATAAAATATTGCTGTTCTTTTTATTCTCTAGCTGTTGGTCTCTGGATACGGGAAAGTGCCAAAAGATTTACAGGGGTCATCAAGGTACAATAAATTGCTTGGTAACGTTTTCGAACCGAGCTTGCTCAGGTTCAAAAGATAAAACATGTAGAGTTTGGGATATAGCCAGCGGTAAATGTGAAAAAATATTCAAGCATAGACATTCAATTAGCGCCGTTCGTCTGACTGACGAAAAGTGCGTTAGCGGATGTGAGGCGGGCAAGATAAAAGTTTGGCATTTATACTCTGGCTCTTTAATAAAGAAATTAAGCGGCCATCATCAAGCTATCACAAGTTTACAGTTAGATAATTGGCATATTGCGTCGGCTAGTAGGGATCAATATGCTCTTTTGTGGAGTAGTCAGGGAAAGTTTACAAAATGTCTAAATGCACTTAGACACCCAAGACCAGTTTCCGCTATTTCAATGATGTTTCTTAGAATAATCACAGCCTGTGAGGATGGTAAACTAAGAATATGGAATGGCCTTACTGGCCAATGCCAAAGAGTAATTAGGAGTAACAGTCGAAGCGATCCCATTGTCAATATGTATGCTATTGATGACCGAATAACTATTAATACAATTAATAATGTATTGACCCTTACTTTTGAAAAAATTGAATACGACTACACATTAAAAGATGATAAATTGCCTTCGCTGATTAAATATAAAAAATATGGAGACGCTCCTGTTCGAAAACATAACTATGCCTATTATAGAGCTAATAGGATGAAGGTTGCTGGAGCATCTGACAGAAGAATACTAGGTAAAACCAAAGAAGATTTAAGCGAAAAAGTATATAAAAAATCGCAAGAACAAGTATCTCATAGTGCCAAGAGTCTATCTAAAGCCAATTTAGCAAGTGCCAAACGTATTCAGAGTGCTATTACCAGAGATTCGGGTTATTGCAGTTCGCCTGGACTTAGGGACTTAATTGATAGGAGTGAAATCAGGACAGTTAGTCGAGAAAGATCGAAAACAGCCACTCCACAACAACCTCACGACATCGATTCGATAGCGAAGCCGGAAAACCCTAAAGGTCCGGCTGATCTTTCTTCAGGCATGAACAAGAGGCGCCGTCGAGTTTCATGGTCATTTGATAATCGTACCCTACCGCGTTCCAAAAAATTAACGCTTTCGGAAATGAAAACACTCCTAAGATCTCAGATTCGAATTAAAGGCGAAGTACCGCCTCCAGATTTCATATACTTGAGCGTGAATGCTATACAAAATAAAATGAAACCAGACAGAGCCCTTAAAGAGATCGAAATAAACGAAGGACGCCGGAAAGAGGAGTTGGACGATTACAAAAGACACAATCGACCCTTTTCGTCCCCCAGTCGAATTGATCCAAGAACGAAAATGTACGTGGACGATATGAACTGGAGAAATCTACTCTCGCCGAACGGATTCCATGACGATGAGGATGCTGTATCAATTGAATCATCTTATGTCAGCTCAATATCATCTATCCGAGAAGAAATTGAAGAACCGAGGAATTCAACTATCGTAAGAGAATATGCGCCTGTCTCCATAGAAAAGAAGAGGATAGCTAGTGCTCACTCAGTGAAAACGAAAACAAGTATTCCTAAAGCAGAGCACGTTCGACCTCAAACATCGATTGAAAGACGTTCGACAAGTGAAGAGAAGAAAATTTGTAGTCTCCGATCAAAGTCGGTCGGCCCAACAACGAAGAAGAATCGTATAACGACATCGGCTAGAGAAATTACCCAGGTTCCAATGCTCATGTACCCTGAAGCTTTAAAAACGTCCAAGCTGGCCGAAGAAGTTAGAAGAAGGCGGATAGAAAAGCAGAAAGAGCGTAATGATGCTCTTGAAAATGACCCTTTAAAAGATAATGTTAAATTTGAGTTATTAACGCACGACGAAGTTAGCCAGCAGTTAAAAGATATTGAAAAACTATTCGAAGAGAGGGATAAACAAGCCGAGCTTGATAAGGAAAAACGACAGAGGGCGCTCTGGTTAACAAGAGTAAAGCAAAACATGAACAAGAACAATCTTTCAAAGACGTGAAAGAACACAAAAAGATAGAGAGCAAGGACAACATTAAATATTCAAAACAAAGTTAAATTGTTTTCAATAATAAACTAGGTCATAAATCAATTAATAAATTAATACTAATTACAATTTTACTTTTGACGAGCAAAAGCAAAAAGAGGTTGACGCTATTATTTGAATATAAAAAAGAGAAAATGATTAACAGTAATAAAAACATGAAATAAAATGGAAGAAACTTCATTTCCGGTTGGTTTTGTATATTATTTTAATTATTTAAAGTGATTAAATAAGTGATTAATCTAAAATGAAGACACGTAGACTAAGTTATAAAAAATGTTATATAGTAATGAATTAAAGATCAAGTTTTAATTATTATTTATTAAAGTTCTTCTCTATAATAAGATTGAATAAAAGAATATTTCATAAGGAGAACCGTAGGCGTTAGATTATTACATTATAATTAATCTTTGCTTTAATACTTTTTGAGCAGGTTTTTTAAAAAAACATAAAAGAATGGAAGAATATTATTTGAACACTTAACGATCTCTGCTGTATTATAGCCGTCACGATTGTTAGAGGGAATTAAATGGCTATTTATTCTTCTTTTAAAATTGTCAGTAATAGAAAACTCTGCAAATGTTTATATTTGGTCTTTTCAAGTCTATTAAAATTTATACACCTATATACAATTAGTTAAAATCTTTTACTAAGTAGGTTATTTATCTTATACTCGAGAAAAATTTTTCAAGAAGAGTTTTTAACTAGCGACGCCTATCGGGTTATTATAGAAGAAAAAAATTTTTTTTACAACTGAGTTATGTTCTATTTTGTAAAAAAAAAAAAGAACGTTTTACCTTGAAACATAGGAGAAAAATGATAGAGAGGGAAAGAGAGAGAGAGAGAGAGAGAGAGAGAGTGTGGGGAGGGGAGGAGGGCAAGGTAAAAAATCTTAGTGCATTTCGATTATCGAAAGAAAGAAAGAATAAGCTAAAAAAAATTTAGCGTTGCGTCTAATTAAACGTTTAAGTAGGTTAAAAATAGTAATCTAGAGTTTTTTCCCCTCCCTTTAGATCGAAATTATTATCTTTGTTTATAATAAATTATTTATTCTTTTAAAGTTGCCTCGTTAACGATTTTAAACAAGAAATCTGTTACTTTTAACTCTTACGTAACTATTAAGTAATCCTATACACGATATTTTTAAACAAAAAAAAAAGCGTTTGAAATGAGAGAAGAGAGCAGCTCTACTTAAAGAAATATTCTTGTAACCGTTTTTTTAGCGTAACGTTATTTGTTTTTATCGTATTTTTTAAGTGATAACGTAAAAAACAAAGTTAGACATTGCCTCGTATACGAGGAAAGTTGTTATTTTTAATTAATTGAAGCTTTAATGCTAAAGAGAATGCTTAAGTAGAATGAAGGAAAATATATTCCCCAGTTCGGAAACACTACACGAAAGTGAAAACATTCTCCTTTTATGAACATTACTAGTGAGTACTTATTAAGGGGTAGGGTATAGTGGCCACTTATTTATCACTATGGAGAGATTTATGCGAACTAAATGACCCCTAAAAAATTCTTAATGTCTTTTACGTCAATTCTCAACGGTGAAATGTGAAAAATTAAGTCATTTTTTAAAAAGAAATGTTCTTAAATCGAATCAAAAGAATCTTTCACTAACAAACGTCAACAATCAATTGAAAGATATGACCTTATTTTGTCACCTTCGTTAACCTATTTGCTTTATCATTAAAATTTTACCTTCTGTTCCCTTAGTTTTACCCTAATCTTTCATGAAATCTACGAAAAGTTACCACAACTGCCAGGCAAACTTTTTTCTTTATCGTTTTCGATAAGGTCTTTTTCCTTATCGTTAAAAGAACACGGTCAATTACTCGTCGAACGAAAATATTTAAAAAGCCTGCTGAAGAGAGTGTTGTATGCAAATAACGCAATATTATTCTATTCTACATGACTATTCTTTTCGGAATAGAGCCGGTAGTCTAATAAGGAAGGCGTTATGCAATATTTCCACGAATTCTTTCTTCTCGAACAAGCATGTCATATACTCTACGAAATTAGGAACTTAGGTACTTTTGTATAAATAACAGCATTAAGAAAGTAACAGTTTCTTTTTCATAAATGAACGATAATTAAAAGTATAGAGGCACCATCTGGTGCTGATAAATTAGAATTTTTCCCCAGTTGAACAATTTTTTAGCTGATTAATGACAAGTTTTTCAAGTTTTCTTCGACGACACAACTCAATATTAAACACAATTAGACTACGAAGAAATATGTCAATCGATGGTAAATCTAAAATATATATAACTAGGCAGATTCCGTCTGAAGCATTAGAAAAATTAAAAGATGAATGTATTATCGCTCAATGGAAAGAGGCGGAATCAACAGTACCCCGAAACGAATTATTACAAAACGTCAAGGGAATACATGGTCTGTATTGCCTGTTAACAGATAAGATTGATAAGGAAGTAATCGGGGCCGCTGGACCGAACTTGAAAGTTATTAGTACCATGTCAGTGGGTTTCAATCATATCGATTTGCAAACATGTAAAGAACAAAATATTCGTGTTGGCTATACACCCGATGTTCTAACAGAAACTACTGCTGATTTAACGGTAACCTTGTTGTTAACCGTTTGTAGGCGAATAACAGAAGCTGTTGCCGCTGTTAAAGACGGGAAATGGGGAACTTGGAGTCCGCTGTGGATGTGCGGAACTTCTTTAAAAGGCTCAACTGTGGGAATTTACGGTTTTGGAAGAATTGGTATCGCAACAGCTCGTAGACTAAAACCTTTTGGGGTTAAAGAGATTATTTATAGCACAGCAAGCGGTTCAAAACCAGAAATTGACAATGAACTTGGGTCAAGATATGTGGAATTCAGTGAACTCTTGGAAAAGAGCGATTTCTTGTTGGTCACTTGTTCTCTGACAGCTGATTCGACTGGAATTTTCAACAATAACGCTTTTAATCAAATGAAAAAAAACAGTATTCTGATAAATACTTCTCGAGGCGAGGTTGTCGAGCAGAACGATTTAATAGACGCCCTACGATCGGGAAAGATTAGAGCTGCTGGTTTAGATGTCACTACACCTGAACCCTTGCCTACTGATAGCGAATTATTACAACTGAATAATTGCATTGTTTTACCGCATATTGGGAGTGCAACTATTGAAACTAGGACGCAGATGGCGTTACTCGCTGCCGAAAATCTTCTTTCGGGCTTAAAAGGGACCGAAATGCCCGGTGAATTGAAGCTATAAAAACAATCTAGAGAACAAAAATCATTAGACGCCGCAGTCGTAAAATATTAAAGGAAATAGCAATAAAAAGAATAAACTTATAAAAAAGAAATAATGAATATATAAAAAAAAACAAGATCGAAATTCTTTTGATTTTAAAATAACTTAAAAAAAAAAGAATAAAAACAAAATAGATTTTGTTATCAGGTGTTGAACAATAATCATCTTGTGTGGTCTAAGCTTTCGCGCGGACCTGCAAATAAGAAACACGACGAAAAATGGTCCGCGCAAAGCAACTTAAAATCGCCTTAGGGAGCTAGAGGGAAAGGCGTTCGATGATATTTTTTGAGGCCGATCGCCCGAACTGACCCTTTTAAGGTCACCGAGCGGCTGTTATTCGATATAAACAACAGGGAATGTTTGAAATATACCGTTTATGTATACGCATATAATAAGCAAACTGCTCACGCTTAAAAAGCCGATTGGGCGTACAGATTGAATTAAGGTAAAAAAAATAAAAAGCTAAATGCGAAAAAAAAAGAGGCAGCCACAATTACTTTATCCTTGTTGTTACTATTTTGTAGAACGGTTCTCTTTTTCCTCAAACAGCCTATACTCATATATATATATATATATATATATATATATATATATATATATATATACAGAATGCATATTCTATACACATATATATATTCTACCAAGCGCTTTGACAGAATAAATGTAAAACACATTTTTTGCTTTCGTTTACGTTACGAAACCAAAAATAACTTTCTGCTTGTTATATGTTTGAGAAAAGCTATTAGTTTGACAAATTGCCATTGAGCATAATCAACCTGGACCAGCATGCATGCAAAACGCGCGCGCGTTACAACTTCTGACGTCACAGCCTCATTTCCATTCGGATCCTGCGTAGCGCCCGCCTTTTTTTTCATTCGAACGCCATGCTCGAGCCGTGCGCCATCGACCTACCAGCTGAGACATCAGGTATAGTTTATTGTATACTAAAACTACTTAGTTTATTTCTCCACTATGTTTACTTCTCATTTTGTTATCTTTTTATTAATCTTATACATTGAAGATTAATAAAAATAAATGAGGTTTTAGGGATATTTTCACTATAGTGTGATTGGATGTAAAGTGTCTGATCAACATACAATAAATATATAAAATCAAGTTTAGCATCAAAATCTACATCTGTTGTCAATTGGACCAAAAGTAGAATAATTCTAGATTAAGAAACATTTTGTGTTCCCCTTGTATCTTTTGGCAAATCTAGAACAACTATAAATTTTCCCCTGACGTCCCATTTCCAAAGTCTCCCCCGCTTCTCGTCAATCGACGCCTGACACCTAAAAATTTTCTACGGATGTTGCATTCTGTTTTATTTTAAGATAGGAAGTTGCGTTGTTCGCTTTTTCTCGTCCATTCAAAACTATTAAATGAATAATTAGTAATATTTTAATTTGTCATCTTAGAAAATTGGTCGTTACATTGTTTCGGAAATTTTAAAAGGAACGTAAGGTTGTGTAATACAACTAAAATTACGAAACAATCATAAAAATATATCGGATAAGGCTATAAAAGATCCTTGTCAAAATATGCGGCTTTCTTTGATAATTAACCGCTTTGAACAGTTAGCCGTGCTTATTTTATCAAAGTATTCAATATAAATAGAAAAGGGGTCAATAAAATGTATAAAGTATATTATAAAATAAAATTTAAACCCATTTTGAAACATTTATAGTATTTTTAACCCTTAACCGACAAAATTTTCAACGACCTAGTAGAATCGTTTGAAGTGACGAAGGCGTCAAAAACCGAGTACAAAGGCCTATAAAAGAATAGTAAAAATCCATTTTCCATGTATTCCACACTTTAAAAAGTAAAACTACAGAGAAGTTGTGTTTTTATTGAATTCTAAACAAAAATAATAACAAACTTTTCTAATTAAAGTTAAAAAGAAAGAAACCAGTTTGTCATACTACAGTATTATTTAGTGCGTAACTTTAGGCGTATATATTGTTTGTTTATACAAATACTATATACAATATATACTCGTATGTAGTTTTATTTATTTAAGTATTTATAGCCCTAAAAGGATAACTTTTAGACTACGTAACAAAAAAAAGGAGTTTATATATGTAACTAATGAAAATAGTAAAAGGTTTTATACTATAGTAACAATATTTTTCATTAATTTATATAGAATACATAACTTTTATACGAAGACATGTTTTTATCCAATTAAAGTTAGCTAATTTGCATATAATATATAGATTAACTTTCTTTTCTATGGTATAATCTGATTAAGGAATGTTGTTGGTAACTATGTTGTTAAGTTTTTAGTGTTTGGTGTTTGTTCCTGTTTTTTTACATCTTGGTTGGAAAAAAGTAGAAAACTTATTGGTTTTAAAATGTGTATTGTTTTTATCCTAACCGAACAAAGAGTGACATGTTTTAGTCTCTTTCTTACCCTTTCTTACATATAAATATATAAGTAATAAATAGGTAGTAGTCTCAGGTGCTATAAACAGATCCAAAATACATGCGCGCGCGTCGTTGTCCCATTTTAGAAGGGCGGCAAAATGAGAGCGTCAGCTCTTTCGTATAAAATTATTTACGCATAAATATATAAAAATAGTATTTGATACCTTCTTTCTTCTCTTCTTTCGACTCTTTCTCCCTTTTTTTTTCATATCAAATAAATTACCCTCAAAAGGATTAAAAAACAAGACAGCTTTGCTTGATTTATTCCGAGATATCGTTATTGCCCTGTTTTCCATATGCAGTTTTGTTGTTTATAAAATGTTACATTATAATTTATAGAACTGACAAAGGCAGGATCTGTGGAAGCGAACCGTTAAAAAGCGTCCAACGTATATCCTTTTTTATTTGCCATTAATGCCAAAGGCGTAATGTTTTTAATAGATTTTCCAAAATAGTTGAAACTAACGAATAGGATGATGATAGCGAGGTGTTATAAAATGACCTACATTTTTTCAATCTCTTAAGCGTCGTTGAACGATGTTTGGAATGTTGCTGATATAATGTTTTATGAGATGCCTGCATTAGGCGGGGATTTTATATTCAATGCTTATTGACAGATTTATCCTTCTTACGCTTTTTTCTCAAAATGATTTATATAAATTTTACAGGAAGAAAGAGGAAGCTGTTATGCCTATCTAAAAAGTGCCTTACACTTCGTCATAATCCATACTTGAAGGTTACACCAGTAAACGTTAAAGAAGCTGCCGTAATTGAATCGGAAGCCACTGGAACATTTGATCATCTGGATTTACAATTAGTTTGTAGGCAATCTCAACTACAACCAAGCGTTGCCGAAGTTCTTCTCTCAGCTATCGAAGAAACTCGTATTAAACCAAAAAAGAAACGATTTGACTTTGCCAATTTAGCAAAGTCCGCAGTAAGTAGGTCAGACGATGAGAGAACTGACAGTGACGAGGAGGTTGATGTTACGACGACACTACCCGCTCCAAGTCTACAATCGTCTAAGAAGAAATCTTACGTATGCCGATACTGCTCGAGAATCTTTACAAAATCTTATAATCTACTAATCCACGAAAGGACTCATACAAATGAAAGACCATTTACCTGTGAACAATGCGGTAAAGCTTTTCGAAGAAAGGACCACCTACGGGATCATAGGTACCACACAGCTTTATTTTACACCATTTAGCTAAATTAAAAAAAAGGCTCATGGTCAACTTGAACCAGTGTTAAAACACGGGGCTTTTTATTTTATTAGTCGCCGAACAATCTAGGTATAATTTCTCCTTCAGCATATTTATGATACTCATTTCCTCCAGGTTCACCCATTCAAAGGAGAAACCTTTCAAATGCGCTTTCTGCGATAGAAGCTTTTGTCAAGCTAGAACTCTATCCGTACACGAATCCAGCCATAAGAAACTTATCAAGTGATTAGATACCTTTTTTAAAAAGACAAAAAGAAAGAAAAAAAAACCAAGCGAAAGATGATAGTTCTTATCTAAAATATTAACTGTAATTCAGAATATGTAAATGAATAAATAAAACAAATAAAAACATTATTAAAATTCAAGTTTACATATAAACGAGTTAGATAACCACGAAAGATCGTATTGTTGACATGATTTTTTAACAACAGATCTAAATGGGTTAATTGAGAAATTAGTTAAACGTACATCCCTATTCTCCTTAGCTTTATCAAACATAGAAAGAGTTAAATAACAGCGTTCTGTAGTAAAAACTGGAATTTTCATCATCTGTTTCCAAGTAAATGTAAAAAAAAAAAACAACATTTTAAGGATATAAATTATATAATATTACCATAAACTTTTCAATTGTTTTAATCCAACTACGATAAGCTACAAATCCAGAATTGAAGCATATAATAAAATCAAATTGAATATCAATGTCTTCAATTTGATGGAATAGGGTCTTCTTTTCAAATTTCATCTTTAAATTATCATAGTTCTCATCCTGCTTTCGCTTGATATTCGGTCCAATCATATGTAGAACTAGACGACAATTGGGTAATAAATTACAAAGTTCCTATACAAAATAAATTCTATTAAAATAAATTTTATAATATAATTATTTGTAAAGAATAATCGCGTACTCGGAAGATGAATGAGAAGTTTGATTCAATTTCAGCGCCCACTATGGCAACGCATAAATCTTCTACTTTTAGAAAGAAAAAGTACTTTTTTTATGATTTTTAAAAAACCTCATTAAAATCTAATTAAATAACCTTTGCTAAAAGATTTTTTAATAATAGAATACAGCGTTAAAGGATATGTTAACAGCGTGGTATACTCCATCTTATCCGTGGATAAATTCCTTTGTGTAGTGTAATCTTTCCAATTATTTATAGGATTATCAATTATATGCTTCACTGGAAATTGAAAAAATGAAAATTCCTATATATCAACCTATATAGAATGATTTATGCTCTTTATTACTTTGCACAAACTGTTCAATATCTTTAATAATTTGTTTGTCGTTATGTAAAATATCTTCTTCGTATCTTAATTCCAAGCCAAATGCTAATTCGGTTTCCATGGCTTTTGCCTCTTTAATTATGGAACAAAACTGTTGGTGCGTAACATCATTATTGCTATTGCACGTTCTAGACCAGCAATAGAACGTCGATTCACAATTTTCGCTATAGTTTTATTATTGTAATGAATAAATAGAAGGATATGTATGTAAATATATTCACCAGCACGTAAATAAGTCTTTTGAAGCTGACCTCGGACACAACGAACAAACTTTCTTAGAGTAACGAATTTTAGATGCGTTGTTCTTCCATATATCCGACCTTTTGGTTTGGGAATATAATTCTTACTATAGTCTCTTTTTATTAAAATAAACGTTCAGCTACCAAAATATTCTACTAATAAATCTTATTACAGGTCGCAATCGTTGCACAGGATACTGGTTGGTAACCTCGGAGGTCCTACGATAGGCTTAAGGGCGGTTTCTTTTATGATGTCTTTGATCTCTTCATCCAATCGTTTTTCATAAGGCAAGGTTGAACCTCCTAAGAGACTGTTAGATCGTATATCAATTACTTCGGCACTTTTTAATGTTAAATCGTTTTCGTCTATGGGAAAATAAAGTCATTAAAGTAAAATCATTCAATTAGAAATATGTATCAAATTCTAATTACCAACATAATCCACTAATTGAACATTCCAAATAGCATCCTCTATAGGTAAATCAGTACCATCTACATTATTCATGGTATATTGCTAATAATAAAAAAATATATATGCTATAATACTCCTTTTTTTGCAAGATTTATGTTCTTGTTATATCAAATTTCACGCTAACATTTATTATCGCTCATAAACGACAAACCGATAATTGGAAAACTGGTTTATAGATCGCTACTAGATGTCACTGTTCAATTTAGTATAAACATCGTTTTCCGTGCCTTTCTAAAAAGTTATTTTCTCTTTGAAGATGTAGAAAAAAAACATAAACACTATAAGAAAAACAATAAAGAGTTTTTTTTGGGTGTTAATTGATGTGAATATAGAATTTTTATTAAGTAAAATAAAATTTTATTACCATTATTCATTTGTTAAAAATAAAAGTAAAATTTTAAGGCAAAAACCTTAACAATTATAAATCAACAATCAAATGTTTCACTGTCAGTTTTATGAAAATTCAACAACAAACGATTTCTAGCTGAACCATTAGAAGGAGCACTTTGGGTTCGCCTCCTTCTCTTCTCATTATGAGGTGCACATATGAAACTATCCCTGTAGTTTTCCCTGTATTTTTCCCCAGCCATTATGATATAATTATCTCCGTTAGGTACAGAATCTGGAATGATATGAATATAGTGAGAAAGACCAAGGGATCTATTCGAAAAAGCTTGTTCGTAGTTGTTACTTTTGCATCTTGGCAGTGAATAATTTCTACCTTGATCCAATTGTTTAAGTTGTAATAATTGTTTACTTCGTGATTCCAAATCATTGATATGACACTCTATAGATTTTGCTAAATTTTCGGTTCTCTTGTTCTGACGTAGCTGATCTACGAGGTAGCTAAATAGCGGCTCCCCCCTTTGAAATATATGTGATAAGAGTAACTCGTTACGGTCTGATTCCTCGTTCTGTTTTAAAATATCATCGGCTTCTTTTACAGTAATTGCAGCATTCTTAAGTAGATAATTCATCAAGTTCAAAGATGAAATTGAACGTATTAAATTTGAATGATATGATATTAAAGCGCTTCGAGCGTTCTCATTTAAAAAACCGTATTTGGGACCATTAAATTCAGGAGGAAAGGCGGCTGAACTGGGAATTAGCATACCCGAACATTCCACTATGTCACTTTTAGCTGTTAAATGTCTATCGGTTTTAAATGCCGTTGGAATGACTGGTCTATCTCGTGTTTTGTTCAGACAGTGGGAGCACTCCATTAGCCATATGTAGATGACTCCTGGATAGAATGATTCGATTAGTTTATCAGCTGTAGCTGCGTACACTTGGAATAAGTGATGTGCCATCTGTCGACGATCCTTGCGCAACCTTACCGCGAATCTTATAGCAGATCTACATTGATGCCTTCGAGTATACGAACAAACTTTACTGATATCCTTTCCTGAATTCGCAAAAGCAACAAAGCCGTTTCTCCAATCAATTCTATGATCAAGAAAATATTGTAAACGAACGTTAATTCTTTCTATTAGTCCACTAGGCGGTGCCTGTGTAGACGGAAATTCCAACAGCATAGAATATTCTACCCAGTCGGGATCTCCTAGTACAATTGGCCAAATAACTAAAGAAGAATTAGGAGGGAAATCTGAGTGTAAAGAAGGGAAGCAAAATTCTCTTTCAGTCTTTGAGATCAGTTCATAACAGAGGTCGAATTTTTGAAGTAAATGCAAAATTTCAGACCATACATTGTCATCACGTATACCGTGATACTCCCTCCATATATCCCTTAATTGTTTCTCAGTTAGAATAGTAGAGGATAAACTACTCAAAGAGAAGACAGTTAATAAAAGATTCGGATTAGTAAATATGAAATTTGAAGATTCATCAACATAATTCAAGATGGCACCAGCTTGGCGCATATTTTCGAGAATTTTGTCCAAATCCAATTTTTTTATATGAAATCTGGCTGCCTGCCTATATAAATCTTCTCTATTTATCCAAGGAATCGGACTGTTTAATAGCCAATCTTCAAAATGAGACGGTTTAGCAAGGGGTCGAATCTTTTTTAGAGTGTTTACCAAGTGTCTTTTCAAAGTGTCGATACCGTCGAACGTTTTTAAACTCAGGGGTATAATTTCGCTCAAAACGGGGCCCCTAGTTAAGATATTGTTAATTCTCTCTAAATGAAGCCTATTAACTTTGTCATGAGCACTATCAGCCAATAGGGTTCTCTTTATGAATTCTAAGTGTTCGGTAAACGTTCGTTCTATTGTTGTTAATCTATCTTTTATTAGATTAACCCTAGTTTGAACAGTATCTGAGCTACATAGATCAGTATGAGTTGCTGCGACTATGACAACGGTATTTCTTAATCGATGGCAAATTGTTTCAAACCAAAATTCTGGTACTCTAAAAGGTAAGCTAGCTGGTGACTTCGATATGTCGACCACTAGCAAGCAAACAGAATATTCGGTGAGAAACATTTGTTGAACAAATTGAAACGCTTCATTGCCTCCAAAATCATAAGTCCATAACTCATTTATTTCATCCAAATACTGACGCCTAACTTCTATACCAATTGTAGGCGTATCAAAATCTATTGTAGTAGATCGTAGAGCATTCAATAAACGTGTTTTACCCACGCTACTGGGCCCCAGCGCTATAAGTTTTGTTCGACGAATAAAACTTTCGTCCTCTTCACTTTCGGATTTAGTTATTAAACTATTTCTGAATGATAAGTTAGGCGTTCGGGATACACTTACGACATTATCCATCTCTAAAACAGCATCTATATCCGTCTCTAGTGGTTCGGTGAAAGAAGAATTAGTTTTTGAATCAAAACTAAAATTATTTGTCATTTCTTCTTTACCCAAAGAACTCCTTGAGAGACTATTTGTACAAGATCTGCTATAATTGCCAGCATTTGTTAAATCGGGTTTGAGATAATTTGATAAATTGTTTCTAGTAAATTTTTCATCCAAGTCAGAATCTATATTAGTTTCTATTGGATCCATTAAAATCTCATCTATATTTGTTTCTAAAAATTTCTCCTTCGATTTACTACTCTCCAGTCCAGTCGACGAAGTCGATGTATTAATAGAGCTATTATTCTCATTCTCGCTCTCTCCATCAATATTCGTGCCAGATAAAGTACTGGTATGCAACAATATTGATTCTTCCTGGGGCTTCGTTCTAAGTTCACCTTTCAGGTTATTCTCGAGGTGATTCGGTAGATTCTCTTCTGCAGGCTCAACTTTTGCACTTAGTATGTTTTCATTATAGAACGATGAGGGTACAATTGTTTGAATAGGTCCATAAAGAGGTTTGGATTTAATTATCGGAAGAGCTATCTTTTCCATCTTGTTTGTTTTTACCTCATTCATATTATCAGACATCTCTAACCGCTGGTCTATGTCAATTTCATTTCTATTGTCCTCTTTTTCGCATATGGCAGTTTCTTTTATTTTAATCTCCTTCACATCTCTGGGAGAATCGATCACATGTTCCTCCTTTCTCTCATGGACTTTATCAATGTTTTGTTGTTCCTCTTGAATAGTGTCGTCTGAAGGAGTACTCGTTGTCAATTTTGAACGTAAATCTCTCCTCTTAAATGGTTCGTCGTCTTCCCAATTGAAAGTTTCTATTGCGAAATCTGATGATAAAATATTAGAAGTTTCTTCTCTTTCAGATAACTTCTCTGGTTCTTTACTATCTATATTCTCCCCGTTTCTGGTGGAAATAATAGTGTACTCGAAACGAACCTCCTCTTCGAATTCGTGCACAAATTCCTCTGAGGAGGAACGCGATACAATTTTATCATCGCTATCTATAACCTTAGTTTCTGTTATTTCAACTTTCCTATCATCAACAGAACTTTTCTCTAAAGCTATATCGCATGAAGAAACAGGCCTTTCTTCCAAATTATGGTTAGCCAATTCAAGCTGAGATACATTGTTATAAACAACTTCATTTATTTTTGTGTCCGAATCTAAATTTGGTTTGAGCGTAAAATCTTCATCTATGAGTTGGCCTTTTGTGGTAACTTTCTGAGAGAAAATCTCCTCGTCGACCGACCTTGGAGAATTAATAAGAGGCGATTCATTTTCATCGTTATCGTCATCAAAATCTAAATCCGAATCAATAGTTGCTATTGGGGCATCATGAGAATCTAAAACCTTTAATTTTAGCCTATCAAATGAAGAAACAGATGAATTAGACCAATCGTCTTCGCTAATTGTACAATCGTCGTTTTCAAATTCGTTCGGATCCGCATGTTCAAATCTTACTATTTTATTTTTTACAGGAGTTTCAGTCAAATATGAAGTTGGCTTTGTTTGTTTTAAAAGAATTGAACGCAGCACATTACGAACCTCTTTCATAGAGGGAACAATTTTTTCTTCGTCAACTTCTTCTTTTATTTGCAATTGATCAACGTTAGAGGACTTTGCAGATTCTTTTACAGAAGATAGAGATGGAATATTGTCGTTAATGGTTTCGTACTTAATAGACGAAATAATAGTTTTATCCTCTAATTTTGATTCTGATGACTGATTGTTTATTGGTTTTGACGGTGTAATCGTATCATTTAAAGAGTCGTTTGATATCTTTTGATGCACTGAATCATTAAATTCAAACTCTTCTATTTCATCTGTTGGAGAAGTTAAAACGTGAGGTAATTGTAAACACTGCCGTTCTGGTGTTGAGCTATCTTCATCACTCAAATCAGAGTCGGACCAGCGATAGACGTCTACAGGTTCAGATAAGGATCTTGTTTTTACAAGATATGCTAAACTTTTCTCGTCCTTTAGCATTGAATTGATAATTTCAACCTCGCTCTCCGGTTCGCTAACTTCGGTAATATCGGAGAGCATAGGTTCGTATTCGAATTCATCTGAAGATGAGCTATTATTGTGCATTTCTTCTTCCTTTTCTTCTGCAATAGTTCTTCCTATATTTCTTATAATTTGTTTTGATCTTGAAGAATTGGTAGAAGGTACTTCTTCATCAGAGTTTAAATCTTCGTAAACACTGTTAGTACTACTATCTTCTTCATCATATGAGTATTCTTCGCGTTGTTCCTCGTCAAATATCCCTTCATCATCTTTTTTTAATACATCTTGCGGATTGTCTTCACTTTTGGCGTCAACCTGTCCATTATTATTATCTATTTTCTCTGCAGAATCAATTATCTTTTCATCTTCTTTCTCATTCGAAGAGACTTGTTGGGTTTCATTGTTTGGCAACGGTTTATCTTTGGATCGTTCATCTTCGATATCTTCTTCAAGGAGGTGGCACCTTTTACGCAACACTTCTGCCTCGTATGCTATCTTTAGGTAGGCTACTAGAAGCCCAAACATTCCAAGATATATGCCAACGTCCAACATAGCGAAGAGTCGTCGTCGTTATTCCACCCAAAAAATAAATTTATTTCTACATCGATAGAATAACGAACAATCCGTTGAAGCCATGCGCAAGACGAGCGATAAGACGATAGAACATTCGCTCTACATACATATAATAAATATATATATATGTGTGTAAATATTAATAATAATAATACACAGATAAGATAAGCCGACGATTCAGCGCGCTATCTAATTAAAAAGGTAAACGTATACCTGAACGTTCCACGAAAATCACTTATAACAGCTGCAGCTAGTCAAGTCTAACACTCTCCTCTATTTTTCTCTTTCGCTCTCTCTCTCTCTCTCTCCCAGCTCACTCACTCGCTCACTCTATTCAGTATTGAACGACGAGCTATATTACGATGACTCATCGCTCAAGCATGAATATGGATGCTTAAAACACTACCGATAGAATGATTGTTATTATTCAAAAGAGAACAAATTATAACTTTTAATTAACATATTATCGTCCATTGTTTGGAGTTGGAAATGGGAAAAAAAATAAAAGATCAGCAACAATCTCTTCCGCTGTATAAACTGTATATATACAGCACAGAATACACTATATTACAGTATATACAGTATATATATATATATATGTATATATATAGATACTATATTAATATAAAAATCTATACATAACATGTAATTTTTTTTTCCTAATTAGGTCTATGCAAAAAAGTAATCAATAAGAAAATTACTTTTTTTTTTTACTTTATTCTTTTCAGTTTTATGAAAAAAAAAGAAGGGATTATTAAGACTATCAATTTCAGTATTGACTCTTTCTTTGTTAACCCCCTATCGAGTTAGCCTTTTCTAATCATATGTTATGAATATCTCAAGTTACATTAAGAAGTCAAATCTTTCCATTTTATTCGTTCATTCCTTCAATCTATCTATCTGTATATATATCTTTCGCTTCGTTTTTTTAGTATTGTAATTCTTTTGTTTTCTTTTCTAAGCAAAAAATACTTAAATTAGCACACAGATGGCGCTTCAGTCTTTTAGAGTTAATAAAGTAAAACGATAAAGCTTGTGCATATAGTGTATATTATTGTATTTTAAAGAATTATGCCAAACCACTAAACTTGTATCTTTTTCCTCCATTTTATTCCTTTAATTATTAATACTTTTAGACATTTTTAAACGTACTGTTCGGTAAACAAGTGTAGTTATATATAATAGTTTAAATATTTAAGGAATATGCGAAATATTTGTCTTTATATTACAAGATTTTTTAAACAAATAGATATTATAGGATATATATATAAATAGTAAGAAAATGACTATTTTATTGTTCATATCAATTGAGAGAGAAATATGCTTTTCTTTATCTTCTTCGTCTCCATCTTTGTTCATTTCTAATGAAAATAAAAAAATAAAGTATTCAAAGACGGTGACCCCTCCCGATCCGTAGTATGAAAAATAAGGCAGGCTATTTAAATTTCCTCTATACCATTGTAAATTTACCTATTATTGTCTCTAACAATCGAGTATCATTGTTACTGGTAAAAATACAACATTAAACTAAAAATTGACACCGACCAATGAAGGATACTTGAAATAGTCCTTCTCCACCTTTTTTTTATAGTATTGTCATGCCACTCTTTATTTATTTTTATTTAGTTACGCAATATGTTAATTAGTATGATAAATACTGCTTTAACTTACTCTCTCTCTCTCTCTCTCTCACTCATTCACCCTTTCCTAGATATGATAGCACTCTAAATTTACTCAAAAAGTGGGGTTATCGAACTTTTTAACTTCTTTAAATATATCTTTAAATTGATTCTATATATGACTTTTAAAAAGAAAACAAATTGTGTAAACAACATTTATATCATTTTAAATATATTGAATAAGAAGTTAAAAGAAAAATGCAAGTTATTTAATAGTTTCCGGACTTGTATAGCATACATCTTACTATTTTTCGTGTGTATATTGGTAAAGCAATTCTCTTTTGACATAGTTAATTAAATGCTTTGTAGAATTAGAATCTAAATAAAACTATTAAGTAGTTTGAGGAATCTATCAAGTGCAACTAAACAGGAAAATTTACTAAAGGGATTATAAATAATTCATTAAAAGACAAAATGTATTACTAAGTAACAGTTTTATTCTATATAATTCCCAAAACGCCATTGTTTTCTCCTACTATCAAATAGAGTTTGTTTTTTTTTCTATGAACATACTTTTTCTTTTTTTTTTTTACAAGTTGGCATCTGTTCTTCGTAATCGTTATATAATGATGACGATAGCCAATTTATAAGAGAAAACAATATTTATGGTTTTCTACTGCCATTATTATCCATTTTGTACTTATCTTCCTCCTATATCTTCACACGGGATGCGTATATCTTGTTCTTGGGGTAATTATGTTAAAGAACATGAATAGTAATCTTATTTTCGATGAAAGAGAAAGAAATAAGAAACATTATAAACAAAAGTTTGTCATAGCTTGCAATAGAATAATTTAAATGATACTCTCTCTCTCTCTCTCTTTCACTCTTTATGTCGTCCTTTTTCAATATCCTTCCGTACTTAAAAATATACAAACAAACAAATTCATCTTCTTATTCGTAAACTATAACCTATACTTTCCTTTTTTATTAGAGTCATTCTCAAAGAATGATCACATGACTTGTTCTAGAGAAAGGGAGTGAAAAATTTATATAAAGTGTTGCATATATCTCTTATTTTTTCCCTTCTTTCTTTTGTATTTTTTTTAATAGGTCAAAAGTTGCAGACTTCAACGATCTGTAAAATTGTAGTTTATATGGATCGCATGATTTAATCTAGGAGTCGTATCAGATAGGAGAAACAAATTTCAACTAGAGTCATTAGTTGATGACAGCTTTTACGGCATAGGAAATTTCAATTCAGGATGGTGAATAATGGCGGAGCAAAACGTTTCCTATCGAGCGTAAAAATTACAGCTGCTGACGTTGTTAATCTAGAAAATAAGATGATACAAAATGTTAGATGGATAGAGAGAGAGAGAGAGAGAAAGAGAGAGAGGAAGGGTTAGGGAAAAAAGTAAAATATAATGGGGTAGACTTATGTAACATGAATATTGATAATAGTTGGAGGGATATATATATATATATATATATTAATATATAGACCAAATATGCGATTGTGATTAGAGAGAAAATTGAGGGTTAAGAGATAGGAACAACATGGTACTGACCCATTCCCAGGACAATCGACCAATTATACAGACCCAAGTATTTTATATAATATACAGTATAATACAGTATATATATAATATACTTGTATTAGAATATTGGATGCGCACTGCATATGATTGTTTTTTTTGTAACATTTTCATAAGATTAAGGAAAAGCTATGATAAAGAAAAAGAGAAAGTTAACACTTTTTAATACTCAACTAGTAATTTACTTTATTAGTGGGTGGTTATGAAAAACTTAAGAATTAATTATGTTTCGTTACTTAATATGCAACTCAGAAGGTTATTAGGGATGTTTAATTACAAATCTATAATAATCATAAATTATTCAAAAGATCTTCTTAGAAGTGGGAAAAAACCAATTGTCGGTTAGCCTACCTTGAAAAAGGATTATGCATCAGCATAAGTCATATAAAGCGTAGATAGGCCTGTGTTTTGTAAGCGTTTATTCGACGGCTACCCTTTTACCGCATGCATCAGCGCTCCCCTTGTTGCTTTTATGTAAGAGAAGGTTAGTATTTCACCAGTTTTAGTTGCGGCTGGACGTCATCAACTGCAAAACTTGATTTAATACGAAGATCTTAGTCTTCTCTATTCCAGATTGATAGCCAGCTTGCTATTTTTCTACTGTTTTTCTTCAAACTTACTTTGGGAATATTCTGGAGGAAGTAAGAAATTCTTTTCAACTTCGTTCCTAAAGCTTCTCCTTTTCCTGTGTTCGTTTGTGCTTTTCATTAATCTCTGCCTCTTCCGCACCTGTAATGAAAAATAACACAGCAAATAGCACAACTTTTCCCGAGGACCTGGCTCTCAGATACGAAATTCGTGTCTTCCTCATCATAATCTATACTTTGTCAAGTGTTTTGGCCTTAACCGGAAATTCATTGGTAATTGCTGTACTTAATTTTGGAAGTCGTTCCAAAATGGACGTCAAACTGTATCTGATAGTCATTGCCATAGCCGATATAGCTATAGCAATCTTTTGTATTCCGTTTACTTTTACTGAAACAATGATGGGTAGATGGATATTTTATAGCGCTCTCTGCCCGCTTTCACTAAGCATGCAAGTGTTAAGTGTCAGCGTCAGCATCTTCACCAAAGTCGCTCTGGGAATTGATAGGTTGATAATTTTTAACAACGTTTCCTTTATACTGAACCGATTTATTATATAAAAATGATTAACTTCAATACAGATATATGGTGACTCTAAAGCCGCTAATTCGTCGACCATCAGCCATGCGATTTAGGATAACAATGCTAATAATCCTGACGCTAGCTATTTGTTTATCTCTACCGATGGCCATTGTTAATAGAGTTGATAAGTATCAACTTTGCACAGAAAATTGGAAAAAAAAATGGATGAGGAAATGCTACTCCATCCTTCTCCTTATACTGACATATATTTTACCATTGATAATCTTGGGATCTACCTGCTCTAGAATCAGTATTTATCTATGGAGACTTGAAACGCCTGGTAACGCCCATCAAGTTAGAGACGAATTGCAATTGAAGGCCAAAAGAAACGTTAGTTTGTATTTTAATGCAGAATTTATTTGAAATCTCTTTAAAAAATGTTCTAATTTTTAGACAATCAGAATTCTAATTATAGTTGTCATGATGTTCGCATTGTCCTGGCTTCCCTTGCAAATATTCAACCTTGTGGTGGAGCTCATCCCAAACAAGATCGAAGTAAGTTAACTAGACTCTATTTTATTCACTGTTAGAGCTTAGGCCTAAATCCTCAGAAATGTTTCTGTAACATATACTGCATAAAGATACAACATTTTTAAAACACTCTCTCTACTACTACTACATACTCCCTTTACTCTATACTATATATATATATATATTTAGATATATACTGTGTATATATATCCCGAATAGACATCTCCTTTCATTGTTTACATATTTAACAAGTTAATAATAGTACTTTTACGTTTTTTTCCTTTTAAAGCAACATCAAAATGCTGCTGTTTATTGCTTTTTAGCTTTTCATTGGTTGTCAGTGAGTAACTCTTGGATGAATTCGGTTGTGTATAGTTTTATGAACAAAAGATTTAGGGTAAGTTTTATTTCGTTATTCTATTTTTCTTCTTTTCTTTTTTCATTCTCTGAGATGTAAACAATAAAAGACGAAGAAAAGATTTATAGACTTCATAAATTTGTAAAACAATCCTTCAAGATAGTATTTAAACTACATAAATTTCATGCGTATTTATTGTAGTAGTCTATTTATAGGTCTTTTATATTTTTAAAGACATCAATGTAAAAGAACTTTTCAATTTCAACTTTCTGTTGCTTTCTGTTATTTTAGTGTGACATGAAAGATTTGCTGACAAAGTCATATTTGAACGCTAGCGAACGAAACTCTTTATACAATCTACGGGCATTTACCTTTCCTCGCAAATCATCTTGTGCTAGAACTGGATACCATAATGGACGTAAAGAAATTGATAAATTTGGTCCAAGACTAAAAAACAATAATGAACAAAATACACCTACAACTGGGGCCCAACTTTTACAGAATGACGACAGATAGAAATCTGGAAATCGTAAGAAATAAAAAAAAAGAAGAGGCGGGGAGAAGGACGGCGGAAGGGGGAAGGGTGAAGGGATCGTTTGAATTATTTGTTGTCTGCTCCTACTTTTTTTTTCATAAGATATTTTTGTATACACATAAAAGAATAAGAGATTGAGAGAGAAAGAGAGAGATAGAGAGAGCAGAATGAATGAAAAATAACAAATGATTTTGAGATATCTATAATAATCGTTGTAGTCCTTGTTCCAATCATTTATCCAATGCAGAACAAAAGAAAACAGAGAAAAAGGAAGATAAAAAAAAATTATTCATTTCTTTTTATTGCGCAGTAGATGTGTTATTTCATATTTGTTTTCTAATAAAGAAATCGAGATTAATCGATGTTTTGAAAATCTTAATTTTAATTAATTGCGGATGAGCAAACTAATCAGTATTAATTTTATATATAAGAAATTTAGAAATTAATTAATATTAATACCATTTCAAGGTTAGGACGAGATTGTTTATTCTTTCTATATATAAATATAAATGTATATAAAATATATTTAGGTATATTCACAAGTAAGTTATCTTTTGTACTTATCAAAAATATACTGTATATATTAAGAATAAAAACTTTCAAGTCATTCCTCCATATAGACGGCAAATAGCCCTAGGTCATTTGGCTTATTGCAGTATAACTAAGAGTTAATTTCACATACTCGCGCATAGTTTGTAATCAGACACTAAACTTTTGATGCGATATAGCATTTAGCCGGGTTTTTCTTCTTTCCCCTTTTCCCCTCGATTTCATCTCATCTCAATCTATTCTATTACCTTACGCTTTATTTTTCTACGAAGAGGGAAAAGATTTTGTTGCTTTTTTCGATGAAGATTGCGCAATAATGTTAAGAACGCCAACGCCATGTTCGATCTGCAAAGCACGTGTCTAATAAAAGCACAAAACTATATACGCTTACATTCTATGATTATAAGTTATACACCTGCTACGGACCGGTTTATTATAGGAACAATGCGGGGGTGAATCAGTAGTTTTAAACTTTAAAACTTGAAAAGTCAACCCTGTACAAAAGAAGAATTCAATGAAAAAAAGAAAAAAGCTCCAACTTAAATTATTCTAAAATATGCAAATGTAAAAATGACCATTTTATCATTGCAAATAACACTTTGGAATATTCTAAGGTGACTCCCCGAAAATTGGGTCTATCTATTAAGGTGCGGTTCTTTCTCTCTTTCACACCACTTCGGCAATCTTTCCCGTGAACATGGTAAGATAACTGAACAGATATTCAGAGATTTTCTTTTACTTTTTTATTCAGAGTTATCTTTTATCTTTGATTTTGTTCTCTTAAAAGAGCAAATCAAAGTTGCATGGTAGAAAAGATGAACATCTTATACATTATATAATTATCATTTTTGTGTCTTTGAACGTATATATATTTATATATATAGATGTATATATCATCATCATCATCATTATCATAGTCATAGTCATATACAGTTAACGTATAAATTAAGTTTTCTTGCATGCTCAGATTGTTCCTATTTTTAATATTCTCTTCTTTTTATTCGCAGAGTGATCTAAGTTCGGCCGACATCGAAGGTTGGTTCTCATTCTTTTTCCCTAAGTATTTATACAAATATATTTAGCAAAATGGAGAGGCTCCGTCTCTTGATTTGTAAAGCGCTTTTAGTAAAGTTGCTTGCGAACTGGGTTCCTAGTTATTCGTTAAAAGTAGGCGGCGGTGTAGGTTTTTGCAGTAGAAGTCATTCTCTTTGCGGTGCGAAAGGAAAGAGGGCAGTATGACAACAGATATTTCAGCATCAGAGCTTGAAGGTATTTTTTTATTTCTCTAATTTCTCTGCCTGAGATTTTCTCATTTTTAATCTAAAAAAAAAGAGAAAAAATTTAAAAAAAGAATATCAAGATTTTTTCAAAAGCTATCTTGAATTTTTTGTAAAAGTTCTTACCAGAAACGTTTAAGTACTTTCTGTTATATTTATATATACTAATATAATTATAAATGTAGAATGAGGCTATATGCATGAAAAATAGGAAAAAAGTATGTGCCAGATCTCTATTTTGTATGGAGGCCAACTTGAGCACCCACACACATTCGTGTATATATATATATATATATACGTTGGTAGTATTTAAAAGAGGTCTAGCAGCCTTAATAGGTAGAAGAGAAAACTCGAAAATTTTGCTTGCTTTATGAGTTTCTATATGCTACAAAAGTTTAAAATATGTTAAACATAATTAGATCAAACTCTAGTTATTATAAATAGAAAACTAGAGATATTCTATGCATAATATTGCATATAGTAAGGAATTCGCTTGCAAGAGGGCGCTTTTCGAACCTAAAGTGTACTCGCGATGGGCTCGTTCTAAAAATATACCACATACTGCAATGCAGCCGGCCCCTTGCTCTAAAAACATGCTTTGTGTTTACCGACAGACGTGAAGGAGGTCTTCGACTTATTCGACTTTTGGGACGGTCGCGATGGAATGGTAGATGGCGCAAAGGTCGGTGATCTTCTACGTTGTACTGGTCTAAATCCAGCTCAGGCCCTCGTCAATTCGCACGGAGGATGCGCAAAGTTTGGAGAGAAGCAATACAAATTCGAAGAGATCCTCCCCATCTACCAGGCTGTCACTAAGGAGCCGGATACGGGAACTTTCGCCGACTTTATGGAAGCGTTCAAGACTTTCGATAGGGAAGGTCAAGGCTTTATTTCGGCCGCTGAGATGAGGCACGTTCTTACTTTTTTGGGGGAACGATTGACTGATAGCGAAGTGGACGCCATATTAAAGTATACCGATACTGAAGAGGATTTAGAAGGAAATTTTAAATATGAAGGTAGTATTATAATCATTAAATTTGTTCAAATATTATGATATTACCTCATCATAAACTTTACCACCAATAGAATTCATCAAGAAAGTTATGAAAGGCCCTGGAAAGTAGGTAGCAGTAATCAACAAATCAGTTTGCCACGCGAAATATAACGACGAACTGCCATCATAATGTAAAACATAATAAAGCGAGCTATAAATAAAATATTGAGAATGAATGCGGTTTTGTTTTCTTTATATCTATCGTGTTGTGTCCATCCCTTATTTTCAAATAAAACTTTACCTTTCTGCTACTTAACGAAACGTAGCATAATCAGAACGTCATAATATTACATAGAAATGAAAAGAGATAAATTACTCAATTTTTTTGTCATACATACATAGGCCAAATTAAAACAAACATTAAAACGTTCTTTACGAACCCGTAATAATAATCAGTTATCTCCTTTAAAATATTAGGACTTGACTTTAGGAAAACAAGTAAATCAACATCACTACATTCTTGTAGCGTCTATGTTAAACATTTTTCAGCTGAGAATATCACCTCATACAGCTTGTGTCAAGAACTTCACAATGTTATTTCATTTTATTTTAAGCCAAACTGTTGCATTGCGCTTTCATAAACAGTCCAAGCGAGGGCAGCCATTAGGGTACGTCTGACTGTACGAGGAACTATTCCTCTTAAAAATCCTGCAAGACCTTCTTTTGAATAAACATATAGAACAACGTGTGGGATTTTCGAAAATTTTCCAGGGTTGATCTGCATATGAGTTTTTATAACATCGGCAGGTTGAGTAACCACTGATGCTGAACATCCGGCGACCAGGCCGCAAGCAAAGTGCAAAGTCGGTAAGGACGAATAGCCTTGCAGAAGTGTACCTTGAAACGAAAACAATATCTGTTATAGTTACACGAAGGTTTCACGTGCACATTATTTTTTTTTTTTAATCTCTGATAATCAGACCACTTATATCAAATTATAGGCAAAATAGAAAGTTTTATCACTTACTTTCTTTTACGGTCTTTTTGGCTTGTGTGTAGAACATTAAATATATTCCAGAAAAAGGTGCATCCCTTAGTAGGGTTGCTGCTAGGCCACTATATAAGCCTGTGTAAGAAAAAAGATGCATATTAATAAGTGATGAAAGTCAAATGATAAGATTAAAACTTTACCTCTGGAACCTTCTGCTCTATAGATGGCAAAAATAGCGTGTGTAACGCTCTGGTAATTGAACTGTCCACTTTCGAATCGAGTTTTTACCACTGTAAATGGTAGCATGGATACGCCGGATATTGATCTAGCGAAAGCTCCGATCATAACCGACTCCATCGGACTTGGGTCCTTACTGCCGAAAGTGGTCCGCAACCAGTGCATTGAACTAAAATAGACGCCGATACCAGGGACAGTTCTAGTTAATGACGGCGTCATTCCTTTCCATAGGCCGGAAACTCTTTCGTTCTTGAGAATGTTTACTATAACAGTTATCATGCCACTTTTGTTTCCACCAATCGAATACGATTGTATGCGGGTCTTGACTAAATCCAAAGGCTGGAAGAGGATAGTCGAACACGTTCCGGAGAGGGAACCGGCGAGAAATGACTTAACAACGGGCGACTGTTTGGGTAAAAATATAAAATATGTTTAATAGACAATCATCTCAATTAGAATATATCTCAAATAAATTATTATTTGTCTCAGATTGCTTTTCCATTTATACTATTAATATATCTACAAGAAATTTGCTTAGAAAATAAAATCCGGTTTCAGCTGGTTTGCGAACAGTCATTGTACTATGCAATACTAAGGACTGGCAATATATGTTTTTTGCTTTAAACTTACCGTCATATAAGCTTCCATAATTTTCAAATATTTTTCCTTTGACAAACAAATTTTCGCCCTTCTAAACTTTTAAAATGCGCACTGGCCCGGACCCGCGGTGCTGCTTAACCCCAGCACAGCCACTTTTCAAGTGTATCGCTGAAGTCTGAATAATAATATTCGTTAACACGGCAAACGAATCCTTGGCTCATTATATTTGTGCTCAGCTTCCTAGGTTGTTTAATTCTTTACTTCTTCAGTGCACATTGGTAAATGACGTTTGTAAAATAAAAGTGGCCATTTTACTTTGATTAAATGAATATTCATTAAACTAGTATAGTTCCTTTTTAGAAAAATTGATTTAAAATTGTATTACATCATTATTATTCATCAGGTCGATCCAGAGTTGCCATTTATAATGTTATGATCTAGATTTGTAGGCGCACTCAAAAACGTAACAACAAAATTCGGTTTTGAGCACTAACCAGTCTAAAAGATTTCATCATATCCGATCAGAGCTGAGCGGTTTCGCCTTACGGGGGTGTTTAAACCTATATAAATACGCATCACAACTGTTCGTCTAACATATTATATCGGCCAGATCGACTATTCAATCAGCTGACGTTTTATTTCACCACTTATACGACGACTAAGAATCATTGGCCTTTTTTTTGACATATTTGATGTTGAACTCGATGAATGTGTATTTTCTTTTTCAAGGATTACCGTCATTTTGAGTGTATTGAGTTAATAGTAAATAAGCTCTATATTTAGAATTAATATATATTTTTTTAAACAATTTAGAATTACTTTCAACTAAATCCTTTATAATTTCATTAATAGATAAGGTAAATCCATCATCGTGTCCATGAAAGATAACAAAAGATATGTACAATAGCTAGTATCGTGGACTCTGTCTTGAATTTTGATCCATATATAAAGCAAAATATCTCTCTAAACTGATTAGCAAGTTTAGTAAATAAACATTAGATGACTACTGTAACAATAATAAAAAAGGGAAGATAAACCACTCACAACCTTATATAAAATATAATGATTGCATAATGAATGACGAATCGTCAAGATAAAAACAATTTGATGAAGCAGGTGTTAAAAAAAATATTCAAATTTTATAAATAGAACTCCTAAGTATTTTCTTTGCAAACAACTAAAAAAGTTGTTTATACATATTTTTAGTTCGATTTCTGTTATTAAAAAACTACTTATATCACAGGACTTTCTAATTAGAAAGTGTTCAGTTAAATAATTTTTATCTCTTCATTTCATTACTATCATAGGCTCCTCCTATTCAGCTGGTTTATAGTGTAGTGAATGCATCACTCTTTGAATAGCTTTTTTTAACCTTGACTCATATCTATCGGCAACAATTCTGTCCTGAATAGGTATATCGTTACATTTATTCAGACAATGCTGATTTCGGCAAGGAGCGTAGTGTTTTACTGTTGCCACATCCATTGTTATTACAAAAATATTCCCTTCATATAGTTCTGGAGTGCCCCAAGTATCTATATTTTCAATTGTTGAGGGCTTAACAAAGCATTTCATACGACTGGAGCATTTTCTTGACTCGGTTGAACTACCAGTTAATGGGACGGCACCGTAAACGGGTTCTATATATATTGTTGACAAACAGTAGGCAGAACTGGAATGTGGTAAAGTAGGCCAAAGTGGTTCCTTTTCTGGTACTAATACCTCATCCAGATCGGCAAAAAATAATAAACTCGTTGAAGCGGCTCGTAAACAGTGAGCATAGGCCAATGGAAGACCAAAGCGATAAGTTGTATTTTGTAATATCTTTGGCATACTCCAATCCCATACTGTAACATTTGGGCGGGATCTGTAGTGGTTTATTATGGTTGAGTGCGAAGTATCATATATATAGACGTGATCGTATATCATGATTTGTAGCTCTAACATCTCGACAAGATGATGTTCGGGTATATCACCAAAGTAGATAGGAGATAAACAAACTCCAATATTACCTTTTCCTTTCTGAACTGAATCTAATACATTTAATGTAGTCCAGTTAGAGTTTATTGAAGTTTCAAACGAAACTCTTAATGAACAAGGATTATCTGTTACTTTGCCAGTTACGTTGCAAACTAATTGATAGGCTGAATTTATCTTATGCCTAGATGACTTTAAATATTTTACATCTGCACGAAAGGCCTCTGTAATACCAAAATCTGTCTTTACCAAACAATAAATTGGACTCATTTCCTTCCATGTAGGCATAGATGCAAGTATTCTTATAAAAGTTTCGTTATTTAAACGGTTAAAAACGGCTTGCAAAAGCCAAATCTCTCTGCCTAAGGAAATAAATTGCGGCTTCCGGTTTTCTTCCAAATTATACGAACATGGAGGTTTTGTTACTGGAATGGGGATCCTACCATGTTTATAGTGTTGAACTTTTGAAATTTTCACATCATTATCTCCTAAACTAGTCCACATGATAAAAATAATTAGGCCGTAAGCAATAGCAAATAGAACAGTGGCAGTTCTCCATAGTCTTCTGGACGAGGCAAGCTGATGTAATTTTCTCTTAAATCTCATAGTTATTCCTTCTCTTTCACTATACGATATATTAATATTATACTTCTCTCCATGTAGTATCTCGTACACCTCCTTTCGTTTGTTCATTAGTAGCAACAAGGATTTATGGAATCATTTGAATTGTTTCATAAATAATTTTCGTAAGGTATCATTCACCACGTGAAAGAGAGAAAAAGAACTATGAACAACATATGGTATAATTAAACCGATAACAACAGCTGCTGAATATCTAAAACACAAAAATGAAAAAAAAAATGAAAATCAATGAAAAGATGCTTTGAGTAAAACTGTTACCTTTGACAATATCCCTTCAACAAGTTAATATGCCTTTACAACCCATTTTTTAAAGATTTTATACCCTTTATGATTACTTATAACCTTAATTTGAGTGTTTTTATCTAACTAAAGCGATAGTGAATATTTTCAATGATCTATAGGTTTCTTAGAAATTGAAAGGAATAGCAATAATTTTCCTGTTTTTGAAATTAATCATGTTTTTTCACTGATCATCAACTACTTAAGTTTTATTTTACAGAACTTGCTCCAGTTCAATGCATATCTAGAGATTATTTTTTATGCAGATGCAATCAGATAGCCGTTTAGAAGCTTTCGTTTTCTAATTCATTTAAATACTTTGAAAATACTAGAATTATATGAAATATTATAAGATTTCATAGCATGTCTTTCCTTGGCAATTTTCTTTACGTAAACTTGATTGATTTAAGGATTCCAGATCGTGAAACAAACAACAAAAAGCGAAGAAGTAGGTCACATTTAGAATGATTACCGAATTAAAAAAACTATTTAAAGTATGACGTAGACATTCTACTTGACCTTTTTTTTTAGAACTTAAAAATATAATCAGTTTTTACTTTCTATTTTCTGTGAGTCAACTTGACAAATTAATTTGATTCGCATTAGACTTGGGAATGGACATTTTATCAACACACTTATTTTCAGAATATCCTTAGATTTTCTTTATCTCTTATGATAATACTCCCAAGTCAACAATCTCCTTTTTAATTCGATAAGGCTTGAAGTGGATTAATGTACAAAAAAAAAAAAATAAAAAAAAACGAACAAGCTTTACCTTAAATGAACTATATTTATTTGTATATAGACAACAAAATAGATTCGTAATGCATTTACATTCGAGAAAGTTTTTTGGTCGAAATAATGTTTAATCTGTGGATGATGAATATTATCGCTATAAACAAGCTTGTTATCGTCCTCGGAAACCTCCTCCTCCACGACCTCTGAAACCTCCTCCTCCACCACGTCCGCCTCTGCCTCCGCCACGACCTCTAAAACCACCGCCTCCGCCCCGGCCTCCTCCTCGACCTCCGCCTCGGCCACCACGACCTCCTCTACCGCCGCCTCTGCCTCCGCCTCCACCTCTACCTGATTGTGCTCCTGGGAGAAATCGACCAAGTGGCAGTAGTTTATAAGGATCGATGAAGAACTGACATTAACATATGAAAATAAACATATGACACAGAATGTATTTGTTTAAAGAACCAACCTTTGAATTCTCTGAGAAGGAAGAAGCTTTGACATCACCAGTAAGCTTTACTGAGAAATACTAATAAAGTTTTGTTAAGGGTCAATTGTCAAAACAATTAGATTTCTAAAACTAGTTAAAGACTTTGAAAGGATACATAATTCTTTATTTGTCCAAAGATTTCATCAACCTTTCCAACCTGCTGCTTGTTTTCCAAGAAAATTCCTGCGTTAAAGAAAGGTACTTTTTCTTCAACCGAACACTTGCAGACTAAATCGTCCTCACATACATGGGAAAACTTTCCGATTTCAACAACTTCTGAAGGAGGTCCTTCGTTGTAACCACCTCCGCCACCACCTCCTCTGCCTCGGAAGCCTCCGCCACCTCGTCCCCTAAAGCCACCTAGAATAAAAAAATTCATGCAATTCTTATGCTATATCTTTTAATATTATAACTTACCTCCTCTTCCACCTCCACCGCGACCTCCTCGTCCACGAAAACTCATAATTGTAACACTGGGTATCGAAACACTTAAATTATCGCTCACAGAGTCATGCGTTTGTGCACGCGGTATCAAAGTTTTCGGACACTGCACTTAATTAGAAACATAATGCTTGTGAACTCTGCTTTGAAAATCTGTGATTGGTTAGAATTTTATAAATATAGTTTATAGAAATTTGTAATCTAATCTCTATTTAATTTTAAAACTTTGAAATGTTTTTGATTTTTTTTAAAGACGATTAGATCAATAAAATAATATATATAAAAAAAACTAGTATATGATTGAAAGACACCGTTATCAATTGGAATTTAGTTCGTTTTAATAAACATTTGTTTCAGCGCCACCGTGTGGTTGCTAACGAATCCATAATTTTATTTACAAATATTTTTTATCACTTGAAAAGTGTCGATTGTAATTTACTTGTACAGAAACATGATGTGAAAATACAAATTAATAAAGTAATCATATAGATATAACCTGGTAAGTAGTTTTTCCCAAATTTTGGATACTTTGATCACCTTTCTAACTCTATGTAACTTTAATCTATTATCTTCAAGTATGTAATTAAACTGGTTTTATTGAGTAATTTTACAATCAGTCACCCAGCATATGCAAAAAAAATATGATAAATGACAATAGTTGTAGAGATATATGAAAAACAATGAACAGGAACTTTCTTTATCTATTTTTAAATATATACATTGTACAATGAAAAATGACACGAATGACAAAAATCTACATAATATGAATGAAAGAGTTTCTGCTCGAAATATTACAGTATCGACTTTAATTGAATAGCAATTAGTTCAACTTGTACTTACCTATTAAAGTTGGCTAATCTTGCTTTACTTTTTTTGGGAGTGTCATATTTAGATAATGTCAATAAGCTGGAAATGCTTTTGCGTATTAAGCTACAGTAACTTTAATAACAGAGAATAAATATGGCACCAAGAACAGTTATATGCTATATCTGTGGAAGGGAATATGGTTCAAGGTCTATTGGGATTCATGAAAATCAATGTTTGACAAAGTGGAATATTGAAAATGAAAAGTTACCCCCAAATCAGCGTCGACCACCGCTGGTGAAACCTCAGGTTCTTCCCTCAATATCATCGAAAGCGACCCGACAGGACATTGACCGTTGGAATGAAATTGCATCGCAAAGCGCAGCTGCTCAATTACTATCTTGTGATACTTGTGGAAGAACCTTTAATCCGGATAGGCTTCAAATTCATCAGAGAAGCTGTAGGCCAGGAAATTCGGCTAAACCTGTAAAAGGAAAGGAAGGTTTATTAAATGCTAGACCTACTTTTTCAGGTAGAAATGGGGGAAATGCCCATGCTGGAAATGTCCAAAGTAGTATGGATAGAACCGAATATATAGAATTCGAAATGGAACCGAAGAGAAGCTTCAATACACAATCCGGTAAGCCATTCTTTTTTGTATTTTTAAATTAAAAACATATTCTTTAATTGTGATGTAACAAGAAATTTTCAATTCAATCAGTTATTATAAATATAATATAAGTAAATTCCTTAATCTTATTAGTCATCACGTCTCTATAAAAATCTGTCAAGATTTAAATGAAAGAATTAATTAAAAAAGGTATTAACATATAAACAAGATATTTATGGATAATTTTTATATTTATTATCGTCAAATGTTTCATTAGTTTCATAATTGAATTTACTCTTCGACGCTTTCCTATTGAAATTTTATTAGCTGCATAAAACTCTGTAATTGAGATCAATAATAATAGATTTCTTTTTGTTGACAAATAGGTCATGAAGTGGAAAGACCCACAACTGCAACTATAAAAAATCCTAAAATACTGCAAAAATTAGATATAAATGATTATCCAGGACCTCATAAAACGAGAAGAAATCAGAATGGGAAATTCTACGGTGGAAGAAGCTCGGCTAAGAGATTAGACGCTAAAAAACCTGCAGATTATAATATAGAAGCAAGTGGCTTTAAATTCGCAGCAACACCTGGTCAAAAACCAGGTGGTGGACAATTCGTACACTGCTATATTTGTGGCCAAAAATTTACTACCGCATCATTAAAGTTTCATGAACCTGCATGCTTGAAGAAATGGTATGTTACAAATGAGCAACTTCCTCCACACCTCAGACAGAGAGCACCCGTAAAACCGGAAGGTTTCGAAGATATCATTCAGGGAAATGCACCCAGAAGAGGTACCTTTTCTAACGCTGGTGGTATGAATAACTATGGAGGGGGTGGCGGAGTTGGGGCAAGTGGAGGAGCGATATCTGGTAAAGGAAATTATAACATAGATAATTATAACATGGCTGTGCAACAAGCTGCCGAAGCGAATATGGCTCAATGTCCCCATTGTAGACGAACATTCAATCCAGATAGAATACAAAAACACGAGAGTATATGTGCCAAAACTAAAAAAGGGAGAACAGAAAGAAAGGACGATTCTTATCAGGAGCCTGCTTCAAAATCTGGACTAATGCCATCAGCTGCTCAAAAAAATAAAACCTATGACATTAACCAAGACAGAAAGAGAAAGTACGAAAGTATTATGGACAATTCTAAAAGCAGGAAACACGGCTTTGTTATCTGTCCGAGATGTGGCAGACAATATACACATGCATCAATTCAAATTCATTTACCAAAATGCGGTGTACCACCTGGGTATAAACCACCAAAAGGAGAAAAGGGTATGAACGCAGCTCCGTAAGTATTTCAAACAAATATAGGGATTACTAAATTAATCCATTTAATCTCTCTTCAATGAAAGTTACAAATAGCATTGACGCCGTTATTTTATTTTTAGCCCTGGTGGATTTACCAATCAGTGCCGAGGCTGTGGGCGAACTTTTGCACCAGATCGATTAGAAGTTCATCAGAAGGTCTGCCTAAATGTATGTTATACTTATCCATAATCATATAAGATAATTGATTGAATATCATTTCGATGATCCGTCACAGAATCCCAACCTGTTTCAATCAAAATCAGAACCAAAGAGACCCCCAATCAGAACGGCAAGAACGCCAAAGTGGGCTAGAAATGGTGGAGACCAGCCAACTCCTTGCCCAAACTGTGGAAGAGAATTTAAAGCTGATCGTCTTCAAGTACATCTTAGGGCTTGCAGAGCCTAAAAATTTAAGGAAAACAGATCTGAATGAATATCCTATTCTTTAATATCTCCTACTAATTTTTCAATGCTCTTGATCAACATATTAGACTCAATTTAATCCAAATGTACATCTAGTGTCAAACGTTCGAGGTCATCAGCCGATAACGATTTAACCTTCTAGTTAGTTTCATATAGGACAAGGTAATATCTCTTACGTAAGAACAACAATATATTTACATTTTCTTATCTATTAACAACTGCTATAAACTAAATATAACAGCTGTTATTTAGGTCAAACACATAACTTAATCTAATATTTCCGACGCTAGTATACGAAATCGAAAAATATATAAAAACACAGGTATTACTCAGATGTGTGAGTTAAGTAGAACTGTATAAAGTACTGCTTTCGATTCTACTACAATCCGTCCTTTAACTAATTTCTATGATCGTCCCGACAGTATTTTCTTTAAGAGCTACAAAATTGAGATAATTCACATTAATTATAGAATTTTTGTCTATTTAAGTACGACGAAATTTCAATTTGCTATCTCTGTCAACTCCTCCTTTTTCTACTCTGCTCTCTGATCTAAAAACTATCCAATAAAAAACGTATTGGCTAATGAAATTAAAAAATTGTTAAAATGTTTAGAGTTGGCTAAAAACCAAATAACTTTAATATTTTTTATTGATATTTAAAATAGATCATAGCATAAAAATAACAAACAAGATTGTTTACTATTTTTATCTTTCTGGATCAATAGTATTTTTTTCGTGAAGATTTTGAATCTGTCTACTATATCATATACTTAGAATATTTGCGGTGCTGCTATATCCCAGAAAAAAAAGAGACCAAAATCTTGCATTTATCAGCGATGTTTTCTTTTATCTACTTTTTTTTTCTTTGAAAAATATACTGTTATTATAGATGAATGAGTTCATTTTCTTTATTCAATTAATGTATTTATACCAAAGTAAACAGTATATATTTTTTTTCCAAAAAAAAATTAATGAAAAGCTACTTAAATAACAGATTACTTATCCTCTAATATCATATAGAACAAGAAAACCCTCATCTCAGCAGAAAGTGTAGTTTGTTTTTCGATACAGAAGTTGAATTAAATCTAAAAGGGTAAAATAAAAGAGTATTAAATCACTAAAATAGTGAAAAGATGTCATTAATCTATAATTAATTAATATTTCTACCGTCTTAAGTTCTTCCTAGCCTCTCTTAGGTCTATACTGTGATATTCTCGTTTCATATGTTCCTTAAGATGATTACACAGTTTCAAATTGAGATATCTAAGATTTTTAAATCTTCTCAATATAAATTCGACTCCAGCTGACACGACATTTGTCTTAGCTAAATTAAGCTTAGTTAGCGGAGAATATTTTCCGAAACTCTTGAAAATTACTGCCCAACTAAAATCATACAAGTTATTTCCAGAGAGATCTAATTCGATAAGAGTCGATGACCACCTACGAAATATTTTTGCAGCCTGTTCACTCAACTCTCTTTCATTTATTAGATGACCAGATAAAGATTCTCTTAAATATAAATATTTCATTTTATTACTTTTGTAATAATAAAGTACTTTGAAGCTGTTATTTCCCTTCAAACGGCTTAATTCTAATATTTCCAAGTTCGGCATATCTCCAATAAATTCGGTGAGTGCATCTGCCGTTTCGAAATATTGCAGCATATTGGAATTTGCCATTCGAAATTCTTTCAAATCAAACATGTTAGTCGTCTGCTCAAGTTCTGCATTTCTCTCGCTGGAAGTATAATGGTAAAACATTACGTTTGTATGGTTCAAGTTTAAACTCTTTAACGCAAGACATTTTCTCTTCATTCTTAAATACTCTAATCTCGGAATCAGATCAAAGTCGCTCGTGCAAAAGCAATTCTCCAAACTCAATTCTTCTAATATTGGACAAAAATCAGTAAGTCCTTCAATAAGCATATGTAAAGCTGGACCGTCGAATCTATTATTCGCAAAATTCAGTTTTCTTAATCTAGGTAGAACGTTTGAAACAAATGTAGTAATATGTCTGTTGTAAACACGATACGAGAATGTTCCGTCAATGTTTATTGAATCCAAGGTGTTTGCGTTGTCTGACTGGGCCAAAGTGACTAAAACTTTTGGTTTTAACTTAGGACAACCTTTAAAAGATATCTCTGTTACATTTTTTAAAAAAGGCAACAAACTATCAAATCTGATATTGGACAAGGTAGAATTAAAGGATATCTTTTTACAATTGTGTATGTAACGACATAATCTCCTGGTAACTGACTCTAAATCCTTTGAAGTAAAATTTTCGGAACCTTTTACGAAATCAACAGAATTCCAAAGAGACGGTGTTGGAATAATTTTTCTCCAATTTTCAGAGACCGCTCCCAATCTTGCCAGAGATAAATGGCCTTCTGTCATTACGCAATGACGAAAAATTTTTACTAAGATCTCAGGTGGTAGATTATTCCAGTCGAAAAAAGGTTCTAATCTTAATCTTTTAACTAAAGGAGTTTTCATTGTTGATAAATTATCTTGAGGTCTAAGATGACCCACGTCCCCACCACAATTTCCTTTCGAAAGCATGGTGTATTCTCCTTCCTATAACAAATGATTCCAAAAAATTAGCAGTCACTTTCCGCCATCTTTAAGTTCAACGTTACGCTTTCAAAAAACCAATATAAAAAATTAAGCAGAACAATTTATTTAAATTTTATGAATTTTAATAATTTTTTATGAATTGATTAATTTACAATTTCAAATAAGATGTTTAATGTCCAGATATTCCGAAAATCGAAGCGAGAAGAGAAAATTTCGTACTAGCTCTAACATAAGTTCAGAGCGTATGTTATATTTGCTATGAGTACTATTTTCTAGCGTCTCTCTTCAATATATTCAGCAATCTTTTACGTAAGCTGAATGAGTTAGTGAATGATAAAGGTGAATTGCACTATTAGTAAACTTAAACTAATGAACGAAGTCAAAGATTACAAAGCAAGAAACTTTATTTAAACAGTTCAACTAAGAATCTCAAACACATATTTTTGAGTTTTGACTATTCATATAATATACAACTGAACTATTATTCTTCAAATAAGAAATGTTTAATTGTTAGTGCTTTGTTATGTTTAACGATGTAGAATAGTATTTCACGTTCATCAGGTTTCTTGTGATAATGAACAACATCCGGTTTATCGAATTCTTGTGATATAGCGTATACGTAAATCACTTTTTCTTGTTTGTTTACAATGTAAGCTCCCTGATTGTCCATGAACAGATAGGGCTCGTAAACGAAATTTGAAGCCTGACTCGTTAAATTAAAGCATGTGGGCATCAACTGCAAGTTATAAATTTCATAACGACCATCTGCAGAGTTTACGCAAAAAACGCAACTATTTGCCTTATCAACTATAAACAGCAACCCGTTTACGTACTTCATCTCTGCAACTTGTAGATTAAGTGGTGTTCTCTTAAACCATTGGTTCGTTAAGTTGTTGTTGTACTTTCCAATCAAACCATGGCGATAGAGAAATACACCACTTTCGTAACAAACAAAATCTGTCCAAGATTCCAGCGAATTGACGTCTTCCAATTGATACCCAATAGGTAGAGCTTTCAACTTTAAAAGATGCGTTTTCGGTCCAATTGATAGTAAAAATACTTCATGATTATTCGCTGTTAAGTAGAACGTTTTTGCCTCAATCTCATTAACTCGCCAACTTAGAAGTCGTTCAACTTTTTTACTTTCAACGCACTCTCTTAGTAGGCTAAACGTACACGGTTCATTCGGTTTAGCCAAAAATTTTGTGAGGAGAAAGAAGTTCAACTTGGTCGAAGTTATGCTAACAACTTCTTCTCCCTGTTTAACCACCTTCTCAAGTCCCGCTAATTCACTGCTTGAGAAGATATTGACGCCAAATTTAAAAGAATTTTCTTTTATTGCACTTTCAAATTGTACTTTTTCTGTTAGAATCCTGTCCATTTCATCAAGTATCGCCTCCTTTATCTCTTTTATACTACGATCTAAAAAAGAGCTAGTTTTCAACTTAACAATTTCAAAGGTTTTTATATCGCCATCCAGATTTCTTAGTTGGGTTTCTTTATTTGAGAAAAACTTATTCAGCTGTTGCTTTAAAAAACACCCATAATTTTCAACCAATAGGCAAAATTTTCGGTTTTCATTTTCCAGATTATCCATTTCTCTCTTTTTGTCTTCCTTAATTCTTTCAATAGCATCTAGGATAATTCTTCGAAATTCCTTACTCTCATCGTGGGAGATAATTTCTTGTCCTTCGCTAGCCGCTATCTTGTCTAGTTCGCTTGGAATTTGCATATTCATAAAGTTGCTATTGGAAGGGTTAATTAGAGGTTCTAATTGAACAAACGACTGAACTCCATTTTCGGGCCAAAAGTGTTTCGTTTTGCAAATGAGACATGAAAACTTTGACCCTGGCTGCAGACAATGAGAAGTTGCAAAGCTGTCGAGGCACTCAGAACAGAAGGCGTGCAAAGCATTGCAAGGTAGACAACGTGGGTTTCTGTTCACCCACGTGCCGCCGCACATTTCGCAAAGTAATTGACTTTTATCAAAACTTAAGTTGATATTAACTTCTCTTTCGAAAGGTTTACCATTCTCAGATTTATTCACTCCTTTCATCTTAGGACAACTTTCTTGTTCAAGAATACAAAGACTAATAAGCGCAAGAGAATATTCTTCTAAAATGATACATAAAATCAATTTTGATTGGCTAAGAAAACTTCCGGTTATAGCAATTAACAAATCACAATAATTGTTAAATAGCCTATTACTGATTTTTTAAGAAGTGTAAATTATGATATCTATAAAAATGTCGACGAGACATATTTATAAATAGATATATAAATATATAAATTAATTTATATATTTTGGTTATTTTAAAAGTATAATAATCCTAAAAGTAGTATAACTATTTATTTACTAACAATCGTAATTTATTGAGTAATTCACAAAGTCGCAAAATCTTTAATAAATTTATGGATTAATCAGATTAACTTGATTTTCATTATTACATTCCTTTTGTTAACTTGCCCGTTGAAAAGATATATTATCATATTAATACTACATTATGACTAGAGAGAGAGAGAGAGAGAGAGAGAGAGAAAGGGAGAATGAGAAGAGTAGGAAGCGGAATTTGCTCTATTACACCGCACTAAATAAAATAATTGTTAGTATATTTATTTCAAAATTAGGATAAATAAAGTATTTATACAAAAAACTTTAAAAGACTAATATAGATTTCTATAATGATTTATTAGATTATAAATTACACTTTGACTTAATTCAAAAAATTATATATTATAGTCTAATAAACTTGAATATCATGAAAGAGGATAATAATTGAACGAAGTTGGTAGAATGTAAATGAAAAATGTTGATCAATTGATTGACTTTTGTATACTTTACATTTTCAAACCTTTATGTAGATTTTCTACCGTTCACTGGAAACTTTATTGAACGTTGTTACTGCAAAGTGAGTAGAGTTTTTTTTTATTTTTCACCTACTCCCTTATTATCCTTATCCCTTGCATTTCTTATTGTGAAACTAAAGCAATACATAGAAAAGTATATAATGATTTTTCCCTACGTTTGACCTTATTAATAAATAGTAGATTTAATGTTGTTATTTTGTCTGAAAACTGTGTTGATAGGGAGAATTAGGGGTGTCTGTCTTTTATTTTTGCATATTAAATAAATGTGTATTTAGATAACAGCTATTGGGAAATAAGATCATGTTAAATCTTAAAATTCTATATTATATGTCTATTTGAATTGGAATAAGACGCATTAAAGTCTGCCGAACTGTCAGTTATTAATTGGAAAATAATAAACGCTTATTAAAATTGTATATTAGTTGCCCTTCCCTCCCAATCCTATATTTTTCACTTTCTGTTCTATTTCCCAACACCTATTTACCACCCCTCTACCGCCCCTCTCTTGCTCGTTGTCGTTAACGTGTAAGTAATGTTTTTATAAGTCTATAAATTGACTTAATAAATCTTTATTTCTTTTTTATAATATTTAACCCTTAAGTCTTCGACTGTGCAAAGGTGGAAGTGCGTAAAAGAAATTCTAATATCATTGAGATAGCAATATCTAGCTAGAAAATAAGAATAGGAAGAATAGATTATATTTACAGTATTTCATTATACTGTTCAAGTAAAAAAAAAACTTCTAGAGAAGAGAGAAGAAGAGTGTGTTTGTTTGTAAACGAAGAGCAATTACAATTAATTATTTATAAGTAGTGTCTAAGTTTGCTGATATTATTGTTAAAAACAATAATATATACATATCTTGTAACTTATAATATTTAAATTATAGCTAAGCAATTGGAATTTACGAATGTTTATCAAGGCAAGCGTATTAGAATTATTGAACAGTGCTTAATATTTGTTCAGTGGACTTTTATTCATTTATTGTTGTATCTAGTTCAGACGAAGTCATAAAGCCGCTTTCGAGACGGAAGGAAAAGAAAAATGAGTGAAAGTAAGATCTCTTCAAGAAAAGTTAGCATAGCTTCGACGACTCTTCAGAGGAAGAGGTCCAGTCTAAAGCATATTGCTCAAAGTGTTACAGCGATGTTTGGTTTGAAACGAATGTCTAGAGGAATGTCTTTACATAGAGTCAGCGAAAAGCCTTTAATTAAATTGGAGAATACCTATAAAACTGAACCTGACCAGAGATTCCCTGTTACAAGAGCTCGCGAAGCTATCTACACTCTTTTTGAACCTATTCTTTGCGGAAAAAGATACGATCCCAGCGAGGCTCCTCGCCTAATTTGCTCTTTGACGAATATGACCAAGAATCGAATGAAAGATTTAGGATATGATAGATACAAGTATGTCGTACAGATTGCGTACGGTCAAGTAAGTATACATTAATTACTTATTTAATTAATATTATTATTCTGCTTGTTTTCTTTCCCCTTTACTTTTCATTTCTCCTTTGCTCCTTCCCTCTTTCTCTCACCTTTCTCTTCTCTTGTCACAACTCTTATATATTTCTTTCACATTTCAACTAATCGTTTAATGATTACCTATTACTACTCATGAAATCTACGAATTTATTTAGGTGAATGATCAAGGCTTTCGAATGGCCTCCAGAGCTTTATGGAATTCTCAGAGCGATAATTATCTGACAGTTGAATATAAGAACGATTCAATTTTTCTCGTTTGTATTGTTCATGCTGTTTATTTAGATTGATAAAAAGAAAAATTTGTGTCAAATCCTTTTCAATTTTTCTCTTTTTCCCTTAAATATACCTTTCTCTTTTTTATATATATATTTAAAAGAATCGTAAAAAATCACTCTTTAAAGTTGAATACCTTTGAATAATATGATATTTGCTATAGCTGGGGGAAAGAAAGAAAGAAAGAGAGAGAGAGAGAGAGAGAGAGAGAGAATAGTCCGTATCAGTTACCAACCAATAAGATTACAGATGGTGTACTTTCAACAAGATTTTTTCAATTATCTTAATAAATATATACTGCATACTATAAAGTATATTTACATTGTAACACCATAAAAGTTTCTATGCTATGAGTAAATTCTAGGATAAGATCAAATGAAGAAAAAAAAGGAAACTTTATATTTTACTAGTTTTGAACACTCTGAAAAAGTATCATAGTCCTCTATTTGAATAAAGATAATAGACAATTTCTTCTTATCGTATCTAATATAAAAGTATTATAAGGTGAATTAATGAAAGAAAAATAAAACAACTGAAGATGGCATTACCATATTATAAAAATTATAAGAATATTGACTATCATGATTTATTATGTATATATTATTTAATGTATTATTCACACCTACCCAATTAATTCTATACTTGTGTTTGGCAAAATTATCAGAATAGGCTTATATTTGAGGATTTTGTTCTATAACGTATTCTATTCTTTATTTATGCAATACGTTTAATATAGAGTCTTGAAACTATGTCTGATCTTTTTTTATTAGATAAATATAAAGATAGAGTTTTTGTTAATGTTATTGTTAATTTAAAAATATTACCAACAGTTTCTTTTTTTAACCTTGTTTGTCTTTTTCTTCTTTGTCTTCTATTTCATTTTCTTTAGTATTCTTTTCGGAGTTTGAATCTTCCTCTTTTTCAGTATCAGCTTTTTCATTTGTGACGTCATCTTTAGTTTCTATCGTCGTCGATTCAGGTTCGTCGGTTCTATTGTTTTTCATTTGAGAGGTTTCTGTATCTGAGGAATGTTGATTTTCATCTTCAATTTTACCTACCTGGTTAGTTTCAATACTGGTTGATTCACTATCGTTATTGAGATTATTGTTATTGTTATTATCATTATTGTTACTATTTGACACGTTATCATTGTTTTCATTTTCTAGATTTACACTTTGTCGTAAGTTTGCTTCAGATTGGGTACTTTGAGAGTGATCTTCAGTCTCATTTAGAACAGCTCCTGAGTCTTTCGAATGGGTTATTTGTTCTGTTGTTTCTTTAGAATCTGAAACGTCTTCCTTATCTTCTTCAGTTGGATGATTTACAGGTAGAGTACCCTCTTCAGAAGGTTGCTGCTCAATGCTTTGTTTAACCTCTTCAAAACCTGTACTCATTGGTTCCTCTTCGTCATTATCGTCTTTCGAATTGAATGATATTGAAACGGATGGTGATTCCTCATTATCAATAGTCATAGAAGAATTCCAATGTTCCACGAGTTCTATTTGCAAAGCCTTTGTACTTCTTCTACCTGTTGATAAGCTGTCCCCATTGAACGCCGCGTTCTTTTTATCGATTTCAATCTGGGTCTCGAGACGTGTAATTGTTTCTAAATTATCTTTCTGTTCTAATTGCGTAATTAAATCCTCGTTTTGCTTTATTAATTCATCTTCATATTTTTCGGTAGACCTAACTGAAAAGCCATCCTTCTCTTCTTTATCCTTTGAAGCAGATGAAAGAAGTTTATCATCCTTTTTCTTGAGTTCATCACATTTTTCCGATAATTTTTCAACATCTTTTTTTGACACAGATTTAAGATTTGCTTTTCTATGAGATCTCTTCTTCCTTTCGCTTGTTTTCTTATTTACAACTTCTTCAGATTTCGTTCCATTATCCTCGTTCTTTTCCTTAGACAATTCCTTGTTCTTTTTCCTGGCCCATTCTAGAAACTCCTTATTATTTCGAAAATTTGTGTCGTCCTTAGGAGAGCCAACTTCCTCCATTTTATTGTTAACATTATTTCTTTTGGATAACAGCTTCTTTTCTCTCTCCTTGCTCTTTTTCCATTCCTCAAATAGAACTTCCATTCTCTTCTGTTCTTCTCTCTCCCTCTTCTCCTCTTCTTCTTGTTGTTTTAGCATTTGAGTTTTCCTATCAAGTATTTCTTTTTGTTTTCTTTGCGACCATTCCTTAAAGGCTTTCTTACCTTGCTGTTGTCTTTCCTTTTTGATCTCTTCTTCTTCTCTCTCTTTATCTTCTTTCTCTTTTATTTCCTTTTTCTTTAGTTTTCTCTTTTGCTTTTCAATTTTCCTTTTTTCCTTAAGCCACTTCTTCATTACATCGTCATCTTTAGCATTCCAACGATGAAATATCTCTTTATTAGCTTTGTCTTTATCATCTTCCAAAGAAGATAGGCTAGTTAAAGATCCGCTTATTTTAGTTTCATCTAATTTAGTGCTAGCCTTTTTCCTTGTCACTACAGCAGAATAGGGTCTTCTCTTCTTAATAGGTAAAAGTGGCTTAGTCTGATTTCCCAAAGTTCCATTGTGATATTCATTATCGTAGTAAAATCTTTGGCGAGCTGTTGTTGTGACGTATTGATGTTCTGGTACTCCAAGGTAATTATCACAACGTTCTATAAATAGATTGATTTGAATAAATATTATAAAAAACTATGTGAAATAGATATACCTTCAACTTGAACACCAAAATCGGCGTGCTCTTCATGCCAACAATAAGGTTTCCTGCCAATCCTGTCTGCCCTTGATAATGGTAGTGGATCTGGTAAATATCCTCTTTGAGATCTCTCATACACTTTCATTGCTCTTTTAGCCTTTTCGTATAGATCATTCTCAACGCATGGCAGACCTGGAGTTTTTTGTATTAGTTCGCATAGTTCTTCATATTTCTCCTTTAAACGATCATCATAAACCTGACGAAATACTTTGGAACTTGCCGGCCTCCGCCTTAGTAAAGGCCTTGATGTCATCTTCTCACCAATCGTTTACTACGTCAGACGTTTAGAAGTTTAATTTAGTTCACGACTGAAAATTTAATTATTCAACGAGATATGTAGAATATTTGTTGTTGTTGGGTAAAGCTAAATTCAACACTAGGTCAAAAAATACCGGATCTGATCAAAACTGTTTACCAGGTTGCCAACGGCGACGCTGCAATAAAAAAAGGCGGGAATAGTTAATAAATTTAAAGTTTAGTTGTTAGTCTTTCGTCATCAATACTAAATATTTAAAATTAAAAACGAATTAAAGAATTTATAAATAAAAGAAAATTAATTAAAGAAGAAAAATGAGCAGTGTCAGCATACAAACTCCCAACATGTCGAAAAGGGAAAGCCAGGTAAATCACACAAACCATCCCAAAGAGAGAATAGCTAGTAAACTATGTAAAATGGAGCGTCGTGTCACATGTCTACTTCATTCTAATGTCTTATGCACTAAATGGTGTACGGAATGTTTTACGTGGCATTGCGATAATTGCGATGGTCATCGAGATCATAGAATTCAAGAGGCTGAAAAGATACTTACGGAACTGGAGAGCGATTTAATCAATTGTCACGAAATACTGGAAAGACTAAAGATCGACAATATTCAAAAGATTGATAGGGACAAAGTTGACGGTAATTTAGCTTCAGTCGAGAAAAAGATTAAAGAAGCGGCTACATCCAGAAGGCAATGGCATGAGCAGCAGATTGCTTTAATAGCGCACGAAGAGAAAGCTCTACTGCAAAAAGCGAGGGAAGAATATCAAGAACTGACGAAGCATGTCGAAAGGGAGCAATTCAAAGTTCTTAACCATAATCAGGAAATATCAGCTAGGAGAGCGCACGTCATTGATCTACAAAATCATGCTAACAGTCAAAGACTCACGAATGAGGTTAAACAATTAATAATGCATTTGGCCAAAATGACCAAACCAGACGTAATTCGACCGGGAAAGTTAGGATTTCGTTGGGCACCAATAACGGCCGCCGCTTCGAGTCAATTGGGAGTACTTTCAGTTGATCATTCAAGGCACGGTCGACCATTGGGAGAGGGTTCGGTACATTGCATATCTTTGGCGCCCAATCAAAGGGGTTTAATGATTGGCTCAAATCGTTACTTGGCTATTTATACTTTTCGTGGGGAGCTGGTTGATATCTTTCATAATGAAGAGACTATTTCGGCAACCTGTTCACCCGATGGAAGAATTTATTGGGTGGCCAGGGTGGAAGAAGATAATACACTGTGGCATAGATCCGAAACTGATCAGCAACCCTTTCAACTGACAGAGCTGGAGGAGATTCATAGCGTACACAGCGTCTTTACAAGACACAACGGCGACGTAATACTCGGTGGAATGAACGCCCAAGGCGAAGGAGTTTTAGCAGTCTGGAGTCCAATGTGTCAAGAGAAACGTTGGAGTATGGTGTTACCATTTGGTAAATTAGAATATTCTAACGATCTTACAGTATGCGGAACAGAAACCTTTATTGGTGTTACTTGCCTGACTGCTCAAGAATTAATGCTCATTTTCAATTATTCAAAGAATTCAACAGTAATGAAATACGCAACATCAGGAATAATAAAACATCCCCGAGGTATGTGTCTATCAGACCGAGGAGAATTAATAGTTGCCGATTACGAAGCAAAACAAATGCACCTTTTCACACAAAGAGGTGAACACCTCGCAACTTTAGAAGTAAGTGGAGCAGTCTTAGACGTCGTATATGAAAAAAGTAGACAAAAATTATTCTACATCAATTATCAACCATCAGAGCTATTCTCAACAAAAATTCTCGATCCAATTAATCCTCCATCATCGTCCAAAGAGAAAATATCAAAAAACCATTAAAAGGAAACTATATACATATATATATATATATATATATGTATAAAGATATCCTCATTTAATTAATTTGTATGTTATCAAACCACAAAACTACCATTTAACGCAAAAAAAGGAAAGAAAAAAAATTCCTAAGAGTACAATTGTTCTTTTTTTTTCTTCAAAGAAATAATTTTTAAAACCAATATAATATAATATTTTTGTACAATTTTTCTTCTTTTTAAACACATATAACTTTTTCCAATTTATAAATAATTTAGGAAAACAATAAAGAATAATCAATCATATAATTCAACTTAACAATGCTCGAATTTCTTTATGAATGTGACATAAAAAGTCTACGTAAGATACTGAACCACTCAATCCGCTTCTGTCTTCAACGAGGAATTGGGCGAAAATTGGTTCTAATTTATCCTTTTCTTTCACAATGACCAACTATTTTGAAAAAGAAGAATTAAATAATTTTTATTGTATTTATAAAGATGATAATTACCTTCATTTGCCTATTATGTTCAGCTTGAACTCTTTTTACAATATCCCTAACACGTTTGGAGTATGGATTATCCAGGTCTTTCAAACGGGTCTATTAGAAAAGAAATGTGTCACTTTATTTTCCCTTTTTCTGCAAAAAAAATAATTAAACTTACGGAATCAACATCGATATGGATGGGATTATCAACTCCGAAAACGGCTTGTACCCATTCTGGATCAATATCTTTACCAACCCATATAAACATTTGCATACCGTTCTCCAATAAATAAGCTCCATCGCTCTGTAGCCTTTCTTGAGAGCATCTTATGGCAGTTGGTATAGCTGTAGCATTCGGATCTATTGCAGTCAATGGTATCAATCTCGGATAAAAGAATCCAGCTGTTTCTCTAACCGACATTGAAGATAGAGCGCACATCATAAACGCTCTATCGTCAAGCGAGATTTCGGATGATCCTTGGAAAGCCGGGGATTTCAATATGCAATTAGCATATAATGGTAATAATTTCATACATTCTGGTAAGATTAATTGACCACTGGCCGTTGAAGTTGAACATTTCTTTCTGTAGCATGCTAGAATTCGAGCAACTTGACCTGTAAATTTTTCCCTAACTGCCTTGGGATTTGAGCGCAGAGTTTCTCTTGCGTAATATTTAGATAAGAAATTAACTACTGTGTCCAATTCACAAGCTTTAAAGACCTCTGTCATTTCTTCGGCGCAATTCAAAGCCATATTTAGGATTCTTAACCGTCTTTGCCCGGAACACGAAGTATATAATAAAGCCACTTGAACGAAAGCTCCCTCCTCTGGTTTTAACTTGTCGTCGTGCAAAATTTCGACAGCAATACTCTTATCGCTATCAATTGTAGCCATTTCGATGTCAGTAGTGTTTGACATGTGAACAGCGCCTAAGAAATCTGTAGGCCTAATTCCTGTGCTAGTTCTAACACGCATGATTGCGTCAAAACCAATCGGTCTAGAGACGTTTTGAAGAAGATCATTTATTAATCTCTCGCCATCCAAATCAGCTTGGAAATACTGATACTTATGAATGGATCCTCCAGTTAATTTAGTTATTTCACCAATCGTAGCAACGTCAATGAAAGAATTAGGAGTTAGATATAAATCAACACCGCAACCGGCTGCGACACACTTTTCTGACAACTTGGTATAATAATTACCGTTAGGAGATAAGAGAGTTTTTTCCTTTTCAGTCCCTAATGCGTTTCTTTCGTCCCTATTCGATAGTGAACCAGGTGCTTTCAATATCGGTAAACTGGATTGAAAGATAAATAACTTCCCAGTTCTTTCAGCAGATTGTAATGCGTCTAAACCAGCTTCGATAACAGGGCCAAGCAATGTTTCCGTTTCCCGACTATCAGCAAACATTCTTGGAATTTGATCCAATAAAGTGTCAATCAATTCGTAGGATTCTTGCACTTTCACAAGAAATCCGTCAACAAGAGGGACAAACATATCATTAATATCTGATACGACCAACATTTGAGGTTGGGTGAGAGATGGATGAAGGTTATAAAAGTGAACTTGTCTATGAAATGTAACAAATCCAACTCTTATTTCCGAGCGCTTCTCGAAGCCTTGTCTGGAAGTATCTACGGGTAGATATTGTAGGATGTCCTCCCTTAATCTAGAGCATAATAAATGGACTAAGCCACTTCGAACAGCATTGTAGCTAACATCTATCATAAAGATAAAAGCTGGCTCTTTTGGCAGTTTATCGTTTTTACAGTATGATTTTGTAGCAAGAAATTCGAATGCTCCTAAAGATAATTCTGGTCTATAGCTTGCATCTACCCTTCGTCCATCAGCTCCCAAATGAGCAAAATAATCTTGACGAACGTCAGTTATACAGGAGCAAAAGCAGCATTGAAATCTTCTTCCGCCATCGATAAACTGCATATTGTTACACATATAAGCCTTACATCGATTACAACGAATAGGTCCCTGTTCACCCATATCAACAATAGGTAGGGGACGTTCATTATGTGCCAATACAGCTAAAGGTTGTACTGCGATAGCAAAGGGAACTTCACTTTGTTTAAGCATATCCTTGCTGATTGGAACGTTATACATGCTTGACCTCAATAAACGAGGGTTTGCATTTCCACTATCTTCGCAAATGAAAGGAGTTGTTACTAACGGAGGTACCTTTCCGCGTCCTTCCGTTGTAAAAATTCCTCCTCTGTTAACTCTATCATCTTCGATAACTTGAATAGGGCTGGGCATTTGATTAGGATCTAATTTTTTAGCTCCATAACCTGGTTGAGGTTGAGAAGCTAGTCCAGGTTGTTGCACAAATTGTCCTGGTTGCCCTGGTGGAACATAATGTTGTCCGATTTGGGGAGGGGGTGGCATATTTCCGAGCATTTGCTGGCCAGGAGGAGGAGGAGGAGGAGCTACAGAAGCGCCAGCCATCATTTGAGAACTCTGTTGTAGACCATGTGGGCCACCAAGCGATCCGGGAGTTGGGGGTTGCATTTGACTATTGAAATGGGGGGGAGCTTGACTAGAGGTTGGTGGAAGATATTGACCAGGAAGGCCAGAAGTCGAAGCTATTGGAGGATGTATATCCTTGGGGGGAATTGGCGGTCCGTTAATAGCGGACGCTGGAGAAGCAGATTTAGGAGGCATGTGTAAAGTCTGTAAATTCGGATTATAATTCGATGAAGGTGGTGCTGAAAATGCACTGGGAACTCCACTACTTGGATGAGATGGTAAATTCTGAAAGTTACTTCCTACCGGAGGTTGCATATTATGCTGAATACCTCCCCCAACATGGGGAGGCATATTTGGTGGTGCATTACCTCCTAGATTTGGTGGCATATTCTGCGGGAAATTACCCCCGGAAGGAGGTGGTAGATTATGTTGTGCATTTCCTCCAACTGAATGGGGTAAATTCTGTTGTACATTTCCTCCTACTGGAGGTGGTAGATTCTGTGGTATATTTCCTCCCATATGTGGTGGCGCATTTTGGGAATTTACTCCTGATGGAGGAATTGACGGTCTTGGAGCTGAATCGTAGACGTGCATATTTCCCATAGATTGAGAAATCTGTTGATATTGAAGAGAGTATTTATATAAATGTTATAAAAATTTGCTTTATTACATCGGCAGGTCTTGACAATCGGGGAGGATATCCTTGTGAATTTGGGTTATTTGGCTGGCCTGCTTGACTTGTATTTGGATTTGGATTAGGAAAACCTTGGGATTGAGAAAGTGGTGTAGCTTGAGAAAAAGGCATTCTAAAAAAACGACAAGTCTTAACTGAATGATGTATTATTTATTTCATTTTATCTTCTTTCAACGTACCTATTCATGTTCATCGGCGGCGGGAAATTCATATTCTGCATTCCGTTATGTACACCATTAACATCTGTTAGTGTATAAAAGATATGTTTAGATCAAACTTTTTTGATATGTGGTTCAATCTCCTAACCTGCAGGCCGAGGTGCCCCGAAGTTTGTTTGTCCTACTCCATTTGTTGAAAGAGGAGGGGGATAATTTGAACCATGAGTGAAAGGCTGATTCATTTTCAGACTGAAAAATAATATCCAACATTAGTTGCCTCCCCCGATCTTATGATATAATAACGCAATCATCTCGTTTTAAATAAAACAGGAAAAGTACGTGTTCAGTGAAACGTGGCTCGGCTTTCGACAGACGAAAATACTTGTCATAACACTTGGAAATTTAGGTATAATCGATCGTTATTCAAAAATAAGATAACAGGATGAAAACAATTTATTATCACTCTAACACAAACTTACATTTACTTTTTGAATCAACACGATCTAAATCCAAAATTTTAATAGTCTTGTTCAATCGTCAAGTTGGATGCCACGTAAATCCGGTATGCGCATGCGTCACCGGAAAAAGTTTATGGACACTGTAGTCTTACTACCAAGAAAAGTGTTTTCTCTTCTGTGAATGAAAATGTTCAGATAGCGGGAATAGCACGAAATAGCACCGATAATTTATCAATTATCAATATTTATCAAAGTCTAAGGCAACATGTCTAAAGATTATTCTGATAATATGATTCTTTCTTATATATAAGCTATCAAATTATCTAGCTTCTTCTCAAACAAATCAAACAATTAATCGCTGAATCCTTTATTCTATAAATAATAGTAATGGCAAATATATATAAATATGATTGAGAACAATCAAATAAAACAGAATTGGATAAATAAATAAGTTTTTTGACTAATTCCTCCCCTTTATCGTCTTAATTCCCTAAATGTCCTTGTTAAAAGTCTACTTAAGAACTTTTGAGCATTCTATTTACTCTTCGGAATAAATTGGAGGAATATAAAAAAGAAAACAAAATTTGACCACGTAACCAAATCGTTAAATGCTTACGTGGTTTTACGGATTGAAGGAAAAAAAATTTATTCATCACAATCAATAAAAGTCAATTGATTGAAATTTTTAACAAATCAAGTAAATATTTACGTTACATAGTATGGATAAATTGAAATATATTTCCTATATTATATAACACGTTTGACATGGCCAATATACCTATAAACTTAAGAGACAACGCATCCAAATTCAGTACTCCATAGTACATAAATTCCTGTCTTATTGCAGATATTATAAATGTATATTTGATATTTACTATTGATATTTGTAAGAAGCTAAAAAGAGCTTTCAAGATTGGACTTACGATCATTAATACTGTTATAATAAATATTATGAATATATTGCAAATGAGCAACTCTCGAATTAACAATGGTGTACTCCTTCCACAATTGTAGGATAATATTTGTAACAAGTAAGCTAGAGTCACGTTTAACATTAAGAATAACGTAATGTCGAAATAACTTAGAATTAAAGATCTAAGGAATAAATTCATTGATTTATATGAATAGAATATGCCCTGGCTCTTAATCTTACCAAAATTAATAGAATTAGGTCCATCATATATAAAAACGCTTGTTTCTCCAGGAACATAAAAAATTCCTTTACCAATATCCCTCCCTATATTTGACCTGGTATTTATAAAAGCAAATTGTATGATCCCTTGATAATGAATTCTGAGAAATATAAGAAATGTAGGAGGAATTGGAAGAGGTGATGAGATGACAATTTTCATACCATCATCTAGAATCCAATCTTTAAATTTGGTTCTATTTTTTACCGTAGCTAATCTTATCTTTGCTAGTTCTTCTCCAATCCAATCTTTTAGCAGTAGTGACGGAGTGTTGGGAAAATGTACGCTACTCATTTTTACACCTTCTTTTGTTGGTGGGATCAACAAGGATATTGTTGAGACTCTGTTTCTATGAGACGGACAGTTATCGTTTGTAGACATACACTTATGTATCCCATATCGCAAGGGCCAAGATAATCCTAGTTTTAACATTTTGTCCCATTCTGACGCTGAGGATTTACTTTCTTTGCCAAAAACGAGGAAGTGAACTAACCAAACACTCCTACTTTCGTTATTAACAAAATAATTGTAGTCTTTGGAATTCTGAAAGTAGATTGGTGAAATTTGTCTAAAATTTATATTTTCAGATTCTTCTCTGGATAATCCTCCACTTAATTGAATTAAATCTTTTAACGAAAGTTTTGAGAGTGAACCTCTGTGGCTTACACCTCTATGATCCAGAATTGTTTTTAATGTTGAAGCAGGAAATTCATTGATGTCAAGTTGTTTCTTTCCTCCAACTTCATAGTTGAGAGTCCTTTTCAGTAGAAATGATAGACTATACATATATATAATATACATGAAAGGATATTTGAAAGCTATTTGAAAATATGTGTAAAATTTACGATATTGCATTTTTGGTGTGTATATTCGAATCGTGGTTTACTTGAGCTGAGATAACCACATAACCGTTCAACCGAATGGTTTCTACATTACCGGTTTGAAAAAGAGCGCATAGGATAGGGGAGAATATGGTTTCTTTTAAAAAGATTACAGTCCCTTTAGGATGTATATATCTTCTAATTTTAATTAAATGGTTACATCTATCAAAAAACTCAAATCTAGGAAGTCTGAATATTCACAAAATAAGACACTTATTGAATGATAGAGGAATAATATATTCCAATGAACATGATAAATTAGACCTTATAAAATTTCTGGAAGATTCTGGGGACTTAACAGAAGACAGTCCATATGATAGAACTGGAAAAACAGCAGCCAATTTTCCAGGAGAAAACTCAAATCTTGAAGATGCTATACAAGAAATGGGGAAATTTGTATGGCTAATTAAGGTTAGAATCATTGAATTCTGATTGCAAATGTTCACAAGTTTACCCAATAGGTTCACCATGGTGGGAAATTTGATAAAATACTTGAAAAAAAATGGCAAGAGTTTATAAATTTGAATCTCTCTTGGCCTATTAAACACGGAGTTTATCATTGTCGGAAAAATAATGATATGTGCCGTAAAAAGCTTTGGATATCTTCCAAGATTATTTTGATATTACCTCCTGTAAGTAACCATTCAAAACGGCACGTTTTCCTCTCTTATAGCGCGCTTTTTGATTTGTCAATTAAAGATTGGATGATTCGAGAATTATCTAGTAACAAAGAATTATCAGTGATTTCTGATAAAATGACTTTAAAGTCATTTGCTGATGATAAGTCCCCTAAAATCCTTTTTGCATTACCCTTTAAACACCCACCAAAATATTTGCATTTTTTGCAAATGAAATACTCCCATGAAATCAAGTTTGGTTACTTGAACACAACAGAATGGGTTGCCAAAAAGTATTTAGGTTCAAGAAGGTCACAGATGAGAGTATATAGAAATAAGAGTGAATACGAGTACAGTCGAATTATTGGTGAAGAACTATCATTTAATTCTTTAGATTACTACTTAAAAACTTCAGTGGGAAGTTTCGGTGATATAACAGTAGCGATCTTGATAATTTTTCATCTGGAGACCATCCTTAGAATATTAACATTTAATGGTCTTAGTTCTATAAAAGATACCATAAAATGGTGGGAAAACGTAGTTAAAGTCAAAACAGTGAAGGCTGATTATACAAATTGTCTGTCTTATATATTAGGCATTAGGAGTAAGCGGCTATATGGAATTGTTGATATAGGCTATCTCGAATTGAAAAGACAGCGAGAAAGGCTAGAAGAAATTGAAAGAGAGAACCTTGAAAGAGAGAGAATACTACAGAATATATTGAATGTTATTGCCCAATTTATACCCGACTTTGAGTTCGGAGTGGGTGAATATGATCCAAAGAAAACACGTGATACAGATCTTAGCAAAAAATTAACGATTGTTGTACCGAATAAGGAACAAGAGGGAAACACTTGTTTCTGTGGTGAACAGCCTAAAAAAGGAGAATTTCTGCAGCTCAATTGCAAGCATATTTACCATTCGAAATGTATTCAAGATTGGTACGCATACCAAAACAGCTGTCGACTTTGTAGAGAAATCATAATCAGAGATGAACATCTTCACGAAATATAATACGGGTGTTCATTTACTTTTCATAAAGTGCGATTTTTTTGGACTCATCTAGACATATATTATAGAAATGCTAGCTCTTCTATAAGCTGCTTTTCATGAATATTATCACAGCAGCTTCTGAAACTATTACTGCAATAAAAATGTTAATAATTGCCGAATTGTGGATGATTTATCACTATAGGGACTAGTATAACAAACGATATTTGTCATTAGTAGTTTCATTATAGATAGACAGCGATTAAACTTCGATTATCGAATCTCGTTTGCTCAATACCTATAAAATTTCTTGAGCATTTAGCCAACAAAGTATACAATGGGAGTGAGAAATTATTATTCATTCTTAAATCATAAGCCTATTGAAAGTTCCCAAATGTTTCTGTCTATTACGCAATATTATTAGTCAGAGTTGCGCAAACAGTTGAATTTTTTGTATCACTCGTGACTATTACCAGTTTAGATTTCAAAGAACATTTGTTCAGAATGTTAAAATTTTCTTAATTGAATTTTAGATAGCTATGGATATAAAATTTCGTCTAATCATCTTCTTTGATATAATAATATTTAGTCTTTTACCAAGATTATTGGATGTTACAACCTATCACGTCAATAGAAATGATATCTTTAATGAAACGTTTAAGAATATTTTTAAATTGGAAAACCTTAAAGAAAATCATGTATTTCACGATAATAAGTTTAAATATTTCAATTATAAGGAACTCGACGACAATTTATACGAGAATAATTTTTGTCAATTAAACGTTTCAATGATAATGATGCTTTATAGTGAAAATGAAGATATTGAATTGAAGGATAAATGGAAAGAGTTTCTTGCAACGAAACAATTCTGTCCAATTCATCTAGTCCGATATAATTGTTGGAAAACTGTGGATGATTGTGTTCAAAACGATTTGAAATTGTCACATATTTCTTTACAACTAATTAATAATGGGCGATCAATTAGGATTGCAATATATCCTAAATCTTTATCTCTTTCTTTAACTGAATGGTTAAAAATAGAACAATGGAAATTAAATATTCCAATTATTTCAACTGTTGAAGATTTAAATGATTTCCGGTCAAAGACAGGTTGGAAAATAATTTACGACATTTCAAAGAGAACAAACAAAGAGTCTTTATTATCATTAGGATTGTCTTATAGAGATAAATTAAAATTTGCCTATATAAGATCGAGTACAATAAATGGAGATTTTATAGTAAAGAACTATCTACCCGAATCAAAAGGGGAGGGTATTTATATATTCTATAATAATCGTTATTCATTTTCGCATACATTATGGAAAAGATTTATCTTATCTTATTGGTTAATAATTCTTAGCTTTTGTATAATAATACTTTTCCTATTCCTAGAAGATGTATTCTTCATTACTTTTGCTTCTGTAATCCTTACTGAAAAGTTTATTTTCCCCTTTAATCCTTTCATTTCAATATCATATTTTATGGAAAGATTTCCATTAATAATCTTATTGATAATTTGTTACGATATTCAAGATACTAATATAATTACTACAATTAACCATTATTTTCGAAATATAACGCATAATATCATTAATAAATTATGTTATCTATTGATTTTATGCTTGTATATACATATATTTATGAACCAATCAAATTATCCAATAGATTACGTCTATCTCTTTATTGATGGAAAGCTTTATTGTACTTCAAGATTTCTATTGTACTTTTGCTTATCGAATTTTGTTTTCTATTCGTATTTTCAATTAAGTAATACTGTCATTTTTCGTTATGTAATCTTACAAATAAGTTTGTTCTTTATTCGTCTCTATCAGTATGAAATTTTTCTCTTTTGTCATTTTAAAAATGTATTGAAATATGCTAGAAACTTTAGGAAGGCTGCTCCTACCAATGAAAATTTAGAGTTTGATGATAATTATAAATTAAATGAAGACTATAGAAATAGATACAACTCCGAAATCTATAATAAGAATAAATAGTTTGTTATTATTTGAAATTTCGAGAAATAACTGGTATAAATTACGTGATAACTAGTATTTATGATTGAATACAAACATAGCCTTAAGAACAATGTTTTTCTGCAATTATATGATAAAATAGTGTATTTTATTAGGAGTATTGTGTTTTTGCCTATTATTCCATTTCTTGATTTCACTACGTATTTTCATGTGTTCGATAACGATTTCAAAACCCTTCAAGGAGCTTACAAGTTTATGCTGAAGAGGGAGCCTACTCATCAATTTCTAGACGAGAATGATTTTCAATCTCTCACCAGTTTCAATCATCGGTAAGAGCGAAGGATATCATCTATTCAATTTTAATAAATATCACGTTCAACTTGTGAGAATTTTATAAAACGAACAAATTGATAAAGTACTGAATGATAGATGGGAAGAGTTCCTGAGGATAAAACAACCGAATATAAATAATATTTATGAATATAACTGCTCAACTTGCCAAAAATTCTGCCATTCACACAAAAAGGGTTCGCCGCAAATAGCTTTAGTTGCACCTGCGGTGTCTGGGTATGATAGTCCTCTTACATTTGCAGTTTATCCTAGAAATAGTTCGATTTCATTAAAAGTTGGATTATTACGAAAGAATTTGAATTAAGAACGCCTATAATCTCATCATCGGAGCAGTATCATGAAATGCGACGTAAAGACGGATGGAAAATGATTTTTAGTGATGAAGATATATTCCCCAAAGAGCTATTAATTAGACTTCGGGTAAAATATCATAGAATAGCGAAATTTGCCAATGTCAAGGCCAATTCAGCTACTGGATGGCACAAACCAAAAATGCATACCTATAATAACAACGGTATAGATCTCTTGTATAACAGATACTCTTATATTTACAACGATTTGCTTAATCATTTTACATGCCTTAAGCTTCTACAGAACGCTCGTCCGATAATTTATATTTTATATACACTAGTATCACTTACCTTTCTATGTTGTTCAATTGCATACGCAATAGTTTTAAATGGAAGCAACGGAACTTGTATGGAACTGGGAAGAAAATTCAAGGTTTATTATTAGGCATAATACTGCTATCAGCTTATCTATACTTTTCCGCTTTACCTCCCGATTATATATACGTTTTGTTTTTAGGTAATTATTTTCATATGTCGTACTACAAATTTATAATGTTTACTTTGTTAATAGTAACCCCTAAATTTCATTCACTCCTTTCTTCAATTGGTATTTGTGAACGAAGGTATCCTTGTAATTGTAATCAATCTGTGTATTCTCTAATTAATGTACCCTTTCGCATACCTATTACAAATTACAAATATTATTTTGTATTATCAGAAAGGAGGAAAATGAAAGGATCAGATAGTCTTCAATATCTATTTAAACTGTATAAGATAGATCAATTATGCGACTACAATATGTATAATGTACATTAGGCTATGATTTCATTGAAGCACTTGCAAGAAGACCAAATTTTGATGATGTTAGACGTCTACAGAACGTGGTTCGCAGATATCGATCTACAGAACTTTTAGTTAGGATTAAACGTCTAATGATAGACGTTAAGATAATTATAGAATTGAAAATTTTAACCGAAAGAAGATTAGAAGAGACTGACTGTTGCATTTGCTTAAGGAAAAACTCTAATAAACGTTCAGTTCAACTTCGTTGCAAACATATATTTCATTGTTATTGTATAAGAAGATGGCGTAGAATCAATTATTCTTGCCGCTATTGTAGAAGTCCTATGGAATAGATAAATAAAAAACATAAGAGAATAGTTGTTGATGATTAAATTCCACGAATCGTTACGTCTCTTCAACAATCTAGGTTTAATTTGGAGAAGTGAACGTGAACCATTCATGAAGACACAAATTTAAGTAAACCAGAACTTATGAAAGAACAAGAGGATTATATGCTGGAAAATAGATTTCGACATGGAAACGTTCAAACAATAAATCCTTATTAGGTTTGCTTAACGAACAGTATTGAAGTGAATGTGTTTTGGAATACGGCTACAGATTAATACTTAATATTAGCAGGACAGGACAAAGTTTAAATTGGATGGAAGCTTTTTTCTACAGTGGAATAAGGATATCTCCTGTATCCTAAGTAGCATTGACGAGACAGTAACACTGATGCCTTAAGATAGTATATTTAATAAAATGGGCTATCATTATATTAGATAAAAAAAAACTTGAAAAACTCTCACGAACTGTCCGACGAGAATCCATTAAGTTTCTAAATGACACAAACATCTCTAACATACTATGTGAGAAATAGCTATTGAATAATAGGCTCTTTGGGATTGGATTATGCTAGATTACTCTATGAACAATCCTATGAGAATAGAGTAAGATACACTACCGAAGTTGCCCATTAATATAAGTTTTTTAGACTTAGTTAACAAGACAAATTACCCATCAGAAATTTTGATTATTATATAAAATAGGAAAACAATTTTTCATAAGTAAATTTAGTGGGTAGGGATTATACGATTTACGATAATACCATTGATTCATTCTATGCCTGGGGAAAAAAAACAAATACATCAAGACACAGACAGTTAGACAGGGGAGATAGTCAACAATAATCGATCTTTTAACACAGTCTATAAAACTTGGCTATAGGAGAGGATGTTCCTTCTTTCTCTCTTATCCAATTTTTATTACATCCTATATAGAAAAAAGACTTAGAAACGACTTAAGACATCTTGGAAGTTTTTAGCTTAGGAATTCTAAGAAATACTTAAGGCGATTAGCTAATCCTTTTCAAAAAAGAAATTCATCATCTATAAAACCACATCATCGAATCTTAAACTTTTAAAAATAGTAACTTTTTCGAATAGGCTTAATTACTGAATTTATACAATGTTAATTGTGAACAATCTACTGGATTTTATAAAAAACAAATTAGCAGGACTATTAAGTTTACTTTTAGCTGAATTATTATTGCTTTTCGTATATTATGGATTAGATATTACAACTTATTATACAAACGCGAATTACGCTTTTAAAAAGGTTTATCTTGAGACTATGCAATTAGAAAATCGCGCTAAAATAGCAAGTTTATATTTAGAGAGGAAGTGCGAAATATTTTATCTTATAACTCGAGATAGGTATAATAAATCTCTAGAGAAATATAGCAAGTATGATTTTCATCTTTTAACCATTTCATTGGTTAAAGTACTGTATAATACTAAAGAGGATAAGATTTTCAACAATAGATGGAATGAGTTTCTTTCATCTAAATCTCGTAGAAATATTAAAGTAAAGGAGTATAATTGTTCAAAAATGTTGAATGTTTGTCAGGAGAATAATTGGGCAAAATCCCAAATTGTTTTAGTAAAGGAAATGAAAGATTACGATCAAGAAATTTCAACAATTTCTGTTTATACTTCATCTTCTCAACTTTCTATTAACGATTGGTTGGGAAAGATAATTGATGAACTGACAAGAATTAACCTAGGATCAGTAAATGAATTTAATAAATTCCGATCTGAAAAAGGATTAAAGATAATCTTTGATACTTCGGTATTATTCTCTCAAGAATTATTACTACTATTTCAACAGTCGTTTAAAGATACAATGAAGATTGGATATTTAAATTCATCATCGAAAGAAGGAAACTATTTGGCTGAGTATTATTTACCCAAATCGCAAAATGGAGTATTTATTCTACATAGCAATCGTTTCAACTATATTTTAAAACATTTAAAGAAATTCCTTGTCTCATATTGGATATTAATACTAATTTATGCTCTAGATTTAAACAATTATTTCTTCAGTGACTTTCTATCCATCATCCTTACTGTCATAATGATATATGAATGCGTATTCTCCACTTATAATTTCTTGATATTTAATTCATTTTTAATATACAGACTTCCAATTATAATATGTTTAATTACAGTAAGATATGGCGAGAATTTTCTTTCCTTTTGTGTTGTATTAACTATTTTATTGTTTTTCAATATCTCTTATCTGCCCATTGATTATAGTTATTATCCTTCTTATGGAAGATTATCTTGTTCATCAATAATACTATGCCAATTTGTATATTGTTTTGTTCTACCCTTTATAATAGTACTTCTTAAGAAAGAATATCAAATGAAGATAGCTTTACAAACAATTTATAATGTTTGCCAACTTTATGAACAATTTCGAGTTTATTTACCATGGAATATTGAAGAAAGAAAGATGATTGCACTAAAGGCAGTACTCGGGAAATATAAAATCGAGAATATATGTAAAAAGGATATGATAACTATTATGCCCATTTTGGGATACGACTATATTAAATCTCTTGATAAAGGAAGAGAAAATCCTGAACTTTTGATAGACGTCGCCAAAACTTTTGAGTATACTGAAATGAAACTTAGAAGATGTAGGCGAACTCTTGGAATACTTATTTATAAAAATCTCCATACAGCTGAACCTATAGAGAATATGGATTGTTGTATCTGTTGCGAAAGAAACGTCAAAGTTCTATCAGTTCAGCTTCTTTGTAATCATATATTTCACACTAAGTGCATAGATAAATGGCGTAGAGTGGCTAATTCATGCCCTATTTGTATACAGCCCCTTGACGATAAATGGACGTAATACAATCAATATGCAAAATATAATGTATACTTTATAAAATATATATCTCCAGATTTTCCCTGATGAAACTGAAACAATAATGATAAAAAAATTTTGTAAATAAAAAGGAAATATTGAATATATAAATTTTTCATAATCAAACAACTTTTCACTAATTTCTTACAAACAGTAAACGTTGTTGTTGTAATGTAAAAATCTATTAGCTAGTTAACATCTGTTACTCTCCTCTTGAGAGGTACTTTATCACATATGTGCTCTTGGACGAAAATTTTAGACCAATACCCTAAGATTATGTTCGTAAGGTTGTCGTTCTGATTGTGAAATCTTTAACGAGAGCAGCCCAACGTCAGCTTTATGATAGAATTGCGTATTGTTATATGATTGAAATGGTTATGTTTTTATTGAATTATGTTAATGAGAGTTATATGAACAAGATGTTAAAAAAATATATATTAAAACTTAATTAACAAACTTAAATTTGTCTTCTTCTTCATAATTTAATAACTAGAGCTATTTTAATAACTATTTACGTAAACAAACTTTATCATTAGATATTTTAAAAACACTTTTATCATTCAGCTTCTTTGTAAGTTTCAATTTCAATTTTTCGCTCATAGTCTTACTCATTCTAGTTTCGTATTCATGAATAATCTGAAAGATAACGTAACGTATTAAAACTAATATTGAATTAAAGCATAAAAAAAACCTTTTTCCTAAGTAGTTTTTGAGATAGCGTCTTTTCTTTTTGCTTTTTTAATATGGTAACAATCATTTTTTCTATGTTGAACTTTGTTTTATCACTTTTTTCTTCCTCCTTCTCTTCAGAATGACCATTTAGATTATTTGTACCATTTTCCTCAACTTCTAGTTTTAAAATTTAGGATATGATTATCCGTTGACATTAATTTTAGAAATTAATAAAATATCATACCTTCAGTTTTCCTATTCTTCTTCCTTTTCTTTTTCTTTTTTTCCACACTGGATTGTTCTTTATCAGAAAAGATATTTTAATTAATAGGCTTATGACGGAAAATTGATAATTGTGATTACCTTCTTCTGTTTCTTCGTTGGATATTTTCTTTCTCTTCGGCTCGTCAGAATCCTCTTTAAGGTTTAGAAAATGCATTTGGTATTGATTTTTTTGAAAAAGATCAATAAAAACTTAAAAAACTTACCTTCTTGTTCCAGCTCGGCAGATTTTTCTTCTGAGAGAAAAAGTCTTTTATGTATTTGCCAATTTGAAATTTTTATTACTGACCTTTATCCTTTTTATTCTTTCTTTTTTTCTTCTTATTCTTAACTTTTTTCTCAACCTCTTCCTCGTTTAATGATTCACATTCTTCTTTATCTGTTTTGGATTTATCTTTTTTCTCAATCTTATGATTCTCCTCTTTGCGAAGTTCTTTCTTTTCCCGTTTAGATAGTTTTTTCTCTTTATCTTCAACTTCTTGCTTTTCTACAGGTGCAGGTTCTTCCAGAGTTTCTTCAACTGGAGACTCATTTATCGCCTTCCACGCAGCCTAGGAAAAGAAAATTTTCAATATTGATTTCTTATAGGAATTAAAGAGAGGCTTTAATCGTCTTATAGTCAATTATACTACTTAGACAAAGCCCGTATAAACCACCCGTTTATAGATACATACTTGGATAATAAAATCCTTGTGAATCTTCCAAGAATTTTTTAAGAAATTCACAAATTTCTTTTCTTTTCTTGGAACGTTAGCGCAGTCAGCTATCTTATTTAACAATTCAGATAATTGCCTATCTTGCTCTTTTGCAGCTGCTTGTTGAACTCGCTCTGTCCAACTTTGTTGTTTTTTTTCTCCTTTATTAAGACCCGGTTTCGGCTTAAAACCCTTTCCAGAATATTTCTCTTCCTCCGAAATACATTTTATATGAGTTTGGTATTCGTTCCCACGGAAGTCTTTACTACAGTCCACGCATGATAAAACATTGCTGCCGCGGCACTTGAATCGATGTTTCTCAACTTGATTTTTTTTTAAAGCTTCACCACAACCATTACAGGTAAAAAACACCATTTTTGTCAATTAAGATTTCTATGCTGAATAAATAGTGTACTAAATGCGACTGAAAAGTTTTTCTTTAAAGATATTATTGAAAGTCTTCAAAAGTAGTTGTTTATTTTTTTCAGAAAGCACGAGGTTTCGTGGAGAACGGAAACGGAAGTCTTAAAATAACAGTTCTGCACCAAAGTACCAAGAAATTAGAAACTTTTTCAATACGTTTTTTAAACTTATTTAATACATTAATATAATAAAATGTTTTTAGAAGTGAAATACTTTAATCTACTCAAGTTTTTTCTTTCAATATTTAACAAAAAGATGACTTTGAGGGTATAAATTCAATCTTTGGAGCGAGTAAAGCACCTTAAGTATAATTTGCCAATTTATAACGTTCAACTTGTGTGAATTTACAAGAGCAGCTTATTTTTTAACACAATTATAAGAAAGAAAGAAATAGAATTATTCGGATTTGTTAAAAGTATTCATACTACATTCGTACAGAATATTTTTATTTCCGAATACAATGATAACAAATCAATAAATTAAGTCCAATCCAATTTCAATATTAAAGATATATATATATTGTATATAAAGAAACAAGGTACTCTTTCTTTTCAAAGGCAAATCTAAAAAGATATCAATAATAAAATGTATAATTTGATTAGTCCAATTAACAAACTACGTTTTACTGTCCTTACTATTTTTGAAATGTTTTACTAAAGGAGAGGAAGAGAGGAGAAGCAATAACAGGATTAATGCAAATTCCTTGTAAGAACTGTAGATGAAATATGTTCTTCTTCCAGGAAATGTTATAAATTTAGATTTTGCTTTTTTATAAGATAACAATATGCATATATAATTCTTTAGATTGTTTTTTTTTTGTTTAATTTGATTATAATTCACGCACTATCAATGGGATTAAATAGATATTTAATACCATTATAACTTCTTTGCAAAGGACTCTAAGGACTTTAATGGAATAAATTTATCTCAAATTTTCCGCTCTTCTGACATGTCTAGCTGTGCAACTTGCCTCATTCTCCCACCCATCAGTAGCTCTGGAAATCTTAATAATGTTTTCCTCAGGGCTTTCTATAGTTAACGACGAATTAAAAGCAAATATGCTATGGAGTTGAAGACATATTTTTTTTTATTTGAACTCTAGTTAGTTTTTTAATTTAATTAATTTAAAATCAATTTATAGTTTAGCTCTCACTGAGGCATAGATTCGACAATAAAGAACTTATACTGCAATAAGATGCACTCGTTATCGATTCATTTAGTCGACCTTATATATGAAAATTCGATTACAATTTATTGACATCACATCGATTATTTATTACGTCATTGTGCAATTTCGATTTACAGGCGACAAAAAAACTTTTTGTACGGAATTTCTGCATAAAACGATTTGTTAATGTAAAATTAAGTGAGCATAATTTGACTAGAATAAAAAAAATAGAACTAGAGCAACTGAGTCTCTGCGGAAGTTATTCCTTTATGAATTGGCGGAAGGGCTGGACAACCTTCCACATAGATTACACGATTGTACGCACGCCACCGTTTGCACAATTGCACGTACATTTTGCATTGCACATACATGAAGACCAGTCCTCCCGTAGAACCAATAGCAACGACCACTAATTTAGTCCAAAATGGCCATTCGAGAACTCCTGCACGAACTTCTTCTGTTGTCCTCTCTATTAATACATAGAGTGACCAGAGAACACATGTGACAGCGACAACGTGAAAGGTAACTGTACAAACAACTTTACGGCGTTCCACTGCTGTCATCTCAAGTTTGTTCCACTATTTAAATGAGAGCATATCAATATAATTATATTCTCTTTAACTTATTTTATATCCATTAAAGTACTTACTTTAACGAACGGCTTGAGCTTTGTAATCATGCGAAAGTTGTATTTACACAATTCACAGAACCTGGTATCAGAACTTTTAATCCATTGCTGCAGGCAGGACTGATGAACGAATTTCAGAGTTCCCGAACATCTACAAGGCGATATAAGGGGGGCATTTGGTTCGCTTTCGCAATGACATATTCGACAAACATCCGCTGACGATACTGGAGTTATAATCGGTTCCATTTCGAAACAAATTCTCGTTGTCTATAATTTAAATATATAAATATATTTTCTGTATTATTACATTCAAATAGAGGTAACCTTTTAATTACAAGAAATAGGATCACTTGATAAATTGATGTAATATATATATATATATAAGTATATAAAGCAAAAAGAAGAAAAAACAAATATATGAAAGCTTGTCACCTAACAAACATAGAACGTAGGTTGGTTTATAAGTATGAAGCAACATATGTCGTTTTTATGCATAAATGTCATTGTTGTTAATATTTGTTTCAATAATATATCATAAATCTTAATGAATTCTTTTATCATCGCTGTGATCATCACTATGGCATTCCTTTTCGTTATCTTTATCAACACTATCATCTTTACGTGAAATTTCTGCAATACGATTTGTTAAATCTTGATAATATTCCATGTATTTATTATCCTGTCTATAGTTTAATGATACAACGCTTTCATTCTTGGATGATTCGTTTGCGTACTGAATAATGGCAATAATCGAAGTTACAATAACCAAAAGAAATATTACAAAGGTTAAGGTTATGACTAATATGAAAAAGGCGTAATCTCTATCTTTATTGACTCCAAATTGTAATATATATTTTGTTAGAGTTTCCGCAGTCAAGAAATGAAGAAATTTACTATTCGAAACATATCCAATATCCTTAATAGATGAATCTAATTCGTCCATTGCTCTAGGTGATATAATCTTAAGTTTTACAGTATATGACTGTATATGTATGTATATTTTTTGAATTTTTAAAATACGTCAGAAATACTAACAATAAAAAAAACCAACCGCTTAAACTCTGTCGACGACCCGACTTTTATTAATTTCTCTACGGGCCACGTAGGCCTACCAGCTGAGCGGGCGCAACATTCGATCGATCGAACGTTTTAATGTTAAAATTTAAAATTTTTATAGGGAAGGTACTGGGAGGAAATGTTAAATTTTTTACCTGATTTGTATCATCATTCTTCGCGTTTGTATAAGCAACTTCTTTAAAATTTTGCTCTGAGAGCATTGTTGCAATACAATTCAACAAAATGTGATGAGTTACATAATTTTCAACATACACGGTCAATTTTTCGATCAGTCTGCAGCGTGCATAGCTACTCAAAGTGACAGATAAAAATTGATTTTATGGAGAAATATATGAAACCATATGATGATTAACTTCGAATTGTCTTCAGCAGATAGTCTGGCAAACAATTATATTCACTTTGCAAACGCCATTTTGCGATGTTTATGTTATAAAAATAACAAAGAGGTTCGGGGAAATAAACGCAAAACATTTATTCTAATAGGGTATGGAATTAGTAACCTAGCTAGAAACGCCGCCCTGCCATCTACAGTTTTTATCCCATCTCGGCTACGTCTACAACAACTATTTGATTTTCAGCAACTTCGTTTTCTTCCACTTGATGATCACTAGTAATAATAGTCACTCCTTCTAAATCCATAGGGTCGCCCATTTTCTTAACAGTTTCGTCTGACGGATCCAAGACAATTTGAGTCATATTAGCGTGTTTGTTAGCGAAATGATCAGCTAGTACTTCGTCTGAACTAGTTGTAAATCCGCAAACTTGACATTGACTTAAAGGTGATTCAACTTCTATCCTTTCCGCATGTATAGATTGGTGGGTATCCAGTTGTGTTTTGTTTTTGAAAGATGTGTCACAAATTTTGCATTGAAATTGTTCTTGATTCGAGTGCTTTAAAGATATATGCCGGCAAACGATTCTCTCATATATATGAGAATAGTCGCAATGCGCACATTTATATACTTGATCGTACATTCCATCCGTTCTTTCTGGTACAACTTTATGAGCAGTGTATAGATGATTTCTTAAACTTGCCGCTGAATGCGAACAGAATTCGCATCGAGGACATTGAAAACTTTTCACTCTTATATGGACATTCTTAACGTGAGCTTCTAAAGTAGCATTTGTGGCAAATGTTTTGAAGCAAACCGAACAATTTACTCGACGATCTATTCCAACATGTTCATCGGTATGTTTCTTGAAATGTTCCACTCGAACAGTTCTATAATTACACTGTTCACATTGATATATCTTTTTGTCTTTCAATAGTACATTATGTTCAGTGACAAGATGTTGCATCATATTCAACATATACTTGCATTTATATGCACAGTAGACGCAATTAATCATTTCATCCGAATGGCGTATGCGATAATGTTCAGCAATTTTCCTTGCTTTATAAGTTTTATAGTCGCAGCTTGGACAGGCGAACATCGTCGAATTTGGTAATTGGATGGCCTTACAACGTCTATCATGCACAAGCAAATCTACAGGGTTCAGAAAAGGCTGATCGCATAGGTCACAATGTACCATTGTATCGGGGTGTTGATTCAGAACATGTTTCAGCATTGCTGCGTGACCATTTAAAACTTCAGAGCAATGAGAGCATTGATCAGATTTCATTTTCCAGTTTCGGGGATTATCCATTTCAGAATCCGATTTTTGCTTTGAAACTGGAGTTTTCTTCAGAGCCTTTTTGTCATTTCTTCTGTCTCCAGATTTTTTTGGTGAGTCCAATGATCTATGTATATATGGCTTCTCTGGTCTACACTTTTTCGAGTGTCTTCGTTTGAATTGATGTCTTGTAGTACTAAAATGACAATGAGGACAATGATAGACAGTAAAACCTAACATTTCAACGTCGACTCCATGCTTTAACATTCGATGTTCCAAATAATATTCAACAACAGGTAATTCCTCTTTACAATCAGGACAGGCTCTTTTATGAGCAGCATGGGATCTCTGATAGTGATGTTCAGCGCTTCGCTGTTTCTCAATCTCGTATTGGCAACTAGGACACTTAAATCTGTTCATTTTACCGGGGACTCGCTGCATAAGACACATATAGCCATGAACAATCAGTTCATCTAATGTCACAAACATTCTTCCACAATGTTCACAGTGTTGAACCATCTCACCTTCTTTATTAACAGCTCCATTATGCTGACTATCTAAATGTCTCGCCAAATCAGCTCGCGATGCGACACTGAAAGAGCATAACTCGCACGGAAATGATTTTAAGACTCTTCTGTCTTTTTGCGGATAGCCTTCTGTAAAGACTTCAGATGGGGGTAATAGAGTAACTTCCATTGTGGTATTACCAGCTTCATCCTCAGTATTATAATCATCTGGTTCTTCTTCGTTTTCTTCGTAAGCTTTTTTCTTAGCCGGTCGAGAATCAACCTCTTTTCGTCTGCGCTTCTTTCCCTCTTGTAAACTCTCTGCTGCTGATAATAAAGTGCTTATTCCTCTACCAGCATTAGAATTGCCTTCTTTTCCAGTACCATCTCCAGTCTCATTACCAACTTCCTGAACAACTACTACATTTTTAGCAACATTCCCGTCCTCCACAACAATAGTCTCTTCGTTTAACGCATTTGCCGAATCATCATCATCAATGGCCAAATAAGTTGTCTCTCCGTTCGTAAAAGTTAGTCGAAGGCGTTTTCCCTCCGCTTGAGCAGATTCTATATCGTCGGCCGCAATAACAATTTCATTATCCTCAGTGAATTGTACCACAGGTTGGGATTTCTCCGTTTTCAATACATCGATAGTTTCAATCTGTAAAAAAGCTGGTTACTAAAATCTTATATAACATGAAACAATCATCGAAACGAACATCTCTTGGAGCTTTGACGATTTCTCTCTCCTTTGTTCGATGTTTCTTGTCAATCTATACAGAAAGACAGCCTTAATAAATTCAACAGCAGTACACAAGAAAGTTTTAAATTACCTTTTCTTTATAATCCAAACAAAATGTCTTTAGTAGTGGAATGTCTAATTTTTCTGACAGGACAATTAGCATATCAACGTTTTCGTCCGTAACTTTAGCATAACCAGTATACAAAAATTTTATCACCAACTGCATGTCAGAAACCGTTAAACCGGGAATCTGTAATTCTGGTTTATAAAGATCCATACCAGATTGTGATTTCATCATTTGTGATCGCAAAAAGTGATCCCTGTGAGAAAAATTCCATAGTTAGAATAGAAAATAGGATATTGCCGAAACCCAACTATATGATAGACATTGATAACGTTTATAAGTTCAAGTTTCACTATGGAATTAGTATTTACACTAAACTTACCGAAAAAACTGACTACCGGCAGCCAAAACAACCTTATGGGCATTTATTTGGACTGAATCTATGAGGATTCCAACATCGCATAGCTGATCTTCTTCTTTCAAGTAGTCTAGCGATAGCATCAAACGTTGACAATTTCTCTGTAGCAGCGCCTGAATACTGGCGTTTGAGGCGTCCTTATCCATTCTGTTATCATAAAGACAACCCTTTAATATTTTTATCCGCCATATTTGCATCAAGCGACGCAACTAGTATAACACGATTTAGAACGAAGGCTAAACGCCAAATATTTGGGACAATTCCTTGCAAGTGTTTAAATAACGATCTAGAAAAAAATTACCTCAAAAAATTTAAACAATCGAGCTAGAAATGTATTTGTCCGCTCAAAAAGAAATCTCAACAAAATGGCGATGTCCAAGTTAAGGATGACTCAGTCAACCAATCAGCTTTGAGGCACTCCTGCTCGTATGTTGTTCTACCTAATTCTCCCTTAAACGTCGGTGATTTGAAAAAAACTTTAATGCTCTTTAAAATTTAATTATTATTTTTGAAATTGGGAGCTGTAATTTTTATAAATATTTCTTTCGAGCCTGACACGGAAATTTTTATGAGCGATAATATAATCTTGAACTTTCATATTTTATAGACAAAAGTTTGAAAATGGGAAAAAAACACAAATTTCGTAGACGCTACAATTCATCGTCATCTAGTAGCAGCAGTAGCAGTGACGATGGGTTCAAACATCCATACAAGAAGCATATGAAACAACAGAAGAAACTGGTTAAGAAGCTCCATAAAAGGTGTAAAAAAGTCTGTATTCCACCTTTCAGTTAAATAGAGTTAATTTGAGACTTAAATTGTGACATAGAGAGGAATACCTGCAGAACTTGCAGCCGCTGAGTTAGGCTTGGTAAGCATATTATCTTACAAATTTAAGCAGTGTAAATAATGAGTCATTTTATTCAGATTGTTCAGCAGACCCCAACTGGACCAAATTATATTCTGCCTGGTGCTCCACAAGCACCATTTGGTGGTCCTAGTTATCCAATGGGAGTGCAACCCCCACCACCTGGTCCGGGAAGTGTTCCTTACGGTCAGCCGCCGCCTTATGGAATGTATCCCGGAGTTCCCAATCAATCTCACCCCGTGCAGCCTCCTATGCAACAGCCCATGCGACCCCTAATGAATCAGCCTATGCCTGCTTATCCAACGCAACCAGGTGGTAGTGTCCCAAATATGCCTCCTATGTATCCGGGTAATGCTCCCCAGTATCCTAGTGGAGGTCATCAATATTATAATGCGAGCGCTCCACCATATCTCGGTACGTATATGAAATACTGATGTTAAATAGCAATTGCAAGGACGATACATTATTATATTACGTTTTTAGGCGCTACTCCTGGATCCCAGTCGGATATACCCTATCCGAAGAAACAGTAGAATTTGAAAAGATAACTTATTCTAATTTCTTATCTGTCAAATGACTTTGTGTTTTTTTAATAATTGTTCCGCATTGATTTTTCTTTTTGCATTCTATTGTCTTTAATTTTATGCAAAATGATTGACTTGATTTGAAGAAAAAATATATAAGCTTTATCATTTAAATCGAAACAGAGGCCTCCAATTTATGCAATATTACTTTATTTAATAGATTCATTGATTTCAATGTCTTATCACGGTACATCACTTTTTAAAAGAAAAAACAAATCAATACTACATTTCATTGTCTAATGAACACAAAAATATGTCACATTTGTACAAAAAAATACATAAAATTCTTAAAATTTTTGGGAGCTAGATGCTCCGAGAAACTTAGAATTTTTCAGATAAAACTTATATATATATATATATTTTAAAAAAATAGCAAACACTTAAAATAACTAAAACAATTTTTTACTAAAAAGAAAAAAAATAAACGTTACTAAATTATTTATATTCTTCAAGATACTTCCGGTTTTCCATTTAAATGTGAAGATTCTAGACTGCCAAGAGCAACTTCTCGATTTAGGTGTTGGGCTTCTGGTCTATTGGCTGCACAACAATATCTACCTTCAGATTTTGCTTTCTTTCTATTAGGGAGAGAAGAATAGTTATTTTTTTTAAATATTAGCATAATTATCAAAGTATCAAGTCTTTTTTACTTACTTTTTATATAGAAAAACAAATAGAATACCGACAAAAATTGTAATAACAACTGCTGATACTGCAAAAGCAATTAATCCTGTTCCAACGTTAGATAAAGCTGTATAGGCTGGAAAAAGAGATAAGTATTTAAAAAATGAAACTAAAAGACAATTGATATAAAATTATTACCTCCGGGTAAATGACAACGAGGACCCGAATATCCTGCCGGACAACTGAAATAAGACAATAATAAATATGGGATATAGGTAGGAGGGGGGGTTGGAAATGGATAAAGTATAATAATTACCGGCAATATATATTCCCAACTTCGTGGGTTCCATTTGAAATGTATGAAACTTCACAAGGTACACCTCTTCTGCAATTTTGTTGAATTTCTTCATTTGGTGTACAATTTCTTATTTGGTGTATTAGAGATGATTCCGTAGAAACATTAGTCAAAGGTTGTATAGTTGTAGGTGATGTTATGGAAATATTGTATTTGAACGTTGATCTTCTGCTATCAATTTTTGCCACAAAATGACGGGGTGCGCTCTGTTTCCTTACAATACGTTGATAAAAACAGGCTTCGGCTACGGAACGTAAAAAAAAAAGAAATAGTTATTTGAATAACAATGCTGCAATTACAGTTTATCCTAATAAATCTTATTAAAATTCTGTATTCTCAGAGTATAATAAAGTTAAAATCTGGTTATAATGATACAATCGTTCTACAGCATCCCTGTAATGAACGACATATAGTGGTAGCCAAGTATGTATGTGATATAATACATAAAATATAAATAAACTGCATATATTTTATATCTAGATTTAACGATTATTTATACATAACACTTTCTGGATTTGATGATAAGCCTTGTACAGAGTTCAATCAAACTATCTTTAAATCAACAGTAAATAGTTATATAAGTTAATGATAACCCACAAGCTAAATATAAAGAATTGAAAAAATTCTATTAGGACAATCCAATTGTTACTTCAATGACATTTGTCGGAAACTATCTAGCTTTGGTTATTAATTCAAAATTATTTAGACTTCAATACATGAATTGCCGAGAACCCAACAGCATTGAACAGCTCCTCTTATCAGATAGTAATAAAAATATAGTACCAATTAATTTTAGAGGTGCAATATATTTCCAGAACCTATAAACTTTAAGGAAATAGCAATACTAGAACAAGAAAGTCAAATATATTCAACAAATCCAAATTTAGCGGTTGATGGAGATTTTAATACATTTACAAGAATTCTTTCAAATTCAAATCTACCATGGTGGAAAGCAACATTTATAAGGCCAATTAAAATAAAACGAGGACTACTTATTGGTAGTATCCTATCATTTGAGAAACAATATATAGAAAGTAATATATATATATATATATATATATATAATATACCAATATATATTAATATATTAATATTTATAGTTAATTAGTTAAATTTATCAAATAGATGCGAAATTATTAATTATTTCAATGAATGGAAATAAAGTAAACATATGTAAAAATATTCAAATTGATAATAAAAAAGTGATTACTTTTAATTCGAGTGTTTTATTAAAATTTAATTATAAATTCGATTGTGGAGATGATTTATATTCAAATTTATTTGTTAATTTAACGAATATTAATAATAAATATTGGAATTTTGTTGAGTTGGTATTAATAGAAATTGAGATATTTGAGAAAAATGGTTAGAGAGAGAGAGAGAGAGAGAGATTTTAATTGAAATTAATACTTATTTAATTTCTAGAAAAGAATATTACTATAAATTCAATAACATCTGGACATTGTTGCTTATCTATCAAAGTTTGGTGGTGTTTAAATGCTAATCAAACAATTTTAGCTATTAAAGGAAAATCAATGTTTCTATCAAAATATAGCGGTAAATATTTAACATATTTCGACATAGGCTTAGAGCAAAAGAATGTAAGTGGAATAAATCTTTTCTCTATATATTTCTTTCTACATAAAAAAAAGACAATAGTTTTTATGCTATCTTTCTTCAGCTAAAAATTATTGACGCCTGTCTATATTTGGACAATACAGTATCCATACTTGTAGAGATAAATAGTAAAGTTAGATATATAAATTGTTTTAATGTTTAGAATATTCTCTTTCTTCTTTTGTTTACATATTAAGTTCTATATTATTCTGAGAAACTATTCAAAATATGGTGGTAGTCATTTACCAGATAGTATAGTCATGGAGGAAATTGAAAATGTTAAGGGTAGACCTTATTTCTTTCATACTCTATTAAACATTGGAACAGTTTTTATACATGATGAAGAGAAACTTTATCATTCGGTTGATAGAGGAAGAAATTTAAGAATCTTAAATCATGAACAGAATAATAAACAAATATTTACAAACGGAACAAAACCATTTAGAAAGCACATTAGACAAACAATTAGTAATTCAAATGGTTATTTTATCATAATTGAATCAAATAGAAAGATATATTTTGGATATGATTGCGTTTATCCAATATTTTATGAGAATAAAAATATTCTACCTCTAAATGATGAGGTTGTAGTTTTACTTGAGTCGTTTATATTTATTTTGGAATTTAATAGTATTGGATATTGGGAAATGAGGCCAATGAATGACAACAATAAGGTCGAAGTTAATAACATTTGTAAATTTTCTTGGGAATCAATAGATGTGAATGAAAATCAAAGAGAGTTGATTTTTATGGATTTACAAAAGTTGTCAATTATTCAAAAAATCATTAAAGCTGATCCTTTAATGACTAATAGTATAGTAATTATCCTATTTAACAGAGTAGAAAATTACTGAAAGATAACTTTTAATAAAAAATAACAGACGACTATCTCCCTTAATCCAAATTTTCGCTCCTATATAAAAAGAGATAACAATCCATCAACCATAGTTTGTACATTCAGATAATATAGTCTTTTTAATATTATTCCTACATATAAACATATACATACATGTATATGTTTATATATATATATAATTATATATCATTTCCAAAATAGATTATCGAGATGATTAACTCAGCTAACGACAAGGAACAAATAGGAAATATCCTCATTACTCATAGAATGAATTTTGGTCAATGTAATGCTAGAAAGGCATCCAAAGTATGTTAAAAATTTCATATAACCCCTAAAAAAAAGGGCTTAGTGTGAAATGAATATTTTTTCAAAAAGATTGTAACAATAACTTCCGGTTGTCCACCTACAAAGCACATCCGATTAGTTAGGTAAATATTACAATTAGTCTATTATTACATTCCAAGATCCGGTTGAAGATATTTTAATAGTTTTATTTGCTTCTTTAAATTACTATATATATTTATATTTACTACTTAAAAAAGTAAAGATTTAAAGCATACCAGTTGTTACGATTATATGAATTCTAGTAAATTCTACTATATTCCAATGTAAGCCTATAGTCTCTTAAATGTAATTTCTATCACTAATAACAAGAACGTTACATTTATAAATTTCCATGTTGATTGCGAAATAGTAAGAAATACGAATTACTCACTCCTGCTCAAAGGTACCTACGAGAATCTGAGAAGATGAGTGATGGAGAATTAGTAAGAAGTATGAGTAAGGATGAAATGGCTGATTATCAAATGGGATATTACAATTATAATAAATATGGATGTCCTTGGCGTATATTCTATTCGATAGGTTTTAGACCAAAATTTGATATATATGAAAACAATGAAAGAGTTAAAAGATACGATGGCGATTTCACAATATTCGAAACAAGAGGTTTAAAATTATACAGGTTAACCTGCTAAATGATTAATATATACAATATATAATTACCTATATAAAAAAAATGGGTAATTACTAATAAATTAATTAATTGATTAGATATAACAAAAAAGCAAAGGATGTAGGTTGTAAGAAACCGGCACAAAATTGGAGAGAAATGCTTAGAATTAATAGCAATCCGGAAGAAGCGTGGAATAGAAGTAACTATGAGTCATGTTTCAAATCAAATGAACAAGAATTCGATAGTAAACAACTTAATGAAGAATATGAAATATTAAATTCAAGTAGCGATAATTATATCGATTTGAACGCATTTAATGGTATTCTACTATTTGACGTTTACGGATTGGATAAGAGGGAAACGTCTTGCTATTTAAAAACTAGTTTCGCAATAGAAGTCTACGGTGCCCCAGTTCGGTCGAATTTGACCCCTCTAGCAGTTAGTTCAGGTGTATTGGGCGGCGGTTTTCTAGTTGTTTATGCTTGCTTCATGCTCACTAGTAAGAGAAAATTAGATAAGATAAAAGAGCAAGCATTGAATGAAACTCTTCAATGTAAGATTTTTAAAATAATTATTAAATATGTTTAATAATTTTTCAATATTCTCTCCCTCTTAAATCCTATCCAATCTAACATCTTATACCTATAATTCACCTCTCCTCCTCTACCGTCAATTTTAATTTATAGCAATAAATTTGGATAAATTCAAAGAGAAACTATCGATAAAATTAGATAATAAAAATTCACTAGTTAAAAAAGACTAGTAAAAGATAATAAAAAACTATTTAATTTAATTAAGAATAGTAATAATCATTATAATACTTCACTTTTCTATATTATTTTACTAAGTTAAAAAAATGTTTAGTTAACAGCTTTTATTTTTTGGCTACTGTTTTTTTAAAAAAATATATATATATATAAAATAAGAAGATTGTTAAGATATAGATGATGTAATAATGGAGAATTTCGTATTAAGTATCGACAATCATCTTTTCAGTATATAGTTATATAATATTTATAAAAACATAAGATAACTTACCATATATTATTAGTAGAATAAATGTTCCAATCGACGATTTCATGTTAAACGTTTTAAATTGCTGTTAATTGTTGAAAAATATTTAAAAATGAATTACTCAGTATCTATCTTTATAAAGATTTTAATAAAATTTCTATAAGGCCAATATATCTGCATTAAAAATAGTTTCTTATCTGGCATAAAGCCGTTAATGTTAGAATGATATTGAACGTTCAATATTGTTTATTATTTAGTATGAGTACCTTATTTGTTTGTCATTTATTACAAACAAAGGCGTAGTAGCTTGGCTATCGGTTGTCTTATTGTAGGTATTGGCTTAATCATGTTTCATAGTATTTAGTTTGGTTTATTAATATAATTAATTTCTATAATATTAGCTATTTGGCGTATATAAAGGTTTTAGTAAAGGCCTAATTGACCTCTTAATTACAGAAAAAAAAAAGTTAAACTTGATTTAAAGTTAATTTAAAAAAAAAGAGTGATCGACTGCACTCACCTGTACCGGCTTCCAAATACTACTACAGGAAGAATTGAGGAGCTAACTGTTTCGCTAACTTATTATTCATAGGGATTTTACCACTCTTGTCAAATACGACCAGGAGCATACATTTACAGATATTTGCTAAAATTTCAAATATAGCCCAAATTTTCTTTGATCATTCAAGAAATACCAATTAAAAGACCTTAAAATTCTTATTACAAATTTTTAAACGCCCATTCGCCTTCTACTCAAGGTCGAAAATCATTGTGATTTTCTTAAATATAGCGCCACCTATAATACAATCTATTATTTAAGCCTGATAAGGCCTATTAATGGTATATAGAAGATATTTCAAAGAGTGAGACGCTCAGTTCAAGCGCAAATGTAACATTTAATTCGTATTAATTAGCTGGCCCTAATTTACACAAAGTACACAAAAGTTGAATAAGTTGAGTACTTTGTTTTTGTACTCTACTTTCATTATTCGGAATGCCAACTTTTTCCTCTCAGCTTGACTATTTGCAGGGAGTTTCTAAAAAGTTAATCAAATTCTTTTTGCCAATTATCTAATAAACTATCTCACTAATATTATCTTTTTTTTTCGCTATATATAGATAATCAATAAATATATAATAATCAAATATTGAAAGGGGAATCGATTATAAAGACTTATGTTTTGAATAAGATCAATTAAAATAAAAGACAAATTTTATTTCCATATAAAAAAAAGTCTATGGAAAAAAAAAAATTTTTACAAGCCGACCTTGCCAGGACTCGAACCTGGAATCTTCTGATCCGTAGTCAGACGCGTTATCCATTGCGCCACAAGGCCACTCGACGAAATAGTCATGTTTAACAGTAGTTAAAACAGCTACGATATAATAGAATATCTTGTATAGGCTTTATCTAAAATTTTTATCTTTGGGCTCATTAATTAAATCTTAATAAAAAATCAACAAATTGAAATTGGCTGAGAGATTTTATAAATATGTATTAATTTAAAAAAAAGTAAAAAAAAAAGAAATTGTAAACGGAAGTTGAGTTGATGTGGCAAGGAGGAAGAGGAAGAGCAAAAGCAAGAGGAAGAGGAGGAGGAGGAGGAGGAGGAGAAAGAATTTTCAAAGTAAATTCTATATATATATGTGAAAAGTAATTATTTTTTTTCTTAAAGTATATAAATATGTGTTTAAGAAAAATCTTTATTCTATAAATTCTACAAAGTATTGTACTATAAGAAAAATATTAGATTAAGTATATCATCCTAAAAGATGTAAAGAGAATGATAAAGAGAGTAGAATTATTGGTTTTTCCCTATTATATATATATATATATATATATATATAAATTTTTATAATTTATACAGTATATATATATATATAATACAATATATTTAAAAAATAATATAATGATATGCGTCAAATAAATCAGTTTTGTGTATTTAGTAGGTAAAAGTATTGAGAAGAGAATTTACATTAGCAGAATCTGGCTTTAAAAAGTAAATAATATAGCTATATTTTACTGGATAGGACTTTTTGTGGCATCCATACCAATGTATTGAGTATAAAAAAAAAAAGAAAACTTGTACTATTAATCAATACTTTTATGCAAATATTAATATCTTTTTAGGATGAAGTTTCCTTATTTTTGAATAATTTACATAGAATATTAATACTATTATTAATCATTAGGAGTTGATTGAAAAGTCACACAGCGTAATAAGAGGTCACAGACTTTATTGCTTTTTGCATCAAAATCTGGTTACGGAGTACATTCTATCTATTAACCCTCCCACCTACCCTCACCTCCAGACATGTCTCAATTTTTTTATTGAGAGTACTGCACGCTGGGTAATTGCGACTCTTCTTACTTTTTTTTATCATTTATTTGATTAAAATTTTCAAGTAATAGAAGTTTTTCCAAAGTAAGTTTCTTTAAAGTATTCATTACCATTGAATTAAATACTTTTATTCCTAGTTAGAAAGCGTTTAAGTTGTTAATTTATTTAAAAAAGAAATCATCCCAACTAAAACGGCATGGATAAGATAATTGGCGTGGTAGGATCTATACCAATATCGAAGACAAGAAAAGATGATACAAGTGCTGATCGTCTGTCACATCGCTTTATGACTGCCAAACTAATAGTTTTTGCGCTTGTTGTATCGGCAAAACAGGTATTTAATATCTTTTAAACTAGACAAAATTTTTAGTCAACATTTGAGTAGTTTTTCAATTTCTATTACAATAAAATATAGTTATATTTTATATTAAAGTTTATTTAATTAATAATTTGGCTCCTTAAAAAGTTACTATATAAGAAATTATATATATTTTTCAAGTTTGTGGGCGATCCTATCACTTGTTGGGTACCCGCTCACTTCAGTGGCGGATGGGAAGAATATACGAATAGTTATTGTTGGATTAAGAATACTTATTTTCTACCCTTTGAAGAACATATTCCTAAGGTTGGTGAAAAAAGGGAAATGATACCATATTATCAATGGGTCCCCATCATCTTCCTTGTCATGGCACTTTTCTTCTATTTACGTAAGTTATATACTTTTTCAAGAAAATATATTTTTTGAACAAAGCTCTCTTTGTATTGAAGCAAGTCTAGTTTGGAGGAGTTTGAATAATAAATCTGGTATAGACATAAAGTCGTTAATCGATTCAGCAGAAACCTTTCAGAATACCGAGAAAATACCCAACAGAGACAAGACTCTTAAACATATGACTGACCAAATGAATCGGTATCTTTTCGCCCAAGAGCATTTAAGCCGTAGAGTGACAATATCTTTAAAAAACTTCTTGTCGCTACTGTGCATTTGCTGCGGCCGTAAAAAAGGAACTTATTTAATATCACTATACATAATGACTAAATTCTTATATATAGCTAGTGCTATTACTGTATTGGTCTCTCTCAACTACTTTATGGGCTCTAATTTCCATATGTACGGCTTCCAAGTCCTAATGGAACTATCCGCTGGTAGAGATTGGACGGATTCTCACAGATTTCCCAGGGTTACTATGTGCGATTTAGACGTTAGACGTTTAGGCAATATCCATCGTTACACAGTTCAATGTGTATTACCAATCAACCTGTTTAACGAAAAGTTATTTTTATTCATTTGGTGGTGGATTATCGTGCTTATATTCATTCAGGGTGTTTCACTCATAAAATGGAGCTTAAGGAGCATATCAAAGGTAGATGATATGAGGTATGTCCGTAAACATTTAAAATTAGCTGGCTTATATCAAACTGCCAATGAGCAATCGGAAGATTTGAACAAATTCGTTAAAGACTACTTGAAATCAGATGGAATATTTATATTACGTCTAATAGGAAGTAATACGAATACAATCACCGTAACCGACTTTGTTAGATCACTTTGGAGAACTTGGATTGAAAGAGATATCAGAAACAATGAAAAACATCCGGACAATAAAATATATTAACGGTTCTATATGTTTAGTACAATTTTTTTTGTTTTCCTCCCGCAAGTTGTAAGAAAATTTAATTATTTTCAAAATTTCGGCGGAAAGCTCTTTTGTATATTTAAGTGCCTTTAGCAATCTATGCATTGGATTCAAGTTTAATCAGTTACCGACCAATCCTATATTTGTGTTGTGTTATTAGCTTGTGAAACTTAAAGCTGCGTTTTTTAAATAAGATAACAGAGAAAAAACATATTGTGAAATTCTATCACATTTGACTGAAATTTTTTATGTACTTGTATGAAATTTATCTAACAACATATTATTCTATTTAAAAGTTTATTATAAAAAGATGTAGTGTTTTAGCTAACTACGCATGTTAATGGTCACATGACACATCTAACCAGTTTTCACTTGCGAAAGAATTCGCAAAATAACCGTGACAGGAAACGAAGTTACCAATGGAGACGTCAAATATATCTAACGACCCGAGCCTCTTTACTGCAAATAGGTATCTAGAAACATCAAAAACATTACCTTTTAACTGCATGGCTCTCTCCGGAGATATTTTATGGATCGTTTCTCGTTGGGTAAGTCAACTACGTTGTAGGAATTGTTCACCTTGGGCGATATTTTGCAAATGGAATGAATGCTTTGTTTCGAAATTCGATGTTAATTTTAATTTACGCTATTTAGAACTTTTTATCGAAGATAAATTTTACAAAATATTTCACTTAATTAATTTTATATTAACTAGACATAATCATGAGGTTGATTGCGATTAATGTGGGCGTTAGGCGCAGCTTATCAAACACAATGGTATTTACTTTTGGTTTCAGGTATAAAAACTACGGATCAAAACAATGGCTGTCGCACCTCATGGGAGTGTCTTTGCTCATATCCCGCCATTCGACACAGCCCAAATTCAGTACGTAATCCAACGTGCACCAGCAATGACGAGCGGAGCTTTACCAACTGTCCCCTATATTCCATTACTGCGACATGTTACGCCTATTAGATCAACGTATCTCCCGCTTTCGACTTGTTCATCGCAAGCTCGACCGATAACCATCCGTCCTCCGCCTCCCGTCTTAGCTTGGACTACAGAGCGAGACGCTCGACCTGTACAACTTATTCAACCATATGTCACCAGCGTCCCATTTGTTCAGTGCCAACCTCAACATCTACCATATGTTGGCCTACCTCTTGTTGTTACACGTCGGGTAGGCGATGGTGATCGTAAAGATGAACGTCGTTCCCCGTGTCATACAGCAACCAAACGATCTCCAAATTTATTAAAATTAATGGCTTCGGATGTTCTCCGAATTTCCGAGTTATCTCTGGAGTCTGAACAGTCAAAGAGAAATATTGCTCGCCAACGTACCAACGTTGACGATGATTTAGAGAGATTACTAAAAACGTCCTGGAATTCCACATGGACGGCTGTAGACGCTCAATTAAATAGAACTGTTTCGTGCCAACATTGTCGTTCAGATCATGATCGTCAAATAGGATGTGGAGCATTTGGCGTTGTTTGGAGAGTACACGATCCGGTTACAGGTAGAAAGATGGCTTTAAAGCGGATGACACATGTTCTAGAGCATCGAGCACTGGCTGTTAGAGCATTAAGAGAAATCCGGCTCCTTCTAGAATTGAAACATGATAATATTCTAGGAGCAATTGATGTTCTTAGGCCAGCACCTAAGTATATATGTGTGCTAACCGAATTAATGCATGGAGATGCTTCAAATATTGTTGGACATACACTAACTGACGCTCAACTTTGTACATTAACCTATCAATTACTCCGAGCCGTTAAGTACCTACACTCGGCTGGGGTAATTCATAGGGATTTGAAGCCGGCCAACCTTCTGCTTTCTCGAACTGGTCATTTGAAAGTTGCAGATCTTGGTTTAGCACGAATAACGGATGGCTCAAATTCCAATCATCTGACACAAGAGGTCGTTACTATATATTATCGTGCACCAGAGGTTCTTATGGGATCCAGAAATTATGGACCAGCTATCGACTTGTGGTCGGTAGGCTGTATAATAGCCGAGTTGGCTATAGGACATGTTCTCTTTCACGCTTCAACCGTTCCGGCTATGCTAGAGAGTGTAGTAAGAGTCTTAGGTTTACCAACTGCTTCAGCTCTGGCTCAAGCGTGTCCGGAAGCCAGAGCCTATGTACTTTCTCAACAGCCGACAACTTTACCGTCCTTTTCTTCACTTCCCGTTCCAGCTGATATTTTACAACTTCTTTCGCGCTTACTGGTATGGCAGGCATCAGACAGAGCTTCGGCTTCCGAAGCATTGTCTATGCGTATGCTTGAGCGCGGACAGAAAATATACCATGTCGCTCTGTGCGAAGATTGTAGATCAGGTTTATGTACGCAATGTCAATTAGATCCAGAACCCCTCGCTGCTGAGCCACTGTCTCGCTCTGCTGATGATGAAAAGTGGCTAAGCGTTGAACATCTACAAGAGAAGTTGGACGAAGCTGTCGAGTCTGGGAGAGACAGTAGGAGACCACGAGTAGATGTTGATCCTCTTTCACAGCATTTCGAAGCTTTCGTGCACGCTCACGTGCAGACGCCGGCCGTCGACGTTCAACAGGCGCACGATTGGAGGCGATTTCGCTAGTCTTTCCCGCCGCTTTCTCTGTTTTTCTTATGATTAGGCAGCTTTTTTAGAGTGTCGTGCAATTTCAAACGCTTTTTTAAACAAAAAAAAAATGGTTGTGTTGTTTTTTTATTTTTTATTGTACAGAAATTTGTGGGTGTGTTTTTTAATTGGGCGTAGTGGAACACAAACAATTGATGTGTGTTAACTTTTACCTGCAGTCTGTTTACTTGTTTGCAATTTTTGCCGCACACCTGATCCGTTGTTGGGTTGTTGTTAGTTTACTATATTTATATACACATACATAGGCCGTAGATTGTCTCGTGCAATATGTTTTGTAACTTTTTAACCTAAAAGACTATGTAACAAAAATGTAAAAAAAAAACAAAAAAACGGAAAAATTATTAAAACATGTGTCAGACCACCTACGGCCATTGCGTAATCATGCAGACGTTGTTAGTGGTTGAAATTCAATTTTTTCATCACCGCGGTGTTTGTTGCAAATTTTCCTAATTATTCTAGCGGTTTTTTGTACTGATTTTTGCTACTGCCAGGCGTAGATTTTGCTGTATCATTTTATATGTCTACACTAAATACTAATTATACGGACTCTTCCTAATCAATACTGGTGTTTTTAGCAGTGTGATTTTTTTCTTTGTTTTTTAGTGATGTTTTTATTGCAATTTTTGTCGTATTATACATATATAAAAACTGGGCGATGTTTTTTCTGTCCGTGTTTCAATTTGTTTTGCAGACTTGAACAAAATTTTTCTAGAGTTGTGCTTTTGATTACTGGATTAAAATAAAGAGGTCTATTGCTGTCTTTTTGCTGGTGTATTCGGAAATTGTTTTTTTTATATTTTTTAAATCTATGTACATTAAACCGAAAACACATACAAAAAAAATATATTATACATACATACAAACACTGTATTGTATATATGAAAGATGCATATATATATATATAATACTCGAGCGACCTAATCTAATTGAAAAGGAAGGAGACGGACAAACGTCAAATATGTGACGTCATATGTCTGGTAAGATGATGACGTTCGCGAAATCCTTCACCACAAATCGAACAATGCAATTTCTCTTCGCGGCGAATTCGTTGAGCCGCGGCAGATGAGACGGGTGACCTGGTTTCTCGTTTGTGATGCGTTCGCATATGATAGACCAAGTCGGACGTCATACGGAATGTGGCGTTACACTTAGCGCACCAATTCTGATTGAGCGGCGTTTGCATAGATACGGCGGCAGATGGCGCTGGAGCAGGTGGTAAAGAGGCGCATGAGAGGATCTTTTCTACCATAGGATTGTTAGTTTTTAGCATTCCACTAACAGCATGTAAGATTTGAGTGTTCTCAACACCCATGGGCGTCTGCATTGGTAACGTGGCCGGTAGTATGGGTGTCGCATTTGAAGGTGCTAAAGGCGGCTTAGGAGTGACGGCGTTATTCGGTGGAGAAGGAGATGCCGGGGGAACAACGTTCTTTTTCTTCGCCGAAGCCTGACACTTAAATTTGACGTGCGATCGGTAGGAATAAGGGTACTCGAACTTGCTCGAACAGAGCGCACACTCCAGACGTGAGCCTTCTTCTATTTTCGGAATATTTAATTGTTTGGCGTATTCCTCACTAAACCACACTAACAATTCGTCATTTGCTTCAATCCTTTTAATAGTTCTAAAATATAATGAGTTATTCTTCACATATGCCTCCATATTTTGCTCTTTATCATCCCTAGCTGCCTGCACATAGGGAACCCATTCGATAGCCTGAACGCCTTCGGCAAATTCGTCGATATTAAGCTGAAAATTGCCTTTTTATAGTATATGTTAATTATTTTTACTACATAATATTCAAATGTCTATAAAAAGAATATTACACATTCTATAATACGTATTGTAGCGTCTAGTGAGAGTCCGTTATATCCTGTATATAAATATAAACATATAAAAAAAAGTATGTAGCTCTAAACGCACAGACGTGAATAAGCGGTTATATCCCTTGTATATATTTTTTAAGCGTCTGTATTAGGTTTGTTTACATACGTACTCTCGTTTTTCTCTTTCACAATACTGAACTATTTAAGTAATGATGTTGATAAGAAAATGATGTTAATAGAGTAGTTTCCATAGAAATAACTACTTTATACATATTTATTTATATAATGAATATTTCTATGAAACTAAAGTGGTATACTATAATTCAATATGTATATTTAGGGATGAAGTTTCACTATGGATATGACTAAGAGTTAAAAGAATACCTACTGTTACAGTGTGAATATTTAGACGTCTATCCATTGTCATATGACCGATAAGGGAAGCAGGATCCGTGAGCATGATCGACGTTGGTATCGGTCCATACAAGCGACCGAGCGGAATGGAAGCGTTCGTAAAGACGCCCATCTTGCGGAAACGTCGTCGTCTGCCCAAGTTCTGATCGATTATGCATGCGAGCGGATCGCGCCGCCGTTCGGAAATATGTTCGAAAAAAGGGAGGAGGGCGGTGATTGGCTGGGAGACGCATAGTGATCGGCGACTATAGGCTTTTCTAGACGCTTCGCTTCTAATTCGACGCCGCTTTCGCCCCTAGCTCGAGGGCTGATGAGGCGACGCGCTAAGATTGTAAAATATTTTTTCCCTAAACTCTCCCCAGCTATCTCTCTATGTCTTAACTCATCTCCCGCTCCCCCGCCTCATTCGATTTTACCCCCTGTTTCTATTCTCTATCCGTCCCTCCCTAGCCTTCTTTCCTCGTCCCTTCATACACCCTCTATATATTTTTTACGGGCAGCACCCGATCGATCGACGAGCGGGACTACTGCAATGACTTATCGTATACGCGTGCCTTCGTTTGATAAAGTTCGGGAATTGTGTTTCATGTTTTTTTTCACTACCCCCGTCTATTTCTATTGTTGCACGCGTTAAACGCGTCCGCAAATTCGGACCATCTGTCGAATTTTAGTTCGCGCCAAAAAATCCGAATGAAAGCGACACAATAGCCATCTTTGACATGTCAAGCGTCGCATATGCGCGCCGTTAAGACCCCCCCCTCCCTCTTTTCTACTAACCCCTACACACTTATTGACCGACGGAAGCCGAAAAAAAAAACCGATCGATTGTGGCCTAATCCGACATCGGCCATTTAAAAAAAGACTGCATGCGAGATGGAGTTAAGAAAGAGTGCATAGGGGAGCGTGGCAAAGGATATAAAGATAGGGGGAAATGTACAACGATATTACTCTCAGTTGTGCACACGCCCCCCAACGTCCCGCCAGAAATCCGATCCTGATTTCGGCGCGTGCCTTGTAAAATTACAAACTCATTTTAAGGGCAGGTGTACCACATCGGCTGCCCGAAACATTTCCGTGACATATGGCGTTCTGGTGAGCGTCGATCGGGCGTCGAATTAGAACAGCGTGAGGCAGAAGACAGATTGTCATTGACGCTTTGTTCAACCGCTAGAAGGGCGAGAATTTTCTCTTTCACTCTCCTCTGATGTTGGCGGATTGTTTTTAACTTGTTAATTCTCTATTCGATCCGACGTTACTCGGATCGTATAACGGCCGGCAGATGGCTGATGTGACGCAAGAATTTTCTTTAAATGTAATGCTTTGCTTTTTCTAGGAACGATCGTAATGGGACAAATTTCGCGTGTTTCCAACTCGTTAAGGGATGGAAAAGAAATTAAGATAAACAAAAAAAAACAAAATTATAAGAAAGATGAAGCAACTAAGATCTCGTTATAATGTGATTAACTGTAACGAAAACGATACATAAAACAGCCCAAGCGAACACTAAATACACCCAGTAGCGGCTGCCGAAAGGACTTTTATACTTGTTTGTCAACACTGTACCGAATTTATAACACGTCCTTCTTCTGGCGTAAATGACGAGCGCGGCGGGAATAACATACTGAATTCCCGCTCCGGCATAAGATCCCGTTATTCCAACGAGAAACTCCACATTGTCAGTTCCGTAGGCGACGCAGATGGGCGGCAAAATAGCCGCTATGGGAAATAATATTCGATTTAACCACCATCGAAATCTCGTCGAATCATCCAAATTGAAGATGGATCGTATATTGTTCCGTAAGGTTATGGAAATTATTGGGAAGTTTGATGAGAGAGTAAAAACTGGAAATAGGGCAAGAAAATAAGAGAGGAAGGGAACCGTCTCCGGGCCGCCTTTATCCCGTTGACAAGGGTCACGTAGAAAGTTCAATGTATACAAGTCTTTAACCTCTTTGAAGGCAAAAACACCGGTGAAAGACAGGAGCAGGTAGAAGAAAAGTATGAGAATGTAATCAGCGGCTAAGTAACTGTAAATTTTTCCTTTTTTACGAATGGGCGTGACGAGTGAAGGAAGTGAATGATGACACATAAAAGAGTAGACGCAAACTCCGAATAGAGTTGGTATTCCCGATAGCTTGACGATTTCTGGATGAGCTGAACTATGACCTTTGCTTATTCTTATTATTGCTAATACTATCATAGTACAGAATGCTAGAATGAATGAAGAAGAGGTGAAAAAAAAAATATCTTGATTAGTAATACGAGAGGGATAAAAACATCGACAAAGATCATTATCTTAAATACTTAAATACTTACAAAACCATCTTAATCCCGTCGTTAAAATTTGTAAATATTTTGTTTTTTGCACATTGAAGAAGACGAAAGGTCCCAATAGAATGGTGAATATAGTCTGAAAGTAGAAAAGACGCGATTGAATTCCCTTAGCGATTAGTTGAGCCAAATTTACCAAACATATCCTATAAGCGTTTACTCTATTTACAGTTTTTACGTTTTCCCAACAGAGGTCGTAATCATCGGGATTTCTGCACGATTCATTTTGACTAGAATTTGATAGGAAGCTGTTTGTCATATTTCCAGGCTCGTATGTACTATTTTATATACATACAAGTATATATGTAAATGAAAAAAGACATACTATTAATAGATTAATATAACAGAATAAAACGAACACAATATAGACATATATATTTTAGTTATAAGAACAATTGGTGGATTTAGCATAAGATACATAATTTTATCAGACAGTGATAAATATAATTTTCTTTTTCTTACCAAATTACATCTCTTAGAGATTTTGGAACTGCAACGGCGTAGATAGCTAAATCTCCGTATAAATATATTGCCAAACAAATATAGAATAAATTGAGCCCAACTACAAGAAGTCAACATCTTAGAATATTCCATAAATTGGTACAATATTTACATACGCTTATTAAAAAATAATCTTGCCATCTGCCCCATCTCTACCCTTCTTGTAATATCATACAATTTATCGCTATTCTCTGATTCGTTGATGCTACCGTCTTGAAGGAGTGGACTTCTCTCATCCGTGCATTCAATTTTACTATTCTACAAATGTAACAATTATTATTCTATAAATGTAATAATATCGATGAAAGGAGAATTTAATTTTGACTAACTGACTCCTCTTCTCTATTCTTAATTATGGCATTTGCGCAAGCCATACTTTCAACAACGAATGTTACAGTCACGTAACTAAGTAAAAAAGTTTTAACAATATCATAAATACGATTTACAGACGATAATGGAAAACCTCATCAGTCCCAAAATTACTATAAGTATCAAACTTATTAGCCATCCTGCCGCAGAAAATGCCAAAGGCATTGCTAAGGCACCAGTTCCAACTATCAAATTAAATACATATAATATTCCAACCTGAATATAGAAATCACATGATTCGAAAGTGTGACATACAAAAACTTAGATTTTGTTCTAAGACGATTTAATTAATTTCTACGAACCAAGGGAGAATACAAGCTACCACTTTCGAATGACACATCTTCCATCGTTCTAATTAGCTCAATTGAATAACTCTTTATTTTAAAAATTCTTTGATTAAAGGTTTTCTCTAAAAAGCAATTGTTTAACACCAGGCATAAAGAATAATCGTCTGGTGCAATCAAATATCTTCTGCTAAACAATAGATGATATAAACTGGTACCTATTGAAAAAAATGTATATATATTTTGTTTTTACGCCTTGATTCCTGTATTGCCGTCAGATGGCGTTGACAGAAGAAATAATTAATATTTTGACTACATCTTTAGGATAAAATTAGCTGTATTTAAGAAATTTATCCGTAATTTTTAAGATGTCTTTCAATAACTAGTTATTTTCTGATTTGATTCTTCAACGGTTAGATTTTAAATAGTTTCTACTTATAAAGAAAGAGAACTTGAGGCTTCATTTCGTTTGGATCTTTTCTTTCACAATGAATTCAAAGAGTGTTCGATATAAACAAATTCCTTTGGCGGATGAAGACGAAAGTGCAATACAATTTCACTCATCATTCTCGTATGCTTCTATCATGGATTACTCTTCGGCATTCAAATACTCGTCACAGAACACGCCCGTAGCAGGTAGTATTAAATGCTGACAATGACTATTGATTTGCAATACTCGTTCTTCTTTTCAGATGACGAAGAACCGTCCAAGAGTTATGGAATGATTTTATATATATGCAGTAAAATAATATTAGTGTTCTCAATTGCAATAATCATCGTGACAATGCCTATTTCTCTCTTATTCACTCTGAGGGTAAGAAATTTAATATGATAAAAAAATTAAGGGTTATCCGATGCTGATCTTCTTTATTTAACAGACAGTTCGAGAAAATGAAAATTTAGTAGTTTTCCGGCTTGGACGTTATTATAAAACTTATAAGCCTGGTATCAGATTTCGTATCCCATGGCTAGATAAATGTACAAGAGTTCAAATGCAGCAAAAAGCATTTAGTATTCCACCCCAGAAACTTCTTACTCAAGATGGAGCAGCTCTACAAGTGGGAGCTGATGTATTTTACAGGATATCCCAACCAGTTCAATATATTTCATCCGTGAAAGACTTGAATCATTCCCTTCGAGAACTATCACATTCTATTCTTTGCTCTGAACTCTCCCAACGTTACCTATCGGACATAGAATCAAACAAGAATGAGGTTGTTAACGCCACACGAAATTCTATTATGAAATTTTCACAAGATTGGGGGGTAACCGTCGAACGCGTTGAATTGGGTGATATACTAGTTGTAGAGGGATCAAAAAATCCTCTATCTCAAATTTCTCCGTCCCTTCAAGCAATCGGATCAATCTTGCTGCCCCCGGGTGCAACAAGACCGACTCAGGTTCTTGGATCCAGTAAACCGGCGGAAAAAGTCGAACAAGAAGAAAATATCGATAGCCTTATTGGAAAAATTAGAAATATTTTAGATAAGGAGCTTGTGAGAGAAATATCTGCAATATATTCTTTCTCGATTGCACAAGAAGATACGAATACGACGTTAAATTATTTTCTCGATTTGAAAAACGGTACAGGTTCAATAGGAGAAGGATCGATTAAATCACCAGATGTTACTTTTACACTAACATCAAATACGCTAAAAAAGTTGCTAGACGGTGAAGGATCAGCTTTCGACGCCTATATGAATGGAGAGTTAGGAGTAGAAGGAAGCTTACTGCAGGCAAGAAAACTGGATACTTTGGTTGATCGTTACAAAAACAAAGTGTGTATTGCATAATTTCTTTTCCTGTTACTGACCAAGTACATTCATGTACTCATTTTTTTCTTTCTGACTATTGTATAAAAAAAATTTCCCTTTTTATAAAAAAAACCACAAATTGTTTGTATGAAAAATATCTGGTGGGTAAAAGTGTGGCAGTAAATAATTCACAGATTCGCTTGACTGGCACAATTCTATCTTTTACATTCTAGAGCCTTTTTGCTGAAGAACTTTTGCCTTATCGCTAGTTTCATTTTCCACACCATTCTCTAAATTTGGATATTCTTTGGAGACAACACAGAGAAATTCGGCATGGTCATCACCACCATAATTATAATTAGAACCAATATTAATTATCTAAACGAGTAGAAAGGGAAATCAATAGTTTGTTAATTGTTTCATTATTTTGAAAAAAAATAGCCAACCTGTTCGTATTTCCATCCATCCGATAAACTTGACACCATTTGAGTTAATTCTTCTTCTGAAAACTGTAGTACTCTATATACATGTTTAACGTGCGTTTTATTCACTGTTGCATCTCTTTCGCGAATGCGTTCTTTACAAATTTTAATTAGTTCTGCAATATTATAAAATTCTGCTTCTTCAAGGACCCCTTCTTCTGCTAAATCTTTATTAATTACCAAATTTCCATGCCGTAAATAATTCAAAACTGGAGCGAAATACATGGGATCTCGATCAATTAAATAAGCACCGTTTTCATCCTGCAAAAAAGGGCGTTTCCGTACAAAATGTTCGACTATGAATTTGCGCCAACCTTATCTGAATCTAAATCTGAATTTTCCTGACAAAGTCTATATAAAAACGACTTAGGATCTTTAAAAAGGGTTGTCCTTGTCGTAGTAAATAATGTCCCACCGACATTTAACTTTACCCATTTACTTTTACGGTCCTCGTTACCATTTTTCATCGTCGGCTGACTGGTCGCCATTTTTTGTTTGTAATCCTTTCCTTTACTTCCGGCACATTTGGTTGTAAAAATAAAAGAAAGCAGAAATTATTTTTTTTACAGAATACATTTGTAGTGTTTTTAATAAAATACAATTAATTTTTTGCTTTTTACATAGGCGTTCTATAAAAAAAGTACGAAAGTAACTCTTGTAAAGGCGCGCCATTTGCAGAGATTGCTCGGGAAATTTTAATTAAGAATAATTTCAGCTAATTACGAAATAATTAATGAGTAATTTAACAACAAATATAAATTTATTCTCTAAAGGTGTAAATCAGTGTTTTAATTTATTGCAACAATTGTAGTTAAAAAGGTGAATTCATTCCCAACTTTGTTCCAAAGTCTAATCTGACTCTTCTTTCGTATCGCTTATTCCATCTGTAATATTTCAATTGATAAGATTTAGACATATTTTATCAAAGGCTTATCTTATTTTCTACAATCATACCTTATTTCCTGCCATTTTACAATCTCACAGACGATTAATTGAATGAGAGGGGAAGCTGCGGCTAAGCACCATGATACTGTTGATATATGTTTTACTTGAGAGCCAACAATGGACTGATCACTATTGATTGTGATATCAATAAAAGAATAAAGAAGTTGGAACAATAATCTGAAAAGAATAAAGGGCAAACATAAATAATTAATAGAAACCAATTTTTTATGAAAATTTGATGATTGAAATAAATATTCTTACGTAGGAAGTGAAATAATTAACCAAAGCGGGCTAATAAACGGTACTTTTTTCCATACATATTGAAGTTTATACATAAAACTAGCTGATGTGACCACTAGATTTAACACGAATATAAAAGCTGTGAAATTATGACACAAAATAAACTGCTTTCGGAAATCTGTACAAGAAAAAAGAAAGAAAGGATAAGTGATTAATGAAATCTTTTCCCAACTATACATTCAAATATATTCCATAAAAAAGCTATTACCAACCTGTCAACCATCCATTATAGGAATATTGAACACTGTAGTCTTTGTTACCAAGAATTATGTGACAGTTGTGAGTATAATTGGTTTGATTCGTATTATGTAGGACCTGATGAATTTGCTTGCAAAAACTATATAAATTCATACCATGGCATATCAAACATATGATAAGAATCGGCAGGAATCTTACACCAACTAACCAAGCTGAATAGAAGAAGTTTATCAAATTTTTATATCGCTTTCCAAGTGCTCGGTGCTCGTAATCTTTATCATAATTTATACGAATACCGGATACAGACATGATAGGAATAACAAGGAAGGTAATCCAAAGTACATGATCTAAGCCTAGAATAGGTGGTAACCATAGTACTGCTGCCAAAAACTGTAAAAGCGCTAAGGCTGCATAGCTGGCAAAGAAGAATTGCAGAGTTCGTCTAGTCATCTCACACCAGTGCCTAGATAGCGCAATCAACTTAATGATGTCAAATTTATCAGAACGATGGCACGATAAAACGCAAGGTAATGAGTTGAGTAGTGCTTGTAGCTTTTGGGGTCGCAAAGTCTTATTATTTTCATTCTTTTGCAAACAAACGGAAGGGTACAATGGTTCAATAGCAATACTAGCGTCGGATTGAAGGAAGCAGCTTGAATTGTGAGATGAAACGGAACTACCCATACACACTGCAACGTCATTGTTCTCTTGAAGAATTTCAATCATCTCTTTAATAGTATCAGGAGTGCAATCGGTGAACAGGGAAACGAGTAAAGGAACATTATCAACCTTCTTTAAATGAGGTCTTACATTCTTAATACCTCTTGGTAATTTAGCTCGATTCATCAATCCATAATCCTCGTCAAATTTCTCATCAATACTAGTTCGATTTTGGGTCTCTTCCGCCAATAATTCGAAACTCTCAAAATTATTATCTGGATTATTCTCAAGCGATATATGGCAATTCCAACCGGCTTCTAGGCCCATTTTCTCACTAAATACACGACTACGAAGCTCATTTTCTTTCGAGAAATGGACGAATCTAATACATGCTTTTTCTAGATCTTCTATAAGGCCAACGACATCTTGTTGGGCTTGGTATTGCATCGTAATCATTCCAATAAAAACCTGATGGCTTTGTAAGCCATATTTGTTATCTACATCATCGCAAATTGATAAAGAACTCTTCAAAGAAAGTGTGTCGTGATCGTGAATTGAGATACCCTCAGGTATTTCAATATAAATGTCTCTCTTCTCAGAATCATGTTTGACTGATAAGGGTCGATAAGCAAAAGCAGTGCAATAGGCACTCATTGAAGTTCTTTGATAAAAATCCAGAATCTTGTTACGGTCACTTTCGCTGAGGATTCCAACATCCTCTCCATCCCAGAAGTCAGTACAGGTGTCTAATAATAAATCAGCTGTACCATGTGACATTAACTGATTAATTTGAAGTTGTTCATCCTCAGCCAAAACCGAAAAGATATTAGGAGTCGGCATTTTATATTGAATAATACTTCTTGAACGTTGATTAATATCTCGGAAACCGGAATCTGTAGCCTGCAGTTTGTTTTAGAATGTAAAATCATTGAATAATAATAAATATATATATATATATATGTGAAAAACCGTACAGAATTCCTATACATAGCAAATGAATTTATTGTACGAAAATTTTTTGTTGCTCCATCACGAAATCCAATTTGTCGGGCCAATTCGCAGAAGCATCTATATATTTTTTTTTATTAAAAAAAAGAACGAAAAATCATTAGAGAAAATAAATTTTTTGTTCTAATTAGAACAAAATTAAAAACACCAAAAAAAAAAAACATTGAGAAAATTAATCGAATAAATAAATAAATTAACTAATTAATTATGGTAAATATATATTATTTGAATAAATTGATAGAAAATAAGGATTGATTCAAATAGGAAAAACAAAAATCATATAAAAAATTATATAAAGCTCTAATATATATTTATATTTATATATATATATATATATATTGGATTATATTGATAAGGATAAGGATAATCCATATCTTGTTGATAATAGCAAATAGTAAATACTAGTAGCTAATAATGAAAATTAATCACAGCACTCGGCACAATTAAGAAAAAAGATTTTCTTTTCTTTTTTTTTTTATTCATTTATCGCGATTAGTTATGGCCTCTATTTATTCATATTTGTTTATAATATAAAATTTATTTATTGGTGTATTTTTGTTTATTTATTTATCAATAACTATACCTTTTCCTAACCGTAGCTAGCAGTTCGATGACTCTAAGACTGTTCGACTACTACATCTAATTATATTGTCTAAAATTAGTTTTTACGCTTTACGTACCGCCTATTAAGAACTGGAATCATCTCCTCACGCTTCATTGATGTGCAGGTTGTATGATCAGCGAATCTGGTATATTCTTGGACGGTATTATCATTACAGGAATTTAAAAGAATATTTAAACCCTATAAATAATGATGATACTATTAGATAAAAGATGAATCTATCTATGATCGAAAAATTATATCTTATTATACATACCAATGGTTTTAATGAATTAATGTAAAATTTCCACTTGGGATCGTCAAATGCTAGACTATTTTCATTCTATTTCAGTAAGAGAAATAAGAGAATAAATGTTTAATTTTCAATTAACAACTATAATCTTACAGTTGGATCCTGAGTTAAATCTAATACCTCAAAACGACTTTCAAATTCATAATCGACTAAAAGGGAAAGAAAGAGAGAGCTAAATTACATTAAACATTATATAATTATGCAAATATACCGCCATCAGCATAAGCCTTTTCTTCTTCGCCTTCCGATACCACTATAAGTGGATTGTTGGTAGTATTATTTACTTCGGTGTCTGAATGATAATTTTGACGAGTTTTTGGTGCTTTTTCATTCCTGAGGAAGAAAATTTTCTCCGCTGTTGGATTCGGCCAGGATAGAATTCCTTTTTTGTCAACGCAGCATAGAGACTATATTATTTAAGAAGATATTTTCAGATAGGAAAGAAAATTATTAATGTGATGCATTTTCTTGGGAAATAGAATACGAACTGTAAGATGACCAAGAGCGTGACAAACATTGCTAGTCCAACATAGATTATTATGCTTTCCTAATATAAAATTACAAGTGTTCTTCAACAAATCACCAATTTTAAGGCTATTCGTATCGTTTCCCTGTATAATATATTAATTAATTAATTATTCTATTAAATAAACGAATTAACTTACTTTGATGCTATACTCGAAACGAGCAAGTATTAGTACAATACCAAAACAATATAAAAATATCCATAATGATGGCAAGATTAAACAGAAGAATGGTAATACGCAATTAATCTAAAAATATTAGGAATTTATGTAAATTTATGTAAATTAAACATTTTCATTAGCAATTCTATAATAATTACTGGTATAACTAAAAATACGTCTGTCCAATAGCCACCTTCTTCACCGTTAAGACAATATCTAAAGACTCCTATTAAACCGGTAACCAACTAGTCCAAATAGAATAAAAAGAGACAATATAAAAAAAGACAATAAATGCTATTACAATTTCTCTTTAAACTTACAAACATTCCTGGTATTAAAATAAATTCAACGCATCTTGAATAGCACCAATTCAACTCCTTCTCCAAGACACTCGGCAATCTTTTTGAATTATTATTTAATATTTGCTTTAAAGTTGAACAGAATGGAGTTTCTTTCATCATGTAATAAACTGGTTTTAAGGATTCTCTACAGGTAGGTTGTTGAACGTCTTCCGATAGAATTTTAGGTGAAAAAATGTCTCCTGCACGAAGTTCTGTAGCGTAATTATTCTTTGACTGAAAAGAATAGAATAATAGCTTGGTTTTGCAAAAGAAAAAGAAAAGGCTTAATTTTAGAAAACTTAATTAGGTAATTAATTAAGTTGTCAATACATGTGTACGCTTTTGCATATATATTAAATTTTCTACCTCCAATATCTGACATGCGCCAGGAACATGCTGACCAGGCCGAAGAAGGATTGTATCTCCTTCAACTAGTAACGTGACTGGTAGATTAACTAATTCATCATCCCTTATCGTCCACTGTAAACTAACACAAGGTGATAAGGGACAGTTCAAGTCGATGTAGTCTGAATAGGTCCAATTAGAATTTTGGGCACATTCTAAAGATTATAATTAATTTTAAGAATTGTATTTGTTAGCGAATGAAATAGAGGTGATACAGTATATTTAATAATTGTATCATTTGTCTGTTACCTTCTACGGAACTAATAGCATTACGCACTCTTCTTACTAATTCATTCCTCTTTTCTAAATGAATCCAACTTGCAATAAAAAAATTGACTAGTAAACATAAGACAAGAACAAAAACTTGTCCAATTATCCAATTATTGCTGAAAGCACAAATAATGCATAAAAATTCATTAATAATATTAAACTTTTATTAATTTTACTATATCTTACGGATGGATCTGGCAAAGATAAGCAATTATCAGAAGTGCACAGCCGATAATGATATAAGATACGCCAACCCAACTTAGCTGAGACTGAACGTCTTTTAATCTTAAAAAAGAGACGCAAGGAAGAGACGATTTTTTCGGTTTATTAGCTGCTATATGTTCCCTAAGTTCATCTTCTAATTCGCTTTTTAAAATATTCAGAGCATCTTTACTTTTAAAGCCTTTATAATTAGTTGGATCCTGAAAAATAATTAGGATTTTAGTAAGAAATATACGAAATGCATCATTTAATCATAACTAGCCTACGTAAACTTAATTTTTGGTAAATAATAGCTTGATGATTAGTAATTCTTACCATTTAGTATCAAGAATGCAAGGAATTTAGCGAAGACGATTTTAATCACCTTCGACAGTCGTCTGCTGTCCAAACAAGGTGAAGGTTATCAATGAGAAAGCGCATCTTCGTATTCAAAATACTAAGCCTATGAAACTACATGTTTGATACAAAACGTTCAACTTAGGTCAATTCCCTCTTGTTACCAATTAAAAAAATGATAAAAAAAGCTTTATCATCTATGAGAAAATTAACCGAATATATATATATATATCTTTAATTTCTCATGATATTTACATTAAAACTTAAGTTATCTCTTACGAAACAAAAACAATTGCTAAAATAAAAGTATTAAGATATAAATACTATATATATATATTTTATTGTAACAAATAATAATTTATTGATTTTTAAGCTTGTCTTTAATTGTTAGCTTTGCTCCTCTCTCTCTCTTATGATGATTTGTAAAAGCACCGTCTTTTAAATAAGTCTATATATTAGGTATACAGTATATTATTTATAAAATGAATATTCTGTTTGTTGTATAATTATCAAAAAATTCTCATATCCTCTTTAAATGGGTTTTTTACATTAGAATAGTTCCGTTTTCAGCATTTTAAACAGTTAATATCACCTCCTTTCCCCGTAACCTTCCCTAAAATTTCTCTTATTTTTCCACTTAAAGAAATCCATTTTTTTCGTGTAAATTTTAAATTATAGCGTATTTGAATCAATTTGTTTCTTTATTTTCGATTTCAATAGATCTTTCTCTTCTTGGCTGTTGCTATGGATACGCACTGTCAATACAAACAAATCGTCCACCTCCTTTATTATTTGCGAATAAGAGAGAAACGTTTGCTAACATCATGAAACCAATTGACTTTATACTTCCAACTGAACTTTACAATTTAATAAATAGGAAAGGCCAATATCCAGCAATTAGCGATCCTAATTATGTACTTTTATTAGGTATGAACCGGGTTTCAATTATCCTCTTTTTTTCGTTAAAGATCTTTATAATTTTAGATTCAAGAAGCGAGCATGACTTTAATGAAAGTCATATATTAATGGCGAAAAATTGTAAAATGGTGAGTTATCTTTGTAATTAATTTTTTAAGCCAATTTTTCACTTTGGAAAAAAAAAACACCCAATAGAATGAACATAACGAATATATAGTTCCAGAAGAAGCGGAATTGGAATGTAAACAGACAATAATTATTTACGATAATAATACTGCATCTATAAGAGACAATGGTACTGTTCTAAAAATTGCAAATATCAATATTTCATTTATTTTGTATTTGCTTATTAATTTTTTTATGTAAACCCCTATAGGAGACGCCATCACTTGCAGTCAAAGAATATGGCTAATGGGCAGTAGATTTACAGTTTTAATTCTGAAGGGTGGTTACGAGCATTTTTCCGCTTTATACCCTTTTATGAGAACGCAAAAGATTTTGTGGACACCTAAGGAATTGGATGAATTTAAAACCTATCCAATAGAAGTTATACCAAACCTCCTTTATCTCGGTGATTGGCGTCAAGCTAATGCAGCTTACATTCAAAAAGACTTAAAAATAACTGGACATGTAAACTGTACACAAACTCCTGGAACTTTGTTAGTATAATTGAATAGGTTACTATATAAGAAAGCATATATTTATAAAACCATTTCATTGAATAGTTTCTGCGATGTGGGTAAAAATTTAGTTCAAGTTTACGTCAATGATGAAAATTCCTCAGATATAAATCCGTATTTTGACGATGTTACTAACTTTATTCAGAGCCACAAGTATTTAGGCGGGAGAGTTTTGGTATTTTCGGATAAAGGAATGAGTAGATCGTCGGCATTCTGTCTAGCGTGTATAATGAAAGAAAGAATGATACCTTTAAGGGAGGCTAGAGCAGATTTAAGAGCATGTAGTCCATGGGCGGAACCTTTGAAAGTCTATATTGATGCGTTGATTTTATACGAAGATAAAATTTTTACTCAATATGAGGAACAATTAGCAAAGCTTAAACAAGAGGAGGATAGTGCTCTGCCCCCACCCGTAGAGAGAACAACATTATGTCAGCTTGGCTATTAAATTTTGAAAAGTAACTTTAAAATTATGCAATCTCAGTGAATTACATGCAATTAATAAACTTTGTCGGTGAAGTTTCTGCAAACTTATCATATTTAAATAGTTTCAGCATTCATTTCTATGTTAGAATTAAGGACCGTCGACAAAATCGTTTGCTCTTTCAAGACATGCATAAACTGAAACTTATTGATAATCAATAATTAAAAGTGAGACAAGCGCTATTTGTATTTTCGCTCTTGGGGAAATTTGTTCTAACATAATGCGTAGTCCATAGGAAACGAATACTTAGGTTAGTGACCACTAAGACCATTCCTTTTCACATCAGTTTTTGCCGATTTCTGTAGCAAATTAAAATTTTGAACTGAAGGATTTTATTTATGAAGTGTTGTTAATACACTACTTCGAAACCCATAAGTTGTCATTATTGTGTAAGTTGCAACGCCCTGTTATCTTAATCTTTTGCTACGCATTTAGACCCTTCGAGGATACAAAACATTAAATGAAAAAATAAGAGAAATTGGTGTTTGCCTAGTATATTGTTTTTACCAAACTATTAAGAATTATCCAATTTTCAGCTATGCGCTTTTTAAGAAATTATGGATTAGTAGTGAAAATTTTTCGACAATTTCATTGTAGCGCTTTAAAGAGTATGGCAACGAGACATCTACGCAATTCAAATATGGTTGTTCTTGTTGACATGGATTGCGTTATATGCGATTTCGAGGGATACTTTTTGGAATGCTATCAAAAGATTTACCCCGAAGATCCATATATAGCCCTAGGAAAAAGGAATCAATTCTATCTGACAGATCAATATTCAGAATTAGGAGAAGAATATGGAAACAAGGCTAAATCAATTTTTTCATCCGAAGGTTTTTTTCAGAATATTCCACCAATTCCCAAAGCAATTGATAGTCTTAAGGAAATGAGTGGAATGGATGGGTACAACTTTTATTTATTTTTTATATAAATACTATAAAAAAAAAACAATCAACTGATAAAGATAATAATACTATTAAGTTATCAAAAAATTGAATGTTCTTCTAGTATCCTTGATTAATAATAGAAAAATTTTGTTAACAGAGTCAGTGTATTCTTATGCACGAGTCCGATGAGGTCATACAAATATTGCGCTGTTGAAAAGGCAAATTAATACTTTTTTTGTTATACGTCATTCATACGTAAAAACTATTTTGTTTTTTATAGTTTCAATGGGTTGAACAGTACTTTGGTAGATCTTGGATTGATAAATTGATACTAACAAGAGATAAAACTGTTGTCTATGGAAATTTGCTTATTGATGATAAACCTAGAATATTTGGAGCTTTAAAATCCCCTCCTTGGGATCACATTCTCTTTAGAGCATGCCATAATACCTCAATTAGAGCACCCGGCAGGAAAACTTCAGCAAAATCAGTATTAGAGAGCTGGTCCGATGATTGGAAATCTTTAATTGATAATAAGAAAAGGGAGCTGAGTTAAAATATATAATTCCCTCTTCTCCTTATTGAAATATTGGTTATAATTTAATTTTTGTTTGTTTAGGTTTCTTGAATCGATAATGATAGTGGAATAAATTTCAAATTAAGACTTTCAACAAAAGCAAGATATTAATATGTATCTGTATATATATACAGTGTATTAGGATATGAGACTTGCGCATCTAATATACGTAAAATGTATATAAAGAAAGTCAACTATTGAAAATTGTCATTATCACTTTCCGTTATTGGCCAGTGAATGTAATATAAAATTAAAAACTTCCTCAAAAGCCGAAGCTGATGTTTCCTCATGTGCCGTTGTACCGGCAGAAAACATTTCAACAATTTCCGAGTTTCTCTCAGTTAATTTCGATCCTAGTTTTTCTTTGGAAGTAACCCAATTTTTAACTTTATGTTTAAGAAACTTAGGAGTTCCATAATCTATGGCATCCGTGAAAGCAACAGCAAACACCTTTTCTTCGCAAGATTGTTTATATTTTTTCATTATTGCCTATAGAGAGAAAGAGATAAATATACCAAGATTGAAAGGTATACGTTAAAAGAATCTTACGCTAGTTACAACTCCTCCATAACTATGAGCCACTATTGCTACTTGAGTATTTTTCAAATCCTCCACAAAGTATTTCCAAACATTTTCACCATGCCTTTCCGGAGTTTCCGACAAGTCGAATTTTTCACCATGTTTATTCTTGTTATGATTCGTATTAAGTACTATAACGCCAAAGTTTTCCTCTATACCTCTCTTAATATATTCAAACTGAGTTCCAGTTTTTAAGCTTTCATTTATAATTAATCGTCTTGCCCATTGGCCGGCTCTAACAACTCCTGAACCATGTATAAGAAGTAAAATCTTATCTTTTTGATTGAAATCATCTGTAGCAAATACGAATCCATCTTTGTCGTCTGAATTTTGAAATGGTCTACCCTTCATATTATATTTTTTTAATTTGAACTCGGATTCTAGTTTTTCATAAATAATCTCTGTTATTAGCTAATTAGCAATTAAATCAAAATTTAATAATTTTTAATAAATATATTATTAAGGAATTACTTACGTCACCAATATTTTCGTATCTTTCTTGATTTTTAGATTTTTGATCATAGAATTCATAAACGAACTTATCTTTTGTATCATTATGAACTAATTCACCATCTAAAAAAGCCAATGAATATCGCATATGCAATTGTAAAATAGTTTTAACTTACTGTCGTTAAAATAATAGCCGTAGTCTTTTGCTAAAATTTTTTCAGCATTCGATGTTTCTGTTTTAGCTTTTTTTGCTGATATTTCTCCTTCGTTTAATTCTCTTGAATTATAAGTTTGTTTTGACGAGCAGACGTTTGAAGAGTCTCTTTTTTTTTCAGATCCTGTTTCCGGTTCTCTACCACATCTTGATGGTGGTCCTCCATCTTCCATTGGAGTGTAAGTGGACGATTTACTGTCTTCCATATTTATATAACCGCCAACTATTTCAAATATTAGCAGTAATACTGAAAGCTAAAATTATAGACTAACATTACTACATTATCGCTCAAGTATTCTTAACATTTAAGTTCGCAAACTCTACGATTAGTCACGAAATCAATATGTAAAAAACAAATGGAAATTAAAATTTTAAGATAATTACCCTAAACGGTGATGATGCGATTGAAACACTGTGATTAAACAATAAACTTAACAAAGTCTTCAGGTGATTCAGTTCCATTAATCAATAATAAAAGATGTCGCTGCAATTTGTTGTTGGTCGTCGATTAATCTAATTTCAGTTTGAATAAAGACTTTTCTTTTACTGAATTAAGTTTAAGTTGCTATTAAAACTTCAATAATCAGGGGTAGAAGATTCAAAAGCACTTATTAAACAAACAAAGTAATAAATAGTACAATTTTAATTGTTTCACATCGAAACTTAAGAATGTAAATGTGTTGATATTTTTGGGTTAAACCCACCATTATTTAATACATTTAATTGATTTCGGAATTGATATAGATTGTTCTCTTTTGATAACATTAACGCAAAAATGTTTGCGCTTTAAATGAAATTTTTGTGTTGACTCCAACCAATCAGCGATCTGTATACTACCTATTCCAATCAAGACTTATTTAACAAACTTAATGAATAGTGTCGTAAAGTGATAGAACTAATTTTAGGAGTTTTGTTAGATTGTATTCTGCTAGACGCTGCCAGCGTGTAAAAATGGCCGCAGAAAATGGGAAAAATTTGGAAAAAACTGCCTCAAAACAACAGGAAAGTAGTGGAAAAGTAGAAGACGCTAAGGCACCGTTGCTGACGAATTCCAAAAAACCTGACACAGAGTTCAACAATGTTTTGGAAAAGAAATTTTACAAGGTAAAGAGTTGAAACTGTTTTGAATTTTTTTGTTATTGTGTGTTATTTTTATTAAAGAGCTTCATGAATCCTATGCTGGCAACTTTAGAAGAGAAGGTTAATGAAAATAATGAAATATTGGATAGAATTAACAAGTAATATAATCATTTATTAACTAATTAAATGGAATTTTACCGGTCAAATATTTGAATAGAAAATGGGAGGATGAGAGAGAGGAGCGAAAGAGAGAAAGACTAAGTAAACATGTACCCGAAGAACTGAGGGGAAAGTAAGGATATTCCAAGTATGTTTTGCTTAATATCAACCGAGTTTTATTATAAAAACAGAGGTCTACCAAGGAATGATATCTTTAAACATTTAGAGAATTTAATTATATACGAGAATTACGCAAAAGATTTCGACGTAAATCGTTTGATAAAGCCAAGACAGCGTGAAGTCGATGGCGTTGCTGAACTCGCCGTCCTTTCTCAGAGTGTTGCTTCGTATATTTCTCTTTTCGAGCCAAATCATCTCCGTCATTTAACAAGTACTATTCTCACCGATACAACTCGTTGGCTATGCAGATTGTTTCGTTTCGACAATGGGACAGCATACTTTAACGAAGATGAACGTGAATGTTTAGTAAGAATTAGTAGATTAAGCTTATTGAAAAAGTTTCCCTCTCTAACAAGCGATGGATTTGATGCTCTTGTAAATAAACCACCTGTCATTTACATTTCGGCAGCAGCACGTCCAGGGTTGGCTCAATATCTCTGTGCCCAGCTATCTTTACCATTATGGTGCGTTAATACAATCCCCTGTACTAAAAAGGTTGGCGCTCAGAACAAGATGGATATTTCTCTTTTGGAAAAGGCAATTGCCGAAGATCAAAAGGAAAATCGTTGTCCAACTCTTGTGATTTGTTATGCTGGGACCCCACTAATAGGACATGTAGACGATATTGGTAAAATGCAGGATATTTGCTCTAAACACAATATCTGGTTACACGTTGAAGGAGCTAATCTAGCTACTCTTGTACTATATAGTGTCCCGACTTCCATAAACTCTGCAAAAACTGGAGATAGTATCAGCTTGAATTTATCTTCTTGGTTTGGTTTACCGCTAATTCCGCACGTTGTTCTATATAAAGAGCAAGATCCAAATGATTCTCATGCAGCCGGCCTGATTCAAGTTACAAACAAATCAAGATTGTGTTGTCTCGGCTTATGGATGTGTCTCCAAGAAATGGGACACGAAGGTATGGTTGAACGTGTTCAGGGAGCTGTCACATTAGTGAGTCATCATAATTTTTTGATAGTTTTATTATTCATACTAATTTTTATGACACGTCATAATAGGCTAATTACCTTGTTGAAAAATTAAACAAGCTGAAGCAAATACGACATTTGGTAAGGTTTTGTTGTTGTTTTTATTCAAATGGTGATGGTTCTTATTTATTTATTGCGACTATTATACAAAATATAGAGTAAGAGAGCGTCATCCGAAGAGGAGAAGAATGAGATGCCTGACTCGATTGGTGGTGTTGCAAAGCAACTGGTTACTAAGGCAATAAATGCTTTAGTAAGTTGGATTATATGTTTATCTCTCACTAAAAAACGAACAAAACAAACGAAAAACTATTAATTTTTGCTTTAGTATAAATTCACTACAGCCTTTTTATCCTTTAACTTTCATCCCGTAGTTGATTGTTTGATTAATTTCAAAAACGAAACTAGAAACGAACGACATAATAATTTAATAATTTTTTTTAAAAAAAGGTTACATTTGAAATTGAAAATCCAACGGTTGTATTTCAATACTATCCCGATCTGACGTCGTCTAGTAGTGAGAAAGAAGGTATGAACGTTATTTTAATATTTATCAAATATTTATTGATTTTATTTAGTTGAAAAAGGTAAGGAAAAGGAGAGAGAGAGGGAAAAGAAGGAAAAAATTAGGGAAGCAGATAAAGCTAATGATAAAGAAATTAAGAATGCTCTAAAAGAAAATAATGATGACTCAATATCTTATTTACACTCTTTGAATATTTGGCTTGTGGAAACTATTAAGAGAGAGATAGGCAAAGTGTTCCTTTCGGCTGTTGATGTTGAAGCTGCTGGTGCTTGTATCAGATTCGCTCCACTTGAAACGGCTCATGCAATGGGTACAACTACAGGCGATATCGATGCCTTAGTTGCCTGTATAGAACGCCAACTTCCAATATTGAATGCCACCATTGAGATGCGCAAAGAATTTGACAGGGTAGTGTCAACTTATGCGAATTTAAATTTAATTAAGGTTCAAAATTGGGCTGGTTTGGGAGCAGTTCAATATGTTCCTGATGGCTATTTGAATAGGCAGTGGTCTGACGACGATATGAAAAATATTAATACTCTGAATATTGGTTTGGTCCACGAGTTAAAATCTCGTGATACAGCTTTCAGTTTAGGTTTTGACAATCTTCAAACAGCCTGTGTTCGTTTTGGTTTAGTAACAAATGCAACCGATTTGGAGGAATTAGTGGGCTTAGTTGTCTCTAAGGCCAAAGAAGTTGAGGAGGCCAGTAGATATCTAGAAATTATGGCCGATGTTGTTAAGCAAGGCATCGAAAAAGCTGAACTAGAGCTGGTCGAAGAACACCAAAAGAAACTGGCTTCAGAGGGAGTTCTACGACAGGTTCCATTAGTATCGTCTCTAATGAATTGGTGGAGTCCTCCCCCAAAGGAGGGAATGAAGGGAAGAACTTTTCTCCTTAGTTCAGGAAAGATCTTATCGACAGAGCCTATATATAAATATAGAATTCAGGTAAACTTCAATTCAAGCACGATCTATAACGGATAAACAAATAATAATTTTATTTCAAATAGGTAAAAGAGGAGGATGTAAAAGGAGGGGATTCGGAGCACGCTAAATTATATGAAAATAAATCTTCAATTGAAAAAAATGAAACACCGGAGACGAACGTTGCCACTCCGGAAAAGCGGGCAGATACTGTAAAAAAACCTGAATCCGAAACTAGTCCAAAGTAATAGAAGAGAAGATTACGAACAGTATTTAAATGTATACTTGTATTTTCTCTTAGACATTTTCAAGAGTAATCCGAAAATTGATTAAATATTCCACTTGTGACTAACTAATAATAATAATAATAATAATAATCGAGCGCTATAATCATCCTTAATATCAATAGAAACAAAATATTTCATTAATGAAATTTCAAAGTTTTCTTTTTTTTTTTTTTTTTGGTGTCAAGCGATAATGTTACTTTTACTTTTGTTATATTCATGGTACTGTTTTGCTACGGGAATCTTTAATAAACTTTTCATTTCTACTAACAATTGCAACAATTGCTATATTAGTCTGTTTAAATGCTATTTCTAAAATGAATCATTAAATACGATTTGCTAATAATTACAACATTAAATAGTTCGATTAGTTTAAATACGATCTAATTTGTTTTCATTGCGTAAACTTTACCATGAATAAGATAACAAAGACTCAGATCTTTGAGAAGTTTCTCTACTTTTACTTTAGAGGAGTTCCTGCTTGTTTTTATAAATTTACTCTGACTTTGAAAGGTGTCCAAAGAAATACGTATTTATGATATGTTAGTAGTATATTAGTATTACCTAGGAGACGAAGTAACAATTAAAGAGCATTTATTTATTGAACTTGTTCAAATCTAGCTCTTATGTGTTAAAAATTGTCTATTAGAAAAGGCATTCATTATATATTCTTATTAGAATTTCATTTTTTTTAAATCTTCTCTTCCTTTCTCTCATTCAAATCTTCATCTTTAAAATTGATTATAAGAAAGCGCTCTATTAGTTTTCTACTCTTAATTGGAAAAAAGTTTTATCACGTGACATAATATTTTAGAAGAATTAGCGCCCTCTGAATTTCGAATGGCTAAGTTTAGCAATCGTCTATATTCGATAGGAAAATCAATAAAGATTTGACTGATGAGACAGATAAAAATGAATTATAAGTGAATAGTTGACGATTGGTCGAGTTTTGAATAAAAAACTATATCCACATATTTGATATATAATATAAATATATATTAAACTATATATATATTTATATATCAATTGAATTATTAAAGAGGAAAAGACTAGTTTATGCTTCGTCTGTCTAGTTAGTAACAAGTAATATTAAAATCACTACAACACGAACTACAAGTGGATTATGAAGAAGTAAAGCTAGCCATAGTAAGCTTTTTATATTGATTGGATACAAATATCAACTTATAAATGTGCTGCATAAAGTATTTGTTGAGGAGAATAGAGCATGTTTAATTGAATATTGAAATCAAAATGGATAAAGTACACTTAAGTTTAGATTCGACTGATTTGAATAAATTGTACAGACGTTCTATAATTAATCATGAATTGATGATATGTCATGGAAATGATGTTAGCAGGGTAAGATACTATATCTATAATATACATCTATCTTTTCCCTTTCTCTCTTTCTCGCTCCCGCAAAAATATACCCACAGATTTTCTATCTCTTTGTCTTCCCAATATATATCTATATTTAATTACACAACCCTATAGTTTACTTTTTACAGCTTCTTCCTCCAATACCCATACGAAGGCAAAGGAGCAATTTAGGTTAGTTTTTAAGTGTACGAAGGACTTTATTGAAAATGAATAAAAGCGAAAAAATATTGACTTTGACTACCGCGTTTATTCTTTTATGAAAGGCCTATAAATTCTAATCTTTTCACCACATAACAGCGGAGGCTTGGCTCTGTTCTAATCCGGCTATAAGGCAATTAGGCGACGTAAGCTTTAAATTTTCAATTAGATTAATTCTTTCCTCCATTAAAAAAAGGACTTTGAGGCCTTTGAAATTTATACAGTATTATTTTGATTTATAATATTTCAGTTAAATAGAAGAGGACCTCGTCTGGAAGTGCTTCCCGGAACTTTATATAATAGAACGAAACCACAATCGTACCAACTTCGTCGACCTCATACCTCCTATGCAGATTTTGTTTGTGGTATATTCAACGCAAAAACAGATGAATATAGACCTCATACTACCGGTGGTGAAATGGAAAGTAAATTCCTTCAAGCCCTCCAAGAGCCACCCGACTCGGATAAATATATCATACAACCAACCTCCTTAAAAAAACCTGGTAAGCTCTTTGCTTTAATTTTTTGGAGATCCATCATTCTAGTTTTTTATTATTAATGTTCTCTTTTGAATATAATTCCTATTGTCTAGCAATACCAAGAGTTACATTTGCGTCGCATTCGAAGAGTGACGACGACGATGACAGTGTCGATTACGATGGAGCATCAATCAGCGAATATGCTAGTATGACGTCTAGCTCTGCTAGCGTTCCCAATCAGGGACAACAAACGTCTAATTTAATGAGAAAGCCTAGACTTGCGTTAACTTCAACAGTCCGAAAAAAGAAGCATAAATCTAGATGTAGGCGGCTAGAATATTCAATTGTTTAGATTAAATTATTCATATTGTATATCAATTATAAATATAGCAAAAAGGGGAAGAGCTCTCTCCGTCAATAGTAAACAAGCGGCCAATATCATGAGAGTAATCAAAGGCGATTTGAACGACGTACCCAACGATGTATCAACCACCGTTAGATTATTTATTGCAGCTACCGGTTCCGGTATGATTATATAACATCAACGCTGGAATAATTCATGATAAAGATTTATTTTATAACTTTTTTTAGATATGGGAGCTGAAAGATCTATTTTAACCGATTCGATTTATCCTGAATTATTAGAGTACTGCAATGAACAGCAATTACATTTAGAGTTAATTGATATAAGAAGTAATTTGACTGAAGAATCAACAATCAAATTAATAACTAGTGATTTATTGTTAAATGAAATTGAAAAGTGTAAAAGACAATCGGCTGGCCCTTATTTTGTTGTTAGTATTATTAATTTTATTACTGCTTATCGTGCCTTTTTACATCTTGTACAAGATAATTTATCTTATCTTTTCCTCTTTCTTTGATTCTTTCTCTTTTCCTTTTAATAGGCTTTGATTGGGGATCGCTATGGTAACCCTCCGGTTAGGTCTTCCGTTGAGAAATCTCATATGGAAGCCCTACTATCCCTTGAGGAATTGGGTGATGATGTTTCTATCTTAAAGGAAAGCTACGATCTGAATGAGAATGTTATACCTCCTCGTTATGAATTAAAAGTGGATATTTTTTATTTACTATCACTGTTATAGGTCTATTAAATATTTTACTCTTTATCTCTTTTATCAGGAGAATGTCGATAAGGATTTAAGTAGAATTAAAACTTTAACAGACAAACTACGCCATCTAGTAGAGATGGCTTTGAAAAAGAAAAAATTGACTACGGAAGAGTTTAACTCCTTAAATCAATCAGTATTAGAAATGGCAGTATCGCAAGTTGTTTATGATGAACCATCGGCCAAAGATAGATCTCTCTGCTATATTAGGCAAATAACGGATTTAAAGGAAAGTTTAATAGGCTCCCGGAAAGCTTTTAAATATACGGATGTAACAATGGTAAATGGTTCCTTATCGTCAGATAAGAGAGTTGAGGCGAAAAGAAACGATATGGTTGAGAAAATTGCAGAGTCAATGAAAGATGTTGATAATTTTAGACAATACGAAATAGTATGGAAAGAAGATGAAATTTTTCAAAGTCAAAACGAAGAGATTGTCAATTATAGGCAAAGATTCAAAGATGATTTTCTTAAGGATATGAAGAATCTTATTCAAAAACCAACTGATCAAAAATCAATAACGACCCATAAACATTTTAAAATTTATAACGAAGCCCTTCAACATTGCAGACTGGCTGGTAGCTATTCAAGAGGCTTCGGAGGAAGGGATCAACTTATGGAAGATATTGAAAACTATTTAAATAATCAGGAATTATATAAATACCCATTAATCATTGACGGTGGTAAACTCTCAGGAAAATCTTCCGTACTAGCCGAGTCTGCCAAAAGAGCTGGAGATAATAGTAGTGGAGTTGTTATAGTTAGATTCATCAACTATACATTAGAAAGCAGCTCTCTAAAATCTCTGCTAATCAGTATTATTAATCAAATATGCGTTGCTTACAATCTGCAAAGTTCCGAAGAGTTCCAGACAATTAATTCAATAAGATATCAGTTTAACTCCCTTTTATCACAAATCAGTAAGTGGAATTCTCAAGAATGCCCACTATTTATATTTATCGATTCTCCTGATCTTATAAGTGAATCTATTAAATGGATTCCGTTGATACTTCCAGACAGGATTCGACTTATTATAGCTTGTACTTCAAATAATTTTAAAAAGAAACTTATTCAAACTTTACCTCCAAGTTCCTTTGTTACCGTTCCTTTGAATTTATCGGAAGATGATATTTCATCAATGGTTGATAATTCCCTAAGAGATTTTGATAAGAAATTAACAGAAGATCAAAAGAGTAAATTAATTAAAGGTTGCATTGAAAATGAAGGTCCTTTCTACGTTAAACTACAAATAATGGATTCTTTTAGATGGATATCTACGGCTAATCAATCAACTGGTCTTTTATTTAAAACGATTAAAGACGCCACAGTAAAATTGTATTCAAATTTTGAAAGGCAATACGGCAGATCGTTAACTAATAGAGTATTTCAATTTCTAATCGCCTCCTCGAATATCGGATTAAGTATTACTGAATTACAAGATGGATTAACAAGATCCGATTCCGTACTAGAGGAGATCTATGGAGGTGTTCCAATAACTCATGCAGATGGAACAATTCAATTTCCATTAATCTATCTTATAAGACTTCTCAATGAACTCGACGATATTGTTTTACAAAGGGTAAATAGATGCAAAACTGCAATTTACATTTTCACTCATCAAATATTCATCGATATTGGAAAAAACCGTTACCTACCGACTGATTCTCAACTGCAAAATACCGCAACAGTATTATACGAAAATTTAGTCAATGATAGTACTACTATCATTCAATCCCTAAAATATTCCTCTATTAACATCGAGAAGGCTAAGCGTAGAGTTTCGCCTCAAGTTCGTAACGTTAGGTATTTGATTGCTTTGCCAACTTTCATCTCCTCCTCTGGTAGAGGAATACAAGAGTTGAAAAAGCATTGCCTATATAATCTTAGCTGGTTAGAAGAGAGTTTGAAAGAATTTGGCTATGATATCGTTCTTAATATGATAAATAAAATGGATATTTATTCGGACGAGGAGATAGGTCTATTAGAACGTTTTCTTGAGATAGCGCATACAGCTTTAAAGAAGAATTCTACTGATATTCGCCCACAGCTTATTGGACTGTTCAAAGATAGTAGAATATTGGAGTTTTATCCGAACCTAAAGAAGATTATTAATGAAACGTTGAACGAGTATGATTCTACTCCCAAAGCCAGTGTTGTACCCACAACAACATGTTTCCATCCTCCAGCATCTCCTTTACACTCGTACTTATATACCGTTACGGATATTCTTGGGAAACACGACCAACACCTTACTGTCGTCTACAAAGATAATTCGGTTGGAACATATGACTTACGCGAAAATGAAAGTGTAGATCCATTGAATGTTCGCTTCGATAAAACATCTAGAAATGTCTTTACAAGCTTCAATAGAAGTTTCGTTATGACGTCTAATCGTCGGTTAAAACTATTCGACGCCGAAACGTTAAAACTTATCCACGATGTTAATGGTGAAGATTTACTAAGTGAGAGTATCACCAGCGTCGATATTATGGGATTTAGCGACGATTTTGAATTGGTTATTTTGCACGGCTCAGATGATGATTTCAATCAATCTATACATTTAATTGAATTGGAGAAAGGAACAATTTGTGCAAAATTCTCTCAGTACGACGTTAAAGATGAATTCTACATGGATAGCGCGTGTATCATGAACGATAAGAACATCGTAGTCTGGCTTGTAGGAAGGACAACGGAAATTGAGGAAGGCGTTAACGTTGATATTAAAACCCTTTTTATCTATGATATCCAATCGAAGAAATATATAAATAAGCTGCAATTGGGCCATCGCAGATTGGAAATACTTACAAAATACGATGAAAACTTATGTATTATTGTTTGGAAGGATGATAGTATAACTGTAGTAGATGCTAAAAATGGTACTAAAGTCAATGAAGTTACCCTAACTGAAAAGAATGAAGTACGCGAAAGTTGCCTAATCAAACCAGCTATCCGCACACTCAGTTCAAACGACACTAATGGATTCGTAACCGAATGGATAGTTAACAAGCAAACTACTCAATCAATACTTAAATTCAATTGCTCTAAAGAAGAAACACCCAAATATTTCAAGCAGTTCCATCATTTTATCATTGTTGCATTCGAGGAAACTTCTAAGATGATTCTATTTGATCTCACTAAAGATGGAAATCAAGTTTTTTCAATATACGCCCACTCAAAGCCATTAAAGAATGTTTTCAATGGCGAAAATGGAATTATATTTACTTGTTGTCAAAATGAAGGCGTTACTATAAAATGGGATTTTTCTGGTTATATTTATGAAAAGGCCTATATTCAACAAAGAGGTCTGCTCTCTGATTATTTACGAATAGTTAGTTATAGAATAAAATAGTCACTTGTTTTCGTTTTCTTAGATGAAGCGAAGCGCTGTGAAGAAGAAACCGTTGAGAATGTTCACACTTTGGGCGTCAGTAACGTTATCTTATCTTCGGATAGTCGTTTCTGTGTTGCTGGACATTATTCAGCACCACCTAGTTTATGGTCTTGCGAAGAAGGTTTGTTTTAGCATTTAATCTTGATAGTAATTCTGGCTTTTTTGTAAAAGTAAATGTTTTCTCAATTTTCCTTTTATTTCCATTTCCACTCTGAAAAATGATAAGCTCTTCTCTTATCTCAATTCTCTCCATACAATCCCTTAGATATGAGGTAAATTGAAAGCCATCGCACTCATCGTTGAGTACTGACATGCGTCCAGAGGTGGTTGGCGTTGAAATGCTGGGTAAATTAACTGGCATAGGACCAATCGACTTTCTCTTTAACTTATCTTTTTCAAGTAATTTTTTTGCGCAGTTTACCCGTTTAGTTTCACTTTTTGGTCTGATTTGCTCGATTTCGTCTACCGCCATATCCTTACAGTATCCAATAGCTCTGAGGTGTTCCTGCTCTCTTAATCGTTTTACGCAAAAGCATCGTAATCTATGAGAGCTATAATTTTTAGATATTCTACTAAAGTTATGCATTCCTTTCATTCTCTTGAGAACTCTTACTGATAAATTATTATTTTGGCTTGCGTCCCTTTCACCTTCTTCTCTCTCTCTTATTTTCAAATTAATTCCCTTTTGGTAAGTTGATGGTGTTATTCCGGAATTTTTGGAATTTATTGAATAGATTTCGCCTGATGTTGAAGGTCGATGATAGAACGATGAGCCTAGTTTTACGGCTTCGTCGAGTATTTCACTCCAATCGTGATACATCTCCTTCATTCCAATGGATTTGTTTTTTGTCTTAATGTACAATTCGGCTTTATTCAAAAGTGATAGCTTTTTCATTTTGGACAAAGAATTCGTTAAAGATTGCTCCGGTGAATGATTTTTATGATTTTCCTTCTTTCTATACGATGTTAGAGAAGATTTGATAAGTCTTGGTACAACTTGACTTTCGAAGACTAAACTCGAATGTTTCCCTAAAGGTATTGAATCAGTAGGATCTTTTGGTGGACTGCATACGTGTTCATTGATTTCATTATCGTCCAAAACTAACCATTCTTTAATTGGAAAATGATATTGATATTTTTCTTCATCCTGTTCTTCAATTCTTCTGTAATGGTACCTCTTAGAGAAGACAACATTGTTCTGAACGAGATTTGAATCCATCCAATCGCTTCCTTTCAATTAATAGAAAAGAATATTAGTTAGAGAGAAGAGAAAGATTCAAAATGGGAGTACTTACTTGAACTTTTGTAGGATCCTGAAAATGTATCTTCTTTATCTGAATCAGATATGATAGATTCCTCTAAATCGTTAAGATTTACTTTTTCATACTCTGAAGCCGTGCATTGGAAACCCACCCTCCTTATATCTTCGTCCAATGAATGTTGATCCTTATCATAAAATGTTAAAACCACTTTCATATACTCGTGAACCTGCCTATTTAACTATGAAAAAGATGAAAAAAAAACCCATTAGGTGTCGCTAAAAGTCTAATTCTTTATAACTTTTTACCTTTTCACCGAAGCTGTATCTATCCCTTTTCTTAGAATGAGCTAATCCAAGGGCAGTTCGACTATCAGATATAATATCCTTCCTTCTCTTCAATTGCGATATTCCATCATCAATAGATCTAAATATTCCGCTTCCCTGAAATACTCGAATACTGCAACCTTCTGCCAAATCGTATAGTCGTTCAAAGAACGTATCAATCGTCAGAAATTCAATATTTGTTAATAAAAGGATATCGGATGGTTCGTAAAGAACTGGTTCATTATCATTTTTATTATTCTTCTCCTCTATTTGATGAATTAAATCCGTTTTAGGCAGATAAGATCTCGAAGATTCATATTGATCTCTAAAGAATGCTACTCTCCCTTTAATATCACCTCTGATAAATGTTAAACATCTTAATAATAGATTTCTCTTCTGATTTAAAAACCAATCATTTTCTCTCATTGCAAGCTTGAATCGAAATTTAAATTTCGAATGTGTAAATAATCAGCCTTCATTAATTAAAAAGAGTAAACTTAGAATTAAGGTAGGCCTAATTTAAATAGATTGGCCTTTTCCAGGTCTATATGTAAAGAGTTTTCAAAAGCATAACGAGCCCATTGACAAAGGAACAGAGTGGATAACCTTGGCAGTTTCCGACCAATATTTAGTAGGTCTAACTACTAATGAGAGAACAAAATCTAAATATCCGCACAACTATATGTATCAGGTAAATGGACAGTTTTTTTTAAAAGTAAAGCTAAAATATCTTGCTATTAATGCTATTGGATACTTTTATAGGTTTGGAAATTTCCTTCCGGCGAACCAATTAGCCGTGAAGAGGACATCTTTGCAACAAGTTGCGTTCTAACGCCAGAGAAAGAGAGGGTAATAGTATCATCTTCAAACACTCATGCAGAGGCGATTTTTCAAGTAATCTTAGTTTCAACTGGAGAAATTCTAAAGAAGTTTTGTCTAAAAACTCACGCGATCATTACCGAAATGCAATTAACCGCCGATGGCCTATCAATTGTAGGACGTAATCAACCGGAAAAGAAAGCTTCAAATTATTCATATATATCCTTTAAATATGGTCAGAATTCTTTTAACGCCTACGATTTCCTTAGAGGTCAATCGTACGATTCATATTCACCAACTTCTACAATCGTTCTAAAGAACGGCTTAGCTGCGTCTACAGGACTAAATGGGGATATTCAATTGTGGGACGTTTCTACGTGCGAATACGAAGGTAATCTATGCGAAGATGAAACAGTTAAGGATACAAGAAATCCATCATTACACAATCACGAAGGATCGCTAATAAACTGCATGAAACATTCCGACGATGGAAAATATTTAATATGTGGTGCGTCTAATGGTGGTGTATCGTGTTGGGATTTGGATAACGATGCTCTCTTATACTCTATCAACGCACATAAACCAAATTCAGTTCGCTGTGTTGCGGTCAGTAGCGATAGCCAAGTTATAGTCACTGCTGGTAGTGATTTTATAGTAAAAGTATGGTCTCTCTCCAAACCCGATAAACCAATTTGTACAACATTTATTCATTACTTACCAAACGATTTAATAATCAGTAAAGATCGGCAACAAATGGTAATAATTGGTCAACATGCCTACCAATCAAATCGTTTAATGTTGTTTCGTTTAAGAAACACCTAAAATAACAATATTCTTCCTTTTATGATCCCTATCTTCCTTATCATTAAACCTTTTTCTTATCTATTACAGATTATTATTTTAATAGAAATAACTTTTATTATAAGCAAAAAAAATGTGTTATATATGTATTTCCTTTGTTTTTTTTTTCTTACTCTAATTCTCCGAATGACAAACTAAGACAAAACTCTGTTGTTATTTTTTTTAAGTTTTTTCATCATAAACATAAAATATTAATTAAATTTATAATTAAAAAAAAAACAAGAAGCATCTGCATTAAAAGACCAAAAACTGACTTTCAATGTAATAATTTAAAGATACAACTAGATTTTGGTTCCTAGACGATGTGTACAATACAGCAAATTTTTGTTATACTTGTACAATGCATACTGTACAAGATCAGACGCTTAACAAGGGGAAAATAAAAAAAAAAACAATAAGTTTCCGCATATTCTAATTAGTTCTGAATATTAATTACAATGTGGAGGATACTGAAAAGAAAACCTATATTTCCATTGAGGTTAATAAAAATTTAATGAATAGGGAAGAGAAAGTTTTTTTGATCATTTAGTTTACACAGCAACTCTTCCAACAGTTTTGTTGCATCTTTAAATACAGATTAGGATCTGTAGCTTTACAATCCGCGATATAATAGGTACAAATGGAGGGGTAATATATATCATCCTTAGCCGGGATCGTCTCGCACCAGGCAGGTCTTGCTTTCTCTGTTTTAAGTTTAATATAAATGACAAATACAAATTAAAATAAATCCTTTCTTACTTGATATCTCGCAATTCTTTCCAGTAAAGTCAGATGTACATTGACATTTGTTATCCAAGCATAAACCTCCGTTTTGACAGTCTGTATTTGATGTACAATCTGGGTCGGCAACTAAAAAAATAAAAGTTTAATATTCAGTTGTTTAAAATGAACGAAAAATAGATTAAGCATATTATCGCTTACCTTGACATTTATCTCCAGAGTATCCGCTGAAACAATCGCATCTTACTCCATTAACGCAATTTCCATTGTTGTTACAATCTTCATTTCTTCTGCAGAATTCTTGTACTCGGGCTTAAAATGAGAATTTTATCATGTTTACCAGACTAAACACATAGTTATAACTGTAGAGTTTGAATGCTTACTTTCGCATACGTTGCCCGACCAACCAGTATTACAGCTGCAACTACCATCGGTTCTGCAAGTACCACGCCCGTTGCAGTCGTCAGCTTCGTTGAAACAATATCTATCTGAAAACAATTGAATAATATTTTTGGATTGAATAGAAAGGGAATAAGTAGATATTTATATTGAGTCTTACTAGATTCGCATCTGATTCCCTGATATCCTCTATCACATTGGCATTCACTTCCTTGTTGAGTATTGACACAGTTTCCTCTATTATTACAATCACTTCTTGTTTCACAGATTCTAACTCCAGTTGCTTGAAGTTAAAGAATTATGATAATTAAAAATATGTTAATTATATTCGATTAAATGAATATTTATTACTTCTTTCGCAAAAGTTTCCTGTAAATCCACTGTCACATTCGCATATGGAATTTCGGCAAGTTCCTCTATTACTACAATCGCTTCTACTTTGGCAGAAACGCTCTAGAATATTATTATATAATTATCATTCTTTTTATATGAAGTTAAAAATTAATATTCAATTTTCAATTACGAGTATCGCAGTTAATTCCGCTCCATGTACTATCGCAAACACACACGTTATTTCTGCAAGTTCCATGTCTGCTACAATCAATTGAATCTCTGCAAGCAAAATCTAAAAGAAAGTTGAAGAAATGTATTTAAAGAATATTGTATAATTAGTTATATTACTTTGGCATCGATTTCCACTGAATCCAGATGTACAAACGCAATTTCCAGATATACATGTTCCTCTATTACTGCAGTCTGCAGTATTCCTGCAAGTGAATGTTTCTAAAGGAAAAAATAGAATTTAATACCAAGCATCTTTTGAATAATATCATTTACCAGTTTGACAGTTGTTGCCTGTAAAGCCACTTCGACATTCGCAAAAACCGTTACCGCATGTACCACCATTACGACAATCTCCATTAAGTGTACAATAAATTCCTCTATTACACGTAAGTCCACCCCATCCTGGAACTGTGCAATCGCATCTTCCACTATTACAATTTCCTCTGTTATTACAGTCTTGTCTACTTCTGCAAACGTTGCTTACAGCTTTTGAAGAATTGGTACGGTCATTTAATGTATTAGATTATTTTTAAGAGGTAAAAAACTTTACTTTGGCTACAGTCGAATCCATCGTATGGTGGGTTACACCAGCAAGTTCCCTTCGAGCATTCGCCACGATTACTACAGTCAGCTCTAGTTTGACACCTAATTTGGTCTATTTAAAAGAATGTCGGCGAAGGAGAATTAAAATATTTTAATATATCTATTTTAAGTAATTCGCCTTACAAGGTTCGTTACACCTAAATCCACCGTATCCAGTATTACAAATACAATAGCCTTCGTGGCATCGTCCATTATTGCAATCACTGTTTCCATTACAACGGAAGGGAAGAACTAATTTTTTAAAAGAGTGCCATTTTTCATAAGTAAAATATATCTGCGAACTTTGAGTATGATTTTTAAAACTTACCCCAATTTTGGCATCTATTTCCACTCCAGTACAGTTTGTTACAAATGCAATTTCCGGTTAAAGAATCGCATGTACCTCGGCCATTACAGTTCACATTCTCACATAATCTAAAACCTTGGCTCCCTACGAAAATTCACTTTTATAGTATTATTGATTTACTCGAAAGTTATAAGTACAAACTGGTTTCACATCTTGTTCCTTCCCATCCAGTTGAGCACTGGCAAGTTCCAGTTTCAGTCTTACAGAACCCTCTGTTATTACAATTGTTTCCACGGCAAGGATTTCCATCTAAATTTGGTAGTCAGGATTGAGTAGGTCATTACAAGATGACTATCTCTTACCTCTTTCACAATGAACTCCCCAATAATTAATATTGGAACATTTACATCTGTAAGATTCGCCTTGATAGATGCAGCTACCTCTATTTCCGCAAGGATTATTGCGACAAGGATCAGTGCTTGTTCGACGAGCTTCACATAGTGAACCCATCCAACCATTGTTACAGACACATCTGTATGATGTCTCCGAACCTAGTTCCCTTCTACACCACCCTGAGTGTTGGCATGGGTTCGGATCGCACGGATTCACAGGTTCTCTCCCATTTTGACAAGTAGATCCACTAAACCCAGGAGCGCATCTACAAGACGCTCTGGTTCTAGTTGAATCTAGAACACACCATCCGCCGTTCAAACAACGAAAAGTTTCACAAGGTCCTCTGCCTTTTAAATTAAGAAGAAAAAGGAGTTTGTAGATTCATATTTGAGTAGTTAAATACTTTCTATAGAAGCGGTATTGATAGAACCAAGCAATGAATGACTATTTAATACGCCTACGCATTATTAATAATGATACTAAAAATAAAGGAATCTGTGATTTACGATAAAACGTTCTACAGAGGGTGATCGTGACATTTATGAGCGCCATCTACGATTCTATTGACAAGAAAGTTGTAAGTTTTAAGTACTTGAAGTGTTCAGCCTATTTGACTGTTCACTCCGAAATGCTATATAATTTCGTAAATATACTAATATATATACAGAATATACATATATTTCCTATAACTGGACGCCCTTCTTGACGCTCTCTTTCTTGTCTTTTAGTTTACAATGTCCTGTCACAAAAGAATCGGTTTTATTATAAAGGACAACCATTGTGCTCCCTTCCACCCCCTACCCGCCCCCCGTCCTCTCACCAGGCTATGAGCTCAAAGACTTATGTAAGCCGTAATCTTATAACGAAGATTCATATGCAAAAAGCCTATATATATTCTCGTTTCATTCTAAATCAATTTAGCCAAAGGTAGCGGCGTTACCTTATTCGTTCTTATTGAAAGCAAGTTTTTTTTCTATTCAATTGAAATAATTCAGACTTTAACATCGCTTTTCTTTTGACTCTTACCTTGCTCTATAGAGATATCGACCAGAGCGAAAATACAGACAACGAAAGCCGCCGGTTTAAGCATGTTTTTTCTGTAAAGAAAAGAAAAAAATGGGCCCCCCTTGTAATATTAATTTAAATATATAGATAGATAGATAGTCATTCTACACATATTTACACAAACGAATATTTCTTGAAGAAATAGCTTAGTAACAAAAAAAGTAAAACAATTCCTTTCTGCTGAAAAAACTTAATTATCATATTAAAAAGAAAGACCTACCGATAGTTTGGAATAAGAAAGAGTAGAAAATGGCTCAACAGGTTGTTAAGGGCGAGTCCTTAAGTTTTTCGTCAACTTTTTTTTTCACGGTCAACTTCAGTCACTCTTTAAGAAAAATAAAGTTAAGTTCACCAACTCTCGTTCATCTACCTAACTATTATATTTAATCTATGTTTCCTATTTTTTCATATTCTCATACCGTCTATGTTAACGCCCGGGATAATAAACGAATTTTAGTACGAACTGTATAATATATATAAAATAAATACCTATTCTTCCAACGCACCACTGTGCATACCCGGGCCGTGGCGGCTTTACAATAAAGTATTTAAGAGTGGGACGAGATAGGCCGAATTAGTCTTTCTTTCTCTCTAGTCAACCTTAACCTTACTGTCTATCCCCGTCTTTTTCTCTTGTTCAATTTATACAAGTCAATATAACCCGCATATCAGAGAAAATAAATAGAAAACTAATTAATAAGAATAGTATAGCAAGTACCTTGTAAGATGCTATTAATTCTATTGTTCACTTGTTCTTGATACTAAGTTATAAATTAAGTAGTTTTCAATGAATTAAACATACCAATATCATCGTCTATTGATTAAAAAAAACTCTTTTGTAAAGTGATTTTACTATAATAGGAATAGGATTTATGATTGAATAAAGCCGATTGAATTTCTGAACAAAACTATATACTAATGTAATAAATCATTTTCAGCGTATTTCATCCATGCTATCTCCTCTATAGGAAAGATTTTTAACTTTATTTTTTTTTGCAGGTAGTACTAAAAAAGGCTTATTCAACAAACCAGTCTTTTACAGTTAACAAGATACAATGCAAGTTAATAATAACTCTTAATGATTTTTTAATAAGCGTTTTTAAGCCACAATATTAACACTTTACATTGTCTTGTTCTTATCACATATTGAATTCTGAAAATTCAATATTTTATCAGCATTAACACTGTCGGCTTAGTATGAATGGTAAAATTTATAAATGAATAATTAACATTTATTCACAAACAACAGGAAAAGAAGAGAAGTAATTAGCTGTACAAAAAAAAGGATTGTTGTCTAATTTCATTAGTTAAAAAGAAATAGGTCGATTTAAAGTTCTTATTATTTGTACATGTAATAATCAAATAATTGCCTAATAATACAAATAGTGAAATCATCAAAAATTCACGAACAAACTGTAACACGCTGCATTGTATTAAGTTTTCATCGAAATTTGAATCACAGGTAAACGATAGCGTTAATTTGTCTTGACTAAATAACATCAAGCTGCGAAACAATTTATATGCATTTCCACTTTTTAAGTCTTCAAGTATATGGTTTTTTTTGTGTAAATAAGCTACAACTTTGGCTTTTTATTAGAGGATTCTTGCATTTCTAAGCGTTTAAGCTTCCCTGTCATTCGAATTCCAAAGCGTCCGCCTCTGAAAAAGACCAAAAACATTTTATTAGATATAAAATTTTGGCTTTTGAACAAATTACTTACGGATGTGCTGTTCTTCGTTTACACGATTCAAAAGTGCTCATTTTAACGCACTTCATTTCGAGATCTTCATCACTTTCATCTGACGACGATGAAGATGACGACGAAGATGATGATGATGATGATGATGTAGAATCCAGCTTATTCTCAAGCTTTTTCATACCACCATCTACCAGTGTTCCAGACTATGTGAACAAAAGATTTATTGTTATGCATAGCTGAACATATAAACGAATATCAACCTTTCTGAATCGACCATAAAGCAACTCCTTTGATGCATATGTGTTTTTAGTCTCTTTTGTATTTGATTTTTTAATACTGACGGCTGCCTAGGATAAGTAGCAAATTGATATAAAGAAATAGATTGTTTATTAATGTTAGCTTACTTTTTCATTTTCAACTTCAATTTTATTAGCAGTAGAGTTATATAGATGATCCCACCAGTGAATTTTGAACTCTTTTCCTCGATCATGACCTACCTATATATTACAGAAAGTATTTTTGTTATGTATATTACAGTATAAATACAAAATTTAGTTGCTTACTCGTCATATATTACAGAGAATAAATAAAAGTATTTATGTAGTTAGATATAAAAAATAAACTCACTCCAGTATTATCTCTTTTTAAATTGACTTTAATAGCCTCTCTCATTCCATTTCGTCTTTTTCCAAGACCAGTTCCTGTGTGAAATTATCGCTCAATGTATTTTTTTTATTTTAAAGAGTAGACGCCTTTATATTGTATTAGAACTATTAAAGCTTCCAATTTTAAAAGCAACTTAATATTTCTTGTTGACAATTTTTACCTTTCTTCCATCCATATCTCTCCAATTGACGCTTGCCAAAATCCATAACAGAAAAAGCGTGAGTGTACTGATGGAATATCGTAATAGGACACTGCACTATAATTTTGAATAAAATTCGATTTGGTTAAAATGCCCGCACAAAAAGAAAGTAAATAGTTTTTCAATAATAGTTTAACAATCATTGTATACAATCATGTATATTTATATATAGACAATATGAATATTGGCTCTCTTATTTACTTTTAGTTGTAATGTCAAATTGAGTTCGTTACTAATTAGCTTTTGAAGAACACGGCTATTTTAGAAAAGTTCAAATATAACACTGTATACACTATTTATAAGCATATTTTATCTAACTTAAATAATTAAAGAATAGTAGGCTTAATTCTTTTATTAATATAACCTAAATTATAAAGTTTTAAAAGAATAGAATAATAAATTCTATCATTTCGTTTAAAGTTGAATGTTAATTAGAATATTATCCAAAGTTGAATTAATTAAATTAATTAGAAGATATTATTGAAGTATACTAATAGAATATTTGAGCAGTATACTATAGGTCTGTTACTAGGACATACAACAATAAAATTAAGAACAAATACTTATTTGAAAAAATAAGATTTTAATTCAGTTTAAATTGTCTTTAATATAATCTTTTAGCAAATTTTTAAGTTTTAATAATATATTATTACAATATAACACTGTCTTGGTAATAAAAATGGAATTACGCAATATTATCCTTCTCCATCGTAAATTTTAAGGTTTTATTCGTAGTTATGTCTCATCTACTTGATCTTTTAACAAAATTTTCGATAATAGCACATTCTCTACGCTTATTTAGTCAATTTGAAAGAAATACTTTGGCTTCTTCCAAGTATACGAGGCCACTCATACAAGTCAAAGTTCTACCTATTCATTTCGTTTGTTAGAGCATTTTTATATGTAAGCTTAATACGTTCTCGGACGTTCCATCTAAAAGCCATATTTATTAAAATTAAAGAAATTATTGTTTTGACCTTAAATATTTTGGAAAGGTCATTTTTTCCGAAATTTGCGTGATTTGATGTCACGTAGACAATTTGATTTTTAGCCAATCACTAATCTAATTAGTTGAGTAATGTCTGGGTATCTTATAAAATGGGAGGCGAAATCGTGCTTTGTTAGAAAGCGATTGAGCATCGAAAGTGTAAGTTTTATTACAAAGTATATGAATATAACAAAAGTAAATTTGTAAATGTTTTTAGTTCTCTGCAAAGATCCATATGGTAGCGAAGATACTTTCACGTCCACTATGAAGTCAGTAGAGGCGGGGTCGCGACTGGTCAGCTCTATTGAACGTAAGTCAATTATCTAGTTATCCGTATTTCAGTATATCTAAATGTCTTTTTTTACAGTTCCGGCCTTTCAATACTTGAAAGGATGCTCAAAGATTCGACAACGACTTGACTTTGCTTGACAGATACCGCACTTTTTGGTAAGTTACCGATTAATAATTTTATTTTTCACATATACTAATTTTAGATTAATTTTCAGATCTTCTTGCATTGTTAAAGTCGACACTGCGAACTACATACTTTGAATAAGAAACTGCTTTCTCATTTCGTCGAATTTGTCTTGTTCCTTGTGATGCATCAATATAGATTCCACTGCTAAAAAGTACAGTTCGCACCAAAAAATCCGTGTCTTTCACGTTTTTGCATGTTGTTGGACAATGTTGCGCTAATATCTGCTGACTTGTGACCCGTTGGACACAGTAACAGATAGCGAGTAAGGTATTTGGGTAAATCCTTGCTAGCAACCAAAGGTTTTGTTCAGCCTCGAACTGATCTGAACACTCTACGTCGTATCAAATACAGCACGGCACAAATTTCTTCTTTTTCCTGTTGAGCATTGGTCACTGCCGGCGACGTTGTTTACTCAATAGTGGTACCAGAGTTCCAGCCTTTGCTGCCGAAACTTATTTGCGTATACTAGAGATATTCTTTGTTGTTGTCCTTCAATATTGTTCTTGTTTTGTTATTTCCACTTATTCAAGTTAGCTTTTCAGCTACATTTGAACACTTCAATAAATTATTTTTTGACCAGAAAATATTGTTTCTTTTTACCGAACCGCTACGTTGTTTAGAGGCTTAGTGTTTACATAATTTTGTGCGCGATTGCAAAAATTTCAATATAGGAGCGCGTAAATACCTTAGCCATGCGGCAAATAAATCGATATGTATTGGTATTGCTATAACAACTCCATGGTTTTTTTTAATAGGTAAAAATGACTGAAACTGAAGATTCTAAAAGGAAGAAATCAAAAAATGGTAGAAAAAAGCGTTCAAATGCAAAACTAAATGTTTCAGAAAGTGACGAAAATAACAAACTTTCGGATGGCTTAGAAAAAACATTGTAAGTGGCTAAATGAAGTCGAAGCTCAAACTCTAAAATATAATTTTCTATCAGTACTATATCTCCAAAAAGAAAATCTCTTACGTCAAAGGCTAATGCCATCGTAGCTATTACAAACGCCAAAACTGGGGGAAACAAATGGCAACATTATACAAAAACCAGAAGATTAGTGTCTTTGGGTAAAGATAAAAAGTTTTTAATTATCATTATACACTGTTTTAGCTTTATTAATTTAAAATTTTGTTTCAGATGGCGGTAAGGATAAAACTTTTCTATCTTTCTTAATCAAGCTATAAAAGTTACTGACAATAATTATCTGTAGAATGATTCAAAAAAGCTATACAAGCACTTTCAATAGGATAAAAACGTTCAAAACACTCTTTAATAATTTTTGAAAATGTTTTTATATCTTTCTTTTGTTTTTACTACATATTTTGTATATAAACATTTGACAGATTCTGATGACGCTTTGGGTAAATGATTAATATCTTTTTTTCACTTAACAGTGTGCCTGCTTCTGCATTTTATCACTATAAACAAAGAATCTATCTATCTATCTATAAATATATATATATATACTGTATATATATAAATTTATATATATTAGTATATACTGATATAATAGAAGTCTAGGGATCTTGTTTATTGTAAACTCTCTGAAAGCATGCTTCATTATTTCTCATACATTTGCATATAGTTTTAATAATTCAATGAAAAGAAATGTACATATATATATATATACTTTCTTGTAGAGACTTTGATTTAAGGTTTGGTTTGTTTTCTGGAAAAAAAGCACTTTAAGTCAATTTGAATCATTATTTAAAGACTTTTAGCTTCCTGCTCTCTGATTGACAATTTCATCTTGTGCTAAATATTGTAATTTTTTAACTTAACAGACAAAGTAGATAGGAGAAAAACGGGAGGTCAAGGTCTTGTGATTGATTTACAACAGGATGAAAACAGATCCGAAGATGCAGTTGATGGTAAAATGCGAACTTCGGAGTAAATACTTTAGTAACGAAATAAAAAAGAGATATTTATGCTAACACTACTTATTATCCGAATAGAATCAAATATCGTAAAGGACAAAATCGTCTCTTGATAGAACATTTTGCTCAAGCTAGCAAACATCCACATCAAAATGATGCAGTTGATTTTGATTTTATTGAAAAACTATTACAAAACGGGGCTGATATTAATTGCGCAGATAAATATGGCCAAACAGTATTACATGAAGTTGCAAGAGTATGGCATATTGATGTTGCTAAATTCCTCTTGGAGAATGGTGCCGATATTGACAGAGGTGATAACTATGGTAGAACACCTCTTCATATTTCCGCTGCAGTTGATTATACCGAAATGGTCAACTTTCTTATAATGGAAGGAGGTTTGAGTCTATTATGAAATCGATTTGCAGTATTATAAATTTTTGTTTATACAGCAAATAAGGAAAGTCTAACGAAGGGAGAACTTCAAACACCAACACATTTTGCAGCTAGAACAGATTCTGTAAACAGTTTGAAAGCGTTAATAAACCACGGATGTGAATACAAACAAAAGAGAGATTACAAAGGCCGTACACCTTTGCACGTTGCGGCAGAATTAGGTAATTTATTAAAAAAAAAACAATAAAAAACAAATCCCTTAGTTCAACAGTAGCTACAATACACTTTTTATTAAAGATCGAAGTGAAACTGCCAGAATGTTGATAGAACTTGATGATCCAGCTCCAGCAGGAGTTATAGGTTGATTATAATTACAGATTCAAACTAAAGATATTGAAGTTAATATAATTCTATTTTTCAATATAATAGACGACAGTGGACAATCTGCTGTAGTTTTAATGATAACAAAAATGCCCCCAGTTGCTAAATTGGCATTAGATCAGTTCCATACCACTGATAGGGCTAATAGAAGACAATTTTATCATTTAAATCATCTAGAACCAAAAAAGGCTGGTGACCAATTGAAAGGGCATCCACAGACTGCTGTAAGTATTACTCATTTCTTCAGACTTCCCACATCCTGTTTACTTAAAAAAAAAGGACCAATCCAACTTTTCTCCTTATGTAAAATTTTCTATATTCTATGCTGAAATATACAAACAAATTTATACAATATCAGTTAAGAGTTTTGGTTGCCTTCAACCAAATTGACCTCATTACCCACCGATCCGTCGAAAGATTGCTAGAAATAAAGTGGCGTAATTTTGGAAAGTAAGAACAAAAAAATAATAACAAATAAACATTTAAACTTGTAACAAAGATCAAAATATTCAATTAATTATTATTCTTTCTCTTCTACTTATGATTTATTAATTTGTTGCTTAACGATCTTTTCAATGTTGTTTGGTTTTTTCTTTTTGAAAGACTCCTCTAATATTTCAAAATTAATTATAACTTTTTTAGATAATTTTAAAGCAGATTAGGCACTAACATACTTATAAAAAGAAATCTCTAACTATCTTTAACAGCTCCTGGTTGCCGTAACGCACTTTAAATACGATTTAATTATTCACCCAGTTTTTGATCGTTTAATAAATGTTAAGTGGGAGTATTTTGCCAGGTTTGTTTCATTTTAATTTGCTTATCTGTTTGGCATTTTATCTATTATATTCTATTTTGTTGTTTATTTGTTATCTTTTCAATTTTGAGTTTTTATAATTGATCTTCTTTTTTTATCTCTTTTTATAAAATAGAAAAGGTGGATTATGGCAAATAGTTAAAGCAGTCATTTTCATCGGAATATGGACGGCAATAGGTCTTAGTAAAGATCATGAAACTCGCCATGAATACAATTTAAAATCAGAATGGTGGAGGATAATACTTTGGGTAAAAGGAATTTGTTAGACCATTATCCATTTGGATTATAATCATTTTTATTCAAATTATTTAGATTTTAGCTGTGGCTATGACTCTTTGGCAAGTTATAGAAGAAATTAAGGAATATAGAAGCTCTCGAAAAGCTCATTTGGTATTTGTATAATATGTGGTAAAATGTTATCATAAGATGATTATTAATATTTTTAGAAATGGAAAAATTGGCGGGAAGAAGAAGTGCGAAAAGATTTACAGTTTTGCCATCCGCGCTGGCCTGAGGAAACTGCATATTTAAACTCAGAAATTGATAGACTGAATGGTATAAATGATTCTGAAGTGAAAACCGTACCGGAAGAGACATCGTCTGTAAAGACATTTTGTTATTCTTTTGTCGCCTTATTCAGAGCTTCGTATTTCAATGATCCATGGAATATTTTCGATTGGATTTGTTACGTTTTACTAACGGTTGCATCAATAACTCACGTTGTTGATGTTATTGATCATACAAATGCAATATCGAGATGGCATATACGAATTATGGCAATAGCAATTATTCTTATATGGATAAGAATATTAAAAATTGCTAGAGCATACTCCGTTGGTCAGTCATCCCTTAATAATTAACTTAATCATAAACATATCTAACCTTGCATTGAATTTTTCTACAGGCCCTTTTGTAGTCATGATCTTTAAAATGCTGACAGACATATTTAAGTTTGTATTTGTCTACTTGGTGTTCTTCTGTCCATACGGTATCTAAATTTATATACATAATTAAAGGACAATGATTATTCATTTAAAAATTATTTATTACCAGTTTTCGCTTTTTGGATGATCTTTGGGGCGTCTAAGAGGCCAGAGAAGAACATTAATGAAATTCATCTCAACAGAACAAAATCATCTGTCAGTGGAATGAAAACATTCGATATGCTTATATTTACGCTGTTTCGAATAACTCTTGTTGATGATTACGATTTTGATGTATGTAAAACAAACAAACAAACAAAATTATTTAATAATGATAACTTTCATTATTTTTAAAGGGAATGATCGGTATAGATAAGTTTATGACATTTTTACTTTTGGGAAGTTGGTTAGCTCTATCAGCAATTATTATGCTTAATTTAATAATTGCCCTTATGTCTGACACATTTCAACGTGTATATGATAATGCTAGAGCAAATGCTGCTATGCAAAAGGCAATTACAATATTAAACATTGAAGAGGGTCTAACCAAAAAGAAAAGGGAAAAGTTTAGAGAATATATACACAACTATTGCAGTCCTGAAGAACGTTTTTACGACGATGACGATATCGATGATGGAAAAGAAAGTCTACAAAAAGTTACTATACAAATTAGGGTAAATACTATATCATATTTATCTTATTTATTATTTTTGTACTGATACTTTATATACTATATAAAAAAGCAACGTTTGGATAGCATACTTGACTATTTAAACCCTGAAATGTCTTCATATTCAGTTAACCAACTAACTGATAAAAACCAGGCTGTCGTCGTTATACAGGTGTTATTTTACAAAAAGATTGAAAGATAGAAAAATCAAAATGAAAAATAAGAGCATTACTTACATATATAAGCCTTCTTATCACTATGCATGCATTACACACTCTTTTGCATAAATTAAGCAATTGAGCATGTTTTTTTTTCTTGCTACCACTTGAATATACCCAGGACTACTAACCTTACTTGAAAACTATCACTGATTTCCTTATTTTGTCGTGTTCGTTTTAGAATCAATTGGATGAGTTACAATCTGCATTAAAAGATTCAGAAGATGATGAAGAGAAACATATTAAAGATCAACCCCAAGAAGGACAATTCGCCCGACTTGCTAGTCTTAGGACGGGACAAGTTAAAAAGATGGAAAATCAATATACAATAATAAAAGTAAGATGTGTTTCTAGTCAATAAACCTATCCGTAAACGTTTATCTTCCTCTCTTAGAATGAGATAACACAACTAAAGGCTACTCAAGATAATTTCAATAGAAAAATAAAAAATGATCTCCAAGAAATTATCAGTACTTTGAACAACCTTAATCTCCCAGTTAGAGGTTCAGCACCTATTCAAGTTCAATCTTCAACAACCAGAAGGGAAGGCAATTTACCCGTTGTCGACGATGGAAACGTTTCAGATTCACCTCTTACATGGTCTGTCTATAAATAATACTTAATTAAATTTGGTTTAACTAAATTAAAAAAACCATTCTATAGGAGGAATGAAAAGCGTAAAGAAGATCTGCTTATGTTAAAAAATACGTTTAAACTTGCCGGTCAAGGCCATTCAAATATTGTAGTTAGTGACTTTGGATCGAATACTGAAGAGCGCGATGTCTAAGGCGAGAAAGGATAATATAAAATAAGTAGTTCCAATCAATTGTCAAAAGAAGTAAAACTTTATTTAATAATACAATTGAGATTAACCTGTTTATATTAAAGCTTTAACTATTGCTATTAGTCAATAAAGTAAAATAAAACCTTATTTTTAATTAAATATACTGTATATAGGGAATTTGTTTTTTACTGTTGAATTCCGATAAGGATATCCTTATATTACATAATATATTACAAATTAAATCGATTGTTCCCTATCTATATAAACAAGGCTTTATTTAATGTAGTTTAATCTTTTCAACAAGAGTTATTTCAATAGTAATAATCAAATGTATATACCAAAAAATAAAGTATTTATATATTACGTCATAGAAATAGTGTATAGTTTACCCTTTTAACATAATTTAAATTTATCGAAAGCATTAAAAACAAAAATACTCCCAAATCTACTTTTTAAAAAAAATTTAAATATACAGAACGACTGCTTTTCAAATTATCTCAAAAAATCATTAAGAATTGATGAGATAAGATAAAGAATAAATATAGATGAGGTAATAACCTATATGAATGCAAGATATACAGTATATATATATATATTCGTTTTTTCTTTAATATAAATTAGGTAAAGATTTAACCGTCAAACAATTTATATATATGTAATAATATCATCATTACCAACTTAGTTTATGCAAAAACGGAGAGAGGAAAGGTATACAATTTTAATATAACATTGACCCATAAAACCGTTTATAATAATTATTAAATATTTTTACCTTTTCGAATGATCGTTAAGAACAATGATTTCCTATACAGTAATAATTTTTATCCACAATTTTTATCTAACTAGATGAATAAAACACAAAAAATAACAAACGGAATTACATTGTTTTTTTTTTTTTAAAGAAAATAGTTAAGCAAAAAAAAACGATGTACAGCATCAAAAAAAGAGAATATTTTTTTTTTTTTCTTTTCTTTTCACAACATACATAAACTATGTTAAGAAATGCAGTTCATTAGAGAAATTCGACAGATAGGTGCTTACAAGAACACTTCGAAAACTTCTTCATCCAAAGGAACATTCTATAGATTTGTAGAGAAAATGGTGGAAGAAAAAATTAGGTCATTAACGAATTAAATAAGGTATAATTATGCTTTGTTAACTTACGCTGCTGCTCCAAGGATAAATGTAGCAGCATGAGTGAAGAGCAGAGCCGGTAGATTGGATATGATTCCAGTGTTTCGAACACTAAGACCGTGTCTTTTAGATTTTCCCGTTTCGGATCGTGGAAAGTGTTTATATTTATTGGATTGTATGTCACTGCTAACAAAATAAGACCTCGTAGATTATAATAAAAACAAGTCTATAAAAAAAGTTGCAACCTGGGTGGTTTAATTTCTGGCCGACTCGACCAATCCCATATCCAGTCGGAATTTTCGAATTCTTGTACCGTCTTAGTTTGAGTTGGATCAGACACAGGGCTGTGTGGGCTTTTAGGGCTGCAAGAGATAATTATACACTTTGGTCGAATATATTAAGGTAATCACGAAAAAACCTTGTACGACTAGATATAGTGCTCGCATTTATCGAAGTATGTCTTGAGAGTTCCTTTTGAGCCTCGAGCAACATTTTCTCCATCTGCTCATTAGTCATATTAATACGAGGGAAAAGTGGAGGAGTCGACCCTCTACTGCTTCCCACTTCTACCCATGAATCTGTTGGAATTAGTCGGGTGATCACTAGTTTGTAACACTGACCTAAAGAGCAATTTTTTTCCAAAATGGCGGCAATAATTTGCGCAGCAAAATATTTTACAATTTTGCTGCTTCGAAAGTTAAAAAACTGATAGCAAACATCTTACCATTTAATTGACTCTCTTTACTTTCCGTTCGTTCAAGAGTTGACATTGTTCCTGTACGCGATCGTCTTCTTTTCTGTTCAACAAAGTGCTACGTGCGCTCCTCTGTTATTGTTTTGGTGTACGAAATGACCCGATATTGCAAAGGTTGTTTTCTGCCTAAAAAGTGAATTATAGCGACATCTATGTACAGAAAACATAAGTTTTTATCATAAGTTATGAAAGGAAAGCGATTTATTTACTTAACAACCTACAAACTATAGGGCGGAAATCTTTAAATGACGTCTTAATGAATTAATTTTACGCTTGTTCATAAAAATATATACCATTAAAAGCTTAATTATTGATTTTTTCAACCCCCTACGGACGGAACTGCTTTCCTGTCTTAGCTTTCTATATTTAATCATTTATTATTTATTAGCATCTTATCTTCAGTTTCTATATATACATAAATACAGTATTTGTGTCCGAGTATAAATATATTTAGGTACTTTTTATAATAATATATTATTCACTTCGAAATATGTAAACAATAATAACTTATGATGGTGTCGTAATATAAAGTTGAATATTACGTAATAAGTAATTTATGCCAATAAAAACGCCAAAATACTCCATTTTTTAAAATTATTATCTCTATATTCGTAAGTTGAATATAAGTGTTGTAGCTACCATTTTATTTAATCTTGTAATTTCCAAGAAAGAGGATTTCTTAAGAATTATAGAACTATAATAGTATATACTATACAGTATGCAGTTTATATCATATTTAAACTCTGGAAATGATAATCTCTTTCAAGCCGTTGTTAAACTATTAATTATATTTTAATTAATTAATTTTCAATTAAATATGTTAAATTACTGCTTTAAAGGAAACTTTTTAATGTATTTTTCTTTTTGGTTAAATAGAAGTTTGACCATGCTCTACTTTCTCTTTTTTTTTCTTCTATTATTGTTTATTCTGATGAAATTTCGTTTGTTTGTAAACATTTAATTTTTGCCTAGCAATTTTCAAATTTGAGTCATTTATAATTTATTAATTATTAAACCCTTTTCTACGCAATATAAATAAAATTATTTTACAAACGCACACAAGATGTCGCTGTATACTAAGAAAGACGCAATAAAATATATACTAGAACAGTTTCCCTTTCCGGTTTGAGTCTCTTGCTTGTTCTACATCGTATTATTTTAATATTGTAAAGCTCTTCAGCAATGACCAGTTTAGAAGTGAATGAATTATTTGAAGAACACAGGTTAAATTTTGATCGCCCCAGTTAAATACATCTATAATCTTTTCTATTACAGGATTCATCATTCGGTTAAATCCACTCTGTCTTTCATCCTCTATTCTCCTTTAGGCCTGATTCTTTTAATCCTTCGCCTATTTATTGGTTTACAAGTCTTTCTCATATGTACAATCATACCTAAATCATGGTCGTTTAGGCGGTATATTTTAAGAGTACCTTTTGCTATACTAGGAATGGTCGTCATTCATGAATCGGGAATCAGGGAAGAAAACTGCAAAATTATTGTTGCAAATTTTTTAAGTGCTGTAGATCATTGGGTTCTAGCACTTTTATGGAATGTCGTTACACCTTGCATTTGGAATGTGCCTAAGTCATTAGCTTGGTGTCTGGGATATTCCGACTTTAACGCTTCTTGCGGGAGAAAGTCCTTAGTTAAAAATGTTAAAAAGCACCTCAATGATTGTTCAACGTCTATTCTTGTTTTTCCTGAAGGAGCAACAACGTCCGGCCAGAAAGGCTTGTTAAAATTTGCATCCTGGCCGTGGAATGTGGGCGAACCAGTTCAAGCTGTTACAATTGAAATTTATAGGCCTATGAGAGTATCGCCCTCTGTTCTAGGTGGGAGATGGTGGACAGATGCATTATATACATTTTTCTGTCCACTAACCATATGGAAAGTAAACGTTCTTCCCATCGTCGCTAGACGAGAAGATGAATCCGACGACGAAATTGCTTTAAGATATCAAGAACAAATGGCCCATCATCTACAACTATCATCAACGAATTTTACATGTGCTGACAAAGTCGAATTAGCCAAAAATCGTTTATTTAAAAGATCTCAAGGATCTAAGGAGACAAATCGAATTGATGAAATGGTAAAACAAGTTTTAGCTGTGCTTCCTCACGTTAGTCCATCCGATATCAAAAAACAACTTTTAATTAACGACGATGTCGAAGTTACAATTGCACATTTGGTTGAAAATCCCCTCGATGCACGCTCAATTTCTAGCGAAAGTTTAAATCGACTTGAAAAGCATGATATTGAAGAAAAAATTACTCGACGAAATAAGAAAGCTGACTTGACGAGCATGAGCCTTCAAGAGAGGAAAGACTTACTTCTTCAAGAGGCTCGACGTAGTTATTTAAAAAAACACGATATGAAAAATATGTAAAAATTTCCTTTTTTTTCTTTTTTTTATATTTCCCGCGCAAAATGTAAAAAAAAACCGCATTCCAAAAACTACGGTGTCCTTAAAGCTAAACTGGACGGCCATTTTGTTGATAATTAATAGCGAAAAAGTTGGCTTTTCGTTGTCTTTGGATATGTTTAAATTGTATAAATACTGTATTTGAATGAATTACAGTCTATTTTCTCAAATGATCAATCTGTATTTTTAATCAAAAGCCTCCGGGTCGACTTTGTTAGCACTTCGTTGCCCTCCATCTGACGCGTGGACGTGATATAGTTAGTGAGTTTGGCGGCTTTAATAAATTCAGGTGGTACAAGCATTGTGAAAAATTTTAAATGGAACAATTGGGAATTCAATTTATAACTGAAAGTGATCAAAGTGGTTTGAGCTCTGAGCATGACGTTGGCAAGTTAAGTTATAACACATATAGCGACTCATCAGAAAATGTTCAAACATTCGTTCAGTCGGCCTATACGTTCCAAACCCTTCCCTTAGTAACAAGCGCCCAGGAGGTACAAATTCATTATTCGCCAGTGCTAAGCCAACATGTGGAGCCTCTTCTATGCACAAATCCCGAATTAGAATTACAGAACGATGAAATAATTAAAAAAGGAAAGAAAAAGAAAGGAGAGAAATTTTCTTGTGAAATATGTGGTTCTCAATACAGTCAGAAAGGAATATTAACTCTCCATATGAGATTACATACTGGTCAAAGTGCCCTACAGTGTAATATCTGCGAAAAAAGATTTTTACAAAAAGTTCATTTAAATGCTCATATGAGAACACATACTGGTGAAAGACCATATGAATGTAAAACATGTCAGAAATTTTTTAAAACAATGGATTCGTTGAAGAAGCATCAGTTACAGCATACTGGAAAAAAGCCATTTGTTTGCTCTTATTGCGGAGAGTCATTCCGACAAAAAGTACAGATGCAAGTTCACGTTCGCCGCTTTCACACAAACGAAAGGCCCTGGACATGTGAGGATTGCGGAAAATCATTCTTAACGAGACAGCACGTTCTTAATCACAAAAGACAAGTTCATGCTCCACCCTCGGTTCCATGTCCAATTTGCGGTCGCCCTTTTTCAGATGATAGACACATGAAACGACACATGGATACACATCTTGCCGAATATGAAAGACAATATGAATGCAACGTTTGCAAGAAAAGATTAGCCTCTAAGGAATCGTTAAACAAGCATTATAAAATTCATGATACAACTTTAAAATATCAGTGTCAGCATTGTGGTACAACTTTTCGAGCTTCTAGTTCTCTAAGATCTCATATTAAAAGAACCCACTCAGTTACATCGACAGCTCCTCCCTCTCAAGCTGCTTTTGATGATGATCGAAAATACAACAGATGTTGTTTTTGTTCCAAATTTTTTTCAGATAGCAATCTACTAAAATCCCACATATTACTAGTTCACAGGAGTGAAGAAAGCGTTTCATGTGAAGAATGTGGAAAATCTTTAGAATCTCGATATCATCTAAGCAATCATAGAAAACGTTGCGTTAAAAATAATTCATCGGCTATCTTCGAATGTTGCGTATGTCTTATGACGTTTGACGATATTCATATTTATGCCGTCCACTATCTATCTCATACACCAGACGGTGCACTGATACCTTGTCCTTGGTGCTCTCAACTTCTCCCCGATATCGCTCCATTTATAGACCATCAATTAGAGCACCAGAATGGTGATAATGAAAGACCGTTTGAATGCGGAAATTGCGGTTCGAAGTTTTCTACAAGAGCTCGTCTAGATCAACATGTTGTTAAAGGTTGTAATAAAAGAAAAAATTCAAAGAAAAAGAAAAATAAAGCAAAATCGGATGAAGATATTATCCTTTTAGATGTTAATGCTCAAATTGAACTGGAAGAAATAAGTGTTGACGATCTAATGGAAGAATTAAGAATTAGGTGTTCTACTGAAGGTACTACAAGAATCTGTTGGTGTGGTTGTTTATTTAATGATCTACAATTGTACGAAACTCACGTCAAATGCCATGATGAAATGGATCCTCTTCACTGCTCCTTTTGCAATCATTACAGTTCTTCTTGGCCAGATTTCTTTTGCCATTTATCATTTCATGATAAATAATACGAAGGCAATACACAACAATAAAATACGTGCCTCTTTTTTTCATTTTGAAAAAAAAAACAAAACTAAAGAATTACAAATAATTTCTTAAATGATTAAATAAATTGTTATTGTATTGAGAATATAATCCAATTCTGTCTCTCTCTTTGAGAGAGAGATGAAAATTTTACTTCGTGAAAGGTTAAAGGTTATTTAAAAATAGAATATATATATATATGTATATTATGAAATCTAATTGATTATTTAACACATTTCATTACAATTGTTTTGTAAAAATACACAACATAATCTAATTATTACGTAAAGTGTGTACAGTTTACTCTAGTATAAACCGTATATACAGTATACGTACGTATAAAGACATTAATTAGTACAATTTTTTAGTAAAAAATGTCTACAAGCACCAATTATTAATTGACCTACTAAGTAAAAAAAAAGAACAAACAAACAAAAAGAGAGAAAGAAAAAATAATCACAACGTTGACTTTCGAATACTTGAAGTATAGCATAGCACGGCAACAAGATAGAAAACAAAATAAACAATACATTAACACTTAAGAAGAGATATTGAATTCAATTTTTTCCTACTTTTGAATATAGTATCGTTGTTAGATATATTAATTAATATAGAGAGAAAAATGATAAGATATTGCTGAATGTGTTTCTTATTTGACTGTTATATATAATAAATCGTTATAAAAATTGTCTTCTGTTTCACTAAATCATAATATGAAAAGGTGTTATTGAATTATTTTCATTTTGCTATTGCTGAAAATATTATAGGGCACTTTCCCAATTGGATTGTACTAATAATGAATGGTTGGCTGAATCGTCCATTGCGGCTGCGAACGATCCTGACGCTAAAAGATCCAATTCATTGTCATAAGCTGGAGGTCTATCATTGGTTAATGTTGGTACATCAACCCAAGTTTTAATACTGCCAGTCATATATTCACTCACATATAATTTTCCAGAATCTGTATACTTAGCGCAAGTCGGAAAATCTATATGATTATCTACAGTTAACGGAGGATTATAGAATGAATCCCACGCCGCTTGAATTCTATGATTATAATAATCGCATACTAGAAATCCCCCTTCTTCCATTGCAAAACATCCATAAGGGTCATGGAATTGCCCAAACCCAGATCCTGGTGTACCAAACTTATTTACAAGAGGATATTGACCATTACTAGATATTTTGCGAATATCTAATTGGCAAACGCAATTGCTAATACGATCACTGACAAAGAGCGAATGATTCGGACCAGCTGAAACATAATGCGGATACGAAAACAAAGGTGCTTTATCGGGACCGTATCGAATTTTCGCCACTGAAGTCTCTCCAATACGTAAGTCAACTAAATGAACCGAATTGGTCAGAATACAACTAACAATCAGGTGTGATGCACTCGGCACAAGTGAAAGTCCGCAAGGTTTATCGCAGGGTCGAAGCGATGCTAGTAGTTGATTCGAAGGGGAGAAGATTTTTGCATCACCGCATTCGGGATCAGAAACAACCATATCATTAGAAGGCAAGACGACGACATCGGTAGGTGAACGGAGCTTATTATGTATCAATTCCTGCATCAGTTGTCCCTCTGGGGTAAAAACTTTTAATTTCTTGTTGTTTTTATCAGGAACGACTATCTGATAGAATTAAATAACAATTCATTATAAAATAGATATTATAGAATGTAAAAAATGTAGCAAATTCTCACTTGATCGAGACAATTAAAAGTAAAAGACAATGCATTGCATCGGGCTTTGTCCTTAAATGTTTTAGTAGAGAAGGATCTACTAAAGTAGAGCTTTTTAAATTCCGGTCCAGTTGAGGTTCTTCTAGTGAATATATTCACTTCCCTCGCCATATTATCATCAGATTCATCATATTCATTACTTACTTCCGGCTCAACAGATGGATTAGAATGACTCACCGGAGTTTGACTACGTGATATTTTCATTTGTAAATTACCAACTAACTTTTTACAATCTTCCAAAGAGACTGCACTTGAATTGTAGGAAATTTGTGAAAAACTTTTATCTATAGGATTAGACAGGGCTGAACGAACTTTACGTTCTTTATATTGCAACTTTTCTTGAATCTCCTGAATTTCTTCATGTCGTCCGCCAATCGCAATATGTAAAGCCGTTTCGCTAGCTCTTATAACAGATTCTGTCAGTTCTGTTAATTTTAATCGTCTATTGTCAACATTCAACTTGCAAGTGTTCAATTCACCAGTAATCCTCTTTACAATTTCATCAAAGCACTGATCCATCCATGATTGAAATTCTTTTCTCCAAGTGCAAACCTATGATAGGAAAGAAAGTTGAATTAATATATTTCCTTATATTCTTTAAATATCTATCAAACTCCGATAAAAGAGAGCTGAAAACGGATACTCTCGTCGAACTCCTTATCTCTCCCTAAAAAAAGTCATCAAATACGCAAGATAAGAAAGTTTAACCTGTTTGAATAAATGAATTCTCTTTTCTTCTATTTCCAAGGCGGTATCATTCAATTCACTAACTAATTTATTTAAAGCTGGTATTTGATTGTGCAGCCTAACAACAATGGTTTCAATCGGATTTTGTTGAACATTTGAGGAACTATCAGCTATTATATTACTCAATCTCCTTGCAGCATCCAAAGAAAGGCAATAGCTAGTAACTTCGGAATATGGTGGAGGTGGATCATTGTCCATCTTGAAGATACTAAATCAGGAGACTGCTAAATTTTGGAAATATCGAACGTTGTTTTGACTCGTATTATCGTCAGTGCTCGTAAACTTTTGGAGTACACAATAGACAGACTGTGGCGCCAAATTCGAATCTCTTTCTCTCTCTCTCTGTCTCTCTCTCCCTTTGTTCTCGGCGTCTGTATTAAACTATATAAATATTCATATTTTTACAATATTGGTTTTTCATTGATCAAATATCTTTATTAAATGAAAAAAAATGAAGACATAAAGATCAGACTTTTAAAGAATGCAAACAGAAAGGAAGTATAATTTATTATATTAATAATCAAACTAATTGTCTAAAAAGTCCACCAAGCGATAATAAAGAGTCAAATGTTCCTTCTTCGATAATCCTACCATTACCAAAAACGTAGATTTTATCACACTCCCTGATACTCTTCAGTTTACTGGCAATGATAATTACTGAACAGTGCTTCAAATGCCTCGATATAACGTATTGGATTATCGCATCAGACGCATCTTCTTTATCGTCTGCAGATTCTTCAATAACGATAAGATAGGTCTTTCCTAACAGGGCTTGAGCCAGACATAATAATTGTTTTTGTCTGTTTGAGAAGGAACCATCATTATTACTGATAACAGTTTCTAATTGCGAAGGCATTGATCTGATTTTGGCGGCCAGCTGAACGTTCTCTAAAACTTTCCATAGTTCAAAGTCAGTAAACTGGTTTAGAGGATCCAGATTGCCTTTAATAGTTGTGTAAAAGAGGAATGGATCTCTTGGAATTGCGGAAATAGGTTTTCTAGCCTCTTGAACAGACAATTTTAATATATCGACAGAATCTAATATAATACGTCCGGATGATTTAACCATTTGAAAAATCGCTGGCATTAGCCAAGATTTACCTGACCCAGTTGTACCTACAACTGCAATCTATTGAAATACATTTGCAGATTATTTACTCAGTAAAGTTGTAGATTTATGGTACTACTCACCTTTTGACCTTGACAAACATACATATTTACCCCATCCAGAACGTTTTGATTATAATCGTCCAAGTGTAAAGTTAAGTTATTGACAATTAAAACACCATCAGTCGGCCAAACTGTTGGTTTTTGTATAGTTTCACGGTTTTCTTCAGCTTCCGTGGCTGCGTATGCTTGAATTTTTTTGACAGAACTCATCTAAATAAGATTATAAGATAATTAGATGGCGAAGAGTTTCTAGTTATACTTACAGAAGTTTCTAATTCAATAGCTCTTCGAAAGCAACCAAAAAATGAATCAGTTGTAAAAAGGAGATAAACCAAGGCGAGAGCAACGTATAATGAATTTATAGTATCCATATAGAAAACAAAGCTTAGGCAAGTTAAAGTTTGGAAGATAACCATTAAAATGTTCATCCATAGTTGCAACCATCTAAGTCCGGCACAATGAAAGAATTCTAGGTTGAATCTTGAATCCATTGCTTTGTACATTTTGGTTAAAAAATGACTGTTACTCGATAAAGCTCTAATGCTTATTAAACCTTGTAGTACATCGACATATAATTGGACACATTGTAGTTTGCTCTTTGATCCCATTCTTTTCAGAGTAACGATCTTTCCAGCCAAGAATTTATAGACAATGATTAAGATGACAATTAAAAGTAGGAAGGCTAGTGTCAATAGAGGAACGACCATCATTGCCACCACAACGCCACAAACTAAGCACAAAAAATCGGATATACAACGTTCAAAATAGCTAGGTAATAGATTATCAAGGATTCCGATATCCTTTCCAAAACGAGAGAGGATCTCATGCTTTGGATTTTTAGCAAAAAAGTCCATCTTACAATGCAGAATTGATTTGAGCATCCTCTTGTGAAAATTTTGACAGGTTTTCATAAAAAAGTTGTGCATGCATAATTGTGCTACGAAAGACACGGCAATCAATATAACTAATATAAAGAATCCGCTATATAATTTGAAAATTCCACTATCAAACTTTAGAGATGCGTTAATTAAGAGTTCGGCAAGAGTAACGTCTATAAAGACCTTTAGAGAGAACATAATCATCAAGAATAGTATGCATAACGCAAAAAGTCCCACATTCCCAGATCTTGCGTAATTTACATAAGTCTTTGTACCGACAAGACCTTTTTCTTCCGAGACCACCCACGCTTCCGATTTGACCATTCCTTCAAAATTTGGTGTACTTTTCGCAATATGAGGTCTAGACATTAAATCTGAGTATCTCCTTATTTGTTTCAATTTACAATTATCCATTAAATATAGGACATCAATCTTTTCTAAATATTCTATTTGATTAGATACTAGAATAGTTGTTTTTTGACGAAGATATCCAAAGATACATAGATCAAGTATTCCTTTTGCTTCATCTTTATTGATGCACTCTAATGGTTCGTCTAAAATATATATATCAGCTTCTCTATATATAGCCCTGTTAATTAGGCAATCATTTAATATCTAAATGATAAGGAATTTTTTTACTCAATGTATTACCTAGCTAAAGATATTCGGGCCTTTAATGATGGCGTCAACGCGATTTCTGTTCCCAAAATCGTCTGATCCCCCAAATGGAGTCTAGTAATATCCTAATAGACAATTTTTTTCTAAAATGATCTAATCAATCACTCATAAATTCGGTAATAAACTTACGTCATTTAATTTGCATACTGATAAAACTTTCATGTATTTCTCTTCACAGAAATTCCATCCCATAATGATATTTTCTCTCAAAGTTGCATTAAATATCCAGGGAATTTGAGCGGCGTAACTTAATTTTCCGAAGCATTCTAACCTTCCTTTTTCCAATTGTCTTTCTTTAAGAAGAGAAAGAACAAGAGCCGTCTATTAAAATGAAAAATGATAAATTAACGCGTATTGATATATGTTTAAAAATCTTTCACTTACCTTTCCAGATTCAGGACTTCCCACTATACCAAAAGATCTTCCCTCTTCTATTTTTAGATTAGCATTCTTTAATATGTATTTGTTTTTATCCTTTTCCGATTCGTAGTAGGACTGAAAATGGATTTATTTTTAAATTTTTAGTTATCAATCTTCTAGCAATTGAGAATCTCTTACATCTCTTGCGATGTGGCCGTTTCTCATTTCTATGAAAATATTACCACCCCTAGCTGGTTTAGGAGTTGTTAATCGGGAACAAGGATCTTCTGATTTTAACGATAGATCATCGAATAGGAAATTCTTGAATAAATTGGATTATTTTACGGAAGATTCTAATGAATAAAGAATAATTAACATTTACCTGAATCCTTTTGATACTCTCGCAGCAATCAGATAATCCTAGGGCAAGTTTTGGAAATTGTACAAATAGCCTGTACTCAATTGTTGTGATGAGAACAATGATAAGGAATAAACTAATAAGTGAAAATTCAAATTTCGATAAGATCATCAAAATTAGCAGTGATAACATTAAGATAATTTTAGATGCACAGAATGACAATGTAAGATGGAATATTCTAAATATAAAAGAATAAAATAGGCCTTTGGTTTCCAATTTTCTTATTTTAGTAACAATTTGAAAGAAACGATCGTCCCAAACATTTAATTTAATGGTTTTGATTCCGTCAATTATCTCTCCAACAAGAAATAATCTATTGTCGGTATATTCTCTCATTTTTTCCTTGAAACTATTCTCTTTCTTCATGCAAAAACATATTAGACCAATGAAAAATACCGATAGAGAGAGGATGCAAACAACGGTATATGGACCATTAAAATAGAATATTCCAAACGAGACAATACAAACAGAAAATGGTATTCCAGTTACTTCAATTAGAAGACCATAAAAATCAGTTGTTTTCTCTAACTCTCTTTCAATTAAACCTAATATAGAGCCATTAACAATATCTTCTGCTTTATAGCTTGTATAAAAGATCTGTAATTTTCGTAAAAAGGGGTTACACAGTATGATAATCTCTTGAAAAGAGAATCTACAAAACACTATATCTACCTTATTATACACTGCACATGTTAATAATGAACGGAGCTTTAATCCACTTTTTTCAGCCAAAAAATGCGAATGCATATTTGTTATACAATACATTAATTGGCATAATCCCATACCGCCGGCAACATAATAACCAAATGAACGGTTATCGCTATCCTTATGTAATATAATTTGCATTAACCACATATATAGGAATGGTAGTATAAGATTAACAATGTCCTAAATAAAGAAACTTGATTATGAATAAATTAACATATTAATTACATAGAATACGTACGCGAAAAATGTTTAATATAAAAGCAAAACATATTTCTAAAAATTGACTAGTTATGATAAAGCGCCATAAGCTTTTGCAGTTTTTCTTCCTATTTTCATCATTATCCGTTTGACTATAAAAATAATGATTAAGCATTTTTTAAACTGGATAAACAAGAGTATTTCTCTCACCTTCTCAAGAGCATCAAAGGGAAATTTTTTTGAAAATCATTATGCAATTTACAACTACTATGTTTGTAAGTTGTTTGTACATATTTCCAATTTTCAAGTTTATTACTGTCCCAATATAACTGCCTTACCCACCTGTTCATTTATCCGTGAATTATATTCGAAATATCATAACCAATCTGTATACTGTCTATATATATATATTAACTTACCAAAAAGTTATTCTAGATAAAAATGATGAGGAAGAATAGGGATTACTTAAATTACGATTCATTAGTAGAGCATAAGTACTCCATACACATCCTATATATGTATATATGAATATATATATAAATATACATATATCTATATGTATATACTAATATATATATAATCGGTTTGTGCGTAGTTGAAGAAACTTTAATATTATACCGTGTACAATCACTTTTTAAAAAATATACAAAAGCCTAAAATGAGCTGAATCTATTGATAAAAGAAACCAGTTTCCTTTTAAAAATCTTCAATACTATGAGATATATAGGCTTAGGTTAGCCAGAGAGGAAGTTAGACGAAGCAGGGGGCGGGGAGAACTAAGATGAGAATGACGGATATTCTAACAAAAATATAATATTAACAATATTGAAAAGATATGAAAATTCACCGATTAGTTAACTAGTAAACTATGATCCATCTTTCTTTTTTATGTATTTTAAAGTTAACATTTTTCATAATTATTCATAAAGAATAAGTCTTTTCTCCTGTCCTTTTCATAAAAGGAAAAAAAATAAAAATTTCTGTTTACAAGCAAGTATACTGTGTTTACCCTTTTGAAATTAGTCAACCATAAACTATTAATGAAATTACTTCAATAAACCTCAGTATTCATCAAAAAATTTTTAATTGTCAATAATTCCAGTATGAATATAATTTCATATAATTTCTTTTTTCGACTGAAACCTTTTCAAAATATAAAACATCAATGAACTATAACAAATTGGCACTTTTCATTCATTTTACCACATTCAAATAACAATTTACTTTTAACATTGAGATTTAGACGTAAAATAAAATGCAAATTAGACTTTTTAGAACATATTCCATTATTTTTCTCTCTTATGTACCAATCCTTTTTAAAAGAGTTTCTTATACTTTTTTAGAAAATTTATTGGAGTCTATCTTTCTCTTCAACCGGTAGATTGAAGTATATTCCATCAATTTTGCAGACATAATGTACAACGATGCATACGTACTTGCTTTAACGTCTAAACACATTTTATATTGAGTTGGTTCAGTGATTAGATGACACAGAATTGGATGAAATACATGAACCATTCCAGGATCGATACTTCGCATTGTTTGAACATTATGTGTGGTAAATTTATCATATAAATCCAAGTCTTCCTTTCCCCAACCCTCTATGGCAGTCAAAAAACCTCCAACATTATCCAAGTCCGATTTGTAGGCACACGCCATACCAAATGAACTTTGTCTCCAATATCCCATACTCTCTTCAAATGAGAACAAATTATTACGTAGACTACACTTTCCACCATAAGAGCACCTGACTCCCGGATCAAATTGACTGAACATTATTGGATAATAGGCCTGAATATTTCTAATGGTATTTCGGGCCATTCTCTGTAAAACGTTTCTGCTTAAAATCAGATCCACGTCTACAAAACAGACAAGATCTCTTTTAGCAAACAATTGAGCTCCTCTGTCAAGAGAAATTCCTCTTGAAAATTTACCAGGAACCACAATCGATTGAATGTTATGATTTGGATATTGCTTAGCCAAATTCTTCATATGAAGCACCATATCATCAGTTCGATTTTCTGGATCAATAGCCGATAATACTATAACTATACTAACTCTCTCTTCACATTTAAGTGCAATTTCTTCGAAATTCCTCATAAAACGAAGATATGTCCTATATCGGCCGGACAGGGGCATAACGATATTTAAAGTCTTCCCAATTCGGCCACAACTCGAATTTACTTTCGCTATTTTCGGCTTTTGAAAAATTCTGAATCCATCCGAGAACTTTTCTTTCAGACTTTCGAAAAATCCTTTGTTGGGAAGATCATCATTTACGGATACCAATCGGGATTGCAAACTGCCAAATGCCTGATGTGTTCCAAACTGGATTTTCCGAGATTTCTTCTTCTTCTGGAATTTGTAGTGCTGTTGAAATTGAAGTAAATGATCCACTCCAGAGAATGGATTTACTCGTTTGTACCCAAGCCGGAATTGACTTAGATCATTGTGATATCCTGTATGATCTTCATTAACATTAACAATTCTATTTACTTCCTTTAATATCTTTCCCAAGCTCTCGTTAAATGTGGCTTGGAACTTTCTCTTCGGTACTTGATTATTTATTGTAGCAATACTGTGACTATCAATGCTATCCCAAGGAATAACGTGCTCCCTAGTCTTTGGCTTAATTTTATTCCATGACGGTGGTTTGCTTACTCTGTTCTGCTCGCCATCACCAACTCTGAAATGATCGGAGATTGAACGTTTAATCTTTCTAGACTTGGCATGAATATCTCGTTCAATATGTTTGATTTTTCGTTGAATTTCAATTGTTTTATGATGGAGTTTCTTCAGATTTGTTGTTCTTAAGAAATTCTCCATTCGAAAAACGTATGTATCATTTTTTATTGGATGTAAAGTGATGGCGTGCTCTATTTGATCTCTATCTTCTTCAAGTGAATGAGAGAAAGTTCCGGAACGTTCACGATAATTGAAATAGAATAGTTCTTTCATTTCGTAGTTGGATGAACATTGCGCGCCTGTTAGTTGAGTAATACAACGGCCGACTTCAACGTCTTCGTGTGTCGAGACAACATTATTAATACAATTATCGACGTATGGGCACATGGCTGATGACAGAAAAGAAACTCTTTCAGAATATTATTTCTTTCTTCAAGATCATTTCTATAAATGGAAATGTGCTGAGATTGAAATTTGTTTTTACCTTTCAGAGTAGCTCGACTGAGAAACATTCCAGGTCCACCCATGCAATAGGCGTAACCGGAAAGTCCTAATTTACCTTTTTTCTCCGCTCGTCCAAACCCTGCTTGTCCTACGTATAACTGTTTGTAAGGAATAAAGATAATACTGCATTAGAAGGTAATGCCACTTTAAATAAATGATAAAAGAAATAGCTTTAGTGAAGAGTAGATTTTAGCAAGGTAAAATCTCTTTCGTATGAAACTACAAATGTATAGAAAATATTTCTGTTAATTAATAAGGAGGAGGAATAGTGTCTTGATTTTAAGGGCGTTTAAAGGAAAGATAAGTAGGCAATTGAAAATAATCCACAAACCTTTTCACTAGCATTGAGAGAATTTAAAAAAGGAACTAGCTTATCCATTCTAAAGTAAGCATCATCATCGGCACGTAGAAACCAATCGAATTGATCCACATATTTATCACACATATACTTGATCATTTTAAATGCTTTTTCTTGTGGAGGGTAGACATTGTCATCGATCCCTGTCGAAGTTCATTCAACTCTTTAAACTTTTTTGTTGATAGAAAAAGGCTTAGCAATAATTACAGCTATTTATAATAGAAAATCTGTTTAAGTCGTTGAGATTGAAAACTTTACAACATAGTGACATAGGATTTATTTATTTATTTTTATCACTTTTGTTAAGAAATAAATAATAATAAAAAGAAATAGTTATTTATTTATATGTATTAACTGCAAAGCGATGAATATTTAAATTTATTAAACAGTAACATTTAAGCTGTTAATTTAGACAAGGGATTTATATTACCTGGTAAATTGACAATATCTAGACCATTTTCTTTCAAACTTCCGGTTTGTGCAAAATACTGTACAGTAGTATGCTGTCCCCATGTATTATTACAGGCTTTTGCCCTAGTCTCTAAAAATTTCCTTGCTGTCATAACAGCAACAAAGAGTGTTTTTCTCGGTCTGAGATTTTCTTCAGAAGCTTGTAAGTTATAAATTCTATTGGACTTTGCTCTAGGTTGAAAGCATATGAAGCTGCTCATTGAACTACCCATTAAATATCCGATAAATACTCCAAATAATATATATGCAGGATGTAAAAGATTAGTTTTCATTTTTTTACTAACATGCATAACTGCGATAAATTATTTTCTTTTTCTCAACTTGTCAAATAGCCCATCCGAAAGAAAGATATAGAAATCATATCTTGAAGATTTTGTCTTCATCCACAGGATATTTGCAGTCTTTTCAGTTTATTTTTGCAGGTTCTCCTTTTTTAATTTCTTTCGATATTAAATTTTAAAGTGAGATGACTAAACGTTGAAGCAGAAGAAAAATTGAAGTAGAAGAAGAATTAAGAAGAAATAGATTTAGAAGACAGAGAGAAATGGAAGCGGTAAATATATTAAAAACAGAATATAGCCTATTCCTTATAGTTGAATGAAATGACCGATCGATCAAGAAATATATATAGTAAAAATGGGCCATATTAATATGATTTGAAACCTTTCAAAGATTATTTGGTGAAAGAGGAATTGATTTTTTTCAAAGACTGGCCTGCTTTGGCGGCTCTTCTTGAATATACAGGATATATATATATATATACATTTATATTTTCTCATTAAAAATGAGTTTAAGATCACTTTGACCTGAAAAAACATTATGAATTACCTAAACCATTCACTAAATTGACACCTTCCGTAGATACAAATGTCCCACCTTATACTTTCTCTTAGCCAATAGGATAACATTAAGTACTAATGTGTTGTTTACAACAAACCGCACTACTGTTATATATATAATATTAATATAAGCATAGTAATAAGACCATATATGTCGAAATTTTCATAGTTATAGTCGATCACAAAAAACAGTTTCTATTTGACTCATTTTCATGAGTGGGCATAAGTATAAGGATTAGGCTTTACCTATACAAAATAATACCAAAACAAAGCTTTGTCGTTGTTGTTGTTATTGTTGTTAATCATTAAATAGTACATTGCCTTTGAAGTTCTTTCGTTTTATTATGACATTAATATTTTATTTAATTTTTAAAATTATTTTATCTAATCTATTAAAAAAAAGAACATCTGTTTAAAAAAAAATAAAAAAAAAACAACGCTGTTTTCAACTCGTTATCGATATCAACTACAAGATTAATTAGATTTCGAGTAATAAGTGTAAATCTATATTTTCTTTCTTTAATTAGGCACTATTAATAGAGTTTAACGGTAGAATATCTAAATAAAAAAGACAATTTATAACAGTAAATTATCTTTCGAAGACTTGTTTAATTATGTATCTAATTGTACGTGTAGAAATAATTAATTAATGCCTTTTCTAAAAGTTTTACATTCCCGCTAATAGTTTAATATTAGTCTCTAGCTTTTGATAAATATCATACATTTTTATAAAATGATATTAAATATGTTTTGAGACTATTCACCTGATTATCACTCATGATTTAGTAACACCCAAAATATGGCTGATAGTGCTAGTGAATTAGAAAGCGATACAAATTCCATGAATGACGGCCCAACAGCCCGACTGATGACTCCTAATCATATTGAGTACATGCAGAGGAGAATGGAATCGCTTCAACAAGAGAACGTTGTCCTTAAAACAGAGCTGGAAAAGTATAAACAAAGAGTAAAGACACTCGAAGATGATAATGTTCGACTAAGAAGGGCCAGTGTTTCAATAGTTCGTTATTTTTTTTATTTTATGAATATTTTTAAAAGTATACTTTAACAAAATCATTTAACGTAAATTTTTAGCAAGCTCGTGCTGAGCAAGAAGAAGAATTTATATCGAATACCCTTTTAAAAACCATTGAAACCCTCAAGAAAGACAAGGAAGAATTGGCAATGAAATACGAACAGGAAGAAGAATGCCTCACGAATGATCTCAGCCGAAAACTCTTTCAACTCCAGCAGGAGAAGCAAACCCTAGAAACAACTCTAGAACACGAACAACAAAAGGAAATAAATAAACTTAAAAAGAATACCGAACGCCTCGAAGCCGATATAAAACATAAACAAGCTTTGCTAGAGGAGCTACGTCGCGATAAAGTTCAATTAGAAAACGAGCTGGAGCACGAACAAGAGGCTCTAGTTAATAGACTTTGGAAACGAATGAGTACTCTTGAATCCGAGAAAAGACGTTTACAACAACAATTAAATGGTCATACAGATATTCCTTCACCGAGAAATAATATTGAAGATGATTCTAGTGCAGCCAGTTTGAGAAACGAAGTCTACCGACTAAGACAACAAGTAACTAATTTACAAGCTGATCATGAAAGGCGAACGGCCGAATCGGAAGCAAAAGAGAAATCAGCCAGAGAAGAAAATACCTATAAACATAGAAGACCATTACTGTCAGCACGCAGGGAGAGGAGTCTGAGTGAAAATTCGTCAGAAGTAATAAAAAGGTGAGTACTCTGCATAGATTTTTTACAGAACAAATGTAAAGATTTTTTTTATATCTGTAAAGGGCTAATACATCAAGCAGTAAGAATTAGTCCTACAGAAGAAATTATTGGCTCCTGCATTATCTTGAAAATGTCAAATTACCTTTCATTAGGAGAATTATTATAATATTCAACTTCTTGAAAAGTTACAGAACAATTGGGTTTGCTATGGTGCTGACTTTTTAATTTCCTCAATAGTTTTAAGGAAACATAAATATTTTTGGTGCTACTCCGACCCTCGGAAAAATATCGATAAGGACACCAAAAATACTCTGGCATCATAGATGATTTATTACAAACTGCTCCGGAGAAACTACCCTAAGAAAATTGGAAGATGTATTTTAACGCAAGAACTTCTATCATCGTTCCCCTTTATAGTGCTTTCTTTCTCGCTCTTGCTCTACAATGTATATTAAATGATTGCGATAATGATTGGTGTGTTTTTTTATTGTACACCATAATTTACTAAATACAACTATTAATCCTGGCTTTTAAATGTATAATGTTGTACACCCTCTTCCGGGAATTGTTTCGGCATCATAGGAACAAAAAATGGATAAGGTTCTAACAAATAGTATGTCAAAATTATTCCACCAAAACTACCAATGCACATGAGAGCCATTTTCCATGGTGGAACTTGCCATCTTCGGCTAGCATCCCATTTATCCTCCTGTATGATATCCCAATTAGTATGCATTGGTTCACCATAATTTCTCATCATTGTAGGTATATCCCAGTTTTGATAAGGGTCACGGGATTCGGCCGAAGTGTACGGTAGCTTCGGATAGTCACCATATCCAAATCCATCTTCAGGGTATGGCTCATAATCTTCTACTCGCAGACCATATTTTTTTGCTGCAGCTTCACGTTGCTCAGGAGTAACAGGATAGGGTCCTATTTGAAAATACAATCAATGTCACGGTAACCTACACTCACTTCAAGATAATCAATTAAATAGTTGTCTTACCTGGCCTCCAATCTTTATTCCAGTATCCTGCATACCTTACCGAAACACATTGTACTGATGTTCTTTCAGCTAAATTTGCTGAAATTCTAGCAAAACTTTTCAATAACACACTACCAGCCATACTTAGTCATAGCTACAATACGATTTTTCGTCAAAACTGAAAAGTTTTTTCAGTTCTTTCGTATGGTATTAGTAGTGTAGCGTGAGCTTTTCCTTAAAACAACAATAGATGGCGCATATTCCAAAATCTAGCCTTTACAAATCACAACTTTATCAATACTATTTCGTACCGAAAATTGTTCAAATTTTACAATGTCTTAATACTTTGATTATTCGGAAGCATAATAAATAGATCACCTGCAATCTTAATAGTTGTTATCAGTTGCAACACCAAATATTAATCAGTAATTACTACTCTATCGCTTTTTTGATATTAGTTATAAACAGAGACCGATATTAGGAACTTATATTTGTTGTACTTTGCTTAATTTCAATCGACCTTTCTACATACAAAACTGATCGCAAAATGTCTTTAGAGGATGCATATAGAAACATATCTCTAAAAAAACAATCTACTATAAACAATGTAAGTTACATTCTATAAAAACTATATAAAAATATATTTGATTAATAGTTATTTTACTGTGTAAATGTTTAAAGGAAAACAATTAAAGAATTAATATATATAATTAAAAAAACAGGATGGACTGAGAGTTTCTCATTTGAACAAATTTAATATTGAACTTGATGTGGAAACACCAACCACTTACGAATTATTTCTATATGCTGTTGAAAAATTTGGTAGAACGATTTGCATTGATTTCTTTCTTATCTTTTTTTTTTAAATATTCATATAACGTTGTAAACATATGTTTTGGCTCGTTTAGGTGATCAACCGTATTTAGGTCAGAGGACAGCTACTGAACCCCCTTTCGAATGGTTTACTTACAAACAGATATTTGAAAGAGCAAAATGTCTAGCATCCGGTTTTCAACATATAGGCATTATTCCCGGCAGTTTTGTAGGTATAGTAGCTAAAACAAGACTTGAAGTGAGTTTTCTATTTCCCGATATTAATATAACTTCATACATAAATACTTTGATTTTTGATTTTTAAGTGGGTTCTATGCGAAAGAGCTTTGCATATGTTCTCTGCGGTTGTGATTGGTCAATATGATGCTCAACCGGAATCGACTTATACTTATATCGCTAATGAAGGTTTTTTTGAGAAAGTAATTTAAATACCAAACTGATAGTTTTTGTTTCTGCCCTTTTATAGCTGAATTACCAGCTGTAATTGTTGAATCGGTGGAGATTGCCATGATTTATCTAAAGAATAAGGAATTGATGCATACGCTCAAAATAATTGTAGTTTTAGAAGAATATCTTGATTATGACATTGTTAAACTGGCGGTTGATAAAGGAGTTATGATTATTCCTCTTCATAAAGTTGAAGAATTAGGTTCAAAACACCCGAAACAACCATGTCCACCGAATCCTGACAATATTTGTATGCTTATATATACTAGTGGAACTACTGGTGATCCTAAAGGAGTTGTTATTGATCATAAAACGATAGTTAACAATGCAAGTACAACGGCTAAAACATCTTTGACTTCTAATTTGAGTTATGTTCATTTATCCTATTTGCCCTTGGCACATATTTTCGAGAGAACAATACAACTTTGTGTTATGTCTAATGGCGGAAAAATTGGCTTTTGGGGAGGTCAACAAGAAAATCTAGTGTTAGATATACAAGCACTTCAACCAAATGTTCTTATTGCTCCACCTAGGGTTTTAAATAAAATTCATGATAAGGTATATTTACCTTTGGCGTATCTTACTATGCATGTATACATTGACACATTCTCGCTACAGATTATGGCTCAATTACCTCCAGGGTCATTCAAAAGAAGTGTTTTCGATTTTGCGTTTTCTAGGAAGCAAGCATCCATGAATTATTACGAAAGGGTTATGAAGGATTCTATATGGGATAAAGTTTTATTCAAGAAATTTCAAAATCTATTGGGAGGAAATATTGAGATAATATATTCCGGAGGTGCTCCATTGTCCGATTATATTGCTAATTTCATAAGATGCGCTTTTGGTTGTTCTTTAATTGATATTTATGGTCAATCGGAAAATTGCGGCGTTGCTATAGCTGCCACACTGAAGCATGAATACAGATTCACTAAAGCTATTGGTCCACCTTCGTATGGTTCCGAAGTAAAATTAATTGATGTACCGGAACTGGATTATTTTGCTAAAAATAATCAAGGCGAAATTTTGGTTCGTCATAAATATAGAATGAAAGAATATTACAAGAAACCCGAAAAGACAGCCGAAACAATTGATGAAGAAGGATTTATCCATACAGGCGATATTGGGGAATGGTCTAAGGAGGGTGCATTAAAAGTTATTGATCGAAAGAAGCATGTTTTCAAAATGGCACAAGGAGAGTATATTGCCCCAGAAAGATTGGAAAAGCTATATCTTTCTAGTCCTTTTATTTGTCAAATATTTGTAGATGGTGACTCATTCCAAAGATATCCGATTGCCCTTGTCGTTCCTGACGTAGATAATTTAATAATATGGGCTAAAGAGAACGGTTTACAGTGTGATTTGAAAACTTTATGCAATGATAACAAAGTCAGAAAGCTAATCTTATCTGACTTACGTAGAATTGCAAAAATTGAAAAACTTAAAGGATTTGAACAGGTACAACAAATATTACATAATGGAATAGCGAATAATTAAATTATGATGTATTAATACATTAATTTCAACACAGATTGCCAATATTAAACTCTTAGAGAAAGAGTTGACTATAGAAGATGGATTATTAACTCCGACGTTCAAGATCAAAAGATCATCAGTTAGAAAGATGTTTAAACAAGATTTGAAGAATTTATACGAAAATATTGGAGATGTTAAAGCTAAACTTTGAACCGGAAAAAGGACATATTTTAAATATTTTACATTAAAAAGTTAAACATTCGCCAATTCTACAACTCTCTTTATAAAATTTTTTGTTATTCTATGGTCTTCTGCTCCTAAATTCATCTTTTGGGAGTCTATCGCTATGTATCCTTTCTTTATTTCTTTCACGATCTTTTGTAGTGTATGTTTTCTAATAGAAAACCTTTTCAAAAGTTTGTAAATTTCTATAGCAAGCAAGGCAGAGCACAATTCAAATGTAACAATCGACATAGCATTATGAATCATAATTTTCTACTTTGAAATCATAATATTCATAATATTGAATGGAACGGGCCAGCTCTAGGCTAGGTTAAAACATTTTAAGCAACTGCTTAAAAAGAAAGGACAATTGAATAGAGTACGATTGCTATCAATCTTTATATTTGCTCTTATTCCTAACTATGTATTATAGAACGGAAATTTTCGATGTTTTCGTTATATAATGTCTTATTCAAAATAATTTTTCTATAATATAGTTAAGTTATTTTAAATTGATATTTTAACTTTTTAAATAGGTTAAGCATTAAGTATTTTTCTCAATAGAGGGGGAAAATAATTTATAATAACTATAATCATTAATGTCAAGGTCAAATAATGTAGCAGACAGCCTTACTTTTATAAAAAATAAAATTAAAGTTTAATTATATTTTACCGCTTTCTTGAAAATCAAAATATGAAGAAAACAATTTTTGAGGTTTTTAATTCATTCAACGATATGATGATTCTATCTAATTAGAAAATATACATTCATTTTAGGCGGTAAAATCTATGAAGAATGGATCTCTGACGAGTACTCAACTCCTAAACACGTGCTTGGAAAGAGTAGAAAAAGCTAAAGACTTACAAGCTATAGTAACATTAAACGATGAACTATGTAAGATAAAAGCTGCCGCTTTAGACGCTAAGAGAGAGGGTACATTAATATTCGATTTATAAAAATTATTTACCAAATTTATTTTATATATGAATAGAATTAAGTGGAGATGAGTTAGGACCTTTACACGGAATTCCTGTAGCCGTTAAGGATAATTTTAGTACAGCTGGTATACGGACAACATGTGCCAGTCGAATATTAAGCGACTATGTACCAAATTATACAGCTACTGCAGTTCAAAAATTACTATCTGCTGGTGGTTTACTTCTAGCCAAAACAAACATGGATGAATTTGCAATGGGTGCAGGATCGGTTGAAAGTCACATGGGTGAAGTAAGGAATCCCTGGAATACAGATCGTGTTGCGGGAGGTAGTTCGGGAGGGTCGATTGTGTCTGTAGCATGCGGAGCTGTTTTTGCAGCCTTAGGATCGGATACAGGTGGATCCGTAAGAAATCCAGCGTGTTTTTGTGGAGTTGTAGGATACAAGCCATCGTATGGTTTAATATCTAGACACGGTCTCATTTCTTTGGAAAATTCTATGGACACAGTCGGCATAGCTGCGAGATATGTGGATGACGTAGCCTACATCTTGGATATTATTGCTGGATGGGATGCTAAGGATTCTACATCTGTTAAGAGGCCAGTTGACAAGGTGCAGTTAGACGAAGAGCCATCTGTTAAAGGTCTAAATGTTGGTATTCCCTACGATTTTCACGCACCTGGAACAAGTAGAGAAGTTATAGATGAATGGAGTAGAATTGCTGACGAATTTGAAAGGGCTGGTGCTAATGTTGTGAGTGCATCTCTACCCTCAACTCAATTTGGTATAGACGCTTATTACGTTTTATGTAAATCCGAAGTGGCATCAAACATGGCTCGTTATGATGGTATAGAATATGGTTTTAGATCAAATGGTGAAAGCACTGAACAGTTGTACGCCTCGACTAGGGCAATAGGTCTAAATGACGCTGTTAGGGAGAGAATATTAGCTGGAAATTATTTTCTATTATCAAGGTAAAGGCATATTTAAACACTCTTTATTAGCCTATAATCATATTTTGCCTTAAACGAACAGAAACTACAAGAAATACTACGAAAAAGCTCAAAAAGTTCGAAGAAAAATTGCGAACGAATTTAACGATACCTTTAATTCCGGAATAGATGTTTTACTAACTCCAGCAGTCCTTGAACCAGCTCCTAGATTTGATTGGTTTAAAGATAGCAGAAATAGAGTTAAGAGTCAAGATCATGATATTTATACAATTACGGTTAACCTGGCCGGTAAATATTTAAATATCTGAGAAGAAAGAATATAGATTTATCATACGGACTGAAAGATAATTATATTGTATTCTTTTTCCTTTCAGGTCTTCCTGCTGTTGTCGTTCCCACGGGATTAAATAAAGAAAATTTACCTATTGGCCTTCAATTAATTACACCATATTTGAATGATGTTAAACTATTAAATATTGCCAAATGGTTGGAAAATTATTGCTCATTTAAACAATTTGTCGATCGACAAATGAATTAACTTTTATAAGTTTTATTAAAAAATTTTTCAAGATATTCTTAGTTTCTATTTGAATAATTTTATTTCTATTTGATTAGCATTTTTGTGATAGTTTCCGTGCCAAATTCAGTGGAAAGGGAAGTAATTACACATTATTTATCTAAAGATCAAAGAAAGTTCTTTGGCCAATCGTTTTATTCCTTTTATTATTATAATTTTTCCTTTTATTCTTAATCTTTTTGACGGTTACTTTTACACGATAATGACAATAGTGCCCATTTTATATATTCATACATCAAGACAATATATTTTACTCAATTAAAAATAATCCTTAGATACTAATTAAATAGAAACAGTAAACCTATAAACTAATCATATGTTCATAATTCATACTATATTTTTTACCTTTCTTCAAGATGCAACTATTTATACGTCATCGCCGCCATAGGACTATAATATCTTAAAACTAGTATTAACTTTTTTGCCAACAGCCTAGATAGAACCTTTAAAATAGGCTTACAAAAATATACTTTTTAGTTGGAAAAATATTGTCTTAATTAACTATTTTTCATGTTATTTGTGAACTTATAGAGAAAAATTTACAAACAAACACGTTTCTTTAGTTGTCCAAAAGGCTGACCAAATATTTATTTATACGTTGAAAAAAGTTGTCGCTAATTTCTGTCATTCAATCTCCTGTCTTTCACTTTTAAGGATTTGATGAGTTAAAGTAGTATACTGTATATATATATAAATGTACTGTATATGCCATCACACATAGTAATGTGTTTATGTTTAATATGTAAGACTCAACTTAAAAAAAAGACAGGCACGGGATTGAAAAAGCCTTGAACAGTTTGGGTTTGGATACTGTTAGCTGTTAATTTTTTGATATAACAAGTAAGATTATAACATTTAAATTTATTAAGGTTAATCTATTAATACTTTATAATTTATTAATAATTTTCAAGTACAAAAGTATAAGAATTTTTAACTAAAATGGAATGTTTTTTACAGTAGTTTAGTATAGAATTCTTATACTTTAATCGTTCTATGATTTTTTTATTATTGTTAATCATTGCGTTATCCTTTTCTAATTTTACACATAATCTTTTCTATCCACCTCATCTCGTCTCCTTTCGTCCCCTCGCCTATGCTTGCACAGCTTACTGTCTCTTTCACCCCCCCTAACCCCCTTCCCCCCCCCACCTTAAGTACCTAACCAAGGCCAATTTATTGATCCTTTTGGCCTACAACTTCTCAATAGCGATTTATAGAAGAAATTTTAATTTAACCTCATACCTTCACTTACCAGCCTGAAGCGAGCGTCATAACTTTACCATAATAGTTTTGGGAATTACTCATAGTGATTAAAATTTGCTGATACTTAACAAAAGAAGAACGCTTAATTCTAAGACTAGAATAATAAACTATAAAAAGAATTTCTTCATGGAGATTTCAATACAGGTATAACAGAAAAATCGGCAAAATTGAGGCAGAAATTAAAGAGGATATGATTGAACCTGAGCGCCAATCACGGAATGCAGGAAATGGGAAATTCCAGTTGTTACATCCAGCTTATATCTTGACTGGAGTGTTTATAGGATATTTAATTGGTAATACTATAACACCGTTCGTCTGTGATACAACTGAGAAAATTTTATCAATGGAAGACAATTCGGTTGTTACGAGTAACCAACCTGATGAATTTCGACCTAGAAAAACTATTTTCGTAGCTGTAATGACAGCTGGAAAGTTCTTAAAAACGAGAGCATCGGCGTGTAATAAAACTTGGGGCCAACATGCAACAGTAGAATATTTTGCCCAAACTGGAAGTTGGCGAGAAAATCACCTAAGAGTTGTCAATTTGAAAGGTAAGCATAATTTTATTTTCCTTAGGCATTTTTTTCATCTTACGTTATTATAAAAATATTAAAGACAAGGTTAAGGTGCGGTCATATGACTAACAACACTCCTACACCTAAGAATAATAATTTAATCTATTATTGTACTCAAAGTATTAAAATTATTATCCTCTTTTAATAATGTATCAAGAAATTAAAAGAAAAGTAAATAAGACGAAGAGAAAATGACACTCTTTCTCATATCAATTCCCTTAGTATTAAAGATTGCGGTGATCATTTGTAATTTTTACTGATTTTATTGTCAACTACGAAGGCGTTTTAAATTACTTCTATTGACTGTATATTATATTACACGTATGTTTAATTAGTATTATGAAAATCAGGATTAAACAAGATATTTGATTTACCTACTACTTGATCTTACTGTACTTGCTGAACTTTCGCTTTTAGGTACAGCCACAAGGGAAAAGTCCTTCATTCCAAATAATAGACATACTTAGCTATTTTATGAATTATTATGGGAAACAATGCTCACATTTTTAGATATTATTACCATCAAAAGCTTTTTAACAACGGCCTACTATTTATATTATTAACTCACTTACATATACTGTTATACATCTTGATCTGCCTGTAGATTCCTTTTTTAGTCTTTCGTCTAGTTTTTACTTTTAAAATTTTTGTTACAAATGAATTATGAGCCGATTTCTTTATTCTCTCTTTCCACTTGTTTTTATTAATTATCAATTGTTTTTGTAAAAAATCACTTATTATATAAATATATTCTAATTTATTCGTTTTATTTTAGGCGTCAATGATAGCGTTTATCCTCCTCAAGAAAAGGCGTTTAAAATGATCAAGTATATGTGCGATAATTATATCGATCAATACGATTGGTTTCTACGTGCCGATGATGATGCTTACTTCAAAATGGATAAGCTAGTTCCTTTTCTAAATTCTATCGATTCCGACAAGAGGGTGTGTACTGTATTTCATAACGTTTTCAATACAATTAAAATATTTCCAATTTATTACAACGCCTTATAACTAACCATCTTATATTTGTATATTTGTATTGGCTCCACCCTATCTATTCATATTCAACTTATTTTTAATTTCTTGTCTCCTTCCTTCATTAAAAAGAAGTTTCTATACTTCATCAAAAATCATATATCTCTTTATATTCAACAGCTGTATGTTGGACAAGCGGGGTTTGGACGAGCGGAGAAAAAAGGTAAATTAGGACTTTCCGGTTACGCCTATTGCATGGGTGGACCTGGAATGTTTCTCAGTCGAGCTACTCTGAAAGGTAAAAACAAATTTCAATCTCAGCACATTTCCATTTATAGAAATGATCTTGAAGAAAGAAATAATATTCTGAAAGAGTTTCTTTTCTGTCATCAGCCATGTGCCCATACGTCGATAATTGTATTAATAATGTTGTCTCGACACACGAAGACGTTGAAGTCGGCCGTTGTATTACTCAACTAACAGGCGCGCAATGTTCATCCAACTACGAAATGAAAGAACTATTCTATTTCAATTATCGTGAACGTTCCGGAACTTTCTCTCATTCACTTGAAGAAGATAGAGATCAAATAGAGCACGCCATCACTTTACATCCAATAAAAAATGATACATACGTTTTTCGAATGGAGAATTTCTTAAGAACAACAAATCTGAAGAAACTCCATCATAAAACAATTGAAATTCAACGAAAAATCAAACATATTGAACGAGATATTCATGCCAAGTCTAGAAAGATTAAACGTTCAATCTCCGATCATTTCAGAGTTGGTGATGGCGAGCAGAACAGAGTAAGCAAACCACCGTCATGGAATAAAATTAAGCCAAAGACTAGGGAGCACGTTATTCCTTGGGATAGCATTGATAGTCACAGTATTGCTACAATAAATAATCAAGTACCGAAGAGAAAGTTCCAAGCCACATTTAACGAGAGCTTGGGAAAGATATTAAAGGAAGTAAATAGAATTGTTAATGTTAATGAAGATCATACAGGATATCACAATGATCTAAGTCAATTCCGGCTTGGGTACAAACGAGTAAATCCATTCTCTGGAGTGGATCATTTACTTCAATTTCAACAGCACTACAAATTCCAGAAGAAGAAGAAATCTCGGAAAATCCAGTTTGGAACACATCAGGCATTTGGCAGTTTGCAATCCCGATTGGTATCCGTAAATGATGATCTTCCCAACAAAGGATTTTTCGAAAGTCTGAAAGAAAAGTTCTCGGATGGATTCAGAATTTTTCAAAAGCCGAAAATAGCGAAAGTAAATTCGAGTTGTGGCCGAATTGGGAAGACTTTAAACATCGTTATGCCCCTGTCCGGCCGATATAGGACATATCTTCGTTTTATGAGGAATTTCGAAGAAATTGCACTTAAATGTGAAGAGAGAGTTAGTATAGTTATAGTATTATCGGCTATTGATCCAGAAAATCGAACTGATGATATGGTGCTTCATATGAAGAATTTGGCTAAGCAATATCCAAATCATAACATTCAATCGATTGTGGTTCCTGGCAAATTTTCAAGAGGAATTTCTCTTGACAGAGGAGCTCAATTGTTTGCTAAAAGAGATCTTGTCTGTTTTGTAGACGTGGATCTGATTTTAAGCAGAAACGTTTTACAGAGAATGGCCCGAAATACCATTAGAAATATTCAGGCCTATTATCCAATAATGTTCAGTCAATTTGATCCGGGAGTCAGGTGCTCTTATGGTGGAAAGTGTAGTCTACGTAATAATTTGTTCTCATTTGAAGAGAGTATGGGATATTGGAGACAAAGTTCATTTGGTATGGCGTGTGCCTACAAATCGGACTTGGATAATGTTGGAGGTTTTTTGACTGCCATAGAGGGTTGGGGAAAGGAAGACTTGGATTTATATGATAAATTTACCACACATAATGTTCAAACAATGCGAAGTATCGATCCTGGAATGGTTCATGTATTTCATCCAATTCTGTGTCATCTAATCACTGAACCAACTCAATATAAAATGTGTTTAGACGTTAAAGCAAGTACGTATGCATCGTTGTACGTTATGTCTGCAAAAGTTTCGTCTACATCAGCAATTTATGGACGAAAAAGTAGAACAAAAGCACTTTCTGTCAAATACTAGAATATATAAATTAATGGAGGGAGAAAGAGCAAAGGGAATTTTTGAGAATGGGAATGGGAAATTCGTGGAAAAAATTTTTTTTATACATGCAGATTACATTTTTCTAATATAAATGAATTTATTTTTTTTCCTGTAAATTATTTATAGGATTTTTCTTTCGAATTGTTTGAGAAAACTCCAAAAAATGATGTTTTTTTTATTTTTTTGTGCAGCAAAGTAATTTTTTTCATAGAAAAAATAAACTTGTTATATGTTTTACTTAAAGGAAATTTGATTAATAATCTTAAATATTTTCGAGAATGGAAAATGATCATTAAATTTTTATTTTTTGAAGATTTTTCAAAGATATGAATAAAAAGAGTAGGAGGAAATAGCTGGTTTTTATGAGCTATTCATCGTGATCGTAATTCATGACGTTATTCTTTCTTTCCTATTGTGGCGTAAAATTTTTGAACTAAAAAAATAAGCTTTATTTGTTAGAGGGCATTCCTCTTGAGTTAAACAAACTACGAGATGGTGTAAGATGTTAAGTCAACAAGTACTTAAACAAGTGTTACGAACCATTTCTATATATACAGGATATATGTTTTGGAAATTGTAGCAAACAAACGTATTCTTCTTACGCTTGATTTACCTATTGACGTAGAAAAACAGTCCATTATTCATATTAAATTCTTGAAAGCTGTACTCAATCTCTGTTCCCACTTTTATACGACTAATAGTTATTATGGTTGAAATACTCAGAATGACAACTAATAATAATAGTGTTAGCCAGCTCAAGTTATAAATAGCATGTATTGTTCTGGTATTAGCCATGTAAACATATCTCAAGATTCGAGAAAGGAAGTAAATATCTTCTTTTTAAAAAACTCACTTTTCGTAAACTATAAATATTAGACAATATATCTATAGTAATATTAATTGAAATATCACATGAGTGATATAGCATTACAGTTTACTTATAAAGTGTGGTCAATTTGTATTTGATACATTATTTGCATTTGGAAGGTCACATATAATAGAAACATTTATTAAATAATAATAATTGAAAAATTGATTCACACGATCAATTGGTCATTTCTTTTTAAGCATATAAAAGTAAGGAAAATTGACAAAATTAAGTCACATTACATATATTTCACTTTCATACAATATGAAACGAATGACACGTTTTTCTCTCTATTCACTTAGAAAAATTTTCTGTTTGACAAAAAAATTCTGACTATGACATAAAATAATAAATAACTTAACTACCATTTTCACTTATTTATAATTTGTAATATAAAAATGCTAGTTTAGTCTCAATAGTTGAAAAAAAATTTAATTTAATTTCAATTAAAATCATTAAGTAAAAAGTTTTCTCTTTTCTTTCAGGACTAGTAAGATCAACCTTTTTTTGTTTTCTAAATGCATTTTAATGTAATAAATTGTATATAGTAGTCATTTAAAAAAAGTTAGAGACATTTCCAAATTCCTGGCATTGAGTTCTTAACGAATGTTATATTATTTGATGAGATAGCAAAACGGCTTTTTAAGGGATTGTATGGTTATTAAAAATAACCGCAAACATGTTTTTGTAAAAGTGCACCTAGCGCTATCGCTATAGAGCAGTTCAGTCAATCTTGGAATATGAAAATATAAGAACTCCTGTCCGATAAATGAAACACTTGCAGTTTCTTTTGTAATGTTATAAAAGTTGGAAAACTTTGGACTTTCGAATAAACATTTCAGATTTTTTTAATAAAAAATATATCTGTAAATAGAAACTTCATTTCTATGTTATTTTTAGAATAAATATACTTGTAAATATATTTATATATCCGTAAAAAAACTGCTACCTAAGCTATATTGATTTAACTACATTTTTGAGACATAAAATTTCACTCTTTTCTGTCTTAAAGTTTCTTCTTACTTACCTTTCGTCATCCATTTCCAAAGAACTTTCACTCTGCGATAAGTGACTTCTTAATATTTCACCCCTTTCAACTTCTTGTTCTAATCTTTTCTGGAGACGAGCATTTTCTTCTCTTATTAACTTTTCTTCGGTTTCTAATTCTGCCGTTCGCCTTTCATGATCTGCTCTGAGATTTGTTACTTGTTGTCTTAGTCGATAGACTTCGTTTCTCAAACTGGCTGCACTAGAATCATCTTCAATATTATTTCTCGGTGATGGAATATCTGTATTACCATTTAATTGTTGTTGTAAACGTCTTTTCTCGGATTCAAGAGTACTCATTCGTTTCCAAAGTCTATTAACTAGAGCCTCTTGTTCGTGCTCCAGCTCGTTTTCTAATTGAACTTTATCGCGACGTAGCTCCTCTAGCAAAGCTTGTTTATGTTTTATATCGGCTTCGAGGCGTTCGGTATTCTTTTTAAGTTTATTTATTTCCTTTTGTTGTTCGTGCTCTAAAGTTCTTTCAAGAGCTTGCTTCTCCTGCTGGAGTTGAAAGAGTTTTCGGCTGAGATCATTCGTGAGGCATTCTTCTTCCTGTTCGTATTTCATTGCCAATACTTCTTTGTCTTTCTTTAGAGTTTCAATGGTTTTTAAAAGGGTATTCGATATAAATTCTTCTTCTTGCTCAGCGCGAGCTTGCTAAAATGTCAATTAAATGTAATTTAAATAGTCTGTTTATGTCTTAGTCGAATAATAATTTGTAACAAAAGAAATTAAAACTACAAACTATTGAAACACTGGCCCTTCGCAATCGAACATTATCATCTTCGAGAGTCTTTACTCTTTGTTTATACTTTTCCAGCTCTGTTTTAAGGACGACGTTCTCTTGTTGAAGCGATTCCATTCTCCTCTGCATGTACTCAATATGATTAGGAGTCATCAGTCGGGCTGTTGGGCCGTCATTCATGGAATTTGTATCGCTTTCTAATTCACTAGCACTATCAGCCATATTTTGGGTGTTACTAAATCATGTGTAATAACCAAGTGAATAGTCTTCAGACATTAGCGACTTAGTAAAAATCTACATCTGCTCGAGACTATTCAGTTGCAATGTAAACATAATCGAATATTATTCCAATTGATTTTAGTATTGCGATATCCATTTGAGTCGTTACATAAGTTTTAAGTTTTCGTCTGTAATACCTAATATTTGGAAATACCCAGATATTTCTATGAAATTTTGGGAAATTTCTAGTCATTAAAATTTGATTTCGCTGTAATTTTTTAGTTAAGGGGAAAAGATAAAATTATAAATTACAGCTTTCTGGTAATATCGTTCAATTATGCCGAACTGGGAATTTCATGACCCCAAACCCATCGTTAGGATTTACATTCCTTATGAATGTATGAATGCCCCTACGGGTAATCTTATCGGTTGGAGCAATAGAAAGACTAGAATAATTTGTGTGACAGGTATTGTTCGAAATGGAGATGTTCGTTCTATAAGAGATTGGTTGCGAGAAAGCAAGCTGAGTGAAGGCTTTGGTTATAGTATTAGACAATTGGGAGTTTGGTTTAGAAATGATGATTTGACAGTACCATCGATCATTAGTTCATATATCGTTCGCTTTGAGATTGTTGCATGTAGAAAAAAAGACGACGTGCCAATTATTCATCTCAGCCCCGTTTGGGATTGTAGTGAAGCAATGGTTATATTATATAGTGCAGAATATGTACAGCAGTCTGCCTTGTTGATGCAATCGGCTGCAGATTGGATAGATGATGGGGAAAATGCTACAAAACTCATGGAAGGTACACACGTCAACCAGCTTAGTCGAGCCCTGCATCTACAACAAAAAGTTTCTCAAAAGTGTAACATTTCTCTGGATGTAATTGACACATCTTCGTGTATGCTTAAACCCTGGAAAATACGTGCACTTTACAATGCTTTCACCTATTTACTGTATCATATATTTAGTATAGTGTTTTGGGTTCCCCGTTGTCTATTTCGTCTGGAGTAAGACTATTTTATACACTGCCAGCTTTAGCAATAAGTAATAATTAACTTATAATTTTTTTCCCCAAATAGGGAATGCATCAAGAATAGTATTCTAAAAAGGATCATTTTGCTAACATTTGTTGGAAAGAATTTGCTTGAGCATTATCAGGGTTTTCAATCCTTGAAAAAGTACGATATTAATAATCCATTATGCACCTTGAGGTAAATAATACAAATTTGCTGATCTACATCTCCTGCAATTATCCGTTCGATGAACAGGTTATTAAACTATTCTGTTAGACGAATTATAGACATAGTGGTTGGAATATGTACAATCTATTTCTTAAAAGATATGTTTGATACCGAAAAGTGCTCTGATGAACTTCTTCTTGTAGCTAATGTTTGTTTTGTTTGTTAATTTAGCCTGCAAAATTATTTATTATTGCTTTTATTATTTTATTTAGAGTATTGTTGAACATTTAAGACTTCTTATAAAATGGCTAATGGGAAGTCCGGCTGGATTAAAGCTAAATTATCAATTGAGTCACTTTCTTGGAACTTTTTTCCTTTATCACTTCTATTTGTGGATGGGTAATAATTTCCTATCTTCGTAGTGAAAGAAACAATTTAATCTCTTTTCTATTCTCCAGGCTACTTGAATCTTATTAAACCATGGATTGCAATGATGCTAAACCTTACTTTATGGATAGGAGTATTAGGTGTTTCCTATCAAATAAGCTTCTGTATTGATATTTTTAATATGATGACTTTGCACATATACTGCTTTTACGTTTACGCATCAAGGTAAAAGATTAAAAATTTGCGCTAAAAATGTTTGAATTGTTATAAACCATATTTTTACTATTATTTAGATTATATAAGCTTCAAATGAAAGGTGTTTCCTCTTTATTTTTACTATTTCGAGGTAAAAAGAAGAACGTTTTGAGGAAGAGGATAGATACTTTGTCATGCGATGTCGATACACTGTTTGTTGGGACCTTATTCTTTTGTATTATTCTTTTTCTGTTTCCAACAGTTTTAACCTATTATGCAGTTTTTACATTGGTAAGTTTAATAATATTCATAAAGTAGTGTTTATTAAAATGTATTTAAAACTTTTTAGTTGCGGTTATTGGTACTTATTGTGCAATTTATACCTCAACAATTTGTTATGTTTCTCAATCGCATCCCCTTTTATTCGTTTTTATTGAAAATGATTCGTTCAAAAACTGTTATGGGTAAGTTTTCTACACGAACATCTTTCGTTTTTCTTTAGTTCTTTTATTTTTAGATAAAGTAACTTTTAAAGTAGTTGAACCTGATAGAAACGGAGTTGTCTATTTATGGATGAAAGTATGTATTATAACATAAAATTATTCCGTCTATTTATAACTATCTTCCTATACAATTTTTACTATTTTAATAGTTGGAAGCAGCTTCATGCCACGAACTCATTAGCTATGATCGATTAGAGCAAAATGAACCTTGGGAGATTTTTTCTTTCTTAAAGAAACTAGTAATGGGTGATTTAATTTATCCGTGGATGGAAAAGACACATTTGAAGAGAAAATAAAGAGGGAAAATCAGATATTTTTCTCTCTCTCTCTCTCTCGCTTTCTTATGAAATTTATTTATTACTACGTTTACTTTTTTCTAAATCATTTTGCTTCATTGTTAAGAAATACTTCTCTCATTGTTAAATGTTTATTTTGTAAACAATGTGTACCAAATGTATACCTTCTATTGTTAAATTATTTGAAAATTATCAATGTTTTCTTTACTGAAAAAGAAATAAAATAGAGTATATAATTGTTATAAAAAATGATTTATTTTCTATTGGGAAATCACTGTTGCTAGTAACAACATAATGATCACGTGACAATTCAACCATTTTCAGAGTATTCAGCTATTGAGCTATTGTGTAATATAAATAAAATTTCTGTAATTCTAGATATTTATAAAGGTATAAACGTAAATATACAGTATACAGTATATAAATATATATAAGACATTTAAAAGTAAGGATTAATTACTTGATGCAACAAATATATTAAGACTTTCCGACAAGTTTAATATTAAATTAAACCTACCATTCGAACTACTACGACACAAGATGTGTTATTAAAGTTAGAGTAATATAGAGGTCTATCGTATGTATTTCCTTAGGTCGGCTTAGCCGAGTGGGTACTTCATGAGATTGAAATGTTTATAAGCTTGAAGTTCCCTTTCAAACGCTTTCTCACCCACTGGCGCAACCCGACTTTTTTTTTTTTCATGAAATATCCTTTGGTCAAGCATTTTACTATATTTAATAATAAATGTACTTTTACCTGATGTATATGAATTATAGTACATTCTATAGAAATTGACAATCCATCGTTCACTTTATATTGCTGTTAACGTCGTTTTTTCACTGAGCCGGCTTAGCCGAGTGGGTACTTCTTATTTCAAGCGAACTTATGTTGATAGTCACTTCAAGCCATTTGGTTTCCCATTGGCGCAATCCGACTTTTTTTTTCTTTTTTATGAATTATTCTTTTGGTCAAGCGTTTTAGTATATTTAATAATTAATGTATGTTTACTCCATATAAGTAAATATAGTAGATTCTATAACAATTAACAATCTATCGTTTTGCTTTATATTGCTGTTAACGCTGTTTTTTCTTCGAGCCGGCTTAGCCGAGTGGGTACTTCTTATTTCATTGAAACTCAAGGTTGGACAGGCACTTCAAATTCTTTAGTTCCCCACTGGCGCAATCCGACTTTTTTTTTTTTGTTTTTTTAATGAATTATTCCTTTGGTCAAGCATTTTAGTATATTTAATAATTAATGTATGTTTACTCCATATAAGTAAATATAGAATATTCTATAATAATTAACAATCTATCGTTTTGCTTTATATTGCTGTTAACATCGTTATTTCTCTGAGCCGGCTTAGCCGAGTGGGTACTTCTTACTTCAAATACAAAAAGATTGAATGAACACTTCGAATACTTAGTTCCCCACTGGCGCAAACCGACTTTTTTTTTTTACTTTTTTCTTTTTTTTCTTTTTTCTAATCTAATTAAAATGGTTTTTAATGATGTTTCTATACCTGATAAGAATTTTACATAAGTAAGCATGTATTTAAATGACTCGTTCTTGCTTAATATATTGCAATCGGTTGAGAAATTCAATCGAATATAATTCTATTTATATAGCTCTGAAATAGTTGAAAATCTTCGAACTGGTAAGGTATGGGATTTAATCCTACTAATTATAATAGAGTCTTGTTACAAACCCATCGGCGCAAAACAATTTAATGGTAATTGTAAATTTATATACCAAACGGTAGATGGAATAAATGTAAATTCACGCTGCAGAATATGTTGAAATAGAAAAAAAGGCGAAGTGGGTACTTCGTCAAGGGATCCCTCAAATAGATAAGAATGTCTGTTGCCCCACTGATGCAATTTTATTTTAATAAAAAACCAGATGGCGTTAGTTACATTAATATAGATATATATATTGTATATACGGTGTATATATTTTCTCTGTATTCTAATTATAAAAATACTTTTTATCTCCATATAATTACGAATATATAGAGGAAATGTTTATAACTCATTACAGAATGTTTATGCTTTGCTAAAAATCAATAATGGAATAAGTATGGTCTTTTCCTTAGTCCTTTATTTTTTTATGAATTGTGTAAGGAAAATTTCAAGTAAAATTTCAGATCTTTAAAAAGAAAATGTATATAAAAAGGCACTTTACAAAGGTAAATACGAGAATTCTTTAACAAATAAAGGAGTAAATAGACAGTGGAAAAAAGAGAATAAAGCGAATAATAATAAGACTAAATTTTAGATCACAAGCCTTTTGATGTTAAGGAAATTCTGGAATAGCTTTCTTTACTATAATTAATGATATTGAGTAATTGACGGAGAGGAAGGGAAAGAGAAAAAGAAAGAGATTGAAATAGATAGGATAGCGAAGATAAAATAGTGTTTATAATATCAGCGAAGAAAATACAAAACATAAAAGAAATAATAATTGTAACTGATAACGAATCTGTTTTATTTATCTCCTATTCGAAATTTAACCAGTGAAGTATAAATTTGAAAAATAATTACGAACATATATAAAAGAAAATGAAAAGTTTTCCGGTTCTTCTTGATCATGCATATCATTTTTCCAAATGTCTGTAAAACATAGAGAAAGATTAGTTAACATGAGGAAAATATCAAACAGACAAAGAGAGAGAGAGAGAGACGGAAAAGATATGTAATTTTGTGTTGTAGAAAAAGAAAAGATAAGAATAAAACATGAAAAGCTGTTTGAAAAGCAAGATAAAAAGGTCAAGATAAGATTAAAAAGCAAATAAAAAAAATCTATAAAAGAAATAAATAAAAAGATATTTTTAGCAAAAATTTTCCTTCATTTCCTTCTTTTTCTTTCATTGTCTATGTTTGTTTACATTATATATATATATATTGTTTTTTATTCTATTTAGAATAGAACTGAAAGCAAATCCAACTTTACTATCATCCTTTAATCAGTGAAAAAAATTCTGATGGAACTTAATAAAACAACAAAAGAAATATTTTAATTAACAAATTACAACCTTTCTCTAGTCTAATAAATAACGACGTAAAAAAAACAATTCATTAAGGCTGTTTTTTCTAGATAAAGTTTCACCTGATTTCAATAGTTCATTTGATATTGCTTATTAGCGTAAGCTAATGTATTCTTCTACCTCCAACTTTCCTTAGATATACCCAGAAGAAATGTCGCTATTTTACGGATACGACATTTAATTAGTTGAGGGAAAAAAAAGTTTCTTTTGATTGAAAAAGAATGAAATTACCTTATAGCGAACGACTTCCTTCAAATATAACGCACGAATTTTTGCCCTGCAAAAAAGTCATTTGCTGATTATCGTTAAAAGCCTTGACAAGCCCCGTTTTTTTTACCCTTCCTCCTTATTTCCCTTACCAACCAACTCTTTAGATGTTTCTACATGTATACTTACACATAAAGAATACTAATGTAAGTTCCAGTTCCCGCGAATATGTGCCACCATGCATGAAATTGCAAGACAGGTTTAATAGGATATCCAATACCTGATCTAATTGACCTATTTATTAAAGGAAAAAGTTATATATAAATTATTTAGAAACATTTAAAAAATGACAATTAAATTTTTAAATGAATATTAATATACTAAGTAAATAATTACTTTAAATGGGAACAGGCTCTTACATCAATTTGCCAGAGGAAAAATCCGAAAGCATAGCTAAATAAACTCAAATAGTAGGTCATTCTATCTCTTTTACAAGCTTTAAACTTTTGCATAGACCTAAATCCAAGAATGACCATTGTTAGGACTAAAAGGCCATATGCAGTCTGAATAGGGGAATGACATAATGTATTATGACGTATATAGATAATAAGGGAGATGGATAGATAGATAGATATACAGACAGACAAACAAACGAAGATTACTTACTTGGAATAATTCTGGTTCGGGGAATTTCAAATAAATCTATTGAATTAATAATAATATATATAAATACATATATTAGTATACATATACTATATATATATCTATGTAAAACACCAACTATTGTCGAAATAATACCATAAACAACAAGGAAAGTATTTAATATTACTCCTCCTTTGCTTTGATCAATATTCCAACTGTATAGAAAATTAAAAGGTTAATTACCAAAGACACACATACAAACAAATACAAAATCTATATAGAATTACATTGTATAAATGAAGACCAAAGATCCATATAGCATAGGTAATTCGTCCAACAGCTATTATAGAATTATAGGGAAAAAATAAAAAAGTTAATTATTTGTGATTCGATTACGTAATATAAGATAATTTCCCTTTTTCTTTTGTTAATTTACTATTTTAGGATATGTTATGCTTACTTGTGTTTCGTATATTAAGGTCATATGAAAGAACCAAGATCCTATTCCAACGGCTATTTTAGAAGGAAAAGTTTTTAGTGCTATTATTGCTGATTTACTTCTCTTCTCCTATTCCCCCCTCCTCCATTTCTCCGATGCTTGTATTTAGTAAAGGAAAAAGAAGAAAAAGAAACTAACTGGCTAGAGATAAAAGACTCAGAATGTATCTTAATTCCATATTATCTCGCCATGCTAAAAATATTCCAAAAAGAGGAGGTATTATCATGGCAAGATTACTTATTGTGTTCCCTAGAAAGAGGAAGATTTATAGATAATTTAAGATCTTTCAATGATCTAATTGTCTTAATTTAATTACTAACAAAATTCTGCGAAATAAGGCGATACTTCATACTTAGCTTCACACCAATTCATCGTTGATGTGATATCACCCCATAGACCTTCAAAATCTGGCTCGATTTTTCTTAATTCAGCTCGATTACCCCATCTTGTTGGAGCCATATTTTGTGAGATGTTATGAAATGAACAAGTTGTTCTAGTTGAACACTTAACTACTTATTACAAGCCTAAACTAGCGTCAGTCAACTGTAAAATATTCAACACCAGTTTTCGTTGACTCTTTTTGGCCTATACTGCTTTTTTTAAAAGAGCGTTTATCCTGAATGAAGTATAATTAAAAATGTTCTACAAAGAGAGCAGCCATATATGTATATATATATATATGCATATATATTAGTATATATAGTAGAATCTATAATGTTGAAAAGAGATAAAACCGTAAATTGAATAAATTATTTTCTGTAATAATAAGCACTTATTGTAAAAGAATATACAATAAATCTAAAGAGTGCATTAAATGAAACAATGATAATAACAGTATTTATAATAATATTGATAAATTATTTGATGGCATTGTTGCATTCTTTTGACTTAGCTACGCAGTCAGAAAAATATTTAAGTTTCTCTACAAATATTACATAATACAAAGAAAAAAATGGATGAAATTTTTGAACAAAACAAAAGAAAAAGAATAGAACAAAAAGATCACTTCAACAGTTATCACAGTAACAGACAGATTCAAATTGCTGAGTTATGCTCACGTCTCATATGTACGGCTAAATGACCTCGATTAGCACAAATCTCACCGCATCTATCGCATTTAGGCGAAGTTGCCGAAGATTTATTAGACGTTGTCGTCGTTACCCCCTTTGATGTTGTTTTTACAACGACAGATTTTCCATTGTGCAGTCGTTTATGGGCGGCTAAATGAGAAGTCAGTTTAAATTTTGCTGGACACTGGTCACAGGCATGAGGTCGATCTCCGCTGTGGATTCTTTGGTGTTTCCTTAGATCCGAGGCCATAATAAATGCCTGACCGCATTCGAAACATATATGATTTCTATCGTTGGTGTGAGTACTAACGTGATAAGATAGGGAACTCTTTGCTGAAAAAGATGCATTGCATTGAGAATAGGGGCACTTGAATGGTTTTTCATGAGCATGAACTGCAGCAATGTGCTGAGTAAGTGCGTAATGAGATTTATATGTTTTATTGCAGTCGCTATCTGCGCACTTAAATGGCCTTTCTCCAGTGTGAACCCTTTGGTGAGCCGTCAGGTGATGTGGAGATTTAAAGAATTTATTGCATTGGCTGCACTCGTGCTTGCCGTCTGATTTACAAATTGCATTAGAATCTCCGTGCTTTGCAGCCATGTGGGTAGCTAATTGCTTAGGCATTTTAAAACGAGCATTACAGTCCTTACAAATATGTTGTGCATCAATAGAGTGAGCCCTTGCTTGGTGACGTAACAAAGAACGTCGTTCGGTAAAAGTTGCTCCGCACTCCTCGCATTCATCTCTTTTATAATCCTCCCGATGACGACGAGCGTGCCTCGTCATAACATCTTTTCGTGAAAAGGTTTGCTGGCAAACATTGCAGACGTGGCGACCCGTTTTTTGGGCAGAAGAGGTGGCGGGTGTCGGAGGAGAATCGTGAGTTCTCAAATGCGCTACTAACGCACTTTCCCGTTTAAAAGTGGCGTTGCAAAAGTCGCACATATATTCAACAGGAAGGACGGAAGCCTCTTCAACATTCTTATCAGTTGTGATCTTCGTTGTTTGAACATTGTGGCTCGGAGTTACACTCACAACCGAGGCTGGTTTTGGCTGTGCGGTTGTCGTCGATGTTACTTGTACTTGAGGAATCTGTACCGTTGTCGTTGTTATTAGCGTTTTTGGTGTTATAGTTGTTGGAACTTGGGCGGAAGAAGTCGTGACAACGGACTGAGAGCAAGTCTTTGGTACGTGAGAGAGCGGCAGCGACTGTTTGGAACACAAGTTTAGCGACAAATTGGAGCTGGCTATTGTTTGCAAAAGTGTTTTGGTCGTTGAAGTTGATGAGGTAACTTCGGTTGACGTCCTCGTTGAAACTGGCATAGAACGATGAGATAGAGGAACAGTATAAGATTGAGGAGGAGGAGGAGGAGCAGGAGCGGGAGCAGGAGCAGGTGCAGAAGCAGAAGTAGGAGGAGGAGGAGGAGGAGGAGGAGCAGGCACAGCTTCGTGAATCAGCTGATTCTTTTCCTGCCTTCGTTGTTGATTAGGCTTGCTGCAACTGACGTGGGAGAGGGGCCTATTTTGATATGGCACAGTTTGAAACGTTGAACTTTTAACTATTGTTTCCTTTTGTTTAACGGCTTCATCAATAAGTTTAGAGACGCTATGTGATGGAGGTTGAGCTGATTTAGTTACCTCGCAATCAGATAGAGACTGCGGTGAGATGCACGGAAATGATGTTATATTACGTAGTTCATTAGCTATTTCATTGATGCGTGAGTTTGCTTCACTTGTTTTGGTAGGACTGCAAAACTTTGGATCATTCTTATCGGCAGATAAGGTAAATGGAGGTGGTATGACGTCATCATTTTGTACGTTTTGTAGTGGTAAAAAATTAAACATACTCGGCAATGGAGCTGAATTTGTTACGCTGGTCGTTACATTCCAATTATTCATGAAAGGATTATTACTATCCGCATTTTGAGGATTCAACAAAGGAGGAACATAAGAGGAAGCGGCTGGTTGGGCCAAAGACGCAATGGATAAAAACTTATCAGCATTTTGATGGCTTTTCGTATTTTTTGTGTGTCCCTGCTGTACGAAACATTGAGATGACGGGGGACATCCGCCAATTGAGTGGGATTGGGACTGCATCATATCTTGGCCGTAGTGCTGACCTTCGTGATGTAATCGTGGAGGCCAATGAGTTTGCGATGTGGAATGCTTTGGCCATCTATGATCATGCAGTAGATTTTCTATATAATGTTGCGGCCGAAAATGATTCGAAGCACCGCAAGGCTGCATCGTTGGCATAGGCCACATGGCCTGTGGATGGTTTCTATCGGGCTGCATAGACATTCTGTTAAGAAAAGTTAAACAATTAAATACAGTTTGATTTTTTCATCGATCGTTCAATATATCGAGCTTGTTTACATAAAACCGTACGCTACAAACTAGATACATAATTATCTTAGATTATCGCTCGTTGTATATTCAATCCTACGTTTATCATCAACAAAAAAAGCAAAATATTATATTTTATAAACAAATGTATCACCAAAAACATATATATCGAGCTTTAACAATCATTCTCTTTAATTTATTGACAAACGATGAAAGAATGTTGATTTTCCAGATTTGCTATCGAATTCCATTCTCGTAATCACGCTTATGTTCGTTGTCCATGTGTTGGAACACATGCCCGTTTCGCCATTTTCCAATGCTGATTGGTTACCTCTCCCGCTAAGATAGGTTGATTTTGAGACAACCGAATTATAATTTGGAAAATTGACAGTTTAAGTGAATTACTTTTCACATTTTTTCGCTTTCAAAATGAATTGTTAGTGATAAAAATTTCAAATTTCTTTCACATATCTAAAAATAATAGTCAATATTCGAATTTACTAAATATATTCTAATTTATGTGCTATAAAAGTGCTCTAGGCCGAAATGCACTAGAGCTTAACAAAGAGAAAGAAATCTTCAGTTCTGTGACCTTTTAATATGAACTAAAAATGATTTTAAACATTTATAATGAAAGGAACAAGGACTTCAATTAAGATATAAAGTTGTGGTTAGCCACGCCCATTTCCTAAAACAGCTTAACAAAAGATATAATATTTATACTATATATATGTATATATTGTACTTAAATGGTAACAATTAATGGATAGATTTTAGTATATATAGAGAAAGGTTTATAAACAATGTTTTAAAACAAACAAACTTAAAAAGTATAGTTGAGAAAGGTTTCAATAGATAAGATTGTTCGCTTTTTAAATTGATTCGAATATTTCGACTAAATGTATCAGTTTTTAAATAATTATATGAAAAATAGGTCAACAGCTTGCAACAGTGTCTGATATTTAAATACTTGAATTTCAGTAAAAAACAAGCAACATCTTTCTGTTTTTGCTTTCATAAGATAGTCCGGATTTATATAGCATTATATAAGCCATATAGTCGTCAGCCTCCGTAGCTCAGTGGTTAGAGCACTGGTCTTGTAAACCAGGGGTCGGGAGTTCGAACCTCCCCGGGGGCTTTTTGTGGTCTAATAATTGTTTTTTTTAAATATAAGATGTGTTTTAATTATTTAAATAAAAAAAATAAATTTAAAATATTCAAATTAAACTTGTTAATTAGAGGTTTTACTGTTATCCCTTTTATATGGATAAAGTCTTCGCTTCTCTTTTTATATAAGTATGAACAAATATTATAATTCTGAAAAAGTTTCTTTTGACAACAACAAACAAATAAGGTTTTATTTGATTTCCGTTAAAAAAAGACTTAAGACTTTCTTCTAACAAATATAGAGAGGATTGTATTCATAAAAGACGCTATCAAGTTAATAGATTATAGATGTCACCACTGAATTAATACAACAATTGAATAGCAACTACTTGTAAGCAAAATATTGTTAAATAGCAATAAGAAATTAATAGAATTCTTTGCTATTCAGAATTGATTTTTCGGTGATTATGAAATAATATATCTTTGTTTAGATCAAATATAATCTTAAATTTTGAGTTAAACGTGTAAATTTCGTTAAATTACAAACGTTCTTCAACTATATTAGATAATAATAATAGTAATATAGTTTGCTAGATTTATAGAAATCTATAGGCTACCCGAAAGAGACTCATCGAAAGGAATAATCGCTGTTATCTCAAATTTTTCTTCAGACTGTAATATTATATTTCATCTTTTTTCTATGCCTTTGATCGTCATTATCGAAATCAATGTGCCAATGTCTCTTAGCAGTCGATTGATTATCATTTCCTTCATCGTTTGAATACATTTGCTGAGTACAGTTTTCTAAATTTGACTAATGGATAAGATATTAGAATATAGTCGAATTTACTATAAATATTACATACATCACTGTATAATAAACAATCATTAGTACACTCCAAATCGTCCAGCAACAGCTGTAGATTAGCATCCTCAACAAATTCACTTACTAGCTGCAGCTCAATAGTTTGTTTCTTGATTATAAAAAGTTTATATTAAACGAAAAAGAAGTTAAGAAACTTACTTCAAGTTCTTCCTTTTGCTCCCGACTTTGAATTCTTTTATTTATCTCTTCATGATGCTCCCTCTTTATTTCATCCAATTTCTGTTCCAGTTCGCTTCGAACTACCGTATCCGTAATTTTCCTTTCTTTAATGTATTCTATTGAATAGTTTGTTCTTTAATATAATATTTATAATTGTTCAAATTAAAGATACATACGAAATTCCTGCTGAACGTCTTTTGGTAAGCTGTCGCTTATACTACCAATAATGTTTACTTTCATTTTAATTCTTTGGCTAGAATCCCACAGTAAATCCGATTCAGATATTGTTTCTGATCGTTCTTTCGCCTGAATGTTATGCATATCATGTGTTAAGAAGAGTGAATTTTCTTCTTCAAAGTTATTATTATATAGAAAATTGTTTTCAAAATTATATTCATAGTCGTGAGCATCGATTTCGGGATGGTAGGACATTTGCTGTAGTTTCGAAGTCTATTTGTTAAAGAAATTGCTATATTATACAATTTCATTAATAAAATAGATTAAACTATTGTTAATTACTTGATAATCAGAAACAAATACTTCTACTATCTTTTGTAAGTCTACTTTTCTTGGTTTTTTTGAACTCTTTGGGTTATTTGGATCTATGTAGGGAATATCACTTGGCCAACCTGGAGGTGGAGGATTTTCCCAGCTTGACTTTTCTATATAAATAAACAAATTTGTTTAGTATTCCTGAATATTCAAGACACTGTTACTTTTTGGAAAATTATTTCTCTCTCTATAGTTTTTCTGAAATTTTGGTATAACATTTCTCAACGTCTCCACCTTGATTTTTTTTGGTTCAGAGCGTCCGTTGAAAAATTCTTGGACAAAATCATCCAGTTCTTTAGTAAGCGTATTTTCGCTTTCCTATTCAGCGAAAATCAACATTTTACCTTTCAAATGATTAATTTTCAGTTTGTCTTACTTACCGAACTTTTATATTTTTCAACGTGTGAAGGTAGATGAAACATTTTAAGATAGATGATTGGATATACTTAAGAATTTCTGAAAACTGTTCGAAAATAATAGGTCAGCAGCGAACCAGTCGTGGGAACTCCCGTCTATCTTGATATGAGATCTATAAGATCATTGGACAGATTCTACTTTTTTTAATATTAATAAATTTCTTTGGATTAAATGACTCATTTATTGTTGTTGCTTACTATTTTCAGATTCAATTTGCTTTGTAAATAATATAACGTAGAATGTTTAAATATACGCAAAATACTAATTTAATTTTTACTTTCATTTTCATTTCTAAAATACATTGCAACATTTGACCCAGATATTTTTCCATCAAGATTTAATGAGTTAAAGAAATTTAAATTTTCTTATGAGAAGAAGATAAAAACTTTCCCTTTTCTAACTTTTTAATTTTGAACTTGACCTATCTAATTTCCATAATTTATGGAACTTATTAATACCAATAGGAGAAATGAAACTTTCTTTACAATATTATGCAACAACAGAATTTTCCACGTATGAGCATTCTACGTACTCTAAAAATAAAAAATTTTCCTAAGTCTGTTTTTATTTATATTAAATATTCAGATTATTGAGATATTTATTCTGGGAAACGAGATAAATCTTTAAATATTCATTTAGCAGAAAGCAGATTAAATTGTATTTTTTTCCGTTGGTATTAAATAAAGAAATGTTTAATAAATATGTTCAATAATAGTATTTTATTCTTTATTATTGATTGGAAAAGGAAAATATGAGGGAAAATGAAAGATTTCAATTTAAGGAAAAAAATAAGATTCTTCGAGCGCTTGTGTGAGATTTCTTCTTCTTTATATACTGTATACAAGGAAAAATTAAAAAACAACATATCCTCAATGATCTCTTATAAATAGGTTAATAATGTTAAAATGTTATTATATGCTCATATTCACATTAAAATCTTCTCTTTGACCTGACATTTACTTTAAAAAATTTAAAGAAAAACAGCAATCTGTATGACTTCTTCACCCCTAATGAACTTTCTAAAAGTCAGAATGTCTAAATTGTGAAAATTTATTGCTAGTTTTCATTTCGTTTGATCGAATCATTATATTGCGTAGTTTTACACTTTACGAAAGTTATTAACAGTATAAAAATACTTTATTATACTTTATATAAGGTCCTGCGGTATTGAAAAGTTTTTTTTATGTTAGCCTGGTTGGTAATTCCTCGTAAAAAAATTGTTAGCATATGTCAAAGCGAACCAGTTGTCATGTCTTACGAAATATTGAAAGTAAAGTAGAAGGTGATTGGACAGATTTGTAGACTACTAAGAGCGCGAAATCGGCCATATTTCTCTACTTTTCTCAAGTAAAAGCCCAATTTTTTGACTCAAACAACAATGTCTGGTCGCGGTAAAGGAGGAAAGGCAAAACAAAAGTCAAAATCGAGATCTAATCGTGCTGGTTTACAGTTTCCAGTCGGTAGAATTCACAGGTTTGATGAAAAAACTTAGTCGGTACATCAAACTAACAGTTTTACTGTATATTTTCTAGACTTCTACGCAAAGGTAACTATGCCGAGAGAGTCGGAGCAGGGTTAGTGTGTTAAATAATTATCGCACTGCTAATTTCATACAAATCACTAATTACTTTAGAGCTCCGGTCTACATGGCAGCAGTCATGGAGTATCTGGCTGCGGAAGTGCTAGAGTTGGCGGGAAATGCTGCTCGTGATAATAAGAAATCTCGTATTGTTCCCCGTCATTTGCAGCTAGCTATTCGCAACGACGAAGAATTGAATGTTCTACTGTCGGGCGTAACTATTGCTCAAGGAGGGGTCCTGCCAAACATTCAGTCTGTTCTTTTGCCAAAGAAAACTGGCAGTAGCGCCAATCCGTCAAGCCAAAGTCAAGAATATTAGTTTAAAGGCTTTTAATCGCTTTTTAGATATAAACAGTGTAAACTTTACGAAAAGAAATAAAAAATATTCAGTTCTCTTTACTGCCAGACTTTCACTTGACCGTCAACTGCCCCGGAGAATACACGACCTCTAGATACAGCCAAACAAGCAACGCTTCCTTGATGTCGTGCAAGAGTTTGAGTACAAATAAGGTTATCAAGACTCCACACCTAAATGGAAAGACATTAGTACTTTACACACACCGTAGATATTATACTCACTCTTAAACACTGATCGTAAGAGGCACTGATAACCTTCATCCCCGATGACATGTGTACGACAGCCAAGTTGTTGACAGTTCCTGTGTGACCTTTTAGAGATTGTACAAAAGTTCCGCATTTTCTTTCCCAAACGTGAATATCTTTCTCGTTTGTTCCACATAAGATATACGTGTCTGTTATAGCTAAGCTATAAATACTACCACTGGGCACGTAAATTGAGAGAACGCATTCCATATTACTCAAGTTCCAAACTTTAATTGTGTCGTAGGATCCTGCGTAAAGGAACGAATGATTCGCAACCAATGCTCTCACCCAATGATCAAGTCCAGTTAATTTGTTAACTCTGCGCAATTGATTTGTGCTAGCATCCCACTCCTGCAAAATACACATTTTAAATAGTATTCAACCGCAAAACTTGATTACAATCAGAGCTTACTCGTATTTCTTTCAATGAACCACTGAACAGACGATTATCAACAGCAGCAAGAGTACATACTGCATCATCGTGTGCAGGTATAATTTGTTGTAATTCAAGATTATTTAAATCCCAAGATATAATATTATAATCTTGGGAGCCACTATATAGTTTATTCGAACAAACGCAAACTGCCAAAACAATTCCTTCATGCCCAGCTAGAGTTGAAATGCACTTGTAGTTAATAACACTAGTATCCCATACTTTGATTGTTTTATCAGAGGATCCACTAAAGAGTAGCTCCTGATGAACGTAAAGACACCAAACCGGTCCATTATGCCCAACCAAAGTTCCTTTACATTTAATAACTTGCAGAGGATCGAATGTGGCATTTAGACCTTGATTAAGTTTTTCCATGACATTGTAAACGTCTTTCTATAAAAATCAATAAGCAGAAATAAAGAATAATTAGTATTTAACACGACGACATGTTATAATTTTTACAGACGTCTAAATTATTCAACTGTTGGTCTTGACGTTTCATTGCTTTTACAACTTCATCAGATTTCTCATTAGATAATTCTACATAGGTTTTCAAAGTGTTTTCGAAAGTATCCATTCTTTCGCAAACTTTACCCAACATAGAGTGTAGAAATTCAATTTCGTTCTCTCTATTTGACACTTGATTCTGTTTAAATTTATTAACAGGTAAGAATAAATAATTCTTCATAGTGCAACTATTAAAATAAACACCTGTAATTCATTAATTCGCTCATCTACGACTCTAAGGTAGTCCTTAACACTTTCGAATTGGCAATTAGCCATATGAGCCGCTAATTCAGTAGCAGTACCACAGAACTTGCACCTATATATAGATATACTCATTCAATTAATGATTCACAAGCTATATATTGAGATATTTATTACCCACCCATATTTCTTATGAGGACATTCAGCATATTCACAATTTCGCAAGTGTTCATCGAGATCCTTTTTAAGGATAAGGGGACAATTCGGATTATTTGGACAATTTATTGGGCGAAATACACAGTTATCTTCGTGTTCGCTTAATTAGTACAAAGAGTTTAGTATTTTTAGGTGGCTAGTAAATATATAGACTCACTTTCTGGCTATAAGACGAACTGTAAAGAGGCAACCCTGATTATCAATATCCCAACGATTGCTTGCGTCTTTTAGGCATCCGTAGCGACATCTAATTAAAAGTTCTCCGATCTGTTCTGCAACTGTTAAATTCTTTGCTACGACTTCTAGTTGTGTAGAATCAACTGGACAATTTTCTGTTAATTAAAACATATGAGAAATAATCAAATAGCTATATAGTTAACTGCGACTCTATTAAATTTAACATGTCTCTCAATATGGTTGTACATTCGTTTTGAATACTCAAGAGAAATTCAACACGCACCGTTTGATTTCGTCTCTACACAATCTTTGCAAAACGTATGCTGAATAGAAGGTGGGTCAGTAATAAAAAGATAATTTTAGTGTGGTTAAAGTCTCCTTACCCCGCAGGATACAATAACTGGTTCAGTGAACACGTTCCCACATAAATTGCAAAACAGACGTTTACTGGGAGATTCCACAAATATTATAGGTATATCCTAAAATCGATTGTTGATTTAGAAAAATAGTATACATAGTAATCTTAGCGATAGAAACCTCTTTGTTATGGTGATCTGGAGAAGATCTTAGCGAAGAATTACGCACGCACTTTCTTTCATTTGACCGCACAGTTTGTATCTCATCCTCGCTACTGGTTTCTCCATTATCTATAGCGTTTCTCGCAAAATCAGATAAAACAAAATTCTTTGCCTCCTTGGGACTGCTAGGTAGGGACCGATTCGTTTCGTTCTGTGAATTTCAGAACAGAAAAATGATTTATTAGGTTACTTCCGCTTTGTCTTAAACAATTTACCACAGGTTTGGCTTGTAAATTAAGACAATTTCTCGGTAGCGCTGGACTAGGATCTTTTGAGCTAGAGGATCGTCGATTGTTAGATAGAATTGCAGCTTCTAGTGGATCGATTTCTGGTAATGGATGATCCATTAGGGAACCGTCAGAGGATCTGGGCGTTGTATTGGACGATTTTGCCTTTACCCTTAAAAGACAGCCAAAAGAACCTTTTGGAGAACTATCAATTTTATTCATTCGAAACGAATCAATTGTTTTTGAGCCAATAGATCGATGCAGTGTTTATCGCTTATTCATTTCGATCAGGCACTTGAGTTTCGATTAACGAATAAACGTGTTTTCTCATAGCGGAAATTCCGCCTGGTCTGGACTCACTAGAACGTGCGCGGCATATGTTTTCCTCATATGACCAGGTCGAGGGTCAATAATTGGTGCATTATTGGTTCTTAAATAAATATATAGACTGTCATAAATGTTCAAGTATAATTTTATCAACTGTAGAAAAATATTAATTTTAAACTTTTTACTATATTAGCTGATGTTGAAAAAAATATGAATACCACTGATAGAATTGATTTCAAAAACTATTTGAAAACTAAAAAATTTAATCCAAAATTCAAATAGATGATGAACTATTACAAATATTTATCAAATTAGATATTTTTTTCAATTCATAGCTGCTTAAAAGAACTTTTTCATTCTCCAAACTGAAATGTATGATTTAGGTTTATATCTGAAAAGTGGTTAACTCTTTTTGGATTGTAAATATTGAATATAATTGCATTTATTCGATGGCTATTCCTGCACAAAGGTATCTTTCATTTAGGAGGTTTGATCTACAATAAATTTAAAAAAAACCTTTGCGTTCAGTTAATCAAAGCCAAATGATATTTAAGTAAACTAACAAATAAAATAATTTAGGCTTAAAAATTAATTAGAGGGAAAACAACAAAAAGCTATTTTAAAGACAAATTAATAGAAAGTATACGTAGTTTTAAAAGCAATGCTGTAAAAACCTGGGCGGTACACCATCTGTGATTTAGTTAGCTCATACAAAATGGCGGCCTAAGCTGGCGAGTAATGAGCTAAGTTTGCGTAATTTTTATCCGAAATTCAGACAGTTTACGGATTTTTTTCCACACTATAACTATTAAACGTATTCACCCCTCCCAAAATGTCGACTGAATGCGGTATAGCCGAATTGAACTCGTCAAAAGACGACCAAAACGCGGCGAATGAAGTGCCGTCATGCTATCAAGAAAACGATCAGAATAAGGATACATTATCAAACCCTAACACGTCCAGCTTACCTTCGGATGTGTCTGAAGTAGAGGATTCTGACGTGAGTAGTTGAGATTTGATGTCAAAAATTATCGAAAAATGAAGGTCACGAGGCATTTCTGTCTCGCACTTAAATTCAAGAACTTATAGTTGCTTGTTTACTTTTATGTGACAACCTTCGTGTTGTATACTTTCATAGCTAAAATTTAGTTAAAAAAATCGTCAAAATTTGTTCATTAACACTTTGGACTGTTGCACGCAGATCGATGAAGACTTGACAGGAGACGAAGCCAGCGACGACGACGAAGAAGATGAGTGTTATTACGGAGATGAGGATGTCGAGAGTCAATTCCTTTGCGATCCCGATATGATTGACGAAGAAACTCAGCAACATTTAACAGAGTTACTAAATGCAGCTGGTATGTATAATGTTTTTAATAAGCAAAAGTACGTTAAAACGCACTTGGAAATAGGTGTCGACGATGAAACCGATTTTAAAGATGAAAAAGTGATAAAGTGCTTGACGGATACCATGAATTTTGCTTTAGACGAAGCAACAGCTAGTCTGAATTCAAATCCGAGGAATGAATCATCTCCTGGAAGGTACTTGTATCTCATTTTTTAAACTATTAATTATAAAAAATAGCTAATATTACAGTCCACCGCAAGAAAGCCTAGATGTAAAAAGTTTGTTCCGGCGAATACTGTAAGTTGATATACTTAGAAATTGTATGTATAGTCGAAAATTTTTTTTTATATATATAGAACAAAGCAACTGAAATCAGAAGGTGCTCACAAAACCAAGTACATGAAACATTTGTTGAATGCACTGAATGATAGTGACAACTTCCTCAGCGTTGCTTGCGCTACAGGTTATACTAATTTAGTTAAAGAATTGTTAGAAGTTGGAAAAGTTAAGATGAAGAGTCCTGTTGCCCTATTCGAAGCAGCTGTCCATGGGCATGCCGACTGCGTTCAACTTCTTCTCAAGCATGGCGCTGATGTCAATGCACAATCATCAAGCAATACATCACCATCAAATGGTTCCTCCGTTAATGGAAATACAGCTCTGCATTATGCTGCATGCGCCGGTCATGTAGACGTAGTTAAAGTTCTCGTTGAAGCTGGTGCCAACGTCGAAGAACAAAATGAAAATGGACATACTCCTCTTATGGAAGCTGCATCAGCCGGTCACGTTCCTGTTTCAAAACTACTTTTAGATTACGGAGCAGGAATAAATACCCATTCTAATGAATTTAAAGAAAGCGCCTTAACTCTAGCTTGTTATAAGGGACATTTAGAAATGGTTAAATTTCTCTTAAGTGCAGGTGCTGATCAAGAGCACAAAACAGATGAAATGCATACAGCTTTAATGGAAGCGTCCATGGATGGTCATGTAGAAGTGGCAAAATTATTATTAGATAGTGGAGCCCAAGTCAATATGCCTGCCGAAAGTTTTGAATCACCTCTTACATTAGCAGCTTGTGGTGGTCATACAGATTTAGCAATGGTTTTAATAGAAAGAGGGGCTAATTTGGAAGAGGTTAACGATGAAGGATATACACCTTTAATGGAGGCAGCAAGAGAGGGACACGAGGAAATGGTAGCTCTTTTATTAAGTTATGGAGCCAAAATAAACGCCCAGACCGAAGAAACACAAGAAACAGCTTTGACACTATCTTGTTGCGGTGGCTTCTTGAATGTTGCAAATTTTCTCATTACAGCTGGAGCTGATCTAGAGTTAGGATGTAGCACTCCCTTAATGGAGGCATCACAAGAGGGTCATCTGCAACTTGTAGAATTTTTATTAAATGCCAGCGCTAATGTGCACCATGAAACTAGTACTGGAGATACAGCTCTTACTTATGCATGTGAGAACGGTCATACTGCAGTTGCACAGTTGTTAGTTAGTCGTAATGCTAAATTAGAACATGAATCTGAAGGTGGCAGAACTCCTCTAATGAAGGCTGCTCGTTCCGGACATTTATCAACTGTAGAATTTCTGGTCAAAGAGGGTGCCGACGTCAATAGATCTACGTCAAATAACGATCATACAGTTTTATCCTTGGCCTGCGCAGGCGGGCATGTAGATGTTGTTCAATTTCTCTTATCGCATGGAGCCGATCCTCATCATAAACTCAAAGATGGATCAACTATGCTAATTGAAGCAGCAAAAGGTGGTCATACTTCCATTGTTAACATCTTATTGGATTGTCCATCGCCTCCGACGAACAATGTCGATGTACTTAATGATTCGTCTAGAGTGCCCGTCCAAGGATTAAGGAATATTGTCCCGGCCCCCACACCTCAAGATACATCACCTTCTGCTGATCAAACCCCCAAAGCAGCCGTCGTTAGAAATGTTCTTCGAGCACAACGAAAACACCCTCCACCTCCTCCAAGCACACCAGTTCCTGATTTCGATTTACAGGCAGCCATGAAAGCAGCAGTTACAAATTATCCAAACGGTGAAAATCCCCAAATGGACGTAGAAGATCTATTGAGTAATCTGATAAAAACTATTGAGCTGAACGAAACTCATGCGGAAAGAAAGAAAGCATTAAGCGATTTGTTAAAATCACAAGATCCTAGCGACTCAAATATTCAATGTTTAGTACGCCAACTGCAAAATTTAACTGATTCTCTAAAAATGGAAGATGAATATAAAATTATACAGGAAAACTGTGATCAAGCGGAAATAGAAAAAATATTACGGAAAGACGATGGAGTCCGTATACTACCGCCGGATTTGATAGAAAGTCAAGCTGAATGTGCACAGGAACATCAACGAGCCATGAAAGAATTTGTCGAACGTATGAAGGATAACGAGAACAGAGAATTGTTGGAAAAATGGTTACAGCAAAATGAACAAGCTCCTGTAATTACACCTTTACCATCTGACCTAACTAAGCCCGATTCAGAAATATTCAAACATCCTCACGCCCAACAGCAACTTATTCAACAGTCAATGCTCCTGCAACAACAACTGCAAACTGCTAGACATCACCAAGCTCTGGTTAGACAACAAGTAGATAGCACAGACCACGTCACACAACTGGATGACGTTCATTCGCAAATAGAAGCGTTAGAGGACAGATTAAAATACATAAATCGACTAATGCAGTTGACTATGCAACATCAAAACTTGCAATCGTCGCCTACTAATACCAACATGGCCTCTTCTTCAACTCAGACTGTTCTTCCTACCAGTGCAAAAAAGCAGCACATTCATGGGGTGCCACCGACTTGCTCGGACCTGCCTCATGCCAAGAAGCAGAAGAAAAAACACGCGCAGATAATTGAACCAGAACCTTCAGAAGAGCCGGTACCCGCTATAGTCGCACCTGCATCTACGACAAGTCAATCTGTTACCCCAAAAATAGACGTTGATGCCCAAACTGAAAGCAACCATGATACAGCCCTTACTCTGGCTTGTGCCGGAGGTCATAGTGAATTGGTTAAGCTACTTCTGCAGAGAGGAGCTAATATAGAGCATAAAGATAAGAAGGGATTTACTCCCTTAATACTGGCTGCAACTGCAGGACATGCTGAAGTGGTTGACATCCTAAATAACCATGGAGCAGATATGGAAGCCCAAAGTGAGCGAACAAAAGACACACCCCTCAGTTTAGCTTGCTCTGGAGGACGAATGGAAGTTGTAGAATACCTTTTGTCAAAAGGCGCTAATAAAGAGCACCGAAATGTTTCGGATTATACACCACTTAGTTTGGCTGCTTCGGGAGGTTACGTAAATATTATACGACTACTTCTCTCTCATGGAGCCGAAATCAATTCGAGGACTGGTTCAAAATTAGGTATTTCACCATTAATGCTTGCTGCGATGAACGGACACACAGCAGCAGTGAAATTACTTTTGGAAATGGGATCAGATATTAACGCACAGATAGAGACAAACCGCAATACTGCATTAACACTAGCCTGCTTCCAAGGTAGACATGAAGTAGTAAAATTACTGGTGGAGCGAAAAGCTAATATAGAACATCGAGCAAAGACTGGTCTAACACCTCTTATGGAGGCTGCATCGGGTGGTTATGTTGAAGTTGGACAGGTTTTACTCGATCACGGAGCTGACGTAAACGCCTCTCCAGTCCCCTCATCGAGAGATACAGCTTTAACTATCGCTGCTGACAAGGGCCATTGCAGATTTGTTGAGCTTCTTCTTGATAGGAGTGCGACAATTGAGGTGAAAAACAAGAAAGGCAATTCTCCATTGTGGTTAGCATGCCACGGTGGTCATTTAGATGTCGTTCAACTTTTAGTCAACCGATATGCAGATGTTGACAGTCGAGATAATCGAAAAGTTTCTTGTTTAATGGCAGCTTTTAGGAACGGTCATGTAAAGGTCGTTAAGTGGCTTGTTAAACATGTTCAGCAATTTCCTCTTGACCAGGAATGCGAAAGGTTTATTGCCACTCAAAATCCAGCTACACCTCAAGAAGAAGAAAAACTTAAAAAATGTCGACAGTGTATGGAAATAATAATTGCAGCAAAGGAACGTCAAGCACAAGAGGCTAACAAAAATGCTGTTATGCTTTTAGAGCAATTGGATTTGGAAAAGAAGCACGAAGCCAACAAGAAGGAGACAGCGAAACGTAAGCGGGAAAAAAGAAAGGCTAAAAAGAAGGGAAAATCCGACAAAGACACGCCAGATGCAAAAGACGATGAAGAAAAGTTTGTTAAGATATCATCTCCTGAGCCGCCGAGAAAAATAGTCGAAAATGGTCGAGCGATATCTTTAGTCCTTGTTGAACAGATACCAGAAGCAACTACTGTTTCAACGGTTGGTCCTATTAAAACGACAACTACCCCTTTACATAACAATACGAGTAAAATGAATGGTTCGATAGAGAACGGAGCAGTTCCAATTACACCTTCCCCTTCTTCCAGGCGAGCTAATAATATTAGATCAAAAAGGGCAAAACATGTGACTTGTGAAAGTGCTGTAACTTCAGTAGTATCATCTCTTTTAACAGTATCCTCTCCATTGGTCCAATTGTTATCTTCGTCATCGAACTTGGCGGCCTCGACGGCTGTAACATATACGACAACGAGAAAACCCCTGAAGACACCAGAGAAAATGTCGATTGCTAGTCCGAAGAGGTCAGTAAAACGAGATGAAGGCTGGAAGGAGGTCACTCGGAAACCACAGAGCACAAGAGCCAAAAAGGTGAAGGTTGCCTCATCCTGTATTAGTCGGGTTATTGGGCGTGGAGGTTGCAACATTAATGCTATTAGAGAGTTGTCAGGCGCTCATATAGAAGTAGAGAAGCAGAAGGCAGGATGCGTTGATCGCATGATAACAATAAAGGGCTCAGCAGAGAACATACGAGACGCACAACATTTAATTGAGCAGCTTATCCATGATCCTTCAAAGGATTTGGAGCATTTGTCGGCACAAAAAATTAAAGTTCCTATAGTCGAATTACCTTCTTCAATATTAAATGGAACGCCTACAAGTGTCTCTGGAACACCAACTAGCAATCCGTTGACTAGTACTTCTAATTCCCTGCCTAAATCAGCTTCGTCTAAAACAAAGACACCTAAAACTCCTAAATCAATTTCCTCGGCTCCTGCCTGGAATCTAGGAGAGATGATGACCACTGATTCTGTGACTCCAATACCATCTTATCAGGCGACTCCTAGCAGTGGCGTTGCTCCAACTTCGTCGCCTATTACCACTTCTTCCACTTGGTGCACTCCACCGCCGACCACATCGATGCACTTTTCGCCGTTTCAGCATCGTCTTTCGAATGTGTCAGAAATTTTGGAAAAGAAGCCATGCGAAGATGACCATGAGCAAAGGAAGAAATTTGCTGAAGTTGCTGCTGAGGGTCTGCCGCAAGTACAAGTACATCCACAGTCGACCTATGAAAATGCATTCTTAGGTAGCGGAACTTACAGTCCAATTGTTGTTCCGCCACCGGCTACGACGGCATATGGCTCTGGAATTACAACAAGTCGGTTCGTTAACCCTGATTTTGGTACAGCATGGAATAATGTTAGGGAGCCAATATTTGTTGAAACTGGAAGAATGACTATGGGCGAAACTGCCGTTACAGGTATTTATTTTAAAAATCAAGGTTACTATATAATATTTTATGCGCTGATTGCGTATTTTTTGTAATAGAAAATTATATTGGCAAAGAACGCAAATTGCCCATGCCGATTGGAACGGAGAGAGCCCACCGCCAGCAATCACCTGTCGCTTCTGTTCCTGTACCACAGCAGCCTCCCTCAACGACGCTCGCCCAAACCTGGACAGACTGGCATCCAGCGGACGTCACCTCTTACGTGGTCCCCACCACTTGGAATCAATGCGAGCAAAATTGGTCCCAGTGGAAATAGGCCACCTGCAGCTTGGTTCGTTTTCCCTGCCCGTATTATGCACATGTACGCGCGTTATTACGTCAAATAGATGAAAAAAAGGATCCTGGTTCTTTTTCAGTGCATCGATTCATCTTTTTCTGGACTTAAAAATTTACCTGTAAACAATACAATTTTAAGCTTTTCTCATCCCATTAATCAATGGCTCTATTTGTTTAGTTAAAGGAAACTTGCTTCCTATCAAGACAGTAGGCGAAAGTCAGATAGTAGTATAATTATATACAAGTATATCTTGTTGAAAATAGGGCAAGCACTTTTAAAAATTAGCCTGGCATATTCAAGTCGAGTATAAAGACAAAAAAAAATGTAATCGTTTAAAAAAACATTTCGTTATTCTATAAATACTTTAGATACAATATTAAGTTTGTACGCTCTTTCTATAAAAAAGACGACTGAACGTTGCGTACATTCATAGCGAAAGCTGTACAAGACTCGAATTTTATCCGTTATTGAAGAAGCAGCAGGATTGAGAGTTCGTAATTTTTAATTGACAAGTTTGAGCACCTTTCCTATTCCGATGGTTCTGCCTGTTATTTGGAACAAGTATTTTTAGAAAATTAAGACCCACATAAAAAATATTTCATCGTTACCTTCATCTCGTAGGGTGAATCGTCCCATTTGCGGAAAATCTTCGAATGATTCTAGGCATACAACTCCACCATTAAGTTCGAATCTAGCAATAGCTATTTGGTCCTGTTTTATAAACCTTGGTCTCGTCTTCGACTTGTCTCCAGTTTTTCGATCTATCGTACAAATCAGAGCTTTAATTGTTACCTCTTCCGCGCAAGTGTGGATATGACAAACAGCCGAATAACCAGCACATATGATTGATTTATGTTCGAGTACAACAATTTGGCCGTCAAAAACGCGTCCTGTATGGCACAAGTTCAATGAGTGACATAGGACAAATCCAGGACTGACTTCCTCTTCTTCCACGCCTTTTAATTTTAATTTAACGTTTTCTCCACTCAATGCGGACTCAACATCCTCTTCATCAGACCACAAAGTCGTAATTTCACATATTTGTTTATTAGGCATGAGTATCACTTGATCTCCACGCGAAAGTTTTCCAGATTCAATTTTTCCTAAAATAATCGTGCCCATGTCTTTATATTTATCAACAACGGGCAATCGTAACGGTCCATCAAACATTCGGTCTATTGGTCTTATACTATCTAAATGTTTTATAAGAGAAGGCCCTCTGGAAATGTTATAAACATATTAACACCTGTTATTTATTTTAAGTTAACCAGATACGTACTCATACCAAGGACACAAATCGGTCGCATTTTCTAGTAGATTTGCACCGGTCAATCCTGATACAGGCAAATAAAGTAAATCGGTTTTTGGATTGAATCCGCATTTTTTTAAGTATGGCGTCAATTTCCCTTTGATTTCATTGAATCGTTTTTCGTCCCATTTTACAGTAGGATCATCCATTTTATTAACTACTATTATGAGCATTTTAACTCCAGCAGTTCTCACTAGCATAGCGTGTTCCTGAGTTTGGCCTCCACGCTCGAATCCGGTTTCAAATTCACCTTTTCGTGCTGATATAACCTAAGACAGAAAAAGTCATGTAATATATCTAAAATTTTTCGCACATCATATAAAATTACTAACAAGAACGGCTACATCCGCTTGGGAAGCACCAGAAATCATGTTCGGTACAAAACCCTTATGCCCGGGAGCATCCAAAATGGTAAAATGCTTGTTTTCCGTTTCAAAGTAAGCCCTGCCAACTTCCACAGTTTTTCCCTTGTCTCTTTCCTCTTGGTTGGTATCAAGTGCCCAGGAGAGATACCAACTTTCTCTATTCTTTTCTTTTGCCTCTTTTTCATATTTTTCTAATGTTCTTTTATCGACCATACCAGTTAGATACCTATAACATGTTTATGAGTGTGAAATTGTGAAATAACAATAAAATAATTTTGTACATTATATGTCCACCAATTGTGCTTTTGCCAGCATCGACATGGCCAATGAAAATTATATTCAAGTGATCCTTTTTCTTTTCAGTCGGAGTTACTTTCAACTTTTTTTCCTTCTTCGGCTGTGTAACAGTTGATGTATTTTCTACAGTGTCATCTACCGGAGTTTTTACTTCTTCTTCGTCATTTTCCCATGTATCTGGAGGATCTTCTTTGACAAGATCAGTTTCTTGTGATTCACCACTTGCCGGCTCGCCTATAAGAAAAGCCACGAGTTGGTTTAATATCGTTGAAATCGATGTGTTACTCACTGTTGACAGTCGATGGTTTACTAGGTTCTTCATTATCAGGCTGTGCTTGCATTCCGCCGCCAGGAACGAAGACTGCGGCATGCACGTTTTGCCCCGGAACGAATGCAGGCGCATTAACGTTTAAATGCTGCAGAGAATTTTGCAAACTCTCCCCTTTGTCGTCGTTATTATCCTCCCAAGAATCTGGAGCTGTATTACAATTCACCGATTCAGCCATTTTTCGCTTTTCCTTGCTTAATTATGATGTTCTAGCTGGCAAAAAATCCAGATGACAAAACAACGTGCAATAACTACTACACAACGTCACAATGTCTGCTAGATAGATTCCGCTTCCGGTTACATCTTTTCAAGTTTCACGTTTTATAATAAAAATTTATGAAAATTTTTAATAAAACTCTCTAATAATTTTTATTACGAAAAGTAACGGTACTTCTATAAAAAATGAAATATAATATGTTCGCATTTAAATATGTTGAATTGATTTTTATTTGGTTCTGGAATAGTTTCAATATTTAAATTCCTAAAGATATCATATTTTAAAAAATTAATTCTTAATCCAAAAGTATGGAATCAAAGAATTTTTCATTTTAATATTAGTTACGAATATAACAAAATTTATTTCATTTTCTACCCGGCTTTTAGTCAGTACTGACACAATCCTATTTTGTGCACGACTGGAATATACATAAAAAAGTAACCCCTATATCAAACACATTCTTATAATCAAATAGCAGGTAAATTTGAGACTTATATATAAACCATTATATATCGTTACAATTCGAATCGGAATAAATGCAAGAATTGTGTGTGTGAAGATGCCTATTTTTGCTCAGTTCACTATAATCCCTAAAAAGTGCTATTTTTGCTTTGGTTTTTCTGCCTATTTTAGAATTTTCTTATATATCATTAAACAAAATCTTGAATATTTATAATGAGAATTATCATATGACGTAATCGTTTTTGACAAAAGTGATAAAATCCTTGTACAATCAAGTTAAAACTGATACCCTTGTAAATAACCATTATTTATTATTGAATATATGTGTTTATCAATTCGTACATACCGACTTAAAAAATCAGCAACTAAAGATTTAATTTAACACTAATATATTTGGTATATGAGTATTGATTAATCTGTGTAATATATTTTCATTTGTTAGATTAAAGATGTCACTGAACGTAGGGATGCCCTTATCAAACGTTCAATCCTCCGGGTCTTCTCAAAATGCCTTAGAAATGAATAAAATTTGCCAATGGATTCTCGAATTAAACCATCCAGATACTAGGGAAAATGCATTATTAGAGTTAAGGTTAGTAGTAGTAATGCTGTACAGGTGTTCGATTTTAATATTCTTTGTTCTTTCAGTAAAAAGCGTGAAGTTGTCACCGATTTGGCTCCCATGTTGTGGAATTCTTTCGGAACAATCGCCGCCCTTTTACAAGAAATTGTTAGCATATATCCAGCTATAAATCCCCCTCATCTTACAGTAAGTATAATTACGAGCTTTTCCTGTAATATCGTAAAACAACAGTATTTTCTTTATTCTCTTCATAGGCTCATCAGTCTAACAGAGTATGTAACGCCTTAGCACTTCTTCAGTGCGTTGCATCACATCAAGACACGAGGTCGGCTTTTCTTCAAGGTAAGACTTTTGACATGTCTTTATAAAACTTAGTTATTTAATATTTTTTAGCACATATTCCTTTATGGTTGTATCCATTTTTACATACTGGGTGTAAAACTAGACCCTTCGAATACTTAAGGCTAACAAGTCTGGGGGTAATTGGAGCCCTTGTTAAAGTAATTTCGTTTACTAACAGTTACTTAATAGAGTATTTTAAATAAAAAAATTCTAATTATAGACAGACGAACAAGAGGTTATCAACTTCCTTTTAACAACAGAAATTATTCCATTATGTCTTAGAATTATGGAAACTGGCAGCGAGTTATCCAAAACTGTAATTAAAGCTTAAGATTTTCTGTTAGAAAGCATGCAGATTATTATTGTCTCTTCCATTATTTAGGTAGCTACATTCATACTGCAAAAGATATTACTTGATGAAACTGGTCTATCATACATTTGTCAAACTTATGAAAGATTTTCTCATGTTGCCATGATACTCGGCAAAATGGTACTACAATTATCTAAGGAACAATCTGGTCGTTTATTGAAGCATGTCGTCAGATGCTATCTCAGGCTCAGCGATAATCCAAGGTATGTTTGAATTTTGAAATGCCTAGGCCTATTCTATTAGTTGTTTATTAAATAGATACTTCATATGTTTATTTTTAGTTTTTTTTTAACTTTAAAACAACTTTTTACAGAGCAAAAGAAGCTTTACGCCAATGTTTACCTGACCAATTGAAGGATACAACATTTCAAAATGTATTAAAAGACGACACCTCAACTAAGCGATGGCTTCAGCAGCTTTTTAAGAATCTGGAAGCTCCTGCTACTTCCAATAATCAACAACAACCGTCTCTTATGATTCAACCTCAACAACCTAGGAACCTGTGAATTTAACACTACATCACTACTATTGAAATGAAGACAAGAGATACATAGAAAATGCTTGACTTATAAATATATTTTATGTATAGCGTTGATCATATATTCTATCATTTGTAATCTCTATAAGATAAGAGAACTATATTGTAATTAATATATATTGTAATATACATAAGATAATAAAACTTCCGAAAGGCCTATATTAACAGGAGAACCGTTTTTTTACGATGTCCATAAATTGGAAAGTCTCACTCTACTCACGTTGTATACATTTAAGAAAACTTTTCCTTTCATAGCATAATAGAATAGCAACAAAACTTGGTTAGTTTTTGTGGACAATTTTTTTCTAACAGGTTTTTTATTTTTTAATCAATTATTATAAGAATGTTTAATAATTGTTCACAAACTTTTTTATTATCGCTCAATAAATGCTTAAGATCATTTTGTTATTTTTTCAGAAAAAGTCATTCAAAAGGCTAATAAATTGAAAAATGTCTGATAACGAAGCTTGGAATGATCATCTTGATAGTTCCGATAAAGAGGAATTAGAGTGGGCTTTGTACAGCCAAATTCATTTCGAATATAATAACGATATGCCAACTACTCCAACATTGTTTAATTCATATTCTAATGATAATAAAAAAGATCATCTGGGCGCCTCTCCCTCTCTCAAAAGTCACGAGTCGAAAGTGTTATTAGAGAATCGAAAAAACTCAACACCTCGAACGTCTGATAGACAAACTAGAAACAATCGAGATAAACCAATAAAAATATCTTCCTTCCTAGAACGTAAAGAATCAACAGAAAAAGAAGTTGTTCTTAAATCAAAGAATACTTCAAAACATAAAAATCAGAGACAATTGGAAAGTGTAAAAGGTAAAGACTCAAAAATTGGCGCGAAAAATATTGAGGAAAATGAAAGTCCAACGAAAGGTTTATCAACCTCAAAAAAACAAAAGACAGTCAAAATGGCGAAGGAACTGTCAACAGAATATTCCTCTCCTGTTCGTTTAAGAACAACATCAGAAGGCGGGCTGGAAGATAAACTGAACAATTTGTCGAACAAAAAACCCAATCGTGTGCAAGTTGAATATGACGAAATAACCGATAAAAAGACAGACGAAAATGAGCAAAAACCTAATAAGAAAGTGAAAAAGCGTAAGCATGCCTATTATAGTTCTGATTCTTCAATATTATCACTATCCGAAGACGAAGTTGAGAGTAAGAATTTAATAACTAACGTTTTGAAATCGATGAACATCTCAGGAATCCCTAGAAAGAGTGAAAGAAATGCTAAATGCTCATCGGTAAGCTTTTACTTATACATTAAATTTTATAGCCCTATTTTCTTCCTAAAATAAATATACTTAATAGGATGATAGCGTAAAATTGCCACATACGGACATGCAAGAAGCCGGAAATATCTCTGAGACAGACAAAGATTTACCTGAAAGTTCTCGAAAGCCAAAAGATAGATGCAAGTATTGTAGAAAGCGTGGTCACAAGAGAGTTACTTGTCCTGAATATTTACTACTTGGACAAAACGACAACTCGAAAAAGCAAAATAAAAGAAAAAATGAACTAAAAAATCTTTCTAGTCAGAATTGTCCACTTAGACAGAATCAATCGATTTCAAAAGACAAATCAAAGGTATTTTAAGAAATATATTACTCGTAAAGTTAATTTAATAATACAATTAGACTGAAAGTGAATTATCTGAAAAACTTGAAAATCAGGAGGAACAATCCTCATCACATTTTCAAAATCAGGTAAATATTTATATCATTATTATTTTTGCCTCGTATCTCTTTCTTCATATAAATAATTTCATAAATGTAATTTCAGTTACAGTCTATCTCAGAAAAACTGGACAATCAATCATCGAATGCAAATCTATCTACATCTCAAAAAGGAGATGAAAAATCAATAGAAAGCAGCCATATAGTTGATAATAACACAACTACAACAACAAAAATTGACGCTAAAAGCGAACAAGACTCAGGCCTAGGTAAAAATTGCAAGTCTAATTAATAGAAACTTTTTATTATGCTTAAAAAAAACCTTTACACGCGTATCTTCAAACAGTCAATCATTTATATTTTGTCCTTAAAAACTTTATAGAAAAACTGCTGAGCAAACAGTTAAAAAACTGGCATTTAAATCCGTATAGGAAGAGAACAAATCACAAATTTTTTATACCACACTATATGCGTAACATTTGTGATTTTTATAACGTTCCACCCCGCGAAATGGATACCTTCGGTTAGTTTTAGAATAATAATATACAACAATAGTTTTATGCTATGTACCTTTTTCATACTATATAGGAACCTATGCTACACATTCTGACGTATGGTGCGATTATACACTAACCGAAACAATGAAAGAGACTGAATCGATTGATAATGCTCCACAAACCAGACAAAATTCTACTAACAATTACGATCAATCGAAAAACAATAGGAATAGTAAAAGTAAGAATAAAAAATGGCATATTGGTAGAAAGAAGGAAAGGAAGAGACTTAATCAACAAACTGAAAATTACAGACATTAAAAATCTATCTAAGAAAATATAATAAATATTTGTAATTATTTATTTATATACTCTTTTATATTATTATTATTACTTAATCTAATAAACAAAGATTTAAAGGTAATAAATTAATAAATTTAAGCTATATTGGCATTTTTGTTACTTTAAATAGTTTAATCTCTATACATCTTCTGCTTTTTTTAATATTTTTTATATTAGGTTCTTTTAATTCGAAGAGTTTTTTTTTCTTAAAAAAAAGGAGAGTAGCACTTGAACGTCGTGCAATAGATGGCGAAAAGGACGGTTTGCATATTTCTATTCAACAAAGCACCAGCTGCTTCAAATATATTAGGCCTACAAACATTTATTAGAGTTAGCAACGTGTACAGTTCCATTACAACAGATGGTACTCTATTAGTTTCGTTCACGTTATGGAAGAGAATGGAGATTCAAAAGAGGCGGTTAAATTAGCAAGTGAAGAAACAGCTAAAGACCAACCGGAAGATAATGCAAAAAATGAAGAAGAGGAAGATGTAGAAAAAGATGCCGATGCAAAAACTGAAGACGAATTGATTTTGGAGAAAGTAATTGAAAAGTCTATTAGTGTTGAGGAAGTTGCTGTTAATCATACGACTGTAAAAAACACAGTTATTGTTAAAGAAGAATCTACGAAAACGGGACAGGTTGGTAAGGAGGTAATAAAAGAGAAAAAGTCCGAGAAGAAGCGTGTAATTTCACCTAAAAGGCAGAGTAATTTGTCCTTAAATGCCTTTAGCAAAAAAGAGGATAAAAAACAAAAGGAAAAGACAGTTGGAAGACCAATAGAAAATTATGCAGCCCAAAGGAAAATGATTGAACGATTGTACTATGGTACTTTCAAAAAGTCAGATAAGCCGTTAAAAAATCCCATTACCGGAAAGGGTATGGAATGCTTAGACCGACCAAGATCTGTTCGTATTACACGGAAAGAAACGCAAACTCGCAATCCATTAACTGGTGAGGGTTTGCAGTTTCAAAAACTTTTTTCAGGTTGGTTAATTATTTTACTATATTTCATAAAAGAATTTAAATCGATAGGTCGTTGCAGAGGTGAAACCGTCCGTGCCACCGTGTACTGAAGCAGGAGAAAGACGAGAAGAATTCCGCCGCAAGTACTTGCGCTCCTATAATATTATAAGCAACTGGGCAAATGAAGAAGAGCAATCCACAGATTGCGAATGAAACTTCCATTTTTTTTAGCTTTTTCTATCGATTTATCAATTTTTTTTTCAGGCACTTGCACAGTTTTTGGTTATATAGTAAAGACCACCTAGCGGTTATATAGATGTACATTAAAAGTTATTACTTTGTAATTTTTAATTTCAGTTGACGACTAAAACGTTTCTTTTACGAATGAACCAATTTACATGTATATAAATGAATATGTATATATATGTAATTGGTATATATATATAAATATATATATATATATATATATTTCAATGATGTACAAATACTACATAAGAAGTTAAATACATGTTTTGACTTTTAAGACCTGTTTAACACTACAAAAAAATTCTCAAGTAAAGATTTAACGCAATAGGCGTTTTGTTTTTAAAGAATATATTTACATAAAAAGTTCGCCTATTTCGCCGTCTAATTGTTTGTTGCTCCTCCAGTTTGTTCTTGGTAAACCTCGATTACATCGTCTTCTTCCATGTCCAACTGAAATGAAAAATATGAAATTTTAATTACTTTATTTGCAATGGATAAAAATCGAATTGTTATTGCAACTATGACAAAATACTAAGAAAATATTAGATCAATTTCCACTTAGAATCTGCTGCTTTAAAATAGTACATACTTGTGCGGGTGTTTCATCATCGTTGATTCGTCGTCCATCGAAAAGGAATCTAAGAGTTTGAACTGATACGCCTTGCCTCTCAGCATAAGTTTTCTTAAGTTTAGCCATCGTAGTAGACATTTTCACTTTAAAATGAACTTCTGAATTATCCTGAAAAGCAGACTTATAATGGAACAATAAAAATAGTATAATATCGCTCGTACCTGACCAACAACTCTCAATTTGATAAATTCTTTATCACCTTTATCGTTCTTTTCCTAAAATTAAAATTTAATTTATTGATTTCTGCTAAAGTTGATTATTATGCAAAATAAGAAACATAGAGTATTAAATAAGACAACCATCCATTGAGCATAATGGCGAGCGCGAAAACTTTCAGCTCAGGAAAGTATTCGCTATTGATCTTTTTTTCCCCAAAAAATAGAATAAACATTAAAAATTGCATTTTATTAGCAAATTATCTTTGGAATCTATTAGTAAGATTTAAATAAGAAGGAAAAAATTATGATTTACCGGCGCGGCGTCCGACATGTTGCGTCTTTTGCAATTACTTTACTTCAGTGCTAAAGATTTCGATTTTCCGGTATGTCTAAAACATATAAAACACATATGAATTTTCACCTAGTCATTCAGTTAAGTCATTCTGCCGTATAGCTTTAGGTCAAGGTCGAGATGGAACTCTGGTATATCTTTCTGTTCCACATTTAATTAATGTATTTTTAAGTTAGCAGTACGCCACCAGTCTATTTTGTACAATCAGCCGTTCGATATCTATCATTCGTGAAATCCACTGTTGGTGGCGTGATTTTCAACGATATTTCGCTGCTTAAAAGGGTAACTTACCTGTTTAATTAAATCTTATGTATATTTATATAGTCACGTCATTTTTTCTATACGTGTCGTTTATCCCTTTTAATAATAATTTAAATTCCAGAACTTATCTCAAAACGAAGATTCCAGAGTTTTTAGTCCGTCTTCAGACAACGTTTGATCATGTCAGCTAAAGCTATTCGAGAAAATATAGGAAAGGAGCTTCTAAATAAGCATTTAAAATGCGAAGCTGCAGCTCCCAGCATGTGTGCTTCATTCAATGATAAAACAGAATGGTCACAGCTGACTGCAAAACATGCTTGGCTATCAAACACGGTTAGTTAACATCTAAATGTATGACTACTGTTCCATTCATTACAATCTTTGATTGTGTTCTATTCAGAAATTAGTTGTTAAACCAGATCAACTAATCAAACGCAGGGGAAAGTTAGGCCTAATTAAGGTCAACTGTGATTTGGGTGAATGCAAGCAATGGATCGCGGAGAGAATAAACAAAGAAACAAAAGTAAGTCAGTTAAATTAATAAAAAAGTTCGAGTCAATTGAGTGTATCGGATTAGATAAATGATAATGTTGTACTTTCCGCTTGGCTCAGGTCTTATTGATTTTTCAATCGTCTTCGAGAGTGCTGTGCTGTTACAAATAGACATCGATTGGTAGGAGATCAGGAGATAAAGCATAAATTAAGCTATTTATGCGCTAACAGAGATATTTTAGCTCAAGCGAATATTTATAAAAAAACAAATAATAGGGAAAAGCTCATTTGACAAGTACAAATAGCTAGACTTTATAAATAAGTATTTTATCATTCCGCTCAGACCAACCTGATAAGTTTCCGTGACAACAGAGACTGTTATAATCAAACAGTAATTTTAAAGGCAATTAGAGAATTGATTATAATCTTGACAAAAAATTGGCTTTGAGAGACGTAGATTTTTAGGACTAATTTGATGCATGACACCCTTATATTTACTGCTTTAGGAAGCGTGAAATTATGCATAACTGTAATATGCGTCTTTGAAATTGATTGTATGCTTTAAAATTTTTTCTATAATCATACTAATAATTTGTCGATTTTGTCAGGTTGGAAAGGCTTGCGGTCGATTAACGAACTTCATTATCGAACCGTTTTGTGCTCATAAACCAGAAGATGAAGTCTACGTTTGCGTATATAGTCATAGAAATGGGGATATTATCTTATTCCATCATGAAGGTGGTGTAGAAATTGGTGATGTAGATGCCAAAGCGTCTAAATTAGAAGTTCCAATTGGACAAAAGCCTTCTAGAAAAGACCTCGAACGGCTAGTTTCAAAGGCGAGCAAGGATAGACAGGGAATATTGATCGATTTTATTGAAGCCTTGTACAAGGTTTATGTGGATCTCTTCTTTACGTATTTGGAAATCAACCCTCTAGTTGTCACTTCTGGAAAATGCTATGTTCTCGATTTGGCTGCAAAATTAGATCAGTGCGCCGAATATTTGTGCAAGCAGGCTTGGGGAGAGATCGATTTTCCACCCCCTTTTGGAAGAGACGCAACCAAAGAGGAAGCGTATATCGCCGATTTGGACGCAAAGAGCGGTGCATCTTTGAAATTAACTATCTTGAATGCCAAAGGTAGAATTTGGACAATGGTTGCTGGAGGTGGAGCTTCGGTTATTTATGCGGATACTGTATGCGAATTGGGTGGAGCGTCTGAGTTAGCCAATTACGGTGAATATAGCGGAGCCCCGAGTGAACAGCAAACATATGAGTATGCCAAAACATTATTATCTATAATGACCAAAGAAATAGACGATCGTGGAAAAGTTTTGATTATAGGTGGTGGCATAGCTAATTTTACGAATGTCGCGGCTACTTTTAAAGGAATTGTCAAAGCTTTGAGAGAATTTCAAACTCGTTTAATCAAAGGGAATATTTCAATTTTTGTAAGGCGGGGTGGTCCAAATTATCAAGAAGGTTTGCGTGTAATGACCGAGCTTGGGGATACATTGGGTGTACCCATTCATGTTTTCGGTCCTGAAACTCATATGACAGGAATAGTGGCCATGGCACTGGGAAAGAGAGAAATGCCAAGAAGTAAACCAAAACGTCAAAACACAACTGCCAATTTCGTTTTGCCAGGGGAGACGTCGACCAAAACCAGCACTACTCATGACGCGAATAAGGCTGCTCCAGAGGCAATTCCGGAATTGACTCTATCAGAAAAGCAGCAAATGTTTTCTACAGAAACGAAATGCGTTATCTGGGGTTTACAATCTAGAGCTGTACAAGGAATGCTTGACTTTGACTATTCCTGTCGAAGACGCTCACCCTCTGTTGTTGCTATGATTTACCCTTTTACTGGTGACCACAAACAAAAGTTTTATTGGGGTCACAAGGAAATTCTGATTCCAGTTTACAAACAAATGTCTGATTGCTTCGCTAAACATTCCGACGCAGATGTTCTTGTATCATTTGCGTCATTACGATCAGCGTATGATTCAACTATAGAAGCAATGGGCTATAGTCAAATCCGAACTATTGCTATAATAGCCGAAGGTATTCCAGAAAATCTCACTCGAAAAATAAATCAAGAAGCATTGAAGAAAAATATTACTATTATTGGTCCAGCTACTGTTGGTGGTATCAAGCCAGGATGTTTCAAAATTGGTAACACAGGAGGAATGTTAGACAACATTCTATCTTCGAAATTGTACAGACCAGGAAGTATAGCTTACGTTTCCAGATCGGGTGGAATGAGTAATGAATTGAACAATATTATCGCCATGAACGCCGATGGTGTTTACGAAGGAGTTGCGATTGGTGGGGATAGATACCCAGGAACTACATTTGTTGATCATCTTTTACGATTCAATGAATGTCCCGACGTAAAAATGCTTGTACTCTTAGGTGAGGTTGGAGGTGTTGAAGAGTATAAGATAGTTGAAGCACTTAACAAAAAACAGATTAAAAAACCCATTGTTGCTTGGTGTATTGGAACTTGTGCCAACATGTTCACGTCTGAAGTTCAATTTGGTCATGCTGGATCTTGTGCTCAAGCAGAGAGAGAAACTGCTGTTTCTAAAAATAAAGCACTTGCAGAAGCCGGTGCCGTTGTTCCAAGAACTTTCGATGAACTGGGTGATTCTATTAAATCAACTTTTGATGAGCTGGTGGCTAAGGGTGATATAGTTATTAAACCGGAAGTTGCTCCACCAACAGTTCCAATGGATTATAACTGGGCAAGAGAATTAGGCCTAATACGTAAACCTGCATCCTTTATGACGTCGATCTGTGACGAGAGAGGGCAGGAGTTGTTGTATGCTGGTGTTCCAATAACAGAAATATTTGAAAAAGATTTAGGCTTAGGTGGAGTATTGGGACTCTTGTGGTTTCAGCGACGACTTCCTCCTTATGCTTGTAAATTTATCGAAATGGTTCTCATGGTTACTGCAGATCATGGACCTGCAGTCTCGGGCGCGCATAATACGATCGTCTGTGCAAGAGCTGGTAAAGACTTGATATCGTCTCTTACATCCGGTCTCTTGACAATTGGTGATCGCTTTGGAGGGGCTTTAGATGAGGCAGCAAAGACTTTTGCTGAAGCATATGACACTGGAAAGATTCCGATGGAGTTTGTCAACGAAATGAGGGCAAAGGGTAAACTAATTATGGGTATTGGCCATCGAGTGAAGTCAATAAATAACCCAGACAAACGTGTTGTCATTCTGAAAGAATATGTTAAAAAGCATTTCCCTGCCACTCCAGTTTTAGATTATGCATGTGAAGTTGAAAAGATTACAACTTCAAAGAAACCTAATCTGATTCTGAATGTTGACGGTTTCATCGGATCTGCTATGGTTGACCTCCTGCGTCATTGTGGGGGATTTACTGCAGAAGAGGCTCAACAGTATGTAGATATTGGAGCACTAAACGGTTTGTTTGTTTTAGGTAGAAGCATCGGATTCATTGGCCATTTCCTTGACCAGAAGAGATTAAAACAAGGCTTGTATCGACACCCATGGGATGATATTTCCTATGTTCTACCCGAACAAAACGAATAAACTTATCTGTAGTTTGATAGAATTTGTCTCATTGCAGTCTCTTGGTTGTTATGGTCTCTTTTCAGTAGGGAATAATTGATTATCTTCTATGTGCGAGTTAGCTTTAGGTGGTAACTTTCAAAGTAGCATATGAATAAACTTTGAGGTGTTTATGATATCGATCTCAAATACTAAAAATAAATCATTTCATTCGTTTTTTAAAATCAAACTTAAATGTATGTACATCCGAACCATCGTTTATGACCTTTCGAAGGGTAATACAAATGTTTAAAAAATTCAAGTATGTGTATTCAAATCTTATCCAACTATCAACTTTCGCTTAGTTGATAATAGATATGTTAATCTTGAAGAGGATTTGTAAGAAAACTTCGAATTGACAATTTAAAGATTAGCTGTAAAGGAAAGAGTAAGGAACTTTTTAATTTATACCAGGTAACCAGTTTAATAATGTCCATAAGTATGGTTTTTTAAGATGTAGAGCCAGATTAATTGATAAAAAATAAAATTATTAATGCTAAAGTGACTTTTTAGAAGGATTTTTATTATTAATCTATGTAGATAAATTTTTCATTACATTTTAGCTTTCATTTAAATGGTTTTAATGGCGAAGAGGGAAAATTTGTACAAAAAATTATAAAATGCGATTTTCGCGCCACCCACCCGATTTGCGGAAGTGCGAACATGTGTCCGGTCCTTTCTTTCAACATGGCTGAACAGGTAAAGCGTGACTCCAGTTTTTTTTAATTTATTGATACAAAACCGAGTTTTAGAACCGTAAATCTTGATTCTTAATTTGACATTAGCCATTATACATATGTTGGAACACTTTTAATGAATATGTTTTTTACAACAGACCGAAAGAGCTTTTCAGAAGCAACCGACTGTTTTTCTTAACAGGAAAAAGAGTCTACTCTCTGGTAAATCCAAGAAGCTCCGTTATGTCCGAAATATCGGTCTTGGATTTAAAACCCCCAGAGAAGTGAGTATATAATTGATTCTTGTTACATGCTGTAATATTACACTTATGATGATACTATATCACGACGGTCTTCATACTTTTTGCTGGTGAAGTAACGTGACTACTGATTTTAAGACAATATATTTTACGTCTACTTTCTTTATCCTTTAGTCTTCTCTTAAAACCTTTTATTACCTCAGGCCATCGATGGAACTTATATCGACAAGAAATGCCCGTTCACAGGAAACATTTCCATCCGCGGCCGAATTTTGACAGGCGTTGTATTGAAAATGAAAATGCACAGAACGATCGTAATTCGTCGTGATTACTTGCATTACGTAAAGAAGTACAACCGTTTTGAGAAACGCCATAAGAACATGTCGGTTCATCTAAGCCCATGCTTTAGGTAAGTCATATGGCCCTGTTTAATATCAACTAGTACTAAGGAAGTTTTCTTTCCAGGGATGTTAGAGTTGGAGATTTAGTGACGGTTGGAGAATGCCGCCCACTCAGTAAAACCGTTAGATTTAATGTCGTTAAAGTATCAAAGGGTACTGGAAAATCTTCAAAGAAAACTTTCGACAAGTTTTGAAGTATACCACGTTAACAATACAGTCTAAAGTGTGACTTAATTTGATCAATTTTGTCAAAATTTGTAAATTTAAGTATTTTAAACGTTAGGCGAACAATCGTTTAATTATTCGGTATTTATCGACAAACATAATACTTATTAAATAGCGTTTGGCGGGAAAATTTGAAACTGTCCAGTTATCCAATCTTCTAGGCACTTTAGAAAATATTATTTTATATTTAGACAGTTAATCACAAAATGTATTTGACGGAATAATTCTGCTAGTTTACTAGTATACACTTGGCTAAGGGCAAGGTAAGATGGTCTGAGAAAACGATTTTGGTTTTCAGTATTGTTATGACAAAATTGCTTTGATCTTCATCTGCCCTAAAACTTGGGCAATCAGGGTTCAGCAAGTATATTTTCCTAATTTGATAATGATACTTGATTGCTCAAGAGTGCAAAATTATACCCTAAAGCGATCGAACAGAAACTGATATATTGCAACATCCCTTTAAGTAAGACAAGATTAAAAAATATGGCGATAAGCCTACTTATTGAAAATATTCAATATATTACGGTGGATTGCTACTGTGAAGATGAAACCTGTAAATTTGGTAGGGTGAAAGGTTAATAAGGATATCTTGTCTATATTTCTCTGGCTCATAGTGTCTGAGAAAGTGTGAACTTTTAATTGTAATAAAATGTTTCAAAGCAAGAGCTAAGATACCGCCAATATTTTCAGTTTTAACAGGAAAAAGAGTCTACTCTCTTAATGATCTGTTTTAAGAGTACTATGGGAATAATTATATAACGTCCGTTTGAATAAAATGTGAAACTAATATATGCTTCTGATATAAGTTATAGAAGGTCTTGTGTAACTTATTGGGACCTAGTTAACTAATTAACGAAACCTGACATACGACTGACTATTGGGCGTGAAATTGATAATTGCCATGGAATCTCCTCTTATATATGTATTTTAAATGCTATTGACGTTTAACTTAAGGGCTATTATGGCTTGTTTGAAAATGAATAGGCAAATATCCAAAATTGACTACTAATTAGTTTTGTCTGATCTGGTAAAACAACCAAAGAAAGCTTACTGTGAACTTGGAACTTTAACAACAAAGTAAACCTTGACACTCATCCGGTATTGAATGCAATGAAAATTTTACATTTATAGCAACATTTGCAGTGTATTAGGAAACTAAATTAAGAAGTAATTGGTAAAGAAATCACGCCTCACAAGAGAAAATGTTCTATCAATCCAAGGTAAAATGAATGATTTTACAATAGTTTCTCGAAAAATTTTTATTTATAGTTCATTGCAGTCTTTTTTCCAAAGATGAAACAAGAATAGCAAGATAAAATCATTAAAGAGTAAATTTATTAAAATTTCTGGACAAAAGGGTAACAGAGAAAGTTCGCATGAGTAAGCCCACTCGCACTCAGAGATAGATATTAACGGTACCAATTTTTGTAGGTAACGCCCTAGGAGGTGTTTAGACTATCTACAGGGTATAGAATAGAAGTTTCGTCTGGCGGGCCATGAGACAATTCGCTGGGAAAATGTATTAGACCCGCAGAAATAGTTGATATAGTAGGAATGAATTTAAAGTTATTAGATAGCCTTTCAATTTAACACTTTCATCTCATTTTAAAGATATTTGTTTACAGTGATTCGGGTAAATTAATTGTTGATAATGTAGTATATGACAAGTTCTAAATTATCGTATCATTCAATGTACTATTTTTGAACTTGTCCATGCAGTATGTCAAGGTAAAAGTATATAGTAGCTCTGGCCTAGTTGAAACTATGATATTAATATATTAATGCTTGTCTGTTTAAAAGTTATAAAACATAAGAAAAAGAGAAAAAGCGCAAAAAGGAATTTCTCATCTATTTCGTCAAAATATTAACAAAGAAAAGAGAACAAAAAACTTTAATTACACTCTTTTAATTATAAATTATTATTGACCTAACAACCTCCAATGTCTTTATTATTAGCCTTCTTTCTAAAATGCCTTTTTTCTTCTGGATCAAAGCCTCTTTCAACGGCTCCGTATTGAGCCCAAGTCGGGGTTTTAGCCATATAATCTTCGCTTGTAAATTGTAATTTTCCTTCTGATGCTTTGTACCTATCGCTTAATTCGTGGAATTTTTCGTAGTCAATCCAAGTATACCAGCCGTCGTCTTTCTTGAATTTTACATCCGCTAACAAAACACAATTCGAATGCGCATGTTCGCATGCTATTTCATAATTTGGTAGTAAATCAGCTAACTGTTGGACGAATCGTAGTACTTCATCGTGCCAGGGGACATTTTCCATTGTCAAAGTAGTCGCCTTTGATTCTCCACAGTACGTTACACCCTTTTATTTATTGATAAACTTTAAACTGGAAATATGTTCTATATATAATTTAATTTTTTAATACTAACCTTAATTTCTATATAATCAGGTTTTCCCAATGACACCAAATCAGCATAGGCATTTAGCTCTTCCGTATTCCATGCCTTAACCAAAGTTAGCCTATATACTGTTCGTTGACCCTGCAAAGCAATTAGTACGTTCCATTAAAACATGTTATACAGCCAACACGTGTATAAACTTCAACCTTAGCAGATAAGGCAGAAAGACTGTCAAGAAATCTAGGCCAAAAGTCTTTAAACAGAGGTCTATCAATTTTCTTTAGAGCATCTTGTGTTGCTGCATCAACGCTAACGTATAATTGAGTGCAAGGTACCATATTTCTAATTGAGAGGGATACACTTTAATTGAATTACATAGCTGCGAAATATGAATTATAATTTACTTAATAGCATCTGGAAATTGGGCGTTTGTTACTAGAAAACTAGATATTCTCTTTTCGTGTAACATCTTAACAAATTCGTTAATTTTTGGGTACATAATTGGCTCTCCAACTAGAGACAAAGCGCAATGAGCAACCCTAAAAGCCTCCTCCAATCGTTCTGGTTTAACTCCTGGAACACCTCTGTATTGTTTAATTAGCTTGTAGTGATTTTCTAAAGCGCCTTTGAATATAACATCTGGCTCATCCATTTTCCATTTCCATTCGGTTCCTACAGGATTTGTGTGGTGACTGAAACACATTATCAAATTATCCTCTTTTATATTTTATCTATTTCGGGATGACTAACCGCCAACAGAACACACACTTATTAGCACATGCCAAGCTTGGTGTAGTTTCCATGCACCGATGACTTTCGATACCATAAAAAGTATGTTTATAGCATCCTCCTCTACCCCTTAGCATAGATTTTGTCCAACGACATAGTTTTACGCCTGAATGCGTCCCTATTAGTTTATAACCTGTAAAAAAGAAATTGTAGTAGAATTTACACTCTTGGGAAAATACGTTACCCTGCTTAGTTAAGGCATCACGCAACATAGGAGTGATCATCTCTTTTTCATTTCCTCCCTTAGCAGCATTCCTCGTTATTTTTCCCATTATATTTCCCAAATCTTCAACATCAACTACATCTTCGCTGTTTTCTTCTTCCTCTTCTTCGCTTAGCCCACTATCGCTTTCATTCTTTTCCGTCTAAGATGATTTTAAAGAAATGGATGGGTAATAGAAATTAAATTGGTTTTAGTTCCATTTACTTTTTTATCTCCTTGACAAGAACAAGAAGCAGAACAACAATCTTTTGACGATTTCTTAGAGTTTTTTACTTCGATATGCTCATTATTTTTAATTATGCGTAAAGCCCTCTTCCAAAACTTTTTCTTCCATGCGGCGAAGTCACCTTCCTTACCTTTATATGATATATACTTTTAAGTTTATGTTAAAGCTATGCTGGGTTAACTGATACCTCCATGTCTACTCTCAGCAACGTTTTCGTCAACAATTCCGAGAGGAAGGATCATTGTTGCATCAAGTTTTTTGAAGCTATCTTCTAAGGTTTTACCAACCTTTGAATAATAATTAATTTTTAATTTTGTTCACTTTTTCGATTTGAATATACATACCGTTCCAAAATATTCCTCATACAGCGAGTTTCCTAAAGATACAACGCAAAACTTCAAGTTACTTAATAGACTTTTTTGTATACGAAAATCGGACGACGCTTCCTCGATCCATTTGCAAAACCATTTAGCCGACTCAGGAGGTGCTCCATCAGTGTAAGTTGAGATGATTGAAACAAGAATAATTTCATTTTTGGCCTAATAAAAGGCACGGATTGTTTGTAACTCATGAAAGAAGTATTATAAATGATTACCTCATCAGACAAAGAATCTTCAGGATCATAGTCTTGCATTGATATAACTTCACACTCAATTTTGTGAATTTCTTTTGCCTCTTTAGCTAAAATCCGTGCGAATTTCTGAAATATAGTATATACATAATTAATTTTCATTCAGTCGCTTTTTAATATTTATCTTAACCTCTGAAGTTCCAGTTTGCGATCCATAGAGAATCTTAATTTTGCTGAAACTTTGAGCTTTCTGCTCTGAGATTTTGATGCTTCTTCTATACTTTTTATGCCACACGTACAAAGCAACTGCCAATCCAAGCGAAGTTGCTAAAGTTATTGTTGTGGCTCTTCCCATTTCTTTTATCTATCACAAATAATCATTAAACTTTGAAAATTAAAGGGAAACACATATTGCACTTATAACAATAGATATTGAATAAAAATCTGATGAAAGACGTAGTAAGTAGAAGAGAATATGGTTATATTGTTAATAAGATTAAATACTTTTTGTCATGTTTATATAATGATTGCTATAAGATAATTATTACTTTTTAGAATTGGAAAGGTACTAAACGTTTCTTTACGGTAGTAGTAAGGTACTTTTTGTAGAGAGCGAAAATGGACCAAATTTAAATCGGAAACACACTACCGGAAACCCATCGTAAATTATCAATTATTTTAAATGGAAAATGTGATGTCTTAGCTGATTGGATGATAATTTTTCAACAAACTTAATAAAACTTATTTAAGGATTTAACGTACATTTATAAAACATTATTTGGATAATAGGCCCATAAATAATTTTAAATGGCATACTTTTAAAATATATATTTAAAGAGAGTATTTTATTTATTTTTTATCTCAAACTGTTTATATAAAAACAACAAATGTGATTTATGTAGGTTAAAAAAAAGAAAAAGTACTCAATTAGTTGAGCAAACAAGATAAAAGGTTCTTAATTGATGGAAAGCTCGTTTGAATCATGTATATATATATATGTATATATATAGGTATATACAGAAAATCTTTAAGTTAGGGATTGGTGAAATACTGTAATAAATCTTTGAAGAACGTCCTCTAAATTACCATCACTCACTTGAAAGTCAACTACTGAGGAGGGGGGTAATCGATTGCGTAATTTTTCAAGGCGAGAGAAAACTATAGATAGACTAAAATAATTAATATTTAGATTATAAGTCAGTAAGCCTATTCCATTTTCTGAGGCATAAATTAATTCACAATCTGGGAAGTAATATCTCGTTAAACGATCAATTCTCTCTTTATAAGATCTTGCTTTTGATGGATTTTCGAACGATTTGATTTGAAATCGAACGTGATATCCTGGAGCGAATTTGTCAATTAAATGTTGTTTAGTACCCACACCCATTATTCTATTCTTTATTAGTACAACTATACGACTTTCTAGCCTGTCATCAACGTCACATAAGCTAGGAAAACTGCTGACAATCGTACAATTCATTTTTAATAAATCCAGTAGTGCATTTATGGCTAAATCTTTTAATTGGTAGGTTAAAGAGGAAAATGGATTCTGTAATGCCGTTTAGAAGTTAATTGGGCAATTTTAGATTAGGTACATGATAGGTAAAGTCTATTTGCTAATAGAAAATTCTAAATGGCATTCCTGCAAAACAATAATGGGTGGATGTCCAACTGAAGCAGCAGCTAGGTTTACCATTTGTAGATTACTGTCTACTAATTCACCAATTTTAAAATGCTCAATATCTCGTAATGAGAACATATCTATTATATTACAAACGTGCTCATTTAGCTTATCATTCTTTATATTACGAAACCTTGAATAGATAACCAATAATTCTCGAACTGTCAGAAATTGTGGAAGGTACTGGGGATTAGATAAGGCAACACCGCAAACTTTGCAAATTTCTTCACGATTTAATCTGGTATTAAACCCATTAATAAATACTCTTCCGGAAGTTGGTATTTCTAATCCACAGGCAAGATAAATCATTTGGTTTAAGCTCACATTCTCGTCTCCTATTATTGATATAAATTCGCCTTCATTAACAACTAGGTAAGCGTTATCAACATCAGCTGTGTCCTTTAGAACAAAATCTGTTTGCGAAAATTCCAATTACGTTCTCTATCTTACACTTTAACATAGCCCTCTCCACTTTTATCTCATCTAGATAGCTACTGCTCTAAAATGACCTTTTATAGAAAGAAGTATTTTTTACCTTTTCTCATCGTTCGTTTATAGACGCCATCAAAGACGATTATACCTAAACTTTCGGGTCTTTCAGCCAGTATAATACGTTCTTTTTCTTGTTTCTCTCCTATTTCTGTGTCCAAAATATTCATTTCACTCTAATCAGGTATATTTGTAACATCAGCATCAACAATAGACAACTTAAGTATAACTAACCGATAAGTAAGGATATAAGATCACTTCAAAATTGGGTCGTTGTTTCTCAAGGAATATCACAAAAGAAAAAACAAATATTGCATGTAACATTAAGCCTATCAGAACTTTTCCAATGCCCGGTTCATTAAAACTATATGGATTATTGGTAATGATAAAGCACCTATACCCATAGCATATCTTACAACACAAGGAGTTTACATTCGACTTGGAACAGTCAACTGTTGAACACAACTGAACCTAACAGTAAATTTTATTATTATGTACGCTTGTTATCAATTGAAAATATGATTGACCTTGTTTATAGAGCTTAACCATAGACCATACATATAGTTAATATGGGGGTTAAAATAATTGATTATCGCTAGTCCAGGAATATCTGGATATAAGTTTATCACTAAGAATATTAAGGGAGCGGCAGTTAGAATACACCATAGTTGAATACATGCTGTAATCGATTGTAGAGTTGTACCCAGGAAATAATTGGATGGTGGACAAGCTATTGAATAAAGGATTGTGAGGACGACTTCCTCGCCTTTTATAGCTGATAGTCCGTCGGTTATTATCTGTTAAAGTAATATTTTGATAGTTTTCGACTAATTACTAATACAGTAAGACAGTAATAATATCATACTGTTCCAGAAACATTTGTTAAAATTGCTGTTATAAAAATAATTATAGAATCGATCAGCCACGAAGAAAGAAACTGATACAGCATATCTTCGCCCCTAAATTGTCTCATTATAAACTTTTGGCACAATTTAGCTTTTAAAAACATAATTGAAAATATTAGGCTTTCGATGCTTAAAAAGAAAGATGTTCCAAAAGCCATAACTGTATTACGCAATCCCAAATGATAATTTATTGGTCCATTATCAAGACGGACCGGAAGAGGGAAGTTACGTATGCTTATTGTTCTATTACTGCTTGTGTGTTTCCTTAGTAAAATATTTGAAAGCGTATTTAGGCCTAATGCCGCTCCGTGATAAGTGTATCCTGTAAATAACAGTTTTAACAGAAGGTTAAAGCATAAATATAGAAATTTTTCTGTCCAATGTAAACGATGTAAAAAATGTTCAATATCTCGGACAAAAAGGAGGAAAACCTACCGGAATAGAAAGCTGTCAATTTAAAGTTTTTTCTCTCTGTTTCATCCTTAAGACAAAGGATAGAAGAGAGCAAAAAATGAGAAATTTAATAGAAACTTTTCAAATTTTGCTAACAAACCATTCCTAATGACCAGAAGGCGTATGAATTTAGAATATATTTTGCAAACTTTTCCCTCCCAATACGTTGATATATACTGTCCAAATAATTACAAACTATCTTATATTTATCTTTAGTTCGGCCTATAAATAGAAACATTTTCTTTTTTATTTATTTTTTCGATTGTTTATCATTTCCTTTCTGATAATTACTTTGACGTAGTACAAAAGAAAGATTTAATACTTCTATACTATTAATATTGCTATACATGTTCATTAGAATCATTTCGTACTCATTAGTTTGGTTATTAACCTCGAAATATTCATTTGTAGCATTTAAATGATTATTAATCTTTATTTCTGGAAGGTAATATATTGTTTCTGTAAAAATAAAAATTATAATAGTTTCATATCAATAGAACTGTTATTAATTAAATACGATTTCTATATTTTCCAGGATAGATTGAATATGCTGATGGCACATTTTCTATATCATTTGTGAAAACTAGATTTAATGAAACTCTTAGGCCTATTAAAAATAATATAGAAAGCAAGAAGATAGATATTCCCCTTTTCATTCTAAGAAGAACAACTGTTCTATATTCTATTCCAGCAATAAAAATTTGTTTTCGTCTACTCCATTCAGTCATAGTTGTTTGGTCTATGAAAAGTTTATACTGTTAAATGTTATCAATAAATAATAGAATCGTATTAGAATCTTAACATTTTTTTCTCTCACAACGTTTTTTTATTCTCTTTGGAGTTGAACCATACTATTTTTAGAATATTGGGCAAACAGAGAGAAGAAATAGATTATAAATGATAAATAAGAAATTTACAAAAAAAAAACCATCTTACTAATACGGATTTCTTTCCTTTGGAACTTTCTGAACTAAACTCGTGAATTGGATTTAAAACACCTCCACTAACAGATGCTCCTGTCTTTATTCTAGGATTGAGGGATTGAAGAAAGAGATCACAAATACAGATATGTAAATTAGTTTGCCTCTAAAATAGAAAAACCTTGCAAATGCATCTTGAATATTTATAGCCAAGAGTCTGTACTTTACAACGCCTATTTGAGAACTTTGGGTTTTTAATTTTCTGTTTAAGGATTAATTTATAAGAATAATTTATATGCTAAAATATATCCAGAACACAATCTATCTACTTTAAACGGATTTTAAAGGATTTTTTAGCCATTTAAAATGATATATGCCAAGAATAGTTAAAGACTATAGGATGAAAATAAAACTTACGAGAAAAACAACTGAAACTTGTGTACAAATCTAGACGGTATATAATACTTTAATAGATTTTCCTTTTCTTTATCAATTTCTACGTATAATTCTGGAAATTCTTCCAGTAAAAAGTTGTGTATAATTCTATCCTCTGTATCGTAATTTTTATATATTAACAAATGATATCCTAAACCATATTCCATCTTAATGTAATCCCAAGAACCATAACATTCTATTCTCCCATTTGACATTAACATAAATCTATCTGCGTATAAATCAACGTCATTTAAATAATTTTCTACTATAATTATTGCTCTGTCATTTTTCAACTTGAGTAAACAATCCCATGTAAAATTTCTATCGCTAAGCGACATTCCCACGGTTGGATTTTGGAGCATAACTATCTTTGTGTCACCCATAAATGCACCGCAAATGCCTAGTTTTTGTTGTTCAACTTCGTTTAAACAACTCACTAGATTGTATTTTTTATGAAGAAGGCCAAATAAAGAGAGTAGACCGTTAACTTCTCTTCCTAGCCTTGAATACTCTCTCAGCTTACATGAAGCAAAGAAAATCTTCAATAAGATAGTGTTAGGGAAAAAAAGTAATAATTATTTTAATTAGTATATTGATGGGTTAGTGATTATTTACTAGGTGCTCGTAGACTGTTAATTCCCTATAGCATGTATCAACACTACTCCATTTGCCAATTAGACGGAGAGCCTCATCTTGATCTTCGACAGCATCTACTTCAAATATTTTGGAATAGCCAACATCGGGTCTTATCCAACCGCTCATTACGCCCATTATTTTTGATTTTCCCGATTTAGGCGGTCCAACAATTGCTGTTATTTCGTTTAGATAGACTTTAAATGTATATCTATCATCTCCCAAATATTCAAAGGTAACATCTCCCGATATATTTAAAACATCGACAATTATACAGGGAATTTTATTGAAGTTATGATCTTGTTCAAAATTTTTCATTCTGTATCGATGTTCCGAACCAGGAGAGATCATCTTCTGTTCAGTTGAATTGGAAAACCAATAGCTAGTCTATAGAATGGAAAATAAGTCGGTTTTTTTTCATATTTCAATCATCAGAGGGCGTTACAAGTAGTTAAGCGGCGGCGGCGTCTTCTACTTACACTCAGGAAAAAATTCCAAGATTTCCCCCCTCCACCAGAATCTGAGTATCTACTCTTTATTTGATGAAAATACCAGGATAAGAAGATATAAAAAAGCATCATAATAAAGTTCATCGCAATTACGTCGCTAGCTGCTGGATGATGAACTGAATTACCTCTTTGATAGAGACGTTCCCATTTAAAGGACGTTTCTAAAATGGAAAACAAAAGAAATATTCGCTTTTCTTTATAAATAATTTATATTTAAATTAAGATTAATTAACAGTCAAAGATTTTTTTGCTGACCAGAGTATAATCTGACATCGGATTTCATCCAATTAAGTAGAAATACAAGTTTCAAAAAAAATTGCTTCCAATAGAAGAATTGTACGTTGTAAAAGTCTTCGAAAAGCCATACAACTACATTAGCAACGTATGTACATAATACAATTGTTAAAACTATAAGATAATAATAAAAAAACTAATTATTAATCTACACATAATCCGTACTTAAGCACCTCTCTTGAAGAGTACACTAAAAAGGAGATAAAACGCTACTCGTGCCATGTACATTAGTGTTAAGTATATAAGAAATAGGGAACAATCAAAATTTGTTGAATATGTTTGATCACCTATTTTTGGGAATATAATTAACGAGAGTAAAATGATAATTACATGGGGATAAATGAGTAGAACATAAAAGCTGAACATCCATTCTCCATAGAAGGTTGACGCCCACACACCATGCTCTTGAAGTAGTATTCGACGTCTACAAACATTCTCTGTATCCATATTAACGATAAATATTAGAGTTAATGCAGTTAATATTAGAAGAGTGGTTGCCGCGTGAGCGTGCGAATCCAATTCGGATAAAGTTAGGTCATTTACAGGTTCTTCCTCAGAAAATCTCTATATATTTTCAGAAAATATAAAATATTCATAAACAAATCATGTTAACATGAAAGTTGCCAATGTAAACTAGGCTACGAGAAATAAACTTACAACCAATTCTACTTTATATTCGATTAGACTAGCAGAAGAATTAATAGAATGAATTATCGATTTATCAATTAACCATTGTAATTCTAAAAATATATTTTTTTCCATGTTTTCCCATTGCGGATTAAACGTATAAGCTTTTAAATCAAAATTAAATTGTTTAATAATTGTTTAGTAATTTTCGCGCCTATAATAGTTATTTTCGTATAAGAGAACGTTCGAAAAAAGAACTCACGATTTCTTAATTCAGTTGTAAATGGTATCCTATGCAAGTTTTTTAAATTAAGTATAAAGTCTTCTATGAAAGTTTTATCTGTAAACCATTTTTTTAAATCTTCTCTACCAGAAGTTTCTCGAATAATTTCAGATGGAAGACGAAGGTCGTAGGATAAATTTTCTGGCCATTCCGTTAAGTCGGCCTATAAAAAATTTACATAAAAACTTGAGCTATATAATAGAATAGACATATTAACGCCTCCAGACGCCTGTTTTTATTATAGAGCTCATAAAAACTATCAGTGTCTAGAAAATGTTTCTATAAAAACCAACCCAAGCGTCTGGAAATTGGACGGCCGCTAAAATTCTTAATCCTTGTTTGGTACATTCATACGATCTACCGCTAGTGACGTAAAAGTCGTTTAATTGGTACGCATTTAATAGAGGAACGCTCCGTACACGCCACGTTTTAATATTTGAATAGATGTTCTGCGAATCGGAGGAGCATGAATGATTTCCTATTGCCTGGGCGACCCTATTCATAATCATTCTAGTAAAAGGGGTCGATGGAGAGTAAATTATTACATCCCTAGGTATTCCTTCCTTATAAACACCACTACAAACTTTGTTAAGTGCATTATCAGAATTTGAAAACAATACTTCTCTTTGCAAATTACAAGCTTACTTGCGTAATTAAATAGGCTATTGTCAATTGCATAAGGTTGATAATATATTATATTATATTGTGTTAAGTGTTTCGGTTGTTGTGTTTTATCTATAATTATCAATCTATTGTTTTAAACATATACAAAATTATTAGTACAATATTAAAATAATATAAAATATAAATAACCTGCAAATCAATAAGATCATAAAAATGATAAAAGGAAATAATAGAAAAGGAACAACTACTAACTTATTCCTCTTCAAAGTTGTCCATCTTTTCTTAAAGAGAATTATGAAAAGCTTCAATTGCGAAATCATTATCTTGTAGAATTATTCTATTATCTTTATTGATATTAGTATAATTGTTATTTTTGTTAATGGTTTCTATTATTGTTTATAGTTTATTTGAAACAATAACAACTAAAAAGAGAATGAAGTTTGAAAATGATTTTGTAAACTGGTAAAAGCTATATTTTTTTCATCATATCTCCGAAATTAATCTATATAGAAAACGTGAGGGGGCGCTTTTGTATCCCGTACGTCTAGTTTATCCTGTATATGTACGCACCTGAAAATTTTTTCATAACACAAGGATGTATTTAATATCTTTGTAGTCCTACACTGTGGCCTTTTGTTTGCCATTCGAAAAGATAATCTACTGAGTCAATACAAAATGCGGCCAACTACATATTTCGCCTTTCTCGTTCTTTTCGTATTAAGGCTGTCTTACACCCAAAAATTATCCATCACCTTCGACAAAACTTACGGCCTGGACATTAACGGTAAACAGAGGGGCGTAACTGTAACCCATCAACCTGTAATTACGTTGAAACGTGACAGGTAAACGGAACAAAATCGACGTGATTCGTCATGGAAAAGTCGTACCGTTTCTTCGCTCTCTTTCATTAAGCGATTATATTCCTCCTCTTCTACAAAACACATCCGTTGTTAAGTTAAGATGGTTCGCTCCTGGAAAGGCAAAGGTACTCTCTTTCAATTCTAACGATCAGATTGATGTATATATGTTAAAAGGTGCAACGTGATCTTTACATTTTTTTTCATTAACATTTTATCTTTGTTTTCTTTACAGTTTCAGTATCGTTTTGAAAAACTTCAATCGCTTGACTTATCAACTCTTGAGCATCCATCGATAAATGTTCCTTTTTCGGGTTCAATTTCTGAAAAGAGACAGGGTACCGTCATTCAATATTGTATTAAAGACTATTACTTTTTACCAGCATTAATGAACCTTCGGGATGTTTCTTTTTCTTACTATAGAATTTCAACTACACTTGCAGTGTACAAATAAAGTCTCTGCTATTGCATCTTTCTATGTTCTACTACATATATCGAGTAAATCAAAAGCCATTTCCGGTTCACCAATTCGTCTACAGCTAAGAAAACGTTGTTCATCGACTAAAGCTTTAAAGCATACTTGTAAATTCGAATGCTTAAACAATGGTACCTGTAATCAACATGGAATGTGCGTGTGCAGCACTGGGTGGATTGGAGCTAACTGTTCTATACCAGTCTGCCGTAAGCAATGCCTTTTCGGTGGCAAATGTATTCTACCTGACAAATGTGAATGTAAGAATGGGACAGGAGGTCGAAGATGTCAAAGAGGCCTTGGCAAATGCAGAAGAAAATGTGAAAATAATGGTATTTGTTTTAAAAAGAATAGATGCCTTTGCAGAGACGGTTTTATTGGTAAATATTGCAGAAGAGGTAAGGTAATCTTGTAATTAAGTTTTCTGATTCTGGTGATTTATAATTCAAAGTTTATTGATATCTAAAATATTGAAAGTCTTCTTCATACACACACACACACACACACACACGTATACACATATATATATTTAATTTCATTCACGTACAACGAAACAACAAACGAAATTTAATATGTTTGGTCTTCTTTTTCTAATACTATTGTTTTTTTATCGTGTTTGTAGTTCTTTGTAAACATTCTTGTGGAGAGCATGGTCGATGCGTCCAAAAAAATAGATGTCGATGCCTTAACGGTTGGCATGGTAAAAGATGTCACAGAAGTTTGTTTTAAATAATAATGGTAATAATAATAATAATGCTAAAGTTTTATGGTTTCTTTTTTTATTAAAGCACCAAATCAAACAAGCCGACGTAAGCGAAAGCGTCAAAGGAGAAAGAGACGAAGAAATAAGAAGCTTATTTCAAACGCTATAACAACATAATCGATTTATTTTTAATGGAAACTCTTTGATTTTTACTTGCTTTAATGTTTTTCTACGTCACTTTTAAAATAATTTACTTTTCAAAAGTCATTGTAGCTATGGTGATTCCCGCTTGGGAAACTAAACTATGTTTTATACGCATGCGCGTAAATGACCTTGACATATAACCAGCTGTCTGGGAAATCTGGGAGGTTCTAGATCATTTTATTTTTTTTACCAATACAATGAATTTCATGGATTCATTTGAAAACTTTTAAAAGTCTAACAAAGCCTAGGTTAGAATTGCGTTATTTACATTATGAAATGACAAAACCTACATCATTTTCTACTGAATCTTCTTCTAGTTACAGTTTTTCTACGGATTATGAGAGCGTATTGAACTTTGAAAAAAAGCAAGTTAACATGGCAGATAATAAAGGTTTATTACTTAATTTTGTTTAAAAAATAGGCAATTCATCGTTTATCATATATTTTATATCAGTGATATCAGATTGAATTCATTTATACAAATCGTTCATCAGATGACCTAGCTCGTTATGATCAGTCATGTCTAGAAATGTATGTCTTTTCATGGCACTTTGTCTTTTTGTATTGTCCGATGTCTTTCCCGAGTATATAGGAAACATTCGCGTAACAAAGATCTCTTCGTTCGGTGCAAATATAAGTATTTTAAGAGGTCACACAGAAAATAAAGAAAATAAAAATAACTTGGTATTCGTTCATTGTATTAATTGATTTATCTAGTGAAAACTTTGAACATATGTATTTGACATTTGTTTAAAATATTTAAATTTTTACAGCAAAGATTAAATGGTATCAGAACCCAACTTATTTTATCTATTGTGCACATTGCTTATCTAGTTGGGTAAGATAATATTAATTATAATGATGAAAATCGTCCTAATTTCTTTTGCTAAATTTGGTATCATTTTATTTCCTTAAAGGGTGATCGAATGTGGACTTATGCAACAGGCATTTATCTTTTTGCACTTGATCATGGCAAATTTAGGCTGGCTGCTATTTTCGGGGTTTTATGCGGTATATCAGTATTGCTCTGCGGTGGTTTAATCGGTAGTTTGGTTGACAGAACTGCCAGGTTAAAAGGTAGTAAAGAGAATTTAATAAAACATTGTCTTTAACCTATTAGTATTATGTTATTTTATTGTATTTATTGTATTTCTTTCATTCAAAACAGCTGTAAAAATCAGTCTGGCAGTGCAGAATTTATGCGTAGCCATTGCTGCCACAGCATTTTATTTATATCTTTGGGTAATCTACTTGTTAGGAAGTGTAATTATAAATAATTACAATAGATATTTTTTTGCACTTATAAACAGTATTGCGGTATTTCTATTGACTGGAGTAATAAGGAACTTCAACTAAAACAACAGAAAACCTACGTTAAACAAGCATTGCATTTCTCATGGGAAGCTATGATTGTGATTCTAGGAGTTATGGCTTTATTAGCCAGCACAGCAATGAAAATAGCTATTGAAAAAGATTGGGTAATTATTGTTGCTGATACGAAATCTGGATTGGCCAGTAGGTTTTAAAGTTTTACTGAGCTTTTACAGTTTTATAATATATAATTATTTACATATTTAAGGTCTTAATGCTGTTGTTCGATCAATTGATTTGTCCTGCAAAATTCTTGCCCCTATAGCTGTTGGAGGAATAATGAGTGCTTTCGGTTTGCAAGTATCTGCAATATTTATAGCTGCATGGAATATTGTCAGTTTATTTCTCGAATATGCTTTACTGAAGAAGGTCTATAACTTAGTTCCTCGTTTAGCCATTAAAGGCACGGATGGTTAGTTAAAGCTTTGCCTAATGATTACCGTATTTAAAGAAAACGCATATTCTGTTTTAATTTATAGATGCAGTCTTGGTTGAGGAAGAAGTTAAAGTCCAAGAAATAACTGACAAAGACGTTGAAATGGAAGAAATGCTCGATAAAAATAAATTAAATAAAACCGAATCGAATTCTCAAAATGTAGAAGAAGAAATACCACTAAATGACACAATTTCCGAAAAAGAGGTTGAGGGTAAAGAAAACGAAGGGGAAAAAATAGAAGCCAAAGTGGAATATTTACGACCTAAAAAGATTAAAAAATCTTGCGTCCAACTTGTTTTTGGAGAATTAATTATCTTGATTAAGGGATGGAAGATTTATATGAAGCAACGGGTCGTTTGCGCTGGCTTGGCATTAGCCTGTTTATATATGACAGTTTTGGGCTTTGATTCGGTTACTGTTGCATATATATACAGTCAAGGGGTCAATGAAGCACTGACAGGTGTTTGTCAGGGTTTGGGAGGTTTGATAGGTATATTTGGAACCTTCCTGTTTACCAAATGTCGAAAGAAAATAGGCCTAGAGCGTACCGGTTTAATAGGTTTCAATTCAGAAATGTTGTTTTTGTCATTATCGGTCATTTCTCTATTTTTACCTGGAACTACATTTAAACCTGCAAGTATTTTTTCTCGAAATATTGACAAATCTTTCGTGAACGATACATCGAGTGATATTTATAATTACACAACAAACGCTAATCTAAAAATTCTACCTACAATAAATTCTACATTGAATTCATCAGATTCCTTCTCTAGAAATAATAATCAAAATTATCATTCAATTATAGTATTTCTATGTGGAATCATATTATCGAGAGCAGGTAAGCAATATAACTTTTATTCTATAGCTATTGTTATTATTTTCATTATTGTGATTTTTTTTGTTTTCTCTCTCTATCAACTAATTAGGGCTATGGATGGCGGATTTAGTGGTAACACAATTAATCCAAGAGAATGTCGTCGAAACGGAGCGTGGTTTGGTAAACGGAGTTCAAAATTCTCTTAATAGTTTGCTTGATATGCTAAAATTTATACTGGTTCTCTTCTTTGCCACACCAGAAGTTTTTGGCTACTTGATTATATTATCATATATCTTTGTGAGTTTAGGTTGTATTTTATACGCAAGTTACTCGTATAAAATGCGTGGTCATCTCATTCCGAGGAGATTAAAATCCTTTCTACTGTGCCGATCCCAAAAAACACCCAATGCAAATTCTTCACCTATTTATATAGGGCCTCCTCTACAGAAAAAGTCTGAACGGAGCGTTACAGAAACATAACAATTCGTTTGTTTGTATTTTTTGTAAATTGGTTTTTATTCTTTTTTCAATTGTAACATCAGCAAAATTTATATTTGATTGCTCAAAAAAAGAAAGTCCTCAAGAAACAGAAGCATAAGCAAAACCGTTTATTTTAAATTTTTGAATACGATTTCAAGAGGAAATAGATATTTTGCTTTTATAAACTATTTATTATCATTTTTAACGAAAAATGAATTTCAATAAATATGCTGTAAAAAAGTTCAAGTTGAAAATTTTTACCCAGAAAATAAAAACCAAAATATTTTATATTCTTTAGATAGCATAAAGAATATTTCGTATAAGATTTAGAACGAAAACAACGAGATTCATATTTTTGCTTAGGATTACAATATAACTGTTTGTCTTTATGCAGTTAAATCTGAAGTATAATGAACTTTATTAGACTTTGGTGTCATATAGATTAAGTGTATTTACTAGGCTATAGAACGAATAAGAGAAATAAGTATATTAACTGGTATTATGCGAGGGTGGTTAATTACGTTACGCGTTTATTCTCTTTTCCTGTCTCTGTCAGTCTCATCTCTCGAGTCTCTGTTTTCATAACGTTAATGTTCTATTTTAGAACGTCAAAAAATTGGAACATTTTATAGATCATTAAAATTTTTTTTTATTTGACGATAAAAAAAGAGACAATGACAAAACCACCCAGCGATAATGATATAGTATGGTTTATAAATGGAGGGGGCGACGACTCTGTTATTGTATTTGCGGATCAACGCTCGAATGATATCGATAAGTTATGTACTGACCAAGTATCGACTGATTCATTTATTGGGAGCTATTTTGAAAAGATTCGAAAAGCTCCAAAAAGATTATTTTGTACTAAATCAGATTTGGAATCGATATCGCTTAGACATCCTCCTAAGAATATTAATGAAATTTACAACACTGAGATTGGGTTTCTCTCTTATGCCGAATCGATAGAGGAACGAAAAGGGTACCCAAAGAATCTTAAGGTAAACAAGGGACAACAAAAAATGGAATTGGATCGGCCACCTAGGCCAACTTCGCCTAAGAAGTCACGTTTGTCTGATCGGCCTATAACTGGAGAATCCGTTTGTTTCGAAGAAAAGAGAAGATTATCGAAGAAAGCTAATAAATTAGAGCAAGACAAATTCTTTGGTAGTTTTCAGAAAGCCGTAAATAAAATTTCTAAATATGTTCCGTTAAATATCGGCGTTGTCACTCGCTCTATGATAAGGTGCTTTCAAGGAGAGTCGCCTATCTTCAAAAGATATGATGAAATGAATGACTCTATAGTTATTTCTAATCGTAGAAAACGTGTAAACAAGAGAAAAAAATTGAAAATTTCATTAAAAAAAAATAACTGTATCTAATAAAGAATGTAGACTGATTAATAAACATTTAATATAGAAACCATTCATTGACGGTTTTATTTATGCATAAGATAGATACATATATTAATGCATTTACATCCTAATAAATACAAAAGGATAGACAGGGAACAATATAAGGTCATAGAGATCTTTTTCTATAGAGTGAAAGTTTCTGGTTTGAACATGCCAGCTCCATAATCCATGACTTACTGGCAACTAAATGTAAAGATGCATAAAAAAGAAACAAAAAAAATAGCACTAAGCATATATTAAACGAATGAGTTTCTTTAGATTAACCATTATATTTATAAATTAATCTAATAAACCCATTGATCATTGTCTAAGAAGCCTGATCATTTTATTTAAATATCTTAAGAAGTTGGCCTAATTTGAATAGCTAACGAATCAATTCACCTCTAGAATATATTAATTAATTTTATAATTAGGTCTATAATAAGTAAACTCTACTTTCAGTAGAGAAAGCTAAATCAGAAGGAGATGAAGAAGAGAAGAAAAGGAAGAAGATAACTTAAGTATGATATTTGAAAACTTTTCTATTTGTATTATATAACCTTTTTACATGTTTAATTTCCTGCAGGAATTAAGCTTGTTTTGGTCATTCCCATTCCCAATTCTGATATACCAAGCGTTATAGAGAATTGGGAATAATTTCTTTATTAGATTAAGCAAAGTAAATTAGGAAATAATTCTATTTATTATATTATGAGAAGTGTTAAGATTGAAAATGACTTTTGAAATGAACATTGAGACACTCAATACAAGAAAAAGTGTTACGACAGAATAGTATGTTATTAATTTATCTTAAAGAAAGTATTAATATGCTGTTCATTATTCTAACAGGTAATGATTAGAAAAAGTAAATGAGGGCGTTTGATAGGCCGTCGAAAAATGTGTAAAAGAGGCATCACTTACGCCGTCTATCGACGCTCGACCATCGCATTGTGCTGTCCGACTATAGGGCGGATTGCGGTAATCTATAATCGGCGTGGTGTCCGACGCTTAATGGAGAATTGTACAAAGGATGATCGGTCAACTAACAGAAGATGTCAAACAATATCTGGTAAGGGAGTTGAGTTTATTAATATCTTTTTCTGAAGTGAATAGAAATAGGCTTGTCTGGAACTAGGAGAACTTTTACAATAGGATGTACTGTTTCGTTGAAGTATTCCATCCGAAAGTGTTTTACAATCTGTACAGTATATAAGCAAAAACAGATATAGAGTATATATGTATACGGGTTGTTTATATAATATAGACATACAGTTAAAGAAATATAATATATTTGCATACAAATATGTGTATATTTATATACAGCCCGTAGTAGAGTTTTATATGTATATACATTTACAGATATAGGCAATATGATCAAGTATATACATATACTGTATACATATATATATATATATATATATATATATATGTATATAATTCTGTGTCACGTGACTATTAGGCGGATTTCAAAGCTCCAAAAAAGTCATATCACTCTACTTAGATTTACCTCAAAAATTGCTAAGTACACTTCTTCCTCTGCTAAACGCTTTCCCAAGCATAGTCTTGGACCATGTCCAAAAATCCAATTGCAGAATACCAAATTATTTTTCCCTTCGTCCCCTAGCCACCTTTCTGGTATAAATTCTTTCGCGTTGCGAAATCTATCTTCATTTCTTCCCATAGTGTACAAATTGGCTTGGACATGTGTGCCTCGGGGCAATTCATAACCTCCACATTCTGTGTCCTTGTTCAAGATCCTACTGGTTGAGTAAGTTACAGGGTACAAACGAAGAGTTTCTTTAACAATAGCTTTTAAATATGTTATGTTGTTAATGTTTCTATAGTCTGCGTTTTTGATCTCCTGATAGAGTTTCTCTTGGCAATTCTCGTTCGTAGCCAGACAGTAGAGAGACCATAGTAATACAGCGGATGTTTGTTAAAGGGAAGCATTTGTAAATTATATATAGGAACAATTCAAAATAGACGCTTACTGCTTCAACGGCTCCCATTAACATTTCAACCGTAAGTTCAACTGCAACTTGTTTCGATAGGTTTTTATCAAGCAATAGGTAGTTCATCAAGCTGGGTGAGGTTGACGTTTCACTTTCAACTTGATTCTATGTGTATAGTATAGTAAAACATTAGAAATAAAAAAGGGATAAAAAAGCGTTGTAAATTTGTTTTTTAGCTTATTCTTTCTTTTTTTTCGTTGTTTTTTCTCCTTATTATATTTTCTGTATACACTCTACCGCGAATATGTACTGCAAAGATAATATTTACTTGTTGACATAACTCTAAAGCAGACTGGAACAATTTGTCGCATCTACGTTCGAACTCTCTCCATGTAGAGGTTGGCCATATTTTGTAGAGAGGTATTGAAAAGAGAAGTTGGTGTAGTATGTCGAAAACCGATTGTAAATTACGGACGAATTCGATGTCGTCTCCTTTTAGACAGTCTAGGCGTTTACCAAAAAGAAATATAAAAGAGCTATCAACGGCCCATTTATCGATAAAGAACTCCAAATCGAATATCAAATCCGTATCCTGTTTGTCATTTTCCAACTTTTGACAAAAGTCGATAGCAACATCGTGCAATTGTTCAATAAAGGCGTCTGCGAAACTTTTACTTAACATTTTCTTATTGACCAATTGTCTGGATTCGTACCACTTCGGTCCGATTCTATAAACAAATTTATTAGTTTTTTTTGCAGAGGTAATGGTTTATTTATAGATATTGATAGAAATTATGTTTATATACATATTTATATATTTGTGTGTAGATATACTGTATATAAATATATAAACACTTTCTATAGATATTACCCGTTTACAATTCCATCGCTTAAACCCTTACTCCTCCTGTAGTGGAGTAGGGGATCTAAGGGAATACGGTCGACTTGTTGCCCATCCGCCTTAACGATTTTCGAATATTCTTGGATATCATTAACAATAGCGTTCTTTAAAAAGGCTAAATTTTCAACGAAGATACTGCCGTACTCCCTTGCGAATTCGTTTAAAATTAGATGGCGTTTGTCAAAACCTTGTTGATAATAGTGCGGTAAACAACCAACCAAAGGCCAAGATTTAGGAGAGGGAATATCTTTCAAAGTTTTCGACATATTGCAAAAATCCAATTAATCGGTAAAAAACTACACTTTCGATTTTATACCAGTTTACGATTTTCCTTAATTATAATCATCTCAGCAGTCGGTCTCTTGGTATTTATAAATATTTTTCTCGAGGAGAATAAACATCATTTAAACGGAAAAAAACCAATTCAGTTCTAACTGTACCAAAAGCTACCTCTTTACTTTTCTTCTTCTCCTTTTCTTTTTAGCCGTCTCTGCTTTTTGCTTGCCACTCTCCTTAACCTTTATCTTTGTTCTCACTTTCTCTTAACTCTCTCTCTTTCTCTCTCTCTCTCTCTCTCTCTCCCTTTGCTAGTTTTTCACTTTTTTCCTTATATTTGCTATTTCTCTATTTATAGCAATCTAACTATTTATATAAAGTCTAGGCTTTCTTTTTTACGCTTCAATTAAACCAGCCATTATTGAACTTGATTCGATCCGGATAGCTTTAAATTAGACGTTAGAGTTATTTTAAAACAAAAAAAAAACACTTTGTTTCCTTCTAGGCCTAAGATATGAAAAAAAAAGAAATAATTTTTGTTTTTTTTCGTCTAGCGTCTCTTTATCTTGGCCTTCGGCTTTGTTTGTAAGCTGTCTGTTGTTCATGTTCATTTAGTACTTTTCCTTTTTTTTGTTTTTTAAAGATGTTCTTTTCTTCGTAAACTCTTTTTTTCTTCTGTTTATGCTCTTTGTTAATCGTCTTGGTTGGTTATGAGCTAAATTTAGGCATTTTCTATGAATTTCTAACAAATTCTGTGGTTTATTTCTTTTTATACTCTTATTTGTTTGTGCAGCGCGAATCATTTGGCCAACGTTCGCCTGCGTTCTAGTAGGCTTGGTAGCGTCTCTTATTCTTATCCGTCTAATGTTATGGTTCGTGAGGAGGCGACGAGAAGTGAATTCGTTAAAGAATGACTACGACTCAATACCGGAATCTTTGCCATCTACTAGGACATCATCCATAGCCGCGAGTAGAAGGGAGTCAATTATATCCTTCCACAGACGTCATTCAGCTGCGCCATCTTGTGGGTGAGCATTGTTTTTCTAAATTATTGAATCGTGAACTAATCATTTCCGACGGCCGAATGTTTTTTTAAGATCTGCGAAATACTAAAAAGAAATTCCATATACTCTAATTAATTAAATCATTTGAATGTTACGCTTTGTTGTTTGTTGTTGTTCTCATCGTTTTTCTCTTTATCATCGCCGCCTTCTTTTTCATTTCTTCTTTATCTCCGCGTTCGCACGAGTTCTATTCTTCCATCTCTCTCCCTCTTTCTTGTTCATCACCTATAGAGACAATATAATATTGGTATTTCCTCTTACGTTCTCTCAATTATGCCCCTCCTTTCCCCACTCCCAATCTCTCTTTGGTATAGTTTTTTTAATGCGGCGTCTCTAAAAAATGAGTTTTTAAAAAGAATGCGGAAGAGATAAAAACGAACGGAGGTATAGCGCCCCTAATACTCAAATCTATTTCGTTTTTAAAGTGAAATGCCCTTTTTGCAAATTTTATTCAAGTTCCCTTAAGATATATTCCCAGGAATATAATGTATATATACTGCAAAAAGCATATACATAGTATAAATATCTCTGCGCACGTTGACGTCACTGCACCGCCCGCAACGCCATAGCTGTCACTTGGAACGATGAAGCGTTGGTTCGCGCTCCTAATCGCCGGCGTTTCTTTTTCGACTTTACTTTGCTCGACGCCCGGCTGCCGTTGCGTACCGGGACGTTGGAGCGCGACCGTTTCTTCCACTTCTTACCAATTTGATTTGGAACATGGACGTTCGGCGTCTGGAGGAAATTCGATGGACGTATATTATGACTTCGAGGGAAGGAGAATGGCCATAATTTACAAGGGGAGGAGTAGAGCAGTTTTGGATTTTGGCAAGGTAAGCAAAAGTTGTTTCTTTTGAAATATTTAACGACTAGACGCCTCACGGGGGTAGCCGTGTTTGATGTCGAAAAAGGCGTTAACAGGAGACGCTCTTCGGTAGCAAATAAACTCATTAGAGGAAGGAGCCGTTGACATTTCAAAGCGGCTTTGTCTCACAGTGAATCCTTAGACAATAGCTTTCATACTGACGATTGCAGGGTATGGCCTACTCGATATCAAGCCGGGGCTGCCGAGGACACGGAACTCGGCAAAAAGAGAGGGCAATGTGTGTTCCAAAGGAAGCCGAGTACTTGGGTAAAGAGACGCTTGTCGGAAACGTTGAGATAGACTTGTGGAAGTTTCCGGGTGTTAACTCAACCGTTAGATCAGCTGTGAACAGGGAAAACTGCGTTCCGGTTTTCGAGGAGATCTTTTACAAGACCAAAGGTAACAAAATATTGATCTATAATTTTTTGTAATTGCGAAAAAATTGATCGAACAGGATATGCCGAAGTTGAATCGATTAAGTACACGAATCTGAGCGTGCAGACGATCGACGAGAACGTTTTCAAACTTCCTGACGATTGTTCCTATTTCCCTCCTCGTTTCGGATCGGTAAAAGTTTATAAATAATTTTCTTCTAAAGTAGTCTAAATTTTTTTATTTTCTTTTTTTCCAGTCGAAACGCTATGATCCATCTTACTGACCGTCACCTTACGCCACCTAGCGGACTTTATAGTTTCCTAACTAAGAAACAGAATATATTTTCAAAAAGAGAGCACGACTTGTACTTCTGGCGAAAACCATTATATATATATTTATATATATATAAATATAATTTCCGATAGCCGTTTTCCTTTATAGAATATTTGTAAAAAACATAGCATAAATCCAGATTAATGTCTCGTTTGTATATATCTCGCTAATAAAGTCGTCTTGTGAAAACGCCCGCTACACTAACGCCTCCTACGTTCGTTTTTATCATTCCGCGATGTTAAACGCTCCGCTCCGTAAGAAATCTTCTTCACTGGTCATTTTACCCGGCAGTTTGAAACCGATTCCCTTCACCGTGCCGACCCAGAGGAGAACTGAAGATATTTCTAGTGAACCACCATCGCCGATCAGGGCGAAGAGGTACTCCTTAGATTCAGCTGCAACTGAGTTTCAAGGTAAGATTGTACGGCTTCAGAGATGAAATATATAGAAAAAATCCAGAAAATCTTCAATTAAGAAGTAAGAAGTCAACAAAAACTAGAATAATCTAATATAGTAAGACATTAGTCTATACACAACGTGTTGTTTTAATTGAAAAAAAAACTCTTTTATATGGAAAAGAACTTATTATTCAAGGTGTGACAAAAGACGGCGTTCGTTAGGCCTAACGAAATTTGCTGGAAGGTTCTTTGATACTATACAGAAAATAAAAAAAGACGCCTATTGCAATATATCAAGATAAGCTTCAAGTACCTTTCTATTTAAACAGGAGCCTGTTTGGGAGCCATCGACCCGGCTTTATATCGCGAAGTAGACGCTGACGACGATTACGAAGTGACGCCAGATCACGTAGGCCGGATTTGGTTTGCCGTACAATACGAAAGAGAAAGCGAAAAGCTGTTGGTAACAATAATGAAAGCGAGGAATTTATTGATTCAAGGAAACGGTGTATGTGATCCATTCGTAAGGTAAGAAATGAAAACATTGATTTGAAATTTAACATGAAAAGAGATGAAAAAAATTTCATTAGTCAACCATAATTAAATATATCTATATATATACATTTACATATATACAGTCCACAGTATATATATATATATATATATGTATACAGTATATCTATGCATATATGTATAGTCATATTGACAATATCCGCATCGTGTGGTTAAGCTTAAACGAGTAGGGAGGAGACGGAGTATGAAAATCTTTTGCAACCCCATGGGCTTGCTGAGAAAGAGTTGACTAAAGATATTTCCTTATTTGGTAGCATTACGGCTTGTGTTATTAAAGATTACAGGCCTACTTTGTTAAGATGTTGTGTGTTAGGAAAAGAGAAAAAAAGGAAGAAAAAAAAAGCTAAAAGAGCTATAAGATAGACCTCTTCACTCCTACATTTTCTCAGTATCAAGTTTTCTAAAGGATTAAGATTAGTATGGGAAAGTTTTTACCAGTAAAGTCATTAGTAGGAATATAGAGGTGTAAATAGAAAAAATTTCAAGGAAGGAGTGAGGAGAAGTAGTAGTAGAACAAGAACAAGAGCAGGAAGAAGAAGAAGAAGAAGAAGAAGGAGAAGGAGAAGAATAAACAGAACAAAAAAAGGAAGAAGAAGTATAAAAAGAAAAGAGTAATTTTCATCTTGATATAAATTATAAGAATTAGGCATAAGAAAGACGTAGGTAAATCAATTTATACTTTTTAAAATATCAAATAAACACTTATTAAATTGAGATGATGTACTCTTTGTAAGAGAATCATTTTACCTTACATATACTTAAATATCTATAAATGTATCCAATACTTTAAAGAATATAGTAGACAACGTGCCATATATACTTTCTATCTGTATATAGACGATGTATATGTAAATGCATACGCATGTCCATAATGTCTAGTATTACTGTATATCAAAGAATTTTTTATTCTTCAAGTATTTGACTCTTTAAAAGAAAAATCCACTACTTAAAATGTCCAAATCATATTTTATCTCGGTGTCTTTTTTTCATTATTTCCATCTTTCTTTCATTTATTCTCTCCCCCCTCCCCTCTCTCTTTCTCTTGCTCTCTCTCTCTCTCTCTCTCTCTCTCTTTCTCTTCCACACTCTCTCCCTCACGCCTTCTTCGTGGAATGTATTCTTTTCACGATTCTCGAAAAGTTAAGTAAAAGTGAAATTGATGTTCTCTTGTCTTTATTTATCCCTAACGACAAAGTTTCTAAATAATAAATCATTTTCCCATCTTTTTTTATATTTTTCTCTCCATCTCTCTTGCATCCCATCTCTATCTCTCTTGCTTTTCTTCCTTAACTGATTTTCTTGTAACTACTGTTACGATTTTTTCAATTTATCAATTAAGTTTAAAGAGAAAAATGATTTCAACGCCCCTCTCCCCTCTTCCCTTTCCCCTTTTGTATAAATAAGGAAATGTTTATTGAAGGTTTGTTTTCGCCCTAAATATTCACACAATATACAAACAAAGAATATTCTCTTACTTTAGTATTTTGCTATATTCAAATTAAATTGTGGAAAGGAAAAAATAGTTACAGTTCTTTCTTTATAAATAATTAACGTTCGAAGGTTTTTTTGCTTCTTTTCTTCGGTTTTGGTTTGGTGTATTTATATTAAAAAAAATAGTATCAAAGAAGAGAAATAAAGAAGAAGAAATTGAAAAGAACTTTTTATTAATATTTAATAAAGAGAAAGAAAAGAAAAAGAAAAGAAATAAATAGATAGCTAGACTGAATGAAAGAGGGATAGATAGAGAGGTAGGTAGGTAGGTGGAGAGAGAGAGAGAGAGAGAGAGAGAGAGAGAGAGAGAGAGAGTGAGTGAGTGAAAGAAAGAAAGAAGGGGAAGATTCAATAGTCAAGGAAAATTCTAATTAAAATTAATTTTCCTCTGGTTGTTATTCTATTCTGTTGTATGAATATGGTTTAATATTTCTTTAAATATATGTAATTGACATATATATTTATATAAATATATACAAATCTAAAACCCCTCTGCGTGAAGTGGATATAATATTTTCAGGAAATTAACTACGCATTAAATTGGAAATTTAATCATGTTTTATGCTGCCAGAAAAGAGGATGTAAAATAGAAAATATTACGCTCTGTCTTCGTCTCGATCTAGGCCTATGTAGCGTGTATAACGATTATATGAATGTTGTGGAGGAGGAAATAATTGAGATTCTACACGAAACTTAAATTTAAGTTAATAGTTCTGTTCTTGTTTACACTTTTGATTGTTTCTTCTTCTTCTTCTTCCTCTCCTCCTCCTCCATTACTTTTTGTATTGTTGTATTCTTTAATTAAATCTTCTATGATTTTTTCATCAACTAGAGTAATTTTTCTCTTCTTCTATCTCTGTCTTGGTTTTTTATTCTTCAGCATATTTTATGCAGTAGAACATATTTTCTTTATCGACGCCATCTAGTGTCGAAAGAATGCAACAGGCTTAATTGTGTTGATGGCTATTTAAAATTTATTTGCATGTTTTTTTTTTCTCAACGCTTTTAGGATCCATTTGACGCCGGACGAAAGACGCCACGTAAATTCGAAATGCAAGAAGAAGACGAATAACCCCAATTTCGAGGAGACTTTTGCTTTTCACGCATCTTTCCGGTCGTTCGACGAACGGGCTATTTGCCTGACAGTATACGATTACGACAGACGCAAGAAGCACTCAATAATCGGCAGAGCTTTGTATCCGCTAAAAAATGTTGTCGATTGCGAATCGAACGATCGTCTAGTCGCCTGGAGGGATTTGCAGAAGGACGATAGCGGTCTACCGCAACCGCAAGGAGAGTTACGAATTTCATTGGCGTTTAATGACTGCCTTGGTCTTTTAACCGTTTCCGTTTTCGAAGGTAGAAAGTTTAGATTAGAAAAGAAAAATATGCAAAATTATTACATCAAAATCACGTATTTACTTTCGAATAAAATAGTTAAGAGGAAACAATCGGATGTGGCTAAAGGCGATTGCCCAGTATTTAACGAATCTTTTACTTTTAAGTTAGCTAATGAAAGTGTTCAAGACGCAAGCGTTTCCATTACAGTAATGCAACGTTTCACCGGTCAAAGAAAGAGGCAATTGGGTAGAGTGGCTCTCGGTTCTCATATGTTCGCGAGAGGTCGGGAATTAGAACATTGGAATGAAATGGTTGCCAAGAAGAAGGAGCGAGTAGAAAAATGGCATAAAGTGTATTAATTATTCAACACTCACTAGATGGCGTTTATCTGATTGATCATCAATTATCATTCTAATCTCGGAATGTTTCAAGTTACCGCTCTTCTTTCCTACTCATTCAGCATAATTATTATTGTATTGGCGAACTCCTTTACACTTCGGGCAGCTTTTAGAACATTAAAATCTCATTCCAGCTATTTTTTTATATCCTTAATTATCTCTCGGATACTCATAGCATTCCTGGTCATTCCTGGCCATATGACTGCCCTCTATTCGGAAGAATATATAGGAAGAATATTATGTAAAGTTTGCCACTATTTCGCAAAACTTTCAACAACTTCCAGTTTCTTTTCAATTATCTTTATAGCGGTTTCAAAGTGCAGAACCTGGAAGAAATCTCTCGTTATTGCTTCATTAATTTCTCTTTGGATATTATCATTTCTCTACGCTATTACAGGTTCATTTCAGTTTGATCTTCTTCCTACTGAAGATTGCAAAATTAATACAACAGGTTCTTCGAAGAATTGTATGATAGAAGATAAAAGATATATCTATACTGATATAGCACTCTTATATGTTTTGCCAATATCTATTAATCTATTCTCTTCATTTCTCATTCTAAAAGGAAAACGATTCAAAGATGGCAAACAAAAAGAAGACGCCTATATGACGCTTATTCTAACAGTTCTATTAATTATTTGTAATCAACCATTTATAATTTCTCAATTAATTGATTTCAATTCAAAATATTGGATCTTAGTGTTTAATCTATTATCATTTAGTAATAGTTGGATAAATGTTATCATATTCTATATATACAAGAAAGAGCTAAGGCCTAAATATGAAACGCAAATGTCAAATGTAATTCATCCTTCAAAGACATAGAAAAGCAAACAAAAAAAGGGTTTCTCTTTACAGATTATTGACTTACAATATATAACGGAATATACTGTGTATAAATGTATATTTATTTTTATCTTATCATTTATTATATACTATGATAATTCATATATATATGTGCATGTATGTATGTATGTATGTGTGTGTGTGTGTGTGTAACAGCTAATATATATCTACTTGATTAATATACCATAAAAGTAAAGTTTGTTTTTTTTCATATTTCTTTACATTCAATATTTATTGGATATTTTGCATGTTCCTTTATGTATATTTGCTTTAAAATGCTATGTCTAAGATTGACCTATTTTATCAGAATATAAAATATTGAATATTCAATACATAGTTATTATATTTTGTTTTGCTTAAATTTACATATATATTAAACCTAAAAATAGCTTTTTATCTTTAGTTAATGAAGAAGGGACAAATGTTTTTATGTTTCTATTATTGTCATTATGTTAATTTTGCAGTATATTTATCCCTTTATTATATATTCATACGGTCTCTTCTTTATTTTTTTGTTAACGTCATTAAAAAGTTGATTGTTTATAAAGAGATTACTGAAATATTTATATAGCGTAAAGACTGAAAACAAAATTAAATAAACAAGTTATATAAAGGTTTATTAAAGTGAATAAATATAAACAAAAGGCTTGAAAGGAAAAGAGAATAGAGTCAGAGAGTCAAATAGAGAGAAAGAGAGCAAGTGAATAAATAAAAGAATAGAATAAAAAGAACAAAGTAAGAAAAATGTACTTGTTTTTCTGTTATTATATATTTTTAAAGCTTTAAATCTCATCTTTTACTCTCCTAATTCATTTCTCTATCTGCTTTAAGAATAAGAAGAGACGAAAAGAAAAGTAAATGACTATTATAGCTAGGTCTTCTTCTATTGTTTTGCTTTTGTCTTTCTCCGTTTTCCAGTTCATGCTTATACAGAAAGAGGTAACTTAAAGGAGTAGTCCTAACCCTTTCTAATGGCTTATCGAGTCGATTAGGTATTCAATCAAGATTTAGGTGTCAGAAAAGATGCTATTGTTTTTCATTATTATCAAGGCAAACTCCTTTCTTGATTCTTTCAATTATAGAACTTTTCTTATGTCAACATTAATAAAATATTAACGAAAAGAATCGTGTTGAAATATAAGACTATTTCTTAGTTACGCTTGATATTTCTATTCATTTAAAAAGGTGAAAATATAGGAAAAAGTGGGTGCTGGATAAGAATATCATATACTCATTATTATATTATAAATACACCTTTTGGAAATATGTTTTAGAGTATATATAAAGAGAAATCTATATATCTATATTCCGTGTTTATCTCTACTATTCCCTTTCTTTTCTCTTTCTCTTTGCTTCAATAGTTGACGTTAATTTTTTTAATTGTTCTCTCCTGCCATTCTATATTTACTTAAATAATCAAAAAAATAAAAAAAAAACGAACGTCACTGTTTAATTTCTCACGGGGATAATAAAATGTTATTTTATACCTTATAATTACTTATTATTATTGTTATTATTAGATAAAAACCATAGTAACAGTGAAAAATTTGTTCTACCTTTACTTCTCTAGAAATGAAAATTAAATTGAGATATTAATATTTTGATGGAAAATCGTAAAGGTTTTACTCTTTATAAACATTATTACCAATTGAAAACCGATATTAATGCTATTAAACTACAAGAAAATCAATAGCTGACAGAAAGATTTATTATATATATATATATACAGTCGCGATATTAAGTAATTATAAGAAGAGTAAAAATGTCTAAAAATCGAAATATTTTGATTTAGGAATAAAGTGTATGGTTGTGAATATTTTTTTGTATAGGATAGATGACTTGTGAAACATGATGGAAAATTTCAGATAAATATCTATATTTTAAGAATCAATTTATCTTTCTTTTTTACCATACTATGAATTTAGACAGCTATTAAGTAATTATAACATCATCATTATGACCTCATAATTATTAAAAAATGCATCAGCTATCTTTAGAAATCTGCAAAGATATCCTGTTCCACTTAAGCAGGCCAAAATTGACCATTCAAGGCATAACAGCAAAATTTAATTGCAGCCCAGTTACAGTGCAGAATATAAAGAATCAGTTCAAGCAATTTAGAACAATAAATGACCTGCATATGTCTGGTAGACCACATAAAATCGCCAGGAGAAATTTGAAAGAGCTGTGGGAAATTTTTGAGAAGGAATTTTTCAAAATATCAAATTTTGAGATACAGGGATTGTATGCCTCTATTGAAAGGAGGCTAAATGCAGCAAGAAAGGCAAAAGGCATACATACCAAGTATTAAATTTGAAAATTTTATCATTTACAATCATTTGCCTTCTAAAAATGTATAAGTAAAATAAAAAAAGTACTTTTGATGGACCTGATTGATTTGTTATAATTACTTAATAGCGGTCTAAATTCATAGTATTGTAAAAAAAAAGACTGAAAAACTGATCATTAAAATATAGATATTTTAAAAAATTTTGCCTGATGCTTCATAAGTCATCTCTCTTACAGAAAAAATTATTCCTAACCATAAACTTCATTTGTAAATCAAGATATTTCGAATTTTAGATATTTTTACTCTTGTTATAATTACTTAATATCGCGACTGTATAGTGTATCTGTTATCCAACTCCTTCTATCGTGTAATTAGCCCTCTTTAATGATCAGAGGCAAAGGAGAAATATGAAATTGAAATTATCATTAAATCCTGCCTAATATCTATAGAGAGATTATTAATTCTTAATTATAGTGTTTCTAAGGAAAATTCCATTAGGAGAAAACAATAAAATTGGTATGAGTTTGAAATGATGTATATATTATGTACAGTGTATATATATATATATATATATATATGAAAATATTCAAGTACGTATACTAATCATCACATAGAAGGCAACCAAGTTCCCCACCCCCAACATTCCTCTACCCAAAAAAAGCAAAAAAAAAAAGTACAATTACTTCGATAATAACCCTAACCCTAACCTTCAACTTCCTATTTTGAATTTTGAGTAATTCTATAGGTATAGTGAAGGGAAATGATCAATTAGGGCAAAATACATTGTGCATAAGTGACAGCTAAATAAATAATAAATACATATATTTATATATATATATATATATATATATATATATATATATATATATATATATATATTAGTATATATTTATATATGCTGTATCCATATAATCTATAAATAGACGTATAGGCACTAATTAGCCACTTTTTGACCTCTTTGCTAACCTTTTTCACTAAATTATAACATTGTTTTTTTTGTCTTTATATTTTTCAGATTTTGTAATTATCATTATATACTGAAGATGGGGTAACAATCGCCTTCCTCTCATTTCTTTATATCTTCTTTTGCGGTGAGTAAAGAAATTTCATTGGTAGGCCTACAGTATAAGTAGATTCGATCGTGGGCGACGTTGAAACTAATGGATAGGTAATAAATTTTGATCTTATGGTAATAAAATCGTTGAGGAGGTGGGGTTATTTTTGATTTTAAGGAAGTAAGAAGAGTGTATAAATATTAGATTTATTGTATATAAATACTGAGAAAAAAAGAGAGAAATAGTGAAATAAATAGCCTGTTCTACATATTGTGTACTCTTGCGTTCAGACATAGACAGATATATACATACACATATACACAGACACACACACATATATATATATATATACAGACAGACACACAGACACAAACACGTATATAAACTTACCCATAAAAAGAGAAAGAGAACAGGATAGAACTATAATGAGATAGAGATGAGAATAAAAAGAATGACGGAATGAGTGAGAGAAAAGGAAATGAAAATAGATTTATACAATATAGCCTAAGTAAAAGATGAAGAAAAAGTTTGTCATAAAGTAGTTTGTAAACAAAGAAAAATTACCAGAGAAAAAATTCTCTACTATTCATTAATGCTGTTGGTCTGTCAACCCTTTTGCAGTCGACCTTTCTTTTTTTTTTTTGCTTAGAAGTTTTTATTTGCTCTTCTTTTACAAATAAAAGTAAAATGAGGACAAACTATAAATAAAGAGTCCCCTTCTTTTTTTAGATTATAGTATAAATGGGATAAATGATAGATGGAGCCACTGAATTTTTACAGATTCAATTTTATCTCAATTATATAGAATTCGATCGCTAGCAAATAATTACCAGACTGCAATAAAAAAAAAAGTTGCTGTGTACAATGAAAAAAAAATCAAGTTACGCCACGTCAATTTCAAAATTGACATACTTCATATAGACAGTAAATAATTAAGCAAAACCAAAAATTACCAATTTCTCCCTACATTGATTATTCTATTATGCTACCCTTTACCTGGCCGATCAATAGGAGACAGAAATGAAGTTTAATGCTATTCACGTACCGACAAGATAAGCCAGGGATTAGTTTAATTGATAAAGTTAACAATTTTTACGGCTTTTTTATTTCCTTCACGACTGTTGATAAATAGGCTTCCCTTCTATAGAATGCCGGCGTTTTCAGTGCATTGTTTATAGGGCGGGTGCAAAAAGAGAGAAGATGCTTTTATCTCTCTTACTGTATAGGCCTATAATAAACCTATATAATAGCCATTTTTCGCCAACTTCTTTCAACTGTCCCTTGGACTTTCATGTCGGGGAAATGGCCTATTGAACGTTCATTTGTCGCTCTCGTCGGGATCTCTTTGATGTAGAATCTACAGCAATAAGTCTTCATCTAGTCTATATCATAGACTACTAGTTGGTATAGACTGGTTCCTGCTGAAAGGGTATTTTTTATTGTATTTACTCTCCTGTTGTATAGTGTGCGCGCTAAAACCTCTAAAGAGAGAGAGAGAGAGAGAGAGAGAGAGAGAGGGAGAGAAAGCAAAGGAGAGAGCGAAAGCAATAGAAAAGAGCCTTATGCTTAGAAAAAGTGAGAGGGGGATAGGATAGAAAGAAAAAGAGAAAGAGAAAGGAAAGAGGGCTAAGAGAACAAATAGAAAAGAAGAGAGAAATTAAAAAGAAATAAAGGACAGGGTAAATTTTTTTGGAACTGGATATAAAAGAGAAAAAACAGGGAAAGCGGCAGAAAAAAGTTTTACGGTCGGCAGGTGGCGTTTTCACACGAAGATTTGCAGTCGTTCCGAATGGAGGTTATCGGTCGGTCGGACGGTAACTTTACTTATAATCTTCTAACAATCGAAACAGATGAGAGTAGCGGAGAATCTGGACCTATTTATGCCATAGTTCTACAAAGTTTTGCCATGCTCACTGTTATCTTATTGGCGATAATTGGCAATATACTAGTCATAGTAGCCGTGCTAAAATTTGAAAGATTAAAGACTGTCGCCAATTCTTTTATTGTCTCGTTAGCTTTCGCCGATCTTCTAGTAGCCGTTTTCGTCATGCCGTTCAACGCCTCTCAAGTAATAGCCGGAAAGTGGATATTCGGACGTGTAGTGTGCGATATTTTCAACGGAAACGATGTTCTCTTCTCAACTGCTTCAATTTTACATTTGTGTTGTATATCAATGGATAGATACATTGCCATAACGGATCCTTTCCATTACGAATCAAAAATGACTAAGAGGAGAGTAGGACTAATGCTCAGTTGTGTTTGGACCGCAGCCGTCCTTATATCTCATGGCCCTGTGCAGTTAGGCTGGTATACAACAGTCGAAGAACGTTTGAACTGGAACAATCGAACAGACGAGTGCAATTTTGTAGCGAATAAGGCCTATTGCGCCGTCTCATCTTCCATCTCATTTTGGATACCGTCCGTAATTATGCTTTTCGTTTACGCCAAAATTTACAAGGAAGCTAGGAGACAAGAGAAAAATATCCATTCATTAACTTTTCAAAATGGAGGAGGTTCACCTTCGTCAAGGCAGGAACAAAAGAGGATGAAAAAAGAGCACAAGGCTGCCAAGACTCTAGGTCTCATTATGGGCGCTTTTTTAGCCTGTTGGGTACCCTTTTTCCTTTGGTACGTATCCTCGACCATGTGCGATACTTGTCATACTCCTCAAATTGTGGTCGCTATCCTCTTTTGGGTAGGCTACTTTAATTCCGCCCTTAATCCTCTCATCTACGCTTTCTTCAATCGGGATTTTCGACTCGCCTTCATCCGATTGCTTCGAATAAAAGTGGCGCGACCCAACAGACGTTTACCCAGATTTACTTGCTGTTGCTGCTGCTGCCCTGGACGAGGTATAGTCGGAAGACGACCTAGTGAAATGGACTCTTTATACGAATTAAGGACGGTAGGGCAACGATTAAGCGTCCACTCGTTAGACGCCTAACTATTATAGGCAATGGGGTCTGTGTGACCTAGAAAAAACTGAGAAAAAAAAGATCTAAAAGGAGCAAGAGTGGAGACGGCGATCTGACGAATTAGCGCTTGACAGCGTCCAGATGAGAAAAAGTCGCCCGAAGCTCGATCGTCATCGTTATTGTCAATTTACCCCCCATTCCGACCGTAGGGTAGGAAAGGGAATATTTTTCCGTTGCAGAATTTTCGCGCTATAGGTGTATATCATATTTTATAGTCGAAAAGAGATTGAAGACGGTTGAACCGGAAAGAGTAAACGACTTTTTTTTCTCCTTGTTAAAACCAATAGAGAACAGACCGCCAGATGGCACTGTGATGGGAGTCAAAAAAAAAGAATAGAAAAGAAAATATCTATTTATAAAAATCTAATTATTTCGAATGAATGCGGTGTGTTTATTTGCGCAACTGCTCCCCCGTTAATCGGTATTCAATTCGCTTAGATAAACGATTATAACGGTCGGACGTCGTCATTAATTACGTAGAAAAAATTTGTCCTATATTCAATATGAGATGACAGGACTGCCGACATTTTGCAGACGCCTTTAATCAGCGCGCCTCATAAACGACGCTGTAAAAACAATAAGACGCTAATTAAAAACGCCCTAGGCCATGTATACTACAAGTAAAACTTTTACTACGTTTAGTATAACGGGGTTATGATGAGGTCAGGTAGATAATCAAGCGAGGGAATTTGCTTTTTTCCTTTTAACTTTGAATTCGCCAAACGCTAGAAGGTGTCAATTATTGAAAGTGTTTAATACAAAGAAAGGAAAGGGTGAAGGGGAAAGAGACCAAGACTGGGATGATTGAAAAAAGTGACGCTTTTTCGGTTACTATCCGTAGGAATATATTTATTCTTTTCTTCTTTGGTATCAATCGGAAAAGATGATACGTGCTTAATGGCAAATCTAGGCGGTTTAGCTAGCCGTTTCTACAAGACATATGTCTATAAAATGCGCTCGTTAATGCAGATATACGGACTGGAAAGAGAACGCCAACAATCGAAACTTTGTACTGTATTATATATACTTTGCGGTGCAAAGTTTCTGGCTTACCCCCGGAACACGTTTGTTATAAAATAAATAAATAGTAAGATAGGCCTGAGGATAACCGAAAATGATAGGAAAAGATTTTCTTCTTAGTTTTAATTTTATTCATATCCCACCACCTTTTCCTCTTCTATTCATTCTCCCTCCCGCTTTCCCCCCGTAATAATCTTTCATTCTCTGCCTAAGTCGCTCTTTCGCTTTCTCTCCCTCTCTCTCACTCTGTCTCTAGTACAGTCTCATTTTCTATATGTCTCCGTTTTTCCCTCTCTTATTCGTTCTTTCGATCTCTTTTTTCTCTAATTCTGTCTCTCTATCTAACCTTTGCTCCTCTATCCTTTCCTTCTCTACCTTTAATTCTCTATCCTCTTCTACCCTAGTCATTTCTTTCTGTCTCTCTGCCTCTCTGTCTCTCTTTTCCTCTCAATTCTATCAGTCTGTCTCGTCTTAGAATCTCCTTTTTTTTTTAATACATTCTTTCTCTGAATTACCAACAACCCATTCGTTCATTCATTCACTATCTTTCATTATTCTTTTTATGCAATCCATCTTCCTTTTATTTACTTGTATAATACGCGAAAATTTGTGCATTAAGTCTATCTTTTGCTTTGTTTCTTTTCTCTGCCCCTATCTATAGCTCTGTTTTATGTTCTGGAGAAAAATTGTTTCAATCGATTGTCGGCATATGGGCGCATAGATTTGCAAAGGGAGGAGAGTTCCGTCTTAGGATTAATTCAATTTTCGTCGGCGTCTATTGGATCAGCGGTAGAGGCTACTGTAAATACAGGTGCTGGTTTAAGTGAGTTCTTTATCCTATTTAATTATGGATAATTAAAGCCATGTTACGGGGGTAGAAGGCGAGTTATTTATTTCCGTGATTTAATCACCTATATTGCCAGCTGCAGTTAATTTTCGAACGAACTGTTTGTCTATGTAAATATTGGTATTTTATACATTTGGCGTGACGTTTGTAACGCCATCTAGCTCACAAAGACTATGATATCTTGGGTAAGAAAAACAAATCAAAATAGGAAACATATAAGAGGAATAATCTTGATAAAACATTTCGTTTAATCCGGTACTTTTTGCCCCATCTTTTCTTCTCTTCGCTCTTCGCCCCACCCTTCTTCTCTTTCCACTTCCCTCTTCTCTTTCCAAACAGAAAACAGCTTTAGTCCGTTTAGATTTTCATTTATTTCGTAATCTCTCATGGCCGAAAGATTCCAATTCCACGTGTGAAAATTACCTTGGTTAAATATTGCCTAAAGAAGTAATTGACATTTTTTGAAAATATGAGATAATTTCCCGTTAGGAAATAACAATAGTTTACAAGAAGTTTGTCGGTAAAAGGGCAGAAGAGAGTTTATCCTTGTAATTTTCAATTTCTGGTGGAAGGAAAGACCTTAGATAAGGAAGGTGTCAATCTTCTAACTTGTCTATTTAGTTGGGTACAAAATAGTAGAGCTGTAGTAGAGGTAATATCTACTACAAAGCTGTCGTTATCGCTTCGATTCGCCCACAGTATAATGCGTATTAAATGAAATTCCTTTAATCTTTTTTTTACGGAGTGGGAAAAGGAATATTGATTTTATACCTGCTCGAGAGATTCGTCTGGGATTTTCAAAAAGGTAAATATAGCAAGAAAGACTAACAGTACGGATTTTATGATCTTTTTTTCTTCTACTTTTTATTCAATCATTCTATTCATTATTCCTCCCTTTTAGAGATTTCTACTCTCAATCCCTCCCTTCCCGCCCTCTTTCATTCCCTCCCCTCCCCCCTCCCCCCTCCCACTCTAACATCTCCATCTTTTTGTATCCGTTTCTTTTTTATCCTTCCAATCTTGTCCATCCCTCTCTCCACCCACACCCTATTTATAATTTATAATCTAACTTTTCATTGTTATTATTCTTTTATCAAATATTAAAAAGGAATAGTTTAATTATTCTATTTCCTTTTTTTTACATATAAAAAAACTTTTTTCTCTTTACAGCTATTCACAGAACTACGCTTTAAAAGATACTTTCTTTTTCGTTATATTTTCCAACTTGGTGTCGCCACCGACAAAGTGAAACGGAAACTTTTGAAAAAAAAAAATAAACAAACATCAAATCTGTAAGCATTTTCTTTTTTAACTGCTTCCGGTATTGTTTTTTTTTCTATTTCTTTTTATTTTCACAAAATATACATGCATAGAAAATTACTAAGGAATGAAAGAAATCAGAAAGAGAACAGAGGGATAGAATAGATTTGCATAAGAGTAAGAAAGCGAACGAAAGAGAAAAAGAGAGAAAGAGAAAAAAATTATAGTGCTATATACTATACTTTATCTTTATATAAGAAGAGCTAAGTTATCTATTTCTACGATATTTATATAAATTTATATGTTATAAATCTGTATATAATATATACTGTATATACTGGTATACTGCAAAATGAATTGAAGATTTTAGTAAGGTATAGAGAAAATTAAAAAAAAAGTAAAGGAAAGTTTATTTTTTTAAAAAAAAAAAGGGTGGAAAGATTAGATTTGTGATCCGATAAAAGCTGGATTTCCTATACCACCATCTTTTGATTTATCTACGCTTATTTCTCTCCGATTTTCTTGTTTTTCCTCAAGTTTATATTCATCTATAGTAGTTACACTCTTTGATCTTTTATATCGTTCAATGGACGTTTTCCAATCTTCAGAGGGTTTTGTTAATTTTATAACTCTTCCTATAAATGTTAAATCTTGAAATTTTGGATCTTTAAAATAATACGTAAAAAATAATGTCGAAACTGCCACAATCGGTATGACTAAGACGGATACAATTGCCATACACCAACCCAAGCCTTGCGCCCAATCGGGTAGTTTATAATCTCCGACCTCCAGTGGTTCAAATTGTATACAATTGACTATTAAGATTGCCTGATAAAAAGATTATTAAAGGAGTAAACAAGCGAATAAAAAGATTATTAATGGGAAGTCTTTACCAGTAGTAGAAGTGGAGTAATGGCATACCAACAAATCCACCAATAAGGATTTCGCATCCTCGTTCCCAACATCTCCTCAATATCTCCAATTAGTCTTTTAGCGCCGTAGATCCAACCAAATATCATAACTTCACACAAACCAATTAATATTAATGACCATCCGGCACCATAATAACTTACTAATTCTTCCCAATAGAATCCCGCCTAGATAATAAAAGCAAATTACATTATTAATTCTCTTGCTTTTCTTTTTTATCAAACAGCCAATAAGCTTATTAAAAATTACTTTTTAATTGATTTACGTTAGAAGAAAAACAACAACAACAACACAAAACAAACAACTTACGTTTGTCGTCATCGGCAAACTTATAAAGAAAACTACTATCGATAAAATTCCAGCAACTATATATTTAAATTTCCTGAGTCTTGGTAATACATCTACAATTGCTGTCATAACGGCTTCTAGTCCCGCAAACTGTTGACAGTTTATATTATAAAAAAAAGAAAAGAAAAGGTATTAAGAACGATAAGAAATTACGGAGAGTCTATATGCTTTCGTTTTCCTTAAATTACCTTACCTGACTGTCAAGACCGAGCGTCAATAGCATGGCAAAGAAGAGTATACCCCAAAATTGTGGAATTGGTAATCGTGTTAGAATTTCTGGATAAACAACGAAAGCTAAACCGGAACCGGAATCGTCAGCAACTTTTTCAACAGTTGTATTTAATTCCCGAGCTATGAAACCAAGACTTGGGAAGACGACAAATCCAGCAAAAAAACTAGTTGCACAATTCGCAATGGATACGAATAAGGCGTCTCTATTATTTGTTTAGAAGATAGATCGGCGAGAAGAGAAGAAAAAAAGGAAGAGATTGAGTGTTTTTATATATGTATTTGCGGTATAGATGAAAGGATGAAACGATTGTATATACTGTACTTTATATATATATATAGAAAGTACTATATACTGTATATAATCAAAAGGAGAAATTAAAGCTAAGAAAATTAATTATCTTACCTATAGACATTATTATTAAACTTATTATAGCTTGCGTAAGTCATTAGGCCTCCCATTCCAACGCTTAAAGAAAAGAATATCTGTCCAGCGGCGTCCGCCCAAACCTAATGAACAACACATAGTACAATTATAAAACAAATACAGATTTTTTGAATATGTCTTAATATTACTTTAGGTGTTGCTAACTTTTCCCATTGTGGTGAAAGGTAATACTTAATCCCGTCACCCGCACCGTCTAATGTAACGGCTCGAAAGAAGAGAATAAGCAAAACAACGTAGGGAAATGTAGCGGTAAAATACACCACCTTCCCTGACGATTTAATTCCCCTTATTACACACAAATAAACAATAATCCACGAAAGCAGTAGAACTAAACATAAATCCCATTGGACGTTCCCAGTTTCAGACATTGTATCGGATATACGTAAAACTTTATTCCTGTAAGGAGTTAGAGTACCATTATCTTATCTATTATAAACAACATGAGAAACTATTTAATACTGATGGGAAGAAAATAAATAACTTTTAGCCTTAATAGACTCTATAAATGGGAACTGCTAATTTATTAAATAAAGACAAGAGAACAAATCAACGCCTCATTTAATTATTTTAATACCTGAAGCGCCACCTATCATGCATTATTTTACTTAGGGAAATCATCAATTACCTCCAATATTCTTTACTTGGATAGGTAATAAACTTTAGATTATCTTCGTAAGTTTCTTGTAAACTATTACATGTTGTATTAAACGTATAAGTTCCGGTAGTATTTGTAGAATTTCTCCAGCAGGTATAGTCGTAAGAATTTATTACAGTTTTATTATAGCATGTTCTATTTATCCATAATCCTTTATCATTTTCGCAATCTTTAGCTTCATTTTTTGAATAGCAATCTACAAAAAAGATTACGAGTTATATATGATAGATTTTTAAATTAACTTTAACTAATAAAATGATAAATAATTCCCTTACTGTTCGTGTTAAAATCGTTTTGGCAACCATCCCAAGGTAATTTCGAATTGAAGCTTGCGAATAAATAATGCAGCGACCAAGTAATTACGACGTTATAATAGGTTAATCCAATAAATGATATAATCAACATACCTAAACCGACACCTTTTGATGATGATAAGTGGTTAGAAAATTAGATGATAAATTGGCTAAAACTTTATTCCCTACTAATTTCTTTTAATCTCCTTCCTTTTTTTTCTATTTATTACCTTGAAATAGGGGCGATGCCGCCCATACTCCTATCGCTCCTACTCCTGAGTATTGGGCTACGGATAATTCGATAAAAAATACCGGAATACCCACAAACGTCAACATTATAAAGTAAGGTATTAGGAAGGCTCCTCCTCCGTTCTCGTAACACAAATATGGAAATCTCCATATATTACCCAAGCCGACAGCATACCCCAAACAAGATAGTATAAATTCGGCAGGATGCCCCCATTCCTCTCTTTCGTTTGGATCTTTCTCGCTGCTCTCCTCCAATTTATTCTTGTCCGATTCCTATTTTTAAAAGATAAAGAATAATTATAATGATCAAAAGTAAAAAGAAGAAAAAAAACGCTTTATTCAAGTATCTCGTCTCGTTCTTAAAGTAGCCTACCTTATCGGAAACCCTGGAAACTTTCCTTTTTAAATATCCAACAATTCCTCCTCCAGTTCCCTTATTGCTTGACATTCTCCTTTAGTTCTTCCTCTTAAGTTATTAATTTATTAATTAATCTGTTTTTTTTTAAAAAGAAAATATAGTAATAAAATAACAATTGTTATAAAATATAAACCTAATAAAAAGAGATTAATAAATTAGTATTTTTGGAATTTATTTCCTACTCTTTTCATTCTTTACCCCTTTTTTTACCTGTCCAATTATTTGTAATTATTAATTCAACAATTTATATAAATTACCTTGGGAGGAATTAGATAGTTTTCGTAGAGGAAGGAAGAATGATGGAGTGACAAATATCAGAAAGGAAAAATGTGGAGAAAAAACTGAATAGGAGATAATTTTTACGTCGTTTATCAGTCTCTGTCTCTGTTTCTCTCTCTCTCACTGTTTTTCTATTTCTATCTCTATGTGACTCTCTTTAAAGCCACAAAATGAGCATCGTTATTTGCTGATGGATATTTAAAAAGTGTTAAAAAAATTACATGTAAATTTTATTCCATATTTTATACGCAATCAACAGCAAACTACCTAGATGGGACAAAATTTATTCTCTCCAGGTGTATAGTATAGTATTGACTAGGTCAATCAGCCTATATCTGTACAATATATATATATGTCAGTACACAATATCCCTATGTATTGAACGTTTTAGAGTCATGCCATGTATTCAGGTTATTACCCTTTTTAGGCATTGGGCACATTTTTTTTTATTAACAACTACTATATTAAGCCTATTATACATAATAGCAATATTAAATAGATTGTAAAATGGTTAAAAAAAAACATGAAATTATAGTGGCAGAGGAGGAAGGGGGAAAGGGAGATAGGAAGTAGTAAGGAATTGAAAAAAAATAGATACTATACATAGATTAAAGACAAGGGAATTGGTGAAAATGAGGAAGAGAAGGGCGCGGAATAGACAACTATCTATTTCCTGTTTTACTTTTTAATTTGTATAAATATATAGTATAGTAAAGAAATAATATCTGTTTATTTATAGACATATTGATTCATTCTCATGTGATTAATTTTAATTAAAAATATCTAGTGTATTCTTCATTCTGTTTTAGCGAATACACGCTAAAAATCTAAAAATGGGATTTATGTTATTATAAATATTTCCATACCATTTAATACTAATAATAAACAGTTTTTTTTAGTTACTTTACAAACTATATAGAATGAAAGAAGTCAATGGGGAAAGAAGGAATTCTTTTTTTTTTTAGTTTATACTTTAAGAAATAGATGGCGTGTCGTCTGATGATAGCCTTAACTCTGTTGATTACGTTGTCTTTGGTTATGAATGTAATCATAATAGTAAAAGTTGCTATTTATAGGAATATTATAAAACTAAGCTCTATAATTTTATTAATATTCAAAAAATTTAAGTACCAGTTTTTTCTTTGTATTAGCCGTCTTCCTGGAAAACAATAGCTATTATTATTATTATACATTACCTTTTCAATCATAAAATGTTACTTAGGCTAATTGATAACGAATGAAAAAAAGTTTAATTGCAAATATTGAAAGATGAAACAATAAATTGTAAAAGTCTTAATCTTGTAGGAAAGAAAAGTAACGATTTGTATTACATTAATTCGTCTCTCTAGGTTATCCTTCCTTTTCTCATTTTTTGTTTGGATTTTATTTACAATTGAATTATTAATGAAACAAAGAAAAATTACAAAAGTAACATGTATATATATATATATATATTAATAGATATATCTATAGGTGTGTGTGTGTATATGTATATAGATGGATGTAAAGAGGGGAGGGAAAGAGAGAGAGAGAGAGAGAGAGAGAGAGATAAAACCTACAAAAGTAATTTCTAAGCTATTGCTAATGGTGAATATGACGTAATAAAATTTTGGTATTTAATAGTTATCCAATTTAATTCAATGTCTAAAATAATTCCCTCTTGTTTCAACCCTTTCACAATAGTTTTTTTTGTTTGTCCTTGTAATCATAAGCTGATTTGCCTGTGGTTAGAATGACGTCACTTTCGATTGCGTCTCTTATTATAACCATAACTGTTATTATAATCGTCATTATTGCATATTCTGTTAAAACTCGTATAAATTGTAGATATTTTTTTATTTTTCTTTTTTCTCTCTTTCTCTTTACCTCCCTCCCACAATTCTTCTCTCTCGCCCTCTCTCTCTCTCTCTTTCCTTTTCACTTTATATACATTTTTTTTTACTTTTGTCCTTAATAAAACTTTCGATTATTAATTAGTAATTGAAATCTTTTACGACAATCAGTGAAAATCTATAGGGAAAACTTGACAAGGTTTATTTAAGTGTTTATTTACAAAAGACGGTAACAAATGCGAAAATGTTATTAAAAGGTTTTATTATTGATTTTCATCTCTCTTTTCCAACCAATCTGTTTATCATTATTCTATAATCGCCTTAGCTTTTTTTCTCGTATTTTTTTTTGCTTACTTTATATATCAGAAGGATATGGGGGGAGGGAAAAGGGAAGACAGGATCATACGTTCTCATCCTATGGTGAGTTTTGATAACATACTCTTCTGAGTATTTATCATATTTCTTTCTCTCTCTCTCTCTCTCTATATATATATATATATATATATAAATTGGTATTTTTCCTCAATTTAACAACTATAGAGGTGTTGTACTCTCTTCATTTTTTGTATAGTTGCCTTCTTCAATTGATAATCGTATAGATTTATTTATTTATATCATTATACTGTACATATATAGAGGGAATTCAACAAAAAAGTCCTCTCTCCGTGTAGAAGCTAGTAAGTCTCTTTTCATCGAGGAGGAAATGAATAGGAAGACGTATGCAATTAGGGAATGGAAAAATCACAGCAGAGAATCAGTTTCATTTCCTCTCTCCTCTTCACTAGACGCCCTCTCTTCGCAGTCAGTTGAATCAAATTCTATAAGAAATATTTTAACTTTATGGTATTTTTTTTATTATACATTTTATTACTGTTTACCTGAATAAGTGGCCTGAGAATCTGACATATCATCTTTGTCCACATCTCTACTTTCGCCGTCTTCTATTTCACCATCTTCGTATTCGTCTTCATATATCTCCGCCTCCTCATCTTCATCGTCAAAAATGTAATCCTCTTCTTCATTACCATCATCGTCATCGGTGTCGTCGTCATCCTCTTCGTCATCTTCGTCACCGTCATCATCATCATTGTCGTCTTCGTCTTCATCGTCGTAATTACTAAATTCGTCATCTGCCTCATTCTCATTCTCTTCCAATTCGATTTCGTCCTTCGGCAATCTTTGATATCCTTTAGAAGTGACGTTCACGCACTGCTTTACTGTAAGAATACATAGAGAGATAGAGAGAAAGAATATCACAAAGCCTTTATACTATACTGACGACAAAATGTATACAATGTATATTGTATGAAATATTTTTCGGTATACCAATCTATTTATAACAGTGACGAACTTGACTGTCAGGAAAAAGAGAAAATACGTTCCTTTCTAGCCATTTCATGGTGTTAATCTCTTTGCATAAATAGTCCTAGTATTTTTTTTATATATAAATGTTTAATGAACATTAACATGAAAGAATAACATGAAATTACATAGTAATGGACATATTTTTAGCTTATAGGCCTTAAAGATGATCTTAAACGTACGTACGAAAAAAACACGTGTATCTATAGAAACGGTCTTTCGGTAGAAAACGGCAGAAAGTATTGATTAGAGACGCGAAAAAAAGCGTTTCCATCGATTTCTCATCGAATAATCGTATAATTATTTATCAACAATCGAGCTCAATCGTTCCGTATAAACATTGCCGTTTTTATCCTGAGAAGGAATGATATTATGCTTCGCTTTTCATTTCTATTTCTTTATCAATAAGCATTTTGGCGTTTTCTCTTTTGTTTTTACGTTTTAATATTTTAACCTCCAGCTTTTGGGCCAACAAATTTTCAATTAAAACTAGAATTTATTACCTTTTAAATGAATTACAGATAACCTCTAAGGAAGTGAAAACAAGTGTGAAAATTGGTGGAATGATAAGGGGAAATAAATTAAGGCAAACGTGTTTGTAATAACGTTTTTTTTCTACAGTCTACTGTAAAAGTACAGCAATACTCCGCAAAAAAATATCCCTTTTTTTATTTTCTACCAACTGCTTCTATACAATGCGGCTTTTGGCAGGCGTTAACGTGATTCTGGCCGTCGAAAAGAGACGGTTTTTTTCCATTTGCTACCGTGACGGAGCGGTTCTATTAAAGGCTAAACGCGATTACATATGTAAATTAGGTTCGTGACTAAAACTTACATTTCGGTGCCGATTCTTTTGGAGGATTCATCAAGTTTAGCAATGGTGTTGGAACGTTAGAGCAGCGTATTATGTCAACTTTAACCTTGGCCAAATATCCCCGTTCCTCAAGATTCCGGCAAAGGTCTAGTGTTGAATTATTTAAAGTATATAGTAAGCCATCCTTTTCAACAACTTGTACTTTTAAGTGGTCACTTTTCCTTGAGAAGGCTTCGATAACGTCGCATCTTGTACATGGTGAGAGCAGTCCAGGTTCTTTACTAGCATCCATAAAATGTATGGAAGAAGGCGGGAGGCGAGTCATTATTTATTCCGCAAACATATCGTTGCAGTCTGATGATGCTGTTCCGTCTAGATGGCGCTATATTTAAACCGTATAATTGAAACACCTTTTACCGTCCTCGCGTAAAACTTATAAGTGCGTTGGCGCTAATTAATTAAGTAGGCCTATTGAGTGACGACCTTTAAGTCGTTTTTTCCTATTTTACACTTCGGCTGACTCAAGTTCTAACCCTTAAGCAATTGAAACGATGAGCCTTCTAGAATTTTTCTTAGCCAAAGGTTACATACACAAATGCGGTAGGGCGGGAGCAAAATGTTCATTATTTTTTCCATGTCCCCGGCGACCGGACGCTGGCTAATGGGCCTAGACGCTTAGAAAGATCTCGGATGAATCGAACCGGACGAACGTTTACGGAATAATGTACTGAAAGCCTATTCGTTTCTTTTTCTTTCCTACAGAGAAAAATGTGCCTTTGGAGAGAATATAAAATTCAATTCCATTGTTTATCCACGTTTCCATTCCATTTCAAAGAGAACAAATTCCTTGTTCTACCTTTTCCTCTATACAGTCTTTCCTCTTTTTTCTCAATGACTATATGTTTCATCCACTCTCTTTCTTTCTCCTTTCTTTCTTTCCTCCTTTCATTCTCTCTTTATTTATATTCATTCCTATGATCCTTCTCATCTATTTTCTTTTTGTTTCCTTCAATTACTTTACTATACCTGTTGACTTGAATAACAAAGACATTGAAAGAGCCTAATAGGATCTATTACAAGCATCACTAACGACATCTGTTTGAGCTTTTAATTGTCTGCTGAATAACAATTCTTCTTAAATCCCTACTTCATATATAATCACATCAAAGTATTCAGGGAAGTAGGGACTTGAAACAAATAGAAAGTGTGCATTTAATAAAAGAAGAACATAAAAGACTATCTTTAAATATTTCAATAAAAGATTATAAATACTATTACGCAATATTTATTAATAATATTCAGATTTTACGATGAATAATTCATCTTATTTGATTAGATGATAACAAACTACTGTAAAAATCTCAAGGGACTTTCTTCGAATAGTAAAAAGTGCTACTTTAATATTCAACGAATGCACTTTCTATAATATTAAATTGGCTAAAATCCAATGAGCTTCGTCTCGCTTTTTTCGATTATTTTAATTGGCTTTTTTTTTTCTTTTTTTATGTTATTTCCATTTTTTTTAAAAAAAACAATTTTTTCAATAAATTTCTATTTCTTTATTATTTTAAACAAGAAAAAAACCATCTCTTTTTTTTAAGTTATTTTAGAAATAGATTTATAGATTTATAAACATATGCTATATAGGCCTCAATTGTTGCAGAGTGAATTTTTCCTTATTCACCATCGTATATTTGAATAAACCATATTTCTCTATCTGTCTGTCTGTTTGTCTCTCTCTCTCTTTCTCTCTCTATCTCTCTCTATTTCGATATAAATCCTCCCACTTTTTTGTTTGCCTACCTAATTAATTGAAGTAAGGAGATACTTGTATTTATTTTTTCTATTTTGTTGAAAATACTATGGAGTTAAGGCTGACTTTTTACTTATTGTTAATCAGTATGTTTATACTTTGATTTTTGTTTATTAATAAATAATCAGGATACATAAATATTTAGATAGTTGGAATATCTCTTTAATTAGTTGTGGATATCAATATACAAATAGTAATGGTACATTGACGAATTATGAAAAAAAGAACCAAGCTGTTCATAAAAAAGATGCTGCTAATGAAAGTAAAAAGAATATCTCAAATAAGTTTGCGGGAGGTCATAGGTTTGTTTATTTAATGTTTTACCTATACTACAAACATTTGTTGTTATTTTTACTTAATATTTGTTTATTTATAAATAAATATTCGAGCAGTATTTCAGGTAGAGCGAACATAAGCGATAACCCTTGGAATTGGACTATAGGGAACAGTAATACTACAGAAATTCCTCATAGGTTTTTCCTCTAAATATTCTTGCTAGTAGCCTTTTAGTTAATATTTCTTTCAAATAGACAAAATATATCAGCTGGTCTAAACCTTAATAAAACCTATTCAAAAGGAAATAAAGGACTGACAATGAAATTACTATCAATTCGCTTTACTAGCCCCAGATTATTTAATCCTTCAACTAGACGTCACGTCAGTTTTCGACCTATAGTGAATACTGTAAATGTTGATAATAATAATAATCATGCAACTCCTGCCTTAAACGAAGATAAGGAAGAGAAATCGAACATTGGCGTTATTATTGCTTCTGTTATCAGCGTGTTGGGGGGTGGAATCGTTCTCTTTTTCCTTGTTATTAAAATAGTAAGGTTTAATATAAATCCATCATTTTCAACTATTTCGTAATATATATATATACATCTATGTATTGTTTCTTTAAAGCGTTCTTTAATTTTTTATTGGAAAGTTAAGGAAATGAAACGTTCGGCAAGTATTCGATTCTCGAGTCAAAGGATTTCATCTAGAAGTCGCCACAGTAGTCGAATTATCCGAAACAAATATTCGTATGAGAATGACGCCTTAAAATTTCAAGTAGGAAAAGGAAATTATTTTCTTTTTTATAGGAGAATGAGAAAAAAATGATAGAGTAAAGTTTTTTTTCTTTCATTTAGAGTGACGTCGTATTGACTAGACGCCTTAAATGGGCTGAATTAGAAAAAGCTTGTGAAAATTGCCAAGAGTTGAATAGGGAATTTGATACAATACCAATTCATAAGCATACTGGTGACGTCTTGCCAAAGGACGCTACCGGAAAGAATCGCTTCTCCAACGTTATTCCGGGTGTATAGAAATATTTTAATTGTGTAGAGCAAAGATAAATAGATAGTCGATTCTTACTACTTTCTTTTCTCTCTTTTTTCTTTCTCTACTCACTATTTCTCTCTCTCTCTCTAAGTTTTTGAATCGATATCTAGTTATCTTCCCTAATTAGACCTATGTTTCATAGTATAATTCTTAGTTATAATAATACTAATAACGAATAATCTTATATGAAATATACAGAACCAAGAACTAGAGTTACTTTGGAAGATGGCCAATATATAAATGCCAATTACATACAACCAGTTGACGTAAGTAAAATTTGAATAAAATTTGCATAGGATTTTATTCAATTTATATAATTAAATAATGATAAAAAAGGGTCAGACCAAAGGATTTATAGCAACTCAAGCTCCATTAGAGAATACTCAAGAAGACTTTTGGAAAATGGTTTGGGAGCAGCAATCACAAATTATCATCATGCTTGTTAATATAATAGAAAATAACCAGGTTTATACTTCATTCGATACCTATGGTATAGAAACAAACAGCGTGCACATACGCACACCAACAATAATACTTCTATATACTATATATAGTATTAACAAATGAGAGAAATTTTATCCAAAATTAGGCCTATAGGTAATAATTTCCAACTAATTCTTTCTTCTATCTCCCAGCCAAAGTGCACGCAATATTGGCCTGATACGGAGAGGGGGAATATATGGATGTATTGTGGAAAATACGAGATCTTATTGCAAAAACGAACTGAGCATGACGATTTGGTACATTCCACTTTATTATTAAAATATACAGAAGTATGAATATTCATTAGATTTTCTATATTTTATCAATCTAATATAAAAATTATTATTTTCCTCTAAAAATCCTAAAAGAAAGACCTAAGTAGACAAGTTCACCATATTTGGCTTAAGTCTTGGTCTGAAATTAATGACTCTAAAGACTCTTCAACCAAAATATTAAACTTGACTAAATTCTGTCGACCATATATAGAATTAAGTCAGGGTCGACCAATCGTACATTGCAGTACGGGAACAGGAAGAACTGGAACAGTTATAGCTATATTAATAAGCATGAACGATTATGATCAAGAGAAATGGATTGACATTTTAAATCGTGTTCAAACGATAAGAAATGATAGAAATGGCTCTGTTCAAACAAAAGAACAATATAAATTAATATATGAGGTAAGTTTTAAAAAATCTAGTTTTTCATTATTGTATTCTCTTAGTCCTACTTGATATTAAATTGCTGAAAGATGGCGTTAATTATCTATCAATATATCTATATATTGTCTATATATATATACTGTTCTTACCTCTTCAGGTTCTATATTTATACGCGAAATCAAAGAAGATTGAAAGATAATCTAATCAGATTTATTTTATTTATTAGACACAACTTTTGATATAAAATAATATCATTTTGTATATTATTTTTGATAAAGAAAAGGCATTTCATTAGATTTCACAATCGGAAATAATCTTGTATATTCAATCTTTATCGAATCATCAATGACATTTACTTGCTAATTGAAGAAGTACAGAAGCATAGAATTTGAAAGGTTATCCCTGTTATATATATATATGTATACTTATATGTATTCTAAATTATAGCCATTGCGTAACATTGCTATTAAATATATATTTAATTATTTAAAGTGAATTGTTTATTTCTTAAAAAGAAGTTTTACAAGTAAACTAAAATCCATTTTGATTATTATTTTAGTCAAATTGATTAATTAGTTTTAATCCTCGTCTTACTAAGAAAGGATTAAAAAAAACCTCATCTTCTATTATCCTCCCTTCTTTTCGTTCTATTTTAATAAAATCCTTTCTTATAATCAGAGGTTCTAATCACGTAAACGGCGTCACCAACTGTTATTTTTCCGGATCTTTTGGTTAGAACATTAAGGCCAAACATTGTTTTATTTCCATACTCTTCAGGTTTTGTTCTGAACCTATTTACGCATAGGAATAAGGAATTGTATTTAGTAAATTGATTTATGTCTATTTACGTCCTCCCCTTCCTCCTCCTTTTTCCCCTTCTCTTAATTATCACTTACGTTTGTAGAGTTTTTAGTGGTTCTCCATCTTCTCTTAGCTTACCCTTCTGAGGGTCGAGCGTAGTCATTGGACATCTTGTGCAATCCTTTATTCTTTTAAAGCAAACATTATTTATGAAGACGTATTCCCAGTCGTCCTAGAAAAATAGAATATATGAAAACGTCAACAACGTTACGTAGAATTTTTATAAATATTAATATCTTTTCTGCTTTCTATATGTTCTTTATATTCTTACCTCATCCCACGGTTTGGTTCCCTCGATAATAATATTAGGTCTAAAATTGATCATCTTCAAAGGATCTCCTTTTATCCTATCATTCAGATCCTTTAAAGAAGATTCCGATCCTAGGAGAAAAGGAGCAAAATTTGCGCAGCCAACCTGTTATTTATATTTGTAAGAGTTAATAAATCCATATGTAAAAAGGCTTCTTATTGAAGTAAGGCCATTTTATTTTTACAAAGTGATTTTAAAGCAAAAAGAAAGAAAACTTACCATATCCGTTAGATCTCCAGCTGTGGACACCCAAGGATATTTTGGCTTATAGGTGCTAACTGATCTACTACCAACTTCCGAAGGAAAGTAAAGAAATTTGAAGCCTTTTAAATCAAAGAACTTTTCTAACCACTCCTGACCTGCTAAGCCACAATCGTACATGGTACACTTTTCTCCATAAAGCCTGTAAAATTAATATGGTTGTTATATACGTTTTTTTTTTATCTTTCCAGTTAAAGGAATATAGTTTTTTTTTCTTACACAATTTCTAATCGACTATTCTTGTCGAATTTTGATAAATTACTCGTTAAAGTTAAGGCTGGAATATCAGGATTTGTTGGAACGTATATTTCAATTCCATCATCCAAAAACTTTGTCTTAATATGACTGAAACGTGGTTGCATAGTTAAAGTCACCATTTTCATTTGCGAATTGACTATAAGCCATCTCCTGTATTAATTAGAAAAACGAAACATGTACTATTTTCAGTATATATATGTAATTATAAATATACTTATGTTTGTATATGCATAATAGCGTTTGTTAATTATAGAAAATTAAGCAATTATATCACAGAGATAAGCGGCTATTAATGGAAATGCAATAGATATATTAGAAGGAGGATGTGAGGTATGTTATTCCTTAATAAAATGTACAATTTCATATTCCTTAATTAAATACTAATTCTTGTCAAGCAATTGATTGATTGATTGATTGATTATCTTAATAGATATCATATTTTCATTTTTCACTATGGATTTATTTATTGTATTGATAAGATAGGATTTTTTTAAAAATTGATTTTTGGTAGTCTTTTAACGAAGACTTTATCACCAACTGCAATAGAGCCAGATTGCATGAGAACCAAGTTAATACCAAAGATAGGATTTGTCCTAGAGATTTCTGGTCTTATTCGATATCTAAAATGTCATATTTAAAATAGGTTTTCTATAATAAAAACAAAATATTTTTGTTGGTATATAAATACTTTCTTAAGGTTGTTAATGGTTCAAATTTCAAGTCTTTTACGCCCGTATCTAACATTACTGTAGTTATACTACATCTACCACATAATTTCCATACTTTGAACTTAGCATCTCCGATAAAAATAAGATCCCAATTATCCTAAGTTTTTAAAGTATAAAAGTTCACTACTATCGTCTACGTCCCATCTAATGTATTAATTTATCAAACCTCATCAAAGGCTTCTCTTGTCCCATTAATAATAATATTCGATCTAAAGCATGATGGATTTAAAGATCTATCAACTCTTCGATCAACATCCTGGAAAGATTCCTGCGTTGTCAGTAAATAAGGTCCATCATTAGCTGTACCAGCCTGTTACAAAATATTATAAAATACTTTATGCAATGATTGCAAATAATAGTCTATAACCTCGTCATCGTCACGTATATTGTGCTTAAATTGATCTTCATTAACGCTATTAATCAAGTAACGTCCAGTAACTCCAGGTGGTGAATAAACAAGCCTAATATGCTGATTGCAATATCTCGAAAACCATTCCGATGGTTTTTCACCACAATCGAAAACATCAACATAATCATCCCATATACTTTAATTGAGAAAAAAGTTTAATATTTAATTAATTAATACTATTTGCTTACTCAATGCTAATTTTTGAATTATTGTCTCGCTCATTATAAAGTTCAAGATCAATTGAGAGGTCTTCTTGTTCATTAGTTGAGAAGATAATCCTTTGTTCAGACACTTTACAACTTATAAGGCATAGTTTGGGTATTTCTCTTAGGGTAATAAGCTTATCATTCTTGTCGATTAACGCCCAACGCCTAATTACGATAGTATAACCTCTTTTGTAAAACATGATTCTACTCACGTAGGATGGATGACAACTTTATTGTCTAAATTATATTTCGATTATTTTTTTTGTGTTTTTTTTTTAAAAAAAAAAAATAAAAAGAATAATCATTTAAAAGCATGCTTCATCGAGCAAGAAACAATAAAAAAAACAAACAGATAGACAAAAAAGAGCTCTTTTTGATAAATATAATACTAGATTTATTTAATTGAATACCTGTCGAAAAATCCATTATATTCAAGACCTTTTTTAGTACAATTGGCTTGAAGGATTGATACTTCTTGTAAAGATTTTACAGGATACAAATTCAAAGATGATATACGACCAACATATTCTAGATTGTTAGGTTTTCTATCCTTCATAAAATACATAACTGCATATTTTAAAGCAGAAGAGGCTCCTAATGCTAATAAAATTGAATCGAAAGTCATATTTCCAATTAATCTTTTCGATTACTTAAAAGTAATTTAATTCTATATTTAATAGTTATTTTCAATAAGCTTTTGTCTACTTCACAAAGTTTACAAATGACCAATTCTTGAATTTGTATTTCAACAGATGGTGTAATCTAGATATCTCTAATTTCGTTATTGTCCCATCTAAGTTCTAAAGGTTAATAGATAATACGAAATAACGACATGTAGACAAATAGTTATAAGTGTATACTCTATGTATATAGGTGGCGCACCTATCTAGTGAATTTTCTTGCTATCTCGTTGAGATATAATCAAACCTATTTGCTAAAGTTAAACTAAAAGTCTCTTTTTATTTTACTATAATTTTATTGAATTATATTTTATAATTAATTTATCTTCTTTTGACATAAATTTTATCACCAACTTTGATTTCTCCTTTTTTCTCGTTTGCAAGGTATAATCCGAAAATGGGGTTATACGGATCGGCAGAATGTATCATTCGATATCTAAATTTATACATTTTTTTTTATTTATAGAAGAAATTGTTGTACATTCTATTTATTAAACGCTTATTTTTCTTACTTTCTTAAAGTCATTAGCGGTTCAGCCTTTGGATCTCTAATCCCTTCATCGTGATCAACAGTTGTCAATACGCATCTTCCGCAATATTTCCATGTTTTAAATCTAGCGTCTCCTATGTAAATAACGTCCCAATCGTCCTAAATATAGATTATAGAGCTTATTTAAATACTCTAATACACTACTATATACATTTAATTAAATGTGTTTTTGTTTTTAATTTTTTTTTTTTTTACTTCGTCGAAAGCAGCATTTGATCCAGAAACAACAATATTAGGCCTGAAAGACCTATCTAGGTTCCTCCCAACCTTTCCCTCTAAGTCTTTTAAGGATTCACTGGTAATCAATAAGTACGGAGCTTGGTCAGAAGTTCCCACCTAGATGGACACATAAATTTTGCACGAAATTCATCTGTTTAAGATAGTTTGTTTATGATATAAATCTATGTGATTACTTCATCATCTTCTTGAACTCTATGCGAAAAATTGGTTGCTTTTTTGTTATTAACTATAAAACGACCAGTGTCGCCAGGTGGAGCGTACAGTAGCCTGATTCTGGACGAAGAATCATTTATGTAGGCTGCGAACCAATTGGCTGGAACATCTCCACAATCGTAAGCTTTCAGTGGATCGCCATGAATTCTGAATACAATGTAAACACATAGTGCACAAGTTCACTCCATACCTTTGACTCGTTACAGTACTTACTGTATATTTAGGAGTGGGGAAGTTTTAGTGTCCAGATTACGGTTAACGATCAAATCTTCGTGATCAGGAGCAGAAAAGATAACATTCTCTCCGGAAAGATTACAGGAAACATAACAGAGTTTCGGGCACTCTCTCATTGTTATTATCTTGTTAGCGCTATCTATAAGAACCCAACGCCTAAAACGTGATTAATTACGTATATTTGTTAGAAAGAACCAATGTAGGTTTCCTTTTATAGTAAATATTCGTATGAATCCCTGTAAGGGATACTCTTTAGTACGGAAAGTCGTAAACTTTAAAAAAGAAAATGACTACATCTAAGCAGCTTTTTGAAGATGTATTTAATCAAGGAATTTTTAAGCCATTAGTTTAACTTTTAAGGTAAGATCTGACATTAGGAAATATGTTAAAGAAGAGAAACTAACTAACCTATCAAAGAATCCTTCGTATTCTAATCCCATCTTTGTACAATTAGCACGTTTAATATCAATTTCACCGAGACTTTTAACAGGAAATAGTTTAAGAGATGAAATTTTTCCAACATATTCTAGATTATCTGGTTTCTTATTTTCCATGAAATACATTGCAAGATATTTAGCAATAGCAGATGCCCCCAGGGCTAAAAGGACTTGGTCACATTCCATCTTCATCCTTTAACTTTACTTCTTAAACAGCTAATGTCTCTACAGGATGATTTTGCAAATTTTCAATATGTTCTGTTTTATGCACAATACTGTTCAGCTTGCTGAAAACGAGTATTGATTTTATTTAATCCTACAAAACTGAAAATATAACAAAAATACGAAACGATTTTGGCTTTCTCATCGTCATCGTCGTTGGCCTCTCTAGATTAAAATTCAACTAGAAATCTCTATTTTATCATTTTACAACGTGAAATAACGATTAACTTAGAGAGCGAAATCAGTTTTCGTACGAAGAATAAATCTCATTACACGATACATTTGTCAATACTTTAGTTTGTCTTTTTACTGTCTTCACATTCGATAGGGATCTAAAGATAATTTGACTGAAGTATAAAGGCTATAGTATTATATTATATTAATAATATGCAAATAATTCAACCTATACTATGTTAAATTTACATTTTTGCTGATTTGAATAAAGTATAAGACTGATAATATTGAAATTATGTTTAACGATATTCATATTTGCATTTGTTATCATTTAAGTCACTAACGCCGCTATTCACTAATGAATAAGTACTTTTATAAGAATAATAACTACAATTATCTCTTGGACGAGAAATAATTGTCATATAAACGTGATATTCATAGTATTCCCTACATTTGCATCTAAAGAATCTAAAAATTTATAGAATCTGTCCGTCAAAAACCGTATTTCCTTTTTAACCCTAAGAAAATCATAAATATTGCATAACAATAACAGAGTTTGAACATGTTTACTGTTTAATTGTCTGCTATGAATTCTAAATTGACACAGAAAAGAGACGAAGACAGAGAGAAAGAGAGATAGAGAGATAAAGAGAGTATGCGTGTGTGTGTGTGTGTGTGTGTGTACATCTGCGTGAAAAAAATAACAAATTTCACTAATAATCATAAAATGAAGCCTTTATTCCCCAATGATCAGAAACACAAAAGTCAAAATTTAAGGGTAAACTAATATTCTTCATTGCTGTCCTCTATTTAAAATACATAAATGAAATGGATAAAGTAATGAAAATGATAAAGGGAATTATCACCTTGATAGTTTTAAATTCTCTTGATACTTTTAATGGTATTATTCCATCAATTATCAAATTTTCAGCTTTTTCCTTATAAACAACTTTTACAAGCATATTCTTCTTACAAAAGCTACATAGATGCAGATAGTCTACAGCTAGATTATTGAATCCAGAATCACTTAGTTTCTAAAAAACAAGAGAAAAAAATCACAATTATAGGTCTATTGCTTGTTTGTTTGTTTGTTCGTTTGTATTTTTTGCAATATTTAAAACCTTATATAACTCAGGAAAGTATCCATTTATATTTTCTTTTGGCAGTTCTGGTCCAACGTTAAAATCTCCCATAATATATACATTAGACTTGCCCGAATAACGATTAATAAGAGTATTTATTTCGTCTTGTTTAAGTTCAAACCAGGAATTAAATCCAGCGGCGTCTAATTAAAAAATAAATATCGTTTGGTTAACACCTGATCCGGAAATAAATGTAAACGAAAGTCGCTTACAATCAAAGAATGATGACGAATCCGCTGAAAGATGAGTACAACTTACAAGGCTTTCATATTCATCTTCCTGTTCATAGAAGAAAAATATATGCACTTAAAAATAATTAAAGAATTATAAATGAGTTCATTTTCTTTTATTACCAGTTTAGCTTCCAATATTCCTCTTTTAATAATAACATTTTCATTGTAAATAAACGTTGTTAAAGAATCAACTCTAAGTGGAATTTTACTCAATATTAACAGTCCTAGATTTCGATTTGGTTCACTTCCCAATTGTCTAATGGTTGACAATATAAAATAGTTAATATTAAAAGTAAAGAGATACTAACGTGCACATTCCATTTTGAGAAAATAGATCATTCGTTAAACATATAAGGAATTCAGTTAAGCTTAACCTTGTAGATGTTTTATATTTGCATATGTTCGCCTGCATAACATAACATTCAAAACACTTTGCACCAAGTGTTTGTAATATTTTGCATTTCTATAAAATAGAACAATTTATCAAACGATAAAGACTTACTATCATCTTTCAAACATTTTAGAACATATTTAAAATAGCTTACTTTAAAATTACATTCGAAAAATTTATCGAGACTTCTTTCATTTTTACAAGCTGATACAGAACATTCTAGTACTCGTTCCAGTGCACCCTTACGACATTTACTCTGCATTGATCCTAATGAAACAGGTAGAAAACCATCCTTAGCGTGTAAGGAACTGTATGAATATGGGTAAGACACTGCTAAATTTTCGCATAACTATAAAATAATAATAAAGATGATAGATTTTCTTTGAAAATTGAATATTAATTATGTTAATTAACCCTTGATAGTCTTAAATCACTCCATACTTCTTGTAAACAAATAACATCAGAAGAGGATTTTTTTAGTTCGCTAACCAAAGCCTCATGCCTCAAATCATCGGCAAACACCTCCATTAGGAACGTATTAATAGTTTCAAAACTAACAGTTCTATCTAATTATATAAAAAAAATAAATAAATAAGTTAATTTATAAACTTAGTTAATTTAAATAATTAATAATTATTACTTGAATTTGCAAAAATTCCTTGAAATGTTAACACCATAAACAAAACCAAACTGACGTCCATTCTTAATTTCCTAAAATATTTCAATAGTTTAATAATTAACTAATAACGAATTTATTCAATATATTTTCATTTAATTATCAACTATTTAAAATAGAAAAACAACGCCTTTATTAATTTATTATAGCTCACCAGTTGTTATATTACTTTAACTAATTTGAATAATGTTCATACTGTATATATATATATATATATATATATACATTTTAACACTACTCACTCAATATGTTTATCAAGATTTTATACTAAAAACTAATCTATTTGAACCCTTAGTCGATAGAACCAGTCGAACTATTATGATTAATACTAATTAATTTTATATAATTGACATTTATGAAAAGTTCTAGGTTTTTTATTACTAAATCTATACAATTTATTAAGAATTTATATAAATATTCTTTTAGAAGTTTTATTAGGTTTATTTCAATGAAGGAAGAAATAAAACGACTTTTCTTTTCTTTAGAATTTCCTTAATCTCTTAGGAAATTGTTGATAATTGATGAGTTATCATTAGAAAACAATGAGCTATTTTCTCTATCTCTCACTCTCTCTGCCTTTCTTCCTCTCTTTTTGTGAATAAGCCACAATTAGGAAAAGCTTTATGTTATTGTTTCCTTTAAGTTCTGTACAATTTCCAAGAAAAACTAAAAGTAAATCACATAATCAGTCCATCAGCCCTAAAGAAGCTTTCAATTAAATACATTTCAAAGATAATCTATTACGATTAAATAGATAGCGTGTGAAATAATCTCCATAGGCCTATGTAGCTTGATAAGCGTAGTATATATTTTTTCCAAGGAACTAAACGAAAACGTGTATAACCTTTAGATGAGTGACCTTTAGAGAGCAAAAGAGTTTTTTTTTCGCTTCAATTCAAAATATAACATCATTCATTAAAATAGATAGTTTTTTCATGGATAAAAATAGTATTCTTATAGAAACGTCTGTATAGAATTTATTACTAGAAAAAAGGCTGTTTAAACAATAAAAATACATTGATCAAAACGTGTATAAAAAGTATTTCGCGTTGCTATTTTATTTCGTAAATAGATGAAATTCTTCAATCTTTCTCCCTCTATCTTTTTTCTTTTAAATAAAGGAAGTATTCATTTCCTTTTTACTTAATAATAATCGATTAGCTAATTGTTAAATTAGCTATAGAATATAAACAAAACAGTAAGCACTTATTTAATGTTAATCCTCTTAAGTTAAGTAATGAAAATGCAATCCAATTCTTGAATCGGTTTTTTTTTTTAAGATAAGATGAGGCGTTTCGGGGGGAAAGTTTACTTCGATAGAGGAAATATCGATACTAAGTATCTTGTTAAGTACGAATAGCAATAAAGAGCTTTAGAAATAAAAGACTAATAATGAGATTTATAATAGGCCCTTTAAGGCTATTATTCAGAGAACCAGACCTTTACCTTAGCAACGGACACAATCAAATATGGCGTTCAATTTTTGAATCGTTTTCTTTACTAACAGACGCCTTTTTCTAGCCTAGAATGACGTCGTTATATTGTCAAAAGCGAGTTGGTGGAACAATTCATTTAAATGATGAGTTTCGTGATTTAATCACAACGGAACCTCAGCCAAAGCTTTCAGAACCATTGTGCCAAGTTCAAGAAGAGGAAATTTTAGACGAAGAAGTATGATTTTTACTTGTTATTAACCCTAATAAGTTAATTAATATACATGAAATTGTAAATAACACTTAAATATAAATATCCATAGGACGAAGATAAAAATGGCGTTGATGCTGAGTTGCTTATAAAACATTCGACAAAATTTAATGATTGGCTTAACCGGCAAACAATAAAGAAAATACAAAAGAATGCCAATTCAGAAAGTCGACCTATTTTGGATGAATGCCAACAAATATTGGAAAATGAACGTTTTTTTATCGATGACAAACTATCGACACTTTTAGATGACAATGAATGGTTGACGTTAAGAAAAAAGGAACTATTACACAAGAGATGGACGGATAAAGTTTATGCACCCCTTGAAAATAAGATTAATGAGGAGATTAAAGGAGAGATGTACAAAGAGTTAAAGAAAAGAAAACGCCAATTGTACCGAGAGTATTTGGAACACCTTAATAAGAAAGGTCACGTATTCCTTGATGTAGTTTCTGCCGACGAGTATTATCCATTATCTCTGCATCCAACAAGACCCTCTTTATTAGTAGCCAGAACGGGCCATCTCAAGGACCCCTTACATTCCCAACAACGCCAAAGAACAAGGGAACAGCAACTAGTCCTGCAGTGTACTACTGGAGAAAGATACCCTCCAAAGATTGTGGAAAACATGAGATTACCTCCTATACCGGCAACGGCACCATTAGGTAGGCATACCACAACTCATTCACATTGGTTATCAACACCCGTTCTCAATGTTGAAAGCGATTTAAGAAAGGCTAGTCAGAAGAGAATGAGGGGTTTAGCCACAGTTGATTCCGGAGTATTCAGAGCAGCTTGGGGGACTAGTAGCCCAGATGAAATGAAATTGCAAAAGAAAAGAAAATTCCCCGAAAAAGCTGTACCAGTTAGACCAGTAATCAAAACGGTAATCGATACAAATACTATCGGTGTTCAAACTATTGAACCGGAAATTGAATAACATCTTTCTTCTTTTTTTTTTTATTTTATTAATGATTCTTTATTTTTTTTTCCTTCTTTTTGCAAAAAAAGAATGTGAGTGCCTTATAATTCAGCATATCCTTTGCACATGTTTAAAAAAAGGTAAGAGAGAAAAGAAAACTTGCACGAAAAAAATCAAAAAAGTATTATGATTAAACGAATTTTTAATTACAAGTATTTTCTTCTTTCTTTTCTTCGCCTTCGGTTTTCTCGGTGGTAGGAGGTTTATCTTGTAGTTCCTCCATTAGATTCTCGCCACGTTCCGATTCGCTTTCGTAATCTGATGAATCGTCCGAGGATGATGGAGAAGATGGTGGCTATTTTAGTGTAGAGAACAGAGAGAGGGAGAGAGAGATTGTAAAAGAAAGAAAGAAAAAACAAATAATAGATTAAATACTTCCAACAAAACAAAAGTAGCCTAATGGTTTAATCAGATAGATATTATATATATTATTATATATATGCTATACTATATACTTCGTAATTGGGATCGTCATCCGATTGGTAATTTTCGAAATCGAAATTTTCAAGATCGTGCTCACTTTCATCTGTATTTATATAATAGATTTTTTTTTAAGAGAAAAAATAACAGATTACGAAAGCGGAAATAGACGAGAGATAAGATGAAAAGATGGCAATAGGAAAGCCGTTATCTTTTCTCTCTCATTATCAAGAGTCAATGATTATAATTATTATATCTTTTATTCTATATCCTTATTCAATATTTTTACAATTATCAGACTCTTAATAGATAAATCAATTATATAATTAAAGAAAATCTTTAATCAACTTACCAGATTCAGATTGTACGTGACCGTTCGCTTGACAAGTTCTTTCCTCCTTATCTTCTTTAGGGGGGTTTCCTCTCTTTCTCAATTTCCTAACTTGCTTTAGTTTAGCAATTCTATAAAGTCGGTGACGAAGTACTTTCAAAACATTCACCTTAATCGGATTATAAGGATTATTCGGTGGCATATTGTCGAAAATATTTGAACTGATTTTAATATTCATACCAAGCCTGTTAAAGGAACCTTCAAAAAGAAAGAAAATATCTTCCTTCCCCTTAAAGTAAATTTATCTATTATTGTATCTTTGTTTTCATTATTCTCTTTTGGATTTGTTTCATCGTCAAGTTTCTCCTCTATCTTTTTATCTTCTATTTTATCGATGATAACTTCGGTTGCATTAATTACGGAGGTCATCATTTTCAATCCTTTTCTGCCTACAGACGATTGTAGACACCATTTTAAGCTACTCGTGCAATTTTTTACTGCAGAGTCCTTTACAGCGCTAAGTAACTGTAGTAGAGAATATAAATGGTGTACTTCTAGATAATATGTAATTGAACAGTGTTAAAATACCTTTGGCGTTTCATCTTCGACCTTCTGCAAGCAATCAGCAGCTTTTTTATCAAATACTTTAGCTGTGAATGTTTAGAGAAAAGGTGTTATTTACAAAAGAAGAAAACCTTTCATTTATTTATTGCTCTCCTTGTCTACCTTGCTTGGGGTATTTTTCTATTAGTTTACTTCCAACCTCGAGAACAGGCTTACCAATTGCGGAGACTCTTTTCTCTACAAAAGTAAAACCGTAATCGAGAAGAGCATTCTTCGCTTTTAAACCTTCGTAGCTTGCTTTCCCAAAGGAAAAGGTGCTAGAATTAGTTAGCGTCGAAAAAAACATAGAGCATTCCGCCATCGTCTTAGAAGGAGGTTGAAATGTTAATTTTTGACAATAGAAGAGTTTCTACTCAATTATAAATGTAACGCTACTCAAATTATGAAGTGTTTAAATTTGAAATAAAAAACCCCCATTATCGTTCTTTGGTTCAAAAACTCCATATTGTTCAACTTAACTTCTGTTACCAATCTTCCTACAAAGATAAGAAATCAACGTCATAACTGATTACATTGGTGTTTACTGTTTCTATTAAAATGCATAGGTTGAACTGATAAATATAGTGTAAGCCTATGATAATACAAGAGATTACATTTAAACAGCTCTTGAGAACAATATCAAAACGGGACAAGAAGATTGTACGAATTTTGTATGGTAAACAAAGATATTTTTGGAAAGCATTATATTTATAACACAAATAAAATTTCCATATGACTGATTGATAGCTAGCGTCATCTACAGGAAAAAGATGTAGAATTATACTTAACAGATAGTCTTTGAAGAAGGCCTAGGAGACTTTGGTACCTAATAAACTCAAATTGAATGCGTATGTTATTTACAATAAAGAATGTTTAACTATTAATCTGAAGAACACTTTAAAAACAAATTGATTCTTTAATTAACAAATGTATTGTAATAATATAATTTAACATACGTATTTTTTGGGTTTCGAATTGTTGTTATTCATACTCGCTGAGAACTCCACAAGGCTGTTTACAAGGGAATTCAAGTACATGTACAAAGCCTTTATGCTCTGAGAGCGGCTTAGATTTCACTAAAAGAAATTTTATATTTTACATTTAATTCGAATTATACAGATTTAAATTATAATTTTTTAGCATGCATTAAACTGGAAAATTTTTGACTTCCTCCTCTGATTGTTCGTCAAATGTATTATCCATTTCAAAAGAATTTTGGCTCGATGTTCCGTCGTCATAATCATTGCTACCGTAGTCTGATTCGCTTTGATCGATGGCAAACTCTTCCCCTTCATTTTCATGACTAGTCTCAGACAATGATCCTTCATCCTCTTCACCAGTTCCTTCCTCTTCTTCCTCTTCCTGATCTTCTCGTATCTCAATAAGACCTAAATAATCTGCAATCTTCTTGGCTACTTCAAAATGAGATCTGAAATATAGATAGTTATCATTTATTGATATTGATAAAAATGTTCGACAACGTCGATATTTAATAGTTTAAATAACATAGTCTGCGTTTTAAATAAACTTACTCGCATTCCTCGTAAAATCCATCAGTTATTGGATAAATGAGATTTTGATTATTTTCAATATCTTGACAGCATACAACAACTCGGCATTTCATCTTTCCACTATTACCATATTCTCCGTTAGAATCGACCGAAACATATTGTATATTTACTAAATGCCCTTCATCTGTCACATAGTATTGTTAAGGTCATATACACATACTATTTATCGTTAAACTTACAAAAATCAGAGATGGTCGAAAGAGACAATAGTTTTTGCAGCAAACTGCGTTTATAAAATGTAATTCTTTCCTTCTTTTTCTCTAAAATGCACTCCTGTAAAACAATATTATTATCAATAAATATATTAGAACATTTATTCCCTAACTTGAAAATCGTCCATACACGTTAGACCGATAAACAACGTACAACATAAGTATCCAGTTCTCCATATAAAGTTTTCTACAATGTTATAAAAAGACTTTTTTTAGATTAGCTTGTTGAAAATTTTGTAAATATAACTTACCGGACGTAAAAAGAGAGGCTGCTCCTCCAATGCTTAGAAGCACTGTAATAGATAAACATAATAATATTATTTGAAAAAAAAAACAAATATATTAAATAATCACTTGTTAAAATTGCCCATGATTTGACACTGGGGTTCTTATATAGTTTTAATATGCCATTCTCCTCTCCATATTTTACATAGTACGCCATTGTTCTTTAAATGTAAAATTATGTAGAATATTTTAAATGAATGAATAGAATGTTAAAGCCAACCTTATATTATTTTACAGACTTTCCTTTTTATGGCTAGAAATCTTAAAATTTAAAACGAGCATGTCGTAATCATAGATTCGACAACTGAAAACGAATAGACAAACATTAAGAGCGATATTACAATAAAGAAATGATTTTACAATTCATCCCTTACCCCAAGCTTTATTATTCATGTTGCAAAACTGTCCTTGACATGCTTTGGAATTATATCTCCATTTTAAATTTACAAAAATACCGCTCCCCAAGCACAAAATAGAGAAAACGCTTGACAAACAAAGAACAATTCTTTGTGGTCACGTGACCAAATAAATGCGTGCGCATTCCTTTGCTAATAATTCAGAGTTTTCCAAATAGCAACGCTCTGGCTCTAGCCGTTATTGCTAGAAAACTATTGTAAAAGAAATATATATACATATATATATATATATATATGGAGTTGTACAAAACATTTATTATCTATTCAATCATATTAATAAGTTTTAATTATATTTTTATTAAATAATAGATAAATAGGCTTATCATTTACAAAAGACGATTTTAAAAAAAAACATTATATTGCCTTAAAACTTTCAATACTAAACAACTATTCTCCGATAGAATTTTAGCCGATTATTCGTTCATATTGTTATTTATATCAAATAGAAAAAAATATGAGATAATGATAAGAACTATACATGATTTATAGTTTTGAAATAAAATTAAAAAGTATTGATATAGAATGTTCTATCAGCTGATATCAGTGTTGATTTATTCATCTATATATATATATTTGTTACTAGGACTATTAATTGAATAGAAATTACAACTTTTAGTAATAACAACAAAGTATGAAACTATTATTTTGAAAGTGAATAAATTCTTTTTGATAAACATATGCTACACCTACATGTTTTTACATTAACTTTCTATTATACATTCTTCAGGCAAAAGCTTACAAGGGCATGAGGGAATGAGGCAATAGGGAGAGGCGAGGGAGGGGGGAGGGGGAGGGGTAATAAAAATGAAAAAGTATAAAAACGTTCAATAGAATAGGAGAAAAAAGGAATTGAAAAGAATTGAAAGATATTCAATCAATGAATGGGAAAGAAGAGAAGAAAACTGTTATCAATAACATTAGGAAAAATAAAATTGGTGCTCTGAAAAAAATATAATAAACGCTAATATCTATTTAAGAAAGATAGGCGTAAGCACTGACTGTTAGAGTTCTTTTATAGAAGGATAGTACTCAAAGACCCTTAAACGTAAAATATAATAAAGGGAGGGTGAAGAACAAATATCATAAGAATTAGTCTAAAGCTATATACACTATACTATTATTAGAACGCTATAACTTGATAACTTAATATAACCACCTAGCTGTTGAAACGAAAAGAATGTAGTGTATAAAGAAAATTATATAAATATGCACATCTGTGATATCCGGAACATCTGCATGCAAAGTATTGAATATAATGTATTCTAGAACACGTACTGCGAAAACAAGAAAAAGACAGACAAGGTTAAAGCTAACTATAGAAAATTTGAATATAAAAAAATGATAATACGATAAAAATGAAAAAATACAATAAAATATTGTTATACACAGAATTCTTATTTTATATTCGATCTATCAACAAATAGAAACCAGGCTACCCAGTCAAAAATATCTTCGTATTTATAATAACTCCGGCTAGAACGGTTAGTCTCTTAAAAACTAAACTAGATCGTCTGGTGACATAATTTTCTTATGAAATAGAATAATACTATTCTATTGCAAAATTGAAGGCTAGATTTACTGATAAGCTACATGTCAAATTAGATATTTCATTGTAATGCTCCCCTTTTCGCACAGGTTACTTAATCTGAAATGAGTCGCAAACAGACGCCAAGCGATTTTCTGAAACAAATAATAGGTCGTCCAGTTGTAGTTAAGCTAAACTCTGGTATCGATTATAGAGGTTCGTACGGGTTCATTATTACGTGAGAAAAAGAAGATTACATAACTATTATCAATAGACTTTAGTCATTGCAAGAAAAAGTGTGCTAATTACATCTCAAATACAGGTGTTTTGTCTTGCTTGGACGGTTATATGAATATTGCTTTGGAACAAACTGAAGAGTATGCTAATGGTCAATTAAAGAATAAATATGGTGACGCATTCATTAGAGGGAATAATGGTGCGTATTATCAGTTTTAATTTTTTTCATTCTCAAGGACGATTATGCAATCTTATTTACAGTTCTCTATATAAGTACACAAAAAGGACGACTGTAACAGATGCAATAGTAATATTATCGACTCTTAGATACTATTTTGGTGGATTATTTTGTACATTAAACATATGAAATAAAAGATTATTGCATAAAAACATAATTAACTTGTCACCTAAAAATGTATTTGGTTCTCACTGACGATAAATTAAGAGAATTTTTAATTAATTAGTTCTAGATTCATACTCTTTTATCAGCCGTCTAATATGACTAAGTTTCGAATGCAAGATGTCAAATCTGCCTTTTCTTTTCTCAAACTGTTCATCGTTCTTCACTCGATTAAAAGCTTCTATAATACTGTCACAAAGACGACGTTCTTCTTCACTACCAGGATCAACTTTTTGAAGTTCATCTTGAAAAGCTTCGAATTGAGAATAATATTGCTTAAAAAGAAAGGAATGCAGACTTATATAGGAGCTGTACTCGGATCGATATGAAGAAACGTATGATCTGAACTGCTCGTCGTTTTCTATCCGAACATACTTCCTTGTAAAATCAGTAGGCGAAATAGGTTTTGGAGATATCTCCTTATTTTGAGCGTGTACCCGTTTCATTTGAGCTCTTTCGATTCTCTGTTCCAAATTAGTCTTTCTAACTGGACAAGTAGAATCTACTTTGGGTTTTTTGGCTTCAGGCTCAGAAGGAGACAGTTTTGTAGGCATGCGATCAAAAAGGATTTTGCGGTCTTCTGCAGAGTATCCAGGCCAATCCGGTTGTATTTTGGAGTAGAATCGGCGTTGCAGAGTGTAACTTCCCTCTTTGGATTGGTTGGCTACATCTTGGAGAATGTTATTGAGCAAATCAGGTGAAGAAGCTTGACATGAAGGTCCATCTGTTTATTAAATTGAAATAAATAAATAACTAATTTATTGATTCAAAATTCAAAATTAACCACTAGCCACTAATACTAACCATTATTAAGGCGAATTATCAGTTCTGGTCTTTTATAAGTACCAATGGCTAAAATGTGAATGATTCTATCTCGAAGAGGTCTAGAAGTAATGTCATTTTTCGCATCGTTTCTTTTCGGTATCGTAACAGGACTGTGTCTTTTTCTAAATGGTGATGTGGGTGTCGAAACACCTTTATTTCTACCATTAACAAGACTTTTAACTTTGGTTTCTATTTCCTGAGTTCCTTCCTTTTGTCTTTCCTTTTCGGCAGCAACCATTCTTTCTCTAGTCTGTTCGTATACCTCTTCCGTAGCACCAACTTGAATTTTGCATGTTTGAACACCAAGTGCAACAAACTTTGAGCCGTTTCTAGATTGTTCGACACAGTCTTCTTCTTTCGGAATTTTTGATACGGTTAGTTTAAAATCTTTCGTTTCATTATTTTTTCCAGTTGGAATTCGTAAGGAGCCGTTGGAGGAGTTGAGTAGAATGGTCGCTTTTTGGGTTAAATGATTCTGAAAAACACGAAGAGTTAACCACGCCTGAAACTTAATTTAGCATACGTGTCTGCAAAAAACAGATGCTTTATATATATAGTTTTTTTCGTTAATACCATTAATTAATCAACAGATGTTTATTTGACACGATTCTTCAGACAATTAATGTGGTATAAACAACATTTGAATATCAAATTCGGTTCTAAAATCCTATATTACTATGAAAGAAAGAGGACAAAGTAATTTTAACCGTATGGATAGAACTGAGAAAAGTAGCAATCCAGTGGACTTACCTTGTGTTTTTGATACTTTTCGATAGAATGCAAGGCAGCGTCGGTTAGTTTCACGCGAAGTATAGTAAAACGGGCATTTTTGGAGGAAAAGCTTCGGTAATCTAGATCAAATCGCTTGTCCTCCAACGTCGCCATCATGAAATTAAAGCTTAACTATTTTCACGTTGGTAGATGGCGCAAATATCACCTTATAAATATGCATTTTGCGCTTTAAACAAATCTCAGCGCCATCTAATCGAAAGTAGAATTACGTTTTATAGTCGTGCGTATACTATTGAGTTCATATAGCTAACATTGTTTACATGTTGACACTACTCAATTTTTTAGAGCTCAAACTTTAAAGTAAGATATTTCAGACCTCCTTATATCTTTTGCGACCTCTTGAGAGCAAGAATACACTAAATTTGTTAAAACTACGTAGAAACCTTACAAGTAAACTTCTATACAATATTTTTAAAAGAAAATATGTTTTTATGGGATATTTATTACTTTTAAACAAATTTATATGCCCAACAAATACTTTAGATGGCGTTTTCGGCTTTGTGTGGTTTCTTCTCTTATAATATGGTTCACATTTTATGAGCGGATCGCGTAACCCGGCTACAAACCGGAAGTTATAAATATGGCCGATTAGGGTTAAATTTACTAAGATTGCTTGTCAAATTCTCGTATTATATCATCGATATACGGATTAAGACAATCAACAAAAACAACTCATCGTACTCTTTATTACAATAGATATAATCGATCGTATTTCTAACCCTCGGAAGCTGCATTGTTTGTTGAATCATATCAGATAAGTGATTCATACAGGATTGCTGAGTTTTTGATAAGAAAAGATTTTATATAAGTAATTTATGCATTTGCTCATGAGAAATGTCAGCGAATTATTGATATGATCACGTTATACCGATAAAGGTTTGTTTTAATCTTTTGTGCCTTAAATTTAGTTCTTTATACTGTAGTATAATCCCATTGTCAATTGCATACTTGACGATTGAATGTAAACCTAAGGAGTTTTTTTTTTGTTCTATTGTCTTGTAACTCTGCTATCAAATAGTTTAATGAAGTATTCAAAGAATCTTACAGTGAATTAGCGTTTGTTAAATAGATCAAGGTCTATAGGAAAGATCATTATATGTTCATTCTTCTTTACAGATGAGTAACAGTCGCCAAACAAAAATTCTTTTTCTCGACGGAACAGAAATAAATGTACTCATTCAACCGTCTCTCTCATCTCGCGACCTTCTTGATATGGTCTTTTCTCACCTTCATATTAAAACGGATAAATCATATTTCGGTATATTTTGGAAAGATAGTTGCAATCAAAAGCACTGGTTAGATCTAGAAAGAAATGTTCTGGACCAAGAACTTCCCCCTAATAAGAGTTTGTTGTTATTCTTCGGTGTTCGATTCTTTTGCGAAAGTTTTACTTGTCTCTCAGAGGATTCATCGGTTTTAGCCTTATTTTACCAGATTGTTAGGAATTTGCACTCAAAGGAGCTATGCTTTGCCAAAGGACCTCTTTTATACGAAACTTATGCTCACATCCTTCAAGCTTTACATGGTGATTATAAAGAAGGAATTGAACACGAAATTCCAGATGACCTAGTTGATGTTGTTATTGAGCAATGGCGGGGCCTAAAGGATTGCTCGAGAGGAAAAGCTGTCGTTTTAACTATTCAAAATGCTGAGAATTCACCTTCCTATGGAATGCACTATTTTCAAGTTAAGGATAAACAAAATAATTTACATTGGTTAGGTGTTAGTCATAAAGGCATTGGACAGTTTGATTATGAAAATAGGACTATTGTGACTAAGGCAAGTTTGCGGTTATTTCTTTGTTCGTTAATTTTATTTTCCCCTCCATACCATTAATAATGCGATTGATTAATCCGAAAAGAGAATTGATTAACATTCCAACCTATTCCACCATTAGATGTTTACTTGGAAGCAGCTCGAGAATCTCTACTATCGCGAAAAGAAGTTTTCAATAGAAGTTCACGATTCCAAAAGGTAGGTGGCGCTGGAGGTGCTTTTGCCGTGATTCAAGTCGCTTCAACTCTGTCATAATCTACACTTTCTCGCGCTAACCGCTAGATGGCGACAGACGCACCTCCAGCGCCTGATAATCGCCCTATCGTTGCAGACTGGTGCAGTCAAAAAGTACGTATAACATTTATGAGGAAACACAAGTGCCAGAGCGTTACCATGGTCATATTCATTCGTCTTGTGACGAATTATCAACAGCCATTAATGAACCTACAACACAGTGAGTGCTTCGCCATCTAGCGGGGTGTTGGGAACAGCTTTCTTCCATTAATAAAAAAAATGAATTAATTATATAAGTACTTTTTCCCTCTCATCAATTACCAGGGTGTCAACTAGTCGACGAACGTTCTCAAGCGGTTCTGTTTATGTTCACGCTTGGTTTACGAATTCATTGAGTTTAACTAAGAATATTTGGCAAACGGCAATAGAACAACACAAGCACTACTTGAGACCGGAAAACTTTCAGGGTTTCGCCACTAGAACAAATGAAGAAATCGTTAAAAGTTTAGATCGAGCTAAATTTGTAGCCGTTGGTAAATATTCTAAAGCCGGTAAGTTAATTGTATTCTTTGTTCTATTGTTTGTAAAATTTTTAATAATAATTTTTTTTCATTTTATCCTTAAAAGTTATGAATATTGAAACGCTAACTCCAGAAGAGAGAAAGGAACGAAAAATTGAACTGGAGAAACGGAAATTGATGCTTGAAGAGAAGCTAAAGCAGAGGTTGGAAGAATTAAAAGCAAGCTGTATAGAGGAATATGTAAGTAAACAATTCAATTCATACATATATTCATTCATAAATGAATTACTTAATGAAGTAGTCTCTTTTTTATACAAATTTTATGTTTCATTGAAGGAGTTGACGGGTCATTTACCAAAGGAATATCCTGGTGATTCAGAAGCAATACTACAGAAGAAAGTTGGAACGTTGTTTCCCTTTCCTCCGAAATTGTTTAGTGACCATGCCGACATCGTTGTGAATGAATTGGAAAAGAAAGTTGAAATCGTTAAGTCTGTTGTTGCTGCTAATAAAAAAGTATATAAAGAGTCTAAAGGAACTATTAGAAGGAAACATAAGTTCACTTTTAAGACGAGTGCCAGCGAACTAAGGAAATTGGAAGATAGATTAAATAACTTGAAAATCAAAAAAGGCCAAAAAGCAGTTCATGTCTCGAAGTCCGTTGAAGATTTTAGTGATGACGATTCCTTGGATGATTTAGTTAGTCCTCGTGACTCACCAGCTCTTGGAAGAGAAAATATTACTAGATGTTCGCCTAGAGTGAGTAAAACTAAGATGGAGAAACAAATGTTAATTTAATGACTAACACCCTTTCGCTTCTCTTTAAAATTAAATTGGAAATTTTTGTTAAACTAACAACTGCTTTTTATTTATCCACCCACAGAGCTCTTCTCCTGAACAAGTCGTTGTTACCTATGCAAGGTACCCTGCAATTAAGGGTAATAAGCAGCCCGAAACCCCAAGGGTAGTTACTTGTTATAAAGTTGACCACAGGGATCTTTAAATTTACCATTATGTGCATTAAACAGGTTGAATACGTTGAATTGACCTCTAGTTGTAAAGCAAAAAAGAATGGCTCTTCTTCAACACCCTCATCTTCTCCCTGTATAACTCCTTCAACTTCTTTTAATTCTCCACCCCAGGTTCAGTCTCATAATCTCCCCTCCCCTAACGAATCTCCCCCTCCCCAAAACATTAATCCAGAAAAGAACGCTGGGTACAAACCATACTTGCCTTCCCACCGTCCGAAATATCGAATACAACAGTACCCAACCATATCGCAGCGATACATCGAACATGTAGTTGAGCCTCCTCAGTATCCCATTAGAGTCGAACACTCTTATAGGCCTCAACACGCTGCTTTACAGCAGATTGAAGCGAACGGATCATATACAGAGCCAAAGCAGTTAAATATGGAATACGAGAGTAATCGAGTTTGTTCTTCTACTTGCAATGATCACGTGATAGTTAAGAGGTATCAAGACTGTGTGGAGGTTTTTAGACCTTTCCTATCCTCTGATGTCGCTAAATATAGCGAGAGCAGGCGCCGCCAAATGTCACCCATTTCTCCAGACAATGTTCAAAAAGTACACCAGTATGCACCGCCCGAATTGTTAAAGTGCGAGCCAGTGCGGTCTCCGACAAACAGTTTTGAGAAAACATTCGGAGATCTGGATATGAGCTGCCAGAGCGATGCTTTTAAATCAGAGATGATGAACTGGTTAACGGATAGGAATCAACAAACACCCGATTCAACGCTCGTCTAAATAAGAGGAAATGAGAGGAAGAAAATTCTTTCAGGGACTGTTTTCTTTTCTCTTTTTTTGTTTGTTTGCCATAAGCGTTTTTTTCTTTTTTTTAAAATGGGCAGAGACTAAAATTTCGTTTGATTCATGAATAATTTTAATTGGAAAAAAAACAGCAAATTTTTTTTTTAAAGTTTCTAATAAAATTGTTTTGTTCACGTTTACCATTAAAAAACAACAATTATCTCCGTGTTTACGATAAATCTTTGCTTTGGCATAGATGTTCTTCTTAAGTATTAAAAAAATATACGCTTTAATACGGTAATCTATACTAGGTAACCTAGAGATCTAATTGTTTAAATTCCATATTAAAATTGCTTGTAGTTTAAGACTAAAATGAGTACAGACTATTCCATTATCCTTGAGAAGTTCACTAATGTTTGTCTGAAATAATTTGCAAGTAGTTAATTCTAAAAGGACTTTGTTACTATTGTTATACATATACACATAAACACGATAACTTAATTATTACACACAAATTTAGCGAGTTTATTTTTAGTTATTCTCTTGTTTTGTACGCTGTATAAGTGCATATACTGAATATCCTAATATACAAATATATATATATATATATATATATAAAGATAGGTCATTCAGTTCAATGATTAGTTAGCTCTTTTGATGAAAAGAAACTTTACTCAAAGACAAAAGTACATAGACACATATATGCATACGAACTCATTACCTTAAGTTTGTATTATATATATATATATATATATATGTTATATACGTATAATTTTTTACCTATAAATATTTACAAGGATACGCTTTAAGATTTTTGCTTAAAACTTTTATAAAAATATATTACAATTGAAGTGTCTTCTTCTTCATTAGTGTTCCTTTAGATTGTACATGTTTCGTTGTCGATTGAGCAGCTCCAGTTGTTCCGCTTTGATCCCATTTACTTTTTCTTTTTGATTCATCTTTTCTCGTTCCAGACACAAAGTCGACTTTTGTTCGGTCTTTTTTCTCTTTCTCTCGTTTGTCCATTTCTATTTTTTGAGCATTTGACAAAGCGTCGTAATAAGATGTTTTTTTCCAACTATGAGGATCGAATATCTCTTTAGGAAAGTTTGAACCTTTTTCATCGATTTTGCAAAATTGCAATAGTTTATCATATATACTAGGGTTTTTTAAATTTTTCTTATTTAAGTAAAGCGCATTAATATCTCTTCCACCTAACATTTCGTCGTGATATTTCTTAAAAGCCTCTTGAACATCAGATGGGCATTTAGACGCTGGTTCGGGAGGAAGCTTTACCCCCGATTCATCTTCTTTTTCCCCTTCTTCTTCTCTATCGGAAATAGGTGTAATCGGTTGAGGTGACATTACTATTTCATCGTCTGGTGGTATTGATTCGGGCTTTTCCTCTTCATTCGGACTCTCCTCATCTGTGATATCATTATCGTCGGGAACGTATGAAACTAAATTACTGACTTTTTTCTTGGGAGTTCCTGATTCAGATCCAACGGGAGTATCCAGAAACTGAGAGAGAGACTTTGGCTTCTTAGTTGGGGGTTCCGGTTGTTCGATCGTGTCCTCATCGCTGATTTTGTCATCTTCATCAAAGGATTTCGAAATATCGTGACTTTCATCAGGATCATCAACGTAAGCCATAAGAGTTTTTATTGCAGAATAATCACCAGCAGCGTTCATTTTGGCTGTATACCAGTTTTGTTAACGTCTCGGGGACGTAAAATATTTAAGAACAGGAAAATGGTAAAATGTAATATTTTCGTACAATTGATTTAATCAATGTAACCTTTAACATAAAATCAATTCTACAATTTGTACAAATTTTCTGAAAATTTATTGAGAGCCAGATTTAATATTAAGAAGAATTTATTTTGAAAAACGCACCTCACTAGCAAAAACATTTCCAACGCAAAGATCGCAAACCGTTACTATGTGATGTATAGCTGAACTTAATAAATTCTTATTCAATGAGTATTTTTTCACCTCAAAAACTTTGTTAAAATAGTTTAATGGAATAAAATTAAGATTTACGTTTATGTAATATTGAAAGAAACTAATATTAGAAAATGGCGTGTAGTCACGTGACCTATGGAGTGAAGTGTAGAAGCTTTGAAATGCCCCATGTCTAAACGCCCGATCGATGATCCATTAAATGTTCTTCCTCAAAAAAAGCATATTATTTCAAATATGAATATACACGTTAAAGTTTTAAGTGGTGAAAAGGCTGGAAAATCCTATACAATTAAGGTTGTCTCCTGAATTAGTCTTGTTCATTATATTCGAGCGCCATATAACATGCATTTATCATAGGTAGGAGAAGGATGTTCCATTGTTGACTTAAAGAATGAAGTTGCCGTTGAACTAAAGATAGGTGTCGGAGACATGAGGCTTGTTTTTAATGGAAAACCCCTGCTAGGTAATTTCTCACTATTACCAGCGAGTTGTCATATTGGATTTTGTACATGAAGTCAATTTGTGTAACAAATATTCTTCCAACTCATTTTTACTACTTCTTGAAATTTTTCTAAAATAGTCTAAGTATTTGTCCAATATGGACTTGATTTTTTTTTAATAAATGAAACGAATTCGGCTTAAACGTAATTCGATAATTAATAGAAACCAAACTTAACCGCTGTTAACTTTTCCAAGAACTTTTATGCTTTTGTACTAAAAAATTGTTTTCCACATATTTGACCTGCAGATACCAAAACAACAGCTGACTATAACATAACCGATGGAGCTCGATTGCACGCTACCATTAAAGCTGCAGATAAATTTTCTCAAGAACAAAACTCCTCGACCTCTAGTACCATAGATGAAAAACCTCAAGTTCTAAATTTTAGCGAGTCTTTCATGAAAATTCTTAAGAAACACTTTTTAGAACAAGACGCCCAAGAAGTCTATCGTTTGTTTCAAAGAGTAAGTTTCGTCCTCCTATAATGATTAATAAAGCATTTAATATTGAATACTTTTTATGGAAAAATCTTTTTTAATATGTTGATAAATAATCGTTAATATATTTATGAACCTTTACAGAATATTCACGTTACCGTAAATGCAATGAGTTTGGACGATATTGAGTATATGGCAAAATCCAAATTGAACATAGAAACCAAGTCTGAGTGACAATTGTTACCTAGGAAAATAAAATTGTTTTTTTATTTTTTTTTCAAAGCATGTTTGAGGGTCACTGTCACTTTAATTAATAGAATAAACAGAATTTTTTTTAATGTTGATTAATATTTATGACGTGTATATGTTTGTATTGTTTCTTTATCATGATTATTATTATTATTATTATTAATTTCAATTAAAATGTACAGAACCCATATACAGTATATATATATATAGTCTACTTAAACATTCTCCTATATACTTTATAAATTATCAACACTTCATCGTGAATAAAGTTTCAAACATATACCAATTATAAAGTAAAAAATAGTGTTTTTTTTCTACATGAAACAGCTGTTATATCATCTATTTCAAAATTAAAAAGTCTCAGAATACTTCCATCAATTACAAATTCATTAATCCTTTACCTTGTTCTTATACTATTATTTTCATAGTATATTATAACAACTTTGAGCTGTAGACTTACTTTTGATTTGTTTAAATTAGTTAATTGATTATATGTTGATTTTGGAATTGAATTTCTGTAAATGTTGAGAATTTTGTGTATATGTGTGTGTTTATTTACGTATGAAGTGTTGTTATTAGAAAGAAGTATTTGCTTCAACAAAAATGATGTTTTAATCTACAATTCATATTGAACGATTTTTTTTCTATTATTTCTTATACGATTGAATGGCTAAAGCGTTGGCGTGAAAACAAAAGGACCTAATTTGGTTACCTTTGTTATTTATTTTTTGAACGCAAAGTAACAAAATAGCTTTTAAAAAACATGCTTTGAATGAAACACTTTCGAATAATATCTAAATGTTTTTGTTTGCCATTTTCAAACGCTGAATAAAATGTATGTATATAAAAACATTATAAGTATTATATAGTTACTTAATTCATTGTACATAAACATTAAGTGCTTTTATATATTCCCAATTGATTGCTCTGTGATATATTCGAACCACAATTCATGTAGTATTTAATTTGATAGTCGTTATGAAAATCAATAAATCTGCTCCAGTTAGCAGACAAGGCTATATTCTAAGCTAAAAGAATGCGAATAGTTTGCCATACAGAATGAAATTTGATACCAATTATTACCGCTTTTGTAGTTTGTTACTGGGGTATAAGTTCATCCTATTTCTAATATTGTTGAAATCTAGTTTTCTGTAAGTTTAGTAGATAATTTGTAGGTTACAAATAATGCCCGTGAGTCTTTAATTAAAACGAACGGAAATTATTTTAAAAGTCTAAAGAACTATCGATTAATCTACTTTTATTTAGTAAAATAGAGAAATTATGTATTAGGAATTAATGGATTTATATTTCACTACTTCTAGGACATCATTTTCCTTCTCTAGCTGCTCACTCACACGCGCTCTCCTCTCCTGCTCTCTCGCTTTCTTTTTTTCTCTCTCTCTCTCTTCACTTGATGTATTCTTCAGCTTTACCAAGCCTATGACTCCAAGCTTATAGTGAAAAGAGAGTTCTTTTTCAGATTTTTTAAAAGATAAATCCTAAAGGAGAGTCTGGCTTTTGATATGTTGTAGGAAGAAACAAAAATACGATAAAAACCTTTAACCGACGTCTTTCCCTTTACGATAAGAGGGAAGAGAAATTCCAGACTGTTCCTTTGTTTTATTAATTAGCAATTACATACAACAAGCAATAAATTCTTGGTAGATGGGAAAATGTGGGCATAAACGTGATTTGTTCGCTACGATAGCAATAAAACTATATCTGTTTGGTTTGGATAGCTAACGAACTGTGCGATAAAAATAGAGTACAAGATTTAATGGTATAGCACAAAATCTGTAAAAGGATTGGTCTTGTCTATTAAAAACTAGGGAGGCCTGAACAAACAATATTGAAATAAATTCTCGTTATATACAATAAGCAATAGAAAGGAGCTTCCATAAGGTTGACCTTTTCCTGGCACTGTAATAAGACACGGGTTAAAAATAAGAATACAGATAGGGCTTCAATAGCGGCCGAGTTGGCAGGCTTTACGTTTTAGCAAGGAGAATCCTACTTCAAATAACTTAATTAGACTACGTCATCAATATGTACGTGACTTTTAAAGATGCGGTCATTCGGTAGAAAACTAGTTCATAATATGCAAATTTGGATGATACAACGAAAGAATCAATTAGAGCCAACAGAGAGTTCTGGCGATTTGCGATTAAGGAAAATTAATGAGAAAATTTTGTTGAAAATTTATCGCTTCGATGAATTTAATCAACAAACTCACATCTTATTTACAATTCCATAAAATCTATATACATCATCTCAATGAAGAAAGTTGAAGTACAGAAAAAGAAATATAGTAAAACAACCCATTTTATATTACTGTTGTAACCGTCTATTTACGTAATATAACAAGACGTGACCTAAAGCCACTATTGGCTTGGTACTGTAGGAAAATGGGTGACTAGAGACAGTAGTGATTTTCTTCCTTTTCTTCTAGGATAAATCACTTAACAAAAGGAAAAAAGAAATGACTTCCTTCCTTTTTTTCATCTTACAAAAGTCATCAAGAGAATTTTAGGAATCTTGCTATACTATCTTGTTGCATTATTCGTCTTAGACATGATTTTTATATTTGTTAATTGTATGATTTCCTTTTCCTTTCTTTCTTTTTCATAACTTTTATATAATTAACAGCAAATGTTTGTAGAAGCGTTTAACCTTTATCTTAAATAAGCTACATTTTCATAAATAGCATGATTATTTTATCATGTTTGTTCATTTTCTACAAATAGTGCCATTGTCTGGCAATATTAAAAAATTATAGAGAAATCTTCAAATAACATTAATTTATATATGATTTTAGAGTTGTTCAAATTTTTTATGTATATTTATATAAATATGCATTTTATAAAGACTACGAAGGTTTAATGAATTGCATTATTACATGCTGTATACTATAATATATATGTATTCTCAATATCCTTCATTTTTGTAGGTAATATTGTATGCCGGATACTGACGTTTTAATATTTCAACAGTCTTTGCATGATCGGCTCGGCCAAAGCCTTGCGAATATCCATAAACCAAAATTGATTTCTTATTAGGCTCATGTAGTATTCTTCCACCTCCCACACAATCAACTTCAAAACCTAACGCTCTAATACCAGGTTCGACTAGGTCTAGTATATCTGCGTGATAACCACACGAATCGTATCCCCTAACGATAAGCTTATTTATGCTTCCCTTCCCAACCTTGATAAGAATATACTTGAATCTACCGTCGGCGTCAATGTCAACACCCTCGATAGCGTCTAATTTTTTCTCCATTGTATTATCGCTCATTATCATGCAGAGAGAATTAGCTATTTAGATATATTTTACTAATTTTATGATAGTTTGCAAGAGAATGAATTAAGAAAATGTTCCAAAAGTAAAGACAACCTGTAGAAATAATTTTTTTGAACTGTATTTAAAAAATTCTTAAGACAATTAACCAACCCGTCTTGGCAACATAGATGACACCACTGCACTTCCGCTCGTCCTATTTTAAAGCAGCTTTTCACTAAGTTCATTGAAATTACGAGGCCAATGTTCAACACCCGTTCATGACTAATATAAAGTTCAACTATAACCACTGTTGCAATTCAAGAGTCATATCTGATGTCAGATTAGAAATTAAAATTTCCAACTATAACAATTAAAATTTGTATGTACCTACATCGATTGTCGTTTATTACAAAAGCGACGTGTTATAAAATTTCATTATACAACATATCAGACATACGAAAAAGAAGAAAGGATTAAAATTTTGAATAAAATCTCAAACACGTTAAAACACGGAATTCTTATTTCGCATGCAAAACTTAAACGTTTCATATGAGATCAGTCGTAAACGTTCGAATGACGACTACAAGCGCACACGGTACTAAGCACATCGTCAAAGTTCGAAGATCCGTTTAACAAGTGAACTTTAGGAGCTCCTTCTTTTAGGACGTCCGCAACACAAGGAAGCGGATCATCTTCCTGATAACAAACATAGGCGCTACGCGAGATTTGCGGTAGCTTAAGGCTAGTTAAATTGGGCGTTCGCAATTGAATCAAGTAGATTCCTCTGCATGAACTCAGATCCATCAACTCAAGCTGACTCGATCGGATAGAGAATGCGCAGGAATAAGTGGAGACGACCTGCAAGGAGACGCTTTTCAAATTCGGTAAACTGCTAAATAGCCTGTCTATGTTCTTTTGACCCGGCACTTTAAAATGTCCATAGTGAAGCGCAGATAAACATTCCAGATTCGATAGGCGCGACAAGGACAACATCGATCGATCTGACCAATCGAAGGGTAAACATAAGCTGCGGACGTTCGACGCTAATAACGTGAAATAGTCGAAAAAGCTGATAAACTTCCTTTGACGAAGACGCTGATTGTAGCGCATGTCGCGATAATCCGATGCTCCCCAAGTTTTATTGTGCTCTATACCAAGTGGCTTTACAGGTGTATCAGTCCAGTTGAGGCAAGCCGACATTAAATCGGAGCAATTCATTTGTCCCAGAAGTTGTTCCATCGCGCTTTTCCAACCATCTTCGTGCTCTTGCTGCAGATCGAAGGCCATTGTAAAACTTCTAACGTTCGGTTTGATGTTGATGAGGAAGCGAATAAAAGATTTCACTTTCTTTTTATAAAAAGAGTAGCAAAGTTGAGGGCTTTTGCATTGGTTGTGATAACATAGGGGAAATTCGGTTAGGTCAACTCTACTCCATAGACTACAGGTCCTGCTTAAGCTCCTCCATTGTCTGTTAACTAAACCCATACGACCACGTTCCCTGACGGGTAAATGCTCAAGAATTTTCACTTTAAGTTCAGGAGCGAGGCTATCTAAAGGGAACGAAGACGGGTCCCTCATCGAGGTTTCTCTCAATCGTTCGATATTTTGTTTAAGACTACTGTGATCTTCACAACTTCGGGACATCAGCGCTAACGATTCGGTCAACGAATCGCGTCTATTCGAGTAACCCGAAGGCGATATCGACCTCGCCATGCTAGCCTTCTTCCTCCTTCCTACGAATTCTGTTGTGTCTTCGCAAGTCGGTCTTATCCTTACCGTCGTCATAGCTTCGATTTCGATTGGACTGCTCTGGCGTCGCCTTCGACCCGTTTTTCGTTCACTTACCATAGCCGTCGCCTGCAAAAATAACATGCTATTGAGCTCTTTCGTGTAAGCCTTTATCTGACTCATATAATATTACATCAGCATACACATGCTCTGTGCCTTCAGTTTTTGTTTTTACCTGAAGTATACTGCTTCCACACAGGCAAAAATGTGCAAGAATTTCGTCTTGCGTCCTGTTTTTGTTTTAGCAAGTATCTACAACCAGGTCGGCTATAAAGTATGCTTGGTGCTAGAGTTCAAGTTAAGATACTAGGCTACGAAAATATGGCTTAAATTAGTGGTCGGACGCCATATGCCTTCTTTATATTACCGTATTCGATGGATTCTTTGTTGCTCAAAGGTCAATCACCTCTACATGTCAGCCGCTCCGCTACATATTTTGCTTAAATCGCTTAAACGACGGATTTTACATGCTAATCGCAAGCCCAATCATATATTGATCACTTTTTGTTAGGTTAGAAGTAAATTAACTTACCAGATCATATTTTTAAACGGTTTTCTTTCGCATTCTATGAGCATTGTCTCTCCATATAATCAGCTGGCACAGGTCGGCTTTGCTCGTCTCTTTCCGGAATATAAAAAATAGGTCACTACTCGATTTTTCTTACGCGATGTTTATAAATCTTTCTAATTTTTATTCGTTTGTATTATATTACCAATGAAAATTTTCTGGTGAGTGCGAATAAAAAAAATTTGTCGTAAACAACTACCAAGATGCTTTGTTCAGTTAGGTCACGTGATATTAGGCGGGCGTTCTCACTCATACGAATTGCACTTAATAACTTTTGCTTTATTTGTTAAGCTTGTGCTGAATATCGCTAAGAGGAAATAAGATATATATATAAATTGGGTATCAGATAAATATATAAAATTGTTAGGGGTGCTGTTTTAGATGTTCTACACAGACTTAATACTAAAATAAAGTCTACGTAACGTTTTATCTTCAACTACCATGATGCCTTTTTCATTCCCCGTCACGTGATCATTGGCGGGTAAAGTAAAAATTACGAATTGGGGAAAAAACTATTGCGTTTGTATTATTGCTATCTTTAATTGTAAATAACTTTTGTTATTCGGTTTTGGTAAAAATAAATATGGAATATTCCTTTAATTATTTACGTGTTATTGACAGATAATGCAAATATTCTTAAATTGCGCATCGAGAATTCTATCGTAAATAACTACCGTCATGCATTGCGAAGTCGGTCACATGGTATTTGGCGGGCACTCTGCTTTATCGCTCATCTATGAGATATTTAATTCTTTCAACTATATTATTATAATTTTAAAAGTTATATAACAATTATGTCGACTGAGACGATTATACATTTTAAAAAAGAATCAGACATTCCAGAAGGACCAAGAGAGGGGCATTGTTGTGCATTGAGTAGCGAAAACAAGTTATATATATTTGGAGGATTATCACCTAAGAGTGAAAACCTAGAGTGTAATAAATTATTAGAATATGATTGCTGTGAGTATTTGATTTCTTGATTATAATCTAAAATATATTAATTGTTTTCTATCTAAGACAATGGAAAATGGGCAACACTTTCGGTTACTGGAGATATCCCACCGGGTCGAATGGGTGCTTGCATGGCATCAGTTAAGAATAAACTGTACTTATTCGGAGGTTTAAATCAGGGTTCCGGTTGGATGAATGACTTTTACGAATTTAACATCGAGGGAAAACATTGGAAAGTGTTGGAGCCGTCAGGAGAGAGACCCCTACCGAGAGATAAATGCACTTGTGCCGTAGTGTGTTCAATGATTTGCATATTTGGTGGTTTCGGTCCACAAGGAATGGCCGATGATGACGAATATGAAACTGAGGAGGAGGAAGAATCTGTAGTCCCTGGGGAAAGTGTACAATTTGGCTGGTTCAATGATTTATTTCTATATAACATCGAATCAAACTCATTTTCATGTCCAATGCAATTAAATCTAGGAGTTCCTACGCCTCGAGCAGCCCATACAATGGTGTCGTATAACGACTGTCTCATTGTCTTCGGTGGTAGGGATTCTGACAGTCGTCGGAATGATATTAGCATTTTTAACACAAAGACTAGGAAATGGTTAAAATTTGAGGCAAACGGCACCCCACCCGAACCGAGGTCCTTTCATACAGCCACTATTTTCAACGACAAAATGATTATATTATGTGGTAGGGGAATGAAAAACGAGGACTTTTCAGACACTTATATGTTTGATATTACAAGTAAAACTTGGAGTCGGTTAGCAAATGACATTGATAAATCGCATGGAAGGTGCTTACATTCGGCTTGTTGTGTAAATGATAAACTGTATATTGTTGGGGGTTCTCGAGAATTCAACGAAGAAACTCAGCAATCAAATAACGTCTGCTCTGACGTATTAATTGCTGATATTTCTTGTTTACAAAACACGAATGACGAACCAATAGAGAAAAAGCATAAGACGTGAAAAACATGCGGATTATATATTTGTTTGTCGTGCATTAAGTTCAATCTACAATACAGCAGATTAACTTTTTCCCCTATACTAGTTCAAATTCCGGTTTCTCTTATCCATAATATGCACGATTAGCATGTAACCTTTAATCTATTTCAGCCTATATTGTAAAAAGCTATGAGACCTGTGAAGATGCGGTGTGCGAATATATTAATTTTCGTGATTTTCGTTGTTTCAATCTTGGGTTTCGGAATTCATCTTACCTTTTTCCGGCGTTCATCCGATCTAACTATATTAGAAGCGAATAATCGTTTTATTGACGATTACGAATACGACGATGATGCTTTTAGGCAGGATAACGATCCGGTGCGAACAAAATTGGAATGGGATCGATTCATAAAAAGGAATAATTATGTGCAGATAGGCGATGTTTGGAACAAGTGCGGTAAGATCCGGTGCTGGGATATGGCGTAGGCGTATGTTTTTTTATTTATTTGTCTAGCAGATGGCGATGACCGAGTGACGTATGGAAGAATAATCATGTTTAAGAATGTTCAACTTGGGAAATTAATGCTAAAGACTTTTATAAATTTCACTCTAGGTAAATGAGTAATATTCATATCCATACCCTTTTGGTATTTTGCTTTCAGTTATTTATTTTAAAGAAAGTAAGATTGAATATTTATTACTATATACATGCTTTCTGTTTATTCAGCCGAGGAGATTAATAGCGGAGACATGTATATCGAATGCTTTTATAGAAAAGTCAAAACGAATCAGATGCGTTTATTATTTAGAGGAAAATGGGATGCTTGCACCATTGAAGATAAGCTAGCAGAACAGAGTGATCGTCTAGTCAAATGCCCCATGGAGGCTGGTAAACGATCTTTCAAGAAAGCGTTTGCAGTCCCTGCATGGTTGCCAACGGGCGAATATCGGTTCTATATCGATACCACTGATAACCGTAACAAGACGATCGGCTGTTGCGTAGTTGAATTTGAATTACTATAAGAGTTTTAGAGCCATCTGGCGGTTGTCATCTACACCAATAGTATTATTAAGAAGTCCCTTATCCTCTACAATGATGTTTAGTGAAAGAAGTGAATAGGGTGGGGGATTGGGAGAGGAGGGGTGCGGTAAAAAAAATCAGTGTTTGATAATTTTTATCGCCCACGCAAAAAGAAACGGTAGATGCAGTGTTATCTAGGACAAACATTCCGCTTTAGCGTTCTGACAATCGCGAGATCAATATATATCGTATACTGTATATATATATATATAAATTTATACTCTTAAATATATATATATATAAATACACATCTTATTTCTATATGTCATATACAGAAAAGTGTATAAAAATACACAATAAATATAAATGCATATACTATATACAGTATATCTGTTGTATATAACATATATGTATCTACAAAATCCTGTAACATATACTTTACGCGTATCACCGATAGAACGTTGAGTACAGTTCGTGTCGATAAAATTTGTTGACGCGAACCTTGCTATTAACAGCGCTAAAAACTTTATATTAATAACGAACAAAAGTTTTGTATTATACTAAGAGTCGATCGTAAGGTGAAAATTTTCTCTTCTTACGCCTTCGTTCAACTAGAGCCTCCTTTAATGCGGCCATTTTACTACGCGTCTGATCGTCTTCTACCCTCCTTTGTTTATCTGGTGATGAATGACGAGAGGCGGCTCGCCTTATCTCGCCTGTCATCTGGTCGTCACGGCGTCTGCGTTGAGAGAAGAGGATGTCGTTGAGTATTCCCGCCACTAGAGACGCACCGTTCTTTGATTTTGGAGACCGAACTGTTCCTGAGAATGTTCCGGAAAATACTCCAGATCCGTGACAGCGAACGTCCTCTATTCGAGAAGGTTGCTTAGGGCATTTTGAAGTTGAAGATAATTGCAGTTGAACGTAGACGAAATGACCTCCTAAAATCAACCTTAAATTCAAAGGTTTTCGACCGCATAAGAAATCGTCAATCTGTTTGTGACGTCATAGTGAATAGAAGGCGTTAACCGTAAACTATAACAACCTGTTTTCCGGACAAAGTTTTTAAAGCTTCCGCTATTTGAACGCTTGTCGATTCGACGCTCTTGGGCTAAAGGGGAATAGAAAAAATGCACCTGCTACGCGTCTATGCAAATTAGAGGCGCGAAAAAAAGCTTTTTTCCTCGTCTCATTCTCTTTCATACCAATTTTTTTTGTCTAGATCGTAAACATAATGTAAATACTTACGACTAGTCCACTCCTTAAGCACGGTAGTAGAATTATTTTACTATTTTCGCCGACATCATTTTCTTCAAGCGTTCCTGTTGTTAAATTCCTATCGTTATATATCAGTCGAATTCTTTCAGCGTCTAATCTAAACTTTGAAGCTACTGATCGTCTGAGATCATTGACATTTTCCCCCAAATCGACGCTTAATCGATATTCGCCTCCGGTTGACGGGCAGATTATTAAGTTTACGTTCATCTTCAGTCAAAACTACGATCGGACTATTGGCGCTTGTTTTTCGCCCGTATGTGACCTACTTTAAAACTACAGCGCCATCAGCCGGTCAAGGCTTTACACGGAAAGTACCTACAGCTATTTATAGAATACGTAGTGTATTGTAATCAGAATCCTTGAACACAAGCTCCACCTGACGGAATAGTGGAGAAACACGGATTATATTTTTCTTCAATTAAAGCTTCCATCAGAGTCTCACGCTTATCTTTGTCAATCAGAATCACGGCACAACCTCCCCATCCAGCACCTGTTAACCTGGCACCATAGGCACCCAATTCTAAGCATCTATCAACCAGTACATCGAGTTCCTTAACGCTGCATTCATAAAGATCCCGACAGGAGGCGTGACTGTCCGTCATCAGCTTGCCCAAATCACTTAAGTGTGAACCAGACGCAGAGCAAAGTACCTTAAAATCCAGCACCCTCTGCGCTTCGCTGAATACATGCAAAGCCCTATTCTTCAATTTGAGAGTAGGCGTCTGCTTAGCAGCGTCCAATAAAGCGGGTCTAAGAAGAACATCCGCCATTCTGCATTCCATTATATTTTCTATTTCTTCAATAGTGTATTCTCCTTTATTCAAATATTTTTCTACTAAACTTAGCATTTCTTTGGGTTCTGTTAAATTAAGCGTCGTTTGTATTTCAGATAAATTCTTTAAATCTTTCCAATTATCTATTCCCGCCAGTTTTCCAATTATACACTTAGCAAAAGTGCATTCAACAACTCTTATGTTAAACTGGAAAGTTGCCGCTTTGTTCATTGTAACACCGCAATGGGCTACAACAAAGCCAGCGTCGCTTGTCAATTGTACGTCAGTTGTTCTCAAAGGGTTAAATTCGATAAATTTGCAAGTCGAGGGTTCTGCTAAGAGGGAAATAGCTTGGTCCATTCCACCCCCTTGAACCCCAACGTATTTTTCACATTCCCCACAAACTGTGGCTATCTCTTTCCTACTTGGATTTAGATTATGTAATTTCAGAGTAGCTAAGGCGGCAGACACAACCATTGCACTTGAACTAGATAGGCCTGAACTCGGTGGGACGGTACCTTCAACTAGAACTAGCATACCTTTATCGCTGCCTGCCGCCCACCTTTCGATTATACCACGATAACCACATGCAAAGTATTTGAACCATTGTGGTGCGGATGAGGTTGTCACAGCTTCCATTCTCTTCCATACTGTGATTTCCTCATCGTATTCCACATAAGTGGTATCCGTATTCGCTATACGGATTCGGGGTTTTTCATTAGTCGCTACCATCATTAATATGTCCTGCTCCAATGCCATTGGTAGGACCGGATAACCGCAGTAGTCAATATGTTCCCCGATGATATTTACTCTTCCCGGTGCTCTAACCGCAAAATCTGGTTGCTTATTAAAGTTTTTAATGAAGCATTCCTTGACTTTTTGAACTCTAAATGAACATGATATTTAAAGACATTATTTGAATATAACTAGTATATTCGATATACCTATCGCTATTAATAAAACTGCTTTCGCTAGATGACAATTCCATTTTCCACGTTTATTAATCAATAAATGAAAGAATGTTCAAAACAAGAAACACTTAATCACTTGGTCATGTGATTGGGTGTAATCACGTGATAATAAGATCATGTGACGTAATTTTTTTATTTGCTTAATAAATGACAAGAGCTTCTCGTTAACTATTTTCATATTTTAAAGCGAAAAAGAGCTTATGTAGTATTTACTATACAATAAATCATTGCCATGTATGTAAATATAGAGTATCGTCTTGTACAGAAGAAAATAAACATTCCAAATATTATATAATACCTTTCGGAATGAAGTGAAAACATACAAACAGGTTTTCATTTTCATTCTTTGTTCAGAAATTCATTTAAATAGTCTTCGTAATCTTTAAACCTCATACTTGTATTTGTACGCAATCTTTTCATAATCTTTTCCCTTTCACATTTAAAGAGGTATTTCCAATGTAAACAAAGGAATATTAGACATAGTCCTAGGCATAGCAAAATAATGAATACCCCGGAGGTTACTAATATAAACACCCTATCCTCGTCTGTTAGAATTTCTTTCTGATTAACTGATAAAAAGACGAGTATACAAAGAATTAAAAGAGAAAAAAAACTAATTGGAAAAATCTTGGTGATTTTTACTCTCATCGTCTTTTAATTTTGGTGTTTTATCGTTAAATCTTGGATCTATTGTACCATCTGTCTCCTCATCGGTCACACTTAGGCATTTTTCCTGTCTAGGAGCGCATTCTTCTATCTAAAAATTAACTGCTTAAGGTCAATACAACGCGTTCATTAATGTAAAGTACCTTTACTCCTTGGCCAATACAGTTTTTGCCAGGAGCAATGGGTTTTGGTGCAGAACAATATCTCACAATTTTTCTAAAGCCGAGTTTTGCTTTGCAAAAGCGATAATCAGGATAATAACAATCAGACAATTGTTCCCACTGACTCCATTTACCGTCTACACCCTCATATATGCAAAGTTTCCTCTCGACCCTTGAGCCTATTGAAAAACTCAAAAGCATGACAAATAGTTCTTATTTGAATATACCTGAACACGATTTGCCGTTGCTTCTCGGAAAAGGATTATCACAAAGACGCCTACGTCTTGTGAATTTTGTCTTACATGTATCCCATTGTCCCCACGTAGACCATCCGCCGTTTATTGAACAAAACTGTCCATATTGAAATTTCCTTTCAAATGCATAATAGGGGCATCTTATTTCTCTTAGACGATGTTTGAGATCATAATAAAAGCAATATCGATATCTTGTCATAGTATTTTCCTTGTCGCAAATTATATTCCAAGATTGCCAACTTTCCCATGTTTTATATATAGGTCCAAAAGGATAGAAATACCAATACCACAATCTAGTTGAAACGCTATCAATTTTCCGCTTTGAGAAATAACCCCAATAAGGGTTAAACTCTAATCTTGACCATACGCTAATAAATTTACTTTTTAATATTAAAATGGCCTTCTAACGGAATAATATAATAATATTTTATAGTATATTTTTGTTCTAACCTTTCGCTAGACGGAGGTAACAGAAATACATAATCGTCATCCGATTTGGGGCGATCACCAAAAAATAATATATTATCAATTTCGCTAAAACGGTATTCTTTAATGAGAGTGCGTTCCGCACTATTTTCTATATTCTCTTCCCTATAGATATTGTTATAAACTGTATCCGTAGTCTCATTACCGCTGTTTAGAAGAATTCGACATTTGTTTATATATTATCTATATAATAAACAAAATTTCTTTACACGGATCTATTACGGAAAATCGAACTGGAATTAGATTTGTAACTTTAAACTGTTTAGCCTTTTGACTTATTAATTTTGCAATATATCCTCTTTCATCTGGTTCTATTAGTCTCATTCTTAGGTTGTTATTAGAAAATGGACGATATTCTTTAGTGTAATTGTTGCAATCTTTATCCCAAATCTTATTGTAAGCAATACAATATTGCGTTTCTTTATGTAGAAAAATTTCCGAACAGTTCGAATACGGATCGCTCGGATTTTTAAATCCTTTACATTGATCTTCACTAGTTTGACTCCCTAAGCATGCTTTAAGAAAAGTATATATTAAGAATAGAAGAAAATGGTACATTAGCTTTCAATTGAAAGAACAAAATTTAATAGCTTGAAATTCGAATAAATCAATATTGATTTTAGAGAATAGAGCTAGCGGAACGCTTCGTAAATTTTCTTTTTTGAATATTTAAGAATGACCTTGACATTGAGTTAAATACTTTCTAAAAATTCCTACTCTCTTTTTATATGCCAAAGCCGTTACATTGAGTGTATTTATTTCTTTTTAAAACATTTTCAAATATATAAGGACGGTAGAGGAGATAATTGAAAAGTAAGCGCACGATAATATAGCAACCAAGGTAAATAATGAATACGATCTAACTTTGCTATCCCATGGAGAAGTCGTTCCATTCGGATCTAAAAGATTAGTTATCGTGCGGATTTCCTTTGTATCATTTTCTATATAGGGAGTAGTCTCTCTCAACTTTTTATTAATCCAATAGTAAGGTTTTGCTTTATCTTTCGGTCTTTCCCTTTTAATAAATCCCTTTTCAAACGATTCTTTCTTTAAATTTGGCGGGAAAACAATAACTTCAAAGCTGACCCGACTTGAGCAAGAATCGATTGAATTATCGTGAACAATAACGTTTACATCATAACGACCTTCGTTTAACGGATTTTTATTTGTAATTATAGTATCAGAGGAATTCTTAATTTCCAAACCAATTACACTTCCATTATTGCCATTAATATCAAGGTCATAGATTAATCTCGAATTAATGCCATAATCTCCGTCATAAGCTTCAATTTCATAAATTATCGTATTAATTGTTGTTAAAGAGTCAATAAATATTTTCTCCCCATTCTCTGGTCTCTTAATAATTGGACATTCGTTTACGTCGAGTATAGTTAGATTTAAATTTAAACTTGTTGACTTATAAATATCCATTTCGTAGTAAACGTCGACTTTTAATTGATAATTACCAGGTGTTAACTTTCCAGTTGAACGCAGAATACCCTTTTCACCATCGATCTCCAAAGGAAGAGAATGAGAGTTCATTGAGTAACGTAAATTATTTTTAACGGTGGCTTTATTGTCCGTTTCAATAGCGACAGTCATTATAATTTCTCCTTCGGGAAAGTGCTCATCAATTATCCTTGAAAAGCTTTTATCGGAAGACGGAAGGAGTGTAACAGAGTCATTTAAAGATTTTATTGAACAAGTCTCTCCTTCATATCCTAAATTGCATACGCAATCGTCGGGTCTTATACAAAAACCGTTTCCGGAACAGTGTCCTACACCTGAACATGATGGAATCTCGCAATATTCACCAATCCAATTCGAGGCGCAATGGCAATTATGTACACACGCTCCTCCATACATGTAACAATCTTCATCGATTTCGCAGAATTTAGCGAAGCAACCCTTTTTGAAATATCTCTTTGAACATTCACAATTTCCGTTCGATTGACATAGTCCATTGGGACACAGTTGACAACTACTTTCTTTCTCGCAATCGGTAGAATAGCCGTAATCGCATAGACATTCATCATCACTTTTGCATATGCCGTTTTTATAGCAATTAGACTTTACGGAACACGCCTTTCTGAAACTACAATCGGAACCTTCATATCCAATGTTACAATCGCATTCACCAGATGTCAGACATTTCCCCCGACCGGAACAGTCTTTAGGACATAAGGGTTTGGAGCACGATAATCCTTTCCATCCAGTAAAGCAAAGGCATTTATCATAATCGATACACATTCCATGGCCAGAGCACCAATTTCTTAATTCACAGCTATAATTCTCGCAGCTTGTCCCATTGTATCCGGGAGGACATTTACATATATCGTTGTCGACGCAAATACCACCATTCAAACACTCTTTTGAACAATGAGCCTTTACCGAGCAATCAGGTGAGGTCCATCCATCCGTACATTTACAAAGGCCGGATTTGACGCATAACCCTCCATTTTTGCATTCTGGTATACAATCAGCTTTATAATCACATGTTGGACCCTCGTAACCTGGATTACAACGACAAAAGCCAACAGAACAGATGCCGTTTGAACAGCCAACGCATTTTCTTTCGTTACAAACATCACTTGACCACCCATTCATGCATATACATTTTCCATTGTAGCATTCTCCTCGAAGGGAGCAATTTTCGCGACAATCCCTTAATTTATAGGTTAAATGCTTTGCAATATTGACCTCCCCTGAAATTATAACATTATATACACAACTCATTTTTTCTTTTCCCATTAATTTAGCTGTTTCGCAAAGATTTTCAGCCATCTTATATTGATTATCATCAATATTATCTAAAATGTATCTGGGCAGATGGTTAGAATTAACGTACAAAGGGTCAATTCTATCTTCATAATGGAAATTAGATGCAATTTCCGACCATGAATTGGCTAATCCTCCATTCTCTCGGCTCATTTTTGCAATTCTCCAAGATTCTATGAAGTCGACAACAGAAGTAAAAATTGTACCATTGCGTCCCATAAAATCATCCGCCGTATTGTCATTCATTACTCCGCATAATCCTTTCGTATTGTTCATCATATCTACTCCGGCTAATAGACTTACAGTTAAATATTGTCTGTTCATTTTGGGACTATAATCTGCAATTACTGATAAGACTGAACCATTAAAATGGGTTATTGATATTATTGTGAATATATGTTCGTTTTCTGTCATATCTATATCCAATACGAAGCCGGTGTTTTTGAAATTTTTACTAAATTTATTCGTATATTCGCTCAGTATCTCTTTACCATTTAATTTAATCGTTGGAGGTTCTGTAATTTTCGCTTTCAGCTTACCATTTACAGTTAATATATCAGACTTTCCCAATCTTATTGCTATAGCTCCAATAAATGATGTTGTTTTATAACCAAAAAATCGTAATTGATAGCTAATAACATTCGAAATACATCCCCAAAACTGTCCAATACTAAAAAATTCGTATGATTTACCATCAAGAGTTTCTAAGCTAGGCGACCCCCTGCTAGTCTTATGCTCCCTTATCGCACAACTAGGACCTATCCAATTGGGAAAACAGGCGCAATACGATCCGCAATCATTCGTATTTAAGCAAACTCCGTGACCGTTACAATTGTTCAGAGAGTGACAGGACGGTTGATCGCATTGCAAACCGGTACGTCCTAGTGTACAAAGACCGTCAATTCCGCATTCGTTGTCGCATAAACAACTTCCGTCAGGTCCTATTGGAGGTCTCCTACCATCGGGACAAACCTTACAAGACTTACAACGGCATCCTTTTGGTCCAGTAGTTGATTTTCTGCCATTTGGGCAGATGCAAGGGCATTCGAAATTTAAATTATCAAATGGCCTGGGTGTACCATCAGGACAACACGAACATTCTCCATCTATTAGAGTTTGGCCGTATTCTCCGTTTGGACAAGTACAAGTGTGTAGGCAAATATTATATTTTTCGTAAACTAGCCCAAACATTCCATAGTCGGATTTATCGTAGTGAAAAGGGCATAGACTTTTCCATTTATCTCCTCGAATATCTGCGTTTTTATCTTGAAGAGTTTTACCGAAATTCGTCAATTGAATAATTCTATGATCGGATTCGTTGAAAAATTCAAATTTTCCAATAATATCACTTAAACCCGTTGAAATTGTAAACTTTTTAACAAAAGTCTTTCGAATCCTACTAACGTAACATTTGTAATTAATTTCTTGGATTCTTTCGATAGATATTAAAGATTTTCTATTAGAATTATCATTTGATAGTGAAGATTCTTCTATGCGTTTTAACCAGTTCTCTATTGAATTTAATGGTGCATCTTGTTGCCATTTATAAATTGAGTTTCTACCCCTCAGCGTATCTTGATTAGAATTTAAATAAGGCCATTTAATGTTAAAATTAATTTTTAAACTGGCTGTAAGATCCATCGTATCATTCCACTCGCCAGAATGATTAGCGAACATTAATTTAAAGCTTGATTCATTATCAATAATATTTAGACCGTTTCCTCTACGATAGGCAAAAGTCAGAAAGCACTCATTTATTATTGAAATTGATGCATTTCCCATGACTTTTCCAACGATTAGTCCCTCTAGCAAGTCCAAATCGACATTAACCAAATCGATAACTCCTAATATATCAACATTTAAGAAATTTATTGTAAAATACTTTCTCATTTGATAACCGAATCGTTCTCTATCAATTTTAACTGTCGTTTCCATTCGATTATTGGGAATAGCTATTAAATTGAGTTTAAAGCTAAAATTTAATTGAACATTTAACTTTACTTGATCAATTAATGATTCATACGGTAGTACTCTAATTTCAGTACCAAAATTAAAAAATTCCGTTAATTTTCCATTTAAATTTATTATACAATCGTCCAATATAAACGTATTATTTAATCTCTTCGCAAACGTTGAAGGATCAGTTATTGCATTCTCATCTGTAATAATCTTATAATCATTCCAATTAAATTGTTGATTATTAAAATTTATAGGTATTGTAAACAAATCAATTAATTCTATTAAATACCAATTATTACCAATAGATTTTGATTGTTTAACAATAGATAATAGTGGCGATTCTTTCTTATTAACTACTAAATCATATTCATTTAAATTATCAGTATAATTTAAATAATATAATCCATATTTATTATTATTCATATCGCAAGTAAGCTTCGATTCTAATTCAGAGATATTATTAAATTTTTTTATATAAACTCCATTAATTCCATTAAGAAATTTTGTTTCAATAATTAAATCGATATTCTTATATTTTCTTTTATTTTCAATCTCTTCCAAAAATCCTTTTGACGTTTTCGAAATGAGAATATCGTTTATCTTTGCTTTATTATATTTCGTTATTAAATAATAAGAATAAACAATTCTTTCTCCCTTATATAAATAATCCTTTCCGATTATCTTATACGATTTATATTGATCTATATTTGTGTACATATACTCCTTTAAGTTCATTTTCAATTTATCAATATCATCGTTTGTTATTAATTTACCAGAATAATAGATATTATTAAATTTATTAATAACGTTACCATCAAATTTATAATGTCCAGAATTTAATAGATCGTAAGGTAATATATATTCTCCATATACCAATGTATAATTATTCAATTTTAATTCATAATCAATTACTTTATGCATTATACCAGATATTTTTGAACTATATATTACAGAACCTCTTTCGTATTCAACTATTCTAGGTATAATTAGTATTTCGTAATTGTTTCCATTAAAATGTTGTTTAGCATTTAAATTACATCTGTATAATTTATCATCGTCGATAGATATTAAATTTTCATTCAATTTTATTGAGTTTAATTTGTTAAATGGTCCGTAAAAGTCAAATTTTGGAATACCTCCAGGACAGAGTGATTCGTTTAATGGTGAACAATCTAATGAATCCAAGTTGAAACATGTTTCAAATTCTCTGCATTGTTTGCACAATGAACTTTCCGACCATCTACAATAATCTTCGCAATTTATTTTTTGTATAAATTTTGAGCAACCTCCTGTTGAGAGTGTTAAACAACTCCTATAGAACCAACTATGATTTTTGCAGTCGAAAAACGATTCTTTCGGATTTCCTGGCATACATTTCGCTATTGAATCGCACCAACCGCAACCTGAATTTCTTGTACAATCATAACATGTTGAATATCTAGAGCATTTCGATTGTCCACAAGTTGGACCGTGCCAACCTGGATTACATTTACATTCGTTCGGTCCCGTACAACTTCCGTGATTCGAACAATTTTCAATTTGTTTACAAGTAAACTTTGTACAATATGTTCCCTCCCATCCACTATGACAATGGCAAACACCTCTCGAACAAGTACCTCTTTTAAAGCAATTGAAGGGGCATATTCCAGAGTTTTTCCTTTTACAAATCCAAGAGGCCGTTTGTTTATATTTATATCGTCCGTTTAACGTCCATATATCATTGATATGGAAACCATTAAAGTGTTTATATTTGATCCAAGAAGATAGTTGTTGATTTTCAATCAAATCCTTTCTTGTTAGAAGAGTTGAGTATTGACGATCGCAAAATTCATAGGCAACTTCGTAACTTGCCGGCGAAAGATGGTAATAGAAACAATAGCCTCTATATTCAAACCATTTTATAGGACATCCAACAGATAGATACATACTGTTAGGTTCAAATTCAAATATTGGTTTGAGAGCAAATCTTAAATTTTTATCACTTTCCTTATGAATAATTCGTTTAGTGATAATATTCATCTTTCTCGTTCCCCACCAATTACGTTGCAGAGAGAGATGTTCGTCCATTCTTAATTTAATATCAATTGTTCCGTATTCGACAATATTATTATTGAAGAGAATCTTTCGTGATCTGGAAGAAATGATTTTAATTTTACTCTGCGTAAGAAAGATACAATTCGTTATTTTCAATCCATAATTTGGCGACTGATGATTAATAATAGTTTTCTCGTATGGCCCGTTAACGACAATTTCAAATAGGTTATTGTCAAGGGAAAGATAAGTATTTCTAATTGATATTAATGTAGTTGATCTCAATACTATATCGAATATACTCTTTTCAATTAGACTCGTTACTTGACCATTTCCGTTATTTTCTAATTTGAATATAAAATGTTTGGATATATCGCTAATTACTTCATTTTGAGTATAGATAACTTTTGATCTCTTATCCGAATTAAATTGTAGATTAAGATAATCTAAAGAAGTTAAATTTGAATTTCTAATAAGTATTAAAGCGTTATAGACATTGATATCAATTGAATTAAATCCAATATTAAAGTTCAATTTTTCCAGTATTATCTTAATACTATTACCGTATTCTTTATTAATAATTTGAATAGACTCTTCACTAATACTACTAAATGTAGTATCAGTTATTTGAACTTGCTTATTTTCATTCCTACACTCTTCGTAATCCGTATTATCAATTCCGATAACAATATTTGATTCTAATTCACTGGAAGTTTTGATAATTAAACGAAATTTTCTATTTTTAACAATTTTCAAGCGTATTCTATATAATTTCCAGTCGTTTGTTAAATCTATTGTCTTTAGGTGCAGATTAGGTCCATAAGCGTCGAATATATCAACGGATATGAGTAATACTTGATTCGGATGTGAACTGTAAGCGTACATTTTAAAATAGCATAGATTATGCATTGAATCAAAGATTTTCCCATAAATTTCCGGAATTGCCAAAATATCCCCTTCACTTTTAATATTCATTGCAAAATAATGACCATTGGTCGAAGATGGATAGGTTGCATCGTATTTAAATCCATCTATAAAATTTACGTTTGCGGATTGAATTCGATTAAAATATGAATATGATTTTGGTAGTATATTTGGAATTTTCCATTCGCAATTCGATCCTTCGAATGTACATAGGTAGGAAGATTCTTTAACAGGTTGAATGAATAGTTTAAAGTCAGAATGATAGTTTGTCTTTGAATTAAGTTCAATTTTAATCTTTCTAGTTTCAGAGTATATAATAGTTTTAGCTTGTCTTAATTTACCATTTACTAATACGTTACCCAATTCATCGTATATCTTAACAAGCGATAATCTATCGTCTAATTCAGTTTCAATTATAATCTTTATAATATGATTTATAGGCGAAATAAATTCAGTTGAACATCCAACAGCGTTATATCTTTCTAAATGTTCAACGTCGAGCGATAAACCGTAATCATTCTCCGAAAATTCATAAATAGATCCATATATACAAAGAAACAAAGTAGGCCAATTCAATTTACTATAAGTTGAATCTTTATTATCGCTACTCCAACGAACAGCTGAATATCCATCTTTAAAATGACTATTCTCTATAATAGTATCATGACGATTCTGTACTAATGAAATATAATCATTTTTTCCATTATTCGACGATGTAAATTTAGCATTCTTTACAGTGAAATTATCATTTTCTCCAAAAGTCCTTATCAATTTGATATGTGCCCTTTCGAATATACAATTTTCAATTTTCGGAGGAGGTGTACCCATAAATATAAAATTTACATTTTTTATTATTAAATTATCAAAAACAACCGGAAATTGACTTTGATAATAATAAACATTTGGTAAATTATCTTTTCTATCTAAACATGTAAATTTTAAAGTAGACTTCTTTTCTAAATCAGTAACTTTTCCAAATGTAAGTCTACCGCGTATTATCAATAGATTATGGCATTTTTTAAATATAATCTCAATATCTTGTTGTCTAGAGATTTCCAGATTATCTTCAATAATAACATTTCCCGTAAGTACTATTGAATTTTTTAAGAGATAATCTCCTTGTATATATCCGCTAAGGTGTATTCTATATTTTTCATTTAAATTTTCAATTTGGGTTTTAAGGGTAAAATTTTCTGTTAAATAGATTGGTGACGGATCTAGTCTGGGTAAGAAAGAATCGTAATTTCCATCGTAAAATCTCTCGTATAAATTCTTACGAGAACCCCAATAATTATACGGAATATTATAGATGCAACTTTTCTCTTTTCTAATTGGGCATATAGTTTTTAAATGTAAATAGAATTTACAAACGCTATTAAAGTTATTCAATTCAATAATTGGAATAATATTACCGGCTATATTAATTAGATGTTTCGTTGAACATTGAACGATAGCGTTTCCTTTTAGATTATAATATTTTCTATTATCGTCGAATATATTCAAATTTAGAATACTTTGACTTGTTAAACAAGATGTAAAATTATTTTCAATCATCTCAAGTGAACTTCTAACCAAATGAAATTCAATACAATTCGAAATATTATTAATATTTTCAAATGAATTCTTCTTAATGATAACATCCTTTCTTCTATTCATTTTATCCATTAAATTTATATGATTATTTAATGTTTTTATATGTAAAATAGAATGATAATAATGAAAGTTTATAAATCTATTTTCTTCAATTCTTATTTGACAATCAACATTTAAATTAAGGTAATTTTTCAATGGTTTCCTCTGGTATATTCTTTTATCATTAAATCTATTATTAATAATTCTAATAAGGCAATTATTCTTATTTGAATTTCGAAATTTCAATTGTCCATACTTGAATGGATTTTCCATTTCAACAGTTATATAATTATCTAAAAATTCAATTGTAATTGGATAGTTAATTATCTCTTTTGAATGAATATGAAAAGGATGATGAGTTCCTTTAAAATGGCAATCTTTTATAATCATATTTTTAATTGGTTTCGGCGAAATATGATGCAAATATTTAATATTTGAATATTTTAATGTTAAATTATTATTCGAGAAGATTTTACGATTTGAATAAATTAAATATTTTCCATACGTAAAATTTGTTGTTTTTATATCGATATTATAATTGAAATTCGTATCAAATTCAATATAATTAACATATTCTCCATTAGATTTAAACGATGAATTCTGTATCATTAAATTATTTTCAATTCTTGGTAGTGTAATATACAAAGTTTCGGTATTAACGATTATATAATGAGCTATATAATCTCCTGAATTTAGTATAACATTTACTCTATTATATGCCAAATAATTAAAAGGTTCACTGGTTATAGGATATTTATTATTCTTATCTTCAATCCATCCAATAGATTTTCTTGAATTATATCTTATAGGAAAGATATATAGCATTAATCTATTATTCTTTTGAGTTAACATTTCCAAATTACACTTTGAAGATAAACCCTTGTGTATTAATATTCTTAATATTAATTGTTCACCACGCTTAATATAGAAAGGAACTTTTGGGCATTTTTCGATATTACTTATTCTATCTTCGTCTCTATTGAAATAATGAAGAAAATCAATTTTCCTATAATGACCCAAAACAACCTTTGTATTAAACAGCTTTAATCCATTAAATTGAACATTTAAAGCATTAATAATCGTTTTTCCATTAACTTTCGTTGAATATATTTCTAAATCGTTAATCTTTAATATATTCTCCAATTTTGATTGCAATATTAATAAATTCTTTGAACTTTTCGATAGAATTCTAATATCTTTTAATTCATGTTGGAATAATTCAAAAAATAGATCGTGCCCTAATCGGCCAGAACCAATTAAGGTTAAACCTTGTATAATACTTGATTTTGAATTAATAAGATAATTTATACCAGACCATTCTTGCTGTTTACCGCATCTCAACGTCAAATATCCATCGGTACATTTGGCTTTCTTTACAATACAATTATCGTATTTGTCATTTGTACATTCAACTTTCCAACCATTTACGCTATTATCTACAAATTTGAATGAATGTTTTTCGTATACGCCATAGCCGGCCGCTTTGCAAAGCGCTTTAAAAGGTGCAATAGATTCGTCATTCGTATAGCAAACAAACATCGACTCTTTAGATTTTATAATTTCTACTCTACTGTCTCTATGTATATTGACAGTGTCGTTGTCGGGTGCACTGTCTAATTTTATAATAACTCTTGACGAAGGAGTTCCTAGAATCTCTAATTGACCATAAACTTCTATACCAGTATTCGGTGATGCTCTAATTACAACACCAGGTTGTATGGTAACTTTAGCTCTTTTTAAGATACGACAATTGCGAGTCATTCTATACTCTCCACTGGTAATAATAATGTCGCTATTAAAGTCCCCTTCAAATCTCTCTTTTCCATTAGTCTCCAATGAAATGTCTTTTAGAATTGTGAGATTTTTATCTAAATATATTGGAGAAAGTAGTACTCCTCTATAATTATACGATGAAAAATGACCGTCAACACAATTTAAAACGTTTACATCTCTCCAATAGTTCTCTCTAGCGTCTACATTCTTATTTATGATAATTTCACTATTTGCTAATGAATTCGGTAGAGTTAATTCTCTATCAAACTTATAATTATCAAATATATTTTCATTTATCCTTATATCGTAAACATTTATTACGATAATTGCTGTTTGCTTATTCGAATGATCAATTTCTCTTGGATAGTTACCGATAAATGAATTTCTCTTAATTCTAACTAAATCTCTATTATTAAATTCAGCTTTTCTCCCAATATCAATTATATGCTTTGGTATTAAACAATGTTTCACTGTGTTATCTCTAATATAAATATCACTGCTTTCGTTTAATCTATTCATAATTCTTAAAAATCCTTTCTTCGAATTCTCAACGATATTTTTCATTATCTCTATTGATGATATTCCATTACAACTGATAATATAATCCTTAGTAGCATCCTTACAAGAAAATCTATTGTTTCTTACAATAAAATTTACTGTTTTCGATTTCTTATCATTATGATTTTTCAATTTGATATCTGTAGCTCTTCCATTAATAAACTTATTATTTTCAATATTTACACTAGAAACGCCTTTTGTTTCAATATGAATTGTTGTATGTGTTTTATGATTATTCAACGTATTATTGCTAATCTTAATATTACTATTTAGTTGTTCACTATCTTCTTTTGTAATATCTATAGCTTCGTTCTTATTCGATGAGAATGTACTATTTTCAATAGTTTGCGAACCCCATTCGTAGGCTAATCTTAATCCTTTTTCATTTCCGGTAAATCTACTATGCCTTATTATAGTATGAAAAATGGGATTATAAATTGATAATCCATTTTCATTATTCTTATCAACGTCTAAATTTTTTATATATATAGGATAATTTAAATTATAAATAATTAATCCATAGTCATTTTTGTGCGTCTCTCCATGATTTATAACCGTAAATGTTGATTTAGGTTTAACTGATTTTAGAAAGATTATAACCTTATTCGAATTAATTATTGGTTCGGTTAATATTGTTAAATATTGACCAGTTGATTCAAGACGAATATTCTTATCGCTAGTCCATTGGCAATTGTGAAGAATAATTGGTGAATTTTCATCTTTTCCATCTCTAATTGTTATATTAATAGGATTATTCGATTTATATATTTCTACATAAATAACGTCTCCGCTTCTTGCTTTTAGAATCTAGATTGGTATATAAATAAATGATATTAAAAAATGATTTGTAATCAATTATCACCTTCTTCGTTGGCTTTTGATAATTAAGTTGAAAAAATATTGAATGCCAAAGATTTGAATCGCACGTTAAACAGTCTAAATCGTTTAATTTTGTAATAACACCACTCGGTTGAATAAGTGTTACGGTTGATGTCAAAAATATTCCAGCTAATTTGTTTTTTCTGGCAGAAAACTTACTCAAATGCACTTTTCCAGGAAAATCAATGTACAAACCAAAATTGGAGTTATTTTTAACATGGATGTTACTTAAATATAAAGAGGATTCATCATTTCGTCTTTGATTTTCAATAAGCAGTGCCGCTTTGGAGAACGATACATCCTCTAGTTTTATAGATCTAAAAGAGGAAGGATAAAATAGAAGAAGAAGATATTCTAATAATTTATTTACTTTACTAATTCAATTCTTGAGTTAAATATATGCAATCCAATTCTTACTCCTTCAAAATGGTTGATAAATACTTGTTTTGAATTTTTTATAACAATTCCATATCGTAACCTCGAAGTTGAACTTTTAATTTTCAATGGATAATCAATTTTCTCATCTAAAAAAAATAAATCAATTAATCTAGGCCTATAGGAATTTAGAAAAACATCAAAAAAAGTAATTTACATACATTTAATAACACATTCTCGAATATCTAGGCCATGCGATAAACATTCGAGTATACAGCATCTATCTCTCTCCTTTTCGTCTATTATTTCGAATTTTCTATCCTTATCGTATCCTAAATATTCGCTTGCAAGCTTAAAAACGATAACGATAAAAGAAAAGGTTTAAATTGATCTATAGACAATATTTAGATGAGAAAAATTAATAAAACCTTTCCTATTGTATCAATGGAATGTAATTGTTCTCTGCATATCTTTACATAATTAACATTCGTTTTATCGTTAAATCCATCAACACTTTCATTTCTGATTAGTGGAATATATTCAATATAATCCAATTCTATAATGTAAAAGTAATATCAATAAAATAAGGTCTATGCTATCATACAATTTATATTTCAATACTTTTCTTCAACTTATGAGTATATTGGGCTTTTATATATTCTTTACTCTTTTCGTTATTATGATAAAGTCCAAAGACGTTATGACTTCTTGTACCATTTATTATAACTTTACCATTTTCAATAACAATTCGACTTTGATCACTTTGAAATATTAACTTTGCACCCTCCTTTATAGCTAATGATTTAGGTTTAACAACACCTTCAATAAAGTAGGTCTTTGAGTACAACTCCAAATCTTGATTATTATTATCAGGAGAGATGTTTTCCGTCAATATCGATTGTAAATTTATTACAATCAATAAGATAAATGCAAAATGCATCTTTGAAACGTTTTTTCTATTGATAATTGATAAACAATTACAACGTCAACTTCCAAGAATATCTCCTCTGCTGATAAACCTCTGAAGTTTGTCGTGTAAGGCAATTTCTTTGAAATATCTCTAATAGCTTTTGGCTAATTCATTAGCACCAGCTATTTGTAAAGTTTTTGAACAACTGATCAAAAAGCTTATATCTTTTTAGATGAGTAGTTTTGTAAGTAGTATATATACATGTGTATGTGGTATGAATATGTTTTTCTTTTTACTGCATTTGTTTTAATACTACATATTGAAATATTAAGATAAAATTTCATCTATTGAGTACTATTACATAAGAATTTGATATTTTTATTTGCAGTATAACCGACACTATTTTACTGTTGGTAAAACATATACAACATTGAGTACAATTAATGAATATTAACATTCCTTGTCTCTATTTCTCTCTTCAGAGAATCATACGTTTTTCTTATTTATGCCAATGTATATATTTCATTTTGATAATTGTTGTTATAGAGACAGCTATAATTGTTAATAATGATGCAATTGTTAATCCTAAACCTGTTAGTAAGTACTTGGAAATCGGTGCTCTTTGTGCAATAGAAATAGATTTCGTAATTGACTCTCTACTTGGAGTATTGGAGGTTTCCCTTTGTTCCGTGTATATATCGGTAAGTGACACTGAAGTTTGCTCACTACTTAGTTTCGTTTGCTGAGAACTTTCTGTTTTCGACGATTTGTCGTTTAGAGTACTTAGAGTGACGCTTGATGGAGAGGTTGATGAAAACGTATTCGTTTTTTCTGACTCAGTAGATTTTCCTAATGACGTCATTAGATGTGTATTTAAATAAGTATTAGTTTGAGGGTTTGTAGAAGATTCTTGTGTTGAAACCTGAAGTGTAGAAGTTGCTAAACTAGAAAGGGTAATTGTCTTCTCGTTGTCATCAGTATCTGGATTTTCCCCAAAATTTCCGTTGTCAGCATACGGGGGTAGAATATTTATTGTAAAGGTTATTGTACTTGAACAAGGTTCATCTGACACATCAAAAACTATTAATTTGACTCTATATTGACCGTGTGGAAGGGGCGTAAGGAGTGTTTTTAATGTCAAAGAATTATTAGCAATATCTAAAAAAGGTTTTAATATTGATCCTTCGAAGTTGATTGCTGCAAATATTTCTGAGAAAATTCCAAGGTCACTATCTGTTACGTTGATGTCAAATAGGGTAGAATTTAAAGGTAAACTACTATTGATTGTTAGCTGAAAGTTGTTTAGAGGGCTATAAATAGTAGCACATTCGTTAATGTCCAGTACGGTCATCTTTAAACTCTTTGAAGATGACTTTGCTGGAATGCCATTGTCTGATGCAACAACTTCCAAATGAAATTGACCGGGTTGAAGTTTTCCTAATGTTTTTAATATACCCGTTCTACTATCAATTGTAACAGGAGCATTTGTTGGTAGCAAAAAGTATGAAACTGTTCCCGCCTCTCCTGGATCAGTATCATTGGCATAAACTTCTTTTAAATATTCTCCCACTTGAATGTCTTCTTTCACCTCTATGTTAAGATCTTGAGTGAAGAACTTTGGAGGAGCCATATTTTTAGACACTCGTGAACTACAGTCCACTCCTTCAAATCCCCTATCACAAATACAAGTATTTACATCAATGCATTGACCATTCTTTGAGCAACTGGATACAGCCTTACACAAAGGAATATCGCACAAGGGCCCAGTCCAATTTTCATCGCATTCGCATTGATCGAAAGAAGTACAATTACCATGAGTTGAACAGTATTGGAGAGACTCGCACGAAAATTCCGTACAAGTCTTACCAGTATAACCCATATTGCAAGTGCACCTATCTGGCTCTATACAAGTGCCATTTTCGGAGCATGGAGGAGTACATACAGGTACACTACAGTCTATCCCGTCAAACCCTTCGTCACAAGCACAAATTGTTTCATTAACGCACAATCCATTATTCGTACAGTTTCGAACTTGAGGACAGCTATCCAACATGCTACAGTCACTTCCAGAATATCCCACTTGGCACGAACAATTTCCTGGCATGTTACATTCACCGTTTCCTGAGCACTGATTGTCACATATAGGAATTGAACAACTTTCACCTGTCCAGCCTTTAAAGCAGAGACAAGTATCAAAGTCAAGGCAAAATCCATGATCGGAGCAATGATTAAGTACTTCACAACTGAAAGTAGAACAGCTCGTTCCATTATATCCAAGATTACACTTACATTTTTCATCATCTATGCAGAGACCATGATTTCCACAACCAAGAGAACATTGCGCTAATTCAGTGCAATTCGGAGAGAGCCAGCCTTCATTACATCTGCAAACACCAGATTTAACGCAAACACCGTTGTAAGAGCAGTTCATTTCGCATACTGCTTCATCTTCACATGCTGGACCTTCGAATCCATCATTACAGATACAGAAACCTTCACTACAATTCCCATTTACACATAGGCCACAATCACCTTGTTCACAATATTCACCGGACCATCCATCAACGCATATACATGTTCCATTTAAGCAGGTGCCTCTACTTAGGCATTGATTAGGACATAGTTTTACGTTCCAAACAAACTGACAAGCCATTGAAACATCTCCTGAATATACAATATCGAAAATACATTGATCTATTTCGATTTTAGTAAGCTGTTTTCCTGAACACAGTTTATGTGCATTTTCAATATCATCCTTGGAAAAATTTTGTAGAGCATATACTGGCTGATGAGATGGATCAAAATATGAAAGATCCATGGAATCATCTTTATGGAAATTGGACTCTGTCCACGACCAGGATCCAGCTGTTCCTCCATTTAATCTTGTTGGAAATTTTATTTTCCATGATTTGGCAAAAGCTCTTGCGTCAGAATACAACTGTTCATATGGACCTTTGAAATCGTCATTTTCATTATCATTCATAAAACCACACAATCCAGACGTTTTATTCATCATGTCAGCAGTAGCAATAAGAATTGATGTTAAATATTGCCTCTTCAGTGCCTTACTGTACGAAACCACCACTGATAACGATGCTCCTGTTGAGTATTTAATGGAAATAATTAAAATAGTTGGATCATCATGATATACATTGGTTTTCTTTAATGAAATATCTAGACGAATAGTTACATTATCGAATGTAAATGTACTATTCATAGTGATGTTAGATAAATAATCTCCATCCAGTCTTAAAAGTGGGAGATCTGCTGAGCTACTCTTAAGTAAAGTGTTGATTGTAAGTACGGATACATTGCCAAGACGAATAGCCATTCCTCCAATGAAGGACGTTCCATTTAAACCAAAAAATCTATATTGATATCCAATTGTTGGAGTCCTGCAACCCCAGTATTGACCAATATCGAAAAAATCATAAGAATTTCCATCAAGAGTTTCAAGATGAGGATCTCCAGATCCTCGTGTAGGATTTCGAAAATTACAAGTTGGTCCTTGCCAAAATCTATTGCAAACACATCGAGCTTGGCAACCTTCGAACAATGTACACTTACCATTACTGCTACAACTTTGATCTGGAAAACAGTATGGTTGGTTACAATCGTCACCTTTTCTCTGTGACGTGCAAACACTGTTAATTCCGCAAGTAGAGGGACATTGACAGATTCCATCTGGTCTACGCACTGGTATCTCTCCTGTCCAACATGGCACACACTTTTCACAGATACATCCGTTCCTTCCCAGAGTCGATACAGTTCCGTCTTCGCATGTGCACAAGCATGATGAAGTAGACTCTCCATCCTTAATAGCGGAACCATCAGGACAGCATTGACATGGCCGAAATTGTGTTTTCCAACTTATTTGAGCTTTTGGACCATTGCAAAAGCATCTACACATGCACTCACCAGTAATCGGATCAAGTCTTCCATAATTTATAAGACCGTATTTATCGGTACAGAGGCAACAGCCCTCTAAATGCCTAAAAGTCCTTGATCTTCTTAAACAAAGGCTAGATATTTTAAAAAGACTTTTAAGGAAATGGTTTCAGCTCAAAGTCGACTTTTACCTTTCCAGTTCATTAAATTTTTCTTTTAAAGGATAATTGAATTTTTTTGATAAACCGGCAACGCTAAATTGTCCATAAAATTTTGTTTGTCCTAGATAAAGCGCTTTAAAGTTGAAAAAAAAACAACAAAATACAAATATATGAGAAAAGGAAAACATCATATCTTTATTTAGTATTACTTGCACTATTGGGTTTTGAAATATCTGTACATCTATGGCTATCGCAGTATCCGAATCTTTGTAAAAATTGTTGTTGAAGCTCGTAAACTCCAATTACATACAATTCCTTATCTTTAATTAATTTTCCCGTCGTTTTTCTTCTTATGTCAATTTGCTTCTCTGATAAGAGAGTTTTAAATAAGATTTAGTTTTCTGATTATCTAGACTATACCTTTCAACCAATTATAGATAGAATCGTGATTGATTGTTGTATCAAGATCATCCTTTGAAATTACATTCTTCTGATCTGGCCAATATGGCCACCGAATTGAAAATCCAATATCAAGAAAGCTTTCAATATTAGAAATACCCAACCACGATCCACTGATTTTAGAATCTTTTATACTAGCTGTAAGTCCTTCTCCACTTCTAATAATATCTGTTTCCTTACTCAAAGTTGCCCCAATATCGAAATTGATATTAAAAACAGTTGAAGATGTCGATTGGACACTTCTAGCTGAATTAAAAAAGATTGGTCCATAAGATACACGATGTAAGACCAAAGAGCCAGGTATGGAGACGCCTGCTATTTTGACTCGAAAATCTTTCTCTAAATGTAAAAGATGCGTATCTCTTTGAAAGATTGTAAAGTTTTTAACTGACTTTGCAACATTAACATCTGTATCAACCTGAAAGTTTACTTTCCCTATTATAGACACTCTAAAATGGTCCAGATAAAATTTCTGAGGTGATATTTTTAGCTCAAATAGAGGTTCTGCACTGATCGAAATTAGAGAATTTATATTCACATTTCCTGTATCGTTTTCTAACTGTTCAACAAAAATTTGTATAAAATACAATAAGATAAAAGAAAAGCTTACTCTGATATTTGATTGCGTTGATTGTACTTCATTAAATTTATCGTTAATAGTTGAATATTGTTTATTTCTTGGTAATAAGTTAATCTCTTCGATTTTCACGTCATTAACCTTTAAATCTTTAGAAATAGTTTCCAAATTGATAACTTCCACAAAATTCCATTCATTTGTGAATATCGTAATATTGATAATGAATCCGAGAACTGGTAACGAAGATCGACCAACAATAATATCATTTTCGTGTATTGGTTTACCAATTTTCTCCCTCTCCAAGTAATGGAGAGAAGGTATACCATCCATACTTTGACACTCTAAATCTGATTTTAGGTTGATAATGGTATCTAAATCTATTTGATTAGGTTTCAACATTCGAGAACAATCAGAAAGTTCTGTCTCTACGAATAAATCCTCGCGATTCTGACCGGTTCGCAAGACACTTTCGAGAAAACCTCTTGATCTATTGCCGTATAAAACATCTCCAACTTTGTAATTCTGATATTTGGTTATTATAAAATGAGACCATACTGTTTCATCGCGATAAGAGTATCCTTGACCGGAGCATTTAAAAAATTCATTTGTACCCATATCCACATAGTTTTGGTTGGATTTTGTAAATTTTCGAACTTTTTCGAGACGAGGAAAAGAATCTATTGCTCTTGGATTTTTATGATATTGAAATCTTCCTTTAGTTTTGAAATGAGCGTACTTAAGTACGTTTATCGGATCACTTATTTTAGTAAGGTAAATTGTATAGTTAGCCAAGGATTGTCTTGAATCGACGATAAGATGAACAATACCTCCCGATTGACTGCTCAATAAGATAACGCCTATTTGATATTTGACCTTTTTAGAAGGAACAATCAATATTTCGTATATCTTGTTGTTCATGTCTTTTATTTGCTCTCTCCCAATACATTTATAAATCTTGGTTGTATTTTTTACAAGAACCACGTTATCTTTTATTTCCGTTGCAGTGAATCGGTTAGGATCAAGTAGGTCTGGTCTTGGATAGCCATTTATACAAATTTTTTCAATCCATGTACGACAAGTTGAATTTGTAAAACAAACTTCCAAATCTCGACATTGCTGGCATAAACCTTTCGATATATATCTGCGTGTAGAGCATTGATATTTATCACAATCAATTATCTTGATTTCTTTTGAACATCTACTAGGTGCTAAACTAATACACTCTCTGTAAAACCAATTGGTGCAGTTTCCGTAAGGTTTAGTTGGAGAGCCTGGCATACACTTTTGCCTCGAATCACACCAACCGCATCCTTCGTGTTTTGTACACTGTTGACAAGATAGATATCTTGGGCATTTTGATCTTGCACAGTTTTTTCCTTCCCATCCTTGGCTACATTTGCAAATATTAGGGCCGATACATTCTCCTCTACTAGAGCATTCCGACACTTCTCTACAGGAGAACTCGAGGCAAGATTTACCTTTCCATCCAGGAACACATAAGCATTTCGATCCAAAGCATCTTCCTTTACCGTTGCAGTTGTCAATGCAAAGTCCTGATCCAGTTTTAGAACATAACCATGGCTTTAGTGAGTCATTCATTCCGCTATTACTAATTAGATCGTCACTGGTCCATATATCATTTAGTCCAAGACTACCATTCAATTCGGTAAACGATAGTAGGTTTTGAATTGATTCTTGGGAATGAAGAGTTTCCTTTTTCACTAAATACGCTGAATGGGAGATACACCAGTTTTGTGCTTCCTCTCTTTTGCCAATACCAGAATAGAGGAAGTAACAATTACCATCAATATATCTCCATCCTGGTAAGCAACTAGTCGATGAGATAAAATGAGTTGGTTGCGTCTGAGAAAGAGGTTGAAACGTTAAAGTTACTACTGATGATTGTTTTCTACCATCATATAATTTTTTATCTACTAGTGAAATATCTGTTGTTCCCCACCAATTGTTCATACAGTTTGCCATTTTGGATGCAGATGTTTTAACATTTGTAGAAATTTCATAAGTTAAATGTGGATTAATGAAAACATTGTTAGAGACTGCAAAATATGTTGAATTCAAATGTAAATTGACTGCATAATAGTAATTTGAAGGTTTGTTAAATAGGAATACATTGGATGAAATATTCACAAAAGAACTTTCGGATTTAGTTAGAATGATTCCTTTTTTAATTCTAGAGTTGTATATAAAATTATTTTTAAATTCAATATTAGAGTTTTCTAGAATCATTAAATAGCTGCTTGAATGAGAATTTCTCACTTGAATATTTTCCAAGATGCTTAATAAATTCTCTTTGTCTTCATTTTTTAATTGTATTAGAATTGAATCGAATATATCTTCAAAAATAATATTACTACAAATCAATTTTGAAGGATTTACCAATATTTGAGATTTATGAAATTGAATTTGAATTGCAGTTGCCTTTTGTAAGTTGTGAATTTTCATTCGGCGTATGACGATATTACTTTTTAATATTGATATCTTGATGAGATGATTAATTTTAGGATTCGTATGAATAAATCGTAAATTTTCTAGACGAATGATATTAAAATTAGAATTAAGAGTATTATAGATATTAATAGAATTTTCGATTGAATTTTCAAACAAATTATCATGAAAATTTAACTGTATAGGTTTGACAATCTTTTGACAAGATCTTAGTGAAATACGATCAATTCCAGTTATAGTTTCACACCTTCTACTATAAACTGCATGGATCATTATTTGAAATGTTTGATTTTTAATGGATTCTGTAGATGCTTTATATCTTGTCCATGTTCTAGTCAATTCAAAAGTACCTATATTCCTTAATTTTCCATCAATACTTACTACAACTTTTATGTTCATAGTATGTGGCGCATTTGCTTTGTAGGCATGAAAGTAGACATGACAAATATCATCTTCAGGCTTTATTATTCTACTAACTAAGACCGCTGATCCTTCCGGTACTGGATAACTTGAACAACTATGTCCATTACCTTTCAGTAGAAGATAATGACCATTCATACCTAAAAAATTAGCATCCGATTTTAAAGCGAAAACAGAAGTAGGATCTGTTGAAGAGACAACCAAGAAAGGTTTGAAGATATTTTCAAATGCTAAGTAATGATTCTTCCAATTGCAGATAGGTGTTTCAAAGTCACAACTGTCATCTGTAGATTATTGAAATTTGATGTAAAAAGAATTAAAGAATTTTAAAAATTAACTTACGATCTGGTTTAACAGATTTTAAAAGTAATATCCAATGATCGTTTGATGCCTTATGCAAATCCTCTAATACTTCAATTATTATTTTATTCACTGTCGTAAAAACTTTATTCTTTGATAAAGAGAAAAGGAGAAAAAATGATAAAATATTCCTTATTCTTTTATAGAAATTCGTTTCTTTTTTTATATACTTACTGGAAAATATTGTATCTCTTCTCCTGTTTCTTCGTTAAATAGCCTAAATATTTTACCAAAATTTAACTTAATTTTCACATTTACTTGAATTATATTCTCTTCATTCGCTTTAAAAGTTGCTGAACAACCTAATTTTTGATATTCTTGAAACCATTCGTAATCCAACCAGAGTACAGAATCATTTTCGTTCAATTCGAAAATAGAATTTAATGAACAGAAGAATATAGGTGAAAAACAATTGATTGGTGTTGAAAAACCTACAATATCATTAACATCTTTAAGATCTAGATTTTTTACTACGAAAGATTTAGTAGCATAGTGAAATGCTGAATTGGAGATGTCTATGCTCTTATAAGAGTTCCATAGTTCAATACCGGATTTTGTACAATGAGTTATATTTAGGTATTTGATTTTAAGTTGATCATCTTCGTCTCCTCCGTAAAATCTTATAGCGGAATGTACGGCGAGAAAAGATGAACTATCTAAATTTGGTGTTTTACTATTTATAAGTAAAAGTTCAACTCCATGAAATTTACTATTCTGCAAGTTACTACTAACTCTATTCGCTCCAAAAATGATCAAACGACTTTGCCAGGGAGCCGACTTCTTACAACGTATATTTGGAAAAATATTCCTATCTGACCGCTCCTTTAATGAACAATTTTCAAAGTTGTCAGAGGTTTCGCAATCCAACTGCCATCGTATCAACTCTTTCTCTGGTCTCTCTAAGTAATTGACAGAATTGTCTGGGCAATAATTTCATATATTATTTACTTTTAAACACGATATAAGTCCGACTATTGCTTACCTGACCATTCTCCCAGGCAAAGGGCCTTACATATGAGATTTCCTTCAAAAATGTAACGCTTAGTTGGTAAGGAAGGAAAACTTATATAAAACCATGAATCGTTTTCATAGACTTTTAAATATCCTTCGCTTAGTCTGAATATTTTGCCGTTAATGAATTTAGAGAATTGAATATGAAATTCTGGACTCTTTTCAATAATAAGATCCCCATATATCATTAATATTGAACAATTTTTAAAGCTAACTATTATATTCTTCGTTATTGTTATCTTCAAATCACCGTTAATAACTGTATTTCTTAATATATCGACATTATCATTTATTTCTAAAGATTCTGAATAAAATCCCTGCAAAACGGATTTTTTCCTCATTGGCCAATTATAGTCTTCTTCTTCTGTCATTTCAATATTTAAGTACGACGGAGATAATTTCAAAGTAGAAAGAAACCCGTTCAAACGGCCGTCGTAAATTCTCTCATAAGGATTAGTTGATTTGAAAAAGTTATGAGTAGCATTACGTTGGCAGTTTTCATCTTTCAGCGGATAGCAAACAATATTCAATCTAATTTCATAGTCTACTTCGTCATTACTGAAAACATTTTGAAAGATTTCGGGAATATATTGTCCATCAAGTTTTAAACTATATTTTGCGTTATTTAAAGTAATCTGATTATTTGAAAAGGTTTTCTTTAATTGAAATTTACCAGTATTGGTAAAATGAATCAGACTATCAGGTGCAGAACAGTTATTTATAACATTTTGTTGAAATTGTATAAAACCTTCATAAATATTCATCTTAACAACATTGAATTTTGTAATAAGATTATGAAACGTATTTTCATGAATTGCAATAGATTTATTTAGTTTTTGAATATGATAATCCGATTCTAATAGAATACCAAAGTTCACATTTTGAATATCTTTCATTATATTGCTTACTATTTGTAGAGGTCCTTTGTTACTCTGAATAAAAATCACTGATTTACAACCTTGAATTGAATTGAATGTATTCCAAAATATATCCAGCCGATAATAGTTATCAATGTTTATTATATTATGCTTATTAGAATAGCATTTAATATTTGAGAATGTATTGTTTCGAATGTCCATTGTAAATAAGTTAGTCGGATCATTTAAATATCTTTGTCTTGGCAAAAATATTAAATTATAATCATTTTGAATAGAATCGAATAAATTATTAAGAATAGTCATTGATATAGACTCTACAAAGCCATGAAATTCAAGAAACCTATCGACTTCTATAAATTTTGAATATTTCATCGATAACGATAAATTATAGATATTTACATATGGAATGCTTAAGGCAATATCTTTTTGTTCAAAAGTACAATTTTCCAAATTCAAACTGATAAATTGATGTAGTTCAACAACTTTAACAGTTAGTCCAGAAGATGAAAATGTAACATTGATTAAATCGATATTTAATTTATTGGATGGATGATATTCTTCAATTATTAGTAAATTTGCCTTTAAAAATGAATGTTTAACAGTAAAATTTGGTTTTGGTATACTTAAATCATTGCCTGTATTTAAAGAAAAGATTGAATATACAGTATAGTACATGTATCTCTGAATATTGAAATTTATGAATATACTTACTCTGTAGAAGATCTTCAGTTATAACTACTTTACAAAATTTAACTAATGAAAGATGTAAAATAGCTTTTTCATAATAAGAATATTCACTATAGGTATTTTCAATATTAATTGTAGTTTGTCCATCAGATATCTTCAGCATCGAGTTTGTAAATATCTTAATATTTAAATAAATCCTTTTTGAACTTCGAAATTCTATTTCATAGTTTTTACTGCTATAAAAGTCTTTAATAAGAAATACTAATTTTCCTTGAACGTTTACTATATTCTCTGGATAAGTTTTTGCCTGAGATATAGCTAGGCTGAAGCCAAGGAAATTTGTATCAGGTAACAATGGCATTCGTATGTATTGAAGATTTACAACTTCAATATTAAATGTACAATCTTCAATTGTTGTTCTTGGTGCTCTTATCAAAATCTCGTTAGTATAGCTAAGGTATCTCTTTGATATTTTCGTATTTTTTAAAATAACTTCATCATGAACTTGACCCCATGGACTAATTATGCTATATTTACTAGTTGATATGATTTCAACATTTTCCAACATTTGTTGCATTTGCTCAAAGTAAAGATCATAGTTAAATAAACCGGCATTTTCAATGCGTAAGCCAGCTATCCTACTTGGCTCAGATCCAATTAAGTATGCAACTCCTCCCCAGTTTGGTACATTGCACTTCAATTTTAAAGATTTTTGACAATGTTTAATTTCCTTAGTACAAGTTTCGTAGTAGACAGTAGGACAATTCAAAACTATCATTGATTCCCCACTATTGGAATATCTATATGAAATGGATGAATAATTATAAAATCCCATAGTTAAGCATAGTGCATTGTACAAGGTAATGTCATTATCAACATAGCATATACCGTATGATGTTGAATTGAATTGAATTTCAACTACTTCTTCATTTAATGATATTGCTTTTAGAGAAACTTGCTCATTTTTCATCGAATTATTCATTTTTATCTGAATGCTTCCATGATTAGATCCCTTAATATCCAGCCTTCCGTAAACTTCTATTCCAGAGTATGGTCTAGCTTCAATTTCAACGTTATCTTCAATTGTTAAGGAGCAATCATTTAATAATCTAACAGGTCCGAGAAGAATGTATTTCCCTGATTTAATGGTAACTTCTCCACTCAAATCTCCAATAAGAAATTTATCATTATTTAACCAAGGAAACGATACCTCTTTTAGAGTAGTTCGTTGAATATCAGAAAATTGAGTTTCTATTAGAACAGGTTGATGATGATAGGCAAAATGATATCCAATGATTCTGGTCCAAGGATTAAAATCCCCCCAAAAATTACCAGAAACATTGACAATATCATAGCGAGGCGATTGTAAAATTAATTCATACGAAAATTTTGGATTATGAAAAATATTGTCATAAATTTGCAGATTGGTTGTGGAAGAGATTTTCAAGATACTTGATACAAAATCGGGGAAAAAGTGAAAATTTTGACTATCTATATCTTTTACCGGTTTATTATCAATAAATTCATTACCAATTATCCTTGTTTTTCCATGATTTCCAAACTTTACTTGAATAATTGTCTGATAAGATGTACAATTTATAAGAGAATTATTACGAATGTCAACTGAAGGATTGGATATACGATTGATGAATAGGAAACTTCCTGTTGAATTTTCAATCCTATTCCGATTTATATTAATTGTTCCTCTAATTTGAACAATTACATAATAATTCCAGTAGCTCAATATTGATCTTAAAGTATTGTCGCTAATCTCCAAATTATATGATTTAATATCAATAGAAACTTTGTTATTAAAAAATTCATTAAAATTAATAAAGATATCACAATAAGATTGAATATATAAGCCAGTGCCTGTTATATGTTCTAATATCTTATTAGCTGAAAAATTAACTAAACATTCGGAATTATAATCGATTATGAATACTCCTAGTTTTGAATTAGACTGTATATCATTCCGTTCCATTTTGATTATATCACCTTTCTCATTTAATTTTATACCAATTGTATTGTTTCTTGCTTGAACTTCACTTAGGCCTATGTATTTTGGTAGCAAACTAATAGAAATACCAATTTGTAGATTGTTGATTGCTTGAATATTATTCATTTCTAAGGAATGGAAATTATTTATTATTTCAAGTCCGTTATAGTTTTCTTCAAAGGCAGAATTCGTTATTTTAGATATCGTTGACCCTATAGATGTTTTATGTAATTGAAGCTAGTGAAACTTTAATTATATTGAAAGTAACAGACCTGGTTCTACTACATCTATTAGGAGAAAAGTTGCCTCATTTGTATTGTAGTTGTTGATGAAATATACTTCAATTGAATTACTCTTACTTTCATAATGAGAATTATGAGAAACACCAAATCGCAAGATTTGACTATTAGATCCATCTTTAATTTGGTGTGGATGCTTTGTTATATTGTACGATTTAATCATAAAAACTTTCCCATTTTTAGCAGTAAACGTCTGTTAAATAAAGAAAATATAGTAAATCTTTTTTATTGTATAGCAAAAATACCTTTTTGTCAAATTTATCGCATCCTTTTATCGTATACAACACAATAGGGAATTCTATATCTTCTTCGGTACAATTAGTACATTTAATGAAGCATGCATCTACAGGATCTTTGAGATTTCTTAAATATGACCTCGTTGACCTTATTATTGAACCAGATTTGCTATTATCTTGTAATAATATTAGATTAGATTAGAGAAAATTTTTAAACTTTAAAATATTACTTCTTGCATATAAAGAATGAATAGCAGTTCTTTCCGAAGAGTCGATAACTAAGCCATTAGCCAAATTATCCTCGATGTTAATATTATTAATTTGTTTATTCTTCTCTATTTGTGGATGGAATAGGAAGAGTGCAGGATCAGATTCTTGAATTTCTTTAACTCGAATATAGCTAGAGAAATATTATTTCTTGATGAATTCAGATGGAATTATACTATGTATAAAAAGAGAAATTCAATACTTTAATGTCTCAATAACAGAATCAACGATATGAATTGCGGCTCCGTTACTATTTAAATGAGATATTTCAACATTTGAAGAGTCGTGAATAATAATACCATTTTTCAATGGTTCCCCATAACAAGTATAGAAAGCAATATAATCTTGTTGAATATTCCCTGTAGTATGATAAATTAACTAGTCTAAAAGCTAGTTTATTACCTAGATTTCCTACCATCAATTGTACAAGATGAAATATCTTTAAAACCTTCTGGACATTTTAAACTCGAACAATCATTTTTGTAAAGTCTAGTTAAAGGTTCGTAATGCTTCATATGAAATCCTGCATAGTTGCATGTATACTATAAAAATCATAGGAAGGATGATTAGTAAAGAATTATTTAATAATCTTATTGTAATTTTTTACTTGGCTAAGCTGTTTTTCAATATTCAAATCATGACATATCTTAACAAATGCTTTATTACTATTAAGCATTTCCAAGTAATATCCAGTGCCATATCTCATTTGTACCCTACTATTTGATTTATTCAAATTAGTAATATTTATATCAAAATATATAGGATTATCTTGTTTTCCATCAATTTTCACTTGACCATTTCGAATGAGAATTTTACTGTTTTCCGTAGAGAACGTCACTCTAGCTCCAGCTTTTATTACTAAAGATTTCAGATTAACAAAACCAATTATATCATAATCCATATTATCAAGAATCAAATCTTGCCCATCTAACAAACTATTAATCTCAAATCCATTTATTTTTATTAGAATGATATAGAATACAATAAAAACAGTTTGAGAACATTTAAAACTATTCCTCATCGTTGTTAATATCTTCCCTCTCAATGATAAAAGAGCTATACATATATATATAAGTGAGGGCTTATATAATAGTTTCTTATATACTAGTAATGTGTTGTGCTTTTTCTTTATAAAAAAAAATACAAAATGTAAATAAACTTGAAGAAAAGAAAATAGGAATATTTTGAAGAGAGCTTGAACATTTCAAGAAAATACGAGAGCTTTAAAACTTTCCTTCTTCTATGTGAAATAAAATAAAAATTGAGTGGAACTATATCTATTTATAGAATTAGGAAGAGATTCTCTCTTTTCGTACTTTATTTTAAGTTTATTAAAAGTTTAAAGAATATAATAAGAAGGAGATAATATATAGATAAAATCTAACACTTTAAATGATTTTTAATTCTTTTATCAAAGAGATATCTTGATATCTCTCGTTCTAAATTCTTATTTATCTTATTTATGCTTTACTTATTATAGAGATTTAGTTAGTAATTTTTGGAAAAAATGTATATTTAGCAGATTTTTATTATCTTTAAAGCAGAGTAATAATTATCTAGTACTGAACCAATTAAAGATAATTATTATCTTCACATAGGCTTACGGCTGACGGTGGGCGTATTTTCTCTACTTAAACAAGACTGTTTAGTATCAAGTCTGTGCTACAGAAGCTTATTAATTAATTACACTACGTGAAGTGAGAATTAATCATTCAAAATGAATAATCATATATTTAAGAAATTTTTCCTTTTTGGTATGTGGCTCTTGACAATGATATTTTATATTACGGGACTTCTTAAAACGTGGTTTATCTATAAATCTAATGAAAATACAATTAAATCAGGATTAAAGAAGAATTGTTCTCATTTTTCGAAAGATTTTTATAACGGTCATTACAATTCTGCGAAATCTCAATCATGGTTAATTTATTATTATATACTGAACTATACTACTACAAGTCTATTAATGCTTTTGCTTTTTCTTACTATATTATTAATTCAATCGAGAATCTATGTTAAAAAGAGTAATTTAAAGGTTTTAATAAGCAGTTTGTATTGTTTGTCAGGTAAGAATTTAGTAGATAGTTTCGTTTTCTCTTCCATTACATAATTAATTGTTTTCTCCGTACTAACAGGAATTTTAATACTTGCAATTATTATTCATTTTTCAAAGAACATCAATCCTGAAACAAGGAAACACTATCGACTGGAATTTCATTTAATGATATCAGCCTCTCTTTTATCTTTTATTTCTATACTTCCAGTATGCCTTCTTATTAATGATACAAATAAGCCATATTTAGTTATTTGATTAAATCGTCTGCTTAAAATGTTTACACGTTATACAATACTCATCAATAAAATTTCATTCAAAAGAGTTATTTTGTATTTATTTTTCCATCAGTTTTACATCAATTATCGATCAAAGACTCGATAAAAACTCATCTTTCATTATCTATAGAGAGAGAGAGAGAGAAATTACTAAGAATGTTCTGCCTACAAATTATCTAGATGATTTACGATAACATTAAAGATTTGAATGTAATATAGAAGGAAGAAATCTCAACGACAATAATAATAAATAAGGAGTTTATACAGTATGTTAATAGGCTCGCCGTTTCTTCGAGTTCAGTTTCAAATATTTTCTTCGTTTTACTAGATCATTAAGAATAAAATGATTGTTTCTTGTATAGTTTATTTCGTCTTTTTAAATAGTTTCAATGAAAATACAGACACTTTTGTTTTGGAAATCAATTCTATTCTGAGCGGTCAAGATGTTGTACTGGAGGGGGGAAATCATAGTGTTTTTGGTATTGTAGAACTGAAATCTCTTTCAATCGAAGCTGGTGTTCGTCTAACCTTCTCTTCCAAATATAGTAAAATATTTGTAAGAGGTGGTAAAGTTAACATTAAGGGAAGTAAAGAAAATCCAATAATTATGGACTTTAATGATATTTTACCCCAAGGAACTGTTCAAATTTGCCGGTAAACTATCATCAGAGTCATGAAATTTCTATTTAATACTGAAAAATCAATTTTAGATTATAACGGTTACAAAATTATTCACATTAAGAATACCGTGCCTTGTTTCAATGACGATTACGTCACGCTTGGTAATGTACATAGAGATTTTTAATTATCTTAGAAAATAGGATAAAAGATACTGTTAATTTTTTTTAAAAGATCACATGTGGATACAATGGACATGATTTTACCTATTTCAAACCAAGCTATTAAACGCTCATGTTATTGTACACCAATGAACTGTACAGATAATATATATGATATTCATTCATGCAATTTGACTGACAGTCGCAGTAAGTAAGTTAATTGTTTAATAGAAATTGAGTGAAAATATTAATGATAGGCTGGAGACCATGTATATCTTTCAAGTGTTATGGCCCTTACGAAAGGAACGGAATTTCAGCAGTTGATTCCTCAGCAGTGTCTATTTCTCATGTAATTGGTTATAAAGTTGGAATTTATATTATCAATTCAAATATTGATTCATTCGAGTAATGCAATAGTTAATATAGTCATTTTCCTTTCTAATTACAGTTTCTTTTCAGTAATATTGTTGTAAAAGATGTGAAATATTCAACATCAGCAATTTAAATTATTAATCCAAATCTTAAAACAAATATAACCAATATAACTGTTGAAAATAACATAGACAGAGGCTTATCTATTGATATTTTGGATGAAGTTACAATAACAAATCTTACAGCCAGAAGTAAATAATTGTCATATAGTAATATTAATATTGAATAAGTCTCTTGCAGACAACTCTGGTTGCGGATTATTCTTGGAAAATTATAGAATAAGATCACCAAAACAATCAACACCTAGAGTTCACGCTTGCTTTCTAGAGACACCTGCTCTCCAGGTAAAATTTGTATTTACGTCCGATTGAATTTTAAAGGCTCCAGATACGAGACACAAACGAATGAGCTTAACATATCATTTACTATGTCAAATTCTCTTTTATTCATTGATATTCTCAATTCAAGTAAGCTATTATTTTCATTCTTATCATCTTATTTTAAGATAAAGTCTATTTTTCACGGGAATAGAAGTATACGGTAAATTAGAGTTTAAAGGATCTCAAAATGATAGAATAATACTTAAAGGATTGCAGTATAATAATATTTCTATACAAGAAGAGTATTTTTTAATTGCTGATGGTAACGGCTATGATTTAGTTAAAGCTTTTTACAATTCTACCGAATACTACGTATGCAGTGATTCTAGCTTCAAGGCATTAGTTTCTAGTGCTATTTGTCATATATTTGGTCGTCCCTCTCATGTTTATTATGAGGACACTTATTTATCACGTGACGGCATATATTTAGATTGTCCAACAAAATATTACGAAACTTGTAGAAAGGAAATTCGGAAATGCAAACTAGTTTTGAAGTTGAAATGTAGGACAAAGTGGGGAGGAATAAGTTATTTTTTAGGATCAGAACCAAGCAAAATATCAGGTTTGACTATAGAAGATGATGGTCATTACCGATACGATATCTTTTTTGAATATATGCAACAAGATCTAGAGCACGTAAATATAAAGTCTACAAGCAAATATAGTACTTTCAGTGTCTATTGTGAACCTGTTCAAAAGCCATTATCTATAGATAATTTAAATGTAACATCATCGTCTACAAGCGAGCTTAGAGTATGTGTAAAACAGGTTTCATTGAAAAACTCACACTTTATAGGCACTGAATACAATATATATAATCGGGTGACATCATTTATTCATGACCATTCCCTGACTACAAACTTAAAACAGATAAACTGTTCATCAACGCCTATTAATATTAATGGAAAAGAGGTTCTAATCTTTTTTGCCGATATTGCAGGATTGCTTTAAGATTGCTTTTAAGAGCGTAAATGACCTTTTCTTCAAATTTAATATAATCAACCAGGACTATATGAGATAGTAGTGAATGCTATTGATAATGGTGTACCTTCAAAATCGGCGATGGAAACCATTCAAATAAAAGTTGATGACGTAAATGAATGTCCAATAGTTCACAGACCTAAAAATTTTGAAAATGTTCTGTTGAATGCTAGTTTTGGAGCTAACCTTTCATTTTATGATATCGTTGCATCTGATAATGATATTTCTACATTTTCCGAGATATATTATTCAAATGTTACTAAAGGAAGAAAGAATAAAGGACTTTTCCATATGAAAGAAAATTCTTTGAAAATTTTCGTATCCGTTTCTCCTTTACCCGAAGGTCAATACGTGATTGATGTTGTTGCATTCGATAAATCTCATGAACCCTGTTCAAGTACAAATACTTTAACGATAAATATATTACCAGCAGGATTAGCTTCAGATAATTTTAACAATGACGACACAACTACCACTGGAATGACCACTTCCAGCGAATATTATACAACAACAAGTTCGCAGTCATTTCTACATTTTCGGAGAAATCTACCAAAATGAAAACGTCAGCAATATACGAAACAACGTCCAAAGAAAATACGGATTTTTCTACAAAATCTTCAATTACTATACAAGATGACCATACAGAAACTACTAAGGATATGAAGACAACTGCTATGGAAGATATCAGAAGATCGTCTATTGATAAATATGCAATTTTAAGTCTCAGCCTAACTATTTTATTACTTATAATTATATGTATAGTCATATCTTTCTTCGCTATAAGACGCAATAATCTCCTGTTTAATGAGAAGACTTGCCACGCAGTATAATCATTAATTAATAGATGATATGTTTATGATTAAAAAAAAAATAGATAATATATAGTTTACAGAGTTTTCAATAGACATTCAATTCTTAATAGATAGAACAAAGACAATAGATAAACAAAAACTTTAAATAACGTTAAATAATATTGTTATTATTATTGTTGATATCTCTTTAACATAAGTCTGTTTGTTTAGGGTTATAATATTTTAATCAGTAATTTTTAGATTATTAAGGTTTTCTAGATTGCTTTCGATCCAAATGAATTACGAATGTTGATTCCACAACCTGATCGCGGCGACGGAAAGATGGTCTTAGGTGGAGGGCTACCAAAAAGGGGAGTCGAATTTTGTCTCTTCAGATTGCTTGTGGCTCCTTGTTCCTGATTTAGAGAGCAAAAAGTTTCTCTTTCTTCGAATTTTAAGTTGATTCGTAAAAATGAGTGAAAATCAGAGAAAACGGTTTTACCAGTCAGCTTACGTCTATCAAATTCGTCTTTCATCCAAAATTTGCGTAGTTCATCGTTGAGTTTTTGACGTGTTATATATCCCGTGAAAGCTTTTAGCATATGACTGTCATCTTCCCTTCTTTGAAAGCATAGCCAGATTAAAGACACCGCATTTACAATTGCAGTTCCAGTTTCAACGTCTCTTTCAGTGTATTCAGGGAGTTCTTCAAGAATTTCCATCATATAGTCTGGATCTGGGTTCTCGTGTAAGTGTAACCGATTCAACATATTAACGGCCTGATTATAGCCTCCCTTTAAAGATTTTAAACAATTCCTTATATACCTTTTAGCATCTTCATTTAGCGTCCTAACTAGGAGGTTTAACTTTTGGAACTCTGTAAGATTGAATTTAGATGTCAAACTCTTGTGTCTTCTCATAAATGTAGGATAATTTTCAACCGATCCATTAAAGTGGTTCATAGGATCTGTAATTATTGATTCATATTCGAAAAGGCTAATTTCTTCCCTCACTTTGAATTTTACAACAGTATCATCAGAAAAATCTGATGAAGAAGGTTCCTCTTGATGAAAAGCCGGTGGGATTGACAGGCAGTCGCTTGATTTTCCAAAATAATTTGGGCTTTTAAAAAGTTCTATCCTACTATGTTCTAGAGTTTGATCAGGCTTATATTGCTTTTTCTTACATAATATTTCTACCATATCTAAACGTTCAGAAAAAGTATTTATCTTGGTGTTGAGGTCATAGACTAGAGAATTTTCCCTTTCTTGAGCTTTTTTATCAATGAGCTGTAATTTAGTATCAGTAATTTCTATAACTGACTGGCGTTCTAGCATCAATTTATGATCTGCCTTTTCCTCAAAATTACTATCCATTATTGATAAAAAGGTCTTAATAACCTGCTTAACAGCTTCAGCATCGTGACAAAGTACAGATTTGTTTATAGATTTCTCTAGAAAACGCTTTGCCAGATTATATACTTCGGTATTTATTTTTTCACTATGATTAGTCTTGTTTTCGATGACAGTTTGAGCTTTATCTAAATTTTCAGTAGTTTTCTTAAAACTTTGCGTCATTCCAAGTTTCTCGTCTCTTATCATAACTAGGTTGCCGTTGTTATTAAATTCCTTTTCAAACTCCTCCAATAAATCCATACCCTCCATAATTTGTCTCACTTTCAATAACATAGTAGCACATTGTGATGAGTTTAACACGTGTTTTACCCTCCATGGTTCATATTTCTCCAGTGCCTTCTCAATTTCGTTTAAATTTTCTAGAATAACATTTACCAAATCTTTACTCTTTCGAAGAATATTTCCACTAACGAAAATGCAGTGTCTAGAACATTCTCCCCCAATTTTCAGTACAGCGCATTCGAACTCTGCTCTCTGCCGTGAATATGACTTTGTTTTTATTACTTCGGTTTGCAGATGAGAAACCATCTGGGCAAGTTGTTCTAATAAACTCTTCAAACTAATATTTGGCATGACTTCTCAAATTTTGGTCACTTTTCAATTTATACACTTGCTCTTTAATTAAAAAGTTCTCCAACAATTAGAACAAATGTTCAACTATATTTTCAACTGTATTAAAGTTAATTGAAACTAATATTTACTGATTTAAAGATACCTTCAACAATTCTCAAAATGTCTGTCGAGTGAAGGATGATCTGTCATTGGCTAAATGAGTTATGAAATTGACAATCCCATGAGCAACTTGTACCCTACTTAAGAAAGTATCTTCGTAAATATCTTAATTATCGATATGTTATAGATAGTACTTATCATTACAATAATTTATTTGAAAGATAGCGTAAAGTACAACAATATCAGAATAGTTTTAGCATAATTAATATTTTGACTTAAAAAAATACATTTTATAATAATTTTATAGTAATCTTTTCAGACCAAAAATAATAGGAAATACGAAGGAAACATATCCACTTGCGTAATTTTGACCGTTATTGCCATGTGGTTTTGGTTGTTTACCAGTCAGGGCACTAGGCGTATTGACTATAATTCTTTTTGGAGTAGCATTCGTTTTTCTACGACCTATAATTGAATTCAAGATATATTACGTTCTGTTTATTTATAATTAATTATCTTAATTGTTACATTGTAAACTTTCCAATTCTGGAAAAAGTGACTGTTTATAAGCTTGGCATTGCTGTAGAATAGTTTTAAAAGGAATTTTAAAATCGCAAACACTTTCTCCCAGTTTACCATTTAGAAAATCTAAAGGATCTTGGCAATCTATTCGAATAAACTTGACAATTAGGAAATTATTAATTATCATTATTTAAAAACAGTTATACCTTGATTGCAAACATCTCTTGCAAATTGTCTATAGTCATTAATATTAGCAAGCATACAAGGTGGCTTATTAACTAAAGCTAAACAGGATTCTTGCTTTTCTGCTATAGAACAAAACTGCTTGGAATTGAAACCCTGAAAAATCATAGTACTATATGATTTTTGATAATTATCTTTACATCTTTCCACTCCAGTCTGACAGAATGATTTAGAGTCTCTCTTTTCATTTAATTTAGATAGAAGAGAGGAAACAATTTCATTTTCAAATCTATTTTCATAGCAGATTGACAAAGAGAGTATTGCTGCAGCTTTAAAATGTTAATACTATAAAGTTTAAATTCAAGATAAAGTTATCAAAATCATATTTATGTTGACCTACCTAGGATAAATATTGAATAAAATTCCATTTTCGCCATAGAGACACACTCTATGAGTGCTCGTAAAAAATTGTCAAATTAGATGCACTGTATATACAGTATGTATATACATATTAATAATATATTCTATTTATGTCAAAGTTATAGTATTCTGAAACATTTTGCATTAATAGTATCCATGAAAGGAATCTGGAACCTTATTTACATATCAATGTAATAGACTGGCAGATGATAAAATTTTACTAATTTTTCACTTTTAAAGGAGATTATATTGAATTTTTTTTTCAATAATATGAATATTTTGCCATTCTCTATAGGATTACAAATATGAACAATAATTAGTAATTATCTAGTTTGCACTTAGATCTCAATTTTCTATAATTGTAAAACAATTACAATACAAAATCATCAAATTAAGCTGACAAGTCTAAAAGAAAAATAAAACATACACAAACACACATTGTATCTTTCTATATAACAAATTTATATGCAGATTGACAGAATTTAGATTTTATTGGCAATATAACCTCTATTTAAATATTTCTTTTTATGCTATTTTTAACTATATTCACTTCCTGTTCAACTCTCAAACAAACTAAAACTACATAGTTGCAGTTGTTCTATATATGAAGAGTAGTACATTTATATTTACTATCCAATATTTGACAATATTTAACAAAATTGACATTTTGAATGATTTGTTGAAGTTCGTATTTTGATTTCCTCAAACAAATCGAGAGATATTTTAAAGTTAATCGAACTGTTGTCTTTTTCTATGAATATCTGATCATTATTATGCTTTTCGAGTTGGTCGAAAATCTCTTTTTTATTGTAAGCCTTTCCAGTATTCTTTGCAATTTGTAGTTGAATAAATTCTTCATCATATTTTACGATGATAAATTAAGATGAAAATCTTTATTTGCCCTATATAACCATTGTATTTTTATTTTTGCTTTTCTAAATTTTCTGTCAGAAAGTAGAACGAAATATCAAATCAATAATATGCTATTTACCTCATTTCTTAAATAAAGTCGTTATTGTATTGAATCTTTTTTCTTTTGAATACTCAATACATTCAAAGCTTTAATCTACCACATAACACCAAGACAACTTTTTAAAAGAAACTGTAATTTTCTTCCTTCTTTAGGTAGAATTGCCACAGATCCGCTTTATTTTCATAGCAGATTGACTGTTAAAGACTTTGTAAATTGAATTTAAAAAGTATTAATATGTTATTACTTTACTCTTATACTATTGTTTTATTAACGACTATATCTTGGATAAGATGCCTTGATTACGATGAAAAATATAATGGAAAAGCTATGATTATTCCTTCTGGATATCATAAAATCATAACTACTGTAAGACCATCATCGTTAACTGTTCAAGCTGGTGCACATATTACATTTTCTTCTCAATTCAATAAAATAATAATAGAACATGGTGCAGTCATTATGAATGGATCGGAAAATGAAAAAATACATATGAATGTTGTAGAAATTCCTGAAAAAGACAATTTTATTTTGGATATTATATATAATAGTAAGAAAGTAACATTTGTAAAATAATCTTTTAACAACATATTTTAATATATCAGAAGTGTTTAGCTTACAATTCAAAGTTAATGATGAATATGTTCATCTATGCTACACCGATAGTTCGCGTAGTAAAGTATTACAAGTAATTTCTTTTAATACTAGTCGAAGTCAATGGAAAAGTAGAAAGATTAAATTAAAAAATTTTGTTTGTATAGCTTTTGCAGGAAGCTCTAGAAGCCTCAAGTTTGACATCGTTTTCATCATCTACATCGAGAACTTGCCAAGAAATTGAATGTTCTACTACCACAAATGATATTAGAAATTGCAAGAGATCTATATGTAAATATTACTTACGATAACTTAAATTCACCTTTAATATTAATATACTCAACAGCAAATGGGAATGTTAAGAGTCTTACAGTAAGACATTATTTGTCAAGTGATGACGGATTAAACAATGGAGTTATGATCAGAAATTCAAACGAAGTGTCTATAGCGAATGTAGTAAGTGAAAAGGCAGCCTTTGTCATTGAAGATTCTAACGTCGTGCAATATAAGTTTGTGTCTCCAATTTAACTACAAAAACACAGTTTACCACAGTTGTTTTCTTTTTTAGAAATATACAGATTAGCAATTCAACGTCTCTTAACGCTATTTCTATGATAAATAATAGGAAGTCATATAGTTATAATCTAAATTCAATTGTTCTGGAAAATAATTTCTTCGGTGTTTATATTCAATCAAAAGACAAATTTATGATTGATGATTTCAGAGCGGAAAGTAATAGATTTATTACTTTTTCATTAAATAATAAATGATAAATTATTAAACTACCATCTTGTTAACAGATAATAAACATAATCTGATACAAATTGCAAAGCCACCTTCATCGTTATACTCTTTTAAAGACATAGAAGATTTGGTTTGTGATATTTGCGATGACAGTCTCGTCACATATCCGGTCAGTTATCGCGTCCAAACTGCACAGAAGATTAAAAAAGTATGAATAAGTTTGTAATAATTTATAAGCTAAATTGATGTTATATAATCTTCTTAAAGACATTTATTGCTCGAGAAGATGAAGTGCTTGAGATACAAAGCCTTTGCTTTAAATTAGAAGATGAATGCAAAATTTATGACGGCAATGAAATACTTCTTTATAGCGAAAAAAGGAACTGTGTCTCACTTATATCTGACAGTCGAAATGTAACAATTGACTGCACTCTTGTACAACATGAAAACTTGATTATTAATTCTTTTAAAGAAGGTTACTATTACTTTTTAATTAAATTCTTTTATATCATTTTTCTACATTAATTTAGTTAAAGAAATCAGCGTTATTTCTAATTTTTATTCAACTTGTGATATGCATACTGGGCTAACATTTGAATCTTTTCAAAGTTTAGAGTTAAATAACGTAACATCTAGAAACTGCTTAATTACTTTACAAGCCGTTTGTAAAGTGTTAACCATTCAATCAAGTTATTTTGAAGATTCAAATGTAAATTTATATTTTACACTGTTAAAACGGACAAAGCATAGAATTTCAATAAAAAATAATACGTTTTATGCAAGAAAATACCAATCTTTATATATAACCAGTGGTGATTTTTACATGGCATCATCAAAAACTGAAATTACGAATAATAGATTTTTAAGAGTATGAAAATATTTAATTAAAAAGAAAACAAGTTAATTAATAATCAATTTATTTCAATTGTAATAATTATTAAATATTTTCAAACTCAGACAACTTTATTGACGTTTGTAAACGCTGGAGCTCATTTAATAATAGAGAATAATTATTCTGAAGTAACTCTGGATATTTATAATATCAATGTAGTGGAGATCAGAAATAATATATTTATTCACCTTAAAGTATATTATCGTTTATTTATAAAAATGATTACGCAGCGACGACAATATAAGATTATAATCGAAGATAATAAAATAATTAACATTGTTAAAACATTTCTACATATTTACAATACTTACAAAGGAAAAGAATCAGATTCATATTTGGCTATCAGAAACAATACATTTACAAATGACGATAATATAATTTCCTCTTCAAAACATAATTTAATTGAAATTTTGAATGGCTTAGAATATAGACGTATCTCTTTAAATAATCATCTCTTCAGCTATAACAAATTTCTAAATATAAGCCTTTGGTCTGTTATTAATATTGAAAATATTCATTATGGATTAATTTTTGAACATAACCAATTTATTAATTGTTCAATAATAAAAAACTTAAT